AGTCACTACCCCGAAAAATGATAGCATTGTTTTTCCCGGAAAAATCCAGTTTTCATGCGGTTTTCCTATGAAAATCATGTAAATTATTTCGGGGTAGTGACTTTTCGGGGTAGTGACTTTTCGGGGTAGTGACTTTCGGGGTAGTGACTTTTCGGGGTAGTGACTGTACCACATATGAAAGCTGCCGACGAGAAGCGGCGAATGCGCGATACGGCGATCCAACGCGTTACTGAAATATTACGATCGGTGAACGATGAATCGGATCCAGATGAGGTGGAGGATACAGTGCCGGAAATGGAAGAATACGCAGGTCTGTGATGTTATTAGAAACCAGGGCTCGTACCAAAGTGATTTTTAGAACCCTACCAGGGTTGAAAAGCCGCTTCGCGACTTTTCAACCCTGGCCCCGTCTAACCCCATTTTATCCTTCACTTTACATAATTGTCCTGAATTCAGATGACAAACAATGAAAAACAACTTCTTCTGTGCCTTTATATAGCCGAATCACCACTTCCGGTCTATGCTAATTATTTCCTAACAAAGGAGCTTTCACAAAAACTTAAATTTAATGTCGAAAATGGTTGATTTTGTAAAATTTGATATGTGTGCAGTCATCTCAAGACCATTGCGCACCTAATGACGTATCAAACATACCCGTAACTTCATCCCCTATCGAGATATCCCCCGGACAGACAGACGGAAGTGGATGCAAAGTGGCACACACACACAGACACACACACACACAGACACTATTTTTTTATATATAGTAGGAATAGTAGGATAAGTTACCAGCCGCTTACAGCGGCTTTGCCGCTGCAAGCGGCTGGACTTCGGGCTACCCTTTCCGCTCCCTCCCCTCCACACCCGCTACAGCTAAACAACGAAGGTCCAGGGCGAAGGCCGGCTACGGCATAATTCAAATGACGTAGTGTCGTAATGAGTAGCATGGCGTAGCGACGTATCGAGTAGCATAACGTACCGGTATAGCACCTCGTTTGCCGATAATTTAGGATATAATAACTTCTTAGCAAAATAAAAGTTTTAACTTTTCATTTGTATTTTATCGTTTTCAGCGTACTTTTTTACCCAGGTACCGAAATTTTGGTGTTTCCTGGATGAATTTCACCGAAATTTGCTTTTATCTCGAAAATCTGACGTCATGGGTAATAAAATAGCTCATTTTCAGAATCAGCACAAAAAGTAGTCTATTTTGGGTACCCTAGCAGTCCCGGATGTGGCAAAACATCGCTTAAATCCCCAAGGTTGATGTGCGAAAATCGGGCCTGTTCTATAACGGAAGCGTGACTTTACCGATTTGGCAGTTTATATGCTCAAAAAATCCGCGATTATTTGTTCTCTCGATTCCTAAAGTTGACGGTTGCTGAAAAACGCGTTTTAAAGAGATTTTGAATTGTTTCTAACTTTTACTAGCATTTTTCGCCTCATCTCGGAGCCCCCAGACCCGACCAAGCCCTTTCACCCTAATGCCGTGACCCAATGACCGTAGCCCAGCCCCCTTTTGCCCCACGTAATCGGACCAAAAAATCCGCCCAGCGATAATACGACACAATCCGTTTACGAATTCCGTAATTAGTGGATAATACGACACAATCCGTTTACGAATTCCGTAATTAGTGTACTTGTACTTCGTTGCCGTTTTAATTAAGGCTGTAGCGGCTGTGCCTCCCTTTGTGATGGCTTTAGATACTTTAAACGCATTAAATAACGAATTAAAATAATTAAAAAGTATTAAAACAACTGAAAAAGCGATCTGGGCGCGGGAAAGGGCTTGGGGAAAGGGGCGCAAGAAGGGGGCGTGGCCTCCCGGGGAGAGGGCCCCCCACTCGTTTTATTAAGGCGCCACTTTCAAAGTTAATTATTTTTATTTAAACCAAAACTTTTCTCGTTTTCCGAATTTGCTACAGAGCCTTAAAATTTGAGATATTAAAGTCTTTGACCGATTCTTTAGTTAAAAATGCCGGACCTCGGACTCGCTTATTTTGACCTTTTTGGCAGATTTCCGAAAAACAAGCATCGCCATCGGATTCAGAAAAATTTTGTCTTTCGAATCGAATCGAATCTCGAATTCTTTCGAATCTAACTCAAAATTTTCGAAAACCCGAAAAATTGGAAAAATTGACGATACTTGGTATGGACTCCGAATTTACTATGGGAAATGGTAGAAAACAGCCTACTTCAAGCAGCTGTAGGATAGCGTCCAGGTCCTTTATGGATTAAGAAAATATACCATTCGGATCAGAAAAAAAATTCTCTATCAGATGGGCTACTTAAAATAACTAGAAAAACACAAACAAAAAAGTTCAGTATCCTGACAAACCCCTTACCGGGGACTGCATACCACACGCACAGGCAGGTACTATCGGCCGCGGGTGTCCATAAGCACTCTTTTTGTATATATCGCAAACAAATTTAAATAAAAACTATATAACTAAGTCTTATAAATATGTAGAATCTATTATCATATATTAAAACGCATTAAATCAACTATAATAAAAAAGTTAAGACGTCCGTCCGTCCGTGTGTCTGAAGCCGAATTCAACTCGAAGGGGAAAGGAGCTAGAGCTTAGCTCTCTTCGGATTCGGATAGAGCGCCCTCAGAAACCCCTAAACTGATAAAAAAATTATGAAAAAGTTTTAGTTTAACTTATTAAAATTAACTTTGAAAGTTTTCTCCTTAGTAAAAGGGTGGGGGACGGAGGTTGGGCTGATTTTGGACATAGTGAGCCAGGTCGCGCGCGTTTCGTGGATGAAAATTTTCACGGGGGATTTCATTTCTTTTTTTCTCTAATTCCATCCGGTCGGTCGTTATTTTCGTTTTTTAAACGGGATTTTGGCTAGGGGAGGTATCTAAAGCCATCAGGAAGGTATTTAGGTAGTTTTTGAAGGGGATTTCAGCCATGGGGGGTATCTGTAGCCATCAGGAAGGTATTTAGGTAGTTTTTGAAGGGGATTTCAGCCATGGGGGGTATCTGTAGCCATCAGGAAGGTATTTAGGTAGTTTTTGAAGGGGATTTCAGCCATGGGGGGGTATCTGAAGCCATCAGGAAGGTATCTAGGTAGTTTTTGAAGGGGATTTCAGCCATGGGGGTATCTGAAGCCATCAGGAAGGTATCTAGGTAGTTTTTGAAGGGATTTCAGCCATGGGGGGTATCTGAAGCCATCAGGAAGGTATCTAGGTAGTTTTTGAAGGGATTTCAGCCATGGGGGTATCTGAAGCCATCAGGAAGGTATCTAGGTAGTTTTTGAAGGGGATTTCAGCCATGGGGGGTATCTGAAGCCATCAGGAAGGTATCTAGGTAGTTTTTGAAGGGGATTTCAGCCATGGGGGGTATCTGAAGCCATCAGGAAGGTATCTAGGTAGTTTTTGAACGGGATTTCGGCTATGGGGGGTATTGATGGAGGTGGGAAAGGATGTGGTAGAGTGGGACATGTAGGGTAGCCCGAAGCCCAGATGGTTGCAGTCGCGAAGCGACTGTAACCATCTGGTAATATTATAAGACGCTTATTAAGTAGTATTTCTTAATCAATTACGCCGCGGCCGATAGTGCCTGCCTGTGTTTTTGGTATGCCGTTTACCGTGGACCCAAAAATGGCATTAAAACTTTAATATCTCAAATTTTAAGGTTCTGTAGCAAATTCGGAAAACGAGGCGATTATCAGCGTGGTCGATTCTATAAGTGTACAAACTTTCAGCCCGATCCGTGTTGCGGGTATTTTGGACCTCCCTAGTTAGGATCCCTAACTATAAAGTTTGGTCTAATCATCGGCGCCGTATGTTCCGCGGTAAGACCTTCTATTAGCTAAAAATTCCTCTAGATCCTGAACGATCCCCGCCATCTTAAGGTGCTATCCCTAGGGAAAAAGCCCGGCTGCCAGGGCCTGCTGTCGGGCTCCAAAGGCTATGTCGATGCAGCCAACTCGGAGTTGATCACAGGTTGGTTTCTTCGTCCCCAGTCAATCACAAAATATCCTATATTTTTAGAATACTTGGCCCAATGCCTAATGACCTCTGGCGATAAACGGGATTTCGTCGAGATCAAAGCAGCTGCCCTCTTCTTCAATCGCTATCTGGGTCCAATCCATCCTGGTTCAATTAATCCATGTTTTCTTCGTAGATCCTTATTGTTGAACCAGCGCCCAAAACCCGCTTCGCGGGCCTTGGGCGCTGGAGTTGGGCCTTTGCATGAAAAATTTGACTCTCCGATCGGAAACCGGGTTTCCGGAAGTAATTCATTAACGCGGCTCGTATGGGGCCGGGTTTTTATGGAAATTGGGCCGGCGGCTAGGCCGGCCGGGATTGCCATGCCTGATAATAATCAAGGGGATTAAGCATCGGCTAGCTCGCACAGGTTCGCCGATGGAACATCTCCCGGTCAGGTATTATTCATCAACGTTGTTCTCTCCCTCTCTTTCTCTCTCTCTTTTTCCCTCGCTCTTTCTCTCTCTCCCTTTCTTTCGCCTCACTAAATGATTTTTCAGGGAAAACCTTCTTCCTCTGGACTCTCCTCATGGCCACCATCCTCCTCCTGACCCTCGTCATTGCCCTCCTCTTACATGTTCATCAACAGCGCAAGAAGTGAACTGCTTGAACTTGTTCAGCCTGATCTCATTATGCATCGTTGTTCGAATAAAGCATTCAATTAAACCTTTAACTTCCAAAATCCGTACTAGCACAAATTTTGGTTGCAAAGGGTTCTCTCTCTCTCTCTCTATCGCTCTCTCTCTCTCTCTCTCTCTATTTCTCTCTCTATCTCTCTCGCTTTCTATATTCCTTTCTATACCTCCCCTCCCAAACAAAACAAAATAAAAAACAACTTGTGCGTATGCTTCATCCCCAGCATATTTAAGCATTCTAGCAAGGTAACGATGGTCCGATTCGTTTCCCCTAGCGAGATATTTCAGTGCAAACCAGACACTTTTTTTCTGGCCACCCTGGAGTTTACCGACCACAACAGTCTCGACAAGAAGATATCCGGGTAATGGAAGGCAATTCTCCGCGGGTAGATCATCATTGATCGGCTGACGCTCACTAGCGAGGAGGCGCTTTTGCATTTCGAAAAATCGGGAATCCATCTATTTCTACGAATATATTATCGCATAACGGTAAAATCTTGGAATCTCGACGTCAAAATCTCGAATCGCCTTTAAAAAAATCACTCAAGCTGACTGTGCGGAAAACGTTTTCAATCGCAGAAACCGGAAGCAGAATTTTTCCAAGCAAATTTTTTTGTGGGAAACCCCGGCATCACAATTTTTACAAAATTCTAATAAATTGCATTTTTAGTATTGGGACGTGTTTTTCGCCTTAAAATCGGTCATTGCCTCCCTTTTTTACGTATATACTAATGTTTTTACGTTTAGGCATAGTAAAAACAGCTCAGAACTACTTATAAAGCCGAGGTTACGTTTGGTTTTGCTTAGCTTACGCCGGATAGAGCATAAAAGGGCCCCCACCCCCAACATCAACAGCTCGGAGTTGTCTAACGAAAAGCTGAAAGTAAAGTGAGTCGAAAGGACGCGCGGACTATCGGATATTCGGTATGACGCCAAGGGAGTTGGCGGGGGGGGGGCAAACGCTTTTCAAATGGGATACGTGAGGGTGACCCAAAAAAAGCCCCCCTCTCTCTAGCGGTCCGCTGTCGTGTCAGATGGTTACGATTTTTGTTTCTATCGAATGCTCTCGATATGGGATCTCGATAGGTGCATACGGTAATCAAAAAGTTAAAAAGCGCTAGAAGATTTTTTTTAAGGTATTCCGCCATGGAGCCCGGGCCCCGCTCTACGAATTCTCGAGCAACGAATCGACCGAATTCTATTTTAGGGGAGTCGGACAACTGAGTGATGTGAGATTTTGACGTTAGAGAGAGAGCGAGAGAGAGAGAGAGATAGAGAGAGAGAAAGTGAGAGTGCGAGCAGAGAGCTAGTAATAATTTCCTTTAAAATAAAACTTTAAAAGTTTTTAATTGTGTTTTAATCTTTGTTTAGCTCGGCCTGGTCCAAGGGATGCAACTTGGCGAGCTGTTCAACAACCGCTACGTGCGCACCGGCTTCTTGCACCACGGCATGAAGCCGAGCGAGGTAAGATGTCTCCAAATCGGTTTTGGGCCGAAAAACTGTTTCTAAATCGATTTTAGGTCTATTTCCGGTCTTCCCCAAAGGAGCGCTGCCTGATGACGGCCCAGGAGGTGGATTTCTTACGGATTTTTCGTTTTCACGGTCCTTTAAAGGTCTCGCTCCCGCGCTCTCTCTCTCTATCTCTCTCTGGCTCCCTCTCGCTCACTCTCTCGCTCTCTCTCTCTCTCTCTCTCTTTCTCTTTCGCTCTCTCTCATTCTCTCGTATCACGCATATCGTTGTCGTCGTCGTCAATATCGTCGCAAAAGTCCCTTCAAAGCTCCGAAAATTCGCTATTTCCTAAATGTTGACCCATATACCGTAACCCGATTTCAACAGGTTGGCCGTGGTATGTTCCGCCGTGACATCGCCGTCCCGGTTTTCACCTTTCCGACAAGAGAGGAGGATGTGGTACTGTGCCCCAAAAAGATTCGCTAATTTTTCGAGGTTGTAGATGCTGTACCCACGGATGGAATGCCCGCATCAGACTTCGAGAAATAAGGAGATTTTTGGCGCGGATACGGTGCGTGAAAATTGTTAATTTTATCGTTTTTTAGTTCGAAGAAGCGTTCGACCGGATCCGTGACGTGTACGCGCCGTCGAGAACTGAGGATAAGGGATATTTGGAGGCTGTGAAAATTGAGGTGAGTTTGGTTTATCAGGCCTTTAAACCGGATTACTGTAAATACCGTAATTTCAGAAATTCGAAGGGCTGCCCGTTCCGGAATGGGCAAATACAAAGCAGGGGTTGAAGGAGTTGGAGGATACTTTTTATGAGGTCAGCAAGAGAGAGGGAGAGAGAGAGAGAGAGAGAGAGAGAGAGAGAGAGAGAGAGGAGAGAGAAGGGGAGGGAGAGAGAGAGAGAGAGAGAGAGAGAGAGAGAGGGCAAAAGGACGTTTTCAGTACCTGACATTCATCTGCGGAACCGGAAGGCTACCGGATCCAGAAACGATCCAGACCAAATCCGGCCTCCTCCTCCACACCATCCATCTGGAGCTCCAACGATCCTGGAGGTACGGTAGCGGGGCGTCTTTCAAGGAGGCTGAGGTTTAGCTTGGACTTGGCTCAGGCTTGGCTTAGGCTTGGCTTAGGCTTGGCTTAGGCTTGGCTTAGGCTGATGCTCCCCTTAAATTACCTTTTGGATGCTTCTCAAACACCTCCACCGAAGATGACAGCTGCCATACAGTACACCGTTTCCTTGCGTACAGTACGGTAAGTTGTACTCTAACGGAAAGAACCATTTTAAAGTGAAATCATGAAAAATGGTTTTTAGCACGATACCGTGGTTCTCCCACTCGCCGAATCGCTGGGCCTCATCCCTGCATTCAAGTACTGTAATTACCCTATTTTATCCTGATTTATTACACTTCATCTTAAGATCTAAACGATTAATTTCCATTTTTAACCTAAAAAATAACTTTTTATATTTTTCATTATTTTTTAGAGGCCACCTCCCTCATTACGCCACCGGCTTCATCTTTGAGCTGTGGAATCGGGATGGAGAACCATTTGTTAAGGTGCGTAGAGAGAGAGAGAGAGAGAGAGAGAGAGAGAGAGAGAGAGAGGGAGAGAGATGTTATCTGCTTATAGGTCTTCTACCGTTTCTCACCGAGCAGCCACGAGGTGACCGAGCTTACTGGCGAGGTCAGGAATTGCGCGGATGAGCGCTGCACCTTGGTGAGTTTTGAAGAGATATTCAACCCTGGAAAAACCGTAAACAATTTTTCCTAGGACCAATTTGTCAATTGCTGCGACGAGTTCAAGACGGACGACCCGTTGGTGGTTTGTGGGATGAAGAAAGGTTTTTGCTGTGAGTGAATTAGATAGATTTCTCTCTCTCACTCTCTAACTCTCTTTCTATCCCTCTCTCTCTCTCTTTATCTCTCTCTCTCTCTCTTTTCCCCTCGCTCTCTCTCTCCATTTCTTTCGCCTCACCAAATGATTTTTCAGGGAAATCCTTCTTCCTCTGGACTCTCCTCATGGCCACCATCCTCCTCCTGACCCTCGTCATTGCCCTCCTCTTCCATGTTCATCAACAGCGCAAGAAGTGAACTGCTTGAACTTGTTCAGCCTGATCTCATTATGCATCGTTGTTCAAATAAAGCATTCAATTAAAACTTTAACTTCCAAAATACGAACCAGCACAAATTTGGTTTCCCTTTCCAGCCTCTTTCAAATTCAAAGGCGTTTTTTAAGGGGTAGAGAAGTCATTTAGCACTTCCAATTCCACCACTCGGATCTCTTTCAAGGTCAACATTTAGCATTCGAAATGATGGATTTACTGTATTCTCTCTCTCTCTCTCTCTCTCTCTCTCTCTCTCTCTCTCTCTCTCTCTCTCTCTCTCTTTCTCTCTGTCCCTCTCTGTCCTCTCTTTCTCTCGCTTTCAATATTCTATTGTCCATTTCTACTATTCCTCCCCTCCCCACCACTTTTGAATTGACACAACAATACTTCCTTCGCTTCTTGCCCTCCAAATAATTCCGAAGACAAAGTAATTGAATTCCCTTGCCTTAACTGCCCCTTCTCTTCCCCCCGTAAAGTGTCCATATGTGTACTCTTTCCATCTCTCTCTCTCTCTCTCTCTCTCTCTCTCTCTCTCTCTCTCTCTTCCATTGTCAAATTAGAGTCCCACTCCTTATTGCCTCTCCCTTCTTGGCTTTTAATTAGCCTCTCCCTCCTCTCATTCCAAATGCCCACTGGCTATTTCTGAAGCGGGAGAAAAGAAGAGACGACGAGATGCTCCTTCAAACAATTGGTTTAGAAAGGAGTACGGTAGATAGAGAGAGAGAGAGAGAGAGAGAGAGAGAGACAGAGATAGAAAGCTATCCCCTCTGTTTATTCTAGACAATGCCCCTAAATCCCTAGCTAGGAATGGACCGGAAAGTCCCTCGCCACTTGTCGGCCTTTCCCCTAAAAAGTCGTGAAATGGGCCATGGGAAGGCCACAGAGGGATGCCGATCAGACTAAAAGGCGTCTCTCTCTCTTTCTCTCTCTCTTTCTCTCTCTCTCTCTCTCTCTCTCTCTCTCGCTCTCTCTCTCTCGCTTCCCGTTCCTTTCCTCACAACGCCTCATCCGTAAATAGGCGCAAAACGGACACTTTCCATTCTTCCAAGAAGGTCGTTCGGCTAGTTGCTTTCATCTTTTTTTTGCTGTTATTTTATGGATTCGTGAGGATATGGCGCATCTGTGAAGACCAGGAGAAAAATGCAAGCTAACAGTGATCTTTGCGGATGTCAAAATGACCCAAAAACGTATTTATAAAGACGAAAAACGGAAATGAAGTGAAAGAAAGGTGTGGCTAGGTAATAATTAGGGCATCATTAAGGTATTTTAATTTGCTATCACATAGTATGCACCAGGGAAAGGAGGAAGGAAAAAGGCGAAAAGTACCAGATGAAAAGTTTAAACCAGAAAATACGGTATCAGAGTTGACAAATTCAAAGTAAAGAGTACAGTAGCGGAACGGGAAATCGAGCGCCTAAATTAAATTGTTAGTTTTAATTAAAATTGATATGGTTAGTTCGATTGGAAATAAGGAATCACAATGTATACCTCAAAATAAAAATAGTGGAAAAGACGGACTAAAAATCAAGGTCTGATTGCAGGGTACGGTATGGCGAGGATAACATTGTTTTTGTGGAGGGTTATTGGCTTCCAGGCCCCTTTAAATTTGGCGAATTTAATTCGTTAAACAGTATAGTAAATAGTTTTTTATGGAAGAGAGAGAGAGAGAGAGAGAGAGAGAGATGGAGAGAGAGAGAGAGTGAGTGGGAGAGAGAGTGAGAGAGTGAGAGAGGGAGAGAGAGTGTAAGAGAGAGAGCGAGAGAGAGGGAGCGCGAGAGCGAAGGATTTATTTTTAAAGTCAAAACATAGTTCGTAGTTTTTATCGAGGAGTCACTCGCTAAAAAGCGCTCCGTCTCTTGGCTACCGTAACCCTGAAGGCAGTCCGTTCCCATGACAATCCTATCGACAATCGGGTGCTCTCGCAAAAAAAGCGACTAGAAACAGCCCGCCACTATCATTCCGCTAGAATGGGCGAGAGAGAGAGAGAGAGAGAGAGAGAGAGAGAGAGAGAGTGAAACACAGAGAAAAAGGGGCCGAAAGGGTTATTAAAGGGACCTGGTCGTGTCTCTAAAAGGCCATTCAAGCAAGAAGACTGTCAATCGAGAATCCCTTCTTCTTTCCATGGGATTTTCGGGCCTTTATCGGCCCTCCGGCTGATGGGGGTCTCGAGGCGATTGTGGGAGATACGGTAGCTTCGAGCTGGGGGAGGCCGAGGAGGGCTTCGAGGGATGGCAGTTGCAGGAGGGAACAGATATCGAATGTTGTAGGGGGAGACGTCTGAAAATCCGGATTAAAGGGCCGGGCAAGACAGCGTTATGGATTTTGCTACTTTTTTCGCTTAATTTCTCGTAATCGATCAAATTCATGGCCTTTAAAGACCATCAAATACATGGAAATTAATCGTTTTTAATGGGTTAAAATTTTTTAATTTTCTTACGGTAGATCGATCCGATTCGTCGCTATTCTTCAGATCCTGAGACCCGACCGAATCCAATAATGAACGAAGCGACGTGTCGGAGGCCTAAAAATCTATATTTATTTTTTGGTGACTAGTAGTATGTAGCTGACTACTGACTACAGTACCTCATTCTCGCTGTTGGTCGATAAGTCGAAAGGTGTATCTTGCGGTGGGTTACTGTGGATGTACGGGACGTTGGGGAGGAGTTGCTGAAAAGAATTGGGGTAGAGAAATCGAAACGATAATTGATAGAAATGCGACTACCATTTAGTTGTTGAGTTAATCTGCGACTTAAAGCGCACGTTCAGGGAGGGGCCGTGTACTCGTCCCAACGTGTACACCCTATGGCCGTAGGGACCGCGCGCACTGCCTGCCCGTGCTGTGACAGGCCATTCCCCTCCTTTGCGGCGTGGGGCGCCCCTCGCCCCCTCGCCAGGTTGTAGCTGTGGCTGGCTGGTATCCATCCGCGCCTCCCGAGCGGGGGGGGGCCGGGTTCGACCCCCGGCCGCGGCAAAAATCTTTGCTTTTTTCCAAAAAAACGTCCCTGAACGTGCCCTATAATGGAAAAATGAAAAGTAGTACGCTGTTTTTAAAATCGCATAACTACTGGCTCGCCATGAAAGTGGTAGATTTTTTTAAAACACTTTTGACTAATTTTGGCTCTGGTTCCTTAGCGGGGAGGGGGGAATTAATAGGGGGCATGCAGAATGTCCTTCCGCTTTCGCTTTTGGCGACCGATTACAAAAATTCTTCTCTCTTGAGCGCCTCCCCCCGTTAATGAACCAGCACCCTTTAGCCGTTGTAAACTCTTCTCACCTGCTGTATCGGCGGCGCACAAAAGAGAGGCGGAAATGAGGGTGGTTGGGGGAATAGTTGAGGGAATAGCAGAGATAAATAGGGGCTGATCATCGATTGATGGTGGGCTGCGGATGAGGAAGAGTCCAGGATATTGATTGGCGAGGAAGGGAGGTCATCGGGCTGAAAAAGGGATACAGTATGATTGGGGGATAGGGAGGGCAAATATCTCTTTCTCCTTCTCTCTATCTCGCTCTCTCTCTCTCTCTCTCTCTCTATCTCTCTCGCTCTCTCTCTCTCGCTCCCCTCCACTGCCAAATGATGATTTGTCCCAATGTCAAAACTGCCTCCCCCCTTATCAATCCATCCCCTCGAAAGTGGATCGGGTTGTTGGCCGATACTACCGTAACCCCTCGACAGTCCCCCGAAAATGGATCCCCGGCGATGGATTGGAAGAAAATATTGCCGCTTCTTTCCGATGGAGATTCCACTTCCGGTTAGGCAAAAATTTCTAGTTTCACTTGGTAAAAATGCAGAAATATTACCGATTTTTGACCAAAATTTCAAAGTTTGCTAGGTTTTTTAGATGTTGTTCCACCTGAAATACAACTCAATCTACAAAAAAAACTACAAACAACATTTACACATTTGTAATAGACATTTCTGGAATTGTAAGAAAAATCCCACCACCCCCAATAATGCAAAAGAACCGGAAACGGGTTTAATCTTTAAACTTTTTAGGCCCTGGTTTGCATGCTTAATGAGAGTATCAAGGCAAAATTATGAATTTTATGGATTTCCCACGAGAATCCATAGCCATGACTTACCCGCCCCTTTAAACAATACGCGGCAAGCTACGAGTTACAGCCAGCAAACTTCAACGCCTACCTGCGGCATTTTCCGGGCAAACCACGGTGGTATTAGTTGTTTAATCGGCGGCTCGTCACTATCCGTCCCCATCGCCTGAATATGCTAATTACATGGCACTCCAGTTACTGGGAGATACCTTAAACCTTTTCCGTCTCCTCAAACAGCTCCCATTCTCGAACATCCCCAGCGCGTTTGGGTGGACGGCCCAGTAGGAGCCCTGAAAAATCAATAGTTTCCTAAACGATCTCTGCTGATTGGCTGGACCCATGACTGGAGGTAACTAGCAGAGATTATTGGGGGATAAGATACGCATTAATGGTATCATCTAAGGTACTGTACTGTTAACGGTGGGAGGGTTTAGCGAGAGAAAATGATCGTTGTTTTCTGTCCATACTTACCTGTTAATAATATACAAAGTATTTTGATAGTTTCAGTAATTTTTGATTGCCAGGAGGCAATAAAAAAAATTTAATAATTTAATAATTTTGACTTTTTCAGCATTTTTCATTATTTTTGGCTAATTCAAAAAATTTCGATAATTGCTACGCTTTTTACGTGCTTAGGCATACGTAAAAATGATATGAAAGGAAAAATTTCGAATTTCGAAAAAATTACTTGGAAAATTGTCCCCCCACGCTAACAGTCCAGTACCTAAAGTTTGGAACGGTGCTGCTCCGCACTGTACTACGAACCACTCCAAATAACGAACCTTTCCTGGGCGATCGGCGCGTCGCGGAATCTTGATAAAACAGTCATTGAAAGACAAGTTGTGTCGTAACGAGTTTTGCCATCTAAAAATTGAAAATTTGTGGGGTTAATAGGTCCTTAAAAATCCAGTTATTACCCCATCATTAATGCCGAACCCTGGCTAGATTCCCGATCCCTTTAAAACGACGTACCTCTGCGTATTCTTGCGATAAAACGGGAATTTGTCCATGATGAACTTGTAGATGTCGGTGAGGGGCAACATCTTCTCCTCACTCGATTGGATGGCCATATAGGTGAGCCAGATGTAGGAGTATGGCGGTTTCTGAAAAATTAGAACTAAAAACCAGAAAAATCGATAATTGGGATAATTTCGAAAAATAATCGCGCATTAATGATAGTCGGGAAATCACTCTATATCTCTCGCCTTCTATCTGCCTCCCTCGCTCTCTCTCTCTCTCTCTCCCACCTGCTCATCGTAAGAATTCTTTCCAGGTCGAGGCATCGGCTCTACTCGTGCTCCTCTTCTTCGCCGGCTCGGAGTAATGAATTGACTTGTCTCCCCCTCTTTTTTTTCTCTCTTTCTCTTCTGTCTCTTTTTCTCTCTTCCACTCCGCTTCTTTCCTCTTTACAAGGCCACTTTGAGTGCCAGTTGGGGGTAGTGGGGGGTGGATGGGTTGAAATGAAGGTCCCTGCAAAATGTGTCCGTTTAGCCCTTACGGACAGAACCCATTCCGGAATGACAGGCAGCAGCAGGAACAATGTATCGGAAAAAATGGGCGAGATTGAATTCCATCGAAGACAATAAAATTAGCGGGGGAAAAACGCTAAAAATCGGGAAAGATCTTCTTTGAAAAATCCCTTTTAAAATCCACATTTTCGGAAAATTGCCACTGACGAGACACGCGACGCGGAACGTAAAGTACAAGGAAGATGCTCAATAAATCCAGGAAATTGTATTTTTTACGAAAAATTTTATAGTTTTACTGAATCTACAAAAAAAATCAGGATAAATTCTTGTTGCTCCAGGCCGTCAATAGGAGCTTGGAGGAAAGGGCAAGCTTTCCCCGGGTGATTCGACCCCGATTACCCCCGCACGGGGCCAAATGGTGCGCGAGGGTCAAAACGGTAACAGACGGAAACTGAAAGCCGTGGATTCGCTTTATGAGTACAGAATCAGATTTTTAGAGCAGCGTTAAACCGGCTGACTGCAAAGTGTTTTTACTCAACTTGGAGTTCCGCTTCGGGACCAAGTGCATCTTGTACAGAATTTTTCGCTGATTCCGAATATGTTTTCCAAATTTGCTACGGACCGTTATCCTGAAAGTGAAGCTATTCTCTGAAGTTTAGCTAAAAAAATGAGATTTCTATGCAAAAAGCAAAAGAAATGATGCAGGGCGGGGGGCGAACCGCCGCCCTGCGCTTGGCAAGCGAGTACTTTGCCAATGCACCATGGTGCCAAATGGGTAGGGTGCTGTCAGAGGGTACTTCAGGGCCCCTGGGAACCATAGCCCCAAACAAGGAATAGTGGGCCACCGTCTGAATTTTTACCATTTTTCGGCCGAATTGTTAGCAAAAATGAATTTTTAAATAACGGTCCGTAGCAAATTTGGAAAACATATTCGGAATCAGCGAAAAATTCTGCACAAGATGCACTTGGTCCCGAACCGAAACTCCAAGTTGAGTAAAAACACTTTGCAGTGAGCTTGGAAAACTTTAAAAAATACTTTGGGGAACCACCAATTATCCTAAATCCTAAAAATACCAGTCGACAGACTTCATGAACCTACGGGGCTTGACAATGCAGAAAACATAAGGGTGTTGCTAGGCGTGTCGCGGAACTGTCGAGACCCAGCCGGCCAAGGGGTAGATTCTCACGCTCCGAGCTGCTCTGGAGCTAAAACTTTAAGGGGACGTTAAAGGGATAAGGACCCACGCAGGCAGGGCTCATCTACAATTGGCAAGTCGCCAACCGGAAATGCTAATGGTAAAAACGGGGTGGAGAGTAGGCCCCGGTGAGAGGGATCAAAGACGATTTCTGCTAATTTTGAAGTTAAAACCGGCTTTATGCTGAATTTTTCCGGCCTTTCCTGAATTGGTCATTCTTAGGCAGGGCAGAAAAATTCCGATGTTATTAAAGGTACCATTAATGTTGGAAAGATCTTGGAGTCTACCTATGAATCTTGGAGTCAGACCTTTTTGACTTGTCAATCCCTTTAAACCGCCGAATATACGATTTGCTCGGGAAAACAAAGACACACGCGATAAAGAAAGCAGGTCGGTGAAAATGGTGGCACCAAATCCGGGACACCTAGATGGTGCGGGTGACCAGGTGCTTTATGCTAATTAGTACCAGACGCGGGGGGCGTGGGCTTGAAGTTGGAGAAATTAATCACGGTCTGGGTAATAACGTCGTGGCAAAAATAGCTAGCTTTACTCTCGGCTTACAGTACGCCTGGCGTAAAGAGGTGCATAGCGTACAAAACGGTAAATTCCATAAAAAAAATGCCATGTAAAAACGCTGCAAACGGGTACTGTATGGTTTTAAAGCCTTCGAAAGGCCCCGAAATAAAATATTTGACCCTCGCCGGAAAATCTTGGGGACCACGAAAAGCCCCTATGGACAGCCAGCCGTCATCCCGTATTGTCTCGTACTCGTAGGAGGGGCGAGAGAGGCTAGAGGAAGGGGGCGGGGCCAGCCACTCTGCCTTCACTACCGTACCCACTTTTTCGACCTTGTCCTCCCTAAAGAGTGTCTTCTCTGTCGGTGTGTCTGTCGATTCCGTGTGGATACTTTGTCCATCCCCCACTGACTACCTACTACCCCCCGGTCAAGGCCTTTTAACTGAAAAAACGGCGAACACCCGCCGGATTCCGACGGAATTTTGGATTTATTTTAAAGGGACTGGCAATGCATTAATATGGAGCGCTTATAGATTTTATCGCGCCGTGATTCTTCCAGGTGAATCTAAAACTCGACCGCGACACGCAACGCGCACACCTGGCCTGTTCACGGGTGCGCGCGGCGGCCGCGGTGCGTGTCGCGTTGCCGTAACATCCATACATAGAAAATCCACAGCCAACAGAGCCACAGCCATGTCTCGCGTGTTCCTGTAATTTTGACCATTTACGGTAAGCTGGTGGGGCGGTATCTCAATTTTTTTGGCAGGCCTTTGGAAAAAGGTCTTTTGGGATATACAGTCACTTTAAATAAATTTTTCTGAATTTCCAGGCATCATTAGTCTATTTCATGACTTCCCAGTACCTTTAGAGGGCCATCAAGGATCAACAATAATTTTTGTATAATTTTTTTCAGAAGTATTTGGCATATTTTGGCCTTACGAGCCCATTTAACGTCTTATAAATCAACATTTTGGGCATGAAACACTAATTTTACCACCCAAGCCCATAAAGTACACCCGTGCTACCGTAGCCCACTCCGCAACGATTCCGGCAACACCCTTTTTTTGTTTCCACTTTTTTGCCTCCGAAAAGTCTCTCAAATCCAGTTTTTTTTCGCTCATTGATCATCTTTTTTGCCGGGCCAATATCTCTATCTCGAGATTTTGGGGGGATACGGTAGGGACTTGCAAGCTATACCGCGCACACTTTCCCAGCGCCCCCCGCGCTCGCAGCCCGCACGCGCGCCCGCGCCAAATTACGGTAATATGGGTGGCCATTAGGGGGGAGAGGAGGGGAGGGGATAGGAATGGGATCGCAAAAAAAATATGGGGCGGCAAACACGGCGCTTCGGGGTTGGAGTACGGTAGTTGGGGGCAAATAATAGCCAACTGTACGAATTTGGGCTGGCGAACTTCCGGTTTTAAAGAGATGTGAAAGCCAAGATTTATACGGCTTTGAGAAGTTGCATTTTTGGGAAAATATATTGGGTTTTTATGCATTAGCGGGGGGGACTGTATCCAGGTTTTCTTATTAGTCCAAAAATTCAAATTCCTCATATAGCAAAAACACACGTCTTACTAGTATTTTTGGTAAAATTTAGCATTTTTAAGGCGGCAAAATCATCTAAAAAATCGAAAATTTTTAAATTTTGCTCATTTTTGGTCGAAATATCGCAATTTTTTTGAATTTTTAAAATTTGTTTTTGCGATTTATATTAGCAAAATTCGATGCTCACAAAAACCCTCCCCCCCCGATAATACAAAAGTACCAGAAGCCGAATTTAGAATGGATTTTTGCAGTGCTGTTCTGGCTAATTGCCAACTACCGTAACCTTTAAGCCCCTCAGTTTTTAGCCTTCAATAATTCATCCTAATCCCGTCAATACCACAACTACAACCGCCCCCCAACATTTCTTGTTATTTTGCGGTTTTTGCGAAGTTTCTCGACGGCCAAAGAAAAGTGCTTTGTTCGCGGCGGGACCCCCTCTCGAAAAGGACTCCATTTCCCTAATGACCACAGCCAACTACGAGGTGTCTTTAGGCAAAAACGGAATGAATTGTTGTCTTCCATCCACCCTTTCCAGAAGTCCATAGGAGTGAAACGTTCTTGCGGAATCGTTGAAACGTTTCGGGGCTGTACGAAGCTGACGAAAAACGGGTGGTAGCCCCCCTGGAATTCTGCCGGCAATCTGAAAATTGTGTAAAATCATGGCCAGAAAGAATTCCAAAAGAATCCCTGCTAGCTTGCCTCTTATTTTCGGCCTTGACAGATGCGCCATATCTTCACGAATCCATAAAATCACAGCAAAAAAAAAGATGAAAGCAACTAGCCGAACGACCTTCTTGGAAGAATGGAAAGTGTCCGTTTTGCGCCTATTTACGGATGAGGCGTTGTGAGGAAAGGAACGGGAAGCGAGAGAGAGAGAGAGCGAGAGAGAGAGAGAGAGAGAGAGAGAGAGAAAGAGAGAGAGAAAGAGAGAGAGACGCCTTTTAGTCTGATCGGCATCCCTCTGTGGCCTTCCCATGGCCCATTTCACGACTTTTTAGGGGAAAGGCCGACAAGTGGAAGGCGGACTTTCCGGTCCATTCCTACGTACGGTAGCTAGGGATTTAGGGGGCATTGTTTAGAATAAACAAGCCGAGAGGTGCTCTTCTCACTTTCGCTCCCTCTCTCCCTCTCTCTCCCTCTCTCTCTCTCTCTCTCTCTCTCTCTCTCTCTCTCTCTCTCTCTCTGTCTCTCTCTATCTCTCTGTCTCTGTCTGTCTGTCTCTCTCTCTCTGTCTCTCTCTCTCTACCGTACTCCTTACTAAACCAATTGTTTAAAGGAGCATCTCGTCGTCTCTTCTTTTCTCCTGCTTCAGAAATAGCCAGTGGGCATTGGGAATGAGTGGAGGGAGAGGCTAATTAAAAGCCAAGAAGGGAGAGGCAATAAGAAGTGGGACTCTAATTTGACAATGGAAGAGAGATAGAGAGAGAGAGAGAGAGAGAGAGAGAGAGAGAGAAAGAGAGAGATGGAAAGAGTACACATATGGACACTTTACGGGGGAAGGGAAGGGGCAGTTAAGGCAATGGAATTCAATTACTTTGTCTTCGGAATTATTTGGAGGGCAAGAAGTGAAGGAAGTGTTGTTGTGTCAATTCAGAGGTGGGGAGGGGAGGTTTAGAACGGCATATAGAATATTTAAGGAGGGCAGAGAGGGAGAGAGAGAGAGAGAGAGAGAGAGAGAGAGAGAGGGAGAGAGAGCAAGAATACAATAAATCCATCATTTCGATTGCTAAATGTTGACCTTGAAAGCGACCAGAGTGGTGGAATGGGAAGTGCTAAATGACTTCTAGGAAAACTGTATCTCCAGATCTGCATAAATTATCCACTTTTTAGGGATTTCGGGGGCGTTCAGCTGCTTTAAAAAAGAACATAAAGGCAAGAATATTTGGCATTTTCGGATTTTTTCAGTACCATAATTTAACTGAACTGTCGTAATTTCTAAATCTTATTGTTTAGAAAATAACTAGAAAACTAAAACTATGACTATAGTTAGAAAAAGTTTCCGAATTAGAAAACGCCAGAATCCCGTCAGCCCCAAATCCCCGAAAACCTAATCCCAACAGTCGAAAATCCCGACATACAAACAGCTGTTTAAAGGGAAAGAAGTGGTATAAAAATTTGTATCAAGAATATGTCGGTATTTCTTTCGGTATTTTCCGGTATTTTGGCCTGTCGAGATTTCTGTCGGGATTATCGCTCGATTTCGCTATTACGGTACCAATTTCTTATTTACTTCAATTTCCACCTTCCAGCCCATCCCCGCGGGACCCTAAAACAATTTCCCGGGTGGGTCCGGGTGGGGTAGTATTGTCAATTTCCATGCGGGACCCCATTCCCCCACGCCGAGTAATTGGGACATGTTTGCGGGTTGACATGTCTCTCTCTCTCTCTCTCGCTCTCTCTCCTCTCTTTGCAAAAGAAGAGTCAATTCCAGTTCTGCCCCTCCTTGTGGTTCGTCTAAAACGGCGTCCCGCAGCGCCCCAGCCAGGGCGCTACCGTACCCCAGCTGGATGTCGGCCGGTCTCTGTTTGAGGGGGGAATTGATGGAGATGTATTGGACAGACAGACAGACACACAAAATAGGAACATACCGCCTAAAGGGGTCGCGCTCGGATTTCTATTGTCTTGAGGGGAAATCGGGGACCAGAAAATCCTCAAGCATCTGGGTTGGCATGCCCAAAAATGGAGGTGATACTAAAATTATGGGATAGACGCGGATTCCCAAAGAATCTCTACTAAGCTGCCCATTGAGGAAATTCCTCAAGAATCTCTGCTAACCTAAAATCCAGGAATTTGCTCGATCCTCAAGAAGCTTTGATAGCCTGCCCTGTCAGGACCTCAAGAATCTCTGCTAGCCTGCTTTAAGAGCCTGGGCTTGTCCTAGGGCTTGGCGGAGTCCTAAAAGGTCTCTGCTAGCCTACCCTATAGCTGGATTTATCCAAAGGTACCCTGCTCAGTTAAAAAAAAACCCAAATTTCCCCAATCGTCTCTGCCAGCCTGTTCTGATTTATCAATTCCTGAAAATCCTTGCTAATAAATCGCTGTAGATTTCCTCAAAAATACCTGCTAGCCAGCCTCCGGCTGCCTATTCTAAGAGATTCCTAAGAGCGGTCTGTCTCACCTCCGATTCCCCAAGGATCCCAGCAAGCATGCCCTTTTCAGGGCTTTCGATACCCGAAAATTTGCATCTTGGTTCAAAATATAGGATTTCCAGTGTGCGAGATCTTACTCTATTCCCTGCGCCATCCACCGCCATCTGGTAAGCTTTATTAGGGTTTAAAGGGCCGCTGAAGTAAAGCCCTGTGGATTTTTGCCTTCTCGGGTCCTTTAACAGGTCCGAATGACCTTTCTAACAATTTTAAGAGGTCAAAGTAGTCGAATTTTGCCGAGTTCTTTGGATCAGTGGCACCATAGTACTGGACTAATAGCGGGGGGGGGGCTTAAAGGCAATCCAATTTTTATTTTTCGTCTTTTTATCCAAAAAGTGTTTAAAGTTGAGTACCCAGCCTCTAAAATAAAAATTCACTTCCACGGTCCTTTAAAAGACCCAATAAAGCTTTTCAGGCTGTTTAAAGGGCCACAGAAGCCAAATTTTTACAAAAATTCAGGCGGCCCTGCGATGGCAGCGCAATCGCCGTCCTCGTCGACGTCGTCGGCTCCCCCGTCATCAGCCTCAACTTCCCCCACATCTCCACAACCACCAGAGGCACAGCTGGCCGTGGGGGATCGGGTGTATGGAGGGCGGTTCGTCGTGAGGAAGAAGTTGGGCGAGGGTTCCTGTGGGTCTGTATGGTCCGTCGAGATGGTCGCCAACGGGGTATTGCCATTTGCTTACCTTTTAAAGGGAACGTTACAGAGGGCGATTTTTGCAAGTTGCCAGTGTTTAAATCACCCGATTTTACGTTAAAAATTTATTTAAAATTTGGCAGCCTAATGGACGCTTTGGTAGGAAGCCAAACAAATTTTGGTAGGCGCATTTCGCCTTCACAGTCCCTTTAAAAATAGAAATTCACGTTTCTGAGGTTTAATAGACGACCTCGAACTTGCCAAATCTTAAGAAATCTCGAAATTTTTACTTACCAACCCCTTTAAAAAGCTTTTTGCACCTTGGCACATTAATAGACGCTCTTAAATCCAAAAAAAGCGCCAAAATCACATAAAAACTCGAATTCAGTTGAAATACGCGATGAAGTGCGAGCCGTTCCAGAAGTGCAAAGACGACGAAATTCTCAGGATGGAGGTATTTATATGCTCTCTTTGCCTCTCTCACTCGGTCTCACTCTCTTTCTCTTCCACTCTCTCTCACTCTCTCTCTCTCTCTCTCTCTCTCTCTCTCTCTCTTTCTCTTCCTCTCTCTATCACTCTCTCTCTCTCTCTCTCTCTCTCTCTCTCTCTCTCTCTCTCTCTCTCTCTTTCGCTTCCTCTCTACCTCTCTCACGCCAACACCCTCACTCTTTTGTTCAAGCTGTACTCCCTGAAGAAGTTGCAAGCCAGCAAGCACATCCCACGCTTTATCGCCAGCGGTTGCCACAAGAATTTTAGGTGAGTAGAACCCTAAAAATTGCCCCAGCGACCGTATCCCTAGTTTTATCGTGATGACACTACTGGGCAAGGATTTGGAGGATTGCCGGCGGAAGTGCAATGGCCGGAAGGTTACGCAGCACACCACGCTACGGCTGGCGTTGCAGGGCGTACAGGTGCGGAATTCTCTTGATGGCACCAGTTTTTTTAAAGGTCCCGTTAAAATTCAAATTTCCAGGCCCTGGAAGACATGCACCGGCACGGCTTCATCCACCGCGACGTCAAGCCGTGCAACTTTGCCCTCGGCATACAGAATAACGTACGCGATGCTACGAAACTGTACGCAACAATCCCGTGAACTTGCAGCGGACGCTGTACATCTTCGACTTTGGCCTCTGCCGTCAGATCATGCTCCCCGATGCGAGCGGGAAGTTGGTGTTGCGCGAGCCGAGGGCTAAGGTAGTGTGCGCTTCAGCCCGGCCTAAACTAAGTCTCAGCCAAGCCTAAGCCAAGCCTAAGCCAAGCCTAAGCCAAGCCTAAGCCAAGCCTAAGCCAAGCCTAAGCCAAGCCTAAGCCAAGCCTAAGCCAAGCCTAAGCCAAGCCTAAGCCAAGCCTAGGCCAAGCCTAAGCCAAGCCTAAGCCAAGCCTAAGCCAAGCCTAAGCCAAGCCTAAGCCAAACCTAATCCAAACCTAAGCCAAGCCTAAGCCAAGTTGAGACTTAAGGTTTCATTCCGCGGCACGGTCCGCTACTGTTCCCTCAACGTCCATGCCGCCAAAGAACTCGGCCGTCACGACGATCTCTACGGGCTACTGTACTCTATGATTGAAACCACGGTACCTACGGTTACGATAGCTAGGGCCCGATTTAGACGGGCACCCTCCCCTGGAAAGGATTGGTCCGCGCCGAGTCGGCCAAGTGCAAAGAAAGGACAACCGATGCCGAACTGTACAAGGTACACCTATTTACACCCTGCGTACTGTAAGCCTGGCTACTGCTCTTCAGAATTGCCCGCGCGGGTTCGCCGAGTTCGGGGCGGCGCTGAAGAGGTTGGGCTACGCGGATACACCCCCGTACGAGCTGATCCGCGCGAATCTATCGAAGAACATCCTCGAGCTCGGCATCAAGATGTACGGCGGGAATTTGATGGGGTAATCGGTTAGGTTTTCAGGACGGATGAGTTCGACTGGGAGAAGCTGTGCAAAGCCGAGAAACGGGCCAACAAACACGAGAAGGATGCCGACGCGTCGACGCAGGGAAAACCGGAAAAGGATAAGGTACGCGGGTGCTTTTGCATTATCGGGGGTGGGGCGGTAGGGGAACCTTTTCTAATTCAAGAAATCTCATGAAAAATCTTGTAACATACTAGTAAGTATTTTAATAGTTTCTTAGTCATTTTTCGCAATATTTCAAGTAAAAAAATTATCTAAAACTTCTCAAGGATTTTAAAAATTTAAAACTGGTCGAAATATATATTTGTGTTTGCATATCTTAAAAGAATTTTTTAATCCCTCCATTTATTTTAGACCAATTTAAAACTAACGAAAAAAGTTGAATTTCCACCCTGAAAAAAAAGCAAAAATCTCGACAATTTCGACAATTTCAAACTATAAAAGGCTATAAAATAAACGAAATCGTCGTTTTTGGGCAGGTTTTCAAGAGAGAAAAGACAAAATAGCAAAATAAAAGTGAACTCCTCAAAAATCCCTAAAAAACTAAAGTAATCGATTATGCCATGTCAGTAACAAAAATACGCTTTTTAGGACGACGACAACGACACGACGAAAGACCTGGCCGCCTCGGTGATGTCTCAAATGACGGAATGCCCGCCCGGAGAAGATGGAGCCGTCGAAAATACCCTCGACCAGGCACCCGGTAACTTTTTGGAACCCTAAAATTCACCCCAGGTATCGTAGCCCAACCTTAAATGCGCCATCTTTAAGGCGACATCCATTCGGAGGAGGGCCACGCCGTCAAAGACGACCCCGAATAACAGTCCCACCCAACCATTTAACTAAAATTATTTTTAATGAATGAAACACAAATCGAACAGAAACTATTACGCGCGCCCACCCCTTTATCCCATTTCCGCTTTTTGGTTGTGATTGCCTGGCTCGATGCCTTTTCCTCGGGTGGATTCGTGGGGTGGGTGACAGAAGCCCGCAGGCAGAAGCCCGATAGTACCAAATGCCCGCAGGCAAAAGCCCGAAGGCAGATGCCCGAAGGCAAAAGCCCGAACGGTCAAAAGCCCGCACGGTCAAAAGCCCGAATGGACAAATGCCCGAACGGACAAATGCCCGAATGGTCAAAAGCCCGCACGGACAAATGCCCGAACGGTCAAAAGCCCGCCATACATTTCCGTCCGCCACAAATAACCATTTTTTTTCTCAGCAATGGAAAATCTCTCCAGGGTTCGTATGTCATTTGGAGTCGTTCCTGCCGCACTCGATAGTCAATTCCGTACCAAAAAGTCATCATCTTCTGCTGTTTTCCAGTCTAATTATTTCAAAAGCTAGAGATTGAGCAACAACTTTCATAGACAAATCAACAACTTATTGGAATAACGAAAGTATTGAAGTGTGGGCGAGAAAATATGACAAAATGCGCCGAATGCAGGAAACAAAACTTGAAATGATCGACTACACGGCTCGTCAGACCTTACCAAAAACGCACTTGGGGGGGGATAGTGAGTTAACCTCCCAGGCGCACCGCCCACAGCCTCCGGGTTCGGTTCCGCTCCGGTGCAAGCCACCCAATTTCATGAAAATTATTTTGGTTTTTTGCTCCGAAAGTATTACTGTATCATAAAATCAAATAAAACTCGCGAAAAAGGCCCACGAAATAGCAAAAAGCAGCCAGAACCTGTTTTAACAAAGTGACTCCAAAAACAGTCGCAATTTCGCTCCATAATCAGCTTCCAGGGTTGCTATTATCAAGCTCAACTCCTGAAATCATGAAAGATTTAAGGTACCCAGTTCAGGGAACGATCAATGAAAGGTAAAGATAAAATTGTTGCTCAATCACTAGCTTTTTTGAAATAATTACACTTCAAAAAAGTGGACGTATCCACTTTTTGGTGATCTTTTTTTTGTGAGGACGGAAATGTATGGCGGGCTTTTGACCGTTCGGGCATTTGTCCGTGCGGGCTTTTGACCATTCGGGCATTTGTCCGTTCGGGCATTTGTCCATTCGGGCTTTTGACCGTGCGGGCTTTTGACCGTTCGGGCTTTTGCCTTCGGGCATCTGCCTTCGGGCTTTTGCCTGCGGGCATTTGGTACTATCGGGCTTCTGCCTGCGGGCTTCTGGCACCCACCCGATTCGTGCGATTTTAAGGGCAATAAATATTTTTTTAGAATTTCGTTGCTTGAAATGGCAGTAGAAACGCCTCCGAGACGCAAAAAAAAGTTCGAAGTTGGTAAAACCGTATAAAAACTTCACAATTTTGAAAATTTTGAAATTTAGTCGAAATCGGCCAATTTCGTCGTAGAATTTCTATTTTTTGTACTTTACTAAAAATTTGTAAAGTTTTTACGTTTAGAAATAGTCAAAAAACAGTCTAGAAACACACAAAATTGGATGCTAAGGGAAATCTACGGACCTATTTGTCCTCCTGGTAGCGAAACTTTGATGTGAAAATCGTTGGCACTTGTTGGTGGCCTGCAAGGCTGATGCCACGGGCCGCTTCCTAAAAGGTGACTAAAGGGCTAGTGGTTGGGGTTGGTTGTTGTGGCTAATTGGCCATCACACACCGGCGGCCATCAAACAGCCCGCGCCATCTTCACACCACAGCCACGCTGCTGCTCGGCCTGTTACGCAAATGGGCGAAGGAAATGCGATTTCTCCCCCCTACTGGGGAGCACGACTCGCATCTAATGCCACCCGCCCATCAATTCCCTCGAGTCAAAGGACTGTTGCGCCTCTGGGGCGGAAATTTTGGGGTTTTCTGAGAGGGGGATCGCCTAAAAAACGTGGATTTCGGTACTTATCGGTTATTGGGGGGAGGGGGTAAAGAAAACCTTTCTTTTTTACTTGGATTTTAGGTTTTTTAGACCAGGTAATAGAGCCTAAAAGGGCGCGGAACTTAGGTTTTAGTCCAAAACCTCCTAAAAACAAGATTTTAAGTTTAAACAATTAGGGTTTTTATACAAAATAAATCTTACCTTTTTATAGCTTTTAGCATTACTAATTCATTAGTGTTCATTAAGTAAGAATCTTATATTTATTAAACCCCTGGAAGGGCGGTTTATTAATAGCGCTGCAACAGCTTCCGGCCCGTCCCAGGGTTGAGAGGGTCGGGATTTGCCTGAAAAATGGGCTGATCATCGGAAAAACGATTCTCAAAGGATCTTCGTTAGTTTCCCGGCCCCAAAAGCTTTTTCCCTTGAGTTTCGCTTTAAATTTGCTAATTATATGGACCTATTTTATATGGCGTAATCCGAACCTTCGTCGCCTCTCGCATAGCTTGCTGCAAGTTCGGGAAGCCGACGTGCACGTTCGGCACAATGACGTTGACTCCGGCGAATGGCACCTCGTACGTACGGGCGTACGTGAATTTTCCTAAAATCAAACCAAGTTTGAAATTATTAATAACGCACCTTCCGGCCAATCGACCAAAGTCGTCTGCGTGCCGCGCCAGAACGACACACCGTGGTCGCGCGGGTGGTCGAACGTTTGCCGGGCCGCTAAAAGATACATTTGGGTTCTTTGGCATTATCGGGGGGGGCGAGATTTTTACAGTTTTACATACCCAACGGCTCGTACCCATAGAAGATTCCACGGACCAGAGGAGGTGGCGCCATTTCGGAATATTTGGCTGGCGTGTAATCCGGAAGTGGCGCCCAGATTCCGCGACATTTTTGGTACCATCTTTCGAAAAATTGGGATTTTTATAGGGATTCCAGAGTATTACTTTCTCCCCTAAACTTCATCTATTTGCTTCAAATAACAAATTTTGTTGCGATTTTTCTGAATACGTACCGCTGGCAGTTCGGTGAAGCCTGGGCCTTGATTCCCGGCGAGCACGGCTCGTCCAAGATCCATTGAAGGTGGATACATTCGCAGGCATTGACGCATAATACCTCTGTCTGTCTATCCAAAAAACGTCAATCTAGAACGCTCCCTAAAATACAGACTTGCAGCCCCGATAGCAGCGCTTCAGCTTGTTCACATGGCGTTTCGGGATGCCGGCTTTTTCCCACATGACCACTTGGCGGCGTAGCTAAAGGAAAAGGTAAATTATTTGGCTTTTGGCAGCGCTTACATGATTTATAGCCGGGTAGACGCGATCCGAGCAATAGGCCCGGTATCGCTCGCATATGATCCGGATCTCCTCGTTGTAGCGCGCGATGTTCGACTTTCGGCAGTAGTAGCTTTAACAGGAGCTTGTCGTTTAGCGGGGGGGGCTATAGTCATTCTGCTTACCATCCATGTATATCACTGGTTCTATTTCGATATGTACAAAAACAGCCTAAAAACGACAAATGAAAATAATCAATAATGTATCAACGCACGAAAATAACCAAAAGATAGATAGGAATGTTTTGAGAACATTTTTTAAGAGAATTTTGCATTTATCGGAAACGGCTAGACACTATTAAAAAACTACATTTTATTACCCAGGCAGGCTAAAAACAGAAGTTGACTTGAAAATAATACGCTTCAAAAGGAGTTAGATCTCTAGCAATTGCGATATTTTTAATCTTTAAATCAATTATAGTAGTTTTCAGACATTAAAACTTAAACGAACATCACTAACCGATAGTGATTTACAAATCTCTTGCACTGCTCGCTCAACGTCGTCACCGGCTGGGCATCACGCTCGAGATCGCCCTTCGACACCGACGAAAACGGCTCCAGATCAACCCCCACCACTGTAATTCATGACGATCACATTCGCGTTGACAAAAAAAAATGGATGGAGTAAGTCTTTATCAACAATAACAAATGCTCGCACTCGATAACAACTGTGTAGAGAACACACACACCTGGGATACCATCAGAATCTGCCAGGGCAAAAGCAACAGCATGCAATAGTGAAAGGGTGTAGAGCTGTAATAACATTGTGGTGTAACAGGAGGGAATATAATACCCAGATGAAAGAGCGAAAAAAGGGTGCAAGGGGATTATGAGAAAAGGGGGGCGAGGAGGAAACAGGTCCGCACTCCCGGGAACCTGATACGGGAATGGCGGTGGCGGGCTGAATCGACGTTGGCACTCTCGGGATGATGGAGATGTTCAGAGGTAGAGCGAGGCGGCGAACACGATGTCGCGCTTCACCATCGTCTTTGCCGCCGAGAAGCGCTCCTCTAGCTCCTAAAATTTTATGCTTCCGAGCATGCCACTGAAAAGCCTACGGCGTTTCCTATGTTCTTTGCAGCGGACATCATCTCGCGCAGCACCTCTTCCAGTCGACGCAGCGTACGGATTATGGATCCTGGAAATCAGTAAATCGAAAATGAAAAATTGTAATATAGCGATCTCGGCAAATAAAATTTTCGGTAAACTCTCGTAAATCTTAAAAAAATACCCTCGAATAGGTCACGGTTCTTTGTGATGTCGGCAAACGACTTCCCGTCGGCCCACTCGGAAACCACCTAAAAGAAATTTTAGATCGTGAAGCTATTTCCGTCTACCTCCATGAGACCCGGCTTGAACGAGTCGACATACTGCTCCTCGTCAAGCTCCATCTTGCAATCGATCGTGATCTTTGCAATGCGACGAGCGTGTTCCTAAATTGATATAATCAAAAATAATGCTGTTTTACCTGAATTTGGCGTAGACATCCCGAAAGGTTCTCGGCCATCTTGCCAGGCGGGGCTTTATCCTAAACACGCAATAAAAATTTAAAAATTAACTATATACCTGGAAGACGAAGCAAGAAAGCAGGGCGGCGATCTCCGTAGGCGACAGCTTGGCGAATACGCCGGCGAACAGCATCTCAACGAGCAGCAGTTCATCCGATGCCGAAATCTCGCAAGCGGCTTTTCCCTGAAAACAAAAATCGTTAGAAATAGCTATAAAATCGCCACCTTTTCAGTCACAATGTCGCCTTGGTCGCAATATTCCAGGCGTCTGAGCACGCGCTTCCTAAAGGCATCTCCTGGGAGAATGAAATTTCTAACCTCTTCTTCAGTTCATCTTGCTGCAGTAAGCTCATCGCCTTCGACAAATCCTTGTTCAGCTGCTGCACCTCTTGTCGCTTCATGTCCTGCAGCGACACTTACAAAACCTAAAAAGGGACCATACCTTTCTTTTCCATTGCTCGCAAAGCTGCTCAAAGTCCTTCCGGCCTCGGAGCTCGTGCTCCAGATAGCGTGCTTCATTCTTCTTCTGTGCCTCGTACATTTTCTAAGTAAAATTTATCAATGATGAAGCCCTAGTAACAGACCTTGAAGCGCTCGTCATTGATCTTCATATCGGTGATGGGGTCGAGAGGTGGGTAGGTGTCCTTGAAGCGCTTCTTCACTTCCTTCAATATCGTTTCAACAACTGCCCGCTCCTTTTCGTGTTTCAGCGATTTCGGAAGCTGAATTCGAACGGCGGACACATCGTAGACCGTGTCGATAGCCAGAGGGACAACTTCCCAAGAAGCCTACAAAAAGAGCTGATCTTTGCAAAATTAATGTACCCTGTCTAAGCTTGTAGCCGGCCTGAGTTGCGCAATATTCTTCAAATCACCGACGGAGTCCGGGGCAAGTGGAAGGAGCACCTAAAAAATTTGTCTGCCATCACGAATTTGCCTACCTCCAAGGCAAATACCACCTCGCTTTTATTGTCTGGGTTAACTTTACGATGGAAATTGATCAACGGGCCCCAGCCGAAATCGAGGTTTGCCTTTTTGATCTATAAAAATATCATCATAATATGAAAGAACGGAATTACGTGAAACAAACGACCGGCATGTAGAAATGGCACCAAATTTTTCGGGCTCATCACGGTCGCCTAAATAAAAAAATGAGTGTTAGCGAGCGACAACCATACCCGGATTTGCTCCTTTGCTGTGACGATCGATTTCTCCAATTCGTAGTACCCATCCAGGGCCACTTCTTTTGTAATTTGAATCGAATCGAGTTCGGTCTCCAATGCCGCTAGTTCTAAAAAAATGTGTGTGAACTGAAAAGCTGAACTCACTTGTCTGCAGAACGGGGATGGAGGCGTTATTCTGGAACTGATAGAAGCTGTGCTCCAGCATGTATTCCTGAAAATCAAAGGTCATTCCAGAAGCGAGCGGAAAAATCCTACCGGAGTGGCACCATCGACACGGAGCATATTGAGGACCATGTTGTAGGTAAGGCGGAACTGAGAATTCAGCGGGTCCGTCGTACCCTTGATGATCTGTCGAGCGTCACTGGGGCTCATCTGCTCGTCAACCATCATGATCACCAGACCGCGGGTGTCCTAAAAAAGCAGTAAGCTCGCGAGATCAATCAAAGGCTTACAAGACCACGACGACCAGCTCGCCCAGACATTTGGATGTATTCTCCCGAGGTGATCCATCTAAATTGGCAGTTAGCCACGGTAGGGATAAAAGAGAATTCAACAACATTTTTGATCGTGACTTCTCAAAAATTCAGAAATTTTTTACAGAAAAACATACATTTTGAAAAGATAAAATATATTAAGCACACCCGATATCCATCGAGGAAACCTGAACTTGGTCCGAAAAAAGATTGGCCCCCAAGTCTGCTCAAGTACAAACAAATTGGCACGGGAAACAACGCAAACCTGAAATCCTTGCCGTCGAATTTGCGAGCCGAGGTGAAGACCACCGTTCTGGCTGGCATGTTGAGGCCCATCGAGAAAGTTTCAGTGGCGAAAAGGGTCTAAAAACGATAACGAGCTTTTTTCAAAGATATTCCAACCTTCAAAAGCCCTTCGCCGAACAAGATTTCGACCAATTCCTTCAAAACAGGCAATAGGCCGGAGTGATGGACGCCGATACCTCTGGACAGTAGCGGTAGAATCTGAAAAACACCTTTTTTCAAAAGCTTGGAGAGAATTCTCGACCTGGCTGATCTGTGGGAGCTTCTTGTCCTCGTCGTTCAATATGTCGATGGCATTTTGGAATATTTCGCGGATTTGCTGCTTCTCCCTCGCTAAACAAAAAGAATCAAACCAAATAAGACAAAGACCTGTGTTGAAGTCCATGTCCTTGAGCGCCAGAGCGTAGCCCTCACACTCCTTTCTGGAGAACGAGAAAATGATGCACGGCACCATGTCGTTTTCCTTCATTGTGCGGATGATCTTGTTGACGTTAGACTCGGAAGCCGCTGAGAAATATGAAAGTTCCGAAATATAAAGTTATTTTACCTTTTGCGCCGCCTTTCCGGCCCCGCTGGATCCCGTGTTTGGCATCGCCATCCGATTTCAAAAATGACATGGCCTCAGCAAACTTGTCCTCGCGGAAATTGCCCTGAAAAATGTTTATCAGAGAATTGTCAAGCTTACGAAAAACCTTCAACATTCACCGCTTTAAGAATCAATTCTTCAAAAATCACCTTGATATCTACAGCCTCGTAAAGTCCACTGGCCCCAGCCGGGAAGATGAAATGCTGAAGAGGCGTAGGTCGGTAATCAGTGTAGACGACATGGCAGGGCTTTCGCTTCAGCCAGCAGACCCATTCTAAAAACACGATTATAAAGCTTTCCTTGGCCTCACCAGCGAATTGCCTAGCATTAGGAATGGTGGCGGATAGGAACACAGCGTGGCAGGTAGGTGGCATCAATATGATAGTTTCTTCCCAAACGACTCCTCGCTCTAAAAAAAAGATTGTGCTCCAATATATAAAATCTACCTTTATCGCGCATGTAATGGATTTCATCGAAAACCACCCAGCCGACTTCACGCATTATCTAGGGGAAATGCAATTACCAAAATTAAGTTTGACAAACCTGAGAACCTCGATACAACATCGAGCGAAGAATTTCTGTAGTCATCACCAAGCAGGAAGCATCAGGATTGAGTGTAACGTCACCTACAAACAAATTCTAAAACTTATCATTTCCTTACCCGTCATCAATCCGACATCCTGGAACTGCTCCTCCAATTCACGATACTTCTGATTCGAAAGCGCTTTGATCGGGGAGGTGTAGATGACGCGCTGCTTGTCCCGCAAGCTCTGGGCGATGGCATACAAAGCAACGACGGTTTTTCCAGCAGAGGTGTGAGCGGAGACGAGCACAGATTGACTGTTTTCGATACACTGGATGGATTCCTTCTGGAACGAGTCGAGTTGGAATGGATAGGTGTGAGCCGGTTCAACGCTCATCGTTCTCAGCGGCTCGAAGTCGATGTTCGGCGGCAGAGCAACCTAAAAATCGGATAAAAAGACGCAAGGAATCATTGCTCACTTCATGCACGCAGTTCTCGGTGTCTGTTTCGATGGTGTGGACATGTATGTTCTGGTCGTAGTTACGCTGGATTTGCCCTTCTTCCGGTTCCTAAACGCGATTTATACGCGAAAAAGGTTTGTATTTACAAGTCCCGCATCAAAATGGGGGCGTTTCGCCGGCACCGCAGTTTCTTCGTCCATGCCCAGTCCAGCCAGCAGGTTATTGGCATACTCTTGGGCGGCGGTTAGCTTCTGGCCCTCGAGCTAAAGGTCCGAGATTCAGTCCAGAAAAGGGAAGTTAACCTGGCCAATCGGATCAGCGGCAGGGGTTTCATCTTGCTCAAGAGAGTTGAACAAATCATCAGGGTCCATTTGGGTCCTAGAAAAATAACTGATGACCTAGAAAATAGCGTTTCAAATGCAGCCTTCGAAGCAGAGATTTTAGCCTAGACGGTGTCAGCCAACGCAAAAAAAAAGATTCATTAGGTCTCCAGCACTGACAATGCGATATAATGCGTATTTCCAACACACAAAGCGGGATAGGTAACAGTTCTCCAATAAACTATTTATAAGGCACAACGCCGTATGAATCACAACCTGATCAAGCGAATGTATGGCACATAAATGCATCAATATATCACAGAGCTCCTAATTCTATCCACAAAATTACAAAGTAGCAAAAGATCTAGAGTCGCTTCAGGCAATCGTCCAGTAGGCTGCTGGCGCCGATGCGGAAAAGTTCGGGGTTCAGCCATTCCGCGCCAAGAACCTAAATGCCATGTTGTACCGGCCGGCCCGAAAAATCTTACATCCTCAATGAGGGCGATGAAGGACAGAGCCTCTTCCGTGGTCTTGATTCCACCGGCCGGCTTGAAGCCCACTTTTTGCCCAGTGAGTTCATGCCAACGCTTAATGGCCTGGCACATGACGTAGGCCACTTCAAGGGTGGCATTCACCGATTCCTTCCCCGTCGACGTCTTGATGAAATCGGATCCTAGATAGCTTTTAAAAATGAACGTTTTTGAATTCACCAGCGAGAATGCTAGCCCAGCTGGCCTTGTAGACGTTGGACAGCGTCTTCAGCTCGCCGGTCGCCAAGATCGTCTTCAGGTGCGCCGCCCCGCAGGCCTTCTTGAGGGCATGGACCTCATCGTAGACCGCTAAACAAACTCTTTCCTTGAATCTAATTTTTCTTGTATAACCTATAAGCGTAACTGTCTACACTATTCCTAAGACTAAAAACTTTCCGATTAAAAATTATCCAGATTAAAATGTTTACTATTACACTAAGAAGCATATCTGTCAAGAAAAACCGTATATGAAAAGTTTTATACTTTTCCAGTCGCCGCCCAAAGCCGATGCCCTGCTGATGACGATGTCGATCTCGTTCGCACCATCAGCCACCGTCAACTCAACCTCGAGTACCTTTGACTTGAGATGATATTGCCCAGACGGGAATCCGGCGGCCACTGAAGACAAACTTTTACTTAAAACCGAGGTTAAAACAGACCTGAAGCGACGTTGAACGTTTTGCCGAGCTGCTTCAGGTGTCCGGCAACGTCGGCCACTCGCTGCGGGTAGACACAGACGGCGCCACAATGAATAGATGCGTCCTAAATTTAAATTCAGATGTTTGTTTACAAAAACGCACAGCCGGGACCGGGGCCAAAGCGCGATCGACGAGAGCTACAACCCGCTCTTTGGTGTCGTCCCCAGCGAGTGTCGTCAGGTCGATGTAGCCGATCACTTTGCGCACCTCGTTCTTCTAAAAAAATTGCCTTTTGAAAGCACAGAAAACTGACGTCTCCTAGCAACTCCTTGGCTCGGGCCAGGTATTTCTCGGAAGCGGCAGCGATCTCCTGGGCGGAAAATTCGCGGGCAACTTCCCTAAATGGAGAATTAGTATTTTTTTTTTTAGTACAGCCTCATACTTTCAGTTCAGACCTTTGCAGCCCCATACTTACCAGCCAGCCCTTACTTTAGGGCCGCAAAATCCCGCCTTGCTCTTTTTCAAAGCCGTGTTACGCAGGATGGGTAACATTCAGCCATTTAGCCGTAAAAATAAGATTTTCCATTTTAATCAAGGCTGTTACGCTAAAAACTTTGGGACGAAAGTGGCGGGCCGCAAGTTTACTTACTTATCGAAAGCCGCCTGTTCGAACGGCTGGCCTGCGGGCGACATGGCGGGGCAGATGGGCTAAATTGCCACATAGATGTACATAAAAAATATTGCAAAGCAAAAGGAAATAAATACAAAAAATTAAAAAAAAAAGAAAACTACGAATTGCTTTCGAATCGGCCGACTCGAAATTGATGGGGTAAAGGCCATGGAGGGGTGCAAACTGGAGTGATCGTACAGTCGCGGGAAAGCAGTTTGATAAAGCTCCTGAAGGCGGAGATATAGTCAAAAGCCCAGAAATTATATGAAACTCGAATGAACAGGTTAGTCGCTTTGAAAATGCCAAAACTTTTAGCCTAGGCGCCAAAAAAGCAATGCTGCGTCGACCCCGAAAGCGAAGACAACCGAACCACGGCTTAACATAGCGTAAGCGGTTCTTGTCTTCACGATCCCTTTACTTTACAGGCTCGTCTCCGACTTTTTCTGCCCAAACACCGGCGGCGTCGAGACGCACATCTACTTCCTGGCCAAATGTTTGCTTGAAATGGGTCACAAGGTGGGATTTTTTGCCTTTTTTGTATATTTTTAGGTGATCGTGATCACGCATGCGTACGAAGAAAGGCGAGGGATTCGATATCTGTCTAATGGCTTGAAAGTAAAATTCATAAAGTCTTTTAGGATTAATTTTTAGGTTTACTACTTGCCCTTTATCATCGCCTACAACGGGTGTGCCCTCGGCCAAGTGCTCGCCTCTTTCCCCTGGTTTCGCCACATTTTTATCAGCGAGCAGATCCAGATTGTACATGGGCATTCGGTAGGACTTACCGATTATTTTAGCTGTTTTAGTCATTTTCTGCATTGGCCCACGAGGGCATGTTGCATGCCGGGATCTTGGGTATACGCACCGTATTCACCGACCACTCGCTGTTCGGGTTTGCGGATGCTTCGGCGATACTGGTCAATTTCTTGCTCATCACCTATTCACTTGCCAACGTCGATCGATATATTTGTGTTTCGTATACCAGGTAAAATTTGATTTGCTACGTTTTAATGGCGAGTGAATTTCTAAGAAAATAATGAAAACGAACAAAGCAAACTTTTAATTTTTGACCAAGCCTGCTGAATTAAGAGTTATTTTTAATAGAATAGAATTCTTTTTGTTTATTTTTCGATCACCTTCACATTTTTTAGAACTGTCAAAACGTTTAAAGTTTTGCAGTTGTTTTGGCCACTTTTTGTTTTTATTTGATCACAAAAGCCAACAATTTGCTGAACTTTTCTAAATTTTGAAAGTTTTATGGAGAAAACTAGCTGAAATTTTAAAAAACTGTAAAAATTTTTGTCTCTAACACGGCACCGGGGAAAAGGAAAGATGTTCGAGGCATGTGATCGAAAAAAAAAGAAATTTCATATTTTTATCTGATCCTTTTATCTCGCCCTACCCGCCGGCGAATCACTGATATAATTGACCCGCTTTCAGCAAAGAAAACACGGCTCTACGGGCACGCCTGGACCCGCAAAGAGTGTCGACCATCCCCAACGCGATCGAGACCAAATTTTTCTATCCGGATCGGTAAATAAAAATTGCTAAAGCGCAAAGCATATTATAGCAAGCAATTCTACGAGAACCCGACGACAATCGTCTTTTTGGGGCGACTGGCATACCGAAAGGGCGCGGATCTACTCTGTGAAGTCATACCATCAGTATTTTTATCCTTGTGCTCGAATTTTGCGTTGTCTAGGTGTGTAGCCAGCATCCAAATGTTCAATTTGTCATCGGCGGCGATGGGCCGAAACGGGTCGAGCTGGAGGAGATGCGAGAAAAGTAGTTTTACATGGGATTTCTAACTTTTTGTTTAGGTACGGGTTGCACGAACGGGTGAAGATGCTGGGAATGTTGCCCCATAATAAAGTCCGAGGCGTATTGGTACAAGGCCAGGTCGACGAGTATAATAAATCTAATTTCTTTTCTCTTTTAGATTTTCATCAACACCTCGCTCACAGAAGCGTTCTGTATGAGCATCGTAGAGGCAGCAAGCTGCGGGTTGCAATTTCAACACTTTTAGACGCTTTTTATAGCTTACACGTAGTTTCAACGAAAGTTGGCGGCGTGCCGGAGGTGCTACCGGACGAATTCGTCTCGCTCGAGCATCCTGTACCAAAATGTTTGTTGCTAATTCAATTCTTGGATCTGGTAAAAATAGTGTTAGCCAAAGCGCTGTGTGAGGCTGTGCGAATGCGGGAAGCCGGGCAACTGATGGACCCTGATGAGAAGCACAAACAAGTACAAAAAATGTACCAATGGAAAGATGTGAGCTTTGTGGTTTTAGCAAATTTCTGATTCTAGGTGGCCGAGAGGACAGAAATTGTTTATCGCGAAGCGACGAAGGACCAGGTCAACACATGGACCGAGCGGCTACGCAGGTAACTTTGTTTTCTTTACTTGCACCCGTTCAGATACATGAATCTCGAAATCTGGTGGGGCTTGATGTGGTGTTGGGGAAGCCTGATGTGTTTCTCCGTGGCGTTGTTCATGGATTTCTGGGCTCCACGAGAGGTTGGTGATCATACCGAAATTCATAGTTCACTTTAGAAAATTGAACGGTGCAGCGATTTCGCGGGGTCTCAACAAAAACCACTTCGACTACGGGCAAATAAAAATAAAGATTGAATACGCTGCAAAGTGTTACTGCTGTCACATAGGGAATGGGCAACGATTTATTGCCATCCAGGGCGCAACAAGTGATGTTAAAGTCGTTAATGAAAAACGCTGAATTGTCCGTTAATCACTGCGGCTCTTCGGGTTTTGGAGAAGCGGAGCAGTGACGATTGTTTCCTAAAAAAATTGAAGTTTGGAAATGCACATGAAAAGCTTACAATAAACGGCTCTTTCCATTCGACGTCTTCCGAGAAGCGTGGCCAAAGCATTCCCGCAAGGAAGTTGGACCCCAGGAAGAAATTGGTCCTTTCAGCTGTAACGTTTTTGGCGTAAATCTCTCTCCGCTTCAGCACCCACCAAATGTCGTTTTTTCGTCGTCTCCCTTGATCCAAAACGCCAGTAGCGCCCTCTCACTAGCCGCAATACCGTGATAGAGCAAGTAGACCTAAAATGGTTTTGCTATACGGATAAAGTGATTTTTTTTAGGTATTAGAATTAGAAATTTATATAATTAGATTTAAATTTTAGAAAAACCCACATGCTCGAGCGTTACCAGGGCACCAATCGCCAACCCAATCAGTGACAATACCAGGGCCTGCAAAATTTTTGTGGCAAAATCTCATGGCACCCACTTTCAAGGCCAAATACTCATTTAGATGGGTGACAAAGACCCAGGTGACGACGTGGCGCACCGTTGAGATCGGGCTCGATGCAATTCGGCACATGAGGTGGAGAATGGCGATGAACATCTCGGTGAGCGACTCGGGGGAGCCGCTGAAGAGGTTTCATCGAGGCCGGAAACGTGGAGGCTACGGAACTAGGTAGAAGATGTCGTCCCAGCAGTAGCGGATTGCCCAATAGGAGCAGAGGAGCCCGAGCAGTAGGAGGTGGATGGACAGGGCGATTTGGTAGCGCTGAAGGGGATAGTTTTAGAAAGCCACCAGTCGACCCACCAACGTGGCCACCCCGACGCAGGTCCCCAGTAGAGGTTGGTGGCGCTCTGCACGAAGTGTGCACCTTCCACAAAAACGGCAGTGACAACTGCGGATCGGAAATGAGCTGGAAAGGCTTGCAAAATTCCAAGAAAATACCCACCTTTTGCAACTGCCGCATTCTCGCAGGGGAATCGGCGGTAGATCGGGCAACCGCCTCATCTGATAGGCGGGATCGTCTTTGCTAAAAGTGATAATGGTCTAGTCAGACGAGGAACTGGGTTATTGCACGCAGTATAAAAATTTCGATTAGGAATTTCGAATTTCAAAACTTTTTGTTTTCAGAAAATTTTTCGAAATATAGCCCAATTTAACTGAAAACACGCTCAAAATACTTCTGGGATTACACAAACCCCCACCCTTCCCCCCCCCCCCGATAATGCGAAAGCACCGAATAAAATATCTATGTATCAAACTTACAATGACTGCGACTGAATTGCCCAGACATTGACGGCGATTTGGAGCTGTAGGAAGACACAGAGCAGCCGTTGGGCCCAGGCAAGGATCGTCCCGTGTGCCGCGTCCAGCCAGCCCCAGAACGCGTACAGCCCGACGGAGCCGACGACGAACACTGAAAAGGTTGTTCGATACCATTACTATAAAAAAAAAATAGAATCACCCATAGAGACGAAAAAGGCGGGCGGAAACTGGAGCAGCAGATAGGACTGGAAGGCGGCGATGAACTCGTTCAAATCGAGCGCGGGCGGTGGGTGAGACGCTTCTTAAAAGCAGTTTTTACCACGAAAATATTGTTACCGTTTACTTGTTCTATCGCTGCATCGCCGGGGAGGCTTTCCTTACGTTTTAGCATCTGGATGGTATGAGAAATGGCAATGTCTTGCTTTGTCTAGATAGGATACCAGGCAGAGGATTTATTCAAAACGGGGCAGCATGGAGATCACAAACGAGTCTGTTCAAAAAAATTCTAACCCAGAGTTGGCGTTGTTACTACGCCAAGCACAAAAAAATCGGGGGCATTTAAGGTGATGGCTGTCGGTCGTCTTCTAGGAGCCCTTCTTCTCAACAACGACCACATCTGAGATTTCCTAAAAGAGTGTCCAATTTTTGGGGGCTGGATTCGGTGCTACGGTTTTGTCGAGGGTGTGCGAATGGGTGGCGAGCACGCCCGACTCGAGAAGCCGCTTCTTGCCGTAGAACTTGTCCTGGACGGCAAATTGATGATAATAGGGAGCTGAGGCTGAAAACAAACCCTGGCCATGCTCTTCGCCACCTTCTGCGGCATTTCCGAGTAGAGCTGGCGCACAATCCAGCGCAGAGCATTGAGCAGCAATACGAATGCGATCGCCACACACAAGCGTAGCACCGTATTATACCACCTGGAAAGATAATTGTAGTTTCGAGCCTCGTCAAAACCATTCGTCGGAGAACTCGATTTTCGGGCCCCGAACACATTCGGCTTGTGGTCCATCAAGCGGATCGAAGCCGTATTCGGTGGAATTTGGCGGCACGATACAGTGCGGTGTGTAGAAGCCATAGTATCTGAAAAAAAGCATAAAACTCTTTAAAAAAGATTTCCAAGCTACCTGCACTCTAGCGGGATCGTTTTCGCGGCGCCATAGCGATCAACGATGCTTGTGTTGAAGTATTCGGAAGAGTTCATGATCGACGGCGAGAAGGCGGGCAGGAAGCGGGTGTCAAAGATAGAATGGGAGTGGTTGGCGTATCTGATTGGATTTTGGGTGGAGAAGCTTCAAAAATCTTACCCCTTGAAAGACCCGTTGTGCACGCGCCATTTCATCGACGGCACAAACTCCGAGGTGAAGGCGATTAGGAGCGCCTCAAAAAGGGTAAATGAAATCATGTTATTTTGCGCTACATTGACATAGACGGAGAGCCGGACGATGAACTCGAGTATGTTGGTCCAGATGCCAATCGACTCGACCTCCTCGGGCACGGGGCGCTGCTTCAGGCGCAGAAACTGAATGGCCACCTTGGAGAGCGTTCGTTAAATTGTACCTTGTAGCTGTCGGCGCGGATTTCGATCAGGTTGTTGATGAGCGCGAAAAGCGCTGCGAGCGGGAATGCTGGGGAGAAGAGCACGAGAACCGAGAACTGCATCACTATAGAAAACCGTGGTTTTTTCCGAACCAAAAAACTCGCCCAATTCTGCGTATTCATAGCAGAGGAAGTGGGGCTCGTTGGCGCAGAGGTAGTAGTCGGATTCCCATTGCGGGACCTAGATTCGGGTGTTTAGAACAGGATTTTAAGAATTTACTAACCACAGATGTATCCTTCAGCTGTTCGTAACGGCCCTCTTTTCCTCGGAATCCTCGGCGGCCGCCCGTCCAGTTCGCGAAGCGGGCTCGGCACAGCTTGCCTCGTTTGATCAGCACCCTAAATAAAGTTCGGGACCCATTGAGAAAACCAAAGTGAAAAACCCACGGAATAATCGACTCGAAAATTGCCTTGGCCAGCTGGGTGCCGATAAAGATGATGCCCATCTGAACAGAGTTTGGAGCAACATCAGGATTTTTTAAATTTTTTTAAAACCGAAATTTTGAAAATTTCAACGTATTTTTGAAACAAACGAATTTTTGAACCTGGATTGTCAGCTCCACGAAGCAGTTCGAGATGCACGCACGTACCCCGAGACCGCGCTGCGAGGAGAGGAACGACCAGTGCTTGCCGAACCTAAAAAAGCAACAAAACTAGTAAAGCACACAAAAAACAACATTGGCTGTGCGAAGGCGATGAAGAAGAGCGAGCTGTTAGTGTTGAAAAATTCAGCGACAAAAATCTTCAGTATGAACGAGTTGTCGAAGTCAAGCTGAACCATTGGAGAAGTTGAACAAACCCAATTTAATTGATACCTGAGTGCGAGGGCATTCCCATTCGACGAGGCCTTCGATGAGCATTTGATAAACCTGAATACGTACGATGAAGACAAAAACGATGGAGAAAACGTACCGCGTTGAACGTGAGGATGATGATCAGGTGCAGCGTGGCGATCACCGAGGAGGAGAACAGGGTGTTGAACGTGTCCGAGGCATCTCCACGCTTCGTCAACATGATCGCCCATTGCTAAAGACAAAATGGGGCCGATTTTTCAAAATCTACATCGATAAAGCGACGCAAGAAGAAGCTGAGCACGAGCGAGCCGATGATGAACATGGCGACGCCGAGGAAGAGGAGCACGTTGACGAGCAGGTTTACAGCCCGTTTGTTCCACGTCAAATAGGGCTCGACCCTGTCGGTGACCGGGTCCGTGCGCAGCGTGGTCACGCGTAGCTTGAAGTCGAGGCGGATAGCTTTCTGGAGAAAATTTTAAAAATACAACTTTACTTGCCTCTTGGTAGAACGCGTCTTTCAGGCCCCAGCGATAGGTCAGTGCATTTTGGTTGCGCTTCCAGGCTTGGAGAAAGACCTAAAAGGGAGGGTATAAAAAGATAAACATTTCGTTCGAACCTGGGCCCAGACAGTGATACAAACGCCGACAATCAGCACTCCCCATTGATCGAATAGGTAGGAGACCTAAACTGGCTTTTATTGATGGAAAATGTGCCAAAACCTTGGCCATAAAACAGTTCCCGTCCATCTTGCGAAAATCGCAAAAGTTGTCGCACTTGGGGCAGAGGATGGTCGTGTGGTCGTTGCAGACTTCATCGCTATAAAAAAAGCGGTATTGGCGTTGTAGCGCGAGCTTTTGAGCCTTTCTTAGTGTTTTACAGTTTTTAATAATTTTTGATTGCTAAAATTCATTCTTTTTCGAAAATTTATACCTTTAAAAATTTTGGACCAAAGAGAAAGAAAGAAAAGAAAACAAAGAATCCACTGATAAACCTCGCAAGGTAGACGAATTTCCGGCGAATCCCTTACATTGCCGACTGGTCGGTGATGAGCATGACAAAGACGCAGAACAACCAGACGAAGCCGAGCAGACTTGGCAACGCCATCATCCGCGTGTAGGTACCGAGAAAGGCGAAGTAGAGCGCGACCTTGGCCCCGAAATAGTCCCTAGATGGCATGAAGTTGTGGAATTTCCAAAGCCTACTTGACCAAGTCGATCGGCTGCCGCATCCTCAACGCCCTCAACGATCCCCAGTGCTTGACGAGCAGCTCACGCCGGTTCAGTTCCTCCTCAGGCGCGCTCCACAACTCGTCTCCAGTCCGCAGCGACTAAAAAGCATTTGAAGCCAATTTGAAAAACTACTTGATGAAGAGGGTAAGCTGCCGCAAAAGCGCCAGCTCGCAGCAGGCGTTCGATGCCGACTTTTTCTTTCTCCTTGTTGCCGTATTGCGTGCTCTAAAAATTGTAGATACCCTTGATTTAGATTTTCCCACTCGTAGCAACTCGTAGACGATGCGAGCCCGGTCTGACGTCGAGAATATCTTTTCCGGCTCATTTCCGTTCAGAAACCTCAACTACAGATTTAGAATTTCAAGGTTTCGTTACTTTTCCGGCTGGCCGCGCTTATACGGCTCGAAATGGCGGCGCTTCTGGTCTTGAAGAATTTGCTAAAACAATGCTAGCTTAAAAATGGCAAAATTTCAGACCTTATCAGAGCGGCGTTCGAATAGATAGCTCGTAACTCGGCGGAAGCAATTGTTTCGGCTTTTAGCTACCTAAAAAAGCTGAACGATACGAGTAAGTAATTGTTCCAACCTCGCGATGGGGCAACAACGTATTTCGGACCGGGACGTTCACGCCCAGTTTCTCGCCGTACTCTTCGAGCAGCGGCAGCGGCGCGTGGATGAGCACGAAATGGAGCGGATTCTGCTAAAAACGAGAACACTTTTTGGGGAAAGAATAATTCGTACGTCATCAGCCGGAATGCGTTCGACTTGAAGGCCCAATTTCTGGAGCTCGGACACGAAGCGGCTCCGGAAGCGATTGATGCGGTTTTTGCGGCTGCTTTCCTAAAACAAGAAAAGTTTTGACGCATGAATTGCCATACCCCGTGTTGCAACGACCTCAGCGAGAGCCACCGCTTGATGCCCTTGTTGTCGGTGTACGGTTCGGCTAAAAAATGAGTAATAAAGTAAGATAAAGTAAGATCAAAAAGTAACCTGAACGGGTTCGGCGCTCAGACTGGCGAGTTGACGTCTTCTCGGGGCTCGCCTTGGCAGGGGTTCGTAGCTCATCATCTAACCGTTAATTTACGGTGATTAAAATTAGTACAGACTTGATGCCCTCGTTTCGGCCGGGGCGCTTTGGCTGCGCTGCGGCGGGCTGTAGGCCTGTGAAAGTTGCGCTTAGAATTGTATAAGCTTTAAAATGCACTTGTTGCTCGGCGGATTGGGTCGAATCCAAATCGCGGCCCGCCCCAGCTCGACCACGACGGCGTCGTGTCTATAAAAAATAAAAGTGGAGAAGCAAGCAAACAAATTACGGAGCGTTGAGATACGCGTTCGGATGGCAGCTGCACCCCGGACTTGTCGAAGCCTTCGCTATCGCCAAGCTAAATAGATTTATAACCGGGAAATAGACCGTACTTGTCTGTTAGCGGGGGGGGTTTCGACCTAAAGCAAAAACACACCAAATATGTAGTTTTTAAAGTTTTAGCTTTACTGAAATCAAAACTAAAATCAGCGGCATCTTTTCTGTTGTTTTTTAGTTAATATGTTAGCCAAAAAATGTCCAAATTTTCTAAAAGTACAAAAGTACTCAAAAACACCATAAAATACAAATAGTTTTTTTACTCGCTGCCCCCCCCCCTGCTAACAGGCCAGTACCAATTAAACACAACGATACCATAAACGCCGTCTTCAACTGAACATTGCCTCGAGGTCCCGGCTGGGTTTCGCGGGCCTTGAAATTTTTTTTCTTTTGCAAAAAAGTAGCTAGCTACCGAAATATCAGCGCCCTCGCCATCCGTCTCACTATCTTCAAGGATTCCGACGTTTTTCTCGGCCTCTTCGGTGTCGTTCTCGCGGTAGGCCAGCACGAAATCTATCTAGAAACGAAGGAAGTTACTGAAATTACAGATTTGCATCGAACCTGTCGTATCCCGTCGCGAAAAAAAGTAGACCCGTCCATCCGGGGCGATGTGAGAAGGATGAAAAGCCACAGTCTCGCGTTCGAATTTCGAGGTTTGGATGAAAATTTCGGATGGCAATTTCCTTATTCAACAGTTTTCGTTGAATTTTACATAGAAAAGGGTTTTGAATCTTTGCAAATAGGAAATTGATCCTTGCAAATTTTGCATAGGTTTTTCCGAGTATAAAAGAAAACCCGGACGATGCTTTTTCATTGACCACTGACTACCATGACTGCCTCCCCTCACCTACTGACTGCCCTCGGTGAGTGAATTGCTTCTGGCTGTGACGTTGAATTTTTGCAGGCTTCATCCTCATCTCGGCCCTGACGGTGCGCGCGTCGAACACGACGGCGCTGGCCATCCGCCACCCCGATCTTCCATGGCCGCCAGCCGCCCATGATGTGCAGGTACAGCTCTACAACGCTCGGGCTCCCGCGTCGAACACCACAGCCCTGACCACCCTTCAGCCCGCTCTTCCATGGCCGCCAGTCGACCACGACGTTCGCACGCTCGCCTTCATCAAGTTTGTTTCTTTTATTGCTACTCAACAACTTTTTCTTTTAGCCCCTTCACGCTGCAAGAAAGGTTGCTGATCGCCGTGCTGCTGGTGCTGCTCCTCTGCATCTGCGAGCAGCTGGACGAAGAGGCTTCTCAGACATGGTTGCCACCTGTTTTCCTGTAGGTTTTTTTAAATAAAATCTCCTCACTGGCTACCATCTGCGCTCTGCAATGAAAAATGCACTTTTTATGAGCAGTTTAGTCGCATATCGCATTTTTTTAGCGATCCCTCGGTGTTAGCCGCCAAGCCATCGCCATCGAAGAAGGTGTCGCTGCGTGTGCGCAATGTTCCCGCGGAAGCTCTGCACGCTGACCTGAACCTCATCGATCGTCACCTCATCTCCAGCGCCCATCTCGTGGCCGTCGACTTTGGCGCGGACTGCCCCTCCGTTCCGCACCCCGACCTCTGCCTCCTCTACATACACTACAAGCCACAAAGCCTCAAGGCCAGCCCTCGCGCCGCTTTCCGATACGTCGACGCTGACGTGCGCACCTACGATTTTGGCAACCAGCGCTCGGTGGAATCTTGGTGGGAAATTGGTTCTATGCTTACTTACCCATATTTTTTCAGTTTTGCCTGGGACTACATCATCGATTTCCCGAAACTGGCTGGCGGTGATGGTCTGACGGCTGTGCAGCGCGTCCGCGTCCGTTTCGCCAACCCAGCCGCCATTGATGGAGACTTTGTCAACGGACAAGGCGTGTTATTCAAGGTGAAATCGCGGGATTTACGGTTTATCTGTGTGCTTGTAGGTGTTCCGCCGACCAGCGCCCAAACGGATCCAGGGCAGCCAGCCGATGCCGAAGGTGGCCGAGTCGCCCGAAACCGAGTGCTAGACGACCGATCGCTTCCCCATTTCTCGACAACTAACCAACTCGCTTGATCCTTTTTCGTGTGTGATGACTGGAATAAACGTTTTACTGGATTTTGACTATTTATTCACGTTTGGTTGTAAACAGCCGAAGTTTTTCAGCCTATTTGGGCAACGCTAGTTTTTGCAGTGGTTTTCATGTGGTTTTTGCGCGACGACCTCGCCGGGAAACCATGACATTTTTTGGCCATTTACGTACATTTATCGACCAAGATCGAGAAAAGCAAGCTGCACAAACGGTGTTTCTTTCATTATCGGGATTCTATGGGGGGGAGGAATGGAGCTAAACCCCCCGCTAACACACCAGTACCCAAGTTTTGAACGCCCCCCGCGCACCCTCTCTCAGGTCCTGGGGTCCACCCAAAATCCGGGTGGATTCCACCCGGATTTGGGGTGGAACGCATGGAAATCGGCTGGATTTCGAGTGGATGCACCCGGAATCGAGTGGAAACACGACGCAACGCGTGCCGCACGCGACGCGGCACATGGAAATCGAGTGGAAACCGGGCGGATCCGCTCGATTTCCAACTGATTTTCCGAGAGCTATTGGAAATCGACCGCATTTCGTGTGGAAAATAGACGACAAACTACAAAAAATCGCTGGGCAGCTGGCAAACTTTTTTTCGAATTATTTTTAAAAGAAAAATTGTTTCTAACGTGTTTTCTCGTTACTCTTGGTTACTTTTGTGAGTTTTCCTCATATTCTGCGTTAATAAACGTCAAAACTTGTCCTGGACTACTTTTAACACATTCTATCGATCTTTTCCGTTGTTTTTCTGCCATTTTCAGAATTACTTTTCACTTTTTTATTTTTCGAATTGCAGGTACGGCGTCGGGAGCAAGAGCCAAGAACGATTCGCGCGTTACAAGCACTTTCAACGCCCGATGCCCAGCAGGTACTTCGTTATTTCGAGTTTTTTTAGGTAGCGGCATGTCTGCGTCAATTCAACGACCGCACAAACCACGTGAGGCAAAGCTTGACGCGCGCCAAGCGTAACCCTGGGTTTGGAATCACGCATTTTGTAAGTTTAATCACTTTTTTATGTAGTTTTTGTTCAGTTCTCTGCAAGAACGACATCCAGAGAGACAATCGGCAGTGCCGAAGGCTTGGTTCGATGATCGTGACGAGGACAAGTAGTGTATGGTCCGAAAAGTGATTTCTGGTGTGTTTTTATCTTTTTTTACTTATTCTGACTAAGATGGGTCATTGTAGACAATATTTTCGGAGCTTCTGGGTGAACGTATCTTGTCGAGGGCGGTTTATCGTGGCAAATAAAATTTTATAGCTAAACCATTTCTTTTTAGACGAACAAACCATTTCGACGGGGTTTCTAGTCTAGAATAACTTAATAAAGTTACGAAAATGACAAAAATGTTTCATTTTCCGCCAGAATAGGATGAAAAATGACCAAAACTGCACAGAAACCGCCAGTGTTTAAGAATTTTTATCGAAACTTTTCGGATGATGCTTCTATATACGTTTTCATAAACTTTTAGTTGTCGGAAATTCCTAAAAAACTATAAAAACATTTTTCCTTCATTAGCAGGCAAGCATCGACTGAATTGAAAAATTAGCGTTATCTCCCGCTAACACGGAAGCACCATCGTTTCGATATTCTCAGGCCAATATTTTTTTTAACCTTCTAGTCGTCCATGAATAATGAAAGGAGAAAAAAAATTGAACTTGTACGGCTAGCTTTGGCTTATGAGAATTAAGAAAAGGTCAAAACAGCTTACTTAGCATTATGTAGGTTTAGGCCGCACTGGGATTTTACTAAAATTATAAACGATAGATCTATTTTATGACTCTGATTCGGGAAATTTGCTCAATGATTTTATAGTTGATCCGAAAATCAACCTTTTGATATTGATCTTAAAGTGCGACTTCTAGATGGCGAAACGAATGGCCGGTCTTGCTTCGGTGTATGGTGCCGGTGTATGTTCCGGAGCAGGTCGTACTTGCTCTTGCATTAAATTTTATAAGTTTAGGTAGCGTGTTCATCTACGCGGCACACGAATTGCCACGAAGTGATCGACCTCGCGATCTTGGATTTTGGTTCGATTTGTTATTCTTGGATCATGTTAATATTTTTTAGGAAGTAAAACGAAGAATTTGGACTTACGACAGTGCTTTTTGGGCCTCTTGAGAAAGGTAGCTTTTTTGAATGGCTTTTAATTATTTTTTCTAGCCTTCTGCCTGGGCTGAGATGATGTTGTTGTGATGGATTGTGTATGGTGCATAAATGTAAGTTCGATTTCCGGCTTTCTTATCTTTTCTTATCTTTAGGGATGTCAGCGTGAAGCCGTGAAACTGGACGACATGAAGCCGCCACGCGCAACGACAACACCAACAGCAGCGAATTGCACCGACCCGACCAGCAACACAAAGCCTTTCGTCACGCGAATGTGTAAGAATATTTCGTATTATACTTGTAACTATGTTTGTGACTATCTGAGAACTTATTCGTTTGTATATCTTGTATTTCTCGCATCTATTCATGTTGTATAATTTATATTTTGATGTTATTTGTGTGGATAAATCTTTTGGTACAGTATAAACGTGTATCTGCATATAATACGAAAGAATACGAGGGAATACGGGGGGCAAAACCAGCCGCTATCCACGCACTAATGGAATCAGGATCCACGCGAAATCCAGGTGGAAATCGGCCGCTTCCACCCGATTTCCATGCGTTCCACCCGCAATCCACCCGATTTCCACCCGTGCATCCACCCGCAAACCGGTCGATTTCCACGTGGATCCGGTCGCGTCCGCTACTGGAATTCCGATCGGTGTCGCGAGCAGATGCCGACCGGATTTCGGGTGGATCCCAGGACCTGAGCTCGATCTTGGCAATTACTCGGGCGGAAGCGATCGGCGAGCTTCCGGGGTGGACGCCCCGTCCACAGGTAGATAGAGGTGTAAAGTGTTGTTGCTTCAGTGTGCCTCTCCTGCTCGGCGATCGGTTGGCGCCTAGAGGGGCTATGAAGGGCCCACTGGGCCAATCGCTCATTGCCTCACTTGTCCCATGGGCACCTGTGGACAGCACCTGACGCCTTGGGCCACAGGTGCCGCCCTCCACACCTTCAGCGGATACCGTAATGCGATCGGTTCCCACCTGACGGACACTGGCGCGACACTGCCGCCAGCTCTCGCCTATCACTAGCGTGTCGATGGGTGAACCGGGCTGGCGCCAGCTACAGTATCGTATTTCTGGTTTTTGCACGGATTCCTGTTTTTAGTGCTCTTTAAAGAAGCTAGGAAACCTCAGAATCGACCCTTCGGTCTATTAGATCTCGACTCATAACCCATCCACGTTCATTTTGAGCCTGGTAGCAAATGCCGCGCTTCGCACTATTTGTTTAGATTAGCTTTGTATAATGAGTAAATTTAAGTATTAATGTCGCCGTTTTTGAGGTTCAAACATACTTTACAGCTCAAGAAGTTACCTGAGCGTCCAGGTATTTTAGCCACCACGCGTCGATGTCGACGTGTATAATCGGGTGGGTGCCAGAAGCCCGCAGGCAGAAGCCCGATAGTACCAAATGCCCGCAGGCAAAAGCCCGAAGGCAGATGCCCGAAGGCAAAAGCCCGAACGGTCAAAAGCCCGCACGGTCAAAAGCCCGAATGGACAAATGCCCGAACGGACAAATGCCCGAATGGTCAAAAGCCCGCACGGACAAATGCCCGAACGGTCAAAAGCCCGCCATACATTTCCGTCCTCACAAAAAAAAGATCACCAAAAAGTGGATACGTCCACTTTTTTGAAGTGTAATTATTTCAAAAAAGCTAGTGATTGAGCAACAATTTTATCTTTACCTTTCATTGATCGTTCCCTGAACTGGGTACCTTAAATCTTTCATGCATTTCAGGAGTTGAGCTTGATAATAGCAACCCTGGAAGCTGATTATGGAGCGAAATTGCGACTGTTTTTGGAGTCACTTTGTTAAAACATCTGGCTGCTTTTTGCTATTTCGTGGGCCTTTTTCGCGAGTTTTATTTGATTTTATGATACAGTAATACTTTCGGAGCAAAAAACCAAAATAATTTTCATGAAATTGGGTGGCTTGCACCGGAGCGGAACCGAACCCGGAGGCTGTGGGCGGTGCGCCTGGGAGGTTAACTCACTATCCCCCCCAAGTGCGTTTTTGGTAAGGTCTGACGAGCCGTGTAGTCGATCATTTCAAGTTTTGTTTCCTGCATTCGGCGCATTTTGTCATATTTTCTCGCCCACACTTCAATACTTTCGTTATTCCAATAAGTTGTTGATTTGTCTATGAAAGTTGTTGCTCAATCTCTAGCTTTTGAAATAATTAGACTGGAAAACAGCAGAAGATGATGACTTTTTGGTACGGAATTGACTATCGAGTGCGGCAGGAACGACTCCAAATGACATACGAACCCTGGAGAGATTTTCCATTGCTGAGAAAAAAAATGGTTATTTGTGGCGGACGGAAATGTATGGCGGGCTTTTGACCGTTCGGGCATTTGTCCGTGCGGGCTTTTGACCATTCGGGCATTTGTCCGTTCGGGCATTTGTCCATTCGGGCTTTTGACCGTGCGGGCTTTTGACCGTTCGGGCTTTTGCCTTCGGGCATCTGCCTTCGGGCTTTTGCCTGCGGGCATTTGGTACTATCGGGCTTCTGCCTGCGGGCTTCTGTCACCCACCCGTATAATCGTAGTGTTTCCGCTTTACTTGTACTTAGGCGTGCCGCGTAGCTGTCGAGGTCTAGTCGACGGAAGGGGTCGATTTGAGCGCTCTATATTTCATCGAAGCTAATTAGTACACGTGAACGAGGCTACAAAGTTCAGAATCGACCCCTCGATCTCTAGATCTCGACATTCTGTGGCCTCTTAGCCGGGCTTTCAGCGGAAGGGCAAGCCTACACGCGTACGAGCTTCTTTTTCCCTACTTTTCCTGTACTGACGTTACTTTGGTAAAGCACTTTTCTAGCCCGAGCCTCACGATGACGAACACCACGAAGCCGCCGTCGATTTTTAAAAGTACTGCCCGACAACCTCGCCTAATCAAACATATTAGGCATTGAAGCGCTACTATCGGCTCCTCCATCCCCAGCTACGACCCCGCATTTTCTCCAGAAAACCTCGCCCAACCCGCGGATCCCTTTCTCGGTAAGAATTACCCTGCTGATTTTTTTCTACGTTATTTTTAGTTATCAACTTCACCCCGTCTTTTTCAGTGCCCAGAATGCAACAAGACGTTCGTGACACAGCTGGGGCTTCTGAAGCACGGGAAGAGCCACGAGGAGACGCACGTCTGCCCGCATTGCACCAAGCAGTACAGGTAATAGTGGATGCTCGGGTCAGCATTTTTTACGTGGAGGCACGGCAAGAATTCAAAACTTGGCCGTAGCTGTCTGTTCGTAAAATGCGATGGCTTTTCAGGCAATTTTATAGATTTATCCGCATATTTTAGCTTTCGTAGTTTAGCACTGAAGCGGTTAGCAGCGTCGCACTAAAGCATTATAAAAATTGTATAAATTTTTGAAAATCGCTTTTGGAACTAGAAAATGCAAGCCTTTGGCCGATCTGGGTCGCTTATGATACATTTTTTATCAAAAATTAACAATTTCCCTACTTTTGTACTGTCATTAAGTGTTTTACGAAAGCTAGGTGTTTTTTTTTTTCGTGATGAAGAGTGTATTCGGCGTCAGTTTGCAATCCCTGGGTGTGAACTAAAAACCAAAAGATGAATTCCCATTTTTTTACCTTACTATCTCTCCCTCGATCAAAACCAAACAACCGCTAGAAGCCGCAAAAGCTCTAACGTCTTGTTGTCGAACTCGCCGTGAGAAGGCAATTGGCGGAGAGCCCCGGCGGGGCTTAAAGGGATGCCGACGGCATAGTCAATCGGTTACGCGCGGAAAAGAAAATTTCTCTGCGCCTCTCCCCTGGGCGCGCTCTCTCCCCTGTTGGCTACTTGCCAATTTGTTGATGAGGGGGGATCGACACATGCCGTCGGCAGCCCTTTAATGAGGCCCAGTCGCATCGTTCCGACAGGTGCCCTCAGGTGATCGAGTGGAGAGCCACGGCTGAGAAATGGACGGAAACCCCCGGCCTCGTCCTCGATTTGTTGCCACAGCTCGCCGAGAGAACTGTCAATTCCGGGGACAATCAAAAATTCCAGGTCCGTCGGTGCGCTGAAGATGCACATCAAAACGCACACGTTGCCGTGTGCCTGCAATCATTGCGGGAAGTCATTCTCGAGGCCGTGGTTGTTGAAGGGGCATCAGCGGACACATACAGGTGGGCGGAAGTGGAAGAATTGCTATAGGTTGAGGATTCGTAGCGAGGCGGAAGACAATTTTTTAGCTGTGAATTGCTAGTAATAGAATGGCATGTATTTTTTGTTATTTTTGAGTAGTTTACGACAACTCTAACGATATGCGTACCCTAGAAACTCTTTCGAAACGTTTAAAAATTTAGGAGTAAGCATGTTTTCGTAGTTTTTGACGTCTAGCGATAGAATGGTGATAAAACATTTTTGCAACTGCTAAATTTGATCTTTTTACCCGATTTTCGCCGCATTTTGGCAATTACAGGCTAAAATTTTATGACTTTGTAATGATCTTTCTATACTTAAAAACAGCTAGAAAAGCTATCATAATACTTTATGCTTGGTCATTAGGCTTCAACCACATAAAAAGTCTTTCAGGCGAACGACCTTTTACCTGTTCGGAATGTGGGCGTAGTTTTGCCGATCGGAGCAATTTACGGGCCCATCTATTAACCCACAAAACCATCAGGTAAGCGAGAAGAGACCGAAAATACTAAGGAATTTCAGGAAATTTCGGTGTCAATTCTGCGCCGCCGCGTTCGCCCGATCGCACGTGAAGACGAAGCATGAAATTGTCTGCAACAAGCGCACGCGATAAAACATTTATTGCAGGCATTTGTAGGTGCACAGACAGTCGCACGAGCATTTCCCCGAACCGGGCAGTCTGCAACGGAAGTATTTGCGAAATTTTGTAGGTGATCAAAGAGTTCGCTGGGTTTAACGAGAAGATGGTACTGTGCTGTTAGCGGGGGGGGGGCAAATATCTAGCCTAAAGGTACCTAGGAAATGTTTTAGCACATGTAGTAGTTTTAGACCAATTAAGAGCCAAAAAACGCAGTGTAAAAACGTTCAGGCGAACGACCTTTTACCTGTTCGGAATGTGGGCGTAGTTTTGCCGATCGGAGCAATTTACGGGCCCATCTATTAACCCACAAAACCATCAGGTAAGCGAGAAGAGACCGAAAATACTAAGGAATTTCAGGAAATTTCGGTGTCAATTCTGCGCCGCCGCGTTCGCCCGATCGCACGTGAAGACGAAGCATGAAATTGTCTGCAACAAGCGCACGCGATAAAACATTTATTGCAGGCATTTGTAGGTGCACAGACAGTCGCACGAGCATTTCCCCGAACCGGGCAGTCTGCAACGGAAGTATTTGCGAAATTTTGTAGGTGATCAAAGAGTTCGCTGGGTTTAACGAGAAGATGGTACTGTGCTGTTAGCGGGGGGGGGCAAATATCTAGCCTAAAGGTACCTAGGAAATGTTTTAGCACATGTAGTAGTTTTAGACCAATTAAGAGCCAAAAACGCAGTGTAAAAACGTTCAGGCGAACGACCTTTTACCTGTTCGGAATGTGGGCGTAGTTTTGCCGATCGGAGCAATTTACGGGCCCATCTATTAACCCACAAAACCATCAGGTAAGCGAGAAGAGACCGAAAATACTAAGGAATTTCAGGAAATTTCGGTGTCAATTCTGCGCCGCCGCGTTCGCCCGATCGCACGTGAAGACGAAGCATGAAATTGTCTGCAACAAGCGCACGCGATAAAACATTTATTGCAGGCATTTGTAGGTGCACAGACAGTCGCACGAGCATTTCCCCGGACCGGGCAGTCTGCAACGGAAGTATTTGCGAAATTTTGTAGGTGATCAAAGAGTTCGCTGGGTTTAACGAGAAGATGGTACTGTGCTGTTAGCGGGGGGGGGGCAAATATCTAGCCTAAAGGTACCTAGGAAATGTTTTAGCACATGTAGTAGTTTTAGACCAATTAAGAGCCAAAAACGCAGTGTAAAAACGTAAAAGTTAAATTTTTTGCTAGTATTCAAACTTTTTTGGCCAACGTGAAATTTTTACGACAGACTTTAGTATTTTTTATAAGCAAAAACGGCGTAATAAGCCGTCTAAAAGGTGCTTAGATCATTATTGATAAAGAGCCATAAAGGTAAAAGTTGATACTTTGAACTTTTTCCATGAATTTTAATAAGTTGTATGAGCTTTTTTAGACGTAGACGGCGTAAAAAGTCATCTAAAAGGTATTAATATTATTATTAACTGAACTGGTATGTTACTCAAACAAAATTACGTTTTTTAGAAATAATTTTAGGGCCACAGTTCACAAACTAACCGGCTAAAATTTTTGTGAACAACCCGAACCGGCTCTTTCCCATCGCCACACTGCCGAATCCCGCATTCACACCGGCATTCCGGGCATTCTAGAAAGTTTTTCGATGTTTCGTTTGTGTGGATTAGGAAATTGCTTGCTTGACCCTGACCTGCTTGACCCTGAGTCGACTGCTTCTGGCCGGTATACGCACAAATCTCGGCCTTCCACACCAAATCGACGAGGCGACTTTCGGCATCATATTGATGCCAGCATTGCAACCCGCGATACATCAGATCGCTGACGATCGAATGCGAAAAGGGTTTCTGAAAGTTTACAGTTATCGCGAACACGATTTGATAAAAACGAGAACCGGGTTTTTACTATGTTTAGTAACCTAAAGCAAGTGTTTTCATGATCTTTTTGCTCCAATCTATCTTTATTAAAGCTAAAAGCTATCCAAAAACTTCAAAAAATTTCAAATGTTACTCGAAAATCAGCCAGTTTTCTCGAAAAACAATACTATCAATATTTTTCGAATCGAATTGATGTTTTTACGTTAATGATAGCATACGAACCTTACTTTCGGATCAACCTGAAAATTACTAAAAAACGGTACCTACCTTTGGGCCATTGATATGATCGTTAATGCAGGTTTCCGGTTGCACAACAACACCCGGCGCCGAGCAGCACACCGGATCGAGGCTAAAACAATGCTACTTAGTGCTCACGCTCGCTGCAAACACATTGTGGCCGTCGTCGAATTCTCGACCATATAAGCGCGGAAGCCGCCGAGCCATGTATTGCCAGTGCACCCCTCCAGCGCGCCGTTGCACTAGCAAAAGAGGATTAAACGGGTTCTTTCTCATTATCGGGGGGGGGGGGGGGGGCATCTGCAAATGCTAGAAGAAAGGGTAAAAATCCAAACGTTTGGCCGAAAATACGTATTCTATAAAATTCGTGCATTTAGAATTAGTAAAAACGGTCAAAGTAACAGGTTACTTATCTTAGAAAAATTATATACTGGCCAAAGAAGTTAATTTTCGGCGAGCCCGTTTACAACCATGAAATTTTGCCCCAAAAACGGGGTTTTTTCCGCAGTTCTGGGTTGATAAATAGTAAAAAAAACAAGGTAGAAATAGCTTCCTCGATTGATATTACAAAAACAGGATCCTAAGACCCCCCCCCCCGATAACGCGCAAGAACCGAAAAAACTACTAGCCAGTAGCCACCTGCGGTGATTTCGTTGGCGTCTCACAGTTTGTCAACGATGGCTCGGAAATAAGCTCACATTCGATGGATAACGAGCCCAGCGGGCTAAAAACTAATTAAAATCGCGAAAAATAATCATAAATAATCAACCTACTTTGTAACGACTTACCTATAAGCATTTTTCAACCTCCTTATCCCTGTAACACGATAACCTTTCTGGCATTGTAGCGTAAAGTCGAGGTCAGCGGCGGTTGATAAAAATAGACAACAGAACACAATTATCCGGAGCATATTTCGCGGGATTGGGGGAATTGATCCGGGCGGTAAAGAGGTCGCAGATATCAAGGCAAAAGCCGGTTTTTGGCTAGGGTCTGATCGTAGTGAATCATCGGGGCTTGAAGAAATAACACAGATTTCGGTGCTAATGCACTTGGGGGGGGGCGTCCGGATTTTGGCTACGACACGCTCCAAATGCCGTTTTTTAAACTCTAAACTTATGGAAAAGCTAAGCATATAATTCGGCACAAAATGAAGATTCCAGCATGCTCGCCCTTCGTTACACCCCCGGCCAGCCGTACAGCCTGACCTGCACGCCAAAGCGTACGTACCATCGACCCATAGCGATTTTTATCATTTTTCACATTCATCTGTGTCAAAGCCAATTTCTAGGCACATGCGTCGGCTGTACGATCCCGCGGCGGTCGGTGCGCGGCTTCCGTCTCGAACTGACCCCCGCATGGAAGAAGCGGAACTCAACAAATTAGATTTTTTACTGGGATTTGATTTGCTTTATTTTATTTGGAAATATTTGATGATAAAATATGTTGACTCTTTTTAAAGTGTCTCTTTGTTAAAACGCTTTAACGCTTTTCGTCCCTGGTTTTTTTTAATTTGACTTTTTGAAATGTTTAAACGCAAACGTTTGCGTTGTTTTTACATTGCGTGTGAGGCGCGGCAAAAGGACGCACTCGTACGATTTTTACGAGGCTCGCTGCGGCCTTTCTCTTGCCATGACCGCCAATTTGTCTTTTTCAATTCGCTCCACCCCATTTTTGTTCGCGGCGCACAAACCCGATTTTGCTCAATATCATTGGGCACTTTGTACAAAATGCACGCGCCAAACCAGACGCGAGCATGGGTTTTCCCTAAAAATTGCCTACAGGCCGACGGAAATTGCAAATTTTGTAGTTTTCTTGCAGGCGCGGCACGTTCGAAAATGTTATGTTTGGATAAAAGGACACGAACTTCACAGGCTGGCATAACTTTAAATCGGAATCGCCGTCAAAACTATGCTAGAAATTCCTTAACGGCGCCAAAAACCATATTTTATTAGCAAAATAAGCTGCCAGAGCGATCCCGCAATGGGCCGATTTGCCATTGAACAGAATGTGTCTTTTTCTAATAATATTTACTACTTTAGCTGATCGCAGTAAGCGGCTGCACGAAATTCCCTAATTGCTATTTCCCGGTGCGTCTGACCTTTTTTTGCTTTCCGCCCCCCTGGGCATCTTCGCTTAGGACTTCTTCGACGCATTTCTATAGCAACGAAACGGCCCCTCTCCTCATTTCACAGCTTACCAAATTCTTTGCCGGCTACTATACGTTTTTCAGATGTTTCGCAACACCTTCCAAAGTGGTCTCCTATCGATATTATACAGCATCGGGAGCAAACCGCTGCAACTATGGGAAACACAGGTGAGCGCTTCCAACCTCTGCTCAACTTTTTTTAGGTTAAAAACGGACATATAAAACGAATATCTGACGAGGACATTGAATCTCTGGTCTTGGAGGTGATGGGAGCAAACGTCAGGTAAAAAGCGTCGTGCTTATTTCAAATTTTTTGCTTTAGTACGACGATGATTTCTTGCCCACACGACCCGCGAAAAGGGCTTGGCATAAAGCTTCCCTACATCGTCCTCATCGTGAAAAATATGAAGAAATACTTCACGTTTGAAGTGCAGGTGGGAGCAATCGTTTTTTTCACTAAACTGCTTTAGATTTTGGACGACAAGGGCATCAAACGACGGTTTCGGGCATCCAACTACCAGTCCAGCACGCGGGTGAAGGTATTGCTAAAAAGTTAGTTTTCAAAAACTCTTTAGGGTTCGATTTGCACGATGCCGCTGAGGCTGGACGATGGCTGGAATCAAGTCCAATTCAACCTGGCCGACTTCACGAAGAAAGCCTATGGTTCGAATTATGTGGAGACGAGCCGGGTGGTCGTAAGTTCTACTTTGGCCGGATTTTACTCTAAGGTCTTGTTAGATCAATGCTAACTGCCGGCTACGCCGCGTCTACTTCTCGGATCGACTGCACACAGAGGAAGAACTACCCCCTGAATTCAAGCTCTACCTGCCAAACACCCGGGTGGCCGCTTCAAAGGCTTCTTCTTCGACAGCCTAGGTATATATAGTCGATTGTATTTCGGGCCATTTTGTGATGATCTCTGTGTACGAGTCTTTAACAGTCTTTTTGAGTGAGTGCGCGCATCTCCCAATACTAATAAATATATTTATTTGGAAACTACACCCGTGGAATTGGTTGTGAATGTTTCTGCGGTGCCGAGCGGCGCTTTTTCTACGGAAATTTCCGGCTGTGGCGCAACTTTTTCTTTAGGCTTCCGGAGGCATCTTTTGTAGAATTTGATGATGCCGTAGAGCAACATGAGGGGCTGTAATGAGTTAGCGTATTTTTCCATATTCCTAGCAACCTTGTCCGTCATCAGCATCCCGACTAGCAAGATTGCCACGGCTAGATCAACCTCGGGTTCGGGCAACGACCAGATTAGAATAATGACAGCGATGCCTAGAAATTTTCGATTCGCTTTTTAGGCACTTACTGATGTGTTGTATTCCCGTCTCTAAGGCGATCGTCACCTTGTCGGCATAATCCATTCGAAAGATTGTTGCCACGATCAACGCGATGATATAACCTGAAACATGCGCTTGCCTTAGGCTCAATTCGCATTTGGAAACCCGTGCCCCATTTTGTAATGCTACTTTCATGAAACTCACCTGACCACGGCAACGCACAGGCGCAGAACAGCATTTTCCAGTTTAGCAAGAAAAATACGTAGAAATTCGAGTAGATCATCACTGTGGCGAAGAAGAACTGCGCGACCCAAACGATCCTCTATTTGAGACTTTATAGCCTTTCTTTTCCCATCCCACCTTGATCCACTTTTGAATTTTCAGGTATAGGTGCTTTTTGAAGTGGATGAATACCATTCCAGCTATTGTCGGTACCATAAGTGCAGTTAGGCCTGTAGAACTTATAGGAAATTGACGAGCTACTGACCTTTGATAATGTCCCAATGCGGAATGTGTACCTCGGTGCTTGTAAATTCTTTCCCTAGAGTTTCGATCCATACCGGCATCATGACTAGAAATTAATTGCATCTTTTAGAAGCCAAAAACCCACTTAGAGCCGCTACATGTTGCGAGAATGTCATCGAGATGGACAGATCCAAGTTTCCGCCATAGATAATTGTCCAGAACGAGCTTTTCCCTCCACCCGGGCAAGTGCCGGCGGCAAAGAGGGCCAGCCGTATCGAGATATCCTGATCCCAGAGGATATATTTTGCCATTGAATAGGCAACCTGTATTTTAGGAATTTGTAGTGCCTCCGTTTTTTTCATACCAATGGCATAATCCCAAATTGGCACAACATGCCGGTCAACGGTCCGATAGGGCGCTTCCAAATGGCGATGATTCTAGGCAGCGCGTTTTTCACCAGAATTGTATACTAGCGTCTAAAAAGTACATAAGCCTACTTTTCCATTTCCAATTGTGTGCCCATCAAGAACGTAATTATCGGGATGAAAATGATCAACGAGACCACGAAGAGTTTTGCCTGACGATAGGATCAGCGGGGGAAATATTTCACCAACCTTAACATGTTCCCAATCGGAACGCTCGATGCGCAGTTTCAGCGAGAGATCAGTTCTGTAATTGATGCCCCCTTCTTTCTATACTTTTTACTTACTGCTTTCCATAGCTGACGTTTAGGAAAGTGACACCAACAAATTTCCCCTCGATCGTGACGTTGAGGGCATTTTGCCCATCATCTAGAGGCTGGTCGACGCGTACTACTTCACAAACAGCAGTATCCACGCAGTTTATGGCTATCGTATTATTTGACGCCTCCTCCAGATTAACGTCCACCAAAAAACTTCTACAGCCAACTTAACAAATGCCGGCTGCATACCTTGAAGTGCCGGCGCGTAATGCCGGGAAGACTACAGGCTCATAGCTGACGTTGAAAGCGCCGGCAGCCTGACTGGATAACACCAAGCCGACCACAACGGACAGCATGTAACAAAAATCGAAATAATGTAGGGCGATGACGCGAGGCGGGGAGGAGGAGGAGGAGGAGGAGGAGGAGGCTGGTGGGCTGTCGTGAAACTACTCCGTATCGGGGGAAAGTTTGGCGAACAACCAGGGCGCTGCGCTGAAAGGAAGGAGGAGGTGAACTTTAAAAAGCGCCTACAAGTGTTTCCGTGGCAGCCGGTTTACACGATCAAAATAGTGACAGGCCGATTAGGGGGGAAGTTGGTTGAATGTGATCGATTGATACGTCCTCCTCCTCCTCGATTCCTCACCACAGCGTGATCAATCAGAACTCACCGGGGTGCGCGCCTGGGGTGGCAAAAATCTTTTTGATCGCACAAGGTCGCCGGAGGTGCCGCAGGGGGAATAGCTCTAGCAGGGAGTGGTTTTCGGTGCTACTAGCGTTTTGCACATTTTCCTCATTCGATACAGTTTAAAAATTTTAACAAGTCGTATCTTTCAAAAAAAAACTGCTGGACAACTAGTCTTGAGGAAGTAGTTCCGAAACATAGATTCTTTCTAAACGTGAAATTTTCGGGTTGTTAGAAAAACATGGCCGTTTCGCAGTTAGGATAAATGAGAGAAAGACGAGCACCACAACCGTGCATTAACAGCTCAACCCACTCTTGGTAATCGCTCTTAAATGTAAAGACAAAATCCTCTTTATCAAAAATCACTTTTCTAAAATGTAAAAATCATGCAACATAACCAATCACAGAATCGTAGCTCGAATTATTCAGTACTATTAGTCGGCGTCGTATCCGAGGATCGGGGCTAGCCAGCGTTCAGTTTCGTCGAACGGTTCGCCCCTTCGTGCAGCGTAGTCCTCGACCTAGAGAGCAGCTCTTTAGTTAAATATTATCGGTGCCTGTTCCTTCGTGATTTTCCCTACAGCAAAGTATTGACTGCTCGGGTTGCCGAAACATAGCGCAGACACCGAGGCGGCCGGTAACATCGCAAGTGAATCTAAATTTATGGAAATTTTAGGGGGGAAAATAACCTTCTACCTGTCAAACCGATCTTGGCCTCCTCGCAATTATCAAGCAACTTCCATAGTGTTTTCTGAAAAGCATAACAATTGGAGGTTTTTAGGGGACGGATTACCTTTTCGGTATGATCCGGCTGCGTGGGATATCCGGGGGCCGGGCGAATCCCCTTGTATTTGATGGAGAGCAGATCATCGGTCGATAGATCCTCGTCCTTATTGTGTCCCCAAAGCGTCACTCGAATCTAAAAACATTTTTGCTTCCAAAATTAGTGCCCACCTGTCTGTGCAAATATTCGGCGTACGCTTCGGCCAGTCGATCGGCGAGCGCCTAAATTATCAAATCATCAAGGAAAATCGATTTTGGTACCTTAACCATGATGCTATTGTAATCGTCGTTGTCCTGCTCGAGCTTGGCACAGTACTGTTCAGCTCCGAGGCCGGCCGTGCAGGCAAACATTCCGATGTAGTCCTTTTGTTTATCTAAAGGGCTAGTTTCGGGGAGGCTTTCGCATTAGCGGGGGGGGCTATTTTTTCGTAGGCGCCTTTATGCCTCGTAAGATAATATCAAGCGTTTTAGTCGTGTCCGAGTAAAATTTAACGCATTTCAAGTGGGGAAATATCTAAACACCTCGAAAAATTAGTGGAAATTTCGTGAAAATGATACCATTATCTTTGTATTTTATAACAAAAACGCGCGAAATTGTTACGTGTTTCAATAAATATGAGGTGTAGAGACGTGTGATTTTGAGCCCCCCGATAATGCAAGAGTTCTAGAGGAAATCTGGTGCTCACCATTCTCTAGTGGTGCGACGAAGTCCGAGAGACATAGATGCGGTTGATCGTGCTCACGCCCGGATTGTTGCCTCAGCCCGTAGAATGTCGCCACACGTTGACCATCCTATAAATACACAAATTCCATGTTAAAGATGCCACTAACTACCTTGAACACAATAATATCATCGCCCTTCGAGCCGCACTCGTAGAACCCGACGGCGGCGTTGGCCGTCAAAATTTTGTCATTGATCAGCTGCTTCAACATCTTTTGGGCTTCCTAGGGTTCGTAAAGCTACGAGCTAAAAAAAAGTGCAGCAAACCTCGAACACCCGTTTCGCTTCCGGCCCAACATCGGGGTCGTTGAAAATCCGAGGGTATCCACTGTACAGAAAAAGTGACGCATAAAAGTAGCGCGTACCGATTCGGGTATTTTCCTCGCAACTGCCACACATCGAAAAAGGGCTTCCAGTCAATGTAGGGCACGACCTCCTTCAAGTCTATGTCCAGGAAATTTTTGACGCCCAGGAAGCTCGGTTTCACTAGAGAAATACGGCATAATGCATCCATTACGAAAATACCAGGCGTGAAATGCTTCCAATCAATCTGCAGCTGCTTGGCACGGGCTTCTGGTAGGGTGGTGAACCTATGTCGAGATTACCGGTTTTGGTGCCTTATCGGGGGTGGCCAATCTTTTCTGATGTTTCGGTAGGATAGACTATTTTAATAGCGTTTTACGATATTTTAGATAAAATAAGCGGACAAACTATTGTAACTATCGAAAACCTGTGGATTTTGATGAAAAATGTTTGAACAATCGTCAGAAATATTAAAAAAATTTCAATTTTTACTCCACTCCGAACCAGAATCAAGTTATCGTAAACCGTGCGTAGCCTCCTCACCTTCTCTCTTTCAACCCTTCATAGTGCTCTTCGCGAACTTCTTGATATTCCTCCACAATATCCGCCAAAAAAGCCTCACGCACTTTTTGATCGACCAATGCTGAGCACTGAATGGGCGGCTCCCCGACACTTGCGGCGCGACACTTGCGGCGCGACATTTGCGGCGCGACACTTGCGGCGCGACACTTGCGGCCGACACTTGCGGCGCGGTCATTTGCGGCGCGACACTTGCGGCGCGACACTTGCGCCCGACACTTGCGGCGCAGTATTTATTATTTTAAAATGTTGTAAATTTGGTATTTCTTCGCGGATTTTGTTTGTAATTGTTGTATTTGTGTTCAAAATTAGCAATTTAAACGACCCGCAGTCGGAATGCCCCTGAGGGCGTCAGGCAAGGTGGGCCGTCGCTTCGGATGGGCTGCCGCTCCACTCTTTCTAAATCGGGGCGCCTGGGCGCTTCGCGCTCCTCGGGCGCCCCGATTTAGAAACACTGTACGAGCTCGCACCCATCCGAAGCGATTAGGCCCCGGGTGGCACGAAGCCTTTTTCTAGTCGCAGAGCGGAGGAAGTAGCGGCCACTTTCTCTCCAAATTGAGTGAATTCTGTCGCAAACCCGACTTCTTACAATTTTTTAATACGAAATTCGGACGCAGCTTATAAAATAGCACCTTGAACTATTTTTATATAGCTTATACTAAATAACCGCAAGGTCGCGCCGCAAGTGTCGGGCGCAAGTGTCGCGCCGCAAATGTCGCGCCGCAAGTGTCGGGCGCAAGTGTCGCGCCGCAAGTGTCGCGCCGCAAGTGTCGCAGCCGCAAGTGTCGCGCCGCAAGTGTCGCGCCGCAAGTGTCCGCGCCGCAAGTGTCGCGGTACCGAATGGGCAGACAGGCGATAGTTTTAAATTGCACTCTACCGCAACGACGCTCTTCGACGCGTCTAGGCAGTGGACGACCGGGTGCAGGTATCGAGGCGCAATTTTGACGGCGGTGTGCGTTTTTGAGGTTGTAGCACCTAGGAAAATTTTGGAAAAAATACAGCAGTCTTACCTCCAATAAGAAGCGGGATGTTGAGCCCGCGGCGCTGCATCTCCTTCGCGACGTGCACCATCTCGTCCAGGGACGGCGTGATGAGCCCGGAAAGCCCGATGAATTCTAAAAACCATGTGGTCGTCAAAATTAAGCAACTCACCCGCTCTCTCATCGATTGCCGTTTGGATGATCTTCTCGCATGGTGTCATCACACCCAAGTCGATCACCTTGAAATTGTTGCAGCCCAGCACGACGGCCACGATATTCTTGCCAATGTCGTGCACATCACCCTTCACTGTCGCCAAGACCATCGTGCCCTGGTAGGGGCTCTAAAAAGATTTTTTTTATTCGAAGACGGGTCAGCCAACCTCGTCCTCGGTTAAATTCAACTCCTTGATCCTGGCCTCACGCTCGGTGTCCATAAACGGAATCAAGTGGGCGACGGCCTTCTTCATGACGCGTGCCGATTTGATAACCTAGTTCAAACTATGTACTCTTCGTATTATGTAAAAACCTGCGGCAGGAACATCTTGCCCGCGCCAAAAAGCTCTCCAACGACGCTCATACCCGCCATCAGGGGCTGCTCAATAACCTAAGAAAAACGAGTCTTTAAAAAAATAAATATCCAACGTTAAGCGGACGTGGGTAAAGATCGGTCTGGAGACGAGCTTCTTCCGTATCTTCCACAACATAAGTGTCGATGCCCTAAAATATTTTTTAGACAAGAGACAATACGTACCTTCACCAACGCGTATTTCAAGCGCTCCTGGACCGACTCGTTTCGCCAGGCGTTGGCTGCGGCGTCGTCCTTCTTGTCGCCTTTCGTCAATCTCTGCGCCAGCGCCAACATCTTCTCGGTGGCGTCGGGGTCGCGGTTGAAGATCAAGTCCTCGCACAATTTGAGCAGCTCCTAAATCACTCATTTTTATCGGAAATTGACTTTTGACCTTGTCGATGTCTTCATAAACTGGCAGCGCACCGGCATTCACAATACCCATGTCCATTCCCGCCTTGATGGCGTGGTACAGGAACACACCTGAAAATAAAAATCCAAAAAAGGTGTATTACTGTGCATGGCCTCGCGAACGATTTCCATCCCTCGGAACGAGAAGGAGATATTTGACACACCACCGGAAACCCGGCAACCAGGCAGATTCTCCTGGAATTTTAAGAATAAAAAAGTCCGGAATTTAAAATATTACCTTGATCATCCGCGTCGCTTCAATAAAATCGATGGCGTATTCGTCGTGCTCGCTCATCCCGGTGGCAATGGTGAGGATATTGGGATCGAAGACGATATCTCCAGGGTCAAAGCCAACCTCTTCCGTCAGAATTCTAGATGATCATTTTTGAATAGTTATTTTATTACTGACCTGTAGCTGCGTTCGCAGATCTCGAACTTGCGATCACGTTCTGCTGCTTGGCCCTGCTCGTCGAAAGCCATGATGACACACGCGGCACCGTAACGTTTGATGAGACGGGCCTAGATGGATTTATGGTTTTTACAAAGAGGAGCTCACTTTTTCGATAAATGCCTCCTCGCCTTCCTTCAGAGAAATCGAGTTGACGATACATTTGCCCTGCGAGTTTTCCAGGCCTGGAAAAAGGATAATTAGAAGAAACGCATAGACAATTCCTACCAGCAATAATCACGTTGAAATCGGAAGAATCGATACAGACCGGAACCTGTAATCAAAAACATAAGTTACAAAAGCGATAAATCATACCTTGCCAATATCCGGTTCCGAGGCGATCAACCGAAGGAACTTTGCCATCGCGTACGGGCCATCCAAAAGCCCGTCGTCCATGTTGATGTCCAGGATCTGGGCACCGTTTTCCACTTGATTTCGCGCAATGTCCAAGGCTTCCTAAAAGTTAGATGGATTGTTTTACGAGAGTTTTCACCTCATATTTCTCATCTTTGATCAAGCGGCAAAATTTGCGAGATCCGGCGACGTTACAACTGAAATTTTCATCCTTGAAAATTAGTTTTTCTACCGTTCGCCAATGTTCACAAAGTTGGTCAGCGCCCCGATGCGCATCGGCTCGAGCCCGGCGAGCAGCATGTTCTCGGTGTACGCCGATTTGGAAGGGATCCTCGGTTTGAAGCCCTAGAATCAATCACAATCGACGTAACTGTATGTAAAACATGCCGAAACGGCCTCGGCGAAAGCGCGGATGTGATCAGGAGTGGTGCCACAGCATCCACCGACGATGTTTAGAAGACCATCCTAAATCAAAAGATTACTGGTATGAATATTTTACAAAACCTGGGCAAAGACCCGAATATCTTCGGCCATCATCTGCGGGGTCTCGTCGTAGCCGCCCAGGGCGTTTGGCAAACCTGGAAGAGAATTCAGAGTCCAGAACTATTTCATACCTGCATTTGGATAACAAATGACGAGGGTGTCGGTGAAGGTAGCCATGGCCTCGATGAAGGGCCTCATCTCGCGAGCTCCGAGGGCACAGTTTAGACCGACAGCCATCGCATTGCCCTGTCTAAAGTTTGGTAGTTTACAAGAAATGAAGGTAAGAAATCATTGTTATCTTCTTAAAAAGGACACCATTAGATTTTTGAAGATATAAAAGTATTGATAAAGTCGAACCGTGTCGCGATCAGGAATGCTTCGCCGGTTTGTCCGGAAAGCGTGCGCCCGGAGAGATCAACGATGGTACCGGACAACATGACCGGAACCTCTTCCATCTCTAAAAATCAACGAATTACAGCCCTCGTTGAAAAAAGCACCTTCATCTTCAAACAACGTTCGAATAGCGAATAGCGCAGCCTTTGCATTCGCAGAATCGAAGACCGTCTCCACGAGTAGAATATCAGCCCCGCCCTAGAAAATATTAGAAAAATGCAATTTTTTTACCTCGAGCAGCGCCTTGGCTTGAAACTGGTAGGCCTTGGAAAGTTCTTGGAATGCTAAAAATCAAAGCATCTTGAGAAATACCCTTGTGGCCTACTTATATTACGAAAATCCGGCTTTTCCACTGAAGGCGAAATTGAAAGCGTTTTGTTCGTGGGGCCAATCGCACCGGCGACAAAACGACGAATGCCTAAAATCGCCGATAATTTTCCGGCTCCAATCAAACTGACCGGTTGCTTTAAAAACGTCATCGCAAGCCCGCTTGGCAATCTGCGCACTCTCGTAGTTGATCTGGTAAACCAGATGCTCGCATGCGTAGTCGGCCTATTTTCCAATACAAAATTATTGGCATCTGATAGCACCTGAGCGATCGTTGTTCCCGAGAAAGTATTCGTTTCAATAATGTCCGCTCCAGCTTCCAAGTATTCCTTGTGAATCTGAGCAAAATTATAAATTGTAGCCGGCGTTCGCCAACCTCATAAATGACGTCCGGGCGAGTCAACGAGAGTAAATCGTTATTGCCTTGCAGCGGCTTCTCGTGGTTTTCCAAGATCTAAGCAAATATATTGTTTTTGGCAGGTGGTCTTACTTGAGAACGAAAATCTTTCTCTTCTAGATGCCGACGCTGGATCATCGTCCCCATGGCACCGTCGATGAGGAGGATCCGTTCCTTGCATGCCGTCTGAAGCGCTTTGAAGGTCTCTTCCCTTCGTTTCCCCATCTAAACGTCTGTCGTTGTTCAGTCAATAGGTTCTAAAAAGAAAGAAGAATCAAGTTAAGGTCTAAATAAAAGATTGGCGAGAAAATCGCAAAACCAATGCCACTTTCACGGACATTGCACCGTGGGAAGGCGCAGATCGCGCGATCCCCATTTCTCGTGGGTTGGCTGATCGAAAAGGGGCACAACGCAGGGCTTGCCCTCGCGGCAATAAATGACCTTTCTTTGTGATCACTGGAAAACGCGTTCCAATAAAATTCAGAGAAATTTTATAACCATGCAGGTTTCACGTGCGTTGACGTGAATGGCAAAGAAGCCGGGAAGACGGTCGTAGAACGGGAGTAGATAAAATCGGCAGCCAGACGAGACTGACCACTAGTAGACCGATTGATTAGAGTCGCTTCCACAGTCCTAAAAGGTCACCGCATTTCCCCGGGGATTTGATAGTGGCGGAAATGCCGATAATCGTAAAGGTGACGAAAACTGTGCCGTATGCCGTTTAGAGGGTCCAAAGGGTGGTTTAAAGGGTTTTGTAAGCTTACTATAAGCTTTTTAAACGTTTTTAATCGGTCTTCCGCTCAAATATACATGATTTTGGCCTTTTCACTTTACAAAGCGTTTTCGAAATTTCGCTCGAAAAATTATTTTTTTTGAGTTCCGAACTTTCCAATCGACGTCAAGCGTCAATAGACGTCTAGCGTACACAAGGCATTTTGATTTTTTAAAAAATTAAAAATTTTTGTAGTATTCACCATTTTAGCGTTTTCTTTATTAGTAAAACAACTTATACAATCTATCTATTTCAGCAAAAACTTTCATTTTGCCCGGTAAACATCTTTTAGGCTTCGAAGCTTCGAAACGCGTTTCTTGCTCCTCGACCCCGTCACCCCTCCCTTCGCAAATGCCGCCATTGTTCCCCTTATCGACAGCCTTCGGACCCTTTTCCTCGGTCACGTGATCGCTTGTAACGCGACACGAAGCCATTTTTTGCAATTGAAAGCGGGCAGCTGCGTACTTCTTCGATTCCTAGACGCTTTTCAAAATCCGTTCAATCTTCCAGCGCTGCTTTTTTCGCATGACTAACATAGGGAGCCCTCGCTTACCGCAGCGGTCTGGTTGACCTCTCATGTTTTTGTCCAGCCGTTGGCGCTCAGCCGTTAATCCTTCGCCCCGCTTTTTGCGGCCGCGTAAACCGGCGCCCTCTGACGAGAGGGTGTGTCTTTCTTTGCTTTCCGGTGATCAGGGCGAATCGATGAGGTGTCTCTACGCCACCTCGCAGCACTAGTTGCGGCCCATCTGTTTTTGGGGCCAAGATTGATACTGGCGAGGTGACGATAGTTCTAGTCCCCGCGCACTATTCGAGTCTTTTCAATGTAGTACTCTCTTTTCGCCGGTCCCATCAATCAGCCATCACCGGCCCCTTATCGCTGAGAATGGCATGTCAGGCTCAAAACCCACGCCCCGGACTCTCATGTCAATTAGGACCGTTTTTTCAGCGACACGTTGCCCTGGTCGCGATGAGCTTGACTCGATCAGTTTTTGGAAAAAGCCTTTTCGCTTATTTTCGCGTTTTTCGTCGCTGATGTTTTGAAAATCGATTTGAAAGAGGCATGAATCAGATTCGAAAAACGCTTGGCTTCCAAATTCTAAGAAAAACGGGTTTGGAACTAAAGATCACACAACGCTTTTTTCGTTTCCTGTCTATTGTTTTGGCCGGTCGCCACGTGTGCTCCCCCTCATTTGCCCTTGAAAGCACCGGGGAGTTTCCTCTGCCCAACTTTCTCCCGTCTGCTCATTTTCCTTGCCTAGACATATATTTTTTCATTTTCAGCGATGTCCTGGTGGTTTGCCCTCGGCGTCGGCATAGCGCTTCGGCTCGAATATTTGGCGGCTCGCTACACGCTCGAGTCGAGATACCCGGAATGGTAATTTTTGACGGAAATTATTTACTCGAACTTTTAGGTCCAACAACAAGCGCCGAATTTTCGCCGTTCGCGTCGTATCGTGCACCCATGCCACACTTTCTGCCCTGGGTTGCCTGTGCAGGTAAGCGAGGCGAGGGCGGCTTTAATTTTCATTGTAATAGATTATATTCAACTGCATTTTTAGCCTGCTGCTCGACCCGAACTTTGTTCAAAGCCCATACGAGTACAGCACCGATGCGGCGGCCTACGTGTTCCTCTTCTCCATGGGTAACTGGTATTTTCTGATCTATAATTTCTTTAGGATATTTCCTCTATGACTTGGTTGACATGTACATTCACGGAGAGCTGCCCAACTCAAAGGAATACTTTGTACATCATTCGTTGGTTCGTTTTAATTTTTAAATTTTAGGCGAGGCCAGTCTTGACGCTGGGGCTCTGCGTAGGCAGTTTAACCCGCAAAGTGGCCGTGTTATTTTTCAGGATTGAATTAAGTGACTTTTTCAGGTCATCATCGCGTTCTCGATCATCCTCTACACGGGTAGACTTTTCGGCTTTGCAATGATCGGTCTACTCGTTGAGGTGAGAGTTTTAATTCTGTATTATATTTTATTTTTAGGTGCAAACGATCTTCCTCCATTTACGAACGATGGTCCGTCTCCTCGGAGCGACACGTGAACATCCGATGTATTCCGGTCTGATCAACCTCAATATGATGTGAGTAGTAGTGGTGCGATTTCGTACATTAGTCGTTCCAGTTGCCTGTTCCTGTTCCGGCACATTCCCATCACCTATCTGATCTATTTCCTGTGCATCCAGGATTATAAGGTATGCACAAATTGAACGATTCTTATTCATATTTAGGTGCCAACGGTGTTGAGGCTTTTCTTGATCGGCGGTCTCGTCTTCTTGGAATACCACAACACTCACTTGACTGTAAGTTTAATACAGTTGGCTTTACTTCGAGGACGCTAAAGGCTAAACTGTCCCCAACAACTTAATTTTCAGGTCTCGATGGCAAAGACCGACGGCTTCTTCGGATTCCCCGGCGTCGCGTCACTTGACGAAGACAGTTGCGACCCCCTGGGTGCCGTCAATACCGAGAAGCCGAAGGCGGTCAGTTAAATTAAAATTTTGTTTATATCCAGTTTAGGTGAAGCCTCAGCACGCCAAGGCAAAGAAGATCGACTAATCTACGACGCCCCCAAATCGCTCCAACCAACTTCTCACATAACACTACAAAAACGCAGTACGTCAAATGGTGATCGCTTACTTCCGCCCCGGGTGCCTTTTTGGATACCGAGGTCACCATTTGCCTATCTACTCACAAGAATGAATGCATGTATATATAGTGCTTCCTGTGACACCCCGCCAAACGTCGGGTTGTTTATCATAAATCTTTTTCTTTGTACAGTGAGCAACCGACACACAGCATGAATGATATGTACAACGGCATTTCTTGAGCGGCTCTTGGCTCAATGATGCCGAATAAATAGGGTTCATTTGTCGTGGAGAATGGAGGCGGCTTACAAGTGAGAAGTGTTGGGCGGTGGCGGCTGAAATTATCGGGGGTTTATTTTGTTTTGCGGAAGCTACTTACCAATTTGGTGAGATCGGCTCCTACAATGCTGCAAGACCGGGAAGAGCAGGGGGCTTCGTTGGAAAGCATACCTAATTCTCGTATGTTGCGGGTTTTTTATCTTCCCCTACTCATTCTTCGCTTCACAATTTCGTTGGCTTCCTCGTAGCTGGGCAGCTCGTCTACAGAGCATACGCTGATCGAGCCTTTCTTTACGCAATTCGTATATGATGGCGGCGGGCCTTGTTTGACTGTAAGCGTTGGCGCGGCCGCAGTCTCTTCTAAAGTTTTGTTTATTTAGAAGTTAGTTTAATTAAATAAGTTGTTTATTTAGGATTACACTTTAGACAATAATTTTTTTTATTATGGTCACTAACCGATATCCTCAATGCGCGCGCCTCCGAATAGCTCTTTGTAGAAGGCGGAAAAGCACATTCTAAACCGGGCTCCACACTTCCAACTCCACGCTTACCGGACTTCGGCGCAGATGAGCAACACAAAGCACATCAGCCATACCACGAAAAATGGGTCGCTCTGGGAGGAGACGACGCTTTTCAATAGTGGCGATGATGAGACTGAATTTGTTTGGTGCTTGCCCCCTCAGAAAGGGCGCATTATAGCAGCTTTTTGTAATCGATTTTGGATGAAACTACTGTATACGTTTGGCATATTTTTAGGCGTCAAAAAAGTCATGAAATCTTATAGTTCAGATTTTGCCCGGGTTTACCTTCTTCAGCGATCCACGTCTCCTCCGTCCGGCGCGTCTGGTTCTCGATGCGCACAATCTCATTCTTGAACCGCACGTGGATGGAGTCGAGCGACAGGCACGCGATCAACAGCAACAGCACGATGACCACCGACTAGGGGAATAACCGCGGAAATCGAGGGCTCACTTTCGATAGGATGTTCGGCAGCAGGAAGAACGGCAGTCGAGCGCGTAGACCCACACAGGCGAAGCACACCAGCAGCGCGTTCACGAGGCAAAAGGCTGAAATTTTTGGGTTAGGCGAGATCAGGAGTGGTAAACAAATCGGGCTAATGACTAGTCGACTGTGAACTTACCCATTGATATCGGTAGCAATGGGACGCATAGGTAGACGTAGAGCGAGAATAGCAGATTGCACCAAACGATGAAAACGACACGTAGTCGTGTTATCTGAAGGGATTTGCGCGTAAAATGATGGTTTTAAGTTTTAGGACTTTGGTTCTGGATCGTTATCGGAGGGCCAAAATCGGACTGATAATAAAAAAACTACACCGTAGGCCATTAATCTAATATAATTTATATTATTAGATGCATAGCTGTTTTCAAGTATACAAATATCATCAGAAAATTCTGATCTAAGGTCCAAAAATCCTGGAATATTTGATTTTTTTAACGAGAAAAACTGTTTTTTAAACTCAGTTTTAACGGCGAAAATAACAAACAATTAAAATATATGAGACTGTTATTAATCTGTCTAAATAGGCTAAAGAAAACTAAGTTTGGTGCCCCGATCGGGATCGGGATCGGGATCGGCCGATAGACAACCAGCAGGGATACTTCAGACAACCCACACTTTCCGTCGTCATTTCTCTGCGAGTTGAGAAAATCGTGATGGCTGGATTCAACGGACGGCTAGGGTGCCGCTTCTAAACGTTATTAACTTATTTCTAAATTTCTATATTTAGAGATCCGAAAATCCAAGAAATTACAAAGAAGAGACGAGACGCGGCCCACACGCTTGGATTAAACTGGACAAAAGGGGGCTGTTTGTGCGCGACGCGGTGTGTTCTAAAGTCAGATAACATGAGATGAAAGGGCAAATCGGGCGCGCAACAGGGGGCGTGAGGTTATATCGGATTGGGATCTATTCTCACACAGTGCCCGGGGAAAACAGACGAATCCTAAAAGGGTGGAAAACATCGCGCGCGGGATCGCGGATCGTTGACATCATTGTACGCTCGTGATTTTACGAGTTTCGATTTTGCAGGTAGTGCGTGGGGAAGCACGACCGAGGGTTATGTTTTGTGAATATTGTATTGTATTATTTATACCGGGGGAACGGGCGTGTTTTGTTTCCGAAAAAGGTTTTGCGGGGCAAAACAAGCTCGTTGAGATCGGGGGGTGAGGCATAGGAAACTAGTCGTTTGCAGCGAATCAAAAATCAACCAAGTTTGGGGGTACTTTTTGCACTTTGGAAAGTTTTTGGTGTATTTTAGGTCGGCAAAAATAGGTGAGAGGATCTTTTCGATGTAGTTATCATCGGAAAACTTTCCTTTTTAGTGTAACTGGGTTTTAAAAGTGACTTTGTAACTCTAAAAAAGTAAAATGTCTTTAAAAAACATTTCTTGAGTGTTAGACGTCGTTTTACAAGTTGTTTTTGCACCTAAAAAACCTCTTTAATCTGTAGTGCCTAATTTAAATAGTTGTTTTATAATTCTTTTTCAATTTAAAACTATTTTATTAGTTTTTATGAGGATTTTCAAGGCTATTTTTGCCCAGATAAAAGGTAGATAAATATTTTTAGTAATTTCGGCGAAACAAGGAAAATAAGTGAGTTGTGAAGAAGCGACGACAGACCCCGCTGCCCTTATATGGGAAATGACATGGCCGCTGTTTGTGACCATCCCCCCGAACGAGGGGATTTGCATCCGATCTACAAGCCACAGAATTGGGAATGCCCCTGTGTCGCCAACTGTCCAATAACAGCTCCACCTCCCCTCCCTGCCGCTACACCATACCGATCACTAATCATCGGACGTGTTTGTACTCTACGGCTTACATCCGATTTGCCGATTGGTGGCGTCGGGGCTCGGGGGGTGGTGACAAAAAAGACGAGGTCGTGTTTGCATGAACGCAATTAGGGCTTGAGCGATTGGGCTTTAGGCTATGTTAGGAAAACTAAAATGTATGTCAAGGCTCGCAGCGTTCGCATTAACGGGGGAGGGGGGGGGGGATTTTTCCACTAAAAATCCAGATATGCCCCGCAATGGCATAACAATTATAAAGTAAAAGTTAGAGTTTGAAGTAAAAAATTAACTAAATTACAAGTCGAAAACTTAGAAAACTGCTTCGACCAAATTTCGTCGCGAAACTGCCGCTTTTGGTCGAAAATAAATACTTTATTTGCCAAAATTTATAGTTTCACGCATGGTTTTCATGCATAGAAAACTTAATTCTACGCAAAAAGACCCCCCCGCCCCCGATAAGGCATAAGCTCCTGCTTCATAATCACCACTACAGTGTTTAAAGTCTAGGCAATAAAGTTCGTCCACAACGTGCGAGATAAAAAAAAAACAGGTTTCGCCACCGCGATCCGATATTTATGGACGGGATCTGGGTTCTTTAAAGATGATTGCGAAGAAGGGGAATAAGAAAGGATCGGTCATCTCAGGCCTGGAGTGTGACCTTCAAAATGCCTGCATGTTTTTCCGGGGAATCCATGAGCGGCAGGGTGGCCTCGACCTCCGCGAGATTGAGTTGAGAAATCGGGGGGTAGGGTTGGTTATTCTTGAGAGGGGCGCCTTTTAAAGGGATTCGCAAAGCATGGCTATTCATCCGCTGTAGATTTGGCCTCCGCCGCGACACGCAACGCGCCGAGTGCTCTTCCAGAGCCGATCACGACCACTCACGGAGGCCAAGCGGCTGCGTTGCGTGTCGCAGCGGTTTGAAAACAGGGTCTATATCCCTCTTCAATCCCTGTAAATGGATAGTGCGGCAAAAAGACACTGGCGTTGAAAAATAATAACCCGAAACTGGCAATTTTGGGTTACGGTAGCGGATCCACGTTTAAGTGACGGGGCACCCTTTAGCGAACAGTACCATCACTTGGATAGTCAGTGATAGTCCAATTTAGTTTTCTATTGTTTATTTCACTTTTTTATGGATAATAATAATTGATCAACAAAAAAATCAGACAAGCCCACGCCTTACGTTTTTTGCTCGCGCTTCTTGCCGATTTTTTTGCTCGACTGCTTGCTGAAACGCATTTGGAAGTGTTTATTTCAACAAAAAGAGCAAAATAACAGCAACAGGAACAACAGAATAAACAATAACAACCTGACTCGAGGGATTAATCTTTGGCTTTTCTTTGCTGCGCCAAGAACGCATTCCTTGCGGTTCGTTTCTCCATCTGGTACGTCTTGCTTGCATCGAGGATCGGCGTGGCCTTTCTATTCTCTTTGGCAAGTTTGTCAAACTGATGTTTGTTGAGCTTTTAATCGAAAAGGAACAGAAGTTCTCATGCTCAGTTGCTTTTAGCCATGCGTTAAACATAGTTTCGGAGTCTAGCTCAAGCGTGGCATCTGCGCATCTAAAAAGCATATACTTAAAGACACCCGCGTACTTTTCATCATGCTGCTGGAAGTGAACAACTAGTTCCTGGTGGCTAGAAAACGTGTCCGTGCACACCGAGCAAGTGATTCGCGCGTCCCCAAAAGTAGGCTTTGCTGCATGCTTCAATCTCTGATGTTCTCGGAGATGTTTCTGCGTACCGTAGCGTTTGTCGCATTCTTGGCACGCAAATTCATTCAAATGCGCCGGGGACGCCGGGTAAGTGATGCCAGGGTGCTGGGAATGTACATGTCGTTTCAGAGTAGTTGACCACGGGGTACTATAGCGACAGAACATCGCTGGACAAGCGTACGCTTCTACTTCCGACATTAGACTGCCCGAAATATTCTTATATAGGAAAATTCGAATACGGTTTTCGAATCTACTAGCAGACTAGGAACTAAGAGCAGAACTTGCTCTATCTTTTGCACCTAGTATTAGAATAGCCCAGCGCCGAAATTTAGCGAATGGGTCCTGTAAGAGGGTGCGATCGGCTTACGATCTTTACTGGCCTATTCCGCATGGAGAGAAGGTGCTGGCCAGCTTTTTTTGGGTTTTATAGGGTTACGGAATTCCTTTATGAACATTTGGAGCAAAAAAGCAAAAAGAAAACGCAGAGGTTTGCGGCCTCGGGAATCGAACCCGCACCCCCTGTCTCGGGGCTGGACCGCCGCCTTAGACCACTACACCACGCCTCGACCACCCCTCCCGTGCGCGCTCTGAAACGCCGTGAATAGAAAACTAAAGTGGAGTATCACTTTACTATCCAAGTGATTGTACTGTTCGCTAAAGGGTGCCCCGCCACTTAAACGTGGATCCGCTACCGTAACCCAAAATTGCCAGTTTCGGGCTATTATTTTTCAACGCCAGTCAAAAAGACGCTAAAATCATCGTAAATGCAGCCCGCGCAAGCTGTAAACCTGTTCAGGGTAACTCCTCGTAATCCCGCTGCAAGAAAAACGCGAATTTACCGTTTTCCGGACGCGAAAGCAATTTTTTTGCATCTAAAACCATTTTTCAGTGACGTAACCTGGGGCTGAACCCCAGCAACATTTAAAAGTCGCGAGACCATTGCCCGGAAAAGCATCCCAAGCCGATTAAACCTTTTAACAAGCGCCGGTCACGACTCACGAGCTCTCACCGCCAAAAATAGCTAACGAGGCGGCGAGCAGAGAACATTTACAAAGCCGATTACCGGGCGTTGGCCAGCACTTTTCCGCGTGCCCGTGATTTTTAAAGGTTCGCGTGGGTGAGGAGGGATTTGGCGGCTTTTGGGAAAATATTTTATGTACCTAGCCTGGCAGCAAGCTTGGCTTTTGGCAGTTTGGAATAATGGAAAAACGGGAATAAAAAAAGCTTATTTGATAGGGTTAAAAATGCGAAATAAACTAGTTGATAGTATTAAAAAATTACAGAATTTTCAGGCTATTACTTCACTAGATTTTCTATATCGCTTGCAAAGAAAGCGAGGCTTGCAAGCACAAAAAAAGTACCAAATGTTGCAAATACTTATAAAACTACGTTTCAAATTTACAATCATGTGAATCAAAGGATAAATTGTTAGGCTTATAACAGCGAACGCTAATTTACAACTTTTTAGATAGAAAAAGTGTATAAACGATGTACATCGAAAATTACTTTAACTAATAAGTTTTATATTTACTTATACAATTCAGAGAGTAGGCAAGTTTTAAATGCCAAAATACCTTTTTACGCCGATACAAAACCGGCGGAACCACTTGAGCAGCGCCCTTTTATAAGTGCCCTGTTTGTCCGGGCCACTTCCCATCGGAGACTCTACTCTTTTCTAGACCAAAAAAAAAATAAAAACATAAAACCGTATGACAATATTGACCCGGGGGTTTCCCCTGGCGAGTGGGTAGGGATGACCGTATAATGAGGCACTTTTCGTTCGCCGGCTGTAGAGAACTGTTGTTCCAATCGCGCCACAATGTTTGCGCTTCGAAACTGGCCATCATAGGCTTTGGCAAGCGGTTGATGATCAGAATTGAGGGTCTAAAGAGATCGGTTTTGTGGTTTGAACGTTGTAAAACGTTTTAGAAAGATGATGTTTTATGATAAAAGATAAAAGTAAAGCTCAAGTTGATGAAATAAATAATGACAAAACGGAAAAATAAGAGCTAAAGGGAAGGGAGGGAAGAGAATTCCATAGTAAACCTCGAGGTTTACTATGGAATTTTCCGCGCCGCCACAGGCAACGCGGCGTAATGCGTCGTAACGCGCGCTTCCGTTTTCCAGCGGGCAATAGATTACGCACCTGCAGTGCTGCAAAAATCTCGAAACTCCAGAGCCGACGACATTCGAAGCCATTCCTCAGTATCCCTTTATTTAGACTAGACAAAACAAGCTTACGTTTACCAAAACGGGACCAACAACCGGGCGTTAGGTCCATTTTTGCAAAAGAAAGCACCCCCGGAAACCCCAAAAATAATCGCCAAAAAGTGTGGAAACCCAGCTGCCAGTTTCGCCCCATGGAAAATGGCCGCCCATTATTTTTGCGATACCTCAACGAACGCGCTTCGTATTTTCCGTCTTGGGAACCAGTTTTTGAGACAATTCTTGGCTAGGCCGCAACTTTGCAGCTTCGGCTTCATTGTTTACGAGCCTGAAAAGCAATTTTCCGCAATCTAAAAACAGAAATGAAAGCAAAAGTTTTTCTCGGAGAAATTAAGGAAAACAAAGATTTAGTTCTCTTTACGCTGGGCTGATTTTTTAGATTTGACGTCTTTTATATAGCACGAAAAGTTATAGCATTTCCTATAATAATATAGCAGTAATAACTTCAAAACAGGAATAAAAGGATAGGCTTTTCCGATAGAACTTCAGAAACCTTTATGTCAGAAGTTTCTCGCGTGTTTCGGTTTTTTGCTAGTTTTTTATTTGATTTCTTTAAATTTCTAGCGTTCTAGGGATTTATAGTACCTCACTGAATACTTTAATAGCTGCCACCCCCGCATAACTTCTTGCGAAAACAGCTGGACGCCCACTCGCCAGAACCACATGTGGGCCCCCATTTTCCGCTCATCCCCGCCGTGTTTTTGGCGAATCTGTCGCAGGATTATTCGTCCTCGGTTTTTCACTATTTCTAAGTGTTTCTACACGTTTCCGGTGCCAAGAAAAACAGTGGCGATCCCCCTTCGAAAAAGCCGTGGGGGTATCCCGTTTCGCCAGTTTGGAGTGTCCGCTTGCCCCGGGCCGGACGAGAGATTGGGCTCCGGTTTCGGCGCTTTCGAATGTTGCTTTTGCGGGCCCCGGATTGCTGGTGATTAGCGTTTTAGTTTCTGCTTTAGCGAAACTTTTCCCTCTTTCGTTGAACATTTTTAAATAGTTTTATTTTTTAATGTTTATTTTTTAGTTTGTAATTTTAGCTAAGCTTTTGCATCTTTATTTGGACATTTTGTAAAATATAACTCTGGCTGTAGTTTACTTTGCTTTTATTTGTACTTTGTGAATAACATTACTTGGAGTTTGCAGTTTGGAGTGGTAGCTGGACTTTTAGTTTTTCTGCATTTGGCTGGTTGTAGTTTGTGGTTTTTGTTTTATAAAATTTTTGCCTCTTTATTAGCGCATTTTGTAGTTTTAATTTGTAGTTTCTAGCTTGTTGTGTGCTTTTTTAGCTTTAGCTGAATTTTAGCTGTTGAAGCTTCTGAATTTTGCCCTAGCTAAATAAAAACATGATATTTTAGTAAATTTCAGAAGTTTAACGTTATATTCGATTTATGAACTTTGCATTTTCTAGCCATAAACCATATTCCCAACGCTCTAAACCTCTCCTTCCACCCAACCAGCCCTCCTACACCTCAAAAAAAGTGGTTTACAGCCCCCGCATGTGACTTCCTGTAAGCAGCTTCCAGCCGACTGACTACCTCCTGCTCCCCAACCAACTGATCCTCCTTTTGTGTCCGTTCAGCCGCAAAACCTTGGCGCGCGTTTCCCCGGGCCGTCGTGGTGCGAGGAGGTTGAGTCTCCTTTCTCATTCTCCTCCTTGCTGTGTCAATTCTTGTACGGGCTGAACCTGTTTTTTGGGGGCTGCCACACCCACGTGGCCATCGATTAGCGGCCAGCCCCTATCACTCTCGGGGTAACGTTTTTTTCCGGGTGGTGCATTATGAATAGGCCGGAAACGGGGCGGGGGGCTAAAAGCCTTGAAAGTGGCGAGGCTTTTAAACCGGTTTTTTGGGGGGTGATATGGCTTTTTTACGGGTACATGGGGGTTTAGATATCTTTTTTCACGGGTTTGGCGTTGTAAATGTTTTAATACTAGTTATCAAGGCTCTAAGACTTGCCTTTGCTTTTGTTTTGAGCTTATAATGGCAGGTTACGATTAAAGTTACTGTCGTTCGCTATAGCGTTTCATGCATTTTTTACAGTTTTTCGGGTTTGAAGTGTTTTAGTGACATTTAGAAGGCTATAAAATTTAACTTACTTTGATTTTTGAGCTCATCTACCCGTTTTTAAAACGTAACAAGCGTTATAAGATTGTATCCGGGGATTTTAATGAGTTTTTATGGTTTTTAGGTTGTAAATTGATTATTTCTATTGAAACCCGTGTTTAATTAAAATGTACTTTCTTTCGTTTTTTTCAAACTGCCAACAACTCGTTTATGGCGTAGAAAACCCTATAAATTTGACATTTTCAACCCACGGGTTCGATCCCGCCTTGCGTCATCACGTGTTTTTTTGCTTTTTGCCATTGTCGCATCCCCTGGATTTTTTTTGTGGATGATCGGAGAGAAGGGGTTGGCCGATGGCGCTAAGCCACGGCAAATACGCCACAGTGAAACGCTGTTTACTCTCCCGTTTTCCACATCGATTCTCATCGTTGCACGCCCACTCGTCACCAAAAAACAATTCTTTTGCCGAAACTATATGCTTTTGACTGTCGGATTCCCGATATTTTTAGTTCCTGGATAGCAATAGTATTGTTTGTTTATTTTAGTCATTGTCTCTGGCTCATTTGTTAGGCGCCCGTTTTGTTCCAAGGCAAAGTTTCGCAAGTGAAAAGCATTTTTCGAAGTGTCAACTAGCTAATTACACTAAAAGTACAAATTTTTTTCTATTTCTAGCGACATCTATCTACTCCTAAAGCTAGATTTGGACTTTTAACTTGACTTTTTGGTTCTTTCGCATTATCGGGGTGCCAACTCTTGTTCTAAGGATCCAATTTTCAAATATAAAACAGGAAATCTTTCTGAACAATTTTTACTATTCCGAAAGGTATTAACTAGACTTTTTATTGGAAAAAAAATTGTTTTTCGACCAAAATGTCACCTAAAAATTCTTTTATAAGTTTTTTTGATCGTTTTTCCACGTAAAATATAGTTAATTTTCCTAAAACTATTAAAACACTTAACAAGGCGTGACTAGGAATTTCTGGACTTTGACGAGAACGATTCTAATAGATTTTCTTCAAAAAGCCCTTTTGAACACCCCGAAATCCGACACTTTCCGTCTGCCGGCCCTGTCCTGAAAGTATATATTTTTTGGAATGTTCTTTCTTGTGTGTATTGTGTGGATGTGTGAGAAGGGCAGGTGGCAGTTGTCCCATACCTTCAATCCTTCCACCCCATCTCGTCCTCCTCGTTTTCCTCATTCTCCCCACCGGGGTTGATCCCCAATTTCTCATCGACAAATGGCCCTGCTAGGGGTCTATCCTTCCCTGCCGGTCGACCTCGATCCCCGCTCTTCTCATTCTAAACTTTTTCGCTGATTTTTTGTGGCAGTTTAAGCTATTTTCAGCGCTTTAGAAAAGTTGCATTTTTTTGAGTTATAATTTAATGCCGTAATTGTTTTATACGTCTTGGGATATTTTTCCACTTTTTATGGCTTCCATCGCCTAAAATAGTCTTCCAGGGCCAAACCGATGCTACCCGGTGCAGAAATTCGCAAAGATGACTGAAGTGGTAAGTATTTTTTTCCTGCGTTCCATTGAAAATAGAATAGAACCGAGGAAACGTTACGGGCAAAAATGTGTAATGTGACGGTGCAGCTCGTACTCAAAGCCCTAAAACGCTATTGTAGTCAGAGCGGCGCACTAGCCTTTCCAAACGGCGATACCCTGAAAAGCTTTGCCTCCACTGAAAATATCCCCCATGTTTCAGTCAAAAGAACAAATCGAGGAGGAGATCGAGCTGAAATTCTGGCTCTTCTTCATCGGCTACATCGTGTGTTCGGTCGCCTGGATCGGATACTGCATCATAAGCCATAGGAGGTATCGGAATATTCCTTACAAAATTATTAAAGTTGATTTTCGTCTTAGTCAACCTATTTTTAGAGATGTAGAGACATTGAAGGCTATGGAGGAGCAGCAGACGGGAAGGCGGGTTGAGCAAGAGTGGGTTTCTCCTCTGTTTTTTTGGAAATTTCGTGGCGCTTAGGAGATTACTGCGAAAGTACGAGAGCGTCCAAATGGAGGCGGCCGTACGGAGGAGCTTGTTGTTGGAGCCGACGGCCCCACCGGTTGATGTTCACGATATTTGAAGATTTCTAGAAATTGGTGGGGATTTTTAATTAACTTTTCAAACCAAAATTTGTGCTCTTCCTGCCTTATAGAAAGCCTAGTAACTCTAAAAACCCCTACCCAACTAAAACAGGTCCATTTCACTTGTTCGCCCCGCGTCGGGATTTCCCCTCGGAAAAATGATTGAAAGGGTTGTGTCAATGGGGAGTGGAAAGGAATCGAGGAGGTCTGCTCCACTGACCCGCTTCCTAGCCAGCCAAAGCCCCGATCCTGAAACTCGTCCAGCTCGCGCGCGCCACCGCGGCTTTCATCTGGGTGCGCACCAGATTTAGTTGTTATTACGAATTTGGCAATTAGTATTTGGTCTCTATTAATTGTTACTCTTTCGATAGTCTAATTATAACAATTAACCTAGGCAAAATTCGTTTTCCAACAACCTATATCACTTTAAAAAAATTTGTTATTTCTAGCTCTAGGTAGCAAAAGAAACTAGTTTTTATAAAGAGACTCAATGGCTTGAAGGGTGGATTTCTCTGATAAGATAGTTTTTTTCGTTCATTTTCCATTTCAAAATTCAATTCATTAAAGCTTCTTCTTTCCCTTCCACCTTTTCCAGCTCCTTTCTAAAGCTTGATGGATCGTTTTTGCCTCCAAAGAACCTGACGAACCCCGCGAATCGTCTAGAACACGGCAACGTCACTTGAGAACCGGGCTGAATCGTCTTTATAGCGATCCCCCCCTCCACCCAACATCCACAGCTTCACCCTCCCCATTCCGAACATCTGGGCTCTACCTTAAAAACACGGCCCATCGTTTTTTTAATCATTCCTCTTCTTGATCCTTTCAGATCCTTTCAGATCAATCAATCCTTTCAGATCCTGAAATATGCTACGCCAATTATTCGTCTTTTACTACGTGCTGGCCGTCGTCGTCGTGGCCTTCGATAAGCGGCAGTGGATGAAGGGAAAGTACACGCAGGAGAAGCAGCCTCAATTCCCCCATTCCGACGATGATGGTCTTGGAAATGAGAACAGCAAGGTGAGCACCAAAATATTTTAGCAAAGTCGTTCAGTCTGGATGGTTGGCGAGAGGCTAACGCTGGCCTTTTTCCCCCGCAACGCCCAATATTCAGATGGACACAAATTGTTAGGCTTTTTTGGCCCATTTTTAATTAAAGAAAATTCGTATAACTTTTTTTTCAAAAACACTATTAAAATAGAAAAAAGCGCTAAAAACTTAACTATATGGTTGGTTAGATTGTTAACACCCCGTTAACAGCCTAGTACCGCTTTTTGTATCCAAAACCCATGAATTTCTAGCCTAATCAAAATGGAAAGATAAAAACCGGTTTCAGCACCCGATTTCCCGGCGTGTCCTTCGCTGGGAACGATCCGCGGAGCCGCTTTTTGAGGTGAGCTAGCAAAAGAAACTGATCACGCTTAATAAAAAGTACTAAAATACAAGCTATAAATCGACGTTCAGCCCGACGCCGATTTCCCGCTGCCCACTGATCTCCAGGTGTTGCCCAGCGACCTCGATTTCGTCAAAGTTCGACCGTAAGTTGGAAGGCGAAGGCATAAAGCACTAAAACACGGCCAAAAATAAATAGTTTCAGTTTCAGACATCTACCCGCCAAGACGAAGCCCTCTTTGACGAACAATGAAGTCGACTACGACCCCGCTGTTGAATTTTAAACCTAAAAACCTATCAAACTCACTAGAGCTATTCTCGGCTTGTCAATTCTTGCTAATTTACCCGTTATATTCTGATAATATCATCCCACTACGCCCATCGCTTACCCCGAGTGGAAATGCCGGTATTTTTCTGTGCTCTTTTTTTTTGCTGTTACTTTGCTACCCTCAGACTTTGCTGTGATGCCCGATGCAATACCAATTTGTGCCTGATAAATGTTTTAATGTTTCGCGATCTGTCAGGCCCAAAATCCCCCAAAACAGTCCACTTTACATCCCCCAAAAAACCTATAGCAACAATTGACGTTTGGCCGCCAAAAACTCGGGATGGCCGGTCCTCTATGGCAATTATCGCGATCGAATAATCGCTTTTGGAGTGCGCGAACGGATGGGTCACCCCGGGATTGTCACTCGTTGGCCCGTGATGCAGCGCTTGGCCGTCGTTATGGCTGTACTTTTGGTGCTCACGGTATTTTCGCCGCTTCTTCAAACGCTTTTGCCCTAGAAATCACAAGACGATCAGCGCCTGGGCTTTGCGGATACGCTGCGCAGTCTGTTCGACGGCCAGAATGGGATCAGCTATGAACAGGTAGAAGAGGACGATTTTCTAGAACTAAAAGTTATAAATATAGTAAATTAAAATTCAGCTAAAAAACGCGGCCGTCAACTTTATCGGCTCGGGGAATAGCACGGTGGTACAAGGGCTGCGCGATATGGTGAGTCCGCTGTTCGATTCAGCGATAAAAATAGGGTTCTTTTAGGTGCTGGGGAAAACTACTGACGCGCAACTTGGCAACAAAATCGAAGACGTCAAGGAGAATCTCTCAGAAAAGGGGAAATCTGCACTGGAGCAGGTGAGTGAGCCCCCCTTCCCGGTTGATCCAAAATAGAACCCCCATAAAAAATTATATTTATGTTTTGAACAAGGCGAATAATATTGTTCGTTTAATTCCCGGGTCTTAATTTAAATGGAGCGCAATCGATCGATTAACTGGAAAGAACCGGGCAAACTTTCTTATTTTAACCCAATATTTGTATAAATAAAACAGTACTAGAGGAAATGCGGTAACTAACCTACAAAACCCCTTGATTTTCAGATCATGTCCTTCCTGGGCGACTCTAACCATTCGGATTCCTTCGTCCATGATATGGTCCGCCGCGTGCTTGGCCAGCAATCCGGCCAAGATCAGGTAATCCGCAAACATAAATAAAGCATCCCTGCCCGTTTAGTCAATGCTGAACCAACTCCTCTTCGGCAAATGATCAAAAAAGTAGTTTTATTGCTGCAAGTAAACGGATAAAAAAATAACACGAATCTTTGGTGGGTGAGATAGTTGCTGGGAAATTTAAAGCGTGGGGCCTGATGAAAGCAATATCTCATGGCAGTTTGAGTACGAGTTAATAAAAAAAACAACAATTAAAATCGAGGAGTGGGCGAGGATTGTAAGAATTGACACTGGCCGTGGGGAACAGGTTTACCATACAGACTGGGGGATAGGAAAAACCATCCAAATCGCATTAATACAGTGTAGTTCAAATTACGCACCACACAGCAAAAAAAATATTTTCCTATAAAATATGACAAGTGTGTGGGGAGGTTTTGCACGGGCATTTGGGCAGTCTAATCTAGGTATGACACGGGATTAAAAAGGCTTATTTGAATGGGCCTGGGAAGTAAATACGAATACTGGCAAAAGTATACCAAACTTTAAAAAATACTAAACATAATACTAAGCCAAGGGGCGCCGACTACGGCGAGGCGAGATGGGGCGAGAAAATGATTATCGTCTAACGGAGACTATTCCGATCCGAGTCGCGATGAGCAAGTCGTCTCGGAGTCGTGCGAGCTCGTCGATGGTCTATCCGCGTGGTTGACAGGGCTCGGAGATACGGACGGGTTTGGCGTTTTTCTGAAACAAATTTTTAACCATAATTTCACTTTATTTGCATTTTTGTTCAAAGTCTTATGTCATCTCGAGGCCTAAACAAACTAGTACGAAAGGACCCGATTCCCGCCGTCGATAAAGCCTGCTAGAAAAACCAAGTTCATTCTCACAGCTTTCGTAAAGTTAATTTAAAAAAATTAAATTAGGGAAATAACGCTCAAAAAGGTGGATTTCCGTAAAAAGGAATTCACGAAAAGGGCAGTAATGAAAGCGACGTACCTCTTCCTCAGGGCAGCGGCACGGCGAAGTTGTGCTCGATAGTAGTTTCGGACTGCCTGGTTGGCCTGCTTGACCACCTGTAAATGATTCAAAACTAATTTCAAAGGTGATTCGCATGCCTTGTACTTGTAGACGAGGTGCGTCTTTCTGAAGCGGCCCTCGTAAAGTTCCTGGTCTTTCCAGAGCACTTTCACCTAAAACAGGGGTCATTCAAGGGTGGATTACCATAAAGACCAGCAAAAATAATTGAAAAAATTGTACTAGTGAAAAATCGGTTCTAGAAAATTGACACTGATCAACAAACTGATCAACAGCTAACTGAACTTCCGGGCAAATAAAAGTCGGAAAACTATCTGAAGCACAAATTCAAATCGCTAGCGACTGACCCGAGCTCCCGGGGTGTGGTGCACGTTGTCGCAGCGCTTGCAATTGCATGACTTGATAAATTGGCACTCAGTGTCGTAGGTGACCGAGTCGCTGTCACGGAACTCGATGATGCAGCTGTCAACAGAAAATAGTTTTTTATTTGTAAAATGGAAATTACCGCTCTCCCACGCACATCTTCTCGACAACGATGCCCGTCTCACGCCCCTTCGGCGCCACAATGGCCACGCGCTCGCCGACGTAGAGTTCGAGTCTCTCGCGTTCCTCCTCAGACAGATCCGAGTCATCGTCATCAACTGCCAACAGATCGATGGCCGCTTGAGTTGGATGGATCGGCTGTCCGGGCTTTTTCTTTTCCGGAGGGCCTAGAAAATGAGATTAGTGATTTTCCGGAAATTGGAAGGCCGAAAACAGCGCTCCCGAAAATCTGAACTTTGAAAAATAAAATGACCGCTGCTTAGGCTTTTAGCTTACAAAATACCGAACTAGCTGCGGGCATTTTCGTGTTTCTAGTTCGGGGAATCCGATTTTCGGAACTTTGATCAAAATTCCTAGAAAACTATTCGCGCTACCTTTTGGCACATTATGCGCTCCATCACAAATAAACACGGCCACGTCGGGGTACTCGCGGATCTCAAACCGGAGCTTGGCTGCTCGCGCGCAGGTGGCGTGCGCGTAAAAGGCCTAAATTTTCAGCTTACGGGGTTTCCCCAAAAACACGAGTACCTTGGTGCTCGTAGTTGCGCACTTTGCACATCGCAGAACAGCGTCGTCACGTCTCTAAGAAAGGATAGTAGCCAGAAATGGGCGCTCTACCTTGCAAAGGGCGCAAATAAAGACGAGTCCCTGGGTCGACAGCTGATTTTGGTAGGCGTCGGGAAGCGGGATGCTGAAAAATTAATAGAAGACTTCTCAAATCGATGATTTAAAAATACATTTCGGTATTTTTCGAGCAGCAAAAACACTAAAAATCAATAGAATTATTACTTTGTGTCTTTCCGCCCATAACGTGGTGGTAGTTTGTGGATGGCGAGGTCCCGCTTGTTGGGGTCGGCGAAGCAGACGGAGCGGGAGAGGATGGCGCAGATGACGTGGGCCCATCCTTCATCTGATCCCGATTGGCACCTCACAAAAGCTCCTGAAAACAGACCGTTTCATTTCACAAAAATGGCAAATAAAAAAATAGTCATACCTCCTCTAACTTTGCACAAACGACAACTGGTCCATGACACGAGAAGAGAGCTCGGCTGTTGGCAGCGTTGGCAGCGCCAGGTGGCTCCTTCTGGAAGCGGAAGCGTAACTTCAAAATCTAAGACGTACGCTGTGGCACTTCCGGGTAACAGCGTCGATGCACGGTGACAAGACAACGCTCGCATGTCAAAAGCTCGTCCTGAAAAGTGAAAAGTCACGGCGAAATTCGAGAAAAATCACCTCTTGCAAATCTGGCGCAGTGGGGGAAATTACCGGATTTTTGGAGAAGCACAGGAAGGTCGTGTAGCGGCGGGATCTAAATCTTTCGTGTAACAGCGAAAATTGTTCTTTGTATTTCCCGGGGTCAAGTAAATTTTTTCCTATATGCATAGTAACGCAATTTAGAAAATCAGGTTTCTTAGAAAAGCTATCTTTCAAGTGACGTCATTTAAAAAAACCCCGCTAGAAATCTAAACTTTATAAAATTTTGCAAAAAATCTTCCTTATATTCTCAATCAAAATTACTAAAGATTGCGCATAAAAATCATAAAAAACGCGCGCACACTTGCTTTTTTACAATAGAAAAACAGGATAAAAAAAGCTTGATTCTTCCTATAATGCTATGCAGCGGGGGAAAAATACCTATGCGGCACAGCCTCCTTTCTCTTCACGACCGCCTCGTCCGGGCAAAAATATTGGCACACGGCGCAGTGCGACCCTTCACGCGCTCGTTTCGTATTCCAGCGCTGCTCCAGCTCCAGGTTGGCGACACAAGTTGCCCACATGCCAGCTGAAACGGATAATTTTTAAACAGATAAATAATTCAAAAAAATCGTCCAATCAACGTACCGAACCGGCGCCGGACCTGGGTGGCTTGACTTTCTTGCGCCTTCAGCGTTGAGTCCACCGTGTACCAATATTCTTCCCACTTCGGGTAGAGCTCAGGGCGGTATCGTAGCGCGTAGTTGCGCATGTCAATCGTCACGGGATGTGCGTCGCACTCGCACACCGTGCTATTCTAAAGTGCATAATCGTTGCAAAGTTTTGAATCGAACCAACCATTCCGAAGTCGATCCAGCGAGGCGAGGCAAAGTTGGTGCTCTCCGCGCAGTTGTAGCCGGAGTTGAACCCCATGTGGTAACCCTAAAAAATGACAATTTTGGCAAAGAACTGGTCCGTTAGCGGGGGGGGATCATTTACTCTTATGCAGCCTAGCCTATTTTCTAATAAAGCATCGGTATATTATTATAGTGGTTTGAGCAGCTTCCAATTTCCTTTTCTAAAATATAATTAAATTAGAGAATTTACAGTTTTGGCCATAATTTCGACAAAAAACTCAAAATTTTACGAATTTGATTTTTACACTGAACTTTTTTTATGAAGATGCATACAGTTTTGACCATTTATCATAAAATTTTGTCCAAAAAGGCAAAATGTTTCAAATTTGCAATTTTTTATGGACTTGTCTAGCTAAAAAGGCGTAAATGCTATTAAAATAGTGTCTATTTGATTATTCTGCGTTTAGCAATTATGGAGCATAGCAAAATCGTAGTCACCCGTTAACCCCTCACCCCCCGTTAACAAACGAGCACCCTGAAGAAAATTAGGAAAACTGTCTAACCTGCGGAAAAGTGAGGATGAATTCGTTGGCGCGCTGGATCATAGTGCCATATTTGATGTTGTGCAATCTGAGAAGCTCCGGCGAAATGATGATAGACTTGTGGCGGGCGAACGTCGGGCAGCGCTCGAAATCCGCTGGGAAATGAGCCTGCATCAGGCGCTCAAAACGCTCGGTGGACTCTGGGGAGATGGAGTACCAGAACTACAAAAAAATAGTTAATTGTTTTCGTTTTCAAAAAGACCTTGGGAGCGCCGAAATGTAGATAGTTGATCGAATAGAGGTCCATGTCTTCAGCGTGCCATGCAAAAGTCGTTTTCCACATCCCAAAGTACATGTAGGCCGTGTGCACGCCGGGCATCGCCTAGGAGCCACTTTAATAGAACATGGAGAAAATTAACCCCTTGTTCGACCTTGCTCTCATCTAGAATTGTGCCGAGCCGCGATATATTCCAAGTGTTGACGTCATGATCGTAAAATCCTCCTAAAATGAGCGTATTAGCTTGGTAGCAAAATTACCTTCATTGTCGGCCCCGTAAATCGCCTCGCCCTCGGTGATGTTGCTCCAATAGTACCTGAAAGTGCGTATAAAATGGCCTGAAAAACTCACTCTTCAATCTCGGGCCAACGAGCGTTCTCCGGTAGAGGGCAGCTGTACTTCTTGCCGAACGCCATTTTCTTGTACTCGGTCACTTTCACGGATTGCATGACTCTCTAAATCAAATATAGAAAGCGTCACCAGCAACGTACTGGAAATCTTTTATCGTAGACGCCGGGAACCACCGCAACAATCATTTCCCGATCAGCCCCGCTAAAAATGAGTTATTTTAAGGTATAAGAAATTTTACTTCAGTACGTATCTCTCGATATCCTTGACGTCTTTCTTTGAGGGCCTAGGGTTGAATTCTGGAGGCGGGATCACCTAAATTTGATATAGTAACCATAATCAGCTAAGGGTATACCTTCACGATTCCAGATTTGATGTGCGCACCGGCTTCTTCCGCTTTGGCGACGAAGGCGGAGAAATCCTTGAACTCGTCCCAAGTCGGCCGTAGTGTCATAATCTAATAAAATTTCCAGATTAAACCTTAGGATAGATTTTACCGATCCGGTTCCGGTCGGCTCGTAGTCGATGTCGGGCATATCCCTCAATCCACTGGTCGAGGCCACACCGATACCATCGCCGGCCATGGCCGCCTGAAAAGTTTTCTATTTCGCGTATAAAACCGAGAAGAAGCACAGTGAGATCAAGGATATCATAAAAATAATTTACACGTAATTCGTGGGGGAAACCGGTTAGCAAAATCACAAGTTGCAAGTGTTAACAGGGTTTAGCTCTTTTCGCTGGAGGCGCATTTTCTTTTTCCTCGGCTGAAGCGCGGGCCGCTTCCGGCGCACACTTTCGCTTCTTTTGCTCTTTTTTGCTTTGCCACAGGGCCTGAATCTTAGCAACGCTGAGCCCACTAGCGTTCGGGTCAAAATTTAACCTCAGCATTTCCTCGCAATGCGCCAAGAATTCGTCGCCACGATTTCTCTTCACGGGATCGAGCAGTAGTAGGGCATGGAGGAGCCGGAATAATTCTTTGCCAAGTCCGTCCTTCATTTGTTTGTAGCCCTCGATACCTTTTCGACATATACACAGTCCGGAGTCGTTTCCTTCAATCAATTCGTAGCAAGTTTCGCAACAATCGCTGAAGGTCCACGCCTCGATGGGGCTTCCAGAGCGGCAGAACTCATGGTAGGCGGTCAGTTTGAGCAAGTCAAGCCCGGGCGGTTTTATTTTCATCACTAGATTTCGACCATATTTATTTGCCAGCGCACGCATCCGTTCGTAGCCAAATAGGGTGCTGAGTTGGAGTAGGGCCATTCCATGTGTATCGGGACGAAATACGGGTAATTTTCTGAGCAATATTCCGAGCAGTATCATTCCGGTAGCCCACAGATCAATGGCCTCGCTTCTCCACTCGAATCGCAGCTCGACCTCCGGCGGTTTGTATCCACGAGTGCCCCAGTCGCATGATGTGAATCCTCGCTGTCCCTTGCAGAAATTGCAGATGCCGAGCTGATTGAAGCATGAGCAAGGAAAGTCCTTTTCCACAGCTTCCAATCTAGCTTCGTAGTACTCACGTGGAGGAAGATGGCCCTGAAAGGCTACCAAAAACTCCCAGTCCTGTTCCGTCCTTGGGCCTTCGTGCAATAATGCCTCTTCGACATCCGGACTTGCATTGGCGAGTCGATTGATGTATCCATCGGGGTTGAGCTCGGCTAGGCCCTTGAAGAGCTCGACCGCAAATCCGTATCGATATTCAATGTCTCTAGCTTGGCGATGTTCAAGAGCTTTTTTCGCAAATTCAAGATGTGCTTGCTGTGCGAGAAAGGGATGAGCTTGAGTGATGAGCAGCTCGGCGTCATCCGCTCCTTGATACCAATTGTCCGAATAGATTTGTGCTGGTCTTGGGTAGAAAACGGGGATCCGTCTCTCCGTGTCGTGGAATGATGCGAGGCCAAAGTCGATTATGGCGAATTTTCTGCGGATCGGGTCGTACAGGATATTTGCCGGCTTGATGTCGTTGTGGATGATGCCGAGCCGATGTATTTGCGCCAGTGCAGCCAGAATATTCTGGACGTAGATCATCGCATCTTGGTGAGAAAACAGGGGCACCAGGTCCCGTAGTCGGATCGGGTCCACGTAATCCATCAGCACGAAGAAGCGATCGAGTAGACGCATTAGGGCGTAAGTCTGAAAGGAAAAAGTTTAATTTCGGGGCTACTCCTTAAAAAATTCTTGGCAGTATGGAGAGGCCACTCTTTGTTTCGTTTTTTCGAGTCATCTAAGCTAGTTTTTTGCGCTATCTTCGAATATAGCAAAATAAAAATCGGGATTCCCCCGTTTTTATCAGTTTCAACTAAACTATACTCGGATAGTATGAAAATTTTGGCCCTGACTTCTAGTAAAATGCGTACCTTGATGATAAATGGCTTATCATGGAGCAAGGTGAGCGCACGGAATTCAGCGCGAATCGCCGTCTTGTCGACCAGAAAGTCCAGTGTCTTCAAGGCGCACACCTTCCCATCCTTCTTCAGTTTTATTTTGTCGACATGTCCGAAGCCACCGCTTCCCACCTCACGCAGCACTTCGAACTTCTTCGCGAATGCCTAAAAGCGCAGTTTTTCAGCCGCAAAATTCCTTAAAAACGCTTGCTACCCTCAAAAAACACACCTTCACTCTCCGTTTATAGGGCTCCGGCCGTGGGAGACGCCCTATGTATGGTTGTGGCCTGCGTATTCCATTCTTCGGGATTCGATTCTGCTGGATCGGCGGTGGCCGGAGGAAGCCGGCGATCATCTGTCCGGAAAAGAAAGAAAAGAATTAGGGAATGAAAAGACAGTGGGCGGCAGAGAGTGCCAGGGTTGAGAGGGCGCAGACCGGGTGGCATTGCGCCAGAAATCCTATCGACAACTTGCCCCGGCAACATAGCTTCTTCAAAGGGGAAAAGCTTTGGGATAGGTGGGGGAAAGGAGAGAGCAGGGGGTACTAAAAAAATCGGCTCTAAACTTTACTCGATTTTATTTCTGGTCGCCTAGGGATAGTGGCGGAAAGCTGCAAAAGGCTGCCTCCACTTCACTATTTTCACAGATTATTCACAGTTCCGGTGGCGCATTAGACAAAAAATGGCAGTATTTTGCCATTTAAAATACCACCAAATGCCAAACTCGGCAATATTTCGGAATCCGGGCTCGGATTCCAAACAGCTCCCCAAAAATCACCAAAATTTGTGTTGCAAACTTCGCAGTTGGGCAGGTACTGGAAAACGAGAGGGCACGTCAAAACTCGACCCCGCACTCCCGAATTCATCAGCCGCTGACGATAATTCACCCCCAAAACCCAATCATCTGGTGTCCCAAATTTATTTACAAGTACCTATGAAGGCAAACAACAGGTTACATTATTTTACTTCCAACTATATCCTATTTCACCCCAGCCAGGCAAATCGCCTAGGAATTTTGAGCTGTTCCCCCGAAACGACTGCACTCGCCAGTCAGACACGGGAAGCGAGAACGGAACAGCCTAGCCCCCCTTCGTATCTGTTTGCAGTCACCAGGCTCCCCAGCCCATCCAATGGTCGCACTGGGCGATCACGGCCTCCCGAGCTGCGCCGATAAAAGCCCGCATCACGAGCTCGCTCCGATCCACAACAAGAGCCGTTTCCGAGGCCGATGTTCAATGGCGGAAGGTGGAGGTCGAAAGTTGATTTTTGTGTGGTTTCAAGTTTATGGATGAGTCTAGGGGTCTAGGACGAATTTGTAGTTTGTACAAGGCTACTGTAAGGCTATCTCATGTCGCAGGGTCGAGTGGGGATTGAGAAGCCAAAAGCGCACTGCATATTCTTAATTTGAAAATATGACGCGTCCAGGTTTCCTAGGCGTTGAGAAATTGACTTTCAAATAAACTAGTGTTCAACCGGCTGGGTCGAAACGAGCTACCAGCTATTTATAAAGCCGACCGATAGACTCGGTTTTAGTAAACCCGGACTGAACTGAATACTAGTAACTGCCCCCGGAATTTCCAAGATATACCCAAACGGCAAACCAAATCCACCTATCAAACTAGAAGGCCTTCAAACCCAAAAAATTGGGGCCCAAAAATAGATGGGTCTTTTCTTGGCGTACTCGGTGCAACCGAGTGCATAAAGGCCTGTAATTTAGAGGTTAAAAGTTGTTTCCTGATCAGTAAAAAGCTTTTCAATTTGAGAGTTTCCCTGCGATAAGCGCCTAACATTGCTTCAACGAGTTCATCGACGATCGTCGTTTGAACCTCACTTTCTCAAGGTTTCCCACTCAAACTACCCGAAGGCATCATCCCGTCGCCTGGAGCGTCCCTCAAACCCTTCAAACAGTCGCGCGTTCTATATTTTTGGCCCCAGGCGTTGACCCGATGCCTTTGGGTACAATAGGCCCATTGGACCACCTGGCGCGTCGCCCGTTCAAACGTCGGCGGGAAGGAGTGAGGGAGGGTGGGGCGAGGCGCCCTCATTCGCCCCCAGCCCCGTCTTGCCTGCACCCTCCGCCCGGCTCGCGATCAATGGCCGTGTTCGCGCCGGTACGCAGCGCGACCACTGACGCAGTCAAGGGGGGCAGCCTGCCAAGCCACGCCCTCGGCGTCCGCTTGGGGCACGCCGCAACCACATACACCACTCAGTCCACCACCCCGTCGTGCACCAGCACTTCCTTCAGCGTCGTTTGGGTGCACTTCTCGTTAGATTGTACCGTAGGTTTTGGGGGGTGTATCTAGATCTAGAATATTAGTACTACATAGTTAAGCTGTTTCCCTACTTCTCTTTGATCTTACGGCGTTACAGTACCCACGCCAAGGTATCATAAAGCGCGCAAAAGTAGTTAGGCGACCTCACGATAATTGGGTAGATGGGGGTTTGAGATTAGATAGAGATTTAAAGAATTATTATTGTGTGGCATACAACTTTCAATGGGTTCTCATTCATCGTAGGGGGTTACTGTAGTTGATCGCGCGGAAGTAGCTCAAGGCCTGAAAAAGTACTAGGCCTTCTTCTACAAAGGTCGGTCGAAGAGAAAGCTTTTCTTTGGTTCTAGATTCCTGAATCTATAGCTTATTATGCCATCCGCCCGTATAACCCAATTATATTGACAGCAAAAGCGCTCCACAGTAGAAAGCCCTAGTTCCGGAATTGTAAAGATTTTCTAAGCCTCAAAACCACTAGTCCACAGTACCAATCATTCCTACAACATCCCGATAATAGCCAGATTCGGAACCTAATCGGCCGGTGTTGTGGAAAGACTCTAGGCTGTTGGCCCAACCTCGCTCCCCTCGGCCCAGCCCGCGATCAATGTCCCTTGGTCGCCGCAATGGTCGCCGCGTGCGACCGAGAGCAGAGCCCTTCCCCCATCCCCCAGCCTTCCTTCCCATTGCCCAGTTCCCCCCACACAGCCCTCCCATTCACTCACGTCCTCCTTCCCTCCTTTCTAGCAAACCTTTCCGCATTCTTTCTGCCTATGTACATCCTTGCTTACATTCCCTTACGAACATATCGAACTTTAGATGGCTCGAGGACGTCCCGCCGGCTCGAAGAACAAGGCTAGCCCCAAGAAGGGAGGCAAGAAGGCCAAGGACCCCAACGCCCCCAAGCGCGCCATGTCCGCCTTCTTCTTCTGGCTCGGGGTATGAAAATCGCGGCACTATCGAAACACAACGTTTTTAGGAGAACCGTCAACGCATCAAGAAGGACGGTATGGGCGTCGCTGAGGTCGCCAAGGCCGCCGGAGAGGAGTGGGGTGTCCTGAAGGACAAGTCGGTAAGTGATTTTTCAAAATGTAATTGTCAAAAGCCCAAAAACATCTATCAACGTCATAACCCTAACCTTTTTGCAGAAGTGGGAGAAGATGGCCGAGAAGGACAAGCGCCGCTACGAGACCGACATGGCCGCCTACAAGAAGAAGAACTAGAACAATTGCCCACCTCAGATACGATTGTACATAACAAATCCCAGAAACACCGTTTGGCCTGTATCCACTGATCTCTCTCCAACCATGGATTTATTTGCAAACTTCCTTGGAAATAAAAAACTTTGAGCTCTTTATGCCAACAAAATAATGCGAAACAACAATTACAACGTGCAACAACAATTAACGGATCAACAAAAAAATATCAATAACAAATTATTGGTCGCTTGAGGTGATCGACTTGAAGCTGAACTCGAACAGCTTCGCATTTTCCTGTCGCAATTTGGCGACCTACAGAAATCGAGAGTACGGTAATCTGACCAACCTGTTGTCGCAATTTCTGTATCGTCTCGCTCTCGCTTTCATTTTCAGCCGTCAGTGTTTCATCTAGATACTTATAAAGCTAGCGCGAAACCGATACCATTTTTCCCACTTCCTCCATCTTCAACATTTTTAGTAGCCTCTTCTTTGGATCCTGTTGTTCGAGTCGATCCTGCCCTTTCCAGCAGTCGCTCAAGCAGTTGGTCGTTGAGCTTCGAGAATTTAATCTAAATTTCACCGATTGTTTTTAAAAGTGGCCAATACGCGATCGTGTTCCGGGTCCTCTACAGTTCGAGTTATCGCAACGCTCTTCATGACACCCGTATTCCTCTGCAACACCAAATTCGGCCGTGATGCCGCCGCCGGGATTTCTTGGGCATGAAGGGACGGGAAGTACGGCAAAAATGACACACAACTGATTGGCCCGCGCATAGTTGAGGTCTAGAAATTATTCGAGTGACAGGTAAAAAAAGATACCTTCAGACATTGCCGACTTTGAATATCCCAGATACAGTATTTTCCTTCGGTATCACTGCTAGCCAACATTGTTCCATCACCATTCACAGCCAGCTGCGTAATTTCGTGCTCGTGTCCGGAAAATATCTGAGAAATAGTAAATAAAATAGAAAGAGTAGATATACCGGATACTTCTCATCTTTCTTGTTGCCCAATTGGATGAGAACTTCAAAGCGATTTCCCTAATAAGTATATTTTCACGGTCCTTATCAGTAAACTTACCACTTCGTATAAGTTGATTTGGGCGATATCGCCACTTTCTGCGCCGATGAAAATACGTGTCTCGGCCGGGTCAATTGCGCATGCAGTCAGGGGATGTTCCGCAGCCACCTAAACAAAGTAAGCCAATCGGTCTACTTAAAATACCTTCAACAACGGAGCATCAAGTGATATCGAATGGAGCAAGAGCGCATGGTCGCGTCCGACTGTGGCGATGCGGGGAGAACCGCCGGAAGTAACGGCGACTGCTTTGATCGCCAGTGAATGAGCGGCCCATTCGCGAAGTGGCCGAATCGCCGCCACACGATCGACATTGACAATCCTAAACGAACATTGATAATCACGAGCAAGCAGGCTTACTCCGAAACTAAGTAAACGTGCAGTTTTCCATCTTTAGATGTGGAAATAAGGATGGAGTCGTCAGCGGTCAAAACAAGTCCCGTAACTGCTTGATAATGTGCTTCCCAACTTGCCAAAAGTTCGCCGGTCGCCAACTGAAATTATTTATAGAGAGGAAGAAACAGTGCTCACCAGCCAGACAAATATTTGAGAGCCAATCGACACGTACAAAACAATGCCATCACTGGACGTTATCAAGCACTCCGGCGTACCTGGTAGCATAACCTAAAGCAAGAATAAAACCTAAAAAGAAACTAAGTATTGCCTTTTGATGGAAGCGGTCCTTGCAATGGAAGGCGATACAGTGCAGAAGAGGACGCTCTTTGATGCTGACCAAAAAGTGACGACCATCGCTGCCTAAACTGAAAGTCTGAACAATTTTGTAAATCTGACCAATTGGATTAAACAAGCCGATGCACGAATTCTGCAGCTCGGCGCCCTTGTAACTCCATGCCGAGACACCGGTGCGTGGGTCGACGGCGGTCACCGAATAATTGTCCGAGCTTTGACATGCCAGTAATAGGACCTGAAAATGGGATTTTTGATTGTAAGGAAGCAGTTACTTCTAAGGGTTTCGTATCCGTCAAGTTGAAAGTTGGCAGCTCGACTTTGGCCAAATTCCGGTTCATTCTAAAAAAATGATGCATTCTTTAAAGAGTTTTCTAAATACATAAAAAACAGTTAAAATAATTATACGCGGAACCCTATAAAGAAAAACTATGAAAAAGCAGAACCAAATGAACGCTCCACAACACTTAACGGTTTAAAATCACATGAAAAACGCACCGCTCCTATGTACGCGCTGGCAATTTGCCAAGTCGGCGTAGAAAAGGGGTCAGTGCTGAGTTGACAAAGCACCGATAAATCATTTTAGCATTTCTTTACTTTTATTTGGGGTATTTTTATTTTACTTTGGCCTTTTAGCATTATTTAAAGGTAGGCCAGCAACTAGCAATGCGACAAGACGAACCTAGCTCTTCAGATGGACTCGGGGAACAGGTACGAATTCTTGAAAATGCAAAGTTTTCGGTTTAGGTGAATCCACCGTTCCCCGATGGAAGTCATTCTCCCAAGAAAGAGTTGGTCCGTATTTTCACCCTATAAAGATGTTTGTTTAGCACTTGCGTGAACTGCGAGCCGAAGGGACTCCTTGAAGAAGAATCCGAAGCAGCCATCAAGGAGTTGTCCTTTGCCGTGACGAGCCTGTGCGTTTCCGAGATGTTGCCTAGGTATCTGAATTTCGACTTTTTGATTTATTTCTTCCTTTTAGAACCGAAAATTTGATGTTCTTGAATTTAACGACGAAGGAGGGAACTTCATATTGTATCGAGCTGACCGAGAAGGGATGGAGAATCGCATCCAACCGGTAATTTCTGGAACTTTTTTTCTCACCATCTTTTTAGGCATGATTGTATGAATGGGGACTTTCGGAAGCTAGACGACCACATTCAATATTTTTCGACGCTCTATCAACTGTTGGATTCAGTCTCTGTAGAATATAGAAATGCCTTTTGTGCAAGTTTATCCGATAAGTTGTTGGAATTCCAGAAGAATTGTGATACCCTGCCGAATGCATAAATAGTCGCTGATTTTCAATTTGTTGATATGCTGGCGGCGGTTCAATTCCGCGTCCGTTTCTCAGTACGCGCCGGGTACAAATTTCATATACGCTATTTTCAGGAAAAGTATGACTGTTTTTACGCGCAAAATTGCCGTTATGGGCTTCCCGTGTGTCGGAAAATCGTCGATTACGCTTCGTTTTGTTACCGGAGAGTATACGGATGAATATGAGACGACGATCGAGGACCTTCATGCCAAGAAGTACCGTTTTCACGGACAGGACTATTCGATTCTCATCACTGACACTACGGGCCAGCAAGAGTTTTCCCTCTTCCCGAACTCCTGTAGTTACGCCGACGGCTTCATTCTGGTCTATTCGATCGATGATCGCCGCTCCTTTGAGATTGTGCAGGCCATTTACGACAAAATTGTTGACAACGTCGGCGACGTTCAGGTGAATTTTTGAACTGCGGACTTCAACGAATTTTTATCTCGACGCTAATCAATGCCTTTTTTTAGCTTCCCATCGTCGTCGTCGGCAACAAGACGGACCTGAAGGCGAACCGTGTCGTTTCCCGTGAAGAGGGTCAAATGCTTGCCAACAAATGGAATGCCGTCTTTGTCGAGACTTCGGCTAAGGAGAATCTGATCAACGCCGACAACAAGAAATCTTCGAAAAGCGAGCGCAACCGTGCCTCGACGGGCGAATTCATCTTCGACTCGGTGCTGCGCCAGATCGAGCAGTCTAAGGGCAATCTCAAGAACCTTCAACCGATGATTATCGAGAAGAAGTGTATCATTATATGAACTACTCCTTCTGTGTGATTACCCTTAGCAGTTAGCTTGTGTTCCAACTCATTCCTTTAACTTTAGTTGTCATTTAACGGGTCTTCTTTCACGGTGCTTCATTTTAATGTACATATCCTTGTCTTATATTGATCTCTCCATCTCCGGTAATAACTGAACTGTACTTTTAGCCTGGTTCTCTATTCTCCGATTACGTACTGCAATCTAATAAAATAAAATTTCAGGTATGGGCCTTTTAGGGAACTTTTTCGCGCTTATATGGCTCGTCTGCTGTCTGCAGATAACAGGTGCTATTGTTTTGTTTAGTTTTCCAATCTATTTTAAGATGGCCAAGGGTTTGCGGCGATGTCCGTCGATTTCGGGTCTAAATTTATCAAGGTAAGAAATTCAAGCCGAAAACTGTTTTTGGTTTTAGGTCGGGCTAGTCAAGCCGGGAGTGCCAATGGAAATTGTGCTCAACAAGGAAAGTCGTCGGAAAACCCCCGCAATAATCCATATGCGCAACGGAGAACGGTAGAAATAATCCGGGTTCGAAAATAGTTTTTGGTTCAGGGCATTCGGAGACCCGGCTCTCGCCTTGGCAGTGCGATATCCGTCTACCGTCTACGGCAACCTGATCGATCTGGTGGCTAAGGAATTGGACCATCCACTCGTTCAACAATATCTTGCTGATTACCCCCATTTGAAGCTGGTCGCTCACGCCAATCGCTCGACCGTTGCCGTTCCTTTCGGGTTTGCTTTCGCGCTTCATCCAGGGATCCAATTTAGTGAGGAGACTTATTCGATCGAATCTGTGTTGGCAATGATCCTGTCCAACGCCCGTGATGCCACTGAAGCCTTTGCCGATCAGAGCGTGAAGGTGATATCTTTGTGCTTTTCTGGGAATTGCTTTTAGGATGCCGTAATCTCTGTTCCCGTTTTCTTCAATCAAGCCGAACGGCAGGCAATCGTCAATGCGGCAAAGATTGCAAAGCTGAATCTTCTACAGGTTTTAGCACGATAATTCAAAAAGATATCTTATGGTTTTTAGTTGATCAACGACGGAACCGCTGCTGGGCTAGGATATGGGGTTTTCCGTCGCAAAGAGGTACTTGAGCTTGTGAAACCTATTATTGGCCTTAGATTACTGAGAAGCCGCAACGACTGCTCATTTACGATATGGGTGCTGCGAAAACGACAGCCACACTTCTGGAATACAAGGTTGCCAAGGATAAGAAGGGCTACAAGGAGCCGCACATGACCGTGCTGGGCGTTGGATTTGACAGGTTTGTTTCCTATGCAATTATCAGTACCTTGCAGGACCCTTGGCGGAGAAGTGGTCACTTTGCGTCTCCGCGAGCTTCTCATCAAAAAGTTCCGGGAAAACTACAAAACCAAGGAGGACGTGACCACCAACCAGAAAGCCCTGGCCAAGATTTATAAAGAAGCGGAGCGCGTGAAACAGGTTAGCTGTAGTTTTCCCCATCGCAAATTGATAATTGCTAGGTTCTTTCTGCGAACGCCGACCATTACGCACAGATTGAGAGTGTTCATGAGGATGTGGTAATTCTATATTTTCCTAAATGGTGTACCTTTCCTAGGATATGCGCGTGAAAGTGACTCGTGATGAGCTCAACATCTTAATTGCCGACTTGGAGCCACGAATTGGAAAGCCGGTGCTCGACGCGCTTGATATGGCCGGCTTGACTATGGAGCAGGTTCCGGGTTTTCGGTGGCACTTTATTTCGGCTTTAGGTTGATCAAGTTGTTTTGATGGGCGCTGGCACGAGAACCCCCAAGGTTCAAGAAGTACTTCAGCTGGCCATCGGAGGGTATATTCTTATCCTTTATTCAGTGACTCTGTCTTAGTAAAGAGCTTGGCCGTTTCTTGAACACCGACGAGGCGATCGCAATGGGTGCGTTTTGATTCAGATAGATGATGATCCTGTTATTTCAGGAGGACTCTACCAGGCTGCCCATCTTTCGAAGGGTTTCAAGGTCAAGACTTTCCACGTTGAGGACCTGCAGCTTTACCCAATCCTGGTAACGCCGACCCTCCTAGGATTATAATTTCGTTATCCATTCAGGTTCATTTCACCTCAATTCAAAAGGATGAGAAGAGCGGAGTGGCTACCGAAAAAGCAATCAAGAAGCCGATCTTCGGCTACAAATCTATTTTCCCGACCAGCCGCAAAGTGAGTCCCGTCACTCTTTCTAAAATAGGCTGATTTAGGTGATGTCCTTCACTTCTCACGACGATGACTTTTCCTTTGGCCTGCACTATGGTGACCTTTCCCACTTTTCGGAGGAGCAGAGGAAGCTCACTGGCAGCGGACAGATAAACGAAGTCTCCATCAAGGGATTGAAGGCTGCGTTGGAGGAGAAGCTCAATGAAGATAACGAATTCAAGGGTGTCAAGGTAGATATCAAGAGTGCAATTTGTATCGGGATTTTAGGCCGCCTTTTCCATGGATTATTCGGGGGTTGTGCAAATCGAGGGGGCCGAGGCGATCATTGAAAAGAAGAGCAAGGGTGTCGTGGAATGTGAGTACTTTCGATCATCTTTGGGACCTTAATTTCAGCGGTAGACGCCTCCACCTTTTCCGGTAGGCTTACAGTTATATCGGGGCCTCATTTAAGGTTCTTGGCTCTTTCTGTTTGGCTGTGGGGTTATAAATTACAGCTATCATTTTCTTTAGCGCTGACGAACACGATCACTGGCTTCTTCTCAAAGGATGACAAGAAGGAGGAGGGCGAGCCTACTGAAGAAAAAGCTGATGAGAAGCCTCAAGCCGACACGCAAGACAGCGAAGAGAAGAAGGAGGAAGAAAAGGTAAAATTTTTCCTTCGTAGGTGTATTTGTACTTTAGCCGGCCACCGAGGAAAAGACTGAAGACAACAAGGACACCGCCGAGAAGAATTCTACCACCACCGAGGAGACAAAGAGTGGCGGCAACGCTACGGCCGAGGAAAAGAAGAAGAAGGAGGTGCCAGCCATCGTCAAGGTGTATTTTTTCGCTCTAGGATTATTAAGTTTTAGGTCAAACTCACCGTGGAGCAGAATCGACTTGACTCGAAGCCGGTTGACTTGGAAGAGCGGAAGGCTTCGATTGCAATGTCAGTTCTCTTTTTCCATACAGATGTTGTGTTTAGTCTGGAAAAATTCGAAAAGGAAGAGAAGCTTCGTGCCGAACGTCACCATGCTGAAAATGAGCTTGAATCCTATGCGTTTGAGGTAACTTTGCGTTCTACTGACTTTTATCCTTTCGCTATCCAGGCAAGCCTTCTGCCAGAAGAAGAGATTTTCATCGAACATTCAACGGAAGCTGAACGTGAAAAGATCATTGAAGAGGTATCGGAAAATGGTTAGTAGTTTTACCGTTTCGCTGTTTTAGACAAAGAAAGTGCGTACCTGGCTCGAGGACGAAACGGATCCCACTACACCCACTGGTGATTTCAAGCAAAACTACCACAAGATCAAGGATCTGGTGACCCCGGTGAAGAAGCGTATTGATGAGACCCAGGTTTGATAATCTTATCCTTCGCATCTTTCATGTTTTTAGAATCGCCCAGCCGCCCTGGAAGACTTGGAGAAGCTGGTGAACACGACGATGACTCTTGTGAGCATGACTAGAGCGAACATCACTGAAACCACCTCTACTGATGACGAAAAAGAAGTCAAGGCTTTGCACGAGGAGGTCAACGCTTTCGACGGAAAGGTCGATAAGGTTTGTTTGTCAGTTTCGAATTCAAGATCGTCTGGATTCCAGCTTGTCAAGTGGCTACTGGAAAAGAAGGAGGCCCAAGCCATGCTCGCTCAGAACGAAGATTCTGTTCTCAAGACAGAGGACTTGAAAAACAAGGTATATTTGTAATTTTAGCGCCCAAGATTTATGATTTTTAGGCTTCCGCCCTGCAACGTGCATTCACCCAGCACTTCCAAAAGATGACCAAGTTGACGCAGAATGTCGAGAAGGCCCGCAAGAAGGCAGAGCGTGAAGCCAAGAAGAAGGAAGAGGCAGAAGCCGCCGCTGCCACCGAGACCGAGACCCCCAAGCCTGAAGGCGAAAAGGTACCTTACTAGAATTTTTTGGGGTGTTATAGTGTTTTGTCAGTTTTTATTACCAAAAAAGTAAAAAGAGTTGAAATTTTTTTGATTTTGTATGTTTTGTTGGTAATTTTCCATGCATCTGGACAAAAACCAAATTTTAATAATGTTGGTATGAACTTTCCATACTTAAATACAGTGTGAAAAATTTTGGATTTTATTATTGGGCATCGTACGCAAAATTAGCCCCCCCCCGCCCCCGATAACAGTACCAATAACTTTTTCAGGTGACGACGAACGATAGCGAGGTGCCGACGGAGAAGCCAGAGACCGAGGAGCCACAAAAGAGCGAACTTTGAGCTCTCATCTCATTTTTGTTGCGTTTCACTTCTCTTTCTCGTTAGGGTTTCCAATTGGTTTGTGATACTAGTATCTCTGGCATTACCCCCTCCTTCTCCTCCTACCCTCTCTGCGTTTACCGAGTGTGCAAAGAACTCACGGGGCAATATGATTGTGGGCCACACGGCGGTTCCTGGGATCCAAAAAGTCACTGACTGTGTCTCATTGTTGGGTTTTAAAAACTAGGGTATTCTCTTTGTCCCAAAATCTCCCGTAACCTTATTCTACTCTAATAGCCCGAACGCTTGTGCATCGGTGTTTTTTGTTGTGGTTTTTCTGTGCATGTGATATCAATGGGTGACCGTTTGATAAACTTTCCAAGGATTATTCGCGATATTGGACAACACATGCTTGAAAAGCAACATTGGTATCCTTGAGAGAGTGCCGGCTGACCATCGCAGATCGCACACGCGTTCTATTCCCTCCATGGCCGCCTAAAACACACTAACGCGCCCCTGTCATTTGAAGGCCCTTTGAGCCCTTGGCCGTTATATCCGTTCAAAGCTAGATCTCATACTTTAATTCTCTACTTTAAAAACATTTATAAACTCCATTTTAGGGTCCTTGATGGAGACAAGAAAGCGGAAGGACCACCTCGAGACTTATATAGCCGATCTTGCTGTGAGCCCGGCCAAGCGGGCCAAATCCTTCGAGTTTGAACAAAAGTTGAAGGCATTTTATCGCAAAAAATGGTAGGGAATTGACATAACATAATCATTTGTAAATTTAGGAACGTCGCTGTACGCCCACCATGCGCGCAGGGTGTCGAGGTCGATTTGTACCGGATGTACGAAGTGGTCACCGGAATGGGTGGCTGGTCCAAGGTTTGGAGAAAGAATAGAAATAAATCATAACAATTTGTAGGTTTCGCAGCAAGAGCGCTGGTATGAAGTGGCGGAACAGCTCGGAGTCCCGGAAGACTGTCTGGGCGGAGAGTTTGGTGTCAAGATTTTCTACATGAGGTTGGGTCGACAGCTATCTTTGTTGTTTCGCAAAGATTAAATGGGCTGTAATAAGCAATAAACTTTTTCTTTTAAGGTATCTCTCCAAATTTGAACAAAGCGAAACCATCGGCGACATTGATGAATTGATGGACAGCGAGTTCACGAGGGCAGCAAGAGGGCGCCAGGTAATCCGGATGATCGAGTTCGGTAAACCATTTTAGATGTCATTCTTTGCGACAAACGACTGCCCGGTATCGCAGCCCTATAGAAGAGACGGTAAAGTCCTGTTTAAGGCGAAATATCTAATCTCGTTACAGGTCCGATATCTGAGCCTGACTATAACAAGTTGGTTCGATCGCTGATGACAGGTCTTCCGAACGAGGTGATAAATTTCTTGAATTCTGTGTAAATCTATTAGGTGGATTTTGCGGTGAATATCTGCACGTTACTCACGCATCCTGGACCACGGCTACTTCGCGTGGCCAAGGCCCAAGCCGTTATTAGTCTCTTGGTGGCCGCTGTTGGGATTTTTGACGAAGGTGAAAATGCTCCTAAAATTTCTAAGAGTTATTTTCAGCTGAGGAAGAGCTGCAGACGATGTACGAGACGGTGTGGCGCGAAAACGGCCAGCACGACTTTTACGCCTTCTGGATGGCTTCCGGCCTGAGCGCTGAGCAGCTTGAGCTCTTCTGCCCGGGCGCTGCCAAATACAAAGAAGATGATACCCTGGGGTTGCTGTCAGATATCACGTTGATCTACGATCCAAAGGATGTGTTGTGCTGGCGAGTGTATCAGGTAGAAAAATTTTTAAGATTTTTTTTTTTCGTAAATGGCGAATAAGGCGGACCTGACTTTTACCACTTTCAGGTCATTGGCATCATGCGCAATCTATCGTTTGAGCCGATCAACCGGGTTCCAATGGCCCAAAACTGGGCGCTTATGAAGTAAGTTTCTTATACTTTTAGAGGCCCGGTAAAATATTTTCCTGAAATATCGTTATGTTTTTCAGATTTTTACTTGCTTGTGCAAACTGTAAATTCCCTCCAATCTTCAACCCGGCCTTTGATGCTTTGAGCAACCTGGCTTGTGACGTAGGGGTGGTTAATTTATCGGAGAATTTTTTTAAGGTGGATCTAACGTGGGAGCGATTGCAGTCTAGCTCCGGCCATCTACTGTTGGCCACGATACAACGGGGAATTTTCAGTGACGATAAAGCACAGGTGGGGATGATTCTAACGCTTTTTCGTTTATCGCTTTCATAACTTTATTTTCTCATAAAGCTTTGTATTTCAGATTATCCGATCGATGGAAACACTGGGCAATCTGTCGATGCACGAGGAAAGCGCTCCGGTTTTGGTCGACTTCCTCACCGTCTCCGTTTTCAAGAAAATCGCTGACATGCTGGGAGTGCGTGACATAATGATGTGCGTCTACACGTTAGAATGTTTATATCAGGTACCTTTTCCTCTAACAATCTTGTGTCAAGCAACAACTTTTTAGCTGTCCCAAATGGTGCCGGGCTGCTGTGAAACGCTTGCTAAGCTGCCGAACCTGATCAAGGTGTTGGTGTCGATGACGACGATCGAGGCAGTCTCGTTTGGGAAGGACGGGCTGGTCGGGATGAAGGTTTGGGATCGAAAGATAAGAAATTTTGATGTTTAGGTCGTTGAATATCACAACCCTCTGGCCGGGCCACCAGCTCATCCGGCCGCTGCTCAACACCCAGCTGCCGCACAAGGTCAGCAGCCACACCCGGCGCCAATACTAGCGGTAAGTTTTATGATTTTGTGAAATGTAACGTCGAATTTAGCAAAACCGCCCTCCTCCTACGCCGCAACAACAGCAAATACTCGCGAAGCCCCCGCCAATGACGGTACAAGCGCCTCAACAACAACAACCCCCAGTCAAACCGCCCGTGCTCCACACCGCCACCCTACCACCGGTGCAAGCGGTTCGTTTAATTCCCACCTTCTTGAAGTTTTTATGGTTTTTCAGCCTGCTCCTGTGGTCCATATCCCGACCGGAAACTACGGCTGTGACCTCAACATCGAGCGGCTCACCTTCAACTGGCTACGCCAGAATTGTGTGGTAGTTTTGTTTCTCGCGATGTGAACAAATTCTTGCAGTTCCAACCGGGGTCCTGGACGGCGCGCGGCGAGCTGTATTCGGCGTATGTCGACGATTTGAGGAATCATCACCATTCGCTGTCTGGGTCGCTGAACACCTTCTCGATGGTTATGACGTGGGTATTGGAAATCGTTTGCTCTCTCTCACTCTCTCTCACTCTCGCTCTCGCTCTCTCTCATCTCTCAAATTTTAGCACAATTTTTCCGGACGTTCAATTTAAAATGGCGGAATCGTCACACACTCCACTCATGGCCGCCCTCGGCATCCGGCTCGTCAATCCACACAGTAACTATTTTCCCAATTTATAATTACTTTTTTTCCTTCTAGAGCTCGTCACCCAACAAGGAGCTACCGTCTCGGTATCGGCCGGCCAACCTGTCCCTCTAAATGCCATCCCTGTCAGCAATGCTCCAGCGCAACCGGTAGGAACACAATGAATTGTTTTAAGGACCAGTTTTAGGCTGCCCCTGGAAGTGCGCCGGCTTCACAGCCCTCTCCAACCGCCGTGGCATCATCGCATCCGCTGATGCAGCAAATGCTTCAAAAACCGACCACAAATGGTAAACTACAAAGATGTTTTTGTTTTTCTGGACTTTTCTCAAAAAGTTCTTTGAAACGGTATCGTGCTTTATATCGATCTGAACCAATTTTCAAATTCTAGGATGGTTGGCATTGGGAAACGTATATTTTTTCTGAAAAGTCGTACTTTCCTATTTTGCGTACATTGTATTCCTGAAATGTAGCCTTTCCTTTTGGTAATGCCTTTTGGCCGATTTTGGAAATACTATAATCGGAATCGCGGTATATTTCTGCACAAGAGAGTCTCTCCGATCCCGAAAATCAATTCACAAGAGAAACTTCTCTCTTTGTCAGGGGTCGAGAATGGCGTCGCAACACCGGAAGAGCCCGCCGCCGTATCAGCCGCCACAGAAGCCCCCGAAGAACAGAAGCCTGAAGTCAACGAGGTGTTCATTGTCTATTTTCGATCAAAGGTTTTTTGTTCTAGGAGCCGCAACCAGTCGCCCCTGGAACTGCCGGGCCCTCTGAGACCCAGATTTGCGAGACGGTCGTTGAGGCCAGTACCCTGGTCGACGATAGCAAGCACGAGACTCCGATTGTGCGTGTCGAAAATGCTGGTGTTGCCCAAACGGTTCGCATTTTCGAGTTTGTCAATGTCGATTTTTCAGGAAGAGAAAATCAACGTCCCCACGGATGCGCATGCTTCCGCTAGCGCCAAGGCGGAAGTTCCGGTTGCTGAGGTAGCCAGTCGGGATTCGGTTTGTTTTGTCATGAGGATGATTGATGATCATTGGGCTTTAGGTCAAAGCCACTCCTGCAAAAGAGATCGAGCCAGCGGCAACGCCGGCTCCTGCGCCAGCCCCAGCTCCGGCCCCGGCTCCAGCTCCCGAAACAAAGCCCGTGCTCCAGTTGACCCCCACGAAGGTGGTGCGCGTGCACGAGCCCAATAGGGTGATGATGTGCGAGTGGGATGGCTGCGGGGAACTGTAAGTTTTAATTTTCAATTGTCTCCCTTGCTCCTCCACTTTCCGGGATCACGATTGCGGTCGCAAATTTTTGGCCTTATATTTCCAGGAATTTTTCCCTTTTTAGGTTCATGAAACCGGTCCACGTGCTCCACCACCTGCTTGCGACGCACATGCCGCCCGACGACGGCACGATGTCGGTGTGCAAATGGCCAAATTGCGACGGCACTGAACGGAGCAAGTGAGACTACAAAAATTCAGGATTTGTTTTGCAACGAAATATGCTTCCAATTCGCTAATCACGGCTTTCCAGATGGTCTCTCGTCACCCATCTCCAAGACCACCATTGTACTGAGAACAACCTGCTCACGATGGCAAAACGACGAAAAGAAGGAGTTGCCCCCCGAACTCCACCAAAATACAGGTATAAAAAATATTATCAGCTCCTAATTTTTTGGCTTCAGATCCGACATCGTTCGCGACATGCCACACCACCCGGGTTATAGCCGCACAGCCGCCTACGACGCCATCGGGCGCCACGCCTTCAAGTTTTTGCCGAGAGAAATTACGGTATTGATTGGGTGTGATTTAGTGTATTCCGCATGCTTCAGGATGAACCCGAGGGCCCCGTGACGAAAAGTCTGCGTCTAACCGCCTGCTTGATCCTCCGAAATTTGGCTCGTCATTCTTATGGCGGAAGAGAGTACGTTGATAGTAATTTTCTGTACTGCTTTTTCAGCCAACTCCGACGACATGAGCGTACGCTGTGCTGGCTGGCTTTGTCGCGGCTCGAAAGCGCGACCGCCCTTGCGCAATTATTGGCCGCGCTTCACGCCACTTATGAGGCACAGGAATTACCGGTGAGCTTTTTTCTATGGTATTTTTCTCGTTCGTTTTTAATTTATTATCAAGGATTTTCCTTGATTTTCGCAGGCAGCGTTGAGTCGTAGCGATCTTATTAATCTTCATTTTTTCAGGAACAAGAAGAGCCAGAAACTCCGGCGGCCGATGAGACCGAACTGGAGATGGACGAGGAGCCGATGATGTGCAATGATTAATTTTTTTATATTTCTGTGGTATATTGTTCTTGTACATTGTCAACTTTCCACTTATCATCATACGAGATACTCATTTTCGAATAAAGGGTTGCGCTTCTAATTTTGAACCGAAACCTTGGGGTGCTAGTTGGATCTAATGTATCGAGTTTGACGAACGATTTCCGGTGAAAGAAATTCAGGGCAGCCATGGGTCCACCGAAGAAAGTTTGCTACTACTTCCACCCCGACGTCGTCAATTTCCATTACGGTACGTAGTCGCATGTATTTTTGTAACAAATAAGGCTTTTCACGTCCGAAAATTTTATTTGGATAGAGGCACACATGCTACAAATGAACCAGCCAAGGGGTGGCCAGCAAAAAGCACGTGTCGTCAGTTTAAATTCTTCGGGCCGTTTGGGTGTTGCTGTTGTTGTAGATGTTGTCGTGGGGGTCTTCTTGAGATCGGGGGCCTCAGTCGAATTTGTAGCCGGGACGAGCCTTGCGGCAGAGGACGACGTGGGGGCCGACAGCGGCCGGGCCCTGGAAGCCGACCTCCTTGCCGCCGTAGCCGAAGCCGGCGAGCTCGTTGCGCACGTCGCACTTGCCTAACAATGGGGTGGTATTTGTCGATGGCTATGAGGTCCTACCAAGAATCTGCTTGCCGCACGGGGTGTTGATGACGCACGGCGAGATGTCTCCCTTGTGGTGGTTGACATGCACCGGGTGCCATTCGCGGCCCTCGATCTTGGCCGCCTCCGGATACGGCTTCCAGCAATAGTCGAAGCCCCTAAGATTGCCATTTTTTTGGATTATCTTTTCCACCAGTTTTTCTCTTTCGCTAGTTTTTAGATCCTTTTGTAATAAAAGCTGCGCTACCTGACGTGCTCGGAGAGCTGGACGAGCAGCTGGATGGATCCAACATTGCCGCGGTACTCGCGGTTGAACCACGAGAAGCAGGCGGCGATCTTGCCGTTGTCGTTCCACACGCGACCCATCACTGGCTCGCCCTGCATGTACCAGAGGGCCACATACTGGTCGGGGTTCTCGCCGGGCAACGTGTCCAGAGTCTTGTCGAGGGCCTTGACGAGGGCACGGGTCGGGAACGGGTCGCCGACACGCATGTCCATCCATTCGTTGAGCATAATCCTGGGCGGAGGCGGCGGCGGCGGTCCGGTGGCCTTGGGCGGCGGCGGAGGCGGCGGGGGCGCCTTCGGGCAGTGCGCGCACTCGCAAAACGGGGGCCCGCCGATGTACTCGCGGACGAGGATCTGCATGTTGGAGAGATCGCCACCAGTGCGGGTCAGCACCTAGAAGAAAGAAAGTATTGGAGTAGCATTTTCGAATTTTTTTAAACCTTTTATTGAACAAAAACTATTAACTAAATTTTGCTATGTATCGGAGAGATTCGTGCCAAACCAACGTCACCTTCTTGTTGATCGAGAACCAGGCCGTCTCGTTCTTGTCGACGAAGCCGAGCACGGGTCCTTCGGGGCTGTTCGGCCAGTAGATGGGCAGCGAGTCGCCGCACTTGACGCTCTCGCGCTCCTTCGAGTCCTTGTCGAAGCGGTCCTTGTACAGAATCCAGTTGTACCAGTAGCCCAGCGACATGTGGTCGCCCTTGTACTGCAGCACCTAAAAACAAGCATCAACCGGAAAATGTATCTGACCTGGATCTGACCACCCAGATCCTTGGCTCCGGTGAGCTCGTACTCCTTGTAGGGGAACGAGCATTCGACGTTTCCCCCGTTGTTCCACGAGCGTCCGTGGATGGGCTTGCCGTGCTTGTACCACAGGGCGACGTACATGTTCTGCTCGCGGCCGACCTTCACCGGCTTCTCGGGGAACGGCGAGCCGATCGGCTGGAAGGCCCAGGTGTCCTCCTTCGGCGGCGGGTTCGGCATCGTTGACGAATCAGATGGTTCGAATGGAGGACCTAGGGCTAGATTTTTTGCTTTATTTTAGGAACTTATCCAAGAAACGGTTGATTTCCGTTTTCTTGTGGTATATGCTAATTTTAGATTTAACCTACCAAAATTGAAAATTGCAAAACGGGTTCTTTAGTTGGCCTGGCTGTCGAATATAGCGTGTTCCTGCATACTTTTAAAAGAAATCCATTTAAAAGAAGTCTATTTTTTCGAAAAGTTGAAATTCGGTTCGTTTTTGGGACGAAAACAAAGTTTTTTCGAACTAAAATTTACGCTTGAAAACATAATCCTTTTGCAGGCCCTCGCCATCCTATGAAGCCACAACGACTAGCAGCCCTACATAGTCTCGTCTTGGCCTACGATCTCGACAAAAAGATGGATATGCGATTGATGCCCAGAGCAACACCCGACCAAATCATGTAGGCCCTTTTTTGACGAAAAACATTTTCTTTTAGGGCCTTCCACGATGAGGAGTACGTCAAATTCCTACACGGAATCTCCCCGAATGTCGCCCGCGAGTTCGAGGCCGATTTCCCGAAATTCAACATTGGCGAAGACTGGTAAAGAAATTTTGCAAATCAATTGCCCCTCGTTTAGCCCAATCTTTGATGGTATCTACGATTTTTGTTCCTTGTACACGGGCGGATCGCTGGATGGAGCGATGCGGCTGAATCATAGTATTTAAAAATCTTTATTCTCTTGATTATTCGCCCTAGAAATGAACGACATTGTCGTGAACTGGGCGGGCGGGCTCCATCATGCGAAGAAGCGAGAAGCTTCAGGATTCTGTTACATCAACGATATCGTAATCGCCATCCTGGAATTGTTAAAACACCATCGAAGGTAAGTGAATTACCTATCCTTAAAGTATCATTTTCAGAGTACTTTATATCGACATTGACATACATCACGGGGATGGCGTCCAAGAAGCCTTCTATTTTACAGATAGAGTGGGGGTTTTTTTGGTTTTTGACTACTTCCACATTTTTTCAGGTGATGACGCTTTCTTTACATCGCTACGGCAACCACTTCTTTCCTGGGACCGGCGATATGTACGATTGGGGAGATGCCGATGGACGGTATTAGCTTACTAACTGACCAATCATTTTTTCAGGCTTTTCTCCGTCAACGTACCACTTCGCGAGGGAATCACCGATTTCAGTAAGCAATTTTTTCTTGAAATAAACCTGAATTTGGGCTACACAATGCTGTTCAAGAAAGTAATGGACGAAGTGATGTGCAGTTATCAACCGGAAGCCATCGTACTCCAATGTGGGGCCGATAGTTTGGGCGGCGATCGATTAGGGTGTTTCAATTTATCGTGAGTTTTATGGGGGTTTCTCTTATTCATCTTATTTTAGCTTTGACGGCCACGCCGAGTGTGTCGATTATGTAAAGAAATTCCAAGTGCCTATGATGGTTCTAGGTAATCCGTGACCCTTTTTCTAAAAATACTCTTATTTAGGTGGTGGTGGATACACGTTGCGTAACGTAGCCCGGTGCTGGGCCAACGAAACTGGAGTGTTGTTAGGAGAAAAGCTGGTCGACGACATCCCAGAAAACGCCGGTAAACTATATTATTTCTATTGATAGTTTTCCTTAGAATATCTACGCTTCTTCGCCCCCGATTTCACGCTCCGCCCGAAGCTCGCGCCAAGATTTGAGAATGCAAATTCACCTGAGGTAGAATTTTCCGGCTATCGCTCCAAATGGTATATTTAGTATCTGGCGGCAATTCAAGAGCACGTCTGTGAGACTCTACGATTAGTCAAGGGTGCCCCTTCTGTACAAATGCAACCCATCCCCCCTGATGTACTATCGGTGAGAAGACGTTTACCAGAACTCTTTCTAACCGAATTTTTTAGCTAAACTCGTCCCGATTCACCGGATGGGGCAAACTGCTGAATGATGATGATGAGGGCGAAGGGGAGAACGGCGATGTGAAAGATGAAGACCCCGCATAACCCCGCATCTTTTTTTTATTTCTAATAATAACTTGTAATTTCCATGCTGTGCATACCCTCAGTGAGATCTCCTTACATTACGGGCCCATACTTATTCACAACTTTCAAAAGTTGTACCCTAATAAAGCATGTATTTATACAAAAATGGCGTTCAAAGCAAAAGAGTCATTGCCCTCAAATACATGAAAGAATACTGGTTGAACTTTGAAATTTGAAGTATAGAGCTGCTTGTCCTAAAATGCGAGAAGAGCCCTCGCTCAGGCCATCGGGTTTTGGAACGAGGTAAATAGGAGAATCCTGAAGAATAGCAGTTTTTGGTTCAGATACCTAACAGATCAAGAAAAAGTATGGGAACACAATGCTTGGGATAACGTCGAATGGAATGACGAGATGGAAGAAAGGGCGCAACGCACTGTTGAAGAGCAGCGAAGTGCACCCGTAGAGGTGCTGTCTAGAGTTGTTATAACTCAAACAAAACAAGGCCTCAAACAATCTTGTTTGAACAACGTTGTTTGATAGGATTTTTGGAGATTCAAATCAAACATGTTTTGTCTGAGATGACCTTTGATCGATCAAACAAAACAAGATTGTTTGAACTATTTGAGCAGTTTGAGTTTTGTTTGACCTTGTTTGAAACGTATGCTAATTTTGGATTTAAAACGTGATTTTTCAGCATTTTCGCAATTTGCATAAATTTTTCCGGTAAAAATTGTTTTTGAATGTTTGAATTCGCTTCCGATCCATCCAAAATCCCCAAAAATCTCACCGCTTAGGGTGCTCAAACAAGTTCAAACAAGTCAAGCAATCTTGTTTGATTTGATCCCCCTGGAACTCAAATCAAACAAGTTTGTTTTGTTTGAAACTTTTCGAGCTCAAACAAAGCAAACTTGTTTGAGTTGTTTGAATAATTTGTTGTTTGTTGTTTGAGTTATAACAACTCTAGTGCTGTCTACTTGCCTTTATCTCATAGATTTCTCAGGCGGAAGCTGCGTCTTCATTGCTAGCAGAGCCAGCGAAACAGTGGGACGCGTTCTACTCGCAACACAACAACAAATTCTTTATGGACCGAAATTGGCTTCTCAAAGAGTTCCCCGAGCTGGATACAACAAAATACCCACAGGTGTGTTTCCGCTTTATTTTTCACGTGATTTTACAGGACGCTAAAGTTCGTGCACTAGAAGTCGGATGTGGCGTGGGAAACACGTCTTTTCCGTTATTACAATGGGATACGGATCGAAAATTGTACCTCTATTCATGTGACTATTCGAGCGTAGCAGTCGATGTGTTGAAGGTAGCATTTTTGGATTGCTTGAATTTTGCTTTAGAAAAATGAGGCTTATGATGAAAGCCATGGGAAGGCATTTGTTTGGGATATCACAATGCCGCACCCTGATGTGATCGAGCCTGGGACGCTAGATATAATTGTTTGCATTTACGTCTTATCCGCTATTCATCCATCCAAGACAAAAACGGTTAGTCTACTACTTTTTTTCTGGTATAAATCTACTCCTGGCAGGCCATCGAAAACCTGAAATCGCTCTTGAAGCCAGGCGGATGTCTGCTCGTCAAGGATTACGGGCGCTTTGACCTGACTCAACTACGATTCAAGAAAAACCGGTTAATTGAGGAGAATTTGTATTGCAGAGGAGATGGAACATTGGTTTATTTCAGGTACGCCGCTTTATTATAGATTTTAACTTTTTTTAGAACAAAGGAAGAACTTGAAGAAATTTTTGGCGAATTAGGCTTTTCGACGGAAGCGAGTTCCTATGATCGCCGGTTGATAGTCAATCGGGCAAAACAAGTCGGGTTTTCTCTTTAAAAAAGAATCACATTTTTAGGTCCAAATGCAGCGTGTGTGGCTACAAGCAAAATTCGTTAGAAAGGAATAGCATGAAACGGGTATTTTCATGTTGTTGTTATGTTTGAAATCTTATGTGATCGATAATAAATTACTTTCGGAAATTTTCTACTTCGTTGCTCGTATCCACGATAAGGATATCTGATGGGAGGTGAATTTCACACCAAGGTTCTTGTCCAGGCCGATGCCCAACGACGGCCTATATGTAGCCGTCGCCGAGGTAATTGAGCGAGTACAAGAAAAGAAGCAAAACCTCCGGTCAGCAGTTTATGACCATTCGTATCAGGTACTTTATGTATTGCTCTTCACCTTCGTTTTTTAGAACAAAAAGAAACTTCTGCGGCTGACTTGTGAAACCGTGAAATATGCCGCTCTCTTTGACGCACTTCTAGAATACCCAGTTTGACGTAAAAACCCAACGCAACAATGCTTTAGGAAATTTCTCCACTGCTAGACGAACCGGCTTTTGAAGGCAGCGTTGCTTTCATACATGTGCTCCTTTACGAATTTTTGATCGGGACTGATCTGAAATCGGTGGGAAATTTGGATGGATTAATGACTACCGTATTCTAGGCCACTTCTCGCTTGAAAAGACCGATTTTTGGGATAGCTTCGACAATCCAAGAAAAGGTTTTCTTTGCTGATACTTGTTTACAATATTTGGTTTTAGGAGAAGGCATTGTCCGCTAAAGGTTTTGGCATTGACGCGATAAAAAAGAAAGCGCAGGATACGCAGGTAAGAAGGTTTGATCGTATTTACATGGTCTTCCAGATCGAGATCCCTCGATATGCTCGCATTAATGAGGTGAAATGGACTCGAACGGAGGCGCTCGATGCGTTGAAGCAAGACTCTTGGAAGGTTGTCGAACTCGCTGAAGGCGAGACTTTTGCTGAGCGCGTGGCACGGCTACAATCTGATGAGGTTCGATTCAGAAAGTGTAAAAATTGTTATTTCCGTGTTTTAATGAAGAATTTTTTAGGTATTGCTGGATCCACACATTCCCGAGCTGCTCGTATTCACAAACAGCTCTGATTTCCACAGCTACTGGATGACAGAGCAACGGTACCTCATTATGCAGGACAAGGTATAACCGTTGATTTTCGTGAATTAGTTTTAGGCATCTTGTCTACCTGCCTACCTGTTAGCACCACCACAAGGGGCTCATTGCCTAGACGCGTGCGCAGCCCCCGGAAATAAGACCTCTCACTTGGCGGCCATTGTTGGAGAGAATGGGTGAGTTAGGAGAAATTTTCAGATAATTACATTTTCAGTATCGTCTACGCATTTGACCGGGCGGCCGACCGAGTGCAAACGATGAAGCGCCTTCTAAGCCAATCCGGCGTCACAAATATCGCTCACGTGGAGAATGCGGACTTTCTGAGGACGGATTTCACAGAATCGAGATGGAATTCGGTAATTTTGCTTCTTCCACGAACGTTTTTGGCACTGGTTGCTAGCGAGAGAAAATCTATCTACCGTTTCGAGCGCTGCATAGTGTATTTTTAGTGTTTTTAATTATGAAACGTTCATAAAAATGTTCTTAGAAAATTTTAAATCAACTTTTCGTACATTCTTGAAAGCCAATCCAAAATAGTTGCACATTTTATGGACACCCCCCTCTAACAGTCAAATACCACGTGATGTGCCATGAGTTTAGGTGGAATATGCTGTCGTGGACCCGCCGTGCAGCGGATCGGGTATGGTGAAGCGGCTGGATGAATGGACGGGCGGTGATGCACAAAAAGAAAGACTCGGAAAGCTGGCTAATTTACAAGTAAGAGTATTTTTTCCTTATTAAGAATTTTTGCAGGCGATGCTTCTGAAACATACGCTCAAGTTCCCGGCCCTGAGACGCGTCGTCTATTCCACCTGCTCCCTGCACGAGGAGGAGAACGAGCAGGTTGTTCAGGAGGTGCTCAGGGAGGTTGGCTGGTTTCGAGTTCCTTGAGAAAATTAGCTTTCAGTTTGGAGATGAATGGGAACTGTCAAAGGATGAACTACCGAATTGGCATCTGCGCGGAATGGACACCTACGAATTTGGGGCTTGCTGCCTACGCGCTGATCCCAAGGTCCATTTTTACACCTTTTCTGAAAAATATTTTTAGACCACGCTGACGAACGGCTTCTTCGTTGCCGTCTTTGTAAAGCGCGGAGTCGAAACCAAGGAAAAGAAGAAGAAAGCCAAGAAACGAAGGCTGGATGCGGACGACGAATGAGGGACTAATATAGATTTATACGTTCGTTTTGTTATTATGTACACGATTGTTAGGTTGCCCTTCAAAACCGGCATTTGAAGACCCTTTTGTTGCGCGATATATTGTTGAACTTGTTGCTGTTGATGGTTGATTGTTGCTAATTGACGATGGAATTCCAGTCAAAGTCGTCCTCGATTTCGTCGTCTTGCTAGAATTTGATTGATAAAGGAATTTATTATTTTGTGACATGTGAGCAATTTTGCGGTATACCCACCGGGTGCGTATTTGGATGATATCCTCCATACATTACTGGTGCGGGCATGGGAGTAGCTAAAATATCGATATTTCTAGGATTAATTTTATATCCTATTCATCTCCTTTACTTACCGTAACTCGTCGGGTTGAATCGAAGATTTTGTGGGTTACGGTCTTCTTCAGAGTAGAGAGGATCATTTGCGAACATATCTAGATTGTTCGGTTCTTTCGCATTATCGGGTGGGGGGGGGAAGTAAGTTTATCAAGGGGAGACCCAACTTTTTCTTTAGGATCCAATTTAGGAATATAAGTGGAAGAATGGATTTTAGACAGTTTTTACTATTTTTGCATAGATTTTTTAATCTTTTTAGAAACTCCCATACCGATGAAGCGCTGAGTGTCAATGTTTCTCATTTCCTCTTCGTCGCGGTAGTCCATCCCCACGGTTTCCAGCGAAATTTTCAGCCAATCAATCTGGGCTTCCTAAATTTTTGGTTTTGCAGCGCTGAGATGGCTTTAGCGTATTTAGTCTTATTCCCCCACCTGTTCCCTATTGTTGCTGGGGCGTCGATTGTGGAATATTTGGTCGTAGACGGCTTTGAACGATGAGTTTAGGTCATGGGTATCAAATAGGTTCAGTCCGGCGATGTCGTCCTCCTCGCTCGTCTCGATTCCTAGTCCCCATTTTAAGTTATCTAGCCAAAAAAACCTAGTTCAGCCATGGTATGGTCCACTTGGATCCCGGGCACCCCATAGTTGGCGTATTCAGGCTGATTTTGCTCCGGATGATACAATGGGTCAGGTGGGTTGAACGTGTTTAGATCCGGTAGAGGCTGGGCATCTTCTTCCTATATAAATCCAGAATTTAGCCTGGTTCAGTAGCGGGGGGGGGGGATTTTTAACAGAGTTAAAAATCTGTTTTATAGTGTATTTAGCACTCCGAAAAGATAAGTTAAATGGTATGAAAACGCTTTTTGTTAATTTTAATATTTTTCATATATTCTTGACAAAAGAAAATTCGATAAATTTTAATTCTTTTTATATCTAAAAACAACGTGAAATGCTTATATTCCATCATCGTGCCCCGGAAGCTTGGAAAACCATAACCCCCCCCCCCGCTAGAGAACCAGCACCAAATTGGCTTCACCACCCACCTCGGTCTTCTGACTATCCCTGCTCCCGTCCCGGGTCATGAACATCTTCTTCACGGCCGGATTAACGCGCGGCGATACTCCGTCCGTGTTTTTCATCTAGAATCGGAAATTGTTTTATGAATGGAGGCGTAGGAAACCTTATTCTTATTTTCCTCGACTTCCACAAATGTCCAATAGGATCCTTTTCCGGTGTCATGCTCCGTTCTCTCGATCTAAGAAACTTTTTAAGATTTTGAAGGAGGCTCTAACCTTGACGAATTGTTTGTTGAGGCTCAAGTTATGGCGTACGGAATTCTAAAAAAATGGGGGCTAAGATCCGCGATTTTATTTTACCTTCCAGCACGGGTTTTTATTTTCACGATAGTAGGAGAATTTGTTCGCAATATATTGGTAGATTCCGCTGAGGGTTATTTTGTTTCCGGGTGCTTCCTGCGAGGGATTTTAGCGTAATTTTGAGCGCTTACCATGATAGCCATTTTGATGAGCTGCGAGTAGCTGCAGTTCGGCTTGTCGTCGGGCCCCAGGATTTTCTCGGTCTTGTTCTTCTGTTTCATTGCCTCGTTCTGGAATGGGTTCAATTTTTGTTTTCTCGTCTTACCGGATTGTTTTTAGCGAGCAGCCAATTGAGTTGACCGAGGCTGGAATCGAGTTCTGTCATCTTCTGAAGAGTCAAGGTTAGATTTTGAAATTTTGAAAGAAAAATTGGACGCTTTGAAATCGATGAAACGAGGTGGTACTGGGCTGTTAGCGGGGGGGGGCAATTTTGACGAAAAAGTATAAAATTTCCATTTTTAAAAATGTTTTTAGTATTTTTTTATATTTAAAAACATTGTTAAAAATGCTATAAGAATGTCATATGTTTCGTTATAGGGTCGTACGAAATCATTGGAGGCAAATTCCCCCGGTTAAAAGCCCCCCCCCGCTAACCGCCCAGTACCAACGAGCTATTGAGTGGGCCCAACCAAAGATCCCGGAGATGGATCTCGAATTCAGGAAGGCCAGATTGCGAAATGTGGTGGCTATCTTTAATATTTGCGAGAGGGCCCCTGGTTGATAGGGGGCGTGTCGGGGTGGGCCCTCCTCCTCCGAATCCCTAATAGGTGCAGTTGGCCACAGGGCTTTCCCGGTCTCTCACTTCCCACCACCAGCACAGACCAAGGGCCCACCTGGGCCACATTGATTAGAAACACGGGGTGGAGCGGCACGAAGCTGCGCAAAAATGCCTAATTTCCAGGTGGAAATCGCCAATTTGGCCACGGGATAATATGATTTTGGGTTTCTTTTTGAGGACGGGGTTCGATGGGGTGTGAAAGATGGTACTGGGCGGTTAGCGGGGGGGGGTCGGGGCCAGCTAGCCGATTTTGAAAATGCAAAAAAAAAATTAATTTTGCCGACCTTTTTCATACATTTTTGAGAAAAGACGATACATCGATTCGAGACAGAAGCTGCCCACCCCCCCGCTAAGAGTTTAAAACTCCCAGGACTTTCGAGGGTAGCAGGCTTTTCTGAGAACTAGGAAGATACCTTTCACACCCTTGAAGTGCAGAGATTCTTGTGGTTTGGATGAAGCAAAAATCAAAATCGCCAGCCCGCTAAATAATTGGCATGTGGCAGCCCGACAATCGGCCGACCACCCCCGCCTTCATTCACACCCTATTGGGCCCTCCGGGGCTTTTCTGCTGTTCTGCTGGGCCCTAGGGGGCCCTTTTTTGCTGAAGGCCTTGCCGGGGGGATTTTCGATCGCATTCTGTTGCTGTGCCCAGGTGGGCAACGTCCGGAAGTGGGCCTCACCAAGGAGCGGATGCTGACTCATCTCCCTCTGCCCCATTTTGGCAGCGAAATAAAGGGCATGGGCGCGCGATTCGGCTTGTTGAAAGCAGGACACCACTGGAGAGTGCGGAATGTGGAGGTGCTTTCGCGTTATCGGGGGGGGGTGGGGTATTTCCTTAGGATCCGATTGTCAGATTTAATTAGAGGAATTTTTCTACACTTTCTATTCTATTCCTAATGCCTATAACGTTTTTTGACCAAAAATGACGGTTTTCAACCAAAATTTTAAATGTTAAATATTGTCTGAAATTTGGAGAGTTTCTTCATTCTAAGGCCTGTCAAATTTTTCTAAAAACTACTAAAATACTTGCTACAGTACTAGGCATAGCTCGACTTATAGCACCCCCCCCGATAACGCCAAAGAACCTCGTGCGCCACTGGAACGTGCGCAATGTGGAAATTCATTTTTCGGGGGATTGCGCCAATTCGATCGACACGGCTTACGTCAGGGAAAATGCCTGTAAATTTGCACCTGGGCACTCGGGAATTAACTTTACGAAGGGTCTCTCCATAATTGCCTCTTTTCTGCGTGAATTCCGGTGCTAAAATCGGAAACACAATTTAATCATACTGTTTAGATGGTGTGCGTGCCGTGTATCATCTTGCCGGTTCTGTTGGCCATCTACCTCAAGTTCATCCAGCCGCTCATCATGCGCTTCATGCCGGAGCGATGGGTGCATTTCCTCGACCCGATCCTCTACCCAACATGCCCGGTTAAAAGTAAGCGACCACGTTGATTATTCAATTTCTATTTTTCAGTCCCGCCTCCAGCGACACCGAGCGCACCACCGATGGATGGAGAAGTAGCAGAGGTATCGAAATATGCGTAGATTTTTAGTTCACGTTTTAGGAGGCCACCACTTCGTCTTGCTGCGCCGACGATGAAAACAAAAAGACAAAATAAAAACATTGACCATGCCATTTACGGGATTTTTCGGTTGTGCTGTGATTTTGTGTATGCGCTTAAATTAATAAAGTAGTTTTCCTTTCCTTACAACGTAATACAAATTCGGATCTGCCTCTCGATCCTGATAATTTTATTCCAATCCATTTCATTGCAGACTCCATACAAATCATACAAGCAGGAGAAACACAATCATTTATAAAGGAAGCTGATGTTGCTGATGATTTTTTGTAGTATTTTGTCGGGGTTTTCTGGCAGCGGACTGCTTGGTGATGATGTGGAGATCGCGGAGTGATGTGGAGGGAGGGTTGGGCGTCGCCGTTGTCGTGTTAAGCGGGAGGAGGAGCCTGAAACGCTAGAATTGGATCAGAAAATGTATTTTTTATATCCTTTTCCAGAAAATAGACGCCAACTTAACCCACCAAATTAGCCTCGCCCGACTCGGTGCGCGGCGTGGTGCCGTCATCCGGTTTCGGCTCGATCGCCTGGGTCTGCTCGTCCTTGGCCGCCGTCTCGCCACTCTCCGGCGCGTCATGCTGCGACTTGACGCCCAACAGCTGTGTCTGCTGGATCGTCGACGGCGTGTCGTAATTAGATTTGACGCCCAACAGCTGCGTCTGCTGGATCGTAGACGCGGCGTCATACTTGGATTTCACTCCCAAGAGCTGTGTCTGCTGCACCGTCGACGCGGTGTCGTACTTTGACTTGACGCCCAGCACCTGTGTTTGCTGGATCGTCGAAGTCGTGCCGAGCTTTGATTTGACGTCGGCCATCTGGGTCTGCGCATCCGTCTCGCCCGACTCAGGCTCCCCCCTCTTCGTCTGCGGATCCATAACCTGGGTCCGGGCGTCCTGCTCCTTTGTGGTTTTCTCCTCTGTGGTGCCGTCTTGGGTGCGCTTCGCGTCCTCCAGCTCCTTTCCGACCTTCTCGATGATGTCGATCGGGACGGCGATGACCTTGGCCCTGAAAATTACGGTTCAGGGCTGTTATCGTGGACTTTTATGGATTTGTAGCCGTTTTAGCCATAAGAGCGTAGTCCAGTCCCGCACTAACGCCCCCCCGCTAACACCTCAGTATCAAATTAGAGCGAGTCAAACCTCTTCTTGGTGACGGTGATGGGGTCCTTGAGCGAGTCGCTGGACGGCGGCGTCGTGACTTGCTTGCTTTCTGACTGAACCCGCGCCGCACGAACGGACGGCTTCAGCCCGTCGGGACCCTTGCCGGAGCCCGTGTGCATCTGGGTGATCTCCGTTTTCGGGACCTCGGTCGGCACCGTGCTGTCCGTCAACGACTGCGTGTTCGCCATCTAGATTGAGGGTTTTTGGATTAGTAACTGGGATAGATCTTATGGTCCTTCTTTATCGTCTATTTTAGAAAAATTAGCGCCCAATGAAAGAAGTTTCCAAAAGTGCTCCCCCCGGTAATGCAAAAGTACCCGCCTTGTCAAGGGGCCCGGGCTGTTTTTTCTGCAACAGGGCGCCTTCTGCCTGAAATATTTATATTTACAGGGCAAGTGGAAGATAGAGAGAGAGCGAGTGAGAGAGGGGAGAGATCGAACTTTTCGCTTCTGTTGAGCCCTGTTCAGTTCCAAGTCGTAGGAGACGCATCCTACCCAGAAGCGCGGCGGTGGTGGTTTCGGCTTCTCCTTCTCCTTCTCCTCGAATCTACAGGGCGAGTCAGAAAGATAAAGCCGACTCTGCACGCTAACATCTCGTTAGCGGAAACGAAACAGGCCACGTTTGGTAAAAAAAGTTTGGGCTTAAGTGCAGTTTACCCCCTTCCCCTTCCCCGAGCTGGCAGCCACCTACCGTATCTTGGCTCCCTGTTCATCTACAGGTGTGTAAAATATACCAAAATATTCGCCAGAGCAAGACGAACATTTTGGTATACTTTACACATCTGTAGATGAACAGGCAGCCGAGATACAAAAGTTAGGTGCCGGCTGGGGGGGGGGGGTAAACTGCACTAACCAAAGTTTGGTATATTCGAGGTGAAAAAAGTGGCTTCGAAAAATTAAGTGCTAAAAACTTGAAATTTTGGTCATATAGCTTCATTAAAAACGTGCAAAAATGCAAAAATCGTGAAAACAAATCTGTTTTTATTCCCAAAATGCCCAACATATACCCAAAATATTTCAGTTTTTCTTCAGTTATTTTCAGTCATTTCAGTTATTTTTGACATGATAATGCTGTTTCGTTTCCGGCTATTATTATGCACAGTCGGTTTTATCTTTCTGGCTTACTCTGGTACCCATCGGCCGGATGTGTCTCTGAAAGCATGATAATTACAGTGGTTGGCGTAATCACGAAAACCTGTCGAGATCGGGCAACTCAATCTCGGGCGGCTGTTCAAAGTTGACCCTGCGCTCCCGTTCGAGCTGGTAGGCGGCTTCTTCGTTGAGCCTCTTCTTGCGCGACTTGCGGCACGACTCCAGGTCTACGTCGACACCCCGTTTTCGTAGGCTGGAGAAGTGGGGGCTTGATGTGGCTGGAGACGAACATACCAAGCATAACAGGAGAAGAAGCATACAACGACGGCCGTACAGATGGCGATCGGCATCACCGACAAGGTCAGGCATTCCTGAAAAATTACGGGGTTTTCGAAATTTCTCTTTCTCAGAGAAATACAGAGAGAGAGAGAGAGAGAGAGAGAGAGAGAGAGAGAGAGAGCGAGAGCGAGAGCGCTTGAGAGCTAAAGAAACACTTCCGTACCATAAACGTCCATCCAGGCGCCAGCGTCGGTGTCGGGGCCTCGGTGGCGACTAGCGGTGTACCGGGTGGCGGAGCAGTTTCAAAGCGGGCAGCGTCCAGAAGAGGTGCAGCGAGCAGGAGGAGCGTCATGGCCAAGCTGTTCGCCATCTGACGCGATTAGGGGGCCGTATGACGTGCAGAAGTTTTGTTGTAATAAGCCCGGGATTACCATAGTTCTTCCGGAATCTTAGTTTATTGTAGTTTCCGGAATCACCTCAAAAATGTTAATTTTTATGCAAATATGCTTTTTTTCGTATTTCCGTAATCTCGGTCCGTCTTTCCTTTTCTTAGTATGTTTTTCTATTCTTTGCTTCATTTTCCTTTTAATGCGGTTACGATTAATAAACCATTTTATTTCTAATTAATTTATTTAGTTAATGTTTTAGTATACATACAATACGGTTAATTTTCGTTCATATCGACGAGGCCGGGAAGTCGTCGGGGATTCGCTAAAATTAGGAATTAGGCTATCGAGAGAAGTTACTCGGTCTTCTATCGACCGTTTCCACCGAATTATGGGCTTCATCGATGTTTGCCTGGATTGATGGGGGTTCGCGGTCTCCGGAGAGCGTGTCTAAAACGGTTTGAGATTTTACTTACCGAAGCTAAGCCTAAGCTCGTACTTCAGAGCTTGAACTTGAGCATGAGCTTGGAATTAACTTCTCACTTAGCAGGGCTTTGAAGCTTTGAAATCAAGAAAAGAAACCGAAAATAGGTACAAAGAGAAGCAGTTTTGAGAGAAATACCCTTACCCGGAGCTAGTGTCGGGAAGCTCGCTTCTCCTGCACTTTCGGAAGAGGTGTCTGGAATTTCGTAAGGTAAGTTGAGGCTTAGGCTTGGATTTACAGGATTTCTACATTTTCAAAAACCGCACTTCTGCAAACGAGAATTCTGACAAATTAGTTTTCCAATACGAAAAAGCCACTAAGTAAGAAACGGTAGTGGAAATTTGTCAAGGTTTAGGTTTCGAAAAAGCGATTTCCGGAACCGATTTTCGAAAAAAATTATAGCCATTAGGTGACCTGGTTGTTGTGGCATATTCGGAGCCGGTCGGGACGCGACTCCTATCGTTCCCAGCGGGCCGCCTGAGCTCGAAACTTCACGTCCTAACGGGCCTGCTGGTGCAGCTGCAGGTGTCGGCGCTGAAATTTCAAGTAAAAAAGTAAAATTAGCAAAAGAAAATGTTATTGATTGTAAGACAAAAGAATTTTGGTAAAATTAATGGAATTCCGATCCATATATTCTTTTTTGACTCACCGATCCCCGAGAAAAAGCGTCCGATGTTTTGGAGGAACTGCTGCAGTTGGCCGCCTGGTTGGTTGGCCGGTTGGTTGCCGAACTATAAAAAATTCAAGAATTTTGCCAGGGTACTTTACCGATAGTAAGCTGCCCAGTCCGAGGCCATTCTGCTTGTCGACACCGAGTCCAGAGTCGACGCCGACTCGTTCACCGCCGACCAGTGCCCCGCCGTTTGCTAAAGGTTGTGGGAATTACGTGAGGAGAAGCTGGACTTTCCGGAAGCATTCGAGTAGATTTTGTGCTGACGAAAAAACGATGTGATCCGTTTTCCGGAACTGATTTCCGGGTGTGGAAAACCCGATTTTCAGGGGTTTTCGTTTATTTAGCGAGTTTTCAAAGTAAAGCATAACAAATTACAGGAAAATAGGCTTTGCCGGTTCTAGAAACCGATTCCGGAAAACGGAGAGCGCCTTCCTTTTAGGAATGATCAATTATCCCTTTTTTGGGCAACTTCGCCAGACCGGGAAATTCAGCTTCTCTTCGCGAGCATTTTCCGCTAAAAAACTGCATAAAAAAACTCACTCTGCATCCCAAATCCTCGATCCCCACCACTCAACGCAATCCCTCGATCGCCGCCAAATCCGAACAAATTTGCACCCTGGTTAAAACCAAGATTCCACTGCCCATACGGGTCTCGCCCCAAATTGAACGTGCCGAGGTTGATTTGGCCGGAAACTGAAACCAAATACAATCTTTTCCAAAGCTAACAGCTCACCTGGGGCTATCAACACGATGAGGAGGTAGAGAACGGGCATGATAGTTGTTGTAGGTGACGAGGGTTTGGTATCGAGGGGAGGAGAGTCAGTCTCCTCCTCCCTTTTGAGGATAGACGGTGACACCCCCTCATGCTGCCAGCCCCCATATATGACTCATCTATTGTCCTCAATGCCGATCAAAACCTCGAGCTCCTCGAGATCCGCCGAGGATCATTTTCGGTTATCCGCTGGGGCATGAAATTTGCCGGGTCGATTTTGGGTTTTTTGTCGTTTTGAACTGGCGGAACTCTTTTTTTTTGTCCGTTCGTTCGTTACTTCTTTTCAGTAGGTTTTTCCGAAGCGTATTCGAAAGGGTTTTAACTAAGCATTACTAAAAAGTGCAAAATACACTTATATAACTTCTACAGGAACCTCAGACTTTTTCAAGCTTGGCCTGTGTAGAATTTTATCCTGATCCCGGACACATCTTCAGATTGTCTAAGCAACCATATCTCAAAAGTTAGGACGCTTTTTAGCGGAAAGGTTCGGTTTAGCCGCGAAAATGCGAGTACGAAGCGCTACTACTTACACGTTTAACTGTGCGTACGTCTCATGAGGCCGATTCGTAGCTCTTTTTTCGAGGGTTCACTCGATTGTGCCTTTAATTTATGATTTTAAATTAGGCTATTATGGCTAGATTTTCCTATTTTTGAAGTCTTTTACGCCTTCAAACGTTCGTAGGAACCTAAAAACGGCCGGAAACCCTTGGTCCAGCCGTCAAGGCCTTTGTCGTGCTGTACAAATATCGAGAGGCATTGTAGAATCGGGCTCTTCCTTGACTTTTTCCAGGAAAACATGTTTCCTTTCCCCTCAACGCCGCGGCACCCCATTCAAGGGCTTCTCGCAGGTCCTCAATTGGAAAAGTATATGCCGCTTCCCGCCGGATTTCCCCCGCCTCAGACCATACAAACGTCTCAAGTTATCAGGGTGGGGTGTATCAAATTGTTTATTACATATATTTATTAAATTCTATTAGTTTTTAAAGCGGAACCATCCAGTCGGCGTCAGTTTCAGGGGTCTCGGCTGAACCTCGACTTGATGGAGTATCGGGCAATCGCTCGGCCACTAAATTAGTGTTTTTTGGGATTTTCCAAACAGCCCGTTCTAGTTCATTATCGGGGGGGATAGGTTTGATAGGCTGAATAAAGGAAGCTAGTTTTCCCTGCAGAAACCCCCCCGCTAACAAACCAGCACTAAAAACGAACCTGATCGCAATTTGGCTGGTGGAGATCTCCCCGCCGACGAGGTGTCTTCATCATCTGTCGATGTCCTGAAAAAGTAGCGTTTTCTAGAAAGCGAAAGCAACTTTGTTCCATAAGCTCCTGATCGTAGCTTCTCATACTCGTCTGGCGTCATCACGATGCTGTTGCCCTGTGGTTTTGGTTTCTGGAAATGGTTTTGAAGGCTTTGAAATTGTTTTTGATGAACTATTTGGTTTCGGAAGTAATTTTTATGACTATAAAATCAAAATACTTACCGATGTCGTGGTGATGCCCATGAGACGTTGGAACGAAGGGGGCATCGTGAGTGGCGGCAAGGTAGGAAGAGCTCTAAACATTTTTCTTAATTACAGAGCGTAGGGGAGTTAATTTTTCGTTTTTCCGTTTTTTTTCGTAAGCTTCCTGAACGTAAAGTAACCCACATTGTCGCGAATCCGAGGTCCTGAAGCGTGGGTATCCTATGGGTCGAGACTTCCGATAGCGCCATCGGCTCCAAGTGAGAAGCCTGGGTGGCCACTTGGGATGGCATCGGCATTGGAAGCATTGGGACGAACACGGGGATCTGCACAAAGAATTTGCTTTGAAAAACTGGCTAGAAAAATGGGATATTAATCTAACTCCCAGGAAAGTATGAATGATATATGCTTTTCCGACAACTTTTGAACCCTAAAATTTTTCTCGTAAAAAAACCTGATGTGCCGGGGCAGTTGGTTGTCCTCGAACTTGCTGCGGCGCCATCCGCACGCCCATCATAGCCGGAAACCTGGAAAAGTTTAGTATTTAGGTTGTTGTTAGGTGAATTAGGTTACCGGGAAATTCTGGAAAGCTTAGAATTTCCGGTTGAGTTATAAAATACATTATTTGAAAGCTTACCCAGGCTGCGGCCTCATTTGCCTTGGAGGGGCAAGGTTTTGGCGCGGCCGTGGTCGATTTGTCGGCTTAAAAATGAAATTTAAAGGAATTTTTACAAGAAAACAAACTGTCTGAAACACGACGGGCCGCGCGGACGCTTTCCGGAAGCCCTTAGCTCGAGGGAGATCGGGATTTTCGAGCAGATCCTTGTCATAGTTTAGGTTTGGTGGGGCTCTAAAAAATAATAAAAATACAGATTAACAAATAGGTGCTTTGGCATTAACGGGGGGGGGGGGGGGGGATTTGTCAGATGGAAAACCAATTTTTTTGATTTGAATTAAGCGCCGTGAAAAGCCGCCGGGGAAGGCAATCGAAAAACTAGAAATTTTTCGAAAAAATGCAAACATATGGATCTTTCGACACAAGCATCCTATCAAAATTTCAATTTTGAAAAGTTTTTAGATACGAAATATCGTCAAATTTTGCTAAAACGACCATTAAAATCCTGATTATTACGTTACTAGGTATTTATGCACTTTTACAAAATTGGTACCCCCCCCCCCCCCCGATACTACAAAAGCACCAGATCAGAATTACCTCCGAATATCATTTGGCCGGCCTTTGGGTCGAAGCCCCGTCGCGCGAGGAGCTTCAGCAAAAGTTAAAGCTGAAATTTTTTTAGCAACCCGGACCTCCAGCTCGTGTTATTCTTGCTGAATGGCTTACCAAAAAACGCTGCAAAAACGACAGTAATGAAGAGCATGATGCCAACTTCGTCGAGTCCTAAATAGGCGACACCTCCTCCATTGGGACGGCCAGTGAAAATCTCGTTTGGCTAGACGGGACCGGTTGACCCCATCGAGGCGGAGATCGGCTTTTCGACGGACTCTCGTTTTTCCACACCCATCAAGCGCCTGATATTAAAGAAAAATTGGCTACGGAGTGGAGGAAATAACGTTCGAAGGCTGATGGAATCCATTTTGGTACTTTGGCATTATCGGTGGGGGTACTTTTTCCTGTAAACCGCTAACGCAGCAATAAATATTTTACTGACATTTTTTAGTAAAATCTAAATGTTTTAAACAAAAAACTATCAAAAAATTTTAGATTTTGAAATTTGATCAAAAGTCTCTGACATTTTTTGTCGATAAATCATTTTTTGCATTGTGATCAGTATTTTTGTAGCGTTTTTAAGGCTATCCTAATCTAAACAATAGTAGAAACAATTCCTCTATTCATACAGTAAAATATATCCGAAGGCAAAAATTGCCTCCCCCGATAATGCACAAGCGCCCAACTTTTCAGTAGCGATGATGTTCGATCCACCAACTTCCGCCCTCCAAGATAGTTTACGCCAAAAACCTAAAAAAATCCCCCTCAAATGCCGCAAAATCAGCTTATTGTGATAACCCAAGCCGGCGCTTCCGGTACCTTCTTTGTATCTATCTGGAGGGCCGATTGTCCGTAGTGAGACCCGTGGGCGGCTTCGAGTCATTATCAGCCATCCTGGAAAGGTCGATAAGCCGACGGCAATTTTCGGGAGGCCATTACTTGATGTCACCACACAAGGGGCCGACGATGTTTGCAGGGCTAAAAAACAGCAGGAGATGTATAGTAAAATAACAAGAATTTCCGGTACTGGACTGTTAACGAGGGGGGGGGGGGGGTTTAGCGGGGAAGATATTCCCTCTCGATAATCCCGTGTGGCCCTGCCATGAACCACAGACGATTTTTGCGCCTTTTAAGGTTTTAGATATCACATAAAAATTCAAAAATTTCGGAAAAGATTGAGTTTTTGCTTAAAAATATATGAAAAATCATCAAAGGCCACAAACCTAACATTTTAACATTAAAATATTCTTCGAAATTTCCAGCAATAAAAACTATCAAAACACGTTATTTATTATTTGGAGTTAGGCATAAACGGAATAATAAAAATCAGCTTGCCAATCCCGCTAAAAATCCCCCACCGCTAACAGTCCAGTAGCCAATTTTCAACGCAAAAACAGGCCTAGATTAGCTTATGGATCAACCCCAAATCGATATCGAGCCATTAAATCTACCAGTAACAATCTTTAAACACGCCCTTGCCGCTCTACTTGATCAGCTGCAGCCCGGGTGAAGCCGTTATTTACCCAAATACGGCACCCGGAAACAACAATTGACCGGACCCCTTTTCCAAAGCTTCACTCACAAATCGAATGACTAACTCATCGACACGTATCTTTGTCATCACCAAAAGCAATTTTCCACTCCAGATGGCTGCCGTTTCAAGGTCCAAGATAGTGCCCACGCCGCTTATCTCTCACGGGGCGTTTCGTATAAAAATTGGCTCAAATGGCCAATGCCAGCAGATAGGCCGAAGGGGGCTCTCTGGAGCCAAACATTTTTCTAGTTCGATTTTTGTTCCCGGATCTCCTTACCTCAATATAAATAATATGTACTCAATACCATCTCCTTCTAATCGAATTAAATTAATTAAATTTACAGGATGAAGCTGATCTTCTTGGCGTCGGCGCTTGCCGTGGCTGCTTTCGGCAACCCTGTGAAGCCGCTTTCCACCAAGGTCCTCAAGGAGCTTGAGGTTGCCGGACTTTTACCCCCGCTTAACGATGCGGTAAGTAACCCTATAAACAACTATAATAATAATCATAAATCCAGATTAAATTTACTGATTTAGTCCTACGCGTACGCCCTCGACCTGTCCGCCTCGGTGTCGTTGTCGACCTTCCAGTGCATCCGCGGCCAGGGCTACAGCACCGTCTTCGTCCGCGCCTACACCCCGGCCGGAAACGGAGCCTACGACCCGAATGGCGGTATGAATGTGAAGAACGCGTACTCGGCCGGCCTCGGCACCGAGGTGTACATGACCCCTCAACCCGCCGGCTCGAAGACGGCCGCCCAGCAGATCGATGAGATGTACCAGGGACTTAACGCCGCTGGAGTTACCGTCAGGACTGTGTGGATCCAGGTCGGTGGTGTCATCACTTGATGACAGTCCTTTTTAACAAGAAATTCGGGCTAGAATTTACACCAATTTCTCTAGGTCACCTCCCCCATCAACTGGCCCAACAATCAGGTCTCCAACCAGAACTTCATCTCCTCCCTCGTCTCCCGCGCCAGGGTTTGTCAATAGTTCGAAATCCCCAAAAATAGCTTTAGCAATACAATATCGCCGCCGGAGTCTACACCAACACCTACGACTGGAACCAGATCACCAACGCATGGTCCGGACTTTCGGGAACCTCCCTTTGGTACTGGTCGGTCAACGGCAACGGCCCCAGCGGAGAGACCAAGCCCGACTTCACCGATTTCCGCGCCTTCGGATGCTGGACCCAGGCCGCCGTCAAGCAGTTCGGTCAGGCCGAATCTGTGTGCAGCGTCGCCATCAACAGGTAATCGCGTTAGCCCTGAAAATACCAAATTATTGCAGGGACGTCTACATGACCGGCGCCACCGCCCCCGTCCAGAACGCCCCGGTGATGGAGAATGGAAAGATTGTCGTCGGAAACAACGTCAAGCTTTAAATAACGAAGAAATATATTTTACGCACAATTCCATCTCAATATATTCCATTCGGGTAATAATACCGTTTCTTTTCAAGGCCAATATCGACTATCATGCACACAACCATTCACAGATAAAAATTAATTGGGGCTTGCTGATTAGAGGCGAAGCACAAGGCATTGACAGGCGCCGCCGCTCTTCATGAACTCGCTCATGTCGACCTGTAGATCGATAAGATGGATGTCGCAGTATTAGTAATACCTCCGTAACCCCAAATCCACGCGACTTCAGCGCATCACGGGTAGCCTGGGCTACGCCGATCGGTGAGATGACCTGAACAGGGTAAAGATATTCCAAAATTGCTAACCGTGTTGCGAATGGTGATGGCGTTGCAAACGAAAGCGTTGGCTTCTTCCTTCGATACGGCAATCGAATTAGGCAGACGCCGCAGAATCTGCAAAAAAAAACACGTTTTTATGCCCAAAAACACTATTCTACCTCTTTCTTCGTGTTCTCGCTGAAAGCCGGCGGGTACCAAAGAGCCGTCTTCTCATCAACCGGGGCGAAGCAGGTATCCAGATGGTAGAACGCGGGGTCGGTCAGATCGCAAATCACCACCTCGAAATCGCCGATGGACTTCACGCGATCATAGACCTAAAATAAAGTTAAAAAACACAAAGGAAGCGGCTCACGCCCTTGCTGCTGCGAGCGCCGTAACCCGCCCAGAGAGTTTTGTAGTCGGAGAAGACAGCATCACCGCCTCCCTACCACAAAATTAAATTCAAACAATATGAGAAAATACTTCGAAATACTCAGGATAATCTTCGCCGGTCGTCTTGAAGCCGTTGGCCTTGAACCACTTGAGATAGTGCTCCTGTTCGCCGGTCCTCAAAAATATTTTTAGTAGTGTCAAAATCAGATACCTTTCCTTATGGCGGAAACGGCTGAGATAGACCTTGTCACCGAGCACCAGACCGCTGTTGCAGACGAACACTTGATCGGGAAGGCCCTTTTGCTGCTCCAGGGTTAGCACCTAAACGAGAGAAATCTCTAGAGATTAAAAATTTTTTACCTGCACGCCCTCTTTTTCAATTGCAGACTTCAGAGCATTCCACTGCTGGTTTGCCTTCGCCTTGTCGACCACGCCGCCCATCCACGGGTTGATGGCATACTAAACAAAGAAAATAACCAAAATAACTAATTCTGAACCTCGACAGTAAAGTGCTCCGGCGGGACCATCAGCACCCGCTTGATGAGTTGCCCAGCTGCACGTTGGGCCATCGTGTCTTCAGCCGCCTGTAAAGCCATGGTTGAACGAAATGGTAAAGGAAAACAGTAGAAAGCCAGAAGAGCCACGGTGAGATAAGGAAACCCATGGATTGCAGGGTTATTTCTGATAACCGGACAGTTGAGAGCAAATGAGAGAAATTTGGGTGCAATCCCGCGCAGGGCGATTCGATGGAGTATCGAGATCGGCCATCGAACCATAAATCAAATGCCAGAGTGACAGCAAAAATCCATCAGGCTAATCACGATCCGTCCGTCAATAAGTATTTTCACGGACATCTTTCTAGTCTCGAGATTATCGATTGCTATCTTTATAATAACACTTTCCAACAGCGATCTATTTTCCCCCCAAAATGATTTATTTCTTTAAGATAATGTGCGACCTCCAGAATAACACTATTAAAAAAAATTTTATTTATGAAGGCAGTAATATGCTTGGCACGCTCATCCAAGACAAGCAACAAAAACCAAATGAATGCGCTTCCGCTAGCTTGCTTTGTGCCAATCGTCATTGTCGTCCGCGGCGATGATTTCGTTTTGGATATTTTCTAAAACAGGGTTAACGAGGAGCATATAGAAACCTACGGCTTTTCTCTATAATTTGTTCATTTGCCACAATGCAATTCGTTACATGTGCGCCCTCCTTGACCTTTACACCAGGAGCGAGAATCGACATGGAAACACGAGCTCTAGACGAGAAATAATAAGTGTGGAAAGAGCTGGACAAACCCTTTGCCGATTTCAACGCCATCCATTATCACAGATCCCTCGATCACTGCTTTTTCGCCGATCGACACGTTTTCCCCTAAAATGATATTAGGGCGAACAAATTCTGCGCACCAATGCTACTCCTTCTCAAGACAGCACCGCCAGCAACCACGGAAGTTCCTCCCACGCGACTGTCTTGACATGAAATTCCTAAAAAAATTTTAGGGAAAAGTTTATTTTGTGACCGGTCGCCTTGAAGTTAAATTCTTGCCCCGCGGAGAGCCTTGCTGACAGACGGGGTAGTGCTTTAATCATCTGAAACAAATCTAAGGTAAAGAATTATATAAACTACCTTCTGGTTCACGGCAAAATATGCGCCTAAATTGTTGCTATGGGCAGTGACCGTGCCATTTTCAAGGGGCTGGAAATAGCCGACACATGACCAGGGGTTTTTAGCGTTACCATCTAGGAAAATGCGTTATTCCAACAAAATAATTTCTCATACCGGTCTCCCGTTGAACCTCCATGATCCAAGGTAAAAGATCAACCTTCAAAGAAGACATCGTTCTAAAGAGCAATTTGCAAAGTTCGAAAATAATCGACAAACGTTTCGCGATCCAGCACGTCCAAAACCGTATTTCGTAAAAGGTAAACATGACAGTCCCGATATCGTGCTGTCAGTTGCACTTCCTTATGGCTAAAAAGAAGTCCGATTCGCAAATCAATCTAACCTCTCTACCCAACTGTCGGCAATAATGGGCTTGTCAAAGTCTTCCTCGGTCAAACAGAAGGCAATTTTATTATCCCGCTCGCAGTATGCCAGGAAGTCTCTTTCTAAAAAAAGAAAATTAAATAGAAACAAGCGGTGATCACCTTTCGGCTTCTTTGCTTTGGGTCCGGGCGCAGCTATCGAAACGCAATGCTCAGAAAACAACATACAGGCAGACGCTTCTTGACAACTTCAAAAATAATGTTTCCGATCAGGGTACACTTCTTACCGGAAGCGCTCAATCATCGGCGCCAATGACATATCGCTCACAAAATCTCCGGAAACTATCAACAAATCAAGCTTGATGCTTTTACGCAGGAAGCGTAGCGTATCGGCTGTCCCCCAATCCTCCTGATCAGCAGGCAAGGTGATGACTTCAATCTAAGGAGCCGTATGGATGAACTTGAAATGCAACCTTCATATGATTCCATTGAAAAACAGGATCTTGCAAAACTGCGCAATAGGCATCTTTATAATCAGCCTTCACAACAAGCTTGACATCTGAATTGGACATAACCAATTTTAACAATATTTCGAAAAAGTTACCTCGAACTCCAGTTCTGCTTATCGAATTCAGCGGATACCAAAACATCGGATAACCAGCAACGGGAAGCAAGCATTTAGAGTTGTAGTCGGTGAGCTCGGGCATGCGGTTCCCGGACCCGGCGCATAACAATATCCCTTGAAGCTCGGACATAGCGTCTGAGAAGTAGTGTTTGTAAATCTTTCAATTTTTGTTGGTATGTGTCCTTGTGCATACAAGCTATTGACAACAAACAATATAAACACGTAGCTTTTATTACCCATACACAAGCTAGCTACAAAAAGATCACAACGAAAAGCAAAACGGCACCGGCAAGATGTACAAGAGTGCACTTCAAACAAACTAAAGATCGAGACTTGGAAAGTAGTTATTTGCACACAACGCGGTAACAAATCAGATCACGAAGGGAACAATGGCTTTGCGACCCTTGGGGTAGTCGGGGAACTCCTTCTTGTAGGCACGATGTTTGTTCAGGGCCCAGATCGTCATCTGCACAAAGCCGGCAACCGTGAAAAGGAAAGCTAAACAAAATGTTATGAACGTCTTATAGTATATACCTGGGAAGCTTTGTGTCATGACGGTGAAAGAGAGCCACGCGAGCGCTTCGTAGGTGTAGTTGGGGCAAGAGACGAGGTTGAAGATGCAGGACATCGGATTCCCATCCGGCTTGGGGATACGGCGTTCCTTGGTGCCGGCCGGGCGAAGGTTTCGGAGCAAGATGTGGATAGAGAGATTTCCTGGAAAAAAAAGATAAGACTGAGGATTAAAAAGTCATACCAAATTCGGCAATGAGGAATCCAGCCAATCCTGCGTAAATCTGGACGGTGCCAAAGGCTGGAGGAGTGTACAATGGATGGTTGACAAAGTAAGAAACGAATGCGCAGAAGCCCCAGTAGTACGAGCAGTTCTACAAAACCGTCACGAACAGAAATAAAATTACCTTGACCAAGTTAAACTGCGGCATGGTTCCGTTTGAGAAACGGTGGATAAACTGAGTCTCGAAAAGACGCTTGAAGTAATGGATCGACCAACAGATGCACGCCAGCGTGACGACATGATGAACTGGCGCCTTTGAAGCATCTAAAAACCAAGCAATATAATCTCGGAAAACCACAAACCAGATCCATAGATGAATGAAGGTCGGAGGTAGAAGATGGGATAGATAAACAATGGCCCAGCGTATTCGGTCAAAAATACCTGAAAAAAAAAATTAACAAATGCGAACGCCTCACCGTCTTCCAAGCGATCTGCGGTCCCAAATCACGGACAAAGAGTTGAGCGTTGGCCGAAATCCCCAATTCCGACAATTTTTGCTCATCCTTCAGAGCCTTCCCTTTCGCTTCCGCTCGCAAGGCTTGACGCTCGACCGACAAAGCAGGTTCTACAAAAAATAATTATAAATTTAACAAGAAATACTTACTGGCTTTAGCAATCTTCTTCTTGATAGCAAAAATAGTGTCATCGGGGTAGATTTCCTCCAACAAAGCGACCTAAAAGAGATATCACGGGAGGGAAGGCAGCTCAAACCTGCTTATCGGTCTTCTTGGCATCGAACACCTCGAGAGTGAAGCCAGCCATTGTTACCCTGAAAAACAGTGTTTGTAGGAAGTTGGTCCTATGATCGTCGAAGCAGTATGGTGTGATCCTAGATAAAGATCTTGCCCGCTGGGCGGAATGGAAAAGAGAGTGGGAGAAGATAAGAACGGGAAAGGGCGACATAATGCGGTTGGAAAGTCAAAAAGGGCTCAAAGTCTGCGAAATAGAAGGAGCATCTTTTGGTTTAGCAAGTCAGTGGTCTCTTATCGATCGAGATGATGCAAAAAGTTGCGCAATAACGGAAAATCGGGAAAATCGAAAGGGAAATTGGAATATCGTATGAACAACGTGGCACAACGTAAACGAAAAGCGTGGTGTGTATTATAACGGAATTAGGGTTAGGAAAAGCTTTTCGAAAAAATGAAAAAATCAACTTTGTCCGCGGCTTCTTATCTTTTTTTTCAACAAAGCATGGCCAAATCGAGCGCTTGCGATCCCTGGAAGCGAGTTTTTATCGCGTTAGGCGCCCATTGGAGAGCTCTTTCTGGGTTGCTAGGCCCTCTTTCAGCCCGAGGGATGTGCATAGCACCGTCCCGTCTTGCTCTCCGGGTCTAAAGTGTTGATCAACAATGCCACGGCGGCCGGCGGAAGTAAAAGCTGTCGGCAAATACTTCTCTGTGAAATTAGCTTCCTCGCTTTGAGCCGAAATTCCTTGGTTTTTGGCGCCCCCTTGATTCTCGGCGGTTAGAAGCAGCTTTTATCAAAGCTAAAGCTTCAGCATTTGTTGATTAATTCTATTAAAAAGGATAAACAATAAGATCGGACCTCTTGGTTTAACCTTGATCTCTTCGCTGGGGGAATGGGGTGCCGCCAAATCGCATCAACATACTTTCTTTTGTCCGAAACCCTCTTTTTAGAAAACAAGCTGTTGTCGATCAGGTCCAATCGTCTACTTTATTGTTCTTTGCGGCCGTCTTTTGGCAGTTAGCCCGGATCTTTTGATGTATACGTTATAATTTCTAATTTCTAGGTGATGATCCGCCGTGCCATTGAACACCCGGGCATTCGTTCCCTGTCTCGCTCATCTGTGTGTGCTGTCCGCCCAAATCTGCCAGATCCGAGCGATGAGAAGGCTGTCGACCTCTACAAGCTTTACCGCCCTGAGAGGATCACTCCGGACAAGCGTGGCATCGAGCTGCTAAAAGCACCCGGGCTCAACAAGGTCCGCGGCTACCAGCTCTGGCTCATTTTATTTTTAGGGCATGGCGTTCAGCCTATACGAACGACAATACCTGGGCATCCACGGGTTGCTGCCTCCGGCTTTCATGACCGAGGAGCAACAGGCTTATCGTATTATGACGCGTCTCCGTGAAGCTCCCAATGATTTGGCCAGGTATCGTTGAGCAAAAAATGGAGAAATTCTTTTAGGTACGGCATCCTGGATGCGCTGCAAGATCGTAATGAAAAGCTATTTTATCGTGTCCTCTGTGACAACATCAAGGTAGCAGCAAAATAAAAATTTCTCTAGTTTTGTTTAGGAGCTGATGCCAATCGTTTATACTCCGACGGTCGGTCAGGCTTGCCAGCACTTTGGAAACATCTACAAAAACCCAAAGTATACTTATGCGCATTTTCAAAAGCTTTTATGTTTTTAGAGGCCTTTACATCACCATCAACGACAACAGCATCAGCAAGGTCACCCAAATTTTGTCGCACTGGCCACACAAGGATGTCAAGGTTGGTTTTTCAAAAACAAGTATGGTCAATTTCTCAGGCCATCGTTGTGACGGATGGAGAACGTATTTTGGGGCTCGGCGATTTGGGATGTTATGGTGAGAATTTTTATATGCCCCCAATTTTTTATCTTGTAGGCATTGGTATCCCTGTCGGCAAGCTGGCGCTCTACGTCGCCCTGGCCGGAGTCCACCCTGAATGGTGCTTGCCCGTGGTGATCGACGTCGGAACCGACAATCAATCTCTTCTCAACGACCCGATGTACACCGGACTTCGTCGCAACCGCGTGCGTGGGGCTGAATACGACAAACTTCTCAACAACTTCATGAAGGCCGCCACGAAGCGGTAAGGGAGCTTCGCTTTTTTGATGATAGCCGAAATTTAGATACGGCATGGACACCCTGATCCAGTTCGAGGATTTCGGAAACTCGAATGCTTACCGCCTGTTGGATCGCTACCAAGACAAATATTGCATGTTCAACGATGACATCCAAGGTATTGCCATTTTTCGCAACAGATTGTATGTTATTTTCTAGGAACCGCGTCCGTTGTCGTAGCTGGACTCTTGGCCTGCACCCGTGTCACCAAAAAGAAGCTGTCGCAGGAGAAGCTGGTCTTCTTGGGCGCCGGAGGGGTATTTAGAACTCGCGCTTCAACGAAATGCCATAATTAGGCTGCGACCGGTGTGGCCGAGATGTGCGTGCGTCAAATGGAAACCGAGGGCTTGTCGGAGAAAGATGCCTGCGATCGCATTTTCTTGATGGACATTGATGGGCTGATCACGAAGAAACGCCACAATCTATCGGAGAGGTGCAGTAAAGAATTAATTCAAAACATTGTATTTTTCAGGCATACCAGATTCGCGAAGGATTTGCCGGACACTCGTAATTTGTTGGAGGTCGTGAAGACGGTGAAGCCTGGTGGCATTATTGGTATTACCCCCTTGTTTTTGAAAAATTGTCTTATTGCTAGGAGCCTCGACAGTCGCTGGTGCTTTCACCGAAGAGATCATCCGCGAGATGGCCGCAAACAATGCTCGACCGATCATTTTTGCGCTTTCCAACCCAACTAGCAAAGCCGAATGCACCGCCGAAGCTGCGTATAAGTTCACCAATGTAAGCAAATTGGAGAGGCTTAGACAACTCGTTTTAGGGATCTGCCCTATTCGCCTCTGGTTCGCCGTTCCCGAATGTGGAATTGAATGGGAAGCTGTACAAGCCCGGCCAAGGAAACAACGCCTACATCTTCCCCGGTGTCGCCCTGGGTGTGATCCTATTCAAGATTCATCGCGTCGACAATGAACTTTTCTTGATGGCAGCTAGGGTTAGTATTATTTACATTCACATTTTCGCCCTAGGGGCTTGTAGTTATTATCATGTCCTTTTCAGAAAGTTGCGGAATCGGTCACGGAGAAGAGTTTGAACACGTATTCCCGAATCTATCCCCGCCTGAGGGATATTCGCGAGTTGTCGATCAAAATTGCTGTCGAGATCGCTGAGCATTGCTACCGCAACGGCACAGCTACTTTATACCCGGAGCCGGAGGATAAGGTCAGTTAACATTACCATTATTTCTGACCCAACTATAGGAACAATTTATTCGCTACCAAGTCTACACCGTCGACTATGAAGAATTGATCAACCGTTCCTACGATTGGCCAGCCAAGGACAAGCAACACGGCTTCCCGGTTCCCGTGATGAAGCGCCATTCGATGGACGATGAATAATCAAGCATCTTTGTAGATCTTTTTAGATTTATGACTTTTTTAGGTCATGAAGTTCTATTTCTCGTGTGATTTTTAAGCCTGTGCTAGCTTTTTTTTTCCCCGAGTGTAACTATCTGTGTGGAACTCTTTTTCATTACTAGTCGCTGTGTGAAATTCTATGCTTCCTCAGTTCGAGCTTCTTTCATCTATTTCCTTTTGCTTGTAAATAACCTACTTGTAAAATAAAAGACGTTTTGTGCAAATCGCTCTTCGGTCTCTCCGCTGGCTAGCTGATTGCCTTGATATCTCTCTGCCCTTTTCGGAGGCGGCGTGGCGACTGTGTGTCAAGAGTATAGCGTGTAGGCCCGAGGGGTTCGAACGCGTGGCTTTTATTTTTGCCTACAACCTATGCTCTACCCTCTAAAGATTACCGAAATTCTTTATTTTTCAGTTAGGATGCGTTGTGCCGCCTTGATTGCGGCTTTCCTGGCCGTAGCCCTCGCGGACCGTGTTCTGCTTCTCGTCGACGATCCAAAAATCAAGGACACCCACTCGATTTTCATCAAGCAGATCCAAGGTATTTGAGCCCGCCTTTCCATTACCAAATTTCAGACCGTGGCCACAAAGTGACCCTCAAGTCGGCCGATGACAGCACGCTTTCTCTCTTCAAGTTTGGTGAATTGGCCTACGAGCAACTTGTGATCTTCGCGCCGTCTGTTGAACGTCAGTTTCTCGAAATCGACTTTCAAGCTCCTTTTAGAGTTTGGTGGTTCTCTTTCGGCGGCGGAGATCGGGAAGTTTGTCGATGCCGGTGGCAATGTTCTGGTCGCTGGAGATTCTAATCTTGGCGAGGCTGTGCGTGACGTAGCTGTCGAGAATGGGTTCGTGGCAAATAAGGTGGCTGAAAATTTTGTTTAGTTTCGAGTTTGACGAGGCTGACACTTCTGTCATCGATCACTTCAACTACGACGCTCATCTGGTAACGGAGATCAAGAGGCATCAACTTTGTTCTAGGATGACGGAAAGCACACCACGATCGTGGCCGATAAGAAACATCTTACCAAGACCGCCTTGATTGTCGGTGATACGAGCAAGCTCAACAACGTCTTGTTCAAGGTGGAGTGCTTCAATTCGACCTCACCATTCTGTTCAGGGCGTTGCTCTCGTCGCGGCCAAGAAGAACAAGCTGCGGTTTGACATTTTGACGGCGTCATCCACCGCCTATTCCTTCAAGCCGAGCGCTGCCATCAATGAGGTATTGTTTACTAATTTGTTTTACTGTTCTTTTTAGTACCCGGGTGCTGTCGGCAAGCAAATCCTCCTCGTCGCTGGACTTCAAGCACGCAACAATGCCCGCGTCGTCTTCACCGGCTCCCTGGCGATGTTCTCGGACGCTTTCATCAAGGCCTCTGTCCAGAAGGCAGGCACTCAAGACAAGTTAGTTTTTCTCAAAAAGAAATAAGAACTGTTCTGAGCTTTATGCAAAGATGAAAATTTGAACAACCGATCAAAATTTGTCTAATCTATTTTCTAGGCAATCCCCATCTGGAAACGGACAGCTTGTTGAGGCGCTGACTCGATGGGTGTTCAAGGAGGCTGGCGTGATTCGCGTCAAGAATGTGCACCACCACAAGGTTCGTTTCTCTAACTCTGTTATAAAATTGATTTTAGATCGGCGAACAAGTCCCGCCACGCGAATACACGATCATGGAAGAAGTGGTATGACGAAAATTACAATTCTCAGAGCATGTTTAGAAATACGTAATCGAACTGGAGGAATTCAAGGATGGAAAATGGGTGCCATTCCAGGTAGCTCTTTTTCAAAATATTAACCACTTTTGTGATTAGGGCAAGGATGTTCAACTCGAATTTGTGCGCATTGACCCCTTCGTCCGTACAACGTTGAAGAACACGTAAGATTTTGAATAAAATTTTAATTGTGAGAATACAGAAATGGCGTGCTGTCGACCGTCTTCAAGCTGCCCGACGTTTACGGGGTGTTCAAGTTTGTGGTCGACTACCGCCGTCCTGGATACACGCATGTTCTGGATGTGCAGCAGGTAACATTTATGCAAATCCTGGAAGTGATATGGGACTTCGTTTTCCAAATGTTTTATTTTGGTGGCCGCATCCAGAATCTTTTTTCCAGATGTCCGTCCGACCACTTTGGCACACGCAGTATGAGCGTTTCATCCGATCGGCCTACCCCTACTACGCCTCATCATTCTCGATGATGGTCGGCCTCGTGCTATTCTCCGTAGTATTCCTGCACTTCAAGGTTGGTCGATTTCAAAGCAGTCATACCTCCCAAATTTCAGGAGCCCGCCAAGGCTGCTGCCCCCCAGAAGAAGACCAACTAGACCCAATATCTGTTCTCTCTGCATTATTTCTGTTTGTAATTTATCCGTCTGTGATATCTCAGATCGTTGGGGTTTTGTTTCTCTTTTTGTTTGTTCATACGACACGCGGTTTTCAGTGTGATGAAATAAAGTGTGTATTGGGCAATATATTACAGTTAGTGCATTACAGTATGCCGCCGGGCATTAGCGTCGGTCGAGTGCTCGCTGAGTAGATCTTCCACCTAGCAAGACGCTCTTATATGGATTCGGAATGACCTTACCTCGCTTTCGAGACATTCAAGGGGTTGCATTGTTTTCTGCCAGTTTTTGATGAGGGCACTGGCCTGCTCTCCTTCGTTTGCTGTCACCTACGCGGGATTAAAAAGCTATGTTGGATTTCTCACCTCAATGATACCGGCTTTCTGTAGAATTTCTCTCAGCTTCTTCACTGAAGCCTTTTCAGAGCGAGGTTGGGCTAGGATCTATATTTTGTAATGCTGGGTACGCTAGATTAGACGCACCTCGTAGATTCGGGTGGATTCCAGCGGCTCAAACAATCTGAGCTGGATACACTGTGGGTCAGCCTGCAAGAAAAGTAGAATATTTTCAGATGAACTTGCCTCGGCCTTCTGATTGACGAGAGTAGCACAGGGGACTTTCGGGAATTTGTTTCGGGCCTCTCCGAATCCCTGAGAGCATTCGGTAAATTTTGTTATAGATGCGACGTACCTGTCCACCATTGCCTGCATCGACAATCAGCTCAATATCAGCTTCCAGGTCGCCAACATCCTTCGCAAATTGAAGCCGCGACAGGCGAGCCTCGAAGAGGTCTTGCTGATTCTGAATTAATTTGCAAATTAGGGTCATTAGCATTAAAGGATGGGTCATCGTAAATTCGCGTGCATATGGATGTATCATACGGCCTGGCTGCTGCTGGTCTTGACCACGTAATTTATTGGCTTGGTTTTTGCAACGTTTTTAGCCGTTCATTGGCCGCGGAGGACACCACAATAACTACAGGACCACCGGCAGACGGCGGACGCCTGAAGAACCCGGAGGGCCCGTGGACGTGGTTTAGCAAAAATATGAAAGTACCGATGCGGGTCGGTCAAATTCTAAGAAAAGTTCATTCTATTCGCGCTTCAGATCAGCGACACGCCACTGAAGGAGCTGAACGTGCCAGATCTTCGGCTTTTAGCGAGGCTGGCGGTGGCGATGGTGCAAGCGAAATTCAACAAGGGCACCATCTACGAGAAGGAGGGGATCTATGCGGGCCGAAGCGTTCACCACGTCGACATGCCGTTTGTAAGTAATTTCGTATGTATAATATAATTTCGTATAGATTACGACGAAGTTACGAAAAAGTCGCAGAAGCATTTCGAAAATCACACACTATTTTAGCCCGCTCTCGACAGCCTCAAAACTGCCCTCGAAGCAAAGGAGCGCCACCTCGCCAACCGCACCGTCTACCTGGAGCCTAGCTTCCCCGCCGCACCCCAACGAAAAGCCCCATGAAAAGCCCGAAATACATTAATGCTTTAAAAGGCCGTCCGCCAGCTACCCGACCTGCCCCATTATGGCTTGGCACAGTTTTTTTCGACCCCATTTTTTTTAATACCATCGGAAAGAGCATGTTCGAATTAGTAGGGCTGCATAGTTTTGAAAGTTCAAAAAGTTTATTTTTATGGTTTAAATGGGTGTTAAAGTTGCCGACCACGAAAAATTATCTTGGAAGTTACTGAATAGAATTGGCTGAAACTTGCAGAATACATCTATTTTGGGGCGGGGATCAGTTCTCTAATACATTGCGAAGCCTGAAAATGACCGGAACATGGCTAAATAGCGTACTAGAAACAGTTTTTCGGGATTTTTTACTATGCGGGCGATCGAGCGCCACTAATACCTGGTAGGAAAAGATGCGCGACATTTTTCTGCGTCGAATGACGTGTCCATTATGCGGCGCTCGGTCGCCCGCATATCTTAAAAATCGCGATTTTTAGTCGAAATCTAGGGCGGGCAGGGTGAGAGAGTGCGGCAAGCGCAAAGGACAGAGACGGCTTGGGTGGTCAAGTTGGGGGCTCTCTGGCAGCACCCGACCCGCTCCCCCAGGGCTGCTGTCTACCTGTCTGGACCCTCCACGTCGCGCGCACTCTCTCGCCTGTTTGGCCTCCGAAAACCCGTAAAAATCGCCATTTTCGGGGTACTAATCGCGTTTTTTAAGATATGCGGGCGACCGAGCGCCGCATAATGGAAACGGCATTCGACGCAGAAAAATGTCGCGCAATTTTTCCTACCACGTATGAGTGGCGCTCGATCGCCCGCATAGTAAAAAATCCCGAAAAACTGTTTCTAGTACGCTATTTAGCCATGTTCCGGTGATTTTCAGGCTTCGCAATGTATTAGAGAACTGATCCCCGCCCCAAAATAGATGTATTCTGAAAGTTTCAGCCAATTCTATTCAGTAACTTCCAAGATAATTTTTCGTGGTCGGCAACTTTAACACCCATTTAAACCATAAAAATAAACTTTTTGAACTTTCAAAACTATGCAGCCCTACTAATTCGAACATGCTCTTTCCGATGGCATTAAAAAAATGGGGTCGAAAAAAAACTGTGCCAAGCCTTGTTCGGGTCCCTCGCAAACGGCCTTTTAAACTACATTTAAATATGCAACAAGCATTGTGATTTGTTTGGTTCAATAAAGCTGGATAGCCCGTTTTTTAATCACCTTCAAATCGTCGAGGAACACGAACGGGTGTCTCGTCTGGATATCGGCCTTCAGCTGCTGGCGAAAGCGTGCCTCGAACTCTCCCTTCTCTCCAACCACTGTCACCTGTTGTCCCGTTGAACACACTAAACGTTTCGAGGATATACAGGGTGTCCCAATAAAAAAGGTCACGCTGGCATTTTGCTATTTCAAATCCGATCGACTTGAAATTTTGCACAGAGGTGCGGAAGGGAATTTAAAATGTTCACAGAAACTTTCAGCCCGATCGGTACAGTAGTTTTCGAGTTATTGTAAAAATGCTGTTTTTCTTAAACTTTATCTTCATTTTTTCGGCTATCTTTTTGGACTTTGCATCAATTAACATAAATTTCCGGCTCTAAATACCTTATTCTTCTTAACATCGGCGTCGTTAGCCCTTGTTAAACAATACGTAAATAGCCTATTTTCGACCCGAATTTTGCGAAATAAAAAAATTCTAGGATAAAAAAGGGTCGCGCTTCATTTTCTCAATACATTCCAGGGCTCAATTCCCGGGGAATTCAGGTTAAAAACGTAAAATAAAGTTTATTTTTGCTATAACTCGAAAACTACTGTTCCGACCGGGCTGAAAGTTTCTGTGAACATTTTGAATTCCCTTCCGCACCTCTGTGCAAAATTTCAAGTCGATCGGATTTGCAATAGCAAAATGCCAGCGTGACCTTTTTTATTGGGACACCCTGTAGATAATATCAATGAACTAGCTGTGCCATCCATTTCCCCACCCATTCAAAGACAACAACAAGTTCGACAAATTCACCGATCCCGTGATGCTGCCTCTCAATGGCAAGCGATGGGGGAAAGGGAAATACCCCCCACGGGCAATCCGATTCGCTTTCCGGGGGTTAGAGTGCTTTCAATTGAAACAGGAACGACGGTGGGACAAATTGAATCTTGGCCCCCCTTCGAGCCCACTGGTCCTCATTTCGGCGTCGCCGGAATTGCCTTTTTTGCTGTTAACGGGAAAACTCGAGCCCTACGGTAAGCACCCAACTGAAGAAGGGGAGGATTTGGAGAATTTCAGCGAGAAAAATCGAAGGAATTAGGCAGAAAAAAACTCACGAATTCGGGCCATCTGTTCGGCCGCTCGGCCATTCCCAAAAATGAGGGCCACTTTAGAAGGGACCATGGTTTGTATCGAATATGGGCTGCAAAAAAGTTTGATATCAGCGAAACGGCAAATAGGTCTTTGCTTGAAAGACAAAAAAATGGCCAAAACACACAAAATTCAGGCGAAAGCGACATTTCAAACCGAAAGAAACTACTCTACAAATGCTAGAAGCAGTGAAACGGCTAAAAATAAAGGTGACTGCGTATCGTATACCGTTAAGCATAGATCATTTCGCAACTTTAGCAATGAAAAAGGAACGATGGTGTTCAGGGAACGGCAAAAAGGGATCAGGAACTAATAAAAATGTGATAAACGGCCATTTCCCGTCAGAAGAACTACTGTACAAAGGCCAGAACTAATGAACTCAGCTAAAAATAAAGCCTTCTGCTATTGGCAATTGACAGTTCCGATCATTCGATCCCTTCTCTATCTCCACCCTTCTTTATAGCAATCACAGCACCGAACAGACGATAGCATTTTGCAGCAAAGACTGATACGCCCAGTAAATATTGGCGATTTACGAATTGCGCTGGGATCGAGAAGAGATAAGACCCCGGTCCGCCTGTACAGCGAAACAGGTGATCTGGACAATGTAAGCCATCCCCCACCTCCAAGACAGACCCCGACGAGCCCCAGATGCTCGTTGGAGATTGTGGATGGCTGTGGGCGTGCACGTGAAGGGACGGCTCCCTGCTCCTGCTCACGCCCCCCAACAACCGGGTTGCCCCCCACGATCCCACGGGCTATGCAAAGGTCGTGCGACCTTAGAAAAAACCGACAAAACACTTGCGAAAAGTTTGAGGAATTGGTAGTGAAGTTTAGAAAGGTTAAACCCAGCAATAAAAAAACAGGCAATTCCTGCGTGGTCTAAGGCTCCCTTTAGCTAAAACCGCAAATATTATACAGTAATTACCCATTAAAAGTTACAGATACGTTCACGTTTATGCAGAAAACGAAGTTTTATTTTGTTTAGATTACTCAAAAGTTATAAAAATCAATAAATAAAAGGTTTTGTGCTATTCCGCAAATACAATTGACACCTTATGTGCAGAGGTGCCGTTCGGAATACGAAAAACGGATTTCGAATTTTCATTCCAAAATTTTTTCAACACTTTTCACGGCGTTTTCTGATCTCCCAGACATTTTTTTATTTATTTCACCCTTTTCTTATAGGCGCCATGGCCGGATCGACTTCGCGCGCTCTTGGACTTCTAGCCGGCCGATTCATCAAGCTCCGTGCTGCCGTTGCTCCTGTAGCGCCTGGCAGAGTCGCTTCCATCGCAACAATCCAGGCGCTGCTTGCTTACTTCGCAATAACTCTGTTTTTAGAAACGATACACCCATGCTCACGTCTATGGGCCATTTGACCCGCCGAAGAATATGACGCGCAATGATGTACGTGATTGCCATTTGCCTAAATTTCATTTAGGTGGAAAAACGGGTCTTGAAGGCGATTCGGAGCTGGGATCGATTCCCGCATGACAAAGTAGATATTCGGCTTCTTCGTAGTTAGTTTTTAGGAAGCTTTGTTGAAGCTCAACGCGGCGTTCGGGCAAGATCTCGGCTTTGACTCGCTTGATCATGTGGGTGTCCTGACAAAGATTGCCGTTCCCATCGCCGGCATTCGTTAATTTTAATTTTATTTATGTTTAGGTGGAAATTACGATGGCGATTGAAGATGAGTTCGGGTTTGAGGTTCCCCTGCAGGCAAGCTTCATTTTTTGCGGCACAATTTCCACTTCAGGATGCCGAAAAGATGAAATCGCCGCAGGATGTTGTGAACTACATCTGTGATCGGGAGGATGTGCATAAATGGTGAGCTAATCGTTAAGCTAACACATTCTTTTTAGATATTTTTGCTTATGACGCGTCGTTCCGCTTATTAAACTGGTAATTAATTTCTGAGCGTGTGATTGTGGACCACTTGAAGATGGATTTTCGATTCGATTATTATTTGTCAGGAATCCTCAGACTTCTATTTCAAATTTTACGATAAATTTTTTGCCACACTGGTTGCCTGTTATCGAATGCAGTTTTGCGGATTGGTCACCGTACCCCACGTATTTTCCTGTTGCGAGTGGATAGAGTGTTCCAGTCTTTCGCTATCTTATGATGATGTTTGCTTATTTCTTAATACGTTTCTTCAGCTAAATCTACAATTTAATGTATTTTAGGAAATGTCTGAACCTGTGGCTACTCAGGGCGTGAGCTCCTCCGATGAGAAGAATCTTGTCGTCAGCTTCATCCAGTTTTTGCGCCAGAAGGTTTCTCAAAACCAGTGCAGCGATGAGCAGATTGAGGGCTTAGAAGGTTTAACATCGCTTGAAGCTAATATTCGTTTGTTTCCAGTTGCCGTTCAGTGCCTCGAAGGGGCTTTTGGACTTTCTGATGCCAACTACGCCTTCCAGCCCTCGAAGCCGCTCCTCTCTATCTTCACCGCGGCCGAAGGCCTCGGCGTTGAAGTGAGATGATTTTTAGAAAACTCATTTTCTCTTAGGGCGAGACCAAGCTTGCTGAGCCTACACCCAGCGAGATCGAGCAGGCCAACAAGCTCAAGGAGGAGGGAAATGATCTCATGAAGGTGCCAGTACGACGCTTGGATAAACTTTTTTTTAGTCGAACCAATTCGACGCCGCCATCCAGAAGTACAACGAGGCCATCAAGATCAATCGCGACCCTGTCTACTTCTGCAACAGGGCCGCTGCCTATTGCCGACTTGAGCAATACGACTTGGCCATCCAGGATTGCCGCACCGCCATCGCCCTTGACCCGAACTACACCAAGGCTTATGGCAGAATGGGGTTTGCGATCATACCTTATCCTAATTCGTATTTAGAATCGCTCTGTCATGCCAAAATCGCTATGAGCAGGCTGTCGAGGTCTACAAGAAGGCGCTCGAGTTGGACCCGACTCAAGAAACTTACAAGAACAATCTCAAGATAGCTGAAGATAAAGTCAAGGAGTTGGAGGAGGCCTCTCGCGCGCAGTTCAACAACCCCAACGTGAGTATTCTGTCCAATCACTGATCGTGGGCTTTAGAACCCGCTGGCTGGTATGTTCGGTGGTGCTGGCGGCGCCCCTCCGGATTTCGCCTCGTTGTTCCAGAACCCACAGATGATGCAGGTAAGCAACATCTCAAGAATTTATGGTATATTATCTAGTACCCATTTTTTTACCTTTAGATGGCCAATTCGCTTATGACGGACCCGAATATCCAAGGGATGATGTCGCAGATGATGGGTGGAGGCATGGGCAACCTCTTCGAAGCTGGCCAAGCGGTTTGTCTTTCGCTTTTTTTTCGAAGAATCCAATTTTTTAGATGGCCCGGCAGATGCAGCAACAGAATCCCGAATTTGTCGAACAGCTCAGGCGGCAGTTCGAGGGCGGCAGCGACGGCTCCAACAACGATGGTGCCCCTCCCCCGGCCCCTCCCCAGTAATTACCCACCATACGCCTGTGAATTTCCATTTCTGCAGTGATTGATCTCAATCACATTTTCGGCGATCTGTAACCGACCTTCTTAACCGTTTTGATGTGATATTTCCGATATTTCCGCGCTTAGGGATGTTAATAAAGTTCTGGTCACGTGAATTGCCAGTGAACAGAGTAATGTGCGTTGTATTCGTGACTGCATAGGAGACAAGGGTGTTTCTTTGCGACAGACTAAGGGCGGAAATGACTCCTGCTGTGAAGTTGTGCGCAACAACACCATCCCGTTCTAGAGAATTCACAGATGGCACACGCGGATCGGGCCGTTTTTAGTTTGCTCGGCGCATCTGGGCCAAGATTTGGGCTCTAACGTTCTCCAACATGGATGATTCAGCAATGCCTTTTCGGGGAAAAAGAGGCGACGACCCTCTTTGCTTGGTGCGGGCCTGCATCGGGCTGTATTGTGGTGGCTCTCTCGAGCGCCCCTCTCGCCTTTTCGCAGCCACCAGCCTCCCCTTCCTCGGCCCTGCGGGTCAAAGACATAGCACGCAGCCCCCAGCACAGCCTCTGCGCTCATATCACCTCCTAATGCTCGCTCGCACACACACCCACTTGCCCCCATTTCGAAGGCATTCAACTGGTTTTAGGATCAAAAGTTATAATGATCGACCGTTGGTTGTATACGACATCGGTTTTGCCTCTCTGGCATGAAAACACCTTATTATATACTACTGAACGTCAATATGTTCCTTATAAACTTCCAGTTGTAACGACAAAAGTCTCCTTGAACCCGTGATTTTCAGAAACTACTCGATTCTTCGATGATATTAAGATGTACGATGGATGGCCACACATCGAGTTCCCCGAACTCAGCCCCAGCGTCCTGAACTTCTTCACGAGGTTGGCAATCTTCAAAAAAAATCTAACGCTTGAAAATTTAGTGAAACGGGCAGCAGCGTGGCCTCATCCATACTCAGCGAGCTGACGCTCAAGGACAATGAAAACCAGCAGAATTTGCGTCTGCTGACTGAAGAGCAACTACGATGGTGTATTCAGGTAGCTTCTTTGCACAGAATCCTAACAGAAGCTGAAAAATTTAGGTGCTGAACCATGGGCTAACACTTTCGTTCGATACGGAGCGCGAGTTCACTGGTGTCGAACAATCAGTCAGGATCTACACGCATTGGCTGCGGGCCCTTACGGATACACCGGACGGCTCCATTCCCGCGCCTTTGCTTGAAACCCCTGAAAAGTATTTCAGGTAATTAATTTACCTTTTCGTTCGCGGTTACAAGCGAAATGTTACGAAAAACGCTGGTTTTCAGAACAATAATTGATGCCCTTCGTAGTGTGTTCGTGAGACGACAAGTACCAGCTGATGCCAGACGTCAATTGACGGTTTTTTAGCTATTACATCTGCAACTTGGTTTTAGGTGAATCGCCAGGCCGCACAAATCGATGCAATTCTCGAGACGGTGAAAGCGATCACCACCTGCGCAAGCAGAAAATATCAAGATGAGGTTCGTAACTTATTCTAGTACTTTAAGTTTTCATAGGTCTGGACAAGAAGCCTTTCATTCATGTTGAACAGCGCCGATATTCTACTCGCCGATTATCCTCTTCAAGGTAGCGGAATTGTAAATGTTGTAACAAAAAATAATCGGCAGAAAACAAGACATCCCAAGTTAAAAAAACTTTACAGACGATATTAGTGGCCGGACGAGCTGCCGTGTGGTCGATACGCTGCTTGACTTATGGCTGAAGGCCGTCTTGTTGGAGCAGATCCCTTCTCCATCCTACTGGAGAACACTGCATGTGATGTTTTTGAGGTGGCGACATCATGTGGGTTAATTCTATCTTAACAAAACTCGTTTATTCTTAGGTTCCGGTAATCGAGTCGTGGGCGAGAAAGCTGCTGGCCTTGACGGTGTTGGTGTGCCGCTCGATGTACGGCTCCAAGTACTGCATGATTCAGATAGGTGGGTTGTGACGTTTGTTAGTATTATACAAAAGAAAATCGGATAAATATCATCGAAATTAGTGAAAATAGTGCAGCTAATTTATCTATTTTTCAGAAGATGAGACCCTGAATTCCCTAGCTGCCCTCGTCCCGCATTCCGACGACAATGACGATGAAGAACACGCTAGTCTGCTTTTTAAAAGCTGGCTAGACATCCTTTCGCTTGTTGGCCCACCCTCGGAAATACTGCGCCACGAGCTGAAGGAAGTGCCAGGTAGCAAAAAAAGTTTATAATTAAATAATTTCATACAGAAAGGAGTGGACCGCTGAAAATACTCCCTTTATCTTTCTTCATCGCCACCACCGCCATTCAGCGCATGGTCGATCTGTTCTATGGTAATGAACTGCGCTCTAGCTGCAGCTCCTTTTTAGGTGATTCAAAGGTGCCGATCGAGTTCAAAGAAACTGAGGTCCTGCAAAGAAAATGGGATCAAGCTTTGGGAGAGCGGATTTCGATAATGCCGGATGGCGCCAGTCGAAGTCAGACGACTGCTACAGTGAGTGGCTGACGTGCGTAGAATTTCCCATTTTTTAGAGATCTACATTGACTGCCGGGACGGTGAACACCTTTGCTACGGCTATGGAACCTGATAAAGATGCAACGTTGGGCAACGATCATCGTGGTTCTTTTAGGTTTGATCGATCATATACTAGTTGGGACAAATTTGCGTATAAAAGTAGTTTAAGAAGTATAATATTTACTATCTTAATGACGAAAGAAACGATAAAGCAGAAAAATTTAATTAGATTTGGTTCTTTTTATAAACAAGTATAATTTCGTACCACTTTCAGCAGCTCGGTTAGTGGCAAGACCGGCAGTGCGGTGACTAACGATCGGGATAAGGAAAAAGAAAAGAAGAAACAAGGAAAGCAAGGTATCTCGGTCGAAGAGACGATAAAAATACCTATTCAGAACGCCCTCGTAATGGTGTCCCGGCAGCCAGCGCTCCGGCTGAATCTCGGTACACGGCGTCTACCGCCTTCTCACCCTCGCTGGCGACTACTATCAACCAACAAAATAACGGGAGTAAGCTTTACTTTTAATTCCAGATCGTATTTCAATTAGATAATCACTCCCCACTTACAGACAGCCGAATCCCATACTCCGCCCGGCCGACCGCTTCTCAGTTTGTCGGGCATATTTTGAAGAGTAAGTGACTAAGGCTGTATCTTTTATCCGGCTTCAGCGAACCCTGGCTATGCCCCTCATCTTGGGGAGAGATCGCCGAAGAGCGAGCGGATGGTGCAGCTGGCGATGGAGTGGCTGGTAGAAGCTGCACTTGCCCGCAGCGAGCAGGACGGACGCGGTTCAACGGCCGGAGATGTGGCAGATGGTAAGATTTTGAAATTTGATGAATTTAGAATTGATTCGCCTCGTTTCTTCCTGTGAAAAATTGGTCATAAATTAAATAGAATTGGCAAAATCAAGGAGAGCTCTTTTTGGGGTTTTTTGGAGGGGCGGGGGTTGAAGTTGGTACACCCTCCAAGTTTTGGATAGACACCAAAGATTAGAATCAGGAAATCCTCAAGCGTTCTATTGGCTATAATAATTCATCATAGACACCAATCCGGAAGCTCCACCCTCCCAAATATCGCGCGGATCTATCTAGATTCCAAGCCGATTACCCCAATTTTCGGCTTGCGACTAGTTTGGACATGATCCATCTTTAGTGTAATTGATTGGCGCTTTCCGCCTTTAAATAAGGACTACACATAACAAGTTTTTATTCTTTTTCTTTTCTGACTTTCGTTAGTATTTTGGTGCTTTTTCTTTATCGGGACCTTATTCGCTAGGATCCAGTTTCTCTAATATCAGTAGAAGACGTGTTCCTAAACTAATTTTTACTTTTCCAAACCTAGGAACTTGACAGATTTTCGATTTTCAAACAAACATAGCCGATTTTCGCCCAAAAATTTCAAAACTCTTTAGTTTTTGGATAGTTTTTCCGCTTGAAATATAGTTACATTTTACTAAAAACTTTATAAAACAGTGACTGTTACGTTTCTTTGCAGTGAATACATTTCTGGACGTGGATGAAAAATACCCCCCCCCCCCCGGTAATGAGAAAGAACCGATTTTACGATTACTTATGAGCGACTATACTGGCTAATCGTCCCCTACCGCCCAGAGACCCTTTATCTTCCCTCCTTACTTTGCGTGGAAGCGTACATGTTTGCCTGTTTGCCGAATCGTCCCCCTATAGCCCTGTCATCGGCTGTCAGAATGACCCCCTCCCCCTCGGCCGTTCTTTGCTTGTTTAGGCCACGATCCGGGTGGCCCAGGGCCAGTCCACCCTTCCTCCCCATTCACATCTCCCTAAACCCCCCCTCCATATTCGCCAACTCGATATTCGGCAGCTTCTGCCCGGCCACCAGCTTCATCTCGTCGTCGTCCCATAGCGAGCGCGAGGAATTCGAGTGGCTGTTCGAATTGGTGGCTCACGCTTGTGCAAACACTCTTCTTCCCTTCCCTTCCATCCCTCCTCCCACCTGCTGGTCGGCTGCTTTTGACGGCGGGGTGGACCCTCTGTGCACGTTGCTAGGATCGACGCTCCGCCACACCCCGCGCAAGTGCCATGAGTTATGCGGTACGCCGCAAATTCGTGCGCCAGCCGGCGGTGCGCACAAATTCAGGTATTTTCCTGACTTGATAAGCGTCGCCTTGGATTTCTTGTTTTTTTGCCGGTATTCTTCCTTTTTTGGCCGTTGGGCTTCCTTATTTCCCAAGCTTCTTCTTGCCCTAAAGAGATTGTGAAGGCAGAAATCTTTATAAAAAAGTTTGTTTTTTTGGGCCGTTTATCTTTTTTTTCTTCAACCGTTTTCTTCCGCTAAACGAATGGCAAGTTAGAAATCCCGTATGGATTTATCGAGCCCGCGACACACAACGCGTACTCATTGTTCCGCTGCGCAATAGATGATGAACACTTTCGCGGTTATCAAGCGGGGCAAGTATAGTCCAGTGGAATCTATAGGAATTTCACGCCGCGCGCTACACAACGCGCTTTCCCCTTCCATTGCGTAATCGATTACGGCATCGTTTTAACCGATTAAGCGGCTTGACGCGTAGCGTTTCGCGGGTGTGGCAACATCGATATGAGCAAAATTTTTCAGCCGCTAAAAAGTCAGAAAAATAGCTTTTTTAGGAAACACTCGTTGAAGCGAGTGTGATTTTTTCAATTTTATTCGCTGTCGTGCATTTATATGTAAGACCGAGTACTAGGCCTTGTAGCCCGGAAAAAGCTACATCTTTTGGTGTACTCGAAATGCTCTATGATCCTGGAGAACGGTTTTATAAGTGTAACCGTGGTAGAAATCTTATAATTTAATTTATACTCGCTGATACCGGTGCGCGAAATATTTAATCGACCGTTCCCCAGCCGTTCTGGCCAAGCTTGATGACCGCCAAGCCGATGGCGGGGCGGATCATGCATTTTATTACTCTCCACCGCCGCCCATCCCTCCACCCGTTTGCCTTTTCCAGCCGTTGTGCCTATTTTCTCTCCTCCATTCACCCCCATCTCGATACTTTCGGACAGGTGACCGCAGGCCGCCAAATCCGCCCAATTCTACCCCCACTCTGTATACCTGTCACCCACCAACAACACGAACTACGCTTATTTACAGTTTACGGTCGCTGTGGAGAATGTTTAGGTTTGTTTTGAGTATAAGGGAGGGTTATCAAATTCGTCCGGAGACTTTTATTGTCCTACCAAGCTTTATAATTTAAACTATAGCAATCTTTACCTGGCATGGCTTCTTCTCTTTTCAATGGAACCTGAGTTCGGCGTGTTTTTAGGACAGGACTGCGCTTTCGCATTATCGGGGGGGGCTGCACTTTTTCTACCGGACCTTATTTTGTAATAAAAATTAAAGATAAGTTTCTACTGTTTTGGATGTTAGTTAATGTAACAACGGTATTTTTTAGCGACAAATAGCAAAATATAGCTTTTTCTGACGGAAATGGCCGATTTTCTCTAAAATTTCCAATCTTTAATTAATTCTGTTTGAACCAGGGTTGAAAAACTGCTTCGCGGCTTTTTCAACCCTGGCCCCGTCTAGGATCGTTGAAGTTATTGACTTTGCATAATTCTTGCCGAAAACCGCTGACCAAAAAATGAAAAGCGCGCCCTCTCTTCCCTTTTTATAAATCATTTCCACTTCCGCCGTATGCTAATTGCTTCCTAACAAAGAGGGAAGCCAAAATTTTTACAAAAACCTAATTTTAATAGCGAAAATCGAAGTTTTTCAAAACTTTTATGTGTGTGCAGTCGATTCCGGCCCCTTCTTTACCCTATGACGTTTCTTCCCTACCGAAAAAATGCTTCCCTGAGGCTGTAGGTGCGGAACATCCAAACGGAAGTGCATGCAAATATACACACACACACACACAAACACTATTTTTTTATATATAGTAGGATTTTTCTTGGTATTTTTTCCACTTGAAACATGGTTAAATCTAAGATTAGAGGTGCTATTAAAATAGTTGTTCGATTACTTGACATATGTTGTTTTCTGGGAAAAAACCCCTTCCCCCACGTCCAGATAATTGGAAAAATCCGCGCGCCGATCTAGGTTTCCTGAATTTCACCAATAATTTCCCCAAATTCTGACTCACTCAAGCACATAAAAGCTTGCTTTTTTGGCATTCAATCCCCTGAATAGACGAGCATTTCCGCTGATTCCTGTCCGTCGAAATGAAGCCGCTATTGGGCCGGCTGTTTGCGCGAACCTGCACGAATCCCCCCGGTCGCGCCGCCCGCGCGCACCTATCCGATCGATGTGTACGGCCCGGGCGGGTGGAGCTGGCCGAAATTGTAATCGGCTTAGAATGTACGAGGTGGAGGGGGACGATGTGGACGCCGCTCCGTTCCGCGGCTATTTTTAAAGGCTAGTCGACAAGCGGTCGATATCGAGTACGAGCTAGTTGGGGTGGTAACTGTATTTTGCGAGTCGTTCAGGTGATTCGTTTATTAGGAGAGTCGGGGTGGCTTTTAAAGCTTGTTGTTCACGAGCTGAAAGGTACCGGAAGCCCTCCTTTCAACGATTTTTGGGAAATACCGAAAATGCCGAAAGTGGACTCCAGCTTACTCTAGTTTTCGTCTTTTTTTGGATTAACTAACGTTTTTTAGTATGTTTTTGACACTCTATTGATTAGCGCCTTGAACAGGTCCGATGATCGAAAACTCAAAATTCAGAGTCGTTAAATAAAACCAATTTATTTATTTTTTGTCAAAGTCTAGACTTAATGGTTCGGTAAGCGGAAGGTTTGGTACTTTACTATTAGCGGGGGGGGGGGGAGAATTTTTGTTTTCCGCGTACGGCACTTCTTAATATGACACAATGTATTTTTTGCTTTCGTTTCTTTTAATCGGTACGAAGTCATACGAAATATTTAAAAAAATTAAAATTCGAAAACCTTTACCTTTTTTGGTCCTTTTCGCCTTTTACGGTCGAAGGTTAAAAGAATTGTCGCAAATGCGACGAAGGGCTGTAATCCCCCTCCCCCCGCTAAGAGTCCAGCACCAGGGTTTTCCTCTATTGAATCGCACTAACCCCAGGTTGACAGACATCGCCTAGACCATAAATGGACTTGAAAAGAAGCCGTTTTCCAGAAGAAACGATCCTCCCCTTTGTGGGTAGTGTTGTCCTTCAGGGGTTTGGCCCACAATCCTCATCGAGCAGTTCGCATAGTGACCTTGTGCGGGCATTGTGCCATCCTCCCCCATTCAGACCGCCACACTCGAAATCGCCCCCCCACGCACTTCCCCTCACCGGCCCCCCGGTCACCGAATTGGGCATTCCGGGGTGGATTGGCCCTCTTTTCAGGTTTATGGGGTCTTGTTTCGTTAGCGGGGGGGGGGGGGGGGGAGGGGTGACTTCCCTTGATTCTTCCTTGATTCCTTGATATTGGCTATCGGCAATTTGCTTTAGACTTTTTTATCTTTAGGCGTTCCAAGTTCAAGTTTTTGGCACGTCGGCATTTTTTGGCTATATGAATTTTGGTTATCGGCTTTTTGGCTTTCGGTGTTTTGTATGTCGGGATTATCGGAATTTTCAAAGTACTCTGATTGTTTCCTAAAAGATTCCACGTTTTGCCCCTTCGCCCTGAATTTTTCAAATCCATAATGCTCCTTATCCAGATATCAAGTGAAAACCGGTTTCGAAATAAGTAATTTATAATTTTACGCAATTTCCAGATGTGATTTCGAGCCTCTCCCTATGCAGTGTTGACATTGACGACATCCCGGCTGCCATGCAAAATGTCTCCTCATCGGAGCGCAAGGCACACCAGCACGATCAGCCCTCCTCCGAACGCTACTTCCAGCATAGATCTGATAGCTACGGTAGGCTGCACGTTATTTACTAGTTGATATCCTATTTTCTCGGTTTTTTTTTTAAATCTAAATTTCACAATATGGAATTTTTTAAAGTACTTGGATTTTTTTGGCGGTTTTGTTCGTGGTAAACTTGGTAAACACTTATTAATTACGAAATTCCCGTATTTCGACATTATGACATTTCGACATTTTGATATTTCAACATTATGAAAATCAGCCATTATCAATTTAAACATTGTGAAGTTTCGAAATTATGAATTTATAGAATTCCAATTTCCAGCGGGCAGTACGGCCTCTTCCGGCCATGAGGCTCAAGCTGGGATCACCCAGGACCCGATGATAGTCGAGTCGGCCAATGGGGTCAGCGCTGGGCGTGCAAATGCGGTATTCTGAAGAAATCTATGCTTTCATGCTCATTTAGATCGGAACCCTGGCCCGAATTATATGCAGCAAGCGCTCCTCCGAATCCCTCCCAAATGCCCATCTCGCCCAATTTTACGCCATGGTTTATGAAGCACTTGTGGAGGTGTGTCGCCCAGTGTTTCCAAAGCGGCCCGATTTCTGGAAATCTACGAGCCCATTGGGGCCCATTTTTCACCGCGGTCACCCCGAAAAGGCCCAAATAATCGCTGCCCGATTTAGAAGGATCGGCTCGTGCTCTGCTCCCTTTTCTACTATGGACATTCGCTCTTCCGCTTGGGTCTCCCCGGCGTTGAGGCATTGCTGCCGCATTGGCTCTTCGCTCTCGATGTCATCCTAATCGAGAGCAGCAAATTGAGGTAATTGGTTTTTTAGCGTTTGTGAGGTTTTTGGGTTTTAAAAATGATAGAAATTAGGGAGTTTTTCGGAACCGTAAAAAAACAGGTTACAAACACTTCGTCTGTTTATATAAGAAAAATTAGATCCCAAGAAATTAGACTAATTAAAATTAAATTAGACAAAGTTCCTTTTTAGACTTCATCCCTCTTTCCCGGAAACCGACATCCGAACCCATTGCCTTCGGTCCCTGGCCACGGTCATCAGCTGGCCCACCGTCTATGGCATGACGAAAATGACGCGTGAGTTTTTTAGTTTTTATGTCTTTGGTACCAGAAAAATTTTGTAGAATCACCGGCTGGCGCGAATCTGAAGTCAGCGGCTGCCACCTACCTCCACCTGCGCCCCAGAATGTACAAAACATTAATCTTCAGCCTGCGCAACGAGACCGACGCCGCCAATTTGCAGCAGACCCTTGGTAACCCAGAAAAATTAGTTATATAAGTTTTATTACAGCGATGACGTCGATTCTCGTGGTGGAAAGCGCCGCTTATGACCTGGGCCTCAGCGAAGAACAAGCAAAGGATATGATGCGAATTTCTGCATCACTCAGCCAGAACCAACCCGAGAAAGGTAGCATTCGAAAGTTTTAAACTTTTTAAAAGCACAATTTTGAACCATTAAATGACAACGGAATAAAAACTAAAAGCTGAAAAACCATATAATTTGACAGGCCTCTGCGGCTCGTTCGTCCGTGGCCTCATCTCGGCCGTTTGCGACCGGTTGTCACGTCCGGAATGGGCTGGCGACTTTTCCATCTGCCTTTCGGCTATTGACGTCCTTCACACAATCTCTTCATTACACCAGAGCGTCCTCTTCTCGAATCGTGAGGCCCTTCCAATAAAAATTAATTTTTTTTTCTGTAGGCGATATGTCTGCCGGTTCGTTGATTATCTCATCGCTGTGCCGCTTCATCGAGACGCAGCTGATGAAGCCGCCGCCGCTTCACAGCAAGGATCTGCACTCAAGCGTGCGTTAATTTTTGCTTTTCAACAAAAAATTTATGGTTTCAGGTAGTCGCCGCATATTCTTGCATCGTCGCCTGGTTGGTGGCGGCGCCGATGCTGGCTGAATGCGAGAGCGTCTTGAATACGGTGGCCGAAGCGGTGCAGCTGGGCGTGACAGGGGTCCGGCGGCACGACGAGAAAACGGTGGAACGGAAGGCGGCTAGCAAACGTGTGCTGGACGCTGCCGAATATTTGCTGTTCTCATTGTTCTGTGTCGTTGTGAGTTTTTCTCTTAGGTCTTTGGCTTTAATTTTGAAATCTGTGATTTAATTAGGCCAAATTTAAAGTTAGGTCAAAAATTAAGAAAAAGGCTTTAATCTTTAAACATGCTTATTAGGGCCGGAAGCCGTCACCGATCGGAGACGAAGCCCGACTGGCGCAAGAATACGGCACGTCTGCCATCGAGCTCTCCAAATTCGCCCATTTCCTGGTCAACGGCGACACTCTGCTGTCAATTCATGAGGCGACGCATATACCGGAGGTCTTCAAAGGTAAAAACTATTTATTTCGTTGATTTCTACCGTAATTCTTAGGTTCCGCATGCGTTTTGTACGTGCGTAGGACACCGATGCAGGCAGCGACCATTGGGATTGGCAGACTTTTGCCTACTTCTGAAGCCCTGGCCGCAAGTGGATTGCAAGAAAAATCTGGTACGTTTTTCAACGCTATTTTGAGGATCGCATTATAGGAAATGGACCGACGAAGGATGGGCCGTCGATATCCAGCAGCGGCGCGTCAACGCCCACCACTCCCTCAAGTATTTTTAACTTTTGAAATCCCAACTTGAATTTCAGGCCTCGCGACGCCTCCCACTCGCCAACCAGCTCCACAACCGCCCAGCCTAGCTGAGCAGTTTGTGATTCCGGAGGAGTTCCATAAAAGCTGCTGTAAACTGTGAGTTTTACTAGCTAATGTCGAAAATCGAAAACAGCCAGACTGCCGACAGTGAAAATACCGACGGCCAAAATAATGGCATTCAAAATCGAGCTGTGAAAAAATATTTGGGCTCTAACAATGAAAGTCACAGCATTTACGTAGCTCGTTGCACCATTTTAAACACTGAAAATATCGAAATTATTAAATGTTAGGCTAATTTTCGATTTTTGGCTAAAATTTCTAGAATCGAAAAATTTCAATCTTTCGGCATTCTGGCTATAAATTAATTGTCGCAAGTTCATATATCTTACTTACTATAATTCTTAGCGACTCATCCCTGGCCGAACTCAAGATGACCCCCGAAGTAGAAGCCATCATGTCAAAATTATCAGACCCAAAACCCACGCGCCACGACGAACGTAACATCTGGGCTGCTCTAACTGAAGAACAACGAAAAGCAACCCCGGTCCAACCTGCCGCCACCTGCGATTCCCTACGCATTTTCCTCTACGACATGGGCCTCGTCCACAAAGACATCTTTGGCTCGGAACTCATCTACCTCGACCCAGCCCAAAGTCCCAGCTTCTACCACGACCTCCACAGAGTGGTCGACAGCTGCCCGGCGAGAACCCTCCAAACGGTCCATATTTTCTATGTAAAAGTCGGCCAACGAAGCGCTGTCGATATTCTAGAAAACGCGCTCAACATCCAGAACACATCATCTGAATTCTGCACGTTGTTGGCTGAACTCGGCGAAGGCGTCGAGGTCGGTCAGCATGGCGGCTGGACTGGGCATTGGAGCACTGCGTACGCTTCTCATCAGGGGCCGACGCAAGAGCGCAGCGTCATTGATCACTATATTTTGGATGGAATCACGCATGCGTTGTCCTGGACCGGACCCACGGCCGAGATTGCTTTTATAACGCCTTCGGAGCGAAGTGTCCGGATTTTTAAGCAAGACCTGCCACCCCCGACCTCGGCTCGTCGTGCATCACTGAAATCGTATTCCGGGCATACGTCGTCGGAAGATGCGTAAGTTGATGAAATTTTGTAGAGTATGTGGTGCTTTGTAGGTTGCAGCCACGTTTGGACCCCTATTACGGAGCACGAACAAAGAGCAACATCTCCACGATGAGCAGCGACAGCGAATTCCCGACGCCATCGTCGACGTCACAGAGTGGTAAGTAAACCCCGGGATGACCGAAATCAGCGTAAATTAATACCATAATACCATACCATAATAATTAAAAATAATACCAAAAAATCAATATTAGGTGCGGCGCGGCGAAGCGGAGAGCTACGCATCTTGACGGTTTGGTTGGAACGCCAAGAGGACATTGGCCACTTCCCGATTGGTAGGTTGAAAAACCGAATATCCAAGGTGGTAATAACTTGTAGATGATCTGCTACCAACATGCGACGATGGAGCTGAAAAGCTGACGAACGGTTCTTCTCCGCTGCCGACCGCAAAGCCATCCTACATCATCATCTTCCTCTATTCCGTCGAGCCGGGTTTGGTTCAAGTAGCTTTCCGAGGGACACCGACGAGGTGAGTTCGTTTTTGTCAGCCGGAAATCAGAAAAAAATAAGTAAACAATACAATTATAGATTCGGCGATCCGGGCCCTCTCATTGACGGTGTCGTCGTCTCTGCTTTGTGCTTACCCACCCTGCTTCGTTTGACCGTCCTCAATATCACAAACCGTAGCGTTGCCGAGGCGGAAAAGTAGGTTTAAAAAAATCAAAATTTTCCGTTTTTTAATCAAAACCATAACTGTTTTCAGCCATCAAATGACCCACATCAAACGCCGACAAGCCATCGCCGACTTTGGCAAACGCTACGCATCCCCATGAAATATGAAGATTTCCTGATCAAATTGATGCAACGCAGCTAAATACCCTTCTCTGTTCACCGATCCGTGTTTTAGATTTTATTTTGCGTCCCCTTCTCCATTTCAGGGAATAATATATTTATGGCAAATTGCTTTATCATCGGGTTCCATTGATTGCGCTGTGAATTTGGCTATTTTCTCGAGTTTATTGTTCCGCCGGTGTCCAAAGTCGTGACTTGATTTTGCTGCTGATATTTTCGTGCCCTTACCAATTCTAGGTATATGTCGGCTACGCGGGGGGGGACAATTTTACGCGGGGGGGACGGGACAGGCAGGCTTTTTTGGATGTTTTCGTTATTTTCTCGGAATTTTTGCGACGGCATTCGATAGAGCATCGAAAAATATACTAAGAGTTATTGTTTTAGCTCAAATTAGTGTAATATAAAAAAAAGTTATGGCAAATACAAAAATAAGCTTTAAAAACCGGGTTAGGCGGCTGTTTTTCGACATTCGCGCTATTTTTTCGACATTTTAAAGATGCCATTCGATAGAGCATCCAAAGATATACTAAAAGTTTTAATTTTAGCTCAAAATAATGTAATATAAAATAGTTACAACAAAAACAAGTATTAAACGTTGTTTCAATGGAGGACATAGAAGGAAATCAAGTTTTCGGCATTTTCGACATTTTTACAAAATTTCTTTAGTGCCATTCGACAGAGGGTCTAAAAATATACTAAGAGTTTTGTTTGTAGCAAAAATAAACGCAAAAAAAATAGTTAGCTCGGCCCCAACAGTCCGTCCCCCCCGCGTAAAATTTTCCCCCCCGCGTAGCCGACATATACCCCAATTCTATTGCCTGTGATCAACCAAAACATATGCACCAATTCCCCGGCCTTACAAAATGCGATGAGCGCCTTGTATACCTCAATAAACAATTTTTTTGGAGCTATTGATGTTTGGGGGGGGGGGCATCTTTTTTTGGTGGCCTAGGTCTAGGCTTAGGCTTAGCTTTAACTTTGCGTACGCTTGGCTTGGACTTAGCTTATGCCTAGGCTTGGCTTAGGCTAAGGCTTAGCTTCGGCCTAGGCTTGATTTTGGCTTAGCTTAGGCTTAGTGTAGGCTTACATTAGGCTTCGCCTAGCCTTAGCTTAGACTTAGCCTAGAACTAGCTTAGGATTAGCTTAGACTTGGGCTTAAGCCTAGTCTCGGCTTAGGCTTGGCTTAGGCTGGGCCCCCCACAAACCCCCCCAAACATCAATAGCTCCATTTTTTTACTATTTTTCTGCTTTGGCACTGGGTAATTGGGGATTGCACTACAAATTTAATTTATCGTCCCTCGGCTTTTTAGGATAATTTCTAAGGACAAATGTCTTGTTTTTTACTATGCTGAAAAAAACAAAACCACAAATTTTTATCCTACTATATATAAAAACCAGTGGAAAAAAACCGCTTCGCGGCCCTTTTCCACTGGACCCCGTCCAGGAACCATGAATTTGAACACCTTCCTTTTTTTAGCCTGCGGCGCAAGTACGTTGGTCAAGGAGCCATCCTTTGGCCTGCGGCGCGAGAGCCTGGATCAAGGACCCTTTCTTTGGCCTGCGGCGCTAGAGCCAGAGCCAGGCCTAAACCTCGCGCTAGAAACTTTTTGCCTGCGGCGCTAATTACTGGTTGTTCTCCAGGATCTGGCCTGCGGCGCAAGAGCCTAGATCAAGGACCCATCCTAGGCCTGCGGCGCGAGAGCCTGGGTCAAAGACCTTTTCTTCGGCCTGCGGCGCTAGATCGAGGGTCAGGCCTAAACCTCGCATGCGATAGCATAGAACGATGTTTTGCTTGCTAAACTACCAAAAAGCAAAAAGCCAACTTGGCCCAGGATCCGAACCTATGTCCTTCCGCGTGGTAGCCCGGGAGCTAACCCCATACACCAAGAGGCACATGGGGACAGGGGGCGGCAAAGGCCTCTTCCGTTCTGGGGAGGGGCGGGAGGCAAACAGAGGGCCGACCAAATGCCCCGGGCGGGAGGCCTTCTGGCCACTTTACAAAATTCCATTTTTGAGTCACAATCCGCTGAAAAATTGTAAAGATAATAAGATGCGCATGATCCCCACTTTTGATTGCCTAAATGGTCTAAATTTCAGCCCGGAATTCCATCAGGGCTTCGAGTTATGCCCCGGACACCACGGCTCTTGGCCCATTTTGTTAAGGACCTTTTGGAAAAATGCTCATAAAAATTTTAGATTACAAAATCTGCCAAAACCCAGAATTATATCACAGGAGAATGTAATTTTCAATCTGCCCTCCAAAAATTAGCGCCTAATTCCATTTGGCTCGAGAGATATCCTCTGAACAAACCTTTTTTCTGCCAAGTTGTTAAGGATTTTGCACTATTTTGCTTGTAAAATCGTTAAATGAAGGAATTTCGAAAAACAAAAAAATGCGTCACTGACAAATGTGTTTCTCCACCTCCATGCCAAAAATCAGCCGGAAATTCGGCGTGACGGCCGAGAAATCGGCTGTACAGAAAACACACATACTTTTCTCGCTTATAGGATAGGAAATAGTGTCTCTGTGTGTGTGCCACTTTGCATCCACTTCCGGATGTCTGTCCGGAGGATATCTCGATAGGGGATGGATTTTAAGGTATGTATGATGCGTCATTAGATGCGTAATGGACTGGAGATGACTGCACGCATATAAGATTTAACAAAATCACCTATTTTCGACATTAAAAAGAAGTTTTTGTAAAAACCTCTTTGTTAGAAACAATTAGCGTAGACCGGAAGTGGGGATTCGACTATATAAAGGGGCTCAACAGGTAGTTTTTCATTTTTTGTCATCAGAATTCAGGAAAATTATGCAAAGTGAAGGATAAAACGGGGTCAGACGGGGCCAGGGTTGAAAAGTCGCGAAGCGCCTTATCAACCCTGGTGAAAAATAAAAAATTACCGTTTTCTAGACGAAAAGGTCAAGTTTCTACGGTTTTTTACGTAGTTTTCCCACTGTAAATACAGTTAAATTTACTAAAAAACATTCAAGTACTCATAATGACGTGACGTGACAAGTACTAGGCATCAGGAGCATAGACCCCCTGATAACGCACAAGGACGTATTTGCGCAAAATACAGATATCTAGATCTCTACCTCGATTGGTCCATCCACTCAGCCACCCGGGGCCACTTTTTGGGGCGAAAATTGATTTTTTTTTTTCGCAACATCATATTGTAAGCCGTTGCAAAAGCCTGCGTGGCACTGTACGATACTGTACTATCGGCATGCAAACGCCGCGCTCTTTTCCCCCGCTCACCGCAATCCCGGGGCTCCACTTCATCTCCTTTGATGTGGTAAACGATTCGTCAAATCTTGACGGGAGGGTTTTTGACCCTCTGACGTAAGTGTGTGCCGGGGCGCGCTTTAGCAGTGAGGGGGTTCCGGACGCGCCACATTACGCATGGACGTAAGGTGTATAGAACGGAATACTTTCTTCTGCATTTATTTTTTACAAAGTGGATATAAAGTAAAAGAAGTATGCAGAAGGCTTTTTAATAAATAAAAGAACCTTATGATGGTAAATCTGGAACAGTTAATCGTCAGTATCATGGCTTTTCGGAATTTTGGGAATATATACCAGTATTTTTGTTGATTGGTTCACTTCTGCCCGATATTAATTGTAGACTCTCGTCTGAAATACTTTTTTTCTAAATCAGAAGCTACCGCGATGTCTTGAATTACAAAAAGCCATTCATTACAAAGAAGCAGGGGCGCAGGAACTTTCGCAAAAACCACAGACATGTGAAGAATTGCGAAAACTTTAACTCTTTCGAAGAAGCCAAAAATCTTACATGGTAGCGGGTCCAGGAGTGGCTCGAGATTATGTTGTACTTCCGTCAAGCCACGCGAGCTTTTCCCGTGGGCTCTTTGTATGCTTCATTTTAAGTTTAAAGATTTCAAGTTCTTTTCCTTTCATACACTAATACTATGACGAACATTAACACCAAGCTAAAGTAAATGATTCTCCTCAGTATAATCCTATGAGGTGACAAACATCAGTTCCCAACTCGCGAAAACACTGTCCTCTGGTTAGTAACACTTTCTACATGATTCTTTTACTACAGTGTGTGCCAAAATGATAGGGGAATGAAGTTTTTGGTCGTTTTCTTAGCGGTCCTTTATGTAGCTGTAAAGCCGAATGACAGGCTCGGTAGTCCAGAAAAATGCGCATCTTTTGGTCTACTTGAAATCTTTCGACGATGCAGGATAACAGTTTTACACGCGATTGAATAAAAATAGGGAAAGAACACAAGTGACAAAATGATAGGGGAAGCATTAACATATCATTTCCATCAACTTTCCGTATGAATAGTGGATGCTAATAGATGCAAAATTTGACCGACGACTTCCGGTCAGAATTTTGGCCAGAAAATACGCTTTTTACATCTTCTCCCGCTATGAATCTGTAATTAAAATCAATCAACATCCACTATTCATACAGAAAGTTGATGGAAATGATATGTTAATGATTCCCCTATCATTTTGTCACTTGTGTTATTTGCCTATTTTTATTCATTCGCTTCTAAAAACGTGATCTTTTGGCATAAAGAGATTTCAAGTAGACCAAAAGACGCGCCTTTTTTCGGGCTATAAGACCTATGATTTTGTTTTACACGGAAATGGAGGACGGCCGAGAAAACGGCTAAAAACGCCATTCCCCTATCATTTTGGCACGCACTGTATTACATGTATATTCTGTTTGTTAGAAGCAAGAAATTAAAGTGGAATACATTAAAAAAGTGTTCCGTTCTATACACCTTACGGCCATACGTAATGTGGCGCGCCCGGAACTCTGTCACTGCTAAAGCGCGCCCCGGCACACACTTACGTCAGAGGGTCAAAAACCCTCCCGTCAAATCTTGCTAATCCTTTCTCTCTCAATTTTGAACCTTATAAAGTTCTGTTAGTACGTATCTCCTCAATACCAACATGCTATTTTCAGATGCGGGCCGTCGTGCTCTTCACCAGCTTCCTGGGCGTCCTTCTAGCGCAGGGCGCCGGCAATCCGTCGATCGAGGGTACGCTTTTTCGCTGAATTTTCTCGTTGACCAAGATATTTTTCGTTTTCTGGCCTAAACTAACTCTTCAGGGTCTCATGTCGACGAGGAACGCGGGTTCGCGATGCGTGATTTCGAGCTCCGACCGCCGTTCCCGAATCTCTACACCGCTTGGGATACGACCGGTATTTTCCCGGCTTCAAACTTTTCTATTTTTAGGCGATTCCGTGATGATCAACAACCGAATCAGTCTCACCCGCGACCAGCGCTCGATGCGAGGCACGATTTGGAGCCGAGCACGCGTTCAAGAGCGAGATTGGGAAGCTCAGGTATTTTTCTGCTTTTTCCGTGTAAATTTTCCGATTCCAGGCTTCTATCCGAATTTACGGGAATGCAGGCAAGCTACATGCGGAAGGTATCGCCCTCTGGCACGTTGCTGATGCTCCACTGCCCGGACCAGTGTTCGGTGTCAATGAAAATTTCAAAGGCGTTGGAGTCCGTAAGTTTTGCTTTTTTATACAAGACAAATTTATAGTCTTCGACACCTACAAGAACGATCCGAACAACCACGAGTCGTACCCTCGACTGTCTTTGGTATTGAACGACGGCACGCAGAACCTCGACTGGGACAAGGACGGCGCTAACTTGAACCTTGGCAGCTGCCATGTCACGTAAAGCACTTTCTCAAACTCGGTAAGGTTTTTTAGTGGTGGAGCTCAAAGTCCGGACACCGATGCTCGCAGCAACAAGGTCTTCCGGATTCTTCTCAGGTTTATTGATGGAGGTTTATAGAATCCTCCCTGTTTAGATATTACATGGAAAATTTGGAGCTCTACTATTCGCAGTATGATGACTTCAAGTGGACCGCTTGCGCCAAAGTTGAAGGTATGATTTTGTGAAGATAAAAAATATTACATTTTTAGCCGTACGCCTTCCTACCAACTACATTTTTGGCATGTCCGCTTCGACTGGTGATCTCACGAACAATCATGAAATTGTTACTTTCAAAGTGTAAGTCGACCGTTTCTTGGCTCTGGTTCGTCTGCGGGCGAACCAGAGCGTTTTTTTTGCCCGGTTCGTGTATCGAGTAGATAATCTATCGGTATCTGCATTATTAAATTTTTTTCAGGAGTGCTCTCGATGCGCCACCCCATTCAAGCATGCCAGCCGTTGTGCCTGAGCATAAAGTAGACACTCTTGCTCAACCCGTCATTCAGCAATCCGAAGGATGGGGCTGGGGAATGAAGGTGAGCCTTTTGCCCCATTTTTTTATACCTTTTTAGTTCTTCTTCCTCCTTCTGGCTCTCACCCTCTGCGGAGTCGGCTTCTACATCTACAAGGCCGTCTGGCTACCGAAGGTTCAGATGCGCAAACGGTTCTACTGATCGCGAGAAACGTGTCCACCCAGCTAGAATATCCCTTTCGATCCGTTGTGATACTTGGCAACAGCTCCATGATGCGGCCCCAGACATATGTGATATCCCCCTCGATTCGGCAATTGCTTACTTGGTAGTTGTCGCAATTCGAATTGCCTTCTCTCTGTTTGCTCCCTTTTTCTGTACGCGACTGGTGCATCAGTCCAGGTTGTTGAGTTTTATCCGATTCCTAATTTATCCCGCATATGTAATAGCTAATATGTGATCGGGTCTCTTTTTTGCGCTTATCTCTCGCCGCTTCCTAATAAAGAATTTGATACGGACGTTCCACTGATAACAATTTCCGGTAGCACGCTATTATGATTATTGGAACCTGATTAGTTTCCAATAACAATTATTTTACGGTACTTCCAGATTACGTTTGTCAGACTAAACGTAATTAGCTAATTACTTTTGATTGTTACTTAAAGAGATAGGGGCGGCATAAGTCAATCGATTACGCGAGGGAAAGAAAATGTCTCTGCGCCTCTCCCCTGGGAGCGTCTCTCGCGCGAGATCGCCGCGGGACCTGTTGAACCCCCCCCTCCCCAAGGGGGGTTCAACAGATGCCGTCCTCATCTCTTTAAAATCAGTTTTATGTTAGAAATTGTCAAAATGATAAATTTGTAGCCGCTTTTGTATTGCCCATTTCCTGATTTGCTATGGCGTGATAATCACCCGTAAATGTATCCTATCCAGACGTCTGTTGCGAAAAATCAATTGGGAAAGATCACCCATCGCCCTCGATCAGCAAGAGGTCCAACCCGTGCACGTGGGGTGACCGCCTATCCCTGTCGTCGATGCCCCGGCAGTCTCGCTTGTTGGCCCGATGTCTCGCCGCTTTCACGGCCGAAAGAGCCAAAAAATAAAGAAAAGCGCCCTCCCGTCGTCTCTCCTTCCACAGACCAAGGCCCCCGAAACGACCTGGCGATAAGTTTGACGTCTTGATTTCGCAGTTCCGACGAAAAGGCTTTTGAGTTCTAGGTAGCTAATTATCGGTATAATTCAGACAGTTTAAAGGTGACCTAATTTAAGCTCCCATGAACCATGGATTTCTCCCCCTCGAAAACTTTTTCGTAGCTATTTATCGATTGGGCAGATTGGATATTTTTTGCCTTTTTATTCTCTGACGTTTTTATCTCAAATAAATTTTCTTTGTCTTCCATTATGTCTCCAAACTTTTCAGGACTTGCGGTTACAATGTTGTCGCGGCTCTCCGTTGTCTCGGTATATACGACCATGAATTTCGAATATTTGCTTTAGTCAAAGTCTCTTCACACATCTCGCGCCGCCCTCGGCAGCCAGGAAACCGTGAAGCTATGGCTGGACGGACAGGCCGTTGAGTCGAAGACCAACGAATGGATCGAGCTGACCAACCCGGTGAGGTTTTTTCCGCAAAAACGGCTGCTTGTGCTAAAAGGTGCTTTTTTATTATCATTGTTTGTAGGCAACAAATGAGGTTATCTCTCGAGTCCCCAAGGCTACCCAAGCCGAGATGGAGGCCGCCGTTGCCTCCAGCAAGCACGCCTTCGAGAAATGGAGCAAGACGTTCGTCGAGATTTCTTGAATTTAGCCCTTTTTAGGTCAGTCCTGACCCGCATCCAGTCGATGTTCAAGCTGCAGGAGCTGATCAAGCGCGACATGAAGAAGCTGGCCGCCAACATCACTCAAGAACAGGGCAAGACGTTGCCTGATGCCGAAGGAGATGTCATGCGTGGTCTTCAGGTGCGAGCCATTTTTAAAACATTTTGAATTCTGTTTAGGTCGTCGAACACGCCTGCAGTGTTCCGTCGCTGATCCAGGGTGAGACGTTGCCGAATGTGTCTCGTGACATGGACACCATGTCCTATCGTATCCCGCTCGGAGTCACCGCCGGTTTGGCGTTTTGCATAGATAATTCAAAATTTTATTTAATGTATCTGCCCCTTCAACTTCCCGGCCATGATCCCGTTGTGGATGTTCCCAATGGCGCTGGCCACCGGAAACACAATGGTGCTCAAGCCATCTGAGCAAGACCCTGGAGCGGCCATGATGCTCGTCCAGCTCGCCAAGGTATAAAAGTTTAAAGGCTTGAAGTATTCGCAAGGGTCGAGTTTTTGTCGGCCAAATCCTAGATCCTACTATATATAAAAAATAGTGTCTGTGTGTGTGTGTGTGTATATTTGCATGCACTTCCGTTTGGATGTTCCGCACCTACAGCCTCGGGAAAGGGTTTTTTGGATAGGGAAGAAACGACAATAGGTTTAGAATGGTCCGGAATCGACTGCACACACATAAAAATTTTGAAAAATTGTGGTTTTCGCTATTAAAAATAGGTTTTTGTAAAACCCTGTTTGTTAGGGGAAATTAGCATGCGCCGGAAGTAGGAGGAGCCTATATAAAGGGACAGAGGAGCCGTTTTTCACTTTTTTTTGCTAGAATTCAGGGAGAAACATGCAAATTAAGGACTTTCACAGGTCCTGGACGGGGCCAGGGTTGAAAAGCCGCGAAGCGGTTTTTCAACCCTGGTTTTCTCTATGAATACTTTTTTACTTAAAATTTAACTTGTATTAAGAACAAGATAGAATGCTTTTTATTCACGTAATCGATCTCATACAAAAAAATTCAGCTTTTTCCTTTTCCCCACAAAAACCTCTAATCGTGTAGGAAGCCGGTGTTCCGGACGGATGCGTCAACATCATCCATGGTCAACACGCCGCCGTCAACTTCATCTGCGACAGCCCCGACATCAAGGCCATCTCTTTCGTCGGAGCCGACACTGCTGTATGGTCTTTCCTAAATATATTTTTATTCTGTTTAGGGCAAGCACATCTACGAGCGCGGCGCCCGCAACGGAAAGCGCGTCCAATCCAACATGGGCGCTAAGAACCACGGAGTTATCATGCCCGACGCCAACAAGGAGTCTACCCTCAACCAGGTAGGATAATTTTATCTTCAACTACTATTTTCGTAGTTGACCGCTGCTGCTTTCGGAGCTGCCGGCCAGCGCTGCATGGCCCTCACCACCGCCATCCTCGTCGGCGAGGCCCGCTCCTGGCTGCCAGAGCTTGTCGATAAGGTGCAGAAGCTGAAGGTGAACGCTGGTTGGAAGCCGGACACCGACATCGGACCCCTCATCTCCAAGCAGTCCAAGGACCGTGTGCTGAGCATCGTCAAGAACGCCACCAAGGTTGCAATTATCACTGCTTTCTCAAATATAGTTTAGGAAGGAGCCCGTGTTCCGCTCGACGGATCCAACTGCGTCGTCAAGGGCTTTGAGAACGGAAACTTTGTCGGACCCACCATCATTGCTGGTGTCAAGCCCGAGATGGAGTGCTACAAGGTATTTTTAAACTTTTTTGTTTTTATTTCTCGTTTTAGGAGGAAATCTTCGGCCCCGTGTTGGTTGTGATGGAGGTGGATACGCTTGATGAAGCTATTGAGATTATCAACAAGAACAAATACGGAAACGGAACCGCCATTTTCACCACAAGCGGAAACACTGCTCGCCGGTTTGTACCATCTAGTCACAATTCAGAATTTTCGCTTTTAGCTTCACCCACGATGCTGACGTCGGACAGGTCGGAATCAACGTGCCGATCCCGGTGCCCCTGCCCATGTTCTCGTTCACCGGCTCGCGCGGGTCCTTCCACGGAGATCTCAACTTTTACGGAAAGGTATGCGGAATTTTCTATTCTGTTTTCTTAGGTGGGTTGGGGGGAGCTGAATTTTTCCCACATTTCCAACTTAAAAACTTCTTTAAAAAGCCAATAAACTTTTGGAAAAATTTCACTTTTTTTAAAATTCAGCAAATTATCAAAATTTTTGGATATAAAAAAGGGCGTTTGTTATCCTTTCCAATCTTCTATTTGTCTTTTTTTTCAGGCCGGAGTCCAATTCTACACGCAATGGAAGACGGTCACCCAATTCTGGCCCGCCGATGGTGCCCCCGTTGAAGCCCGTCCCCAGATGGCCTTCCCTCAGCTCAAGTAGATGACCTACCTGCAGACTCGTTAGATACCGATACCTAGCTCCCCCACATAATTGCATTTCCTCTGTTACTTGTGGTTGATCGTCGGTGTGCCGACCCCTTGGGGCCAGGCCCCGTTTCGTGTGATTTCACTTGTTCGTGTCGCGCACCTCCGTGTGTGCATCTGTGCCCTGGTTTTTGAGAAGTAAAGCTAGCCCATTTTAAAGGGAATAACAGACTGAATCGCATTGCAAAGGGGATGAGGAGGCGTGTCGCATACAAATCGTGTTTCATATGTATCGGCTTTTTGAAAAGTGGCCTCGGCCACATTTCTATCTTTCACCAACAATGCATCCAGCGATTCTCATTTTTGCATTGGTCCTTGGGGTTGTTGTAGCCGACAACGAGTGTAAGAAGGTAGGAATGGTTGGTATCTGTTAAATTTTGAGTAATAGGACGGTCAAGAGATCAAGCGCAACAACTTTGTCTACGTGTGCGTTGAATCGAGGGTGGTCCCCGGGCTTCATCTGATGAAGTTCAAGGGTATTTTGTCGATCTAAAGGTATGCTTTGGCTTTTCAGGTTGCATGTTGAAAGACGTGAATCTGAAAGATGCGCTGATCCCTAGCGGCGAAAAGGGCTATGCGAATGGAAGGTAGAACATTTAGAGAATTAACATTATTTTTATAAGTTTAGCAAAGTGACAAAGTTTGGCTTCCGGATGACGTGTGGAGAGGATGATAAGGGAGTGTACACAAAGGCTGACGGTGCGTTTTAAGATCATAATTATTAATAAGGTCAATAAAATGTCAGCGCACTATAAATTAATGAAGGTAAGGTGATGAAATGCGAGGTTTAGGCTGCTATGTCAGGAAGGAGGACAATGTCCCTGTGACGGATGTCGAGATTGATAGCAAAGAAGAGCTGGAGGACGTTGTAGGTCTTTGAGCTGAGTTAAAACTCTTTCTTGTTTTTTTTTGTGAATAGTTTAAAAAAAACGATTTTCTTATAATCCATTCCTAGACCGGAACCATGACGGTGGAGTGCAAGAAAGTCGGCGAAGAAGTTCGCATCAACTTCCAATATCCGGTCGGCGGCAAATAAAGCCGATCATTTTGATTTTGATAAAGCGTTGGCAATTTGAGTGTTTGTTCCACACGACGAATCTAGAAGTTGTAATATTTATTCTATTTAGACACAATTTCCCGAAGCACCAAGGTGCTTTCTGCGATTCCTGAGCTATCATATAGATAATACTCGTTATCTTCAACATAGCATCATAATACGGGGGGTCAAGACGATACGACGAATGTGATGAAGGGAAAGCACGTAAAAACCCGTAGAACAATGAGCCAAAAAAAGATAAAATCGGTGTCAAGCGGTGCAAAACGATAAATCCATACAAATAATTAAGGTTTGCTACTCTCCAACTCGCTCTCCATATTTTCCGAGCCGTCCATAGCAACGTCGCGCTTCCTTGAGCGTTTTGCTAAAATATAATGATATAAAATAGATATAAAATAATACCAAAAAATATAATAAATATACAATGTTGTAAAGGCTTTTTTTAACGCTCTTCTCCTACCTGTTAGAATCGGCCTGCTGTCCGTACTTTCCGAGTGCGCATCTGCGTCCGAGGTTTCATCGAATCGGCGCTTCATGAGGAGTTGGGACCACTAAAAATGCATTTTTACTTTAAAACAATATATTATATTTTCAAAGAATTATTTCATTTGAACCGGGTAATAACAGGTTTTTTTCATCATTTTGACTTACATCTGGTAGCGTGATACCGTCAATATCGTGCTCGATAATCGGTGAATCCCACATGAAGTTTCCGGTCAACTGAAAATCGATTTTAGATGGCCTTTTTGCGTTTTTTGTGAATAGTAATGCACCGGAGGTGGGTTTTTCGAAACCGAATACGGAAAATGATTCTTTAGTAGTTCCGGAGCGGGGGATCCCAACCTTTTCTTAAAATCCAATTTGTCTAATACAAATAGAGGGCGTGATTCTCTACTGTTTTTTTTTACTGTTCCTAAGGATAAAGATCTTACGAACATCTTTTAAAAATTAAAAAAGTTTTCTATAAAAATGTCGATCTTCGACCAGAATTACAAATTTTTCTATGTTTTTAAAGTTTTCTCAATCGTTTTAACACTTAAATATAGCTGGATTTTACTAAACGGACAATTAAAATGCTTAGATTGCGTTGCTAGACACGCCGGGATCCAGAGAAAAAACTCAAAAACGTAATTTTAAAGTGATTGTTAATGGTTTACCGGCGTTTGCTCGTAGACAGTCGGTGCTCCAAAGGTGGATCTCTCTGGGGCTTGGAAGTCTAGCTAAAAAGGCTTGCTATAAAATGGCAAAAGAAATGGATTACCGTAAGCTGTGCCCGGTCAATGGTGCTGGGCTGCTCTGGTTCTTGCATAGCGACGTCCGCCTAAAGGAAAAGAGAACTGGTGAAAATGTCTTGTGCAAGAGATTGGGGCGCGCCGCGTGAGTGATCGATTTTCAGAGGGTCGGCGAGGCAAATTGTGATAGCACAAATTTAGGAAGCCTCAACGGCTACTGGACTATGCAAATAACCATTTCTGAAGCAAGAAATTCGCTAAAATCAATAATAACGAAGCTATAAACGTTTGAAAATTAAGAATATCGATTTTATGCGAAATTTCGCGTAATAGCCACTAAAATAATGCCAGAATTTCGTTATACAAAGCCCATATTTCGCTATGAAGCTAAAAATCGGAAAATAATCATTTCTGAAGCAAGAAAGTCTCCAAAACCTATGATAGTTTTGTTACATCGTTTGAAAAATTAAAAAATAGAGTTTTGGCGAGATAAAAGCGTTTAACGTTGACAATAATGATGCTCAGCACTTAAATAAAGGCTATATCCATGATTATCACGAGAAAAACCGTATTTACCAATTTGACAAATGGTTGACGTACCGTTTCCGAGAAGATATTTGCGTAGGTGGCAGCGCCCATGTCTGACGAATCGTAGTGAGGATGAAATGTCACATGTGGATGTCTCGGTTGATCATATATAACCGACATTTCCTTGCCGAGAAATGAAAAGAATGTATAAAATTGCCCTCAATCACGTCTTATAGTGATGCCAATGTGTTGCGCAACGCGTGACATGTATTTTGTGACGCAAAGATAACGTTTGCTTAGCTGAACAAAGAGGTCCGATTTTGAGTGGCGAGGGAATTTTGTTGCCACAGAATTTTCCCAACTTTTTGAACTTTTTGACACCAGCTCCCGCGGAACAATGAAAGGGCGGCGATAGGAAAGTAATGGAAACTGAACACGTGACGTTTTTGGGTGCTTTTGCATTATCGGGAGATCAATTTTCCTCTATAAATCCGAAAATGAGCAGTAATGTAATAGTAAGTATTTTATTGGCATTTTTAGGAAATTTAACCAGATTCCAAGAGGAAACTATTTCATTCTTAGAGAATTTTTGTCATTTTAGTCGCAATTGGCCATTTTTTATGGAAAAATCGCTATTTTTTATTTGTAAAAATTGGACCCATTTTCCAGCATTAGAATGTACCTTTCTATTGCCCAACCAGTCAAAAAGAATTTTCTTCCTTCCCATCGCAATATCTATTTTTTCTATGAACATTAAAGCACTAGATGACGGGCTTTTAAATGAAGATGCCTTCTCTTACGTTACTTTCCGAGCCACAACGTACGTTTTTTAACTGTCTCCAAGCCGGCAATCCTTATCTCCCCCAGCCAACCAAGATCAGGAAACGATCTCTGAACGCGGCGCCATGTGACGCAACAAAATCCACCTCCGCTGCTGCGACAAAAAGTGAAATCGTAATTCTGATCGGAAAGTATCCTTGCATCCCGATTTTGGGGGCTCTACGATACGTGCCGTGGGAAAAACCATTTTAAAGGGAGATTCGCAGGGCAAAACGGGAACATTTGCCCTCCGAATTTGCGAAAATCTAACGGGCGCGTACAGAAAAAGTGTGCAACGTAGCGTCTCGTACTCGAAATTTGGTAAATCGTTCGGTTTGAAGGTTTTTAGGGTGCGACACCCTAAAAACCCAAAAACCCAAAAACGTAATGTGATACTTCACCCCCCCTCCCCCCCGCCCGGAATGTTTCGCTTATAACTTTTTTATTTTACATTATTCTGGGCTCAAATTAAAACTCCAAGTATGTTTTTCGACGCTCTATCGAATGGCGTTGCAAAAATCCCGACAAAATAAGCGAAAATACCGAAACGTTGAGACGAGTGGGCTGCGGGGGGGGGGGGGGTTAAGTGAACTTTTACCGGTTTTTACATGTCTGTTTTTGTGGTTTGTGCTTTTGCCTGAAATTAGTGTATGTTCGTAAATCATAGTGTACTTTATTTTCATTTTGTACAAAAACTGATGGCTAGACGTCAGTCTGAAGGCCTTGGTTGTGATAGGAATAGGGGCGTTGCGCCGTATACAAAGAGCCTCCATCACACGTCGCTCTCTCGGCCGACCATAAGCTGTAAATGGCTATGTTGGCATAACGCGGGTGACGCGAAGAATTGCTCGCAAACATTGTTATATATAGTAGGGTTAGACATTTACAAAAGGGAAGCAACAGAAAAAACTAGGACTGAAAATTTTAGCGGTTCTTTGGCATTATCGGGGAGGGTGGCACGGGCTTTAGGCTCCAGTTTTTCTAATATGTAGGGTTTCAACAATTTTTATTGTCTTAAAACGTAAAACGTTAAAAATTTGTATTAAAAATACTAAAATGTCTTTTTCTACTAAAAATGGCCGGTTTTCGATCAAAATCGCAATTTTCTAGGTTCTTTAAATTGCTCTCAGGTCTCTGAATGGTTGTCTATTTAAATAAAGATAGATTGACTAAAAATACGGCTCAAACACTTACTATTACGTAACGAGGCATTTCTGTGATCAAAAGAATGCCCCCCGATAATGCCAAAGAACCCATGGGCCTACTTTTGACAAATCCGTTCGCTGGCAACGGTACGGTTCGGCTGGACAACAAAGGAAAAGCGGAACTCACTCGGGCGGTGTCACAAAACTGACTGGCTGCCGAGGTTGGGCTGGATATCCAGAGGCCGGCGAATAACTTTGGGCAGGCGGTAAACAGCTTTCCGGCTGACTACCGTGGTTGAACAGCAGTTGCAGACCAAAATCAAGGCACGAGCAGAAGAGGCAAAGGAAGGCGAATGCCTGGAAAAATATAGTTTTTATTGGTATTTTTAAGCCTTTAAAGCTGAACACACTAAAATTGCTCATTAACAAATTTCATCCGGTTCGCACGGTACGATTCTCGGTTCTTTTACATCATCGGGGGGGGGATCAGGGGAAACGAATTCGTTTGTAAAAGCCTATAAATGCCTAGTAAGATAATAAAAACTATTTGATCGTCTTTTTGCTAAATTTTTACTTTTTTGAATTTACAATTTAGCTAAAAACTTTAAAATTCTTTTAAATTCGAAATTTTGGGCGAAAATCGGTCATTGTTGGTCGAAAATCGATATTTTTCGTTTTTTAATCCAAATTTGTAAAGTTACGTACGATTACGTTTAGTAATATAAAAAATGAGAATACGTCTTCTTTACTTGAAAATTAGACCCTAAGGAAAAGTTGGCGCCCCCCGATAATGCAAAAGAACCGATATCCGGGTTTAAAGGGAGTAGAGCCCATGAAAAATCGTGCAATAAACGCCATAGCAACGGCGGAGTACGCAATACTCCATTGCACACCGATAATTTGTGCGAGATTTGCCGTTTTCATTCGAGTGGTACGAATTTTGTCTCAGCATTCCGTTAATGCCTTAAAAATATTGTTTTCACATCCACTCACCGCAGCGACTTGCATTCCCGTTGAAAGGTAAGAAGAGGAACACCCAAAATGGAAAGACCACTGATCACAGGTGTGTATCGCCAAAATGTAGAGCACCGCCGACGCCAACGAGCACAGCGCCCCCACGAACACGAACAGGGCTCGCTAGAAAATGAGGAGTTACTTACGTTAATTTAAATTAAAACTGAAATAACTATATAAATTGAGCAAGAATACCTTCGCGAGGGCGCTCGTCCTCAGTTTGCACATATATACCGCCCCGATCGAGCAGCTGTACATGATAAAGGCAATAATAGTGAAGAAAAGGCCGGCAACTGAAAAAAACTAGTTTTTACTACTATATTCACTTTACAAATTTATTACAATACTAAAAATAACGAATTTTCAAGCGAACGAGATGTCATCTTAAAAATTAGAATTTTGCTTGAAAAATTGAGTTTTTTGGATTTTGAAACAAAAAATTGTGATTTTTGCACGTTTTTGGTTCTACAAAATACAGCAACAAAGCATTCGTTTTATCTTAGAAAAATCGCACGCCCCCCGATAATGCCAAAGATCCCAAAGCCCTACCGGACGCCATCTTATTCATCCAATGCTGACTGGAGACGCAGATGATTAGGGTGATTAGCGTCAGAATCTGGAGTTTTTGATGATGGATAAAAGGGTACTGGTGCGTTAACGGGGGGGGGGGCGATCCGAAGGCCTTCACCCCCGCTAACAAACCAGTACCTTAAAAATAACCGCTTACCACAGAAAATGCTCGTAGACAAAGTACAAAATAGAAGCTGTTGTGTAGACGCCAGAGGAGACCATCCTCCTTTCGAAGATCCATTCCCGCATTAGATAGCGAAGGCTTTGAGCTTGAGCTTTTGTTTAGAGGATGAGCAATTGGGTCGACGGGTAGACAATCGATTTTCGACACCAAATTTATGCAAATCTGCGGTCGCGGATTGCTCCCCGGGGTTGGTAGGCGGTCGGCTGGAAAGCTGGCAGTTGAGAGCGCCAAAAGGTAGTGATAAAAATTTAATAAAAAAGGAATAAGACTCAAAAAGATTGAAAAAAGTCAAGCAGACAAGATTAAAAGAAATTCCAGCCATGGTGCCCGAGAAAATACCGACGGTCAGAATACCGACAGTCAAAACACCGACCGCCAAAATTGCGAAAGATTTCTGCCGCTAATTTGTATCCCACTCCCTTTAAAAATCGATTTTTCGCTGTCGGGATTTTGGCCTTTTCAAACTGATTATGGCTATTGGCGTTTTTGCTGTTGGGATTTTGTTTAAAGGGCACGTTCAGGGACGTTTTTTCGCCAAAAAAAACAATGAGTTTTGCCGCGGCCGGGGGTCGAACCCGGCCCCCCCCCCACTCGGGAGGCGCGGATGGATGATACCAGTCAGCCACAGCAACAACCTGGCGTGGGGGCGAGGGGCGCCCCACGCCGCAAAGGAGGGGAATGGCCTGTCACAGCACGGGCAGGCAGTGCGCGCGGTCCCAACGTCCATAGGGAATCCCTGTCATCTTTCCTAAAAGTCATCTTTCCTAAAGTCATCTTTCCTAAAGTCATCTTTCCTAAAAGTCATCTTTCCTAAAAGTCATTTTTCCTAAAAGTCATCTTTCCTAAAAGTCATTTTTCCTAAAAGTCATCTTTCCTAAAAGTCATTTTTCCTAAAAGTCATCTTCCCTAAAAGTCATTTTTCCTAAAACTTGGTAATCGTAAATTTTTATTTTTCCTCAATCACTTTTTTCTAAAAACTATTTTTTTCGAAGATTAATTTTTCCTGAAGTTAGGTATGCGAATAGGGATGCCACCTCCGCCTAACTTGAAAGCTGCTACCTGTGTAGGAACGGCAAAATGCCTTGAACGCCGTCAGTCCTCATAAAAGCTCTTAGTCGCATCGGAGCCTATCCTATTTTTTGATTTCTGAATAGTTTTATGAATTCAAAGATAGCATAACTTAAATCAAAACATCCCGAAAAGGTCTAGTACGGCATGGAGACATTAAAATTTTACGGCCCGGGCCTCTCCAAAAAAATTTTTCTTGCAAAAAAACCAACTGAGAAATATTGATTTTTAGGAAAGATGACTTTTAGGAAAGATGACTTTTAGGAAAAATGACTTTTAGCAAAATGACTTTTAGGAAAGATGACTTTTAGGAAAGATGACTTTTAGGAAAGATGACTTTAGGAAAGATGACTTTTAGGAAAAATGACTAAAACCCGTCCATAGGGTGTACACGTTGGGACGAGTACACGCCCCCTCCCTGAACGTGCGCTTTAACTGGGATTTTTGGTCGGGATTTCGGCTCTCGGGGGTACAGCTTTCGGGATTTTGTCTGTCGGGGTTACGGTTGTCCGGATTATCGCTATCGGGAATTCGGCATTTTCCCCGTTGGCCGTACAACTACGTAGCCCCGTAAGAACAACATTACACTAAACAACAACGTTAAGAACAAGTTTTTTCCTATAAAAAGCAAAATTTTCAGATTTTGAGCGAAAACTGGCTTTTTTCATTCTAGAGATGAATACAGTCGCCAAAACGTTTCGCTTATCGCCTTAAGCCGCGCCTATGCAAAGGAACAACCAGAAAGATTTATTAGCCACTAATGAATACCGGGATTTCACAGCTTCCAAGGCAAAAAAAAACAGAAAGTTTGCACTCTCGAAAAATTTTAAGACGTTAAAAGTTTAAGAAATTATTTAAGACGTTAGACTTCATTTAAACATGATTTTTACACCATACCGCGAAAAATTTCAAACTACGATAAAATAGCCCGGAAATGAGGTTAAAAAACCGGGCGCCGGTGCGAGGCGGAAGGTTTTTTCCGAGGGCTTTCCGTCAATGTTGTAGCGCCTCGTAAAAATAACGATGGATGATCGGAAGAGAGGGGGGAATGGATAGCTAGAATACATATCATAGCCGGCCGATGGATTGTTTGGCATGGTTGGGAAGGGGTGTAGAGAGGAGTATTGTGGATTTGCCCCGAGCGCGCGCTCTGACTCATGCCGCTTCGGGGGTGCAAACTGTGGGAGGTGGGAAATGGTATATGGAACGATACGGGCTTTAAGAAGAAGTTCTATTCTATGATAAGAGGTTATAGCCGATTGGTAGCAAGCGTATAAGACGCCAAAAAATCCCTAAAACACGGCGCGCGCCAAAACAAAGCTATAAATCGTGATATAGGGGTAATAAAATATGCTAATAAAGCTGGGTATATCTTTCGGAAGTGTAATACAAAACTAAGTATTCTTGGGCGTAGGCTTTAGGTTGAAGCTTAAGCTTAGGTTCTGGCTTAGGTTTAGGTTTCAACTTAGGTCAGAAATTTAGGTTTAGCCTAGGTCTAGGTCTAGGCTTCAGCTTGGCTTAAGCTTAGGTTATGGCTTAGGCTTATGCCTAGGTTTAGGCTTAAGTTCAGGCTTGGCTTAAGGCAAAGGCTTAGGTTTGGGCTTTGCTTAGGTTTACTAAGGTTAGGCTTAACCTTAAGCTTCTGTATGGCTTTGGCTTCGAATGAGGATTATGAGTAGGGTTTAAGCTTAGTCATACGAAGCATGTGCTGCTTACCCAGGTGAAAATCGAGCAGGTTCCACCACGGAATTGGTAGTTGGGTTTAATGGTGCTTGCCCTAGCCATTGGGGGTTGCCAGGGTATTTCCACCCATGGTCCACCAATTGTTATGGGTCTCCCTCTTTGGTGGGCCCTTTGGTGGGCCTTTCCGCATGGCCCCACATCGTTCGGGGCCCACATTCCACATCGCCATTTCCGGGGCCCAGTACCTAGCATAGAGACACAACAAAATCTCGGGGTTACGGTATGTGCAAAACCTAGAAATTAAAAATATCATGTGATAAATAATACATAAAAATGAGAAAATCCATTGGCGCACAACGTGCTGCGCGTGCAGAGGAGCTCATCGTAGTCGGGGCACGTGGGACTCGATTAAGACCTAAAGTGAGATGTTAGGCTGGGCCAGAGTTAAACCTAAGCCAAGCCTAAAGCAAGCTTGAGCCAGGCCTAAGTCAAGCCAAAGTCAAACCTAAGCCTAAGCTAAGCCCAAGCTAAGCCTAAGCTAAGCCTAATCTAAGCCAAACTACGCCTAAGCCACGCCTAAGCTAAGCCTAAACCATGGCTAAGCTAATCCCAAGCTACAATTTTTTCCATCTCCCAGTCTCATTCCTCTGAATAGCATCCACTTTTGCTTCTTCCAACCCAGCTCCAGCTCCTGGGGGCCCAAAATTGGTGGTCTGCCATTTTTTGGCGCGTTCCCCGTCAATCTGCCCGGAAAAGGGGATCTAATTGGATTAATTGGACATCGCAGGGGAAGGCCCACTCGGCACACCGCCAATTCTGTTGGGGGCCTCTTGCTCTTTTCTGAAGTGAGAGAGAGAGAGAGTGAGAGAGAGAAAGGCGGGTGAAGGGCCCCTAGAGGCCCCTCCCCCCATCTCAACTGGGGGCCCACCCCCCGCTTTCAGTGAGTCTTTTTTCAGGGTGGACCTCCTTCAGCTACTCTGCTAAAAAACACACCCCAACCCGATAGACCGGACATGAAAGATGCCCCAAGGACATACGCCACGATATTTGGGGGTACGTTATTTGCTGTATTTTTTTGTTTCTATGGTTTTTCTATTAAAAGATTTATTTTTCCGCTTTCGTGGGGTTTTCTGATGTAATTTAAGCGATTTTAGGCGATACTCTTTAAAATAATGCCTGAAAACCCATAAAAATCGGCTTTATATAGTTGTCGGCTAATTTTATTAATTTTTACTGGGATTTGCAAGGTTTAATCATATTTTAATGATATTATATTAAAATCAACCTTTTACAACGCGAATTGCGAGAACACCCTTAAAACATTTATACAAATCTATTATAAAAACTTTTATATGGTTTTCTACGAGTTTTCTTTCATAACAAGATGTTCTAGACATTAATCGGTTTTTGATGGAAATTTTAAGGTAGTGACAAGCATTTTTCAATCAATCGCGAGTCGAAAAAGACTAAAAATAAGTTATTATAGCTATTTCGTCTAGTTTTGAGGTTTTTACAAGATATTTAACCCTTTTGAGAGGATTTTTTTGATAGCGGGCTTTTTTTAATCGGTTGTAAAGTGCAAAATCAAAGGGCTTATTGCGGTTTTGACCTCAAAATGATGCCGATGACATAAAATGAGTCCTTCACATCCATCAATTCTTCCGGAGCCCATTCGAGCTTTTATGGCCCCTTTTTGGGCCCTGTTGGCCCTAGGATTTTTTGGTCGCCTGGAGAAGCATATAAAACGGAGGCGTCAGCTTGTCATCATCCAACTTTGCCCTGAACAACCTTTTTTTTAGGATCTGACGGGATTCGTGGCGTTGATGGATGAGTATTCCAAGGAGAAGTGGACCCTCAATAAAGTGAGTCTTTCTTAGTTGGTAATAAAGTTTTAACATTGTACAAATTAAAATTTATGAAAGTTTGTTGGTCAGTTTAGAATTTTTAACAATTTAAAATGCAGTTTATCCAGTTTTTGGCGATTTTTTTGACAGTAAAAGGGAGTTTTCAAAATTTTTAACCTTTTCTAATAATGACGTACACTTAAGAAAATCTAGGAATTATATTAAGCCGTTTATATTTTGTATTGGCCGCTACGGGGCACGAGTTCAAAGCCAGCTTTCCTCACCCGGTCACGATCCTAATCATGAAATTTTGTTATTGGGAATTTCGCGTAAATAATTACTACTCTACCTCGTCTTTTTAGGTTTCTTTTAAGGTTTCCTTATTTTGCAGTAATTTTTGTGGCCTTTATACGTTAGAATTTTGATGGCTGAACTTTTCCATGCAGTTGAAACGTTGTGTCTTGTTTTTGGAAAGTTTTTTGCCGGAATTTTCCTCCTTGCACAATCCCCGGAGGACTTCTTGGTCTAGTCGGGCAGGGGGGAGAAGAAGAAGAAGCCGTATCCTATTACCCAACCAGCCACCTTTTCCCACAACCCCCTACACAGTCACCTAGGGACCACACGGAAATTAGTGGAATCGCCGGGGAGAGTGTAGTTGTAAATGTTGAAACGTGGATCCGGCGTTTTGTTTGGTTTAAAGCCAATTTTCGCGATAAAAACGATAAAAGTACGTGTCCGCAGCGCTACTCCGTACAGGTTGATACCTTGCGCACGCTGCATTTTTGGCGTCTTACATTTCTAATTCGGACGATTTTTCACAAGGGCCGAACGGGTGGTGCGTTGCGTGTCGCGGACGCGGCGAAATCCATGGAATATCCATAATCATTAAAATCCGCCATCATCCCCTGCCCGGCCACTTCAATTCGCAAAATTTAACTGATTTTGATGACTTTATGGCAGTTCTTTTCCCTCAAAATCTCACCTAGCTGGTTCGACTTTTCGACCCGCCAAAACCCATTTTTGTGCTTTTTGCTGCCTCCATTTTCCCGGTCTTTCAAAAGCCGTCTTGAACGTTGGAATGTTAGTGTGCCCGGGGCGAGAGTTGGACAAACGGAAGGGATTTCCCCCCGCCGCGCCAATTTCTTTTCTTCTTTTCCCCTCCTGTTCCAGTCGTTTTCTGGCTGGCCACTGCTTCTGGGCCCTAAATTATTCAGGCCAAGGCCCCCTTGGCCTCCCCCCAAAAAAAGTCTCAAGAAGCCTCGGTGGACGCGCGCAATCAAAAACATTGGGTGGGGGGGGGGGAGAAGCGGGGGCTGGGGCCAATAGGGCAATAGGGGCCCATGGGTCAATGGGCCCCAAGCCGACCCATCCGTTCGGGGGGTAATTAAAGGGACATGAAAAGGCTGGGACGAAGCCGAGGAGGGGGCCTGTAAAATTGGAATTGAATTCTTTATTGGGTGGGAATTGAAATGGAGGAAATTTGGAGGGATAGGAGGTTTTATAGCTTACTATATGTAAAAAATGTAATTAGTGGCGAGTCTAAACGATTACGCCCTGGATATATGGTTTTTTAGGGGTAGGCTTATGCTGTTACGCTATAAAAATCCGATTACACAGTCAAAAACAATGTCTTTTTCCGGTTTTTACGGTACGTTGCCAGCGTCCGATTGTCCAATTACACGATGTAAAAATATTTTTCGATGTTAGGGCGTGGAATTAAACTATTAAAAACTATTGTGATTATCCGGTTAATCCGATTACGCTATGTAAAGCTTTTGTTAGTAGTTTTTGGACGATCGCACGCTGTAAAAACCACCTATAAGGCCGGATTTTTAGGTTAAACTATGTAAAAACGCTTTCTAGTTTACGGTTTATCTGATTACCCCATATAAACCCTTTTTCAGTGGGAGTCGGGCTTCTGGCTGAAGCAATCTGTGATGGTGAGGCTGGGTGGGGAGCCGTTGAATCGCCAGTGTCATATTTTGAGATGTGCCATCAGGGATTGCCCGGTGCTTTGGTTTAATTTTTATCATAGAGGTAAGTGCTTAGAAAGCCTTCATTACTTTAAATAGTATTTGGCACAGCAAGCATTGACTTTTTTAGATGGCCGACCACTACGACTGGACGAAATTCGAGCATTGCTGGCGCGGAGGGGGAACTTCGATAGTGACGCGTATTTTAAGTGAGTTTCTCGACGAATTGCGCATTTTTAAAAGGTTATTAATGTAGTAAAAAGTATAATTAAGAAAATCTACATTTAGAAACGTCACGCAAGAGCCTCACCCCTATTATGGAGTCTTATTTTTCTTCGTGGACCCCGCGGAAACGCCGGGCAGAATGGCTGAGATGCCGGGCCATGGAAATTACATTGTTAGGTCGGTTTTGTAACTACTAATATACGATATTGACATAAAATATCTAATGATATACATAATTTTTAGATGGCTTTCGGTCTACGGGCCCCCGATTGATCTCCGGCTACCAGATGAGGTGCTTTTGGCAGCCGGACTTACGCCTTCAAGGCCAAGGTATACGTTCGGTGGAGCAAGGCGTAGTTACGCTTTGCATCAACGATTTTTTGAACTTGTGATCTCAATTTTTTCAGTTCCTTAAACGGCTGCTCGGCTTTTGAACCCTTCGAAAAGCCGATTTGCGAATCGATAAATGAGGAAAATGAGGATGAGGTGTGTTTAGGCTTACGGTAGGCTTAGGTTAGGCTTAGCTTGAGCCTCGCTCCGGCTTAACTTAGGCTTGACTTAGGCTTGGCTTAGGCTTAGCTTAGGCTTAGCTTGGGCTTAGCTTATGCATAGCTTGGCAAAGCTTAGGCTTAGCTTAGGCTTAGGCTTAGCTTAGGCTTAGCTTAGGCTTAGCTTAGGCTTGGCTTAGGCTTGGCTTAGGCTTAGCTTAGGCTTGGCTTAGGCTTAGCTTAGGCTTAGCTTAGGCTTAGCTTAGGCTTGGCTTAGGCTTAGCTTAGGCTTAGCTTAGGCTTAGCTTAGGCTTAGCTTAGGCTTGGCTTAGGCTTAGCTTAGGCTTAGCTTAAGCTTAGCTTAGGCTTATCGCCGTAAAGTTACTGAAATCTACTGCTTCAGCGTGAAACCATCGTCTCATCAGCCGACACCGGCGACTCGGCGCATGATTCCCCGGTGTCCAGCGGATCATAGCGGAAAATGCCGACAAAATGGTCCCAATTCAACAATTCTCTACAAATATGGGTTCCCCCTCCTCCTCGCGGCTAAATAATTTCTTGTGTGACGAGTTTTTGCCCCGTTTTTCCTCGGAATAGAAGTTTTTTTCTGGTTATAACAATGTACAGGCTACCGACTTCATATTTCTATTGCCAAATTCCCCTCGCCACCCCTGCCAGAGTTGATATATTACAAACATCTATTGGATTGTGGATAGTATAAATAACCTTCATCAATTCAATATTTATTATATATCAAAGCCGGATAGCTACAATCATATCGACAAGCTATATACAGACAGGAAATGGGTACGCTGGAAATTAATATGGACTCGAAGTCATGTGCATAGCCTACGCGACAATACGCTTCCATCCGAGGTACCGTAAGCGCGTATCGCCGCGTAGTCTAGCGTTCAATTGGACTCCAAAAATCACAAAAAACAATATGAAAATTTGTGGCCAACAGAATGGGCTGTTTGTGGAGTTGAGAGATAAAGCACAGCGTCCTGACAGGGGCAACTTTTAGACTGACAAACCTTGGGGGAAGAGAGAGAGAGAGAGAGGGAGAGAGAGAGAGAGAGAGAGCTAGAGCGAGAGAGACAGCGAACACACGGCAGAGATCTCTAGATATTGGGTGGCACCTAGAAATGCGGAAATCATACCCTATATAGAAATGCGAATGGCTATTCTGGATACCCGACATGGATTTGTGGTCGTCGAAATGGGGGAAAGATGGGGCTTGAGCTTGAGCTTAGGCTTAGGCTTAGCTTGGGCTTAGGCTTAGGCTTAGGCTTCGGCTTGGCTTAGGGTTCGGCTTTGGCTTAGACTTAGCTTCGGCTTCCCTCAGGCTTCCGCTGAGGCTTCGGTCCTATCGCTTGGCAACTTGCAGCTCGTCGACGCCGAGCACCGAGATCTGAAGGTGTAAAATTACGTTTTATTTTTACTCTATCATTATTTTTTGTATATTTTTAGTTGTTTATTTTCTTAAAACGATCCTTACCTGATCGCTGAATCGCACAATACTGCCCGAGGATGAACTCTTTTTGATAGGGGCTGCTGGCGGGGCTTCGGGTTCTGAGGGCGCCTCGATTGATGCTGAAATCGGTATTTTTCAAACCACCGATTAAATAAACTTAATTTCTAATGCCGTGCTCAAAAAAAAGTTTAGAAGCCTGAAGCTTACTGACCATTAGTGCGTATACTCCATATACTATTCCTCCGAGGCTCGATAAACGATACGACGGTGGAAAACTTGGTTTTCGTCGAGTCCTTTCGCTGCACGTAGCCGTCCTATAAACCATGGTTTAGTTTTTAATTTTTTAACTGTAAAAGTACGCTACATTACAAATCAGAAAGCCGCAATGTCGCTTACCCGATACTCCAGCTCCATTTCTTCGCCCTGCTTTGCGTGGCCGAGACAGAGCAGCGCCTCTAGTTTATTCCAAAGATTTTCCGGAAGTTTTCCTGAATTTTAGACATGTTATTTCGACTATAAAAAAAGCTAAAAGTAATGTTTTTTAGCTATTAACGTTTTCCAACACCTACCCCGACTCTCTTCCGGTCCACAGAAACACGTACAAAGCACCAGTGCTAGCAGCCCGACGGGGATCAACGCGAGGAACAGTGGGATTAACACCTAGAAATAAACATTCGATGAATTGTTGTCAATTTGTCGCAATTTAAATTTGTTAAAATTCCATTTTGTCGAAATTTCCATGCGCTGAAACTTCCAAATGAACAATCGAAGCGAAGAAGGCCGTGAAATGCCGACAAAATGATTTTCGACAACATGAAATGTCGACAAAATGCAAATAAGTCAGTTTACATCAATATAACCCACCCATTCTATATTAAACCGTTGGCACGGCTTCCGGGTCACTTCCCCTGTGTCTCTTCGTATCCGCCGTGTCGAATTCCTGGTAGATGATGGTTCACTAGCAAGGAAAAGTCATATAAATACCGAATTTTCCGAACCTTTCCTCAAAATCGAGGATTAACGTGGCGGTGTCGTTGTTTGGGAGGTGGGTAGATAGGAGCGACTCGTAATTTCTGGAAAATGAATTATTTTAGGAGCTTTTGTATTAGCGTGGTGGGGGGGGGGGCGTAGGGAACCAATTTTTTGCATCAGTTTAAAAAAATTGCTAGAAGTGTATTAGTAAGTATTTTAATAGTTTTTTTTGTAAAATTTGACTGTATTTCAAGTGGAAAAACTCTCTAAAAAGCTTTGAAAATCCTAAATCGAAAATCACTAAATTTAGTGTTTTTTACTAAAAACTTGTAAAGTTTTTACATTTAGGAATAGTAAACAGCAGTTTAAATTTTTTGGATCCTCTTTGAAGCGCTTTGGATTTTAAAGAAAATTGGGTTTTCTTCCTGACCCCCCCCGATAATAGATAAAAACCAAACGCCCTTTCACAATTCCCAATTTTGTAACATTTTTTAGTGGGGAGCAACACTTTAAGATAATGGAAAAGTACCAAAACATTTCGCAATTCTCGATTTCGTAACAGATTTTTTCAGGTGTCTAGACAGTTGGGTGTTCTCGCGTGGATCGGAAGTGTTCGGCTTCTTTATAGGCCATCATTGAATGGTGTGTATCTGAGGGGGGAGGATGAGCGAGAAAAAGAGGGAGCTGGAGATGGTGAGAGAGAGAGGGAAAGAGAGGAGAGAGAGAGAGAGAGATAGAGAGCGCGAGAGAGAGAAAAAAGATGAGAAGATGATGGATGGGGACGGTTCGTGTGGTTTTCACACGTCGATGATCGATATGTGTTGGAGATTGGGGAGACTGTTTGCCCCCGGATATCATCTACCTTTTAGAGATTGTCCGGGGTTTTTACAGGCAGAAATTGGAGTTTGGCTTGAAGCTGTGGGGAATTAAGAAGGGCTCGTTTTTAGACAAAACTTAGACCCGAATTTCGGGTGCTTGTGCGCTATCGGGGGGAGGGGGTGTCAGGGGAGAACGAACTCTTCTCTCGTTTTTTTTCCTTTTAAAAACGATCTTTTTTTGAGATTTTGACTACAATTTTATAACTACTGCTAATTAACTACGCAATTTTTTAAAGCAAGTTTAAGAAAATGGTTCTTTTCCATTATCGAGGGGCTGTTAACAGGGGTAAAACCAAAAATCAACTTTTGTTCGTTCGAATTCAATTTTTTTGATTATATCGATTTTTTCTAGATGATTCATTGTTCTAAATGGCGTAAACGTTGCAAATTTTTATTAAAAATACAAAAAGGACAAAAATACAATTTTTTGACCAAAAATGACCGATCTTTGAGCGAAATTTCTATAAGTTTTGGATATTTTTCACTCGAAATATTGTTAAATTTTACTGAAATGTTATTAAAATGCATAATATTACGTTACTGGGCTTTTCTGACTTAGAAAAATTACCCCCCCCATAATGCGAAAGAACCGAAATGGTTGGTGCTATTTCGCTTTTTTCGAAATTCTTTCAACGAATCGAGTCCAGAAAACAGAGCGATAGAAAGTCTCGTTTTTAAGAACTTTTTTAGGAAATCAAACTCACGCAGAACAGTTCTTGTTGCATGCCCGACAGATGGCTGGTGCTCCCTCAACGGACGGTCCAACCAAAGCCACGGCGATGGTTATAGAAATGAGGGCGAGGGTTGGGCCAGAATGATTGGCATCCATTTTTGGTTGCCACCTCTTCCACCACATCTTCAACGAGTAAAGGGGGACCCAGTCTGAAGTGGCAGGGGGTTTAGATGGGGGATTTTCAGATAGCATGTTGTTGATATCGGAAATTGAGGAAGAAATGGAGATGCCGCTCCAGAAAAAGTTGAAAGTAGCAAGAGCGAGAGAAAGGGAGTGAGGCAGAGCAAGAGATAGCGAGAGAGCATGGAAAAGAGAGTGAGAGAAGCCGTAGCGAATGAACGCGAGAGAGAGAGGGAGACACCTAGTGAGGGAGAGAGACCCAGAGAGATAGTGAGAGCGCAAGCTACATAGCGAAAGAGAGAAATAGCGAGAGTGAGCCAGAGCGAGAGAAAGAGAGAGAGAGAGAGAGAGAGAAGAGAGGGGGGGGGGGGAGAGAGAGAGAGCCAAAGGACCAATGTAAATTAATCTGCCAAGAAATTCCAGAGTAAATACACAGACCGTGGAACGTCAATCGCATTGACACGGCCATCCCGTCCAAAACTGAGAAGGGATGGATAGAGGGACAGGGAGAGAGAGAGAGAGAGAGAGTGAGAGAGAGAAAACGATAGATATAGATAGACAAACCAGACCAAAAAGGGCTCCGTTGGGGAGAAGGATCTGTTGGTGTGACCCAAGGTAAATTGATGGGGGTTTTTTAGGGTGAACGTGAGAAAGGGGAAAGGTTATGCCGATTTTGGATTAGATTGTTAGTTTCTAAAAAGGACGCATTATTTTAAAAGGTCGAAGGCTCGTATAGAAAACAAATAGAAGAGCAAAAAAATTTATAGGGTTTTTTTGGTAGCTCTAGCCGTTAAATGGTTCTTTATAGTTTTCAAGGGGCAGGCAAGGCTTTGCCTGGGATTTAAACAAGAGCACCGCGTCACGGAAACCGAAAATCCCGACAGCCGAAACCCTGGCACCCAAAATACCGACAATCTGAGAGGACAAAATCCCGACATTCAAAATAGATGTTTGAAAGGAAGTTGGCATACAAACTAGCGTCAAGAAAATGTCGGTATATTGACTGTCGGGATTCTGGCCGAAATTGCACTTGCACGTCCCTTAAAAAAAGATCAGTTTTTAATAGAATTCTTTATAGCCAATATTAGAATCAGCTCCCGTTTTAGCGCGGTCAGATGACGTTAAAAATCTCAGATACAGATGAAACTGTAGAGATTCGGGGGGAGAAAGTGGCGAAATGAATGGCGGAAAAGAAATGGAAATGAAAGGCAGGAACAAAGACAATCAATTGGAGGAGGAGGAGGGGAGGAGGAGCAGGAGAAGACGGTATCCCCCCTCCCTGCTCAGTTTGCGTGTCTGTGTAGGTGATGAGCCACACCGTGCAAATCGGACAGGGAAGGAGGAGGAGTTTCGAGCTGAGAAAAAGAGGAGGTGGAGAAAGGGAAGAGGCTTTTGCTCGAGGCTTCTGTGGACCTTTAAAATCTTGGGGAAGGCATTGAGGGTGCTGCTTGTAGCGAACTGGCTTCGTTGGCTTGGCTTAGTATTGGGCTTGGTTCTATTCAGGCTCAGCTCAGGCTTGGATTAAGTTTAGGCTCGGCAGGGCTTAGGTTTATGCTTGGCTTATGCTTAGGCTTGCGCTTAGGCTTAGGCTTAGCTTGGGATTATGCTGGGCTGGGTTTAGGCTTCGACTGAAGCCTAGGCTTAGGCTTAGGCTTGGATTAAGCTGACTTAGGCTTAGGCGTGGCTTATGCTTAGGCTTCGGCGTAGAATTAGGCTTTTCGCTCTGGCTTAGCTTAGGCTTCGTGTTGGATTTGTTTAGGCTTACGCTTAGGCTTAGGCTCGTACGTATCTTTAGGCGCTTTTGGGCATTAATAGGAGCAATAAGTGGCTTTTCCGTGTGGAACCATCGTCTTTTGCAACTTCACCTCCCAGCGTTCCATCGCACTCCTCTTTGCACTGATCATCCGGTGTGGATACCCTCAGCTAGCCCTCGAGAAATATCATCTGTTCACGCGAGTATGTCTGTCTTTCTGCCTGTCCACGCGATCATTTTGTCAATCAACATTTCCAGTTCCAAAAACATCCTCTCGACAGTAGCCGGGGTGTACGGGGGTGTACTCTGGAGTTGCCAAGAAAGAGCAAACAACTTTTGGAATTTTGGTGGGTTTTTCGTCGAAAAATCGCTGGCTACATTTCGTAATCGCCCCCACATCCGGGCTATAATTCATTGGGCGGTGAACACGGCGAACGTCTTGTGCAAAGAGGAACGTGCCGGAAATGTGACATTCCCCGGATTCCAGACCCTTCTCAAGGCGTTCCCGCCATTCCAATAGGTGTTTTCTTGTCTCTAATTCAATCAGAGGGTATCGAAATTGACAGCGGAAACAAATATTGAAAGCCAAGCCCAAGCTAAGCCGAAACTAAGCCTAAGCTGAGCCTAAGCTAAGCCTAAGCTAAGCCTAAGCTAAGCCTAAGCTGAGTCTAAGCTAAGCCTAAGTAAGCCAATAATTGCCCCTCCCGTTAAAGCCGGCCACTGCCATTTGGCTTTTTAAAGTGAAGCTTTTCCAGAAGGGCTCTCCACCCAGAGCATACTGTAACCCTGTTGCCTTATAGAACGTCCATATATGTTTGATAATGATAAGGGGGATAAGGAGACAAATTGGCGCTTTCCCCCCTCGATCCCACTGATCCCCTTCCGGCCGGAAATCTGATTTTTTTCTGATTTCCGCCTCAGGGGGAGAAAGATGAATGGCGATCGGGGCTGCCCGGGGCTGACATTTGGTGATTGGGGGTACGGTAGCCGGGGATGATGGGGTGTCTTTTAAAGAGGGGGGAGGGTACGGTAGGTGGAGGATCTTGTTAATAGTAATGGCTTAAAAATTAAGAAAATGAGAATTTTTAAACCTCAAAAACAAACATTGGCAGCGATAAAGCGGTCAAAATGTAACTTATGTTTATTTATTGTATTTTTATTAGGCCTTTTTAAAAATAAACCCAAGAAGTTAAACAGCTAAAACAGGAAAATCCCTTGAAAAGTCATGAATAAATTTTATACCTGGATTTTATGCAATTATTCTCAACCGGATTTCTGGCGTCGGCGACACGCAACGAGCCCGCGCGCACGCCTCGCCCGTCCCTTTGATGCATTGATATCACCAAAAATCCACACGAAATGTTCACTTCGACGCTCCTTTAGTCGCTTCTCTAAAGCCAATTTTTCATATACCATCTCTCCGATTTTCAGTAGACACACACGAGTTCCGGTGATAAATCGAGCGTGTGGCCTTGCGAGATGAATCCCGAATTGGCTACGGTAATTTTGTTTCTCTGCACTCACTCTCGGCCACTCTCTCTCGCTCTCTCTCTCTCTCTCTCTCTCTCTCTCTTCCTTCTTCTCTCTCTCTCTCTCTCTCTCTATCGCTCTCTCTCTGCGACCCCCTGCGGCCATATCCTTTTGTGAAGGCTGCATTAATCCGTTGATTTATTTGAACGGAAACGCGAGGCGCGGGAATGGCCTTGGGCTCTGTGGGTATTGCCCACGTCCGCTTGGGAAAGCCGGGATCTAATCACATAAAAAGTTGGCTGGTTGGTGTTAAAGGGGAAGAGAGAGAGAGAAGAGAGAGAGAGAGAGAGAGAGAGAGAAGGAGAGAGTAAAGGATGAAGCTTGGGCTCAGGCTTAGGCTTTGACTTAGTCTTAGCTTTAAATTAACCGAAGCTGTTTTAAGTTTGGCCGAGTAAATTTACCTTTTAGGGCTAAATAATCAGTGTTAAACTGCCCTTCAAGCGATCCCGCTACCGCAATTTCAGTACTTTTTAAAGCCGTGCCCGAAAACGGCAGTCTACGAAACCGGTTTCAAATATCTCACATGGCCGTGGGAAATCCAGGGAAATTGTCTGCCACTGTCTAGGCCAGGTCTTTAAAGGAGCCCGAAAGGCACGGCACGACTATGATTGCATGGCTGTGGATTCCACACGGATTTCGTCGCTCCCGTCTCTCTCGCTCGCTCTCTCTCTCTCTCTCTCGCTCTCTCTCCCTCTCTCGCCCGCAAACCACAACGCAACCGCAGCGGAAAGCGAGCTTTTTAAAAACCCGTTGAGACCAGTAAACGGCTATCCGATTACGTCACAAAATTTAGTGCGATTTGGAGAGTTGCGTAGCTTAGCGTCGGATAGACTTTCTGGCATCAGTTTTATCTCATTCAATGTAATGGAAAGACCACTATACTCGACTCAAACTTTGACCTTCGCGCCTTTTTGTGAACTTTTTGAACGGAGCACGAGGACCGGCCATTTTTTGTGTGTGGCTTGTGTCGACAGGCGATGTGCTGATCGACTGGTCGGCTTTTCCGCTTGAGTGCCCCTCGAAATCGACCGCTCCATGATTGGCGCTGCACCACATTTCTTCTTCTTGGCGAGTGGCAACGCAGGATAATCAATGCCATTAAAGGTAGCGTGTCAGCTGGACTCGGTTGAGGGGTCAGCTCTGTCCATGCACCTTTGAAACGCAGGTTCATTGGAGACAGCGAGAGACCGATAGAGGGAGAGAGCGAGAGAGAGTGAGAGAGAGAGAATGAGAGAGGGACCGATAGAGGGAGAGAGAGCGAGAGAGGGAGAGAGAGAAGGAAAGACCGAGAGAGCAAGATAATGAGAGAGAGAGCGAGGGAATGAGAGAAACCGATAGAGGGAGAGAGAGCGAGAGGGCAAGAGAGAGACAGAGCAAGGGAGATAGTGATAGAGAGAGAGAAAGAGAGACAGCGATACAAAAAAAGGGAAAGAGTGAGAAAGAGAGAGAGAAAGAGAGAGAGAGAGAGAGAGAGAGAGAGAGAGAGCGAGCGAGCGAGAAAGAGAGTGGGAGAGCTGGAGATACTTCTGTTGAAATATTCCTCATCAAAACTTCACAAAATTCACGCGCATCCCCCCAAACACGCTGATCTCAATGGCCCGCGGCTCTCATTAGTCCATGGTCCATTTTCCCCGGGGTCAATTTTGTGTGCCATCACGTGCCGAATGTGCCGGGATGTATGTAGCATCTGGGAGGAAGTGGCTGAAAAGAGCAAAGAAAGCCAGAAAAGGCTGGCCATGATGGACTAGGCGCCAGGTTGGGGGTTAGCTACAGCCTGATAGAAGTCGGCTGGCTGGTTGGATCAAGGCCATCCGCCATACAGGCGCCCCCTTCCGCTTCGGCAATAAATTTTTTTGGAGGGGGGGTGGAAGGGAACTAGCGCGAGAATACGGTTTTACGGTCGGAGGGTAAGGGGGCGTTCTTTGGCAGGGAGCCTGAAATGGTTACATCAGCATTAAAAATTTCCATAAGTTTCGGTTAAGTTTATATATTCAATTTATTAATATCAAATGCTACACTCCGAAAAACACCCCCCCGACCCTGTTCTCCGTCACCCATCATCGCCATCATGTGAGGGACAATGATAAATCAGGGGAGACAAACAAACAGACGGACAGACAGACTGACAATTCGACAAACAGACACACAACCCCATTGTCACCGGGAGAACGCTCCGTGGAGCACGAGCAGCAGGAGGACGAGAAGGAGGAAGAGGCTTCTTTTTGCAGCCTAATTGACCCCCTGAGGGTATGTGACAGAGGGAGGACGAGCCTCGGCGCGCGACACCATCCCAAAATTGCGCCGAAATTAACGAGGGGCGAAAAGCGGGGTAATGGAGGGTGAAGGTCGCTTGATTTTGGGATGGTGACGATGGGCTGGATTGGCAAAATGGAGCAGGAAAAGAAAAGTGTTAAAATTAAAGGTTTAAAAGTTGGTATGAAGTTTGGGCTCTCTCTCTCTCTCAATCTCTCTATCTCGCTCTCCTTCTCTCTCTCACTCTCTCGCTCTATCTCCCGCCTTATCACTCTCTCTGTCTATCGCTCTCTCTATATCACTCTCTCTCTCTCGCTCTCTCGCATTTTTATGCCATACCTAATGTTAGCAAATTTCATTTCCATTTAAACTTGTATGAAAACCCTCAAGTTTCGAATGCTTCGATTTTCGAAAAAATTTTTTAAATTGCTGTCTAATCAATGTACTGAACTTTATTGAGCAATAAAAATATCAAAATACAAAGGTACACATTTTGAAATACCACGAATCTCGTCGTCTTTGGCTAGAAACAGGGGCGGAGGCATAAGTACAGCGAATCAGACATACACGTAAAAAGTACAAATAGAGGCTGGTGATAGAAATCTAATTGACGGCAATCTGGGGACGGGCTTCTGGGTTTTGACCGGGTACGGTAGATGGGAAGAATGGCTGGGGTGGGGGCATGAAGTAGCCGAGGGCAGCTCGAAGATCCGAGCGCTCGACGCGGGACAGGAACGTGGCACGGACCTGGAAGATTCGTGATTGAGCCCAGCTTCTCAAAGTTTTACCTGAGCCTCGGCCTGGCTGAGGTCTGCGCGGAAACGGGCAAAGATCGTCTCGGCTGTGGCGAGCATCAGCACGTCGTCCAGGGCCCGTTCCATGCGCTCGCCCAGCTAGAAAATCGGGTTCTTTCGCATTAACGGGGGGGCGAAATTTTTTGTACAAGTCTAGAAATGCCTAGTAACTTATTAGAAAGTATTTTAACAGCGTTTTCAAGATTTTCAACTAGAAAAACTATCTAACACTTTACAAAAGTCGTAATTTTGGTCCAAAATCGGCAATTTCCGGTCGAAAATTCTTTATTTTTGATATTTTTCAATGCAAAATTGTAAAGTTTTACGTTTAGGAATAGTCAAAAACCATGTAGAAACACTTCCACTATTTATATTGGATCAAATTAAATACAAAAAGTTGGACCCCTTGATAATGCGAAAGTACCGCAAATCGATACCTTTTTCAAAGCCTTGCTAACCGGATTGTCGACAAGATCGAGTTGCAGTCCGAGAAGACCTTTCTAAAAAATTGGAGTCTACACTCAAAAATCCCAAATCACCTGAACAAGCCCATGCACATCGGCCCCGTAGCGGAACAACGACATGCCCACGACATCGGCGGCAACCACCGGTTGCACTCGATGCTCGGGGTCTCGGCGAAGCATGGCTCGAATCACTGAGCTAATGGCTGCCGGTACTGCCTCAGGAAGTACGGGCAGCTCCTTTTCGCGATACGTCGAAGAACGGAGGCGAGAGTAGAACGGATTGCTTCTAAAATAGGGCGTAAATTTTCCCGTTTGGAAAATCGGGGAGAGGACAGATCGGTTTTTTTTATATAAGCCTGATATCTAGAAATCTAATAGGTATTCTTTTCATAGTTTTTAGCCAATTTATCTTTATTTCAACAAGAAACCCTTTAAAAATCAGAAAATTGTCTAAAAATTTCAAATTTTCGCGAATATTCTCCCACTTTGTGCAAAAATTTGTGAATTGAAACACGAATCCCTTCACAAACCTCGTATAAATCTCATAAGCCAATCCACCAGATGCCCACAAGTCAGCGGCCGCAAAATTAACGGCAGCCCCGGGACCCGGCTTGGCGCCAATGACCTCCGGAGCTCTCGTCGCAGCATTTCCGCCCAGATCCACCTCGTCACTTCTAAAAAAAAACAGTTGAAGCTGAGGCAATGCGCCGGAAACCACCTGTACGCCACATTCCAATCATCCTGCGCCAGGGCACACCCAAAATCCGAGATTACGAGGAATGGAACCTCATCTGAAAAATGTTCTACTTTTTCATCCAAGGTTTTTCTGAATTTCTCTAGGATTTTGACCCACCATAATCGTCAAATTCGAGTAGAATATTGTCAGATTTCATGTCGCGCTGCGAAACGCGACTTTGATGGAGGAAGTGGACGCCCTGGAAACTTTCCTACATTGCCAATACAAATTTTAGCTTACCTCCAGCAGTTGTGCGAGCATCACGGTCCCTTTGTGGGTGTCCAGGGGACCGGGAATGTTCATATATTCGTGTAGATCCATGCGGTATCTATCATTTTGAGCAAAATATAACTTTTTTTTGCACCAACCTTTTCATGACGACAAACATCGTGCGGGGATCAATGTCAATTGGAGGGACGGCTTCTGGGTATCTACAAAAACCGGAATATTCCGAGCTAATCGCCAAGACCAAACCTCGCCAACGCATCCGGCAGTATCGGCATCGCGTCAACGAAAGCCGTGTGCATCTTGACGATATTTGGATGAGAGGCTGGCAACGGGTGGAATCTGTAGGAATTTCACTACTAGATAAAAGCAAACGAACCGCCGGAATCGACCGCGAAGTTTCGGCAGTGCGCCCGGTGGTAGCGGCACCAATTCAGCGCCCATATTTGCCCACAAATGATCGTCGCCACGGCGCTCGTGCTCATAGTTGAACATCAGCTTCAGGGCGAGTGGAAAGCGCTGAAAAATTTATAAATGATGTCCATGATGGCCTTGGTAACCTTGCGCGCAATCCCGCGTTCTTGCGATGTTGAGGGCAGGGCGGCGAGGCCCGGATCAAGGCGCAGGGTGGCATTTCTAAGATATGGATTGGATTGGGGGATATGGAAAACTTACCTTAGCAATGCCGAGGGTTCCTTCAATCGCAGTGCATAAACAGCTCCATTGCCGCCTTGGGCTATAAAATCACCTAAAATTCATGGGATAAGAGTTTTGCCGTTGAACTAACCTATTTCATAGGCGTCGAGCTTTTCGGGGAATTCCTCCTTGCGTAACGCCGGGTTGTAGCGCTCATTCGTTCCGAACACATCCTACAATGTCTTCAGATCCGATTTGGTATCGTTAACTTACCCTAACCCTTTCAACAACTCCAACTTTTTTGATGAATGACTTGTAGCGGAAACGGTTGAAGTTTTGGAATCTAAAACAATACTGTTTACCAGGTTTAAAGCCTAAATTCGGCTTCAGAGGCTAAAAAATTACCTGGACGTGCCCGTGAAGCGGTGTCGATATTGAGCAAGCGTCACAAACGGCCGGGTGATAATTCGCTGGTGCCGAAGCAGCATTTGTATCTACAAAAAGTCATAATAACCCAACAGTCCATCTAAAAAAGCTTACCAAACGATGTGCTCGATTTTTCGACATCAGTGGCGGTTCAGCAACCGTCTGCACCAACGTACCAACATATCCTACTGGTTGCACTGTTCGAGGCAAGAGACGCGCTCGTTGGGCTATCTAAAAATTTATAAAATGGTTCTACAGCGCAAAAACGTCAAAAACCCACCTCAAAACTGAATCGCCAGGCCACCTGGGCCAGTCTTCTCATCGACATCTTCGCAGCGACATCAATTTAATAGCTCGAGATTGAAAATACTTTTCGTTGAAATTTTCGTGTTCTTTGCACTTTCGACACGCCTGACACGATTGGTAAATAAGTGGCAGAGAGGGAGAGGCGCCCCCTTTCCCCCAGTCACTGGGTGGCGAGAAACGAGAAGAGAGTGCAGCAGCTACGGTGGAAGGGTCGCCATCTAATGTCAACTACCAAAGTCTATTACTTACCTTTAATTCCCTAAAAAATAAAGGGATCGGGATCCGAAACTTTTTCTTTCAGAATCGTTCTCCAATTTGCACCAGCCTGAACTTCACAAGTTGGCTTCACCGTTCCTTTAAGTCAAAAATCCGTGTTCCGAGCATTTTTCTTTCGAACTCTTTTTCATGGTATCAAGCCTTCATTTCTCCTTTAAAAATAAAATGCTCGAAATTCGAGCGTTTTTCTTTCGACCTCTTTTTCATGGCCACGAAGCCTTCACTTCTCGTTGGGTCGTTAAGACTGATTTGCATCTGCGGGGGATCTGCATTTCCGGTTGCTGTCAACCCGTCCGCTCATTTATGTTGTTCTGTCATTTCCCTTCCAATCTCCTCTCTGCCAATTCCCCCCTTGCTCCCGAAATTCGACTGTTCGACAAGATGCCGCCGCGCAAAGAGCCGGGAAAATTCCGAAGATTCTGTCTCGGTACTTTTGGACTTTGCCCGAAACGGGACAGAGAGGTTATTGTCTATGACATTCTCGGACGTTTTCTTTAGGTCGCTTTTGGTGTCGACCGCGTTGAATCGAAGGAGGAGGCTATTGCTGAGGCTGGGACAAAGGAGCACGACCCTGAGATGACGGTGATAGAATATTTCGGTATAAATACTTCTTCAGTTGACCTATGTGACAACAACGATGCGCGGAGGCGGTGTGACCATCGATGAAAACGGCCTCGTTCTAGCCGTCGACGAATCCACGCACTGGAAGTATGCCGTCCAGGTTGCTAAAATATGTTTTTGTAGAAAATGCAGTTTTTAGATCGGCGACAAAATCCGAGCCTACGGCGGCTACATCCCCTCGATGGAAGTGATCGAAAATGTGGGACCAGGATTGGTTCTGATTGAAAAAAAGGTCCGTTGAGGCTGGTTGATCTAAACGATTTTCTCGTTCAGATTCGCGACGCCGACGGCGAAACTTTGTTGGCAATGGCGCTTCGAGAGGCGATGCTGTGGGCTTTCTGCCTAGGGACTATGTGCGCGACTTGCATCCAACCTACAATACAGAACGTGCGCAAACTGGGACACGTTAGTGTTTGCCAAGGGTGCCAGAAAGACGTCAAGTGGGTTTACTTACGCATTATTTGATTCCATGTTTTTAGAAACTGGAAAGGGCACGAAGGATGCGGCGGCGCGCACGAAATCACTGACACAGACTGTACGAAATCCATTTTGGCGATATTTATTTCTTTTCAGTCAACCGAAAATGCGTCGAGTGCAAAGTCAGATTTGTGTGTCTGCCCGGTTTTGTTCCGGTGAGAGTTTTTCCAGTGCAGCGGTTTATTTCGCGCGGTTTAGGCTGCGGGCTCTTTCCGGGGAGGAACGGGCCGAAAAAGGGACAGGGGTGCGTGGCGTCTGTTTCGACACTAGACGCTAAAAATCAATAAAATTTGCACAACAAAACTATTGGAGCTATTGATATTTGGGGGGGGGGGGCATCTTTTTTGGGGGCCTGGATCTAAGCTTAGGCTTAGCTTTAACTTTGCGTACGCTTGGCTTAGACTTAGCTTATGCCTAGGCTTGGCTTAGGCTTAAGCTTAGCTTAGGCCTAGCTTGGTTTTGGCTTAGCTTAGGCTTAGTGTAGGCTTAAATTAGGTTTCGCCTAGCCTTAGCTTAGACTTAGCCTAGAGCTAGCTTAGGATTAGCTTAGACTTCGCTTAAGCCTAGGCTGGGCTTAGGTTTGGCTTAGGCTGGGCTTGGCTTGGTTAGCTTAGGCTTTGAGACAAGCTTATGCCAGAAAAAGCCCCCAAAAAAAGATGCCCCCCCAAACATCAATAGCTCCAAACTATTTATTTTACTTTATTTTAGACCAAAAAGCAGCTGGCCGTGCTGAACAAGTGAATCGCGTGCACCAGCCCATTTCTGTCGACACTTCAAGGAGCAGCCGCCCTCAAATCCGCTTTCCTCTGTGCTCATTGTTATGGCTTGTTTCTTTGTTTGTGGCATCCTCTCAACTTCGTGTTTAGTTCCGGTCTGAAATTTTCTGCTTCGTTTTCGCTTTATTTGGGAAATATTTCGTTCGCCACTAGGATTTGTCGGATATTGCTTATAACTTATTAGCTATTTCTCAAGCCATTTTCTTGTTGGGCGTTAATAAATTTATTTGAATTCTCGCTATCGAGTATCATCGTGTTTCGTCACCGGGCAGAAAACGACGTAGCGCCGAGCAGGGCAGATGGATTTGCTGCCCATTGTCCCAGGAGACATTGCAGCATATACCCATCATCTGAAAAATCACTTCTGAAAGGCCTGTTTGAACTTCTCTGATCGAAAAGCCGAAGCATTGGAGAAAATGGTGGACATACCTCGACAATTTCGGCAGTCATCGTCTCCATATGGTGCTTCATCGGCTCCCAGTCCTAAATTTTATTAAGGGCTTCTTGCAATTGTTGCCATCATGCTTCGTTTGTGAAATAATAAGACACCTGGTAGTTGATTTCAATTATGTAGGCGCTTTTAGGGTCCTGAAACTCTTGGCAGCCAATGCATTTGGCAAGGATGTGATTGTTCCTAGTAATATTGTGATATGGAGGCCAAAAAAGCAAAAAAATACCTGTCATAGATGAATGGCAATGTCAGGTTATCGTCGACCATGTAGCGCACGAAGGATCGCCAGTACAAAGGGATGGCCTCGGCACGCCAGCCAACCGTGTCACCCACCTTAAAGAATTTTAATCAAAACTTGGCCTTTGTATACCTGAAATGGAGCCAGCGCCACGTCGCACAAAGCCACCAACTCAGTGATTCCGAAAAACTGAAACTTTTACGTTATTTAGTCTATAGTTTGTATTTTTATTCGTTACGGACTTTTCTTCTAACTATATATATAGCATTTGACTGACCGACGCTTCCTTTCGCAACTCATCCAATGCCCGATCCTCGCGCGGAAGCTGAAAGAATTCAGCTCCATCGCGCAGAAAGTTGAGAATCCGATGGAAGTGGGACGGGTCACGGTCGATAAATAGCTCTTTTTCGGGAGCCGAGCTCGTCCACCGATCCTCAACCATCGTCGCCAACATCTAAAAAATTCCCCCAAGTTATAGCGAAAACGAGAATTATGACGTGGCTTTTAAAAATACGTTCAACATACCGTGTCCCTGTATCGTGTCAAAGTAAAAGCGCTTGTCTCAAATATTTGGCCGCCGACATTCAGCCGCACGCGGCCGTCCTCCTTCATCCTGAAATCATATTGTGGGGCCGGGGGATTGGGAAGATAAAGGATACAATGGGGCGTCTAATAACCCCCCATAAAAATGGACTGCCGAGGATATTGGCCGGAAATCCCCAGGGGGGGGAGCAAAAACAAATGGAGCGCCGGGTTGATGTTGGAAAGGGCGACGGAATTGAATTTCTGGGCCCCTGGGGAAAATGTAGTCGAGGAGCCGCTTTGCGCGGCTTATAGCGCTATGATTAACAAAAGAAATAGAAACGTGAGCCGAAATGGGGAAAGATTTGATCCGATGCTGAAATAGGTAAAAGGCCGGCAATTAAACCGAAATTTTTGAGAGAAAACCAGAATACGAAAATGAGCCTCGGGGACTTATCGACAAACTATCAGGTTTCGCTTGGGACCTTGACCAGCCGTACGCATTCGGCTTCGCTAAACACGATAAAGGTGGGGACGAATGAGGGAGGAAACATGGGGAGGAGGGATAAAGTTTGGAGAGCTCTCAAGGGGGACCCCCGCGCGGCATCGCCGCGGATTAATTAATCGGCCCGCGGGAAAAGAGAAGACTTCAAAGGAGACTGGAGACCCCAACAAGAGATTCCCAAGGAAGCCAACGTTTTTCGCAAATTTCAAAAAAATGGCGGCCGGCATATGTTTTCCAGCCCAACAACATCAAATATGGCCGTGCAAAGTCGGGCGGAGCACCTTTCCGTGCGCGCCGGCCCCCGTGGGACTTTCTCACAGAAGAAACGGTGATGAGGTGAGGGTGGTGTCACTCGCTGGCTGCTTAAATATTCAACGAATCTTCTTTGATACTGCCGCGAGGTTGGGAAACGAAAGGAGAAAGCATGCTCTTTTAAAAATAGGTCTAAGGACAGGGGCACCTTGATTTCCTCCCGAGTCGCCTTGGAAATTTGAGGAAAACTTGGGACCGAACCACCACAACCGGGCATTAGTTATTTGCAGATTGAGGGCTGAGGCCGTCCCCGGGGCTTCCTAGCGCTCATTATACCCCTATCCACTGGGGTGGATCCGCCCCGGAAGTCCTCAGCTCAGGGAGACGAGATACACACATCTAGTGATTCCTTCCCCCAGCTGCGAAAGATGGGCCACTTACTCAATTTGCGATGGATGCATTGATGAGGGCGGCAGGGGAGAGAATATGAATGCGCTGGGGCAGATACCCCTTTCCCGGCGAGGGATAAAGTTGTATTCGTCGAGATGCGCCTGGCACAAATCTCTGCCGTCACGGCTCACCGCATTCCCCCACTCTTCGCCGCTTCTCTCGTCCTCCCACCTGGCACTCGGATTGATGAGGGATATCCGCCGTCGCCTCTCCCCGCGGGGCCTAGCCGGGAATTACCAGAAGGGCTCATTACGCAACCTTCTCTTCTAGATAAAAGCGCTTCTCTAATCGAGCATTGCTAGCGAAATAGCACCCGCGTAAAGGAATGAGACAACTATTGAAAGGAACCTGGAAATCAACGATTGATGTCGATGGCTCGTAAACGCGCCAGAGAAATGGAGAGGGCTGGCGGGGGTTCGATTTCACACACGAATATTTGACATTTGGCTCGGTCAACAACCGCCTTGAATGAGCTGTCCCTAAATTGAGCGACCAGGTGGCAATGACCCAAAGCGCTGAACAAAAGCCGCGCCTGCATGCTCCAATCAATTGCGTGTCAATCCATAAGGCCGCAAGGAAGCTGATGTGTGGGTGTCACCTCGATGTTTGTTTGTGAAACAAAGTTCGAAGACAACACAATGCTTTATGATCAATTGCACGAATTCACTGTGAATTAATTAAAAAGAAACGGGCTTTATTGGCCGTTGAAAAATATCATCGAAAATCACAACCAAATTAGAAGCACTTGCGATGGACAATAGAGGGGCCGGTCTCGTCGTACTCTTGCTTCGAGATCCACATCTGCTGGAAGGTCGAGAGGGAAGCCAGGATGGAGCCGCCGATCCACACAGAGTACTTGCGCTCAGGCGGAGCCACGATCTTGACCTTCATGGTGCTGGAAAAAAAAGATTATGATAAAACGGAGGCAAGCCAGCATACCTAGGGGCAAGAGCAGAAATTTCCTTATGCATGCGGTCAGCGATTCCGGTGTACATAGTGGTGCCGCCGGAGAGGACGACGTTGGCATAGAGATCCTTGCGAATGTCGATGTCGCACCGCATGATGGAGTTGAAGCAAGTCTCGTGAACACCGGCCGACTCCATGCCAAGGAAAGATGGCTAAATCCGGATAACCGCCAAGCCGAAAAAAACGTACCTGGAACAGAGCCTCGGGGCAACGGAAGCGCTCGTTGCCAACAGAGATCACTTGACCATCCGGCAGCTCGTAGCTCTTCTCCATCGCCGACGACGCAGCAGCGCTGGCCATCTCCTGCTCAAAGTCCGGGGCCACGTAGCAGAGTTTCTCCTTGATGTCGCGGACGATTTCGCGCTCAGCGGTGGTGGTGAAAGAGTAACCACGCTCCGTGAGAATCTAGAAGCGAAATGCAAAAGTGCAAGGTAAATGATACCTTCATCAAGTAGTCGGTAAGGTCACGACCAGCCAAATCCAAACGGAGAATGGCATGAGGCAGAGCGTAGCCCTCGTAGATCGGCACGGTGTGAGAGACACCATCACCAGAGTCAAGGACAATGCCGGTGGTGCGTCCAGAGGCGTAGAGCGACAGCACGGCCTGGATGGCAACGTACATTGCGGGTGCGTTGAAGGTTTCGAAGATGATTTGCGTCATCTTTTCGCGGTTGGCCTTCGGGTTCAACGGGGCCTCGGTGAGAAGGACGGGATGTTCCTCGGGCGCGACGCGGAGCTCGTTGTAGAAGGTGTGATGCCAAATCTTCTCCATGTCGTCCCAGTTGGTAACGATGCCTAAAAACAAATTCAAGAAAGTTGTTGCTGATACCGTGCTCAATGGGGTACTTCAGAGTGAGGATTCCACGCTTCGATTGGGCCTCGTCACCGACGTAAGAGTCTTTCTGCCCCATGCCGACCATCACACCCTGATGGCGAGGGCGGCCCACAATCGAGGGGAAGACGGCGCGCGGCGCATCATCACCGGCAAAGCCAGCCTAAATGAACACAATAAATGAGACCCAAATGGCGTTGAAAGATGAAATCGCAAGAAACAAAAAAACAATACCTTGCACATTCCGGAGCCATTGTCGACCACAAGCGCGGCCACTTCATCGTCGCACATGTTTGCAGTGTTGTTGAGACGGAGATCAACTGGAAAACGCTGATTTGAGGAAACAATGGAAAGCAATAAAAGAATCGATAGGAAAAGCCAGAAAACGTACCAAGTTGTAGAAAAATGTAGAAATGAGAAAATCCAGCAGCCGCGCGGACGTATTCCACGGCAGGCCTATCGACGGTGGCTCCGGGTACGGTGGTTTGCCCACAGGATAAAAACAGGGCTGCGGCAGCTGTATTGTTTCGTACTTTTGAATTTTCCTTTTTTTGAATCGATTTTTTTTCTAAAATTAAAGTTTCAAACACTTTTTGCAAGTTGCTACAAATGGCTTGGCACCTATCTGGTTGCGGCCCGGTATGTTGTTTTAGACTCAGAACGTTTCAGGTTTCACAGCTGGCGAGCCATTCGGTCAAAAGGTTGTTGGAAAATCTTGTAAAAATTGGTGCACCCTTTGGAAAAGGTATCCACGATTTAATGAAGGATATAAAGATCTAGGGGGCGTCATTTCTAGAAAACATAACCAAGATTTTGAGGGTATTTGGGGGTGTTTCTTCAAGATTCCATCGAAAACAGCTGACTGGTCAGCTGGAAGGAGCCGTAGTGATATTTACCTAAAACCAATCTTTATATGCGTTTTGCTTTCGCTTATGCTCCGGTAGTTGGCGTTTTATGTGGCTTCCCGTCCTTGTTGCTCGATGTTGGGTGCCCCCACCCCGGCAATCCGGCTATATGGTGCGTGCTGAGGTTGAGATGATGGGTGCCGATATTTGGTGGTGCTGTCTCCTTGACCCGGTCGTGCACCATATCTCCGAGCATCTCCCCCGATACCGGCCCCTTCCCCCCACCATTTATCAGCCCTTACCGTCCCCGTATAAAAGCCGAAATCTCGGCCGGATCGGCAGCTCGTCGCACCCCGCACCCCGGCCGTCGACAGTTCCACCATCATGGATCCCAAGATGGAGCTGGAAAGCCAAAAGTGAGTTTCTTCACGTTATGATAAGCCCAAGATGGAGAATTCTTTCTCTATTATAGAAGCCTTTTCTAACCCTTAAAAACCTGATTTATATAAAGTTATGCCATGACTTTTAGCCGCGCTCGCCGTCTGGCCTTCTGCGCCGTGGCCGTCTCGTCGGCCGCTATTCTCTCGGCCGCGCTTCTCATCCCGCTGTCGTACAACTACGTGATGCACCTCCAATCGCAGGTCATGCGCGACACCGAGTACTGCCAGGTATCGCTATCCTGAAATAATAATTTGTATATCCACCTTTAGCTCCGATCCCGCGACCTGTGGGCCTCGGTGCACTCGGTCGACCAGCCGAGGGCCAAGCGTGAGTGGAAGTTCGGCCGTTGGGCCCCTGATGGAGGTGGGAAAATCGAGAGCCTATCGGAAAACCGGCACTTTAGGAGTCGGAGGAGGAGCCGGAAACTATGGCGGAAATGACCAGCCCCCGCCACCGGCCCAGAACAACTACGGCTACGCCCCGGTTGTCAACGCCGAGCCCGAGCCGCAGTGCTGCACTTGCCAACAGGGTAAGGGGTTGTTGCATTTAACAGGGGTTGTATGGTAAAAATGAAAAAATATAAAATTACCATTTTCAGGACCACCTGGACCACCTGGAGCCCCCGGAGATGACGGACACGATGGACATGATGGAGATGCTGGAAACGACGCCCGTGCCGGCAAGGACGGATCTATCGAAGCCCCCGAGGGTCTCCAGTCCGAGCCATGCGTCATCTGCCCACCTGGACCCATCGGACCCCCTGGACCCGCCGGCAACAAGGGACCCCAAGGACCCCGTGGAGCCGCCGGAAACCCCGGAATCGACGGACGTCGCGGAGAGCCCGGCATGGTGAGTGTAAAATGTTGGAGGAAATACCGTAGCGCTTTAGGTTGGACCCGCCGGACCAATGGGCGAGCCTGGACCGGTCGGAAACAAGGGAAAGAAGGGAGACGACGGTCGCGTTGTCACCATCCCCGGACCCCCTGGCGCCACCGGAGCCGCTGGACCCCAAGGAAAGCAGGGAGAGCGTGGACCCAAGGGAACCCCCGGAAAGACCCACGTTGGAGAGCAGGGACCTCCGGGAGATGTAGGTTTCAGGTTGAAAATAAAACTTGGTTTGGTGAGACGGGCAAAGTGCCCTAAAATTGGTGCTGATGCGTTAACGGGGGGAGGGAATGAACTTGGTATATCGTCCCATACTTGGAAAATTCAATTTTCAGTCAAAAAATTTATGAAACCGATCAATTTCGATCTTAAAATTTCTAGTACGGTTTTTATAACTGTTTCGTAATCGAGAAATACTAAAAATCTTTGCGATAGATGTTATGTTGTTACAGGAGGTGCCCCCCCCGCTAACCAATAAGAACCCTAAAAACTCGCCAAAAAGAATCATTCCGAATTCTCAATAACACTTATTCTTGTAGGCCGGACGCGCCGGACGCTCGGGCCGCAAGGGACCCACCGGTGGCCAGGGACCTCTTGGCTCGAAGGGACGCGATGGTGGCTGCGACCACTGCCCTCCCCCACGTACCCCACCAGGCTATTAAAGCCACGCTGCACATCCATTTTCCAATGTGCAATCAAGTTCCAAGCAATAAAAGTATTTATCCAAGAAAAAAAAGTGACGATACATTTGATCATCGGCCCCATCCATAGATGACTTCAGTGTACACGTCAATACACTTGTACTTGTAGATCCCGCAGGGGTATTGATATCTGGGGACTCGTAAAATATCCGGATTTGTACAGTAGTTTGCGGCAAAGTTGGCCAATTTGTCGCAGAACTGCTTGATTTCGCGGGTGAAGATGTGGTCGGTTTTCTGAATTTTGTGATTTCAAATTTTCTAGTTAGGTTCATACATTTACTTGCTATTATTACGTTACTGTACTCTTAGCAGGGGGGACTAACTTTTGTTTTCCGCGTATTAATATTAATATATTATTCACCTGTCAATAATAAATATTAGATTTTTATATTTTTTTATTTCAAAAATATTTGAAAACTCAAAAATTTTGAGCTTTTTGGCCATTTTTCATAAGTTTTTGACCAAAAAGCTAATTTTCGAAAATTTTAGTAGTTTTTTGTGAGTTTTTTCCACCTAAAAAGTATTTAGAATGTTCTAAAATGGTTTTCCCCCCTGCTAACAGTCCAGTACCACTATTACTATACCTTATTATGCGTATTTTACCTTTGGGAATGGAATCGGTTTGCTCGGCACTTCCGCTTCAGGGCATCTATCTTGGTATCCAAAATCAGCTCTTCGACTTTAAACTATTGAGCTCCAACCTTACCTTGAATGTGCTATCCCTAAATTGAACGAATAGGTCGGCAATGACCCAATGCGCTGAACAAAAATCGCGCATGTATGCTCCAGCCAATTTCTGGTCAATCCATAAGGCCGCAAGGAAGCAGACGTGTGGGTGTCACCACGATGTTTGTTTGTGGAACAAAGTTCGCGGACAACACAAGGCTTTATGATCGATTGCACGAATTCACTGTGAATTAATTAAAATGAAACGGGCTTTATTGGCCGTTGAAAAATATCATCGAAAATCACAACCAAATTAGAAGCACTTGCGATGGACAATAGAGGGGCCGGTCTCGTCGTACTCTTGCTTCGAGATCCACATCTGCTGGAAGGTCGAGAGGGAAGCCAGGATGGAGCCGCCGATCCACACAGAGTACTTGCGCTCAGGCGGAGCCACGATCTTGACCTTCATGGTGCTGGAAAAAAAAGATTATGATAAAACGGAGGCAAGCCAGCATACCTAGGAGCAAGAGCAGAAATTTCCTTATGCATGCGGTCAGCGATTCCGGTGTACATAGTGGTGCCGCCGGAGAGGACGACGTTGGCATAGAGATCCTTGCGAATGTCGATGTCGCACCGCATGATGGAGTTGAAGCAAGTCTCGTGAACACCGGCCGACTCCATGCCAAGGAAAGATGGCTAAATCCGGATAACCGCCAAGCCGAAAAAAACGTACCTGGAACAGAGCCTCGGGGCAACGGAAGCGCTCGTTGCCAACAGAGATCACTTGACCGTCCGGCAACTCGTAGCTCTTCTCCATCGCCGACGACGCAGCAGCGCTGGCCATCTCTTGCTCAAAGTCCGGGGCCACGTAGCAGAGTTTCTCCTTGATGTCGCGGACGATTTCGCGCTCGGCGGTAGTGGTGAAAGAGTAGCCACGCTCCGTGAGGATCTAGAAGCGAAATGCAAAAGTGCAAGGTAAATGATACCTTCATCAAGTAGTCGGTAAGGTCACGACCAGCCAAATCCAAACGGAGAATGGCATGAGGCAGAGCGTAGCCCTCGTAGATCGGCACGGTGTGAGAGACACCATCACCAGAGTCAAGGACAATGCCGGTGGTGCGTCCAGAGGCGTAGAGCGACAGCACGGCCTGGATGGCAACGTACATAGCGGGTGCATTGAAGGTTTCGAAGATGATTTGAGTCATCTTTTCGCGGTTGGCCTTCGGGTTCAACGGGGCCTCGGTGAGAAGGACGGGATGTTCCTCGGGCGCGACGCGGAGCTCGTTGTAGAAGGTGTGATGCCAAATCTTCTCCATGTCGTCCCAGTTGGTAACGATGCCTAAAAACCAATTAAAGAAAGTTGTTGCTGATACCGTGCTCAATGGGGTACTTCAGCGTGAGGATTCCACGCTTCGATTGGGCCTCGTCACCGACGTAAGAGTCTTTCTGCCCCATGCCGACCATCACACCCTGATGGCGAGGGCGGCCCACAATCGAGGGGAAAACGGCGCGCGGCGCGTCATCACCGGCAAAGCCAGCCTAAATGAACACAATAAATCAGACCCAAATGGCGTTGAAAGATGAAGGCGCAAGAAATAAAAAACAATACCTTGCACATTCCGGAGCCATTGTCGACGACAAGCGCGGCCACTTCATCGTCGCACATGTTTGCAGTGTTGTTGAGACGGAGATCAACTGAAAAACGCCGACTTGTGGCAAGATAAATGGAAAACAATAAAAGAATCGATAGTAAAAGGAAGAAAACGAGCCAAGTTGTTGAAAAATGTGGAAATGAAAAAATCCAGCAATCGCGCGGACGTATTCCGCGACAGGCCTATGGACGACATCTCCGGGTACGGTGCTTTGCCCACAGGATAAAAACAGGGCTGCGGCATCAGTATTGTTTCGTACTTTTGAATTTTCCTTTTTGAGTAGATTTTTTCTAAAATTAAAATTTCAAACACTTTTTGGAAGTTGCTTCAAATGGCTTGAAGATTCATCTATCAGGTTGCGGCCCGGCATGTTATTTTAGACTCAAAATGTTTCAGATTTCACAGCTGGTGAACCATTCGGTTAAAAGATTGTTGTAGAACATGCAAAGATTGGTGTTCCCTTGAGAAAAGTTATCCTCGTTTTAATAAAGAAAAGAAAATTATAGAGGGCGTCAATTCCAGAGAAAACCAAGATTTTGCGGGTGCGGGTCCTTTCCACATTACCATCGATACGATTTACGATAGGGATTATAGCTTGTAAATAATTTATCCCCCCCCCGCTAGCAAACAAGAACCCTAAAAACCCGCCAAAAAGAATCATTCCGAATCCTCAATAACACGTATTCTTGTAGGCCAGACGCGCCGGACGCTCGGGCCGCAAGGGACCCACCGGTGGTCAGGGACCTCTTGGCTCGAAGGGACGCGATGGTGGCTGCGACCACTGCCCTCCCCCACGTACCCCACCAGGCTATTAAAGCCACGCTGCACAACCATTTTCCAATGTGCAATCAAGTTCCAAGCAATAAAAGTATTTATCCAAGAAAAAAAAGTGACGATACATTTGATCATCGGCCCCATCCATAGATGACTTCAGTGTACACGTCAATACACTTGTACTTGTAGATCCCGCAGGGGTATTGATATCTGGGGACTCGTAAAATATCCGGATTTGTACAGTAGTTTGCGGCAAAGTTGGCCAATTTGTCGCAGAACTGCTTGATTTCGCGGGTGAAGATGTGGTCGGTTTTCTGAATTTTGTGGTTTGAAATTTTCTAGTTAGGTTTATACATTTGCTTGCTATTATTACGTTGCTGTACTCTTAGCAGGGGGGACTAACTTTTGTTTTCAGCATATTAATATTAATATATTATTAACCTCTTAATAATAAATATTAGATTTTATAGTATTAACCTTTTATTTTTATAGTTTTTGATTCCAAAAATATTTGAAAACTGAAAAATTTTGAGCTTTTTGGTCATTTTTCATAATTTTTTGACCAAAAAGTTCATTTTCGAAAATTTTTAGTAGTTTTTGCAAGTTTTTTCCACCTAAAAACTATTTAGAATGTTCTAAAATGGTTTTCCACCCTGCTAACAGTCCAGTACCGCTATTACTATAACTTATTGTACGTATTTTACCTTTGGGAATGGAATCGGCTTGCTCGGCACTTCCGCTTCAGGGCATCTATCTTGGTATCCAAAATCAACTTTTCAATTTTAGGCGATTCCGCACACACCTTACGCAAAACTCGACGGCATCTTGTGCGTAGCTGTGAAACCGTAGAGGGTCCGGGCAGACAAATTGGAACCTATGTGTCAAGTTATTGAGTAAGACATAGCTAAACATCTACCTATCCTTCTCCTTCTTGCAATATCTTGTGAAATCGAGTCGGAAGCCTCTAAAACGGTAAATTATACAATTTTACCCTTGCCAATACCTGATCCGCGTAAAAAGATTCGTCTTCAATAATTCGCTGCACATGTCGACAAAAGCATCGCAAAACCCCTTGGTTTCCATCAGGGCTTGTACTGGGGGGATGGTGAAGCATGCGTTGTCGTATTCTTCTTTTAGGGTGGGGCAGGACTAGAGTAATATGGACAAATTTCGATGCTGGTTCAGTAGCGGGGGGGGGTTGTCAACCGCTGTTCTTGACTCCCACTATTTTTGTATTATATTATTTTGAGCTCTAATTAAAAGCTACCATTTTCTTTCGCAAATGGCGTTGAAACAATCCCGAGAAAGCGAAAAAATCGAATTTGGCTGGAAATTCCTCCCCCCGCAAACGAACCAGCACCCAATTTTGAAACCGTCTGTCAACTTACCGGATCATCATGCGCTTCGCGAGCCAACCGAAGAAATGCCGAGTCTTCGCCGGATAACAGTATCGGCTCACTTCGATTCCGCTGATTTTGCAATTTTTGAACTTTTTCGAACTACTACACATTGACGATTTTCATACCTGCAACCTGTCCATTCGCTCTCTCCTGACAGAATAAAGATGTCGGGTCCCTGAAGCACAGCTGGTCCGCTAATGAGCCAGCCGATGACGTCAGAATTAAGCCCGAGAAAAGCACCACCACACGCGCCATCATTGCCAATATGACCCGTGGCTGAGAGAAATTTCAGGGGGGAACATTTTTGCGACGAGCTGAGGGAGAAGCCACCTTTTATGAGCCTGGGCAATTTGTCACGAGCACTTTGCCTATCATTTGGCTATCGCAATGGCAATTGCGAACATGGCCGAGTCCTCGGAAAGTACCCGCTTGTTGACCTGCACTCCAGTGGAAACAGCGAGCCGACCGGTCGATCAAAGTACACGACGACCTTATTTCTTTCTTTGAACCAACTCGGCCGCCAGTATCCCACTTTCTTATCAATAGTGACAAAGAGCGGGTGAGCATTTTCCCCCGGGTCGGGCAATTTTGTGTTTTAGCAATGGCCTATTGGCCTCATTCGAATTCGCATTGCGCAACGCTTTTGCAGCTGTTTTGCCTGATCGAACACAGCAATGCCCTCTTACTGGCCGGGAGCACGAACCGAACACGAGCTCGTGTTTTTTTGGTGGTCGGGATTATGCAAAACGACAGCGCGCATAGGCTATCCCAGATCAGGCCAAATGCTGCCCCACTTTCCAGGCGGCCTTGAGCGGATACGAGTGAAAAAGTTATGCGTTCGCGCATCCGGGCTCGAAACTGCTGGTTTTAATAGCTCGATTATTTCCGTAAAGCTATCTAATAGTTTTAATAGCTGTAAGAAATTCATAATAATTCCATTTAATTAGTAGGTTTTATATTTAGAAAAAAAAGTTTTTTTTGCAATTTCCTATAGTTTCCGAACTATTTCTAACGACGGGCGAATGTCCATGGTTGTATTCTGAAATTCTCAACGCATGATTTGTGTTTTTTTTTGTTGGCAAGAGCCTTCGAATTGTAATTTTCAAATGGGTAAGTTTACTCTTTGGTTTTCGCTCGAAAAACCTAGAATCTTTGAAAGATAGAACGAGGATAGAAACTTTGCTGAAAAAAATAATTCAGAAATTTTTCTTGAAATTCTTGCGAATTACTTTTATCGACAAACGAACGAACTTGCTCTAGTTTCTTTGCGAAATTCCGCAAGCATCATTCGCCTTTTTTTGTTGGCAAAGGCCGATCACCCCACTAGACGATGCCGCCTGGGCACAGACGCGTTTTTTGCCCATTTCTCTCTTGTCCTCTCCCTCTCTACACCTCTCACTGCGTTGCCGAAATGCCGGCCAGCTCAAAACGCCCCACAGGGCTGTCGTTGCTCATTTTGATGGCCGTTCTCGCTAGCGACTTTCGGTTTTTTATTTTTTGCAGGGTGAGCGAATAGAATGGATTTAGACGGGATTGAAATCGATCCAGAAGTTTCAGAAAATATTTTAACATTTTGAAATGTATGCTGAAAAATCGATATTTGTGGGGTTTCCAATCTGGATTTGTCGAGTTTTTTACATTTAGGGGTGGTCAAAACCGGGTATACCCGGTAGAAACACTTCCTCTAGTTATATTTGAAAAATGAAAACTTGAGGATAAAAATTTGTTCCCCCATTCCTCCCCTGTGAATACTAAAAAACTACTAAAAAACGATAAAGTCTGATGCTTTTATTTTGTTCTTGTTCTTCGTTTATTTTCCCAAGCGATAACCGTAAATTGCAGGACTGCCTTTGTCCCGATGGGCCTCGTAACGGCGTTGGCCGACGGCGTGGGTGCACGTGAAGATGCGGTCCGGATCCTTCTCACCATGCTGGCAGGGTAATTTTGACATCTTTTTTTGGGATATTCCGTTTTAGTTACCCCCTCTCGGCCATTCATCGTTCGTTTTTCTACAACAAGCCGGCGCAAGTGCAACATTTCTTCTTCATAGCATCGGGTGTCCTTCTCTATCTCTTCAATTACGGTATGGCACCTTTTCTCTGTCTGATTTAGTGTATCCGTTCCAGGGCTTACCATCTACCACAGCTTGCTCTCGATTGTTTTCGCGTTCCTGATCACGAATTTCCTCAAGGGGAAGAATGAGGGTGTCATCGCCGCGCACGTCGCATTCCTGGTAGGGGTTGTTAGAGTGATATGAAATTTTTGTAGGGCCACTTGCTCATCGGATACTGGCACGCGGAAACGGATTCCTACGATATCACCTGGACGACGCCGTTCTGCATCATGTGCCTACGTTTCATTGGGCTCGTAATGGACGTCTACGATGGACAGCATTTTGTAAGGATTTGCTCAGTTTCCAATTTCTGCTTTAGGACACCTTGAAGGCTGATCAGAAACTGACGGCAATCCGAGACCCACCTGGATTGATCGAGGTTGCCGCTTATGGTGAGGTTTTATACACAACAGAAACTCTTGTTTTCAGGTCTTTTCTTCACTGGAACATTTGTTGGGCCCCAATTTTCGTTGGCTCGCTTCCGTGCCTTCGTTGATGGCAACTATTTGGACGAAAGTCGGCAGCCCAAATCCAGCGGGTAGATGGGATTTCGTTATTTATTTTTCTGACTTCAGATTGATGCCGTCGCTTGGCCGATTCGTCGCCGGCGTGACCTACCTGGTGTTGAATCAATGGGGAGCTGTATGGATCCCGGACAGCTATTTCAACTCCGAGGCATTCTTTGTAAGTGAATTGGTCGGCGTTTATTTCTCTTCCAGAATGCGTCGTTCTTCTGGCGCTGGACATGGACTGTGCTGTGGTTCCGGCTTACGATGTACCGATACTGTTCTGCCTGGTTGTTGACGGTATTTTTCCGCGACAAATTCATCTACGATAATTTGTAGGAGGGAGCGGCTATCTTGAACGGAATTGCTTACAACGGAAAGGATGAAAATGGAGTGGATAAGTAGGTTTTTGAACATGATTAAATTTTTTAACTTACATAAGGGATTTCTCACCGTTTATGAATGTTTTTTTTTCAGGTGGGATGGCGTCCGCGATCTGCACATCACTCGATGGGAGTTCGGACACGACTACAACTCTGTCGTTCTTTCCTTCAACTGCGGCACGAACACCTTTGCAAAGAAGTAGGGATTACTGTCAATTTCAAATGATATTCCATGTTAGCCACCTCTTCCGCCGTCTCCGATGGTTAAACAGCAAGCCGTTGGCTCATCTGACTGTGCTCATGTATCTAGCTGTCTGGCACGGCTACCATCTCGGCTATTTTGTGTTGTTCATCTTCGAGTTTGCTTGTGTGATTGCTCAGGATCAGGTAATTTCCCTTTTTATAAGCTCAACTACATTTTTGTAGCTTTATTCGCTGATCGACCGCACCCCTGGCTGGGCCGAACTGAATAAGCAGCCCTGGATGAGGCCGATTTGTTGGTTCATCGGCAAGGCGATCATTTCCTACTCCATGGGCTTCGCCTTCCTCACTTTTGGCCTCATCAAGACGAAGCAATGGATCTCGGTATCGCTATCAAGATTACCCGATCTCATTTTTCTTTCAGCCGGTGATGTCCCTGTATTTTATCGGCTACATCCTCTACTTTGTCGCATGGCCGATCACATTCCAAGTTCTGAAGGTAACCGCGTTTCTGAGAAATCAACGCTTTTTACAGCGAGTACTACCGCGAAAGAAGAAGGAGGAAAAGCTGACCGACGGGAAGCCCGAAGCCAAGAAGGAACTTTAAATTCACGAATCTCTGATTTCATACTGGTTGTTGCATATTCCTCATCAATAGCTGCTGTTTTTATCAATTCTCCCCACATCCCTTCTCGGCTTTGTCCCAAATTTTCCACACATGCGCGTGTATTTCACCAAACGCTGCCGGGGATCTCGTGCGTTTCCAAGTGTTTAGCCGTTCGATGCTCTCCTGTGATAGATCCCTATAATAATTATATGACGGTTATCAATGTGACAATGAATAGAATTTTATCCTCTTCAAATGTGCGACAAATTGGTACTTTCAAGCGATTACACCTCACAACCGAGCATACTTTTGCGGGGGTTTGCACTGCAGGAGTGTAAATACACGTATCGACCCAACATGTCAATGTATCACAAATTCGAAAAGCGATATTATGCGTGTGTGGAGGAGAGAGGTTTCTGCTGTACCACAGAATCAAAATTTGGAAAAAATTACTGGAAAGGGGTTAGAAATTTGTGGAGGGAAAATGATTATGCTTTCTTGTTTTCCTGTTCCGCATCAGCGACCATCTTGGCAAAAATTGTGTTTCGATCGGCGAGTAAGGTGTCTGGGGCGTCAAATTCGCGGATTTCGCCTTGATCGAGTACCATGATCCTGAATGAGGGGTTGTGATTTCGTTATTGGAAAACGTTTCGTACCTATCATAATCTAGGATCGTGTTGAGTCGATGGGCAATGGTAAAGACGGTACAGTCGGCAAACTGTTCCCGAATTGTTTTCTGAAATACAGAAGTTTTGAAAAACTATCGGAAAGCACCTGGATCAAACTGTCCGTCTGTAAATCGACAGCGGCCGTGGCTTCGTCAAGGACGAGGACCTAAGAGAAAGTTGAGACCTTTAATATTCACCAACCTTAGTTCTTCGTAGCAAAGCGCGTGCCAAACACACCAGTTGTCGTTGGCCAACACTAAACAGACACGCTCGTTCCCCTTTTCCAATAAATACCTAATATTCTCGCCTCCTTCCGAGATGACATGATCGAGGCCCCGATCAGTCTTGTCGACCATCTCCCGCAGATGAGATAATTCTAATGCTCTCCAGATTGCATCGTCCGGCGAGAGACCAAACGGATCCAGGTTGAAACGAAGTGTTCCCGAGAAAAGGACCGGGTCCTAAAGCAAGCAAATTGAAGGAGGCAAATCTCGACTTGCCTGAGGAATGATAGTGATGCGCTCACGCAAGTCGTGCAAGCCCATTTTTGACAAATCCTCGCCGTCGATCGAGATTCGCCCTTCGGCCGGCTCAATCATCCGGAAGAGGGCGAGCGCAAAGGAAGATTTGCCTGAATTTTATTAATAGCAGTCAGACAATCCCTACCAGCGCCAGTTCTGCCCACAATCCCGATCTTCTCGCCCGCCTCGACGTTGGCGGTGAAGTTTTGGAGGACGAGGTCGAGTCCCTCTCTGAAAATTCCAACAAAAATAATATAATTTTAATTTGTTACCTATTCATATCACCCAAAAATATACCTGTAACGCGTGGCGTATTTTACAAATTCCACGTTACCAGCACCGGGCCATCCCTTGGGTGGGTTGTACCCATCGATACGCCATGGCGCCTAAATTATAATTTTCATAAACTGATTGAATTCTTTTACCTCATTCGGTGTTTCGGTGTATTCCTTCACCCTTTCCACCGAAACCACATTCGCTTCGATTTCACTGATTTGACGGACGGCAAAGTTGAGCACCTCGGTGATCTGAAAAGGAGAAATTCGAAAAAAGAAAAGTGACGTACATTGAGCGCATATGACACGGAGACACCGACGATACCAGCGCTCGATGACCATCCCCATTCCTTGGAAAGGACCGAGAACAGAGCGGCGAAGAAAATCTGAATTTGGAATTGGAAAATCAACGTATTAAAGTTACCACGCAATTTCCGATAAACTCCAGTCGGATGGCCAGCCAGCGATTGGAGACGATATTCGGGTACTTGCAGCGGATGAAGCGGTCCACGGTTTCGCCTGATTTCTCGACGAAGCGATCCACCTATATTCACGCGTTGTAAATGTCACCAAAAAATTTAAATACCTTTCCAAAAGCCCGAATCGACGCGGCGCCCTGGATGCTCTCGCCGAAATGAGAATAGATTGGCGAGCGGTTGATGCCTTCGAGGCGCTTCAGCTGTCGTGAAGTGGGTACGTAGTAGCGCTAGAGAGATAAAATGGAATAAAAACAAATTAAATATTTTCTTACCAAAAACCAGATGTAGAGAGCGCCTAGCGGAATGATGACAACAGCAAAGATCGGGGTTGAGAACACGATAACGACCAGGGTGGAAAGAGCCTAAAACAATTTCGCTACTTGAGGCCAAGTGATACTTGTAGAATACACATCACAAAGTAACGGAAATTCATCGGGAGGAGCGTGTCGATCACTTCAATGTCCTAAAAATGAATGTTGGCCAAGCTGCGAAGAATTTATATACCTTGGCACATCGATTCAGAATTCGGCCCAGCGGTGTCGTGTCGTAGAAGGACATTGGCGAATGGAGAAGATTGACGATCAGCGGCTTGTGGAGACGACGGGATGCTAAATGGCATTCTAACGTTCGGAAAGCCAACAAACCGGATAGACCGCCATAAACATTGACCACCAGCGAGAGCAAGAAGAAAAGAGCTGAAAAACACTTGAAATTACTACGATACTTCAATATTTACATTCAGCCACGCCCAACGCTCCGTAGATGCCCAGCCGGTAGCCGAGACCCATCTTTGAGCCGGTATGGGATGGTTCGTTCTCATCAGACCTTGAAAAAATATCATTTTAATCACGAAGTCTAATCGCTCACCAAGCAGACAGCCAAAAACTGCGGACAATCTGGAACACCGAGTACATGGTGAAACCGATGGCGAACATCAGAGAAAGTCTGTAAGTGGCGGCACGGACGTAGTCGCGGTAGATGTTGATTTTCACCTGCGAGTACAATAAGTTAAAAGTATCTACAAAACACTCACCCGTCCTTGTTCGGCCTTTTCCTTTTGAATCAACTTCTTGGAGAAATCTTCAGCCGCCGATTTCGTGGATAGTACGGATACTTGCGTGTTTATCAACGGGCTAAAATGAACGTTTCGAAGATTTAGGAGACTTTTACCTCAGCTTTTGGCTTTCATCACCGGAGTCATCAAGCTGTTCTGAAAAACAATAAGTATTACGAAATACCAACTTTTTGGCTTCGGATATTTCTGGACAGCTTTTCCTCTCTTACCTTTTCTTTGCTCCGCTTCTATCGATATAGTATCCTCATCCTCGTCGCTCTTCTTCGATTTTAGCTAGAAATTCGAAAAGCTTAGCAGCGCGAGAAAAACAAACCTCGCTAACAAAATCCGCAAAAGCGCCGCCAATATCGACCAGCTCGTCGTAAGTGCCCTGTTCGGCAATTTGTCCGTCTTTTAGTACAATGATCGGGTCGGCGTTGCGGATAAAGGTGAGTCCGTGGGTGACGAGGAGGCGGGTCTTGTCCTTCAGCAATCCTTTCGGGCCAATAACCTTTAAAAGAAATATTTAATCAATTGAGGTTTCATAATACCTCGTCAAAAATGTGTCTGCCAACATGGGAATCGACAGCTGACAGGGGATCATCGAGGAGGTAGACATCACAGTCTTGATACACCGCTCTAGCCAGGGCCACTCGTGATTTTTGACCGCCAGAGAGGTTGATGCCCTAAATAGAAAAACAATAGATAGAGTTTCTTTTTCCAACCTTTTCTCCAATCTCCGTCATGTCACCATGTGGCAGAATCTTCAAATCGGGCTTCAACGCGCACGCCGCGATCACTTGATGGTATCGCCGTGCGTCATAGGGCCGTCCGAAGAGGATATTTTCTTTCAGCGTCAGATTCTGGATCCACGGTTGTTGCGGTACATATGCAACACGACCCCGGACGCCGATCAGACCACGCAGTTTGTGCATTTCACCTAGAAGAATTTTAGCTATTACTTGGCTCATAGAATACCTAGTAGACAGCTGACCAGCGAGCTTTTCCCGGAGCCAACACGGCCCACGACAGCAACAAGGGCGCCACGCTCGGCTTCCATGTTGATGCCTTGCAACCCAGAGGTCTAAAAGTTTTTATAGCGATGGATTTCCTGCTCTCACATTTCCTCCTTCTTCAACATCCCATGTCGCATCCACTTGGTTCATCTCCAGAACGCGTTTCTCCGCTGGAAAATGCAAAAATAACGATCCTAGCGAGGGTAGAATTGGTTAATCGAAGCAACCAAAAGCAAAACAATATTTTTGTGTTTACGTTTTAAGAATTTCCGATCTATGGTGTAGATCTCTGGGGCGGTACCATTTTTTGGGGATACTAAATTATTTTCCGTAACAGACAGGCTTGCGGAAAACAAACCATTGCTATTCTCATCACGATCCACCGATGCCGTGTCCAGCTCGTCGGCGATGAAGAATTCTTTGAGGCGCTTGTTCGAGACGATGGCCTAAAAACGGAGTTTCGAATCGAAGCTCAGCCCAACTTGGACAATTTGATTGATCAGCATCGCAATCATCGTCATCGGCGAGCGAAGCTGGTTGAAGAGGGTCAATGACACGAAGGCCACCTTAAAATAAAGATTATATTCATTTCCCACTTTTCCTCACTTGCGGTGTGAGTGCGTGAGCGCCAGAAGTGAGCGTGTAGGTAGCAAATGAGCACATCGCCACCTGAAGTTTAAATAAATTAAAACGGCAATTTTCTCTTACGATGAACGGGCTGGCCGTGTTGAACGAGTCGAGCACGTTGCGCACGGTGGCCGCCTTTTTGATGAGCGACAGCTCTTTCTGGCGGATCTCGTCGATGTGCTCTTCCATCGGCACTTCCCAGGCGTAGAGTTTGATCACCTAAAAGGATCATTATTCACCAAAAAAAGCTTTTTACCTTGATCCCGTTCAGCATTTCATTCACGAGCTTTGTGCGCTCGTCTTTCCATCGCATTTGCTCAACCTAAAGGAATTGACTAGCTTTTAAAAAAAACTATTTTTTTACCTGCCACTTCCGGACAAACATTGAAGAGAAGATGTTGACCGGAAGGAAAACCAACATCACGACGACTCCAGGAATAGCGGAATATCCAAGCGTGTAGAAGAGATAGGCGAGGGCGAGCGTTATCTGAAATTAACTCATATGAAAGCTATTAATTTTTTATCCATTTACTGAGTGGCTAAATCTAAAATCATACCTGATAGGGGCAACTCCACAATTGTTGAATCTGAGGGGTAATCATTTGGAATCGCTCGACATCGATGGCCATTAAATTCACGATTTCGCCGACCGTCTTCGTCTTCCTCGCCGAATTTGAGAGTTTGAGTGTCTACAAAAATGATGTAATTTGAGCAGCACCTTACTTTTTGGTAGACAGCAGCCGTTAGCACAGTTTGGAACTTGATCCCCATCCGGAACATGACGTAAAAGTAAGCGTTGAGCACAAATGAACGGCACTAAATTTGTTTTGTTTCTTTCTAAAGTCGTGGCAACCTCAGAGGCACCAAACATCAGAAAAGCATAGGCGATACCGCGCCAAAGCGGCGCGTCCTTTTCCGAGATGTAGCCGATGAGAACACTGAAAATCGGCAATCAACCCAAGCTCAAACCAATTACTTGAGCAAGAAGGGGTTGGCGAATTGCAGCGTGTCGGAGATGATCTTCAGGCCGCCGGCCGAGAGGAATTCCCACTTGAAGATGTGGAATAGCGCGGCGATGACGGAGGGAGGGCCCGGCATCGGGGCACTAAAAATGGGTTTTACCATGGTATTCAGCCAATAATATCAAATTTTATAGACCTACCCGTCAGCATGCGCTTTTGCCTTTTGTTGGTAATCTAAAAAAAAAATAGTAGGCATCTATTAAAAAAAGCTAACCATAAATCTTAGGCTCCCAGACGTTGTTCCACTGCCGGGATAGATATTCTGTCGTCGAGCCCTGGAGAAAACTTTAGACGAGTTAAAGTAGCTTTATTACCTCATTCAAATCGTCGAGATCATCCAATTCGAGGTCTTTCTTGGCGCCGATACTCGGTATCCGATTGAACCACCTAATGAGGAAGAGATATCCTTTATCTGCCAAAAAAGGTGACTTACCAAAGTGTAAGCCGTGAGAAAAACGAGCTCTCCAGTTCTGGGCAACGTCGCTAAACGTATCGTTTGCTTACTAAATTAATCTAAATTTACCTTCTCCCCAGAATATTCCATATTTCGCGGATCGGCCCACATCATGACAATTGTATGGATGAAAAGCAGCGGGCAGTAAATCAGGTAAAGCACACATCGGAACATTTCACCATCCGGAACCTAAAAGAAAATTATGACATTTTAGAAAAGGCAATACCGTATTCTCGTGCAAATGCCGTGCCCATTCGTACATCTCAGGCAGGGATAGAAGGGTGAAGAAGGCAGAGGTAATATGGATAATACCCGAAGAGACCATGCCACATCGTACCCGCACTCCGTGAGAGATCGTCATACCGGCCTAAAATTTTGGCACTGGATTCACATAAAAAGCCACTTACCCATGTGACGGCCAAGAGGGCTGGATACAAATAATCGGCAGCGTGTTTACCATCGGAATTGAAAAGCACCCAGATGAAGAGAGCGAACGATACCAAAGCAAGAGCCAATGATGACAACTAAAAAAATGACAATGGTACTGGACTGTTAGTGGGGGGGGGGAGGTAGAGATGTAGCTACAGCTAGCTAGAAAGTTTTTAGGCTTTTATATTGATTTTTGTAGTTTCTGATTAATGAAAAACCGGAAAGGACTGAGAACGTGGAAATTTTTGACCACTTTCAAAATTTCTAGCCAAAAAAAAAATTCGCAAGGACTTTCCATACCTAAAACGGTGTAAAAGGCTACAGGGAGGATGGGTATCTCGCTATTGATACCCTAGAGATGTCAGGCCAAAGTTACACCCCCCGCTAACAGTCCAATACAAAAAATAGACGAAGTAACGCACCCCTTTCAGCCAGATGCTGGTACCGAGTCGCAGCGGGGGATATCGTTGAGCATTTCGTGACGATTGGATGAGGAAAGCCTGAATTTAGAGTTTAACTAAACAAAAAGAAATAGCTTGCAGGGGACAGTATCCAAAAGAAGAGCGTCGGCACCCAGACGAGTAGTGTGTGCTGTACACAAACGGAGACGTTCGGCAGGCCCGTGGAGAAGCTTGAGCCCTGAAGAAAAGAAAATAGAAAGTTCGTCGGCAATTTCCATACCGACAGATCGACGTCGGGGCCGCAGGTGCGAGATATCCACTCCGCGTGGACCATCCCGTTCGAGGAGGAGGGCCTAAAAATTGAATTTTGAAAGAAGCAGAACTATGAAAGAAAGAGAACCAAAAAACCACAAAATATCGAGCAATTAGAGGTGTCAAGATGAGGCCCTGGAACCCGATTGGCTGCCAAAAAAGGAAAGCCTATTCGCGTTATCGCATTTCCGCAGGGCAGTCTAGCAAGGCGCTTGTAGGGAATGTATCTTTTGGGTTCAGACGGTCAATAATGACAATAATTTCGAAATGTTTTGAGATTTCGATGACCAAATAGCACCTGCATCAAATTGATCGGGGTGTCCCCATTTTGTTTTTTTTCTAATAAAAAAGGCCCTTCCCAGGGGCGCGCTGCTAAAGCAGACTTCAGAAAAAGATCGTAGCGAGGGTCGCGAAGACTTTCGGAATAGCCACGTTTTCTATAAAAATAACAAGAATCATAAAGTTAAATTATGATCTAACACACCGTAAATAGTAATTGGTACTCGACTTTTGGCAGGGGGAAACTCATCTTCCCCTGTACGGTCCTATAACAAAATATAAACCATTGTTAGAACATTATAGAAAATTTCTCGCGAAAAAAGCTCGTAACAAATCTATGAAATTTTTCGGAAATTTTTGACTTTGGTACAACTTTTTTTCAAGTCAGTCGCTGAAAACTAAAGTCATTGAAGAAACCCGGTACTGACCCCTTTTATCGTAGAAAATGACGTGATTCGCTAGATTCGAAACCCAGCAACCGCACTTGCCCCCTCCGCCGAATTCTGAAACTTGGGTTCCTCTTCTTTTTGTCGAGTTTTTCCGGCCGCGCCCTCCATCTACCACAATTATGCAAAGCCTTCGGGCGGTCTGTAGACTCGATTGTGCACGATTTTTGATGCGACAATGCCGGTGCTCAAGTTTATAGAGATTAAACCCGGAGGTACAAGTCGGGCGGTGGATTGGGGTGCTGGTTCGTTAGCGGGGGGATAAACAGTTTTATGCCTTTTTTTAAATGGTTTTCTTTGCTAAAAAAGTCGTTATAAAAGCGTTTTGAGAGTTGAATTTTTGATTTGACAAAAAATCCATTTTTTTTGTGTTAATTTTTTTAAATGGTGGAATGTCATTAAAAACCATATTTCATCCTAGGCCGCCGACATAAACATACGAATCTATTTTTATCGAATTTGCGGTATTTTCCGATTACTAAAAAATTATAAAGACCTTTTTCAATTGAATTTTTGACATAAAAATTAAATTTTAACAATTTCATAAACTTTTTATAACTAAAAAAGGGACGTCGATGTCGAAGGTGGCGACGGAAATAGGAAAACGGTGGGGCTCCCGCCAACGAAGAAGCACCGGGATTCAGATGAAGCTGCTTGTGAAGAGGCTGCATGCAGAAACTGAATTGGTTCTTTGGAGTATTTGTGCCCTAGCTGCCAGGGGCCACTGAACGCTTTTTGGGACTCACGGCTGGCCGGCCTTGGGGCATGGCATGACTAGAAACTAGAGCAACTAGAGGGCCAGCCGGAGAAAAATCGCTCTCCGGGAATAAGCCGCATGGTGATAACTGGGCGGCCCACACACAATTTGTTCCGTTGTGCCCCAATCGGTTCACTTTCACAAATCATAACCCCAAACTAAACAAGTGATTCTGCCCCCCCTTCCCCCCGCAAGTTTGTGACGTCATTTCTGAGGTACTGGACTGTTAGCGGGGGGGAAGGGCAATCTAGCAGGTGTTTTGCGTCTCATAGTTTGTTTTATATTGTTTTTGGTTGTTTTTTATTACAAAAAATCTGAAATTTTGAAGAAAAAACTTTGAAAATTTCATATATTTTTTAGTAAAAATCAAACATTTTCGGAGACTATCATTATTCTAGCAATTTTCTGTACTAAAAGCCACGCAAAAAGCTAGCAAACTGTTGTGTATTCAGGTAGTGGGATCCTATAGCCTATAGGGTCGCAATACCGCCCCCCCCCCTACCGTTAACAGTCCAGTACCAGTTTGTAACGCAATTTCGAAAATTCTGAAGAAATAATATACAATTTATTCCTAGTACAGATGACACCTTGGGAAGAGGGAAACTCGTATATTTTTGCGTGCACAGAATCGAACAGACAATTTGACTAGAAACCGTTGACCTAAATAAAAATACACTATACAATCTAGCACGAAAATTTGGCGCTTGCGCGCACGGTACGATCGTTGTGGAGCTGGATTTTCCGGTGGTTCCTCGACACGATCTTTCGCCACAGCTCCAGCTGAATTTATTGGATTTTTTAGCCCTGGGATTTCCCTACCTGGCCGGCGCTAATATTCATAGCATCAGCGCATATATTCCAGATGACGCTCTCCAGATAGGGCGGCGTCGTCAGCGAGCCGGGATAGGTACAAAATGACGATGTTTCTGTAGATTTCAGCTTTTTTCTAAAGTAACATCAACTTACCTGGCAGCATTTTTCTCAGGTTCAGCACACAATCCTTGGGGGTTTTGTTTTTGAGGGCCGCCGCCACGGCATCACCAAGTTCTTGCCAGATTTGGTCTTTAGAAGCGGTTATTTCCTAAATTTTGCCGATGAATTTGCATAAGCCGAAAGGTACCTTTAGGAAAACACCAAGAACTGCGAGGCCATCCGGCTTTTCTGCCGCTTTGTCAAAATCTCCATATTTGGTGGCAAAGAAGACGAAATGGACCTGAAAAGCGGCTGGAGGCTCTAGGCTGGATTACCTCAGCCGGAAAACTCTTCAAATCGAGTAGATGCTCGCTGCCACAATCCGAAGATCCGGCCCAATGGGCGTGAAATTGCGCCAGAACGTATTCGTTTTTTAAATGTGGCCCAGTTAGTTCTAGAAAAGACCATAAAATTCCAAGGTGGGCTCCACCGATTTTGTGCGAATCCGAGAAATCAGCTCTCCAGCCGCCCTCGTGGATTACCAACGTGAATTTGGAGCGTTCAGGCGCACTCACTTTCAAGCCACCATTCTGATGGGCTCAATTAGAAAGATAAAATCAAGGTTTACCTGTCTTAACGCCGTGCTGATCAGCAACTTTTTACATTCAATATTAATCGGTGACTGCCGTTTGCCGAAATCTACAAAATAAAAAGACCAGATTAGCGGCTAATACCCTTCTTGGTAGGTTTCTTCGGCGACGGCTGCTTTTTAGTCACCTTCGCACGTGGTTTCCCCGCGGGTTTCACGCTGGATTTGGCCTTCTTTGTGGGTTGCTTTTTTGGCTTGGCCGCGGCCGCCTTTCTCGGCATATCTAAATGTCTATTTGTTTGAATTTAAGGCTGAAACTGGGGCAGTACGAGGGGGACATTATCGGAAAACCAGGGCCTTAGAAAAAGGGAGGGAGGCCCCGAAGAGGGCAGTGCCGGGCCGCCCTCCCGTAATATTTGATTAGGGCCCCACGCAAAAAACGACTTCTCCGGGCAATTTCCTGAATAAATAGGTGTCCATGGCCGAAAATCGATTCAACGTAACCTGAGACTATGCCAAACGGCTTGCCGATGATAAGCGACAGCTGACAATTTTTCTGACTCACTTGAACTCCGCTGCAAAATAAGCAAACATCAAGGAAATCGTGGCGGCATCAGGCTGGCTATACTTTTATTCGCATGGGCAGCAAATTTCGACGCTATTACACAGATGTCATCCCGAATTTTGGCGTCCGGGGGCCAAAACCACGAATCCATATGCCCTCCTCGTTGGGGCCCTCCACTGGGAGTGTACTCTTTTGCCGCAAATGCCCAAAGCCCTCTCTTTCTGACTAATACGCTGAAATGTGGACGAGCGTATCAAATTTATCTTCAAACTTAACAAAGTGTTCAACAAAACAGGAATGGTATAACAAATTTGACAACTAGGCAAATCGTGGTGACCGAAATGGGTCAAGGTCATGGCAGGTGAGAGTAAAACAATATTTGCAAAGGTTTGTCCAACTCGGAGATCAGTGCCTAAACAAATAACGGAATCTCATGCCTGATCCATGGTGGCCGGATCTTCTGCTGGCGTTGGTCTCGGCGGCAACTTCTCGATTTGTGCACGGAATTCCGGGACTTGGAGCAATCGTTGGAGGGCGCATTTTGGAGCCTAGAGAAATTGATTCATCAAGATTTAAGGTATAAAAACTAGATCACGAGGAAATTTTGTTTCAACTCCAAAGCGAACGTTGAGATACGAAACTGAAAAAAAAATCAATTTTCCCAGTTAACCCGTACGGCCGTATAACGAAATATCATTTTATAGAATTTTGCACCGGTTTGAAGTATTAGAGGATCAATAAACCTCCTAAAAATTTGCAAACTTTCGCAAAACCTACTGAATTTTGATACTAGGTTAATCGAAATCGAATCGAGGACCGACCTCGAGATACCAAAGTAAGAAAAAAAAATCAATTTTGCCCACTAACTCCATGACGCGACCTAATAACGAAAAATATACGATTTTATATGGATTTGCCCACCTTTAAAACATTAAAAACTCGTATCACCAGTCAAAAAATTTGCAAAAATCCTCAAAACCCATCAAAAAAATAATATAAAAATCCACTATATTTTGAACACCCTAAATACTGTCTTTAAAGTCCTACCAAAGCGCTGCTGGGTACATTATCGAGACTGTGCACCGCGACGGCTCCCTTCACCGAATGTTTCGATTCACATCGGAGGAGACATAGCCGCTGGAATGCTGAAAAAAAACTCATTTATAAATAGAACTGGACAATTTCTTGCTTTGCTTATAATTAATAGCTCCCACCTGAAAGATAGGTTTTCGCGATACTCGGCTTGATGCCGAACAAAGTGAGCATATTCATCGCGTCATACGGGCCCCGTATATCAATAACCTAAACCTAATTTCCGGAATTTACAAAAATACTCACATCTCTCGCGCCGGACGCGAAAATGATTCCTTTATTAGCCAGCGAATGAAACAAAGATCGCCCATTTGCCAAGACCATCCGCCTCGAGTGACTGTCGCCCAACGCAGGTACGTAGGTTATCTAAGGAAAATACAGGTCAAGAAAATGTACGGACCTCAAAAGATACTCCCTCTTTTTGCAGCGCTCTAATTTGTCTCGAAAACTTCATCCATTCTACCTGAAAATAAATTGGATACAGCATAAAAATTACCAACCCTTTCCGTTGCTTCATAGGTGATAATGTCAAAGCTGTCGCACTTTCTCTGAAGAATATTGAAGATCTGGAGGTCGCCCGGACGAATCGCCAACAAATCGTACTACAAAAAAAAACATTAATTTCTGGGTAAAAGCAACCTTTTTCACTTGCGGATCCATAAACAAATTATGGACGTAGTCGGCATCATTGAGTGTAACGGTTAGCCTCCTAAACACAAACTGAGAAAAAATTCAACCCTTACGAGAATTGTCTCAATCGACGTCCGTTGTTTTCCAATTGTTTGCTATCAATTTTCGAGAGGTCGACAAGAAACGGATCCGGGATTCCCACAGCTGAAAGCAAGAAAATAATAACTATGAGGTTTTCCAACCATTTTTCTGCTTCTTTTTCTTCTTGGGCTGTGGCTCCTCGGGCTCGTCGTCTTCCTAAACAAGGTTGAGGACAGATTTCGTTTTATACGTGCAATTCCGGCGCAAAATGATCACCGATGTCGCGGTTAATAACGAAGGTGTCGTAGCCCATCAAGACGGCCCGTTGGGCCAATTTAAGGGTCAGAGCTAAATGTTTTGATGCTGGAACTATTTCCTAAAAAAACCTGGACTGCCGGAATGGATCAGGTTCATCTCGGCAAACTCGAACTGCCGCGGGGAAATTGAGATCGGTGGGGCGGCCATTTTCTGAAAGGTTTACTTTTGATAAATCAAAATCGGAGTAGCGAAATGTGTATAAGGTTTTCCGAAATTTATAATTTTTTCGAGATTTTTGGTCGGAAAAATGTCGGGTCAGTACGACGCGATACAATAGACAGTAAATAGATTACGTAATTGGATGCCTGGACCGTTTTTTAAAAATAGATAAAAGAACAATAAAAAAAAACAGAAATAACTAAAAATTCGCAAACAAAAAGTAATTCCTTTCCTTTTAGACAAACTTCCCCCGGGTTTTGAGGCCACAGTTTGCCCGTGTGCTCTCTGAATCACACAATGTTTTCGGTGTTTTGAATAAAGTGTTGACGGAGACTTTTGTGATGCGATAATTTATTTCGTTTGGGCTTATTTCTAAGCGCGGCGAGACTTTGGTGGGCAGGGGCAGTAGTTGGCGTCTTTGCCCTGGCTTCCGTTCTGTCCGGGCTTTCCGGGGGGTCCGTCGTTGGCGGGCTAAATGGGGTTTTGAAGGTTTAGTCTTGAGGATGAATAAAAATACAGTGAAGCTCATCAAGTTAAAATGAGCACCAACCTTTCCTGGCTGTCCAGGGGGTCCCTCGGGTCCATCTTCGCCGTTCTCTCCATCAGTGCCAGGCTCGCCAGCCTTTCCAGGTTCTCCAGCGGGTCCGGTCCAGCCGGGTTCTCCCTGAGGTCCGGGCTCACCAGGTGATCCCATAGTTCCATCGCGTCCAGGATGTCCATCTTCTCCATCAGTTCCGGGCTGTCCGGGCATTCCTTGGTCTCCCTCCTCTCCGGAAGTGCCGGGTTCGCCATCGGCTCCAGGGGGTCCAGCCTCTCCGACGGAACCGGGGAATCCAGGGTTACCGGGTTTGCCCTCGGGTCCTGAAAGTGCAGATTAATATTGTACTGGAGAACATATTCGTAGGATTCTAGGCTCTGATTCATTAGCGGGGGTGGAGAGGTTCACAGTGGGGGAAACTAACTTTTTCCAATTTTCCCATGGGCGCCATGAAAATATGAGCTTTTTAATAGGATTTTGCGCTCTTTTTGGTTATAGAATCTTATAAAAATTATTAAAACTCGAAAAGAATGGTTTTTTTTGGGTCTAAAATGTATAAAAATAGGCCAAAAATTTCAAATTCTTAATTTTTTTAAGCGATTTTTATGACTTTTAATAATCAGAAGCTACGAAAAACACTATAAATTTGGTATATATATATTTTTTGGGTTTCCTGGAGAAAATTAGTAGCTGCCCCCCCCCGCTAATGAACCAGCACCGGAACCTAGTTTCATACTTACCAAGAGGTCCAGGGGGTCCAGGTGGGCATTGGATGCATCCTCCGGGAAGATCGTGGGTGACGGCCAGGACAATACCGGGCGTTCCGGAGCGGCCATGGTCTCCATCGGGTCCCTGGTCTCCACGCTTTCCGGGAGGTCCAGGAGGTCCGGGTGGGCCAGCAGGGCAGCCCTAGAAATGAAGGTGAGCAAATTCTCCTGCTATTTTCATCCTTTCCAGAAGCTCGTGCTCACCTGGGAGTTGGCGGCGCAGTTGCACTGTGAGTGCTGTTGGGCCTGCCTCTTGTGACGGAGAATCGAGGCAAAGTCGACGTGCTTACTCTCGCCGTTCTGGTTGACTTGGAAGGAGAGGATTCGCACCCACGTGTCTTCAGAGAGCGTGCGGAAGTCGCCGAGACCGTCCATGATCTGGAGATTCAGACAGGTAAAATCAGTTCTTTCGCGTTATCGGGGGGGACCAAATTTTTTCTTTTTTCTTCAGGATCTAATTTTTCAAATATAAATAGTGGAAGTGTTCCTAAATGGTTTTTTACTATTTTTAAACGTGAAATTTACAAATTGTTATTAAAAATATCAAAAATATCGATTTTTCGACCAAGAATGGCGGTTTTTTTACCAAAATTTCGACTTGTTTAAGGTTTTAGTTAGTTTTTCTAGTATGCTATTACTCTTTTAATCTATTGTCAGTAGTCTATTATTGTATTAAACAACTAAACTGACCTCGTCGTGCATGCGGTCAATGTCGGAGACGATCGTCTGGATGGCGATGAGGGCTGAGAGGGTGGCCACGAGGGCCAATGACGCCCCGACGGCTACACCGATCGACTAAAGGCGCTTGATGAGGCAAGTTTTGATAGAATTTTATATTTTTCTTTAAGGACTAGCGTTTTTATGGCCAAAAAGGGTATTCTATTCCAGAAAGATTGTTGTTAGTCTTTGTAAACACACAATTTAGACTTTAGCCTATTTAAAACTTTTAAAATAATGCTTTTTAGATAAAAACGTCTCTTCCATTGATAGTCTAGTTACGAGGTCATTTTTATAGCGTTTTAAACAAGAAATTCTTTAAATTAGATCTTTTAGACAAAACGAACCTTCATGAATGCTGAGAAGCAGATGCTCAACCGGGTACCCCGATCCGTTTCCTTATATCGGCGCGTCGACGGCCCGTTTTTGTCGTTTCCACCCGAATGCTGGGGCAAAAACGGGCCGCCGCCCCCGGCTCGCCAGCAAAAACGGGACACACCACCCCGAGGGGAGACCGAACTCGATAGTCAGCCTGGCCGCCGAGTCTTCGAGGCAACTTTTTAGGGTGGTGCCGGTTGAAGTGCGCGGAGCATGAGCAGCCATCTAACAAGGGAAGTGCACGACCGGCCCACGAGAAATCGACACGAGACATGGTGGATCTGATAGAATCGGACACGGGGATTCCGAATCTGCAATCAGAATTTGCTAAATAAAACGGAGAAAAAAGTTATGAAGCTTCAAAGTTGGTAAAATCGCCCAAAATCGGACTTTTATGGGCCTGTAAAGACCCAAGGAATCGAAATTTGCCACAACCCATTAATGCATCTTGTTCAGCAGAATCTTGTTCAGCATCTTCTTCTTTTTCTGCTGAACAAGATGCACTAATTCTTTTCTCCTCAATTCCGTTCCCCCGGTTTTTAGGGGCGCTTAAAGGTACCGTTTTTGGCGATTTGGCCAACTTTGATGCTTCATAACTTTTTTCTCCGTTTTATTTAGCAAATTCTGATTACAGATTCGGAATCCCCGTGTCCGATTCTATCAGATCCACTATGTCTCGTGTCGATTTCTCATGGGCCGGTCGTGCACTTCCCTTGTAAGCCGTCAAATAGCCGGAATCGGGAATAGGGTCAACGCGGAATTGGAGGGTGGATGTGATATTATGGGTATAAAGTGTTGGAATTTGCAATTAGAAAAATAAGATATTTTGATTATCTGATTATTAGACAAAAATTAGACATGTTGGAAGTATGGCACGTAATGGCAAGTCGGGACTTTGGTTTTTAATAGCTAAATTTAAGCGTAGAGAACACTTGGATACGTTAAATTCCTGTTTTTATCGCTAACAGAGCGGAGCTAATGTGTATTTTTGCGCCTATGCCACCTGCCACCAAGTATATATTCTAATAACCTTTTTATTAGTTTTTATTGCCAGGAAGTTTCAAAAAAGAGAAATTTTGATAATTTTTAGCATTTTTTGTTCATTTTTCATCAATTTCCGAATAAAAATTGTAGATTTTTGGAAAAATGTGTGATTTTGATGCGCTTTTTACCTTTAAAAACCGTTTACATGCCATAAAAATGGTGAATATTGCGTTCAAGGGCCGTGCTATTCGTCTGGATTACTAGGAAAAGCCCTCCCCCTCGCTAACAGTCCAGCGCCAGACCCTTACCGTCTTATCTTTTGACAACATTCGTATTATTTTATAGGTTCGCGATACCTATAAATACAAATCTTTCTGGTTTATGCAGACCGGATGGATCGGATGACCCCAAAGTTGGTGGCGGGCAGTTATGCGCGCGGGAGTGGAAAGCGCATTGTGTGGGTGCCCCCTATTTCAAGGCCACAGTCTTCTTCTTGCCCTTCAATCCGAGACTCATCCTATCGTCCATCCATCCCAGATACTTTTTCTTGATCTTTAAAAGCATACAACTTACAACTTTCTACTTCGTTCGAAAACCGGGTTCTATTTCGTTAGCGCGGGGGGGGAGGCTACTTTTCTTCATCCCCGATCCATGTCAGAAATCACAGATTGTTTTTATAGCCTGTTTAGTAGTTTCCGCACACTTTATAAATAAATTAAAGATCTTTCTTTAATTTAAGATAATTTTTACGCTAAAAATGTTGGCTATTTTCGCCCAAGTAGCCAACATTTTAGAAAATATTAATGTTTTATGGCTTTTTTTGTATGTCTTTTTTTCTGAGGATCTAATTTTTCATTTAGAAATAGTTCAATTGTTTCTAAAATGTTTTTTACTATTAATGTGAAAAATTTACAGCTTGTTTGTATAAACTATCAAAAATATCGATTTTTCGAGCAGATATGGTCAATTTTGGCCAAAATTTCGACTGTTGAGAACGCTATATATTTAGGTAGTTTTTCTAGTTGAAATATAGATATATTTTACTAAAAACACCATTAAAACTTCTTATTAGTTACTAGAAATTTGACTTCTACAAAAAGTTCGGGCTCTCTCGATAACCCCCCCCGCTATGGTACCAGAACCGAACAACCGTTTCTGAAGCCACCCACTACTCCCTCCCAAAAGATAGAAGACGTGGCAGTCAGTTTATATAAACATTGTGAATGCATGAGAACCGAGGGAGGTCATCACGGAGTCGCACATCACGTGACTTCGACCCCCTGCCAATGCACAATTGGCCCCACTCTTCGGAGTCGTTTCAGCTATTTGGGGCCCAGCCCGGAACAATTGAATTTTCTGTCGAGCCGGGCGCCGAGCTGGAAGCCATTTTGCTCATGGTGCCACGGGCTAATGTGTCGCTTTTGGTGTTGGTGGAATTTTGGAACTGGGCCGACGACTTCGACAAGGACGGGTCTACAGCCTGTAGATGACTTGTATATCATAAAAATATCTAGAAATCCAGCCACGTTAGTTTTTTCATATATTTCATCTGATTTGTCAAATTTGGATCTTATTAATGGGAATAGCGGTTACGGTTTCACTTTATTTTTTATTCCTCAGTATTGAACCCTACAACATTTCATTAAAAATCGATTTTTAGGTCGAAAAATGGGTTGTTTTTAAATCCAAAATGACGAAAATGTCGACTTTTTTCAAAAATGTGCAAACTTTTTTCGCAAGTGTTTCTGTCTCAAATGCAGTTTATTATTCTAAAAACAGTATAAAAACACTCTATTTTTGTTTTTAGACCATCTTGGAGTCATGCGACCCGTTCCCTCCTTCCCCCGCCCCCCGCTAATGCACATGAACCAACTATCGCAACCATGCGAAATAAGCGTTGTTTGCCAACTTGCAATTTCCAATTAGCTTCCGTCTATAGTCCATTACGCGCCGATAGACACCGACAAATTTCTAGACTTTGCAGCGAATTTCGACCAAAATCCCATCGACTATCCGCTAGGATCGATTCAATTAGAAAGAGCTGGGAAGGGCCCTGGTGGGCCCTTCTCTGGGCCCTTCTCTGGGCCCTTCTTTGGGCCCTCCACTTTTCCCCTCCACTCTACCCAATGCCCTACATAGGCCATTTATCTGCGCTATCCCCCCGGCAAAACGGGACACCATTGTTTTCTTTCGATGCACCGAAGCGGAAACGGGTTAGCGCTCGGTTTTGTATTCGTCGGCTAGCAATGAGCATCAGAAAAGAAATTCTAGACCCCGAACTAGTATGTTTTGTTATCGATCTGCTATTTATAGGACGGTTTTCGGTACTTTTGCATTATGGGTGGGGGAGCAGAAAGTTTTCCTGTATTTTCTTCCTATATTTCATTCATATTTAGATGGAAAAACGATTAGAGGAAACATAGAAGTCCGCTTAAAAATGTTAAAATTTGGCCAAAATTGGTCGTTTAGACCGGAAAAGTCGAGGACTTTCGATATTTTGCAGTTCGCTATTAAAATTACCAGATGGTTACAGTCGCTTCGCGACTGCAACCATCTGGCCTTCGGGCTACCCTACATGTCCCACTCCACCACATCCTTTCCCACCTCCATCAACACTCCCCCACAGCCGAAATCCCCTTCAAAAACTACCTTAATACCTTCCTGATGGCTTCAGATACCCCCCATGGCTGAAATCCCCTTCAAAAACTACCTTAATACCTTCCTGATGGCTTCAGATATCCCCCATGGCTGAAATCCCTTCAAAAACTACCTTAATACCTTCCTGATGGCTTCAGATATCCCCCATGGCTGAAATCCCCTTCAAAAACTACCTTAATACCTTCCTGATGGCTTCAGATACCCCCCATGGCTGAAATCCCCTTCAAAAACTACCTTAATACCTTCCTGATGGCTTCAGATATCCCCCATGGCTGAAATCCCCTTCAAAAACTACCTTAATACCTTCCTGATGGCTTCAGATATCCCCCCATGGCTGAAATCCCCTTCAAAAACTACCTTAATACCTTCCTGATGGCTTCAGATACCCCCATGGCTGAAATCCCTTCAAAAACTACCTTAATACCTTCCTGATGGCTTCAGATATCCCCCATGGCTGAAATCCCCTTCAAAAACTACCTTAATACCTTCCTGATGGCTTCAGATATCCCCCATGGCTGAAATCCCCTTCAAAAACTACCTTAATACCTTCCTGATGGCTTCAGATACCCCCCATGGCTGAAATCCCCTTCAAAAACTACCTTAATACCTTCCTGATGGCTTCAGATATCCCCCATGGCTGAAATCCCCTTCAAAAACTACCTTAATACCTTCCTGATGGCTTCAGATATCCCCCATGGCTGAAATCCCTTCAAAAACTACCTTAATACCTTCCTGATGGCTTCAGATACCCCCATGGCTGAAATCCCCTTCAAAAACTACCTTAATACCTTCCTGATGGCTTCAGATATCCCCATGGCTGAAATCCCCTTCAAAAACTACCTTAATACCTTCCTGATGGCTTCAGATACCCCCCATGGCTGAAATCCCCTTCAAAAACTACCTAAATACCTTCCCGATGGCTTCAGATACCCCCCATGGCTGAAATCCCCTTCAAAAACTACCTAAATACCTTCCTGATGGCTTCAGATACCCCCCATGGCTGAAATCCCCTTCAAAAACTACCTAAATACCTTCCCGATGGCTTTAGATGATTTAAATAATTAATTAACATAATTAAAAAGTATTAAAAAGTATTAAAAAGTATTAAAGTAACTTCAAAAGCTATTTGGGCGCGGGAAGGGGCCTGGGGAAGAGGGGCGAAGAGAAAGGGGGCGTGGCCTCCCGGGAGAGGGGCCCCCACTCGTTTTATTAAGGCGCCACTTTTAAAGTTAATTTTAATAATTTTAACAAAGACTTTTTCATAATTTTTTTATCAGTTTGGGGGTTTCTGACCACGCTCTATCCGAATCCGAAGAGAGCTAAGCTCTAGCTCCTTTCCCCTTCGAGTTGAATTCGGCTTCAGACGGACGGACGGACAGACAGACGCGTCAAGAAAATTATTATAGTTGATTGATTGAAAAATAGAGGAAAATAATACATAAGCAAGTTCTGCGATCAATCTTGGATCACTGGAAAAGGCTTCGTTCCCCTCGACGATAGAGAAAAAAAATTTGGTTGTCTCCTATTTTTAGATACTTTACAACGTTTTTTTCGCATTCGAGGCGCAATTTCGCTGCGTAATTTAGATGGGCACGCAATTTGATAGTTCATCTTCTTTCTATATTATTTTTTAGCATATTTCCTCTTGTTTTTTAGAGATTTTACAACCTTACTCGGACTTTCAACGCGCCATTTCGCCGCATAATTTCGATGGGGCACGCGAGCGCCGAAATTCAAAACAAACAAAAAAGAAGCGCGAAAACGGGAACAAGGCCAATTTCTCATTTGAAGGCCGGAGCGGGGCCCCATTTTTCGGCGGCGGCTGCCAATTCGCACCCATCATTCCCGTGGTGTTCGGGCATTTGCTCGCTCTTCTGCTGTGTCTTTTTCTCTGTCTGTTTCTCTGTCAATCAGTCTGTGTGTAACTCGTTTGCTCCCTTCCTCTGCTGCCGTTTCTGCTGGTCGTCCTCCCCTTTGGGCCCCTTGGGCCTCATGGATCCATGGCCAAAAGAAAGGGGGCCCACCAACCAACACACCCGCTCCACTGGGGGGCCCGCTGCATGCAATTGTCGCCGGAGAAAGATGATGTTTCTCGCGTCTTTTTTGTTGTTTTTCTTGCGACAAAAAAGAACGCTGTTTGCGGTCTTTATTTATTTTTATTTTTATTTTTCTATTCCAAAAATAATATCTCTGATTTTACCAGTCTCCCTTTTTTAGTCAATCAGGTTTTTGGATTTTTGGGTGGATTTCGCAAGCCAATACGAGAGGGGTTTTTGGATTTATAGCAGGTAATAACTATTCCTCAGGATTACGTTTTTCTGATCTAAATAAAGAAATGTTCCTCGATTATTCTTTACCATTACGAAGCGGAAAACTAATAATTTGATCAAAAAATACAAAAAAATGATTTTTCGGCCAAAATAGGCTGGTTTTCGACGAAAATTTGAAAATCTCTAATTTTTTGGATAGTTTTTGATAGTTTTTCGCTTCAAGTAGATTTAGATTTTTCGAAAAACTATTAAAACACTTACTATTGTGTGGCTAGGCTCTCGATCTATAGCAACACTTTGCCCCCCCATAATGCCTGAGAACCGACATCTCTTGTGATCATCTCTTATCATTTTCTAACATTTAACTATTAGCTCGCTTTAAATATTCCTAAATGCGCTCTCTCTCTCTCTCTCTCTCTCTCTCTCTCTCTCTCTCTCTCTCTCTCTCGTGTTGCCCCCTCTCCCACGCATCCCTTGACGACGTCGAAAATCCTACTAAATTTCTGAGTCAACACCAGCCGTGGGCCCCACCCCCTCCGGGATCAAATTTCATTTCGCGGGCTCCTTACCTCGGCGCAGAGTTTTGCTGGATATTATCTGGTTAGGGCTTCGTCTTTAGGCGTGGGCTCACTTAAAAATAGGTTTCGGATTAGACAGGAACTTCCGCTTCACCCTTATCAGTCGATCGTTTCTTGAATTCTTCAAATCTCATATCGCTGCTTTTTGAGCTAGGAAATTTCGTCCACAATTTTATCACAAACTTTAGCGATTTTAATAGCTTTCCTTATGTTAAATCCTCTTATATGGCTTGTTTTTAACCCATAAATTTTTATATGGTACGCCTTTAGGTTTATAGTTTACTTATGGCCTTTCTTTAGAATCCTCTTCGAATGGCCTGGAGATGAGCTGGTTGGCTGAATTGCTTTCGAGGAACAGCTCTGATCCGAGGTGAGAGAAATTGTCGCAATTTTCAATGCCATTAGCGACAATAACTTTTTGATGCAAAGGAGAATCTAAAGTTTTAGCGATTCTATTATCGAAATCGAAATCTATTAAATTTTAACTTTTTTCCAGAGAACGCCTTGAGCTCGGGCAAACCCTAGTAGCAGCCCTTCAAACACAACCACTGCCCCCGGACTCGAAATTGCTCAACGATCTCTGCGACCTCATCTTTCAATGGTTGGCCGGCAGCAACTTCAAGGCGGGAAAATCAATTAAAACCGTTAACATTCATCTTTTAGGTCTCGCTGTTGGCGTTGGAGGCGATGGACGTCGGGGCGACGGCTAGTGGACCAGTTTTAGTGCCATACCTCATCGACCGATTCTCGAATATTATTGATAGGTTGGTAATGATCAGCTGAGTCTCAAAATAGGTGTAAAGGTCTACTGAATTTACTTAGGCTTGGCGACTCGAAAGTGATGGTACGCGAGGCGACGGCCGATTTGATCGTGGCTCTTTCCTATTCACCGCCCTGCACACCACAGGTTTGTAAGAATTCTAGAAGTACTCTTCCACACCTTTCAAATGAATTGAATTCAAAAGCAAAAACGTTAACGTCGCAAATTTTTTAGTGAAAAATATTATAAAAATCTATTTTTCCTAACAAAGGGATGGGTTTCCGACTATGCGAATTTTTAGTACTTTCGCATTATCGGGGGGTGGAGGTTTCAGTAGTTTAATAGTTTTTAGTAAAATTCAACGATATTTAAGTGTATAAATGGAACTATTAGAAGAGTTTTAAAATTCGAATTTTGGTGGCAAATTTATATTTTTGTAAAATTTGGTCATTATATTCGTAAAATTCGATTAGTAAAATGTACTAGACGATAAACTTTATAGACTTAGAAAACTTCCGGTACTTGTGTTAGTAAAATTAGATACTAGAGAAAAAAAGATAGGTTCCGTCCTGATAAACCCCCCCCTCACTGAAATTGCGTAAGAAACAATTTTTTCAAAAAAATTCGTAAAATAATTCAAACAAACTAACCCTTTTCAGCTGGTCCTCGAGAAAATCGTGGCTGCGATGGCGCACCGTGTGTGGCATGTGCGGTGTGGCGGTATGCACGTCTTCGCCCGTATCGCGGCTCTCAGGTAAGCTAGCTGAAAGCCGACGACCAGGCCATGTGCCGGGAGGTGTCCCTTTTGGGGCTTATGCATTTCGAATTCCGCCTTGACCTCCGCCAGCTTATTCTGCAACACATTCCGCTTATCAGCGCCTAAATACGGGCAAAATCTGTCCCCGGGGGAATGTCGAAAAGCCTCTCCAGCCAGTTCTTTTTCTAAAATTCCCTCGCTATCATCAGATTGAAGCGGAAGCGTTGGTTGGATGAGAGAGGGGAGAAGGAGGAGGCGTCACTGGCAATACGGGGCGATAACACGGGCTGACTCAACCTCTGACAGCCCCCCTTCAAACCGAACGCCCCTCCCAAATATGGACTCTTGCCGATGGCAGTTACGATCGTTTCTTCGGCTTTTAAATTTATCAGATTTACTACGATACTTGATGGCATTTTAATGCCGCCTTTCCCTCGTCTTGAAGCGCTTCCGGCACTTGCAGACTTCAAGTGCTCCCCCTCTTCCCTTTAATCCGTTCTTACCCTAATTACTCCCCCTCCCCACTCCCACTCAGCCCTGATTTCCATATGGATTTCAGAAGTGGATTTAGTATCTAGTAGCCCGCTTTTCTAACCTATAAAATAGTGGATTTCAGATTTAGCCACCATTTGAAACGACCAAAAAAGCAAAAAGGAATGACGATATTTAAGCCAGAAAATGTTTTTTTTTCGAAAATGCGTCTAGAAATACTGAAAATCAGCTTAGAAACGTTCCCCTATTTGTTTTAGAAAAAGCGAATCCTAAGGAAAAAAATTTTGGATATTTTCTGACTTCATGAAAACCGCCGACGCTTCTATGGGTTTTATGAAGTAAGAAAATAGTCCTCGACCGAATCCACCACTTTCAACGGCTAACAAAATAGCTCGAAAAGGCCCTCCAATCGAACGGACAACACAAAAAGCACTCTCGCGGCGACTCTCGTCTTGACCGGCCGGTGGAGAGCACGACAGCTTTGTGTGCGGTTTACAGCTGTAAACGAATGTGGGGGCCCTCCTCCTGATGCCCCCATCTTTTTTTCAGAAGCCACAAGGCGGATGGGGGGGACACGGCCGAGCGGGGCGCGCAGCACTATTTGCCCCCTATCTCGCACCACCTCCGGAAAAAATGAGAAAAATCGCGCGTCCATCTTTCCATGTTCCTTTCCCTTTCCACGCCCACGGCCCCCATCGATACCTCTTTGATCAAAGCGGCACCAGCACAACTCGTTTCCTTCAGCTATCTTCTGCCAGCTCTTTGCTCGTATAACTTTTATCAAGGTACACCTACTGCGTTAATTTGGGTTTTTTGAGAGCAAATTTTGTGAAAGCGCGAAAAGAGCAGGAAACTGCCTCGCGTTTATTTCGGAGTGGCTTAGGCCTGGATTATGCCGGGCTTCTCCATCCTAAAAAAAGCCGTTGAACATGCTAGTGCTTCTGGGGGTTCTTTCGCATTATCGGGGGGGGCTATGTTTCCAGATATGCTATCGTGGCAGCAAATCTATATTTAGAGTCGAAAACCAATTCAGAAAACTCTAAAACCATCTGTACATTTGAAAATATAAGGAAACCCTAACATTTTTGTTCGAAAATTCTATTATTTTTATGTTTTGACGAAAATTTATAGCGAAAAACCTTGGGATTGGTAAAAACCACCCAGAAACCCTTCTATCTCCGAAAAAATTCTGATTCCCTCTGCGCTGCGGAAATAAAAAATAACTTTAATTTTGGAAGAACCTGAACAACTTTTGAACCTATCCCAACCACGACTCCCTATCAAGCCCAATATTACATATTGGCTGCGGACTGTCAAGGGTCCAATCGGACGTTGCTATAAGTGGATTATGGGCATACGGGGGGTCGGGGGGCCCTGGGGGCAGCTGCTACTCACTCAACACACAAACGCCCACCCACCATTGCCTTGTATTATTCTACACCCAATAAAGTGAAGTAATCACCCTCTAAAGAATTGCTAAAGACTTTTCGAAATTTGATAATGTCGAAACTTTCTATGATCCAATTTCCCGGGAAAGCCCCTAGATACGGTACTGGACTGTTAACGGGGGGGAATTGATTTTCCCCGGTAATCCTGAACGGTCCTATAACAAAATAGAAAACGTTTTTTTTATATCAAAAGCTGATAAAAAAGGTTTGACTTTTGGCCAAAAAAAATTATGAAAATGACCAAAGGCCAACATTTTCGCGTCTTCAAAATTGTTTGAAATATTTTTTGGAACTTTTTAGGAATCAAAAACTATCATTCTAAAAATACGCATATTGTATGAACAGGTTTTATTCTTATAAAAAAGTAAAAAGGGATAAAAGATGGAAAACAAAACTTAGCTTCCCCGTGATAACAGTCCAGTACCCTAATACTACGCCAAGAATTTCGAGATTGTAAAATTTCGCAACTTTGAGGATAAACCTCCCCTAAATTCCCAATTTTCAGCCGAGGCGAGGTGGAAACACAGGTGACCCGCACGATCCCCACCTTCTGCCGGCTGATGGCTGACCCCAATCCTGAGGTCCGTGTTCTCCCTATTATCCCCCGGTTCTAAAGCTGATATTGAAGGTGCGCGACAGCGCCGGCGACGCCCTCGCACAGCTGATGGCCGCTTTCGGGCCGGACATTGTCGAAAGTATCCAGAAAAAGAAGCTCCTCCCCGACAGCAAGTAGGTGATAACGGGCCAAACACATGGGCCAATCGATTTCAGATTGGAGATGCTGGCCGCAAAGTGCCAAGAGGCGTTGAAGAATAGCCCCGTGCGGCAGACACGCTCCATCGCCCGGCCGTCGGCGTTGCAGAAGCCCCAGCAGCGCACGCCAAGTGCCGCGCCGACGCCCGAGCCAAGAAGTGAGTTAGGCTTATTGTAACGTTTGGTTTACGTAGCTGAGCCCCGTACCGAGCGCCCTAGCCCGGCAAAACACCTTGCAAAAAGTGTTTTCCCCTGTAAAAACGCCCTGTCAGAGATTATTTTTTGGGGCTGGCGGCGTCAAATATCGGAAAATTCTAAATGCTGGTTGTCTTTTTACCGCTTCGAATTTCTACCACTTGGCAAGGCAAATTTCGGTCCTACTTACTACTTAGAATGGTCTATCTTAGGCGTGGTAATATCTGCGTAGTGGCTTTTTCAATAAATTCGTGCTTTTCAACCTCAAACAATGAGATATAGCCGCCGAAAATGACGCAAACCGTGAAGAGAAAAAAGAAAAAAAAATAGAATTTTGCGCCAATCGAAGAATTTGTCTAAAAAGAGCAGTTGCAAACGCGACAATACTAATTACAACATCCGTCTTCTGTAATGTCTTGTAGCGTTCTCTAATTCCCCCATTTTCGGGGCTTTTGGATTTTCACGCGCCACGCGCAGGTCGTTGGCATTCCTTCTTTCGCCGCTTTGTTTCCTCGAACTGACATTGACATCTTCCATGAGGGGTGGCCGGAAACTTGTGATTTTAACTTTTCAAAACTCGCGCTTGCCTGACCTTTTAGCGGGATAACAAACGGGATAGCACTGTAGGAATCGCCCACTGAGACCTCGGGCCACAAATCGCCCAGCAGCACACCAAAAGGGTGTGTCGCAAGCAGCGGACAGGGGTGGTGGGTGTGGGTGTTGGCCCGTAGCGTCCCTTTCCCGCGCGTTTTCTGTTCCCGTTTTGTGGACCGAGCCTCTGCTGGCGTCCCTTTTTCATACATTGATCGCCCCCACCCGCTCCCCCCGGCTCAAATGGCTGATCTGCACGAAATCGGATTCCGATCATCCACCATTCTTGTGCTGGATCCGAGCCAGCACCGAGCTCCTGCATTATTGCCGCAAATCCCTGCTTTTCGCTCAGCGCGCTGCCTGATTTTGAAAATTTGGAACCCAGCTAGCTTTAAAGGGATGCCGACGGCATAGTGAATCGGTTACGCGCGGAAAATAAAATGTCTCTGCGCCTCTCCCCTAGGCGCGCTCTCTCCCCTGTTGGCTACTTGCCAATTTGTTGATGAGGGGGGATCGACACATGCCGTCGGCAGCCCTTTAAAAAGTGCCGTTCGCTTACATATCGTTGCTCGGTATTTTATTAGGCTGCTTTTTGGTATGTCATGTTTTTCTTTATCATGACCTTCTTGAAAAGGAATTTTCAGGTCGCAAGCCATCCCTCCAGCGCAGCGAAGAGGATCTAACTAGGAATAGAAGCATGGTACAGAACAGGACGATCGAACCCGGCGAGGTGACGGAGGAAGAAATTCGAAGCATGTTCCCGTGTCCACCAATTACGATGGGGCCCCTGGCAGATGAGATGGAAAATATACGCGTCAACTTGGAAAATGATCGTATCGATTGGACAAAGCGCTTTGCTGCGGTACGTGCTTTGATTTGCAAAAATAATTTTCTTTAGATCCAAAAGCTAAGAGCAATTGCCCAACTGGATATTGGAAAGTCTGATGCGTTCGTCACGCTACTTACGAATATGGCCCCAGAGATCGTCATTACCGTCCGAGATTTACGGTCCCAACTCGTCAAAGAAGCCACGGCTACAATTTGCTATATCTGGAATACGCTGGGCATCCGCGTGGTGAAGCTTGCTGAGGCCGTGCTACCCGTTGCGCTCAACCATTTGAAGAACAGCCAAAACGTCTTTTGGTCGTGTGGGCAGCTGATCGCCACTTTTATCGTCGATAACGTGCAGTCACCCAGCATTATTTCCGTGATAACAAGAGACAGCTCATCAAAGGCTAAGCGCGTTCGACAGTGAGTTTTTAGTCTGGTTGTTGATCTATATGCTTCTAGATTCGTGGTCGTCTTGATCGAGAAGATGCTGAGCTGGCCGCCGCATCTTATACAAGGGCCCATGGAGATGTTCACAAAGATCATCAAGGCAGCGATAACTGATGCGGATCCAGCTACTCGCAAATCGGCTAGGGAAGCATACCTCACATTGGAGATGCAGATGCCAGACGTTGCTCGGAAATTATACACGGTTTGTTTTCTTTGATTTTCGCTTGTTAACAAGTCCTTTTAGCAACTTGGTCCGGACGGCCAGAAACGGCTCGGCACGACTGGTTCGAAGGCGCCTTCTTTAAATGGTTCGCAACAATCACTCAACACTGCCGGGCTCGAGAATGGACAGGGACGGCGACTAGGCCAACTAAGATTCGACAAGCGGCTGCCGAACGGTACTAATAATTTACCAGGGTTGAAAAGCCGCTTCGCGACTTTTCAACCCTGGCCCCGTCTGACTCCATTTTGCCCTTCACTTTGCATAATTCTCCTAAATTTGGATGACAAAAAAAATGAAAAACAACCTCTCCTGTCCATTTATATAGTCGAATCCCAACTTCCGGTCTATGCAAATTATTACTAACAAAGAAGGTTTCACAAAAACTTGAATTTAATGTCGAAAATAGGTGATTTTGTTGGATCGCAGATGCGTGCAGTCATCTACAGGCCATTACGCACCTAATGGCGTATCATACATACCTTCAAATTCTTCCCCTATCGAGATATCCTCCGGACAGACAGACGGAAGTGGATGCAAAGTGGCACACACACACACAAACACACAAACACTATTTTTTTTTTATATATAGTAGGATATAAAAAATTTATGGCTTTAGGCTCATTTGGACGATCAGCGTCGGCACTGGACCCGGGAGCTTTATCCAGTTTCCGAACGGGGATGAGTGGTGTGCGCATGGGACCGCCAGCACGTTTCGCGGATGTGAAGAGTCGCGTCTACTCGCCTTCACCATCCAGTCAGCCCCCGTCACGGTCTACAAGCCCCTCGCGCGGTGGAGCCGCACGTTTTGCCGTGCCCAACCTTCCCGCTTCTAAATCTATCGGTCGAGCGGCGGGTGCTCAAAGTAAGCATTGACATGCAACATTTCATTCTCGTTTTAGTTATGCGTCCACAACAGTCGATGAATCGACTGGCATCCATGGGCCGTCAGAAGACGTCTGATGATATCAACAATGCCTTGTTGCAACTACAGCTCGGTTTTTGTCAAGATGATGAGGCGCCGGGCACCCCTCAACGTCAGACGTCCGCTTTGCGAAAGCCTTCCAACCAGACATCCCTTCGGACACCGTCGAACAACATTAACCGCCCGGCCACGTTCAAATCTCCCCCAGTTGACGCTGTAAAATCCGGTCATCCACACGTTATTCATCTGCTCTCCAGCGCTGACGTGAGTGGTTTTGTTTTTAATTCAGTGTGGTATTTTTTAGGATCCAACGAAGAAAGAAGGCCTACGCGGCCTTGCGAAGTTGTGTGAAGAGCGCTTGCCGCTATCAAAAGAAGAACTCAAGCAATATTGTGACGCGTTGGCCCGTATCACTTCAGCTTCGCGCCAGGTAGGTTCTATGTGGCTATACTATTTTGATCCATTTAGTTGATCACCTTTGTTTGCGACGGTATTTGTGGGTTGATGGCTGCTTATGGTCGACAAATGGAGGCGACTGATCTCGACTACTTGATTAGGCAAATCTTCATCCGGCTGGCTGACGAGGTAAATCTTTATTTTACTAGTTAAATTAGGTCTTTAGTTACTGCTGCCCATCAACATTGGCAAATTTCAAAGTGCCTTGCAAGGCATGATGGAAAACGTTTCGCCACAGCTGCTGCTCAATTTGGTCTGCAAGAAGTTCCAAGACTCATCGCTGTCTGTGAAGGTTGCTTTTATGACTTTTACTTATTCTTGAAAATTAGGTGAGACGAAAGCGCGGGGCCTTAGAGATCAGCCTGGCGTTTTTCTGTCACCATAAAGCATCAAGACGGCTAAATTGACTTTCGGTACATGCAGAACGGACTTTGCCTTGAACCGGTCCCTGAAACGTCGACATTTTAGCTTATACACGATGCATGATTGGGCCGTTTTTCGTCTCGAAACCATTTTTTCAGCCTCGTCTCCGGATGCTAGAGTTTCTGCAACAGCTCCTCGAGATGCATGCGGGCGTCAAATTCGATATTAATGGGCCCGACGTCAAGGGTGCGGTGGTGATGATGTTGAAGCTCGCCAATGATGGGAAATCCGGCGCCAAGCCCAGAGCGGTATTTCGTTTTTTCTACAATAATTCTTCGGAACTCAGGTCATCGAATCTATTCTGCACTCACTATTTGCGATGTCGGCTCCGGACTTTGACGCCATGTTGCCACAGGACACGCAACAACGCCAACTGGCTTATGCACTGCTGAAGAACGAAGCTTCCACGACTAACGGGTACGTATGGTTCGTGCGTCCGATTTGATTATTTAGCGCGCACAGCAACGGTAGCGGCACCATTGAAACCGCGTCAAAGGTTCCATCCATATCGTCGCACACAAACACTTCGGGAAGGAGCAGCGCAGGCAGCTACAACTCCATGGCCTTGGATACTTCGCTATCGGACGTGCTCAGCGTAATTTCTAATAAAGTATGAATTGGCTGTGTAACTGACTGTAGTTCTAGAACCATCCCGATTTCGTCAGCAAGTTCAAGCTGCTGTCGGAAATGATCAAATCCAAGCCGGAGGATCAGCTGGCTGAGCTTGCCGACAAGACTGGCAGCTATATTTTGATGGTACGGAAGATCTCTCGGCGTCCATTCAGATTTAGGCGATCAACGAGGAACATTCGAACGTGCGAAAGGCTGGTGTGATTGCACTCGTTTCGTTGAACATCAGAGCTCCCGAGCGGGCTAGATTAATTTTAAACCAACTAGCGCCTAGCAAGGTAACCGGCTTTTTCTCCTACCTAATTCCTTTTGTTTAGCAAAAACTGGTGGATGTATTCACAGAGAAGACCAAGAATGGAAGCACTCAACTCTAATTGAAGACCGTTTATGGAACATTCTGTGATCGATTGTATTAATTCATTTGTGTTTTGCTTCACTATACGGGTGCAATAAATTAGTTGAAAAAATAATTGTGCACCTTATGAGTCGGCAGTGGACCGTAGTGATACAGTGGAATTCTTATTCGAACAGTTGGCTTATTGAAGCGATTTCTAAGAACTATGAATCTGCCCGATCCAATCTAGTTCGAAAATAAAATAAACACGCTTTCCTAGTCTTGGAAAGTTTGGGGGTTCCATATTTTTGTGACCTTCACGGGCCTTTCGGGGTTTGTCGGGCTCTTTTGGGGCTCGCTATCAATTCGACTTGCACCGGACATTCCATCTTTTCAAACGGATCCTTATTTTCAGGCTAAAGGTTTTTACTTACACTAGTGGGAAGTGGTGATTATTTTAATTGCGATAAGAGGCGTTTTTCGCCTGTATTCGGGATTTGTACTGATAATTAACCTATAACGTTATGACTCTGCTTGGAAATTAAGCCGACCGGCGGGTTATTCTCTCATTCGTGTATTACAAAAGCAAAGCCGTTTCGTTTTAGCGCCTAACCCTATTATCTTATTTTTTCGGTCTAGAACTAGCCCGCGCCGAAGATTCCAGCGGCTCTTTTGGGACTTTTCATCCTCGCCCCTCTCAAATGTCGGCTACTCCTCTCTTTTCGCCAAGGTCCCGTCACGCTGCTTTTGAAACCGCTCATGACTATTTATGTTATGTTTGTACTAAATGTACAACAAGCTCATTGGATATTTTCCAGGGAGATGGAATCTCGTTTCTCGGCAAACTACAAAAATGCAGCCAAGGATCAAGAAGCGTTGCGCAAAGGTCGGGCCGATGAGAGCATTACCATTCGGAAACAACAACGCGATGAGCTCCTTACCAAGCGCCGAAATTTCGCCCCAGAGTTCGTTTGAAAAGTGGTATTTGATTTCTGTAATTTAGGGATGAAGGACCTAGTGGTGTCGATTCGACTCCAGCGGTTCCGTATGACGGCCAATTGCTAAATGAAGTTGTCCAAATGGCCAAGGCTGGTGACGAAAATCAGGTGCTCCAGGCTGTGCAGCAGGTATCGATCATAATTTTCTCCTACTATTTGATTGTTGTTTTAGGCTAGGAAAATGCTTTCTTCCGACCGGAACCCACCAATTGACGACTTGATCGCAAGTGGCCTGCTTCCCGTGCTCGTCGACTGCCTCAAGGCGCAAAATTCAAACCTGCAGTTCGAGGCTGCCTGGGCTATCACGAACATCGCCTCCGGAAATTCGGCGCAAACTCGTGCTGTCGTCGAAGCTGGCGCGATCCCCGTGTTTTTGGAGCTACTGTCATCGGCCTATTTGAACGTTTGCGAACAAGCTGTTTGGGCTCTCGGCAATATTATCGGTATTCCTGTCCTTTTGACCGGCATTATTTATTTCAGGTGATGGCCCGCACTATCGCGACGCATGTCTGGAACTTGGAATACTCGGTTCTCTACTCAAGTTTATCAAGCCTGACATCCCGATTGGATTCCTGCGCAATGTCACCTGGGTGCTGGTCAATCTCTGCCGCAGCAAGGTATACTTAGACAACTGTTAAAGGGATGCCGACGGCATAGACAATCGGTTACGCGCGGAAAAGAAAATGTCTCTGCGCCTCTCCCCTGGGCGCGCTCTCTCCCCTGTTGGCTACTTGCCAATTTGTTGATGAGGGGGGATCGACACAATGCCGTCGGCAGCCCTTTAAATAGGCCAAAAAGCCTGGGCTTATTTTGTTGTACGGTTTCGAGTTAGTTTTGAAAGTCTAGATGGCATTTCGAAGTTTAGGATCCGCCGCCGAAGCCGGAAGCCATCAATACCATCCTTCCTGCCCTGGCTATGCTGATTCATCACCACGATACGAGCATTCTCGTCGACACTGTTTGGGCGATCAGCTACCTGACTGATGGTGGCAACGACCAGATTCAGCAAGTCATCGACAGCAACCTGGTGCGGTTTTTTTCAGATTCTTTTGACTGGTCGTTGTTGCCTGCCTTCAAAGTGACATTTCTAGATTCCGAGCCTGATTCCAATGCTCAATCACGAGGATGTCAAGGTGCAAACGGCAGCGCTCCGTGCCGTTGGAAATGTTGTTACGGGCACGGACCATCAGACGCAGCTGGTTCTCGACCATGGTGCCCTCCGTCAGATGCCGCTGCTGCTTACACACGCCAAGGAAAAGATTAAGAAGGTAAACTGCGCGAAGTTTTTACAATGTTTTTTTAGGAAGCAGCCTGGCTGTTGTCCAACGTCACCGCCGGAAATGTGGCCCAAGTACAGGCAGTATTTGATTGCCAGCTGGTGCCGATGATAATTGCCTTGCTGGACAAGGGCGACTACAGCACAAAGAAAGAAGCCGCTTGGGCTATTTCTAATATTACGATTTCCGGTCAGATGGAACACATTCTTCGCTTGGTAGACGCTTATTCGTGACGGTTGTAACTGTTTTAGATCGAACTGGGTGTCATCCCGCCCTTCTGCGGACTTCTGACGACACAAGCCGAAACCCAGCTGTTGCATGTAGGTCCTATTTTATTGCAGTTATTTATGTTTAGGTCGTTCTCGACGGCATTTCCAACATCATGAAGGCGGCGTCGAACAGCGCTGGGCATGATGAACAGGCGCGAACTCAAATCGAAGAGTGTGGCGGGCTTGACAAGCTTGAGGTCCTTCAGACGCACACCAACGAATCCGTCTACAAGCTCGCTTACACCATCATCAACACCTATTTTTCGTAAGATTCTTTGATTCGGCGAGAACTTTTTTTGTTTTAGAACCGACGAGGAAGACGGCGAGGGCGTCGTTGACAACGTCGATCCGTTCGGAGGAGCTCCGCCTGCCAACTGGTCATTCCAATAGAAAGCAGCGAATTACTGCCTTACCCTGTGCGTGAGTTTGTTTATGTCTGCCCCGGCCATTTTTTAATGGCATGTCCATGCAAAAAAATTATTGCATTTGTGGCTCTCTGCTAGGCCCCACTCGGAGTGATATATACCCGAAACTCTCAATGCTACTTCAAAAAAAGTCCTTGTCATCATTGGGTTGTACCCTCTAATCTCTCCCGTACCGGTCCTTTTGAGTGCGTGTGTTGGTTTCCTCTTTGCATTATACTCGTATTTGTAAAAATTAGTGTTTTCATGCGCCCTTCTCTTTATCAACGTTTTCAATAAAGTCAGATTTATTTAAGAACTCTTGTTCTTGCGGATATTACGCCACATCTTCAGAAAGACGATAGTAAGGCGGTGACGAAGCTTATCAAGATAGTTACCGGTAGCGCTGTCGAAGTTGTAGAAAGCTCTACCTTATCCGTGGTAATCGTCCCACCAGCAATTCCAGTTGTTGGCTTTGTGGTAGGACTAGCACCGTTTATCGTAGTAGGCAGCTCTGCTGGTTTCTTGGTAGGATCAATCCATTGGTCGTAGGAATAATCGACGGCTCCATTATTCGGGCTCGGGAACATGAAGTTGGTGATCATTTGGACGGAAGGCCCCGGGCGATCATTTGGAACCATGTGTCCAGCTCCCTTATAATTATTTTTAGAAGTACGATGGGTTTTCCTACCTTCACCGTCAGCACATCGATGGTCATCTTGTCCTTCTGATATCTTTGGTAGAAGCCAGCGACCTGGTTTCTGAACCACCAGCGATCACGCGGCGTTCCCTGTAGTCCTTATCCTTTTGATAATTCTGACTTGCACTGAAGCCGTTGTTTTTCGTCACATCTCGCATATGCCAGGCATCTCCTAGATAATTGCAAACCGTATCGACGTCACCATTATAGATAAGGAAGCGAAAATCTTGGGTCTGTAGCCGGGTTAATTTAGTCCTTTCATTATTGCCCACCTTTACATTCGTTAGCACGTAATCAAAGAATTGGTTGGTCTTGCTATAAGTTAGCACGTATGAGTTGTAGATGGCCATGCTGAAGCCGGGTGTATATGATTTTGGTAAGGCTGCTACTTGCAATCGGTCCAGGGGTATGGTTTTCCATTGTCATCTTTCCGTTTCTGCCAATCATCGTCAATATTTAGTGCCTAGAAGATTGGGTGATCAATCTCTAGCCCAGATGTGAACCTTTTGAACGTCTCGACGATTTGCCCAGCGGAAGAGGGCATCTTCATTCCAACACGCGTATCCCCATTGGTTGTCGGTCGAGTCGTAGTTGAGGGTTTTCTGAACAATTTTCCCCAGTATAAGGCTCCGACCTACAGCTGTATTGGGGTCGAGTCCAAAACGGCGCGGTCCACCAAAGACTCTTTTCAGGTTCTTGCCTAAACTGCTGGCTAGTGATAGACTTCTTAAAATCACCTGCAATCTCCGGGCGCTGCTCCGTCCCAGTGGCTAATGTTGTATTCACGACATTCACCGAACTTCCGAGATAGCAATCTTCGTAATAGTTGTACTGATCCATACTGGAAGCTTCATTTATGAGCAGCTATGCCCCTTACTTATCGGGCAGAACAAGCCAGGGGCCTGTGAGGTTGCCGCAGTACGATCCGTCACTTCCATAATCAATCTTATTGGTCGATGCGAAGTATTGGGAAAAGTCGACTTCGTCCATGTCGGTGGCTCCGCCCTTGCAATTCTGTTTTATCAGATCCCAATCACTACAACGGGTTTTTATGATTTTTCTGGTTACTCGAGCGAGATCCGTCCATGATACATACTCCACAATATTAACGAGTTTTGCAGATAGGGGACGTTCATAAACCCATTTCCAATGGCGGCTCCCTGAATTAATTGTAATTTTGTTTTCTTAGGCTGACCGACCTGGAAGTTTTGGTTGGGGAAATCATTCGCATTAATCCCTTCGACGAGCCTTTTGGACAGCATCGGAATGTAGATACCAGCATATGATTCGCCGGACAGGTAGAACGTACGGTTTGCGTACTTTGGTTGTACTCTATACAAGGTTTTAGCTGACGTACAATTTAAGTTAGACACACCTCGTGATAAAATCCTTGATTGCCATATAATTCTGATCGGCTGTTTGATCATCATTGGCCGTAGTAAAGTTTGTGACGGACGTATCGTAGGAGAAGCCCACGCCGATTGGTGATTCGAGGTAAAGCACGTTGGCGCGCTGAAAATTTGATATTTTTCAGGCGATACATACGGCATTCCACGAGTAAACATTCTCGTAGAGAGTAGCTCCATCTTGATTCACATAAAAGGGTCCGAGCTCTTCGAACAGACCAGCGAACGAGGAGCAACCCGGGCCTAAATCTGTTTCAGCTTCGACTCAGCACATTTACCGCCGTTGAACCAAATTAGCAAGGGATCGCTTGCCGGGTTGTTGCGAGATTCAGTGAGCCTAGGATCTGCTGTATACTTGAGACGTGAACTATTACGTGTAATGCATCTTCCAGGTGCCATTCTGGTTCGCGTTCAAATATCCGGAATAGGTTTTGAAGTTGACGGGGAATTGCAGGCCGGGCAGGTTTTGCACCTGAAGCCCATTTTTAGAATCGGTTTTGTATTGCTTTTATTGCAGCTTTCGTTACGGGATGCGTACCAAGTCATCTTCGCCAATAGCTGATGCCAAACCGAAGACAATGAATAGCCAGAATAGCCGGGGTATCATCTGGGCCGGAATATGCCTAAAGAGCGGCTTTTTGCTGGCCACTGCCAGTCCGCTATCAATCACCGCCTTATGTATTTGGTGGTGATTGGGCAGGGTCTTACCACCTGTCTGCTAGGCTTATCACTAATCCAGGGCTTTCCAGGCATTTAGAAGTCCCCCCGGGAGCTTCCAAATTATCTTCGTGGATCGTAAGACGTCACCTGGCAGTGGCAATCAAAAAGTGCCACGATTTTTAAAGGACTCTCCAGTCCCTCCCTGGAGACAATATCGTCAAAAAAGGCAGAAATACTTCTTCCGACAGCACAGTGATATTGATTTATTGCATAAAGTAGTAATTAAAGTCTTTTAAAGGTAGTTTAAACGGATCGTTTGTGCTTTTTAATCGTAAGTTGACGGGCGTGGCGGCCTCAGTTTTCCTCGATCAGCCGTTTCGCCTTGCGGAGCTCGTCGGCCAGCGCGGTGAAGTTGGGGCGCTTCATGGGGACCTCTTCCCAGCATCGCATCATCAGGCTGCGGATCGGAAGCGGGATCTGGAGGTCATAGGGTGGATTTTCAAAGGATACGGATCTACTTACGCTTGGGGGCAGCTCCATGCGAAAGCCGGCGCCTTTGAGAAGCTCCTCGCGCACGATACGGTTGCGAAGGCCCGTATAAGGCTCGCGTGCCTCGTTGTACAGCTCGAACAGCATCACCCCGAACGCCCACACATCGCTGGCCCAAGAGAAGTCACCGCTTCGCAAAACCTAAACAGAGGAACGTAATCGAAAACTTTAAACGGAAACGGGGAGCTATTTGGATGGTTACAAAGGCGCTACATTGCCTAATATGGCAGTCTCAAAGGCAACTTTGCATACTACATTCAAATTTCACTAAAAACTAATTTTAGTTTGGTAGTTATGAACAGTGGACTTCGGAAGCATGTTACCGCGTTTTAGTGATTACCTGAAACTGTGAAATTCAAAAAAATCAGGGTCCGAACTCGGCAAGGTTTTTAGCGGCCTTGGGGGGGGGGGGATACAAATTCAATAGCTCCGAAAAATGAACCTCCGGGGAAGCCCATTTGATCGGTAGAACCATGGCGTTCGCGTTGTCGCCCTTGCGGCGGAGAACCTCCGCGTCGGTCGTCAAGCCAAAGTCTGCCACTTTCAACTAAATCGTAACAATGAGCCAGATAGACGAAGCGCAGCATACCGTCAGGTTCTCGTCAATCAAACAGTTCCGGGCAGCCACGTCGCGGTGAACGAAATCGCGGTTCGTCAAATATTTCAGCCCCTCGCAGGCCTCGATCGCGAAACGATTCTAAGGATTTTTTTTTTGTAAACGGTTAGAAACGAACCTTCACCGAAACTGGGACAGTATCCCCTTGTTTCTGGAGATACTAAACGAATGGAATCAAGGGAAAAGGGTCGAGCGATCCCACGCTGCGGACACAGCCACCCGTGCAGTATTCCATGATGATCATCAGAGCCGGCTTCAACGAGCAGATCCCAAAGAAATGCACTGAAGTTTATAGATTACGGGAAGCACACGAGAACTGACCAATATTAGGGTGCTTCAACTGCCACATCACGTAGGCCTCTTCGAGAAACTTTTTCTGGTGCAGAATGTCCTTGGTGCGATTGGTCCCCGGGCCCGCTGACAGGGTGGACGGCTGAAAAAATACGACATGGATCTGGGTTATTAGCGCGGGGGGAGGGGGGGGGGGAGATAACTGCATTTATCCAGCCTAACCTGCTAATGAAAGATCAACCCTTTTTATAGCTTGATATTACTAAATCGTCATAAGAAACTTTTTAAAAATTTTTACCGAAATGAAAATAACTTTCGAAGTTTAATTTTTTAAAGCTTTTTCTTGCGTAAAAAAGGACGTAGAATTTTATTCAACCTAATTCAATTTACGGTCGAATTCTAAGGCATACGCGAATCTAGAAACAAGTTAGTTCCCCCCCCCCCGCTAACGAATTAGCAACAAAATCGTTCAGAATCACAAAAATAACCTTGAAAATCTTGACGGCGACGTTGAACTTCTTATTCCTATCAAGCAGCGTGCCATTGTAGACGACTCCGAAATTGCCGCCACCGATGCGGTCGTGCAACTGGACGCGTTTGTGTGGCAGGATGTACGCCTAAAGTCGATTATAAAAGCTCCAGCTGGCTGCCTCACCGCGCGAGAGACAGGCCTGGTGAGATAGACAAGCCTCTCGACGCCATTGTCAAAGGGCTGCGGAAGGCCTTGTCCACAAGCATATTCGGCGACGAGTTCTTGGACCGTCGGCTTCGTCACCTTGCCTCCCTTGAATCGGTATTGTTTGCGCTGTAATTTAGCCTATTCCATTGATCGTCCAGAATGTCACCTTTCCGCCTTTGATCGGGATGAAGCGAATGTCGCGAAACGCAACACACAACCCAATGCCGCTAGCCAGATGCCACTGAAAAGGAAATTGATAGGACGGGGCACCCAAGGCCAGGATTTCTTATCAGGCCCTGGGGTCCCTCTCGATGTCTTTCCTAGACATCTGTTCATATGGAGACTGAGCCTCCGCGGACATTAACGATAGACCTATTTAAGCACTAATGTCGTCGTTGAGATCCCTTGACCTAGATTCAAGCTATTTAATTTAATGCAATATGCTAAAACATTGTATTTATTTTAGAAACGTGATTCGGATAATAAAGCCTGCATAGAGCAATGACATAACTAATGAGTCGTAAAATTGCGTTTTTAATATGCTTACGTAAAAAAAGTAAGTCGTAAAAAATTGTTTTAGTCCTATTTTGTTCTCAGGCTTATAAATTAGAGGGCTCTATTTTTGAACCACTTCGAGTAGATGGAAAAATGCGCCTTTGCGAGCACTACAATACCTGCTAGTTGACTTCACGTCAAACTCGACGAGGGCCGAGATAATAGTCAAATGAATGGCTCTATCGTTTTGACACCTACTGTAGAAGCAATCCGACTAATCCTTAAAATTATTCCGTAACTTAACTTTTAATTCGTGGTTTGACAATTTTTAATTCCTTCATCTTTAAAATCAATCCGTTCTGCTGAATCTGTCAAGCCTAGTTTTAGTTTTCGTAGTAAAAAAATCATAAAACAACTTATTAACTGTTTTCATGATCGATTGACGGTAAGTCTACGACGACATTAATGCTCGAACATGTGGAAAATTCGCCCTGGAATTCTTTCCCCATGTTAACAGATGTCTCGGGGTCAGAGCACAGAGACATTTTTGAATTACTCGAGTGAGCATGATAAGAAATCCTGGCCTTGAGTACCCTATCCTGATTACTAGACTATTAGCCGGGCGGGTGAGACAGGTTTTCGGCGTTTTATAGTGTAGTTTTCTAATTCTTTTAGTAACATCGAGATTTCAACAGAAAAATCTATCGAAAAACGGAAAAACTTCATAATTCGAAATTTTCGTCGGCAATCAGCCCTTTTCAATCGAAAAATGCAGTTTTTCTTAATTTTTTAAAATGAAAAGTAATGCGAAAACCCCCGTTGACCATGAAAAACATCTTACCCCCTTCTTTTCATTGTTGTACGGCAAGATCCCAAGAATATAATCGCCGGGCTGCCTCAACATTTTCGTAATGTAGTGCATGGTGAAGTAGCCGTGGAAGTACTCGCGATTGATGACCGTCTGGTCGACAAGCGTCCAACTAATTCCACGTCATCTGGCCACCAAGAAGCTCCCACTATTCCTCATCCTGGAGCTGGATCGAATTCTGGATGGCCAGCTCTTCGTCCACTTTGTTGTCCATTTTGGAGCGTTGGGGTGGTGGAGGTGGCGGCGGCGCGGGCGCCGCAGGCGGAGGTGGGGCGAAGTTGTCTTTGTTGGTTGACTGAAGTGAAAAACCATCAAAAGGTGCCTGTTTTTACTCGTTTGCGACCAGAGAACGTGCCGGGTTTTTTGGCCGTTGGCGGAGGGGTGCGATTGTTCCGGGTCTAAAATGCAATATATATGCCATAGGAAGCCCCCAAGAAAGAGAGACTCTACCATAATAAATTTGTTGTTTTCATGATTCTTGATCGTAAATTTCTCATTTTAAGCAAAGAAAAGCCCGTGTTTTCTCTCGTCTTTTAAAGAGCTTTCAATAGCTATCAAAATCGTCAATATCGGCACTTTTCAGCCCGCGAGAGGAGGCGCATTTTACAAGGGGCCTGCTAAATCTACCTGGATCTGAGAGGCGCGAGTGCGAGTAGCCTTCGGCATAAAGGGACCAGACCCTTTTCCCGAATTGCTAAAAACAGGTAGCGTTCAAGCTAGCGAAGGGACGAACGACTTGGACGAGGAGGGCACAGCGGTAGCAGGCCGCAGCTGGATCGGCGGGAATTTGTCAACATCGACGTCGGCCTGGGTGACGGTGGCGTTGTCGCGGGTGCGGTCCTTCCGATGGATACTGCGCTTCGGGTCGTCTCGCTTGTCGTCCTTCGTCATGACCGCCGGCATCAGCGAAGGCGGGGTCGGAGAGGGCAATGATTTTGGGTCGGGCGATGTTGGCGGGGCACCGACACTCACCGTCCCCATAGCCGTCACCTCCACCGGACTCGTGCCTAAACAGGTTTATATCGATGGTTTATTCAACAGGGTTTAATCGCCAAAAAATCATTAAAACTGAAAACCCGCAAGCGAACCCTTTGACACGACAAAAAAACCGGTGTTAGAGGGCGGGCATTCGCGGGAACCTAACTTTGATCTATCGTTCCAGGGTCCCAATAACGTCATACACTATTCTCTAACCTACTTTTTTTACTTAGTTTTTATTCAAAAAATGCTAGATAGGGTTAAAAATGTTGATTTTGGTCATAGATGCACCAAAATGCCATCATGGATTTCAATTTATTAATTTTCTAAAGCCGTTTCTTTCGCTCTTTTAATATATAAACCACTAAAAACACCACAAAAACTTAAAAAAGACGTTAGTTTTCGAGTTTCGCGTTTAACAATGTCTTAATGAGGTTTTCGAGTAATCGAAAACAAGTTAAAACGCTAAAGACTAGGTAGGTATGGGCTAGATAGCTTTTCAATCCCCGCTAACAGCCCATTACCAACTCTTGGTCAATCTCCTTACCATCAACACTCGAAGCGGACGGTGTGGAGGGCGTGGGCGCTTTCGGAGAGACACCCTCGCTCGTCTTGTCGCTCTCCTTGCTCACCTCCGGGCCCGACACCGGCTCTTTCTTGTCCCTTTCTGCATCCTTGTCGTTTAGAGGCGGATCCGTCCTTTTGTTGATGGGGACTAAACCGGGGTTTGATAAAACAAAAAGGAGTGTACTAGGCATAAATGGCTGATCATCTTCCCCCTCATCGGCGCAAGTATGCTCCGTCAGCTCCCGTTTCTTCTTCTAAAAAGAAGATGGTTGTAATTGCGAATTGGGAAAGTAGCCCGCTAGAAAAAGTACGCTAAAAAGGACCCACCTTGTCGGACATCCGCCAATAAATAATGAACTGCTTCAAGGTCTGAAGAGAGAAAAGCGTCCGGAAGTCGTAATCGTCATTATTCGTATGCAAAAAGACAATTATGCGTGAGAAAGCTTATTTGGGGTTTCTTTTTAGTTTTTGGAAATCTTACTTTTTTGTGGATAGTTTGAGTACGTATTTGAACTAGTTGCAAATCATCGACACGTCGTTCCGGACTGGACAGTTTTTCCACTTTGATTTTTCAATTTTTTTCCAATCGTTTAGAAGTTTAGAACTTTTCCTTTTTTATTTTACTTTTTCGACCTTTTCTTTCCTTCTAGCCAGCCATAGGTGCCTTTCCTTTTCAGAAGGCCCTTTGGCCCGCAGCTCACCGCGGCGGCAATCTGGTAGATTCAAATAAGGTAGCCTTTTTGCTACGTCACATTTTCTACTTTTTCAGATGAGCCGAAGAAAACTAATCTCGTGGCTATCAGAGGATGAAGATGAAAAGCCAACAAGTGACCTCGAATCCCCGTTCTGTCGCAGAACAAAATCTTTCAAATTGAGGCCGGGCCTCCAGGAATTGGATAAACCGAGGTGGGCGTTTTAGGCTATGCTGAGGTTCTCATGTATTTTCTAGTGGGTCCCATGAAGAAAATCGCCGCAAAAAAGAAAACCATGAGGATTCTAAAGGTAATTCGGCTTCACACCTGTGATGCCTGTTTAGAAGAGTTTTTATCTGCTAGCGAAGGTGAAGACTCGTCCAGGATATCAGAGGTGCGACTTTAGAGGACAACTTCCGGTTTTATTGCTCCTATAACTTTTTTAGAAATCCGTATCTCCTGCCGATAACAAGGAAAACAAGCCAGACGGGGCAACTTTTCACGCAAAACTAGCTGCATCGCCTCCCTCCAACCTTTCGTCGCCAGATGGGGACCTGAAATGTAAGGAATTTTATGTACGATCTAGTATGTATTTGTAGATTTGGAATCCCTTCGCAGCAAAAATACTCGAAAAGAACTTGAAGATGTGGAAGAGGACTCACTTTCGGAGGATGAATCGAGTCGTGGCAACCGCCGCCGTAGAACCAACAGGTATCGTGCTGCTTTTTTATAATTTATAGTTTTATAGTTTCGTTGTTGAGGAGGATGAAGATGAATATGAAAGTTCGTTTATCGATGACGAGGACGATTCTGAGGAGGTGCTCAGCTCGGGTTCGGAAGTCAGCGTCATCACCGACGATGAAGAAATTTTCACGCAGCCACCCAAGGAGGAACCAGCCGCTAGAAATCACGCAACACCGGCCAAAGGTAAACGTACTTTTAGACATCTTCAATTTCTTAGTGAAAGTCGTTTCCAATCTGACGAAGATGTTTGCCAGTCCATCGGTCATGGCGAAAAAGGTAACTCATGCTGATGTGTCATATCTTTTCATGCTTTTAGCGCTGTGAGAAGGATCACTTCCTAATGTCGCTCAGCTTGCGGTTCCAAGAGACGAGGCATTTCGATGCTGACAAATATCTGGATAAGGGCTTTAAGGTGCGGCACTGCTTTTTCTCGAATATTTTTAGAAACACCGCGAAGAGCTGGCAACGAGGATCTATTCGTTTGTAAATGCCACTTGTTTCAAGGAGAAATTGCCCACTGACTTATCGATTACTTGGAATCCCCGTTTACGGAAGACGGCCGGATTCTGCCGGTATCTTCAAAATTCGTCTCATGTGTGTATATTTATAAAATTTAGTTTACGAAAGAAAATCATGACGGATGATCAAGTGCGCGTCCTCCGAACAGTTTCAATCGAACTGTCAACAAAAGTAATCACGACGGCAGGTAAAAATTTTTGTCGTTTTCCTTGATTTTTGATTTTAGAGCGCCTCCGAGATACGCTGATACACGAGATGTGCCACGCGGCCGTTTTCTTGATTGATAAATTGGACAAGGAGCAGCATGGACCCATTTGGAGGGGATGGTCAGTTCGAATTATCCGTTATTGGCAAAAATACCCGTATTATATGGTCCCATTTCGACCCAGTTTTTATGAGTCTGGGATTAAATTTTATGACAGTAATGGTGGGATTAGCAATTTTTAACTTATTACTCGTTAGTTAGTGATAAATTCGATTTTAAAGCGCCATTTTCAGGGCCAGGGAATGCATGAGCCGCCACCCATCTCTGCCCTTTATCGACCGTTGCCACAACTATGAAATTGAAGCCAAATATGTGTACAGATGTGAAGGATGTGGCCAAGAGTAAGATTTATCCCAATTACAAACTGATTGTTTCAGAATCCGGCGTCACTCGAAATCATTCAACGTCCAGCGCCATGTCTGCGGCATTTGTCGAGGACACTTCAAACTTGAGGTGCGATATTTTTATCGTTTTGCCAGAAATAAGCTTTAGGTCCTTTCGCACGGCGTCTACAAGCGACGCTCCCTCACCACCAACGCAGAACCGAAGAACCCGTTCGCCGCATTCGTAAAGGCGAATTATGGCTCGGTGAAGAACGGGACCCTGAAGCACAAAGAGGTTGAGTCTTGCCTCTTTTTATTTCTTATTGCCTTCAGGTTATGAGCATTTTATCGGCAAAGTGGAAAGAGGAGAGGGCCAAGCAGGGCCTACCGGAAGAGCCCAAACAAGATGAAAGCAGCGACCATGTTGACAGCGAGGAAGACGATGATCTGGTAATTCGCAGTAATTTTTTTGAAGGCTTGTTTTCAGGCCTCTCCCAACGATTTTCTGGACAAGGTGACATCGGAGCTGGAGCAGAGCCTCCTCATTGAAGGCCCAGAGGCGGATAGCGATTGAAATGGGTATTTTTGCATTTTCTGTGCTGCCAAAACTTTCATTATGCGATAAATAATTTATCACAGTTCTAGACTTTCAACCACTTGTGCACGTTTTCAAGGTCTTGATCAATTGTGGTCTCGCCCATGCTTTGAGCTTCGGCTTGGATATCTTGGTAGAGGGCGGTAGACCTGAAAAAGCAAACATAAACTTTGTCGTTTCGTGAGGCCGATATAAAAAAGCTGAAAAAAAACTTACAAATATCGCTCGCCGAAACTGTTGACGGCGGTCACGATGAATTTGCCCTTGTTTTCGGGGCGTTCGGCTAGCTATAAAATTGTTCGTTTAACAGTAATAGCAATTATTTTAATTGTAGTCTCTATAAAATTTAACTAATTTAAAGTTGAAAACTGTTTAGCGCCTCTAGAAATAGCAAATTTTCGTCAGGAAATCGAACTTTTGTTATTTTTTCTATTAATTGGAAAGTTAAACGGTTTAAAAAACACCTCGATTCAAAAAAATCGATACTAGGGAGCCCCATTGACTTACCCGCATGGCTGCGACGAGGTTGGCGCCGGACGAAATACCTCCAAGGATTCCTTCCTCCTTGGCCAGACGCTTCGCCATTGCGATGGCGTCATCTAACAAAGCTTTGTACCGATCGCGCCTACAAGTTTTACCGGAATGCACTCTGAGTGCTTCACTGAAGAGGGACTGGTCGAGGTTGTCGGGGATGAAAGCGACACCGATTCCCTGGATCTTGTGGGGGGTGTGTGGGAGGCCGTTGATCACCGACGACTCGTGAGGCTCAACCGGGTACATCTGAAAGTGGTTTTTTCCTTGGCTGATCAGTGGTTAAAACTACCTGTATGTTTGGGTTCTTCTCCTTCAGATAACGTCCGACTCCAGTGAATGTACCAGCAGATCCGACGCCGAAAACGCCAATGTCTACCTTCCCCTCGGTCTGCTCCCAGATTTCGGGTCCGGTGCTGTGGTAGTGGGCTTCGGGGTTCGAGGGATTCGAATACTATAAAATCAAAACCTTCTGACCGTGTCTTATATAATTCTATACCTGATTGAGCATGTGTGCATTCGGGATTCGGTCAACCAGCTCTGCAGCCCGTTCAACGGCTGCTTTGATGGCCGTCGCCGGGTTGGTGAGCACCACCAGCGAGCCGTACGCCTTCATCAGGGCTCGCCTCTCGTGCGACATTGAAGACGGCATCGTCAGGATCAGTTTGTAGCTGGAAAAGGCTTTTGGTATTGTTGTTTCTGGGAGGAAAAGCTGCGCGGAAGGGCTTATATAATACCATTTCTCGTTATTTTTAGCCTTCGCTCTCAATATAAATTCTCATATTGTGCATTGTTTTTGCTTACTTACTTAAAGAAAGGAGGCGGAAAAACTTTTTAATATTAAAAATTTCGCTTTTCATCGTAAAAATCGAATTTTTTTCCTCGAAATTTTACTTTTGGGGCTAGTTTTTAGAATGTTTTTGCATTTAAAAATAACGGTATAGGAGTGGAAAATAAGCTAGTTATATCACTAAACCTTGGAGTAAATTAATAAGTATCTGCGCTTACCCCCGAGCGGCGCACAGCATCGACAGCGCAATGCCCATATTGCCGGAAGTGGGCTCGACGAGTACAGTTTTTCCGGGCTGGATGATTCCCTTCTTTTCGGCGTCCTGAAGAACACACTTATTTTAGTAAGGTACGCTTTCAGCTTACGAAAAACTTTTCATTTTTAGGCATCACCCCACCTCAATCATCGCCAACGCGATGCGGTCCTTCACCGAGCAGGCCGGGTTGAAATATTCGATCTTGGCGGCGATGGTGGCCGACAGTCCCTTCGTGATCTTGTTCAACTTGAGGAGCGGCGTGTTGCCGACCAGCGACAGCGTCGACGACTGCATCTTGGTGCGGTTGTCGACGCGGGTGGCTAGCGCCTGAAAGGTGTTTTTTTGATTTTTGTGATTTTAGAGGCGGAACCTAACTTTAGCCGATCGCCTCAAGGGCCGCAATTATGTACTATGCACGATTTAGTCTGTTTTTAAGCCGTGTTTTAGTATAAAAACCTATTAAAAAGTATTACCTTTCGAATATTTTTGATTTTTTATCCTAAATTTCGTATTTTTAAAGGTTCCTAAAAACGTTTCTAACTTTTAGTGGTTAAGAACTGCCAATAATACTGGCAAAAATACAATATAAACGCTAACACATTTTTAGGTAGGTGTAGGCTGGGTAGCTTCTCCCCACTATAACAGACCAGTACCCTAACCTCTCCTAGACTTACCCGTGAGACAGCTCGAAGCGGTTTCGGTGTCAGCTTTATGGTGCTCATTTTTAGTATCTAAAAAGTAAGATATAAGTTTGAATTTAAGATTTTTAAGACAACCCAAAAGTTTAAAAGTCATTTGAGTGGATGTGATGATTGCCGATGTGCTGCCCATTATATAGGTCTGGGGATGGGCTGGGATAGGGGGTGGGGGCTGGCATTTGTGTGTGTTTGTTCGTCTGTCCATCACATCTGTCTGTTCTTCCTTCTCTACCCGGCTACATCAACTACACTATTTCTCCCACACTGAGCACAACCTCTGCACAACATTCGCATCGTGCAGATAGACCGTCTACCTGAGAAGAAACCAGACGTGTACCTAGTGGTCAATCGGGGAGCTCAAGGTAGTCTCTCTCTCTCTCTCTCTCTCTCTCTCTCTCTCTCTCTCTCTCTCTCTCTCTCTCTCGCTCTCTCTCAGTCTCTCGCTCTCTCAGTCTCTCTCTCTCTCTATCTCGCTCTCTATCTCAGTCTCTCTCTCTCTCTCTCTCTCTCTCTCTCTCTCTCTCTCTCTCTCTCTTTTTTTTTTTTACAAATTCACTCCAATCGGGAACAAGGTCGTATAGTTTCCGCCGCTAGAAAGATCATAATTTGCTGGGAGATGCGAGCAAGGGAAACACGTGGAAATCGGCCCTTTTTCTAAAACCTGCCCCCCCTTCTCTCTCCTCGGGACATACCGAGACACGCCAAAAAATCAAAGTTCTCGCACAGTTGCACGGATAATTGGGCCACAGCTACCGTATGCTAAACGGCACGTTTTTACGTTTAATCAGCGGTTTTTAGAACACTGAAATTTGTGCAATTTGACCAAAAAGTTGACAACCCTAATTTTCTTAGGATTTTTAAACCTAAGAACGGCGTGAAAAAGCTAGCAACTGGTGTATTATCAATTTTTGGCGCTTTCGGGAGCGATTGGGTAGTTAAATCCCCCCCCCCCCCGCTAACGATCCAGTACCAAAAGAGTTTTGTCTTATTAAATTTGGTTATTTTAGACCCTTGGTTTCGGATGTTTGCCCAAGAAAAGCCTCGAAAGCTTTGTTGTGTCCACCTGGTCACCGGCTTCTACTCTGTTTCCCCGGTTGTCATGACTACAGTAGCCCGACAAAGCTACCCCAAAGCGCCAAACCCACCGAAATTCTCTTGCTAACTTGAATTAAATTAAAATGGTAGGTTTATCTATTTTAATTGTTTAAAAGCTGGTTTAGTTACTCTCCCGCCTACGTCCCGCCAATCGGGCAGCAAAGGCGGCCGCTGAAAAGGGGAAGAAAAAGGTGGGTTCTTTCGCATTATCGGGGGGGGGGGGTAAACTTTTCCCACACCTCCAATTTTCACTAAACGTAAATTTCACTATATCTCAAGCGGAAATCTTTCTAAAAACGTAGAATTTTTGTCGTAATCCACCATTTTTGGTCGAAAAATTCGATATTTTTTGGATTTTTAAATATTTTTTAAGTTTTCAGACTTAGGAATAGAACAAGAATTTAGTAACAAATCCTCTATATTAATGTTTAGATTCCGGAGCTCGATGAATTCCTTGCCACACGAGACTACCAAGGTGCGATCGCGCTGCTCGAATTCCGCGTCAAATCCGGTGATCGGGATATGAGCACCGATCTCTGGCTCGGCCATTGTTTTTATCGTTCCGGGGATTATCGTGGAGCGTTGAAGTTATGTTATAAAAGTTATTACATAGGATATAAGAACAAAATTTGATGCGAATATAGTTAACGATTACGGGTGTAAAACAGGCGTTAGAAATAGGTTATTTTTCATTATCAACGGGTTAATTTTTGCATAATTGCGGACTAATTTTCTATTAAGCTTTTAGACATTTCTGGACTAACAATAAATTCCGTCGTCCCCCGATAACGTACTCAGGTCCTCGGGTCCACCCAAAATCCGGTTGTATTCCACCTGGATTTGGGGCGGAACGCATGGAAATACGCTGGATTCCGGATGGACGCACAGGGAATCGAGTGGAAACACGACGCAACGCGTGCCGCACGCGACGCGGCAAATGGAAATCGAGTGGAAACCGGGCGGATCCGGTTGATTTCCAACTGATTTACCGTGCATCCACCCGCAATCCGGTCGATTTCCACGTGGAATCTGGTCGCGTCCGCTACTGGAACTCCGATCGATTTCGCGATTGGACGCTGACCGGATTTCGGGTGGACCCGAGGACCTAAGTAAAAGAAACAAAATTGCGTAAAATCTCGTAAACTAATTTCCAGGTCTACGAATGGATGCTATCCCAAGAAAATTGCCCCCGTGAAGTGCACGTCTACATCGGATGCTGCCTATTTTTCATGGGACTTTATGCAGAAGCGCGTGACGCCGCTGAAAAAGGTACGCAACCACTGAATTTACCCTCATTATTATTTTATTATTTTACTGCTAATTTCAGCTGAAAAGAGCGAACTCCAGAATCGGCTTCTCTTCTATGTGGCCCACAAATTGATGGATGAACGACGTCTTTTGCAACACCATTCCCAGCTGAAAGATTCGATCGAAGATCAGCTTTGCCTCGCCTCGCTCCACTTTCTACGCACGCACTATCAGCAGGCTGCTGACATCTACAAGAAGCTGCTCGGCATGCATAAGTAAGAGAAATATATAATTTAACATTTTACTTTTCGTTGCCAGTCCAATTTAGCTAGGTTTGAAGCGGAAAGGCAATTTAGAAAACTTTAAAATTGTTTAAAAATTTGTTTCATTTGGCGGACTGTCTTCGGGAAACAGGTTCTTTCGCATTATTGGGGGGGGGGGGGGGGCTTTTTTATATCTAGAAAATCTTAGTAACGTAATATTACTCAATAATGTTTTTAGTAAAATTAACGATATTCCAAATCGGGAAACTAAAATTCGTAAAATTCGAGATTTTCCTCGAAAAATCGGTATTTTTGTATTAAAAAAATTTGAAAAGTTTTTGATTTGGATGGTTACGGGTAATTTTCTGTTTTTTTTTTTTAGAAACTTCATTGCGCTGAACGTCTACTTGGCCATATGTTATTACAAGCTTGACTATTACGACGTGTCGATGGTATGTTTATTATCGTAGTAACCCTTTTTACTTAATTCTTGCAATATTTTCCGGTTTTTAGTTTTATTATCGATTTTGTAGATTTTACAATAGAATTTCTAGAGTTAGAAAATTAGATTTTTAGAAAATGTTAAACTTTTAGAAGCTTTCTATTTTCCAGGAAGTCCTACAGGTCTACCTGAATCAATACCCCGATAGCGCTGCCGGCATCAACCTAAAGGCCTGCTGCCTCTACAAACTTTTCTCCGGGCCGACAGCTGATGTAAAATTAATAAAAAGAAATTAATAAAATTCACTTTAGTCGGAACTTGAGCATATCCGCGATTATTCGCTCTATCCATTCGCTCGAGATATGATCGCCCACAATCGGGTCGTCTTCAAAAATGGCGATGGCGCGCTACAGGTTGGATTTCTGGTATTGTGCTGTTAGCCGGGGGTGCAAATTTTTGTTTTTCCGCTATGAAAGATGACCTGTTAATAATAAAAAACGTCGAATAGTCTAAAATGAGTGAAAATTTCTAGAACTTTTGGAAAATCTAACATCTTTTGCCCAAGAATACATTAATTAGCCAAAATTTTTTAATTTTGGCTCTGCTTTTTATTTTCGAAGAAAAATATTTATGATGCTATGCAAAACAAACATCTTGATTTTTTTTGAGTTTGACTCAAAACTGCAGATTTTGGTCCAAAATTGAGCCGTAGTAAACTATATTTTTCTGTTTTTAAGTAGAATTAGGAAAGTTTATACGTCTATACATATTAAAAATAGTGAAAAGCGCGTTTTTTATCGATATTAACAAAATTTGATCATAATGTGAATATTTTGTGCCCCCACCCCCGATATTGCAACAGAACCCCGCATCTAGATCCTGCCCCCACTTCTCGACATTGTGCCGGAAGCACGCGTCAATCTTGTGCTCTACTATTTAAGACGAGGTGCCTTAATTCTGATTTTCGATCTAAACAGATTTTTAGACGAAATCGATCAGGCGCTGAGACTGGTGAATGATCTCGAGCCGTCACATTCTCCAGAATTTATCGTGAAGGCTATGACGTTCACGCTGCATGGACAGGCGAAGAAATCGGTCAGTCTGGGATTACGGTATTTGAGAGCAGTGTTTAGGAGGAACACCTCAAAACGGCCGAGCTTTTCTACAAGATGGTTGGCGAGTCACCGGCGGATTGTGGTAGGTTAATTTTCTAAATCGATTTCGTTTATGGCTTTGCATTATCGGGGATTATCTAGTAACATAGTTTTTTGTAAAGTTTAACTATATTTCATGGAGAAAAACTCCTCGCTTAATTATATAGTAAGAAAAACTATTTTTCTAAAAAACATAGACAATTGAAAATATTAATTTTCCGTCGGAAATAGGCCATTCTGTTAGCAAAACCAAAACGAAACGCTTACTATATTTATATTAGAGAACCAGGGTTGAAAAGCCGCTTCGCGACTTTTCAACCCTGGCCCTGTCTATCCCCATAATATTCTTCTTTCTGCATAATTCTCTCGAATCCCTATGAGAAACAAATGAAAAATGACACTTTACCTGATTATATAGGCTTCCCCCCACTTCCGGTGCATGCTAATTTTTTCCTAACAAAGAGGGTGGCCGAAATTTTTACAAAAACTGCAATTTAATATTTAAAGCAATTAATTTTGTAAAATCTGATAAGCGTGCAGTCATCCCAAAGCCATTACGCATCTAATGACGTATCATACATACCTTAAAAGCCTTCCCCTATCGAGATATCCTCCGGACATGGTGACGGAAGTTGCATGCAAAGTATCACACACACACACACACACACACAAACACTATTTTTTTATATATAGTAGGATTAGATACGCCCCCCCCCCCCCCCCGATAATGGAAAAGCACCCTTTTAATTTTTGAATTTAGATACAATCCCCGGACGACAGGCAATGGCGGCCTGCTTTTTCCTGCAAAAGCAATGGGATGAAGTGATCGTGTATCTGAACTCGATCAAGGTAGTTTACGAATAATAATATTAAAAAAAATCACCTTTTGTCGTCTCTTTTATAGAAAAGTCTAATACAGTAATTTTTAGCAATATTTCCTCTCGGACGACGCCTTTTTCCTAAACTACGCCCAGGCTTTGGTAGGTGAAAAATCATTGAAAACCTACGATAATTTAGCTGATGATGGGAAACTACGTTGAAGCGGAATCGATGCTCAACCAAGTACAGGGGGAGGAAAAGCGGCAGCCTTTATTCTCGCAGCTCCTTACCGCTTGTTGTAAGTTACGAATTTTTTTTTTTGAAAAAACTGATACACAACTTCAAATTGTTTTTTTTTACTGCTTTTAGTGGTGAAAAACAAGAAGCCACAGCTCGCCTGGGATTTGTTGAAGAGGACAAAAGCACCCGAGCAGCAGGCTTTGCTCAAAATCATCGCTAATGGGTGCTATAAGGTTAGATTTTGATCACATTGTGCCATTAAAATAATAAATACTTTAGATGGGCTACTTCTTCTACTCGTTCCTCGCCTTTGACCAGCTCGAACGGCTCGACCCGACTCCTGAGAATTGGCAGGGCAAAAAGGGCGCCACCGCCGGGCTTTTCAAGCAGTTGGCGCACGATCATGCCACTAGGTAACTTAGTAATGGTAGTTTTGAGCCGAACTTTTTCCAAAGATAAAAAAACGGTTTTATGCTACTCCTAACACTTTTAGATTCAAATAAAAAGGCGAAAAATCGATTTTTCAACCACATTTTTTGAATTTTTAAGTTTTTTTTCAGTTTCCATATCTTTTCCACTTTAAATTTAGCGCAAACGTCAAAGGCACTATTAAACAACGAAAAAATAAATTGCAGAGAGCAAATGTCGGAGGCGCTATCCCTCCTCGCCCAAAGCCGTCAACCCCAAGCCGAGCAGATCGTCGGCGTTATTCGGGGCTGGGCGCGCGAGAATGGACTCCATTTGTAAAGCTATTTCGATTGTCGAATAAATTTATACACTCCGAAAAGTTTTATTCCTTTAGTGTCTAGTGTTGCCAGGTAGATGATCATCTGGCGGGTCGAACTCGACGACCCGGATTTGAGGTCGATATGCCGAGCCGCGTTGTCTGAAATTTTCCGCTTATTTATTCATCGAAAAAGCCAAATTTCTATGTCGTTAAAATTCCTGCTTTTTTTCGACAAACCTAGCAGCACTGCCGGGTCTTGAGACCCCGTTCGAGATGGCATTCAACGAGATTGGCACTGGTTCGTCGGGATCTCGTGCATCTAAACATTGGATACGATTTTTCGCTGGAAACTGGCATTTTTTTCTCAAATTTCAAATATTTATTTATTTCGTTTAGCATTTATTTTTATTATTTCTGTTATTTTTTTAATCAAAACCAGAAAACCCACTGCAAAACCTCTTTGCAATATACGCCTTGAAGTGCTCGTTGAGGGCGAGCATCGTCACCGTCCCGATCAGCCCGTGCGAGGAGAACGTGAAAAACGCGATGTGCGCCAATTCTGAAGCCATTTTTGGAAGCCGGCCAAGTTGGCTTACCTTGGACATTCCAGATTCGGAACATGATTATTAGCCCGATCAGCGCGCCGGGCTCCAGAATGGCCACCATCGGGACGCTCATCTGAATTATTGATTATTGGAGGAATCTCAATGTTGCTCACCTGCGTACTGAGGATCATAATGTACTTCCGGTGCGTCAATTGGGTCTTGAAGTTTGCGTATTTGTCCTTTCGCTTGAGAATGAGGGCCGTGTGGAAGAGGAAGGCTGTGATGACAATGACAAATGTCTATGAGGAAAAAATAAGTGGTTACTTGGATTACCGGTGGAGAGCTATTTTTTTCCTGCTTCCACAAATGGCTACTAAAGTCATAACCCGTTTCTTAATCGTATTTTTACGAATTTAACTATATTTAAAGCCGAAAACTAACTACAAAATCTTTAGATTTTGAAATTTTGTTCCAAAATTCTTTTTGTCGTCTTTTTTCATAAAATTTGTACAGTTTTAGGATTAAGAATAGTAAAAAAACGGCTTATAAATACTTGTTCTTTTCGATCATACAGATTTCGTACGTTATCATAAAGCTCCGGGCTTGTAGGAAAAATTCGGCTCCCCCCGTAAACGCTAAAGAGCCAAATCACACCACCCACCGTACAAAGTCCGCCACAAACGATCATATATGTGTAAAATAAGGGGTTAGTTGGCGGGTAGAAGACCAATAGATTTGGTACATGCATCACAGTCTCGTAAATGTCATAATGCTGAAATGGCCAATTAATAATTCCCAGTTCGGCCCTACCATCACAATTTGCTCCCTGGCCTCGGTTTGATTCTGGATGGTCCGCGGAAATAGGACGAGATGGGGGACTAAGAAGAAAGCATACGCTGTGATTAGGAAACCAGCCTGAAAGGATGGCAATTATCCTATGAGTGCTAATACCTTCAATGTCCTCGAAAACTTCATGAAATGTCCGGTTGGGACAACCATTTGCCAGCGATAGAATAGGACGTGAAAGACCGAGGCTATCGTTAGAAAAAGTAGGCAAGTCGCTACTAACTAAAAAGAAACTGTTTGGGGTATGAGTTCTGGTTCGTTAGCGGGGGGGAGGTTATCCGGTGGAAAAAAACGAAAATTTCAAGTGTTCCCGTAGATGCCGGATAATGAAATATAAACACCTTTAATAGCATTTTAGGCCTTGTTTAGCTCTCAAAATTTCCTAAAAATTCTAACATTTTTCGAAAACTTTTATTAACTAATAACTGTCAATGAAAATACTTTTTTAATACAATAGCTATTAGACTCAATAAAGGAAATTAGGCCCTCTCCCCCCCCCCCCCGCTAACGACCCAGAACCACTAAAAATGAGCTTGCCATTAACACTTCAGTGGGAAGTGCACTAGCCAACATTCCAGTCGGATATCCGACGGGCATCGGAAAGAAAAATACTGGGGTTATCATCAAGCCAGCAAAAACGTCGAGAAGCATAGACCAAATCTAAATTAACACCTAACTAAAAATAAACGTGATCAATCTCCTCATGACACTTGATTAATTAAACACGACACCTGATGATTGGCCAGATGCCATTTGTCTTGAAATGGGTGGGCGACTTGAACAAGATGACGTACAACCCGAAACAGTTAACCAACAATCCCACCGACGAGACGCTCTTCGTCATCTAAATAGCTTTCAGAAAAACCTGCCGTGATCAACCTGTAGATAGAATTCGGGTCTCCTGTTGAATGTGATGTTAAACGGATCGAAGGGCGAGAAAGGCATCGTCAGCTAGCACAAGACGACGCTCAATGACACCACCGACGCGAGACCCGGCAATTAAGAGAACTCGGCATGGTTGGTGTTGAGCAGGTGGCTTTTCGGGTGTCGGTTGCCTAGGGAGAACCCGCGGTAGCGCGCTAACAATGGCTCCAATCCGCATCCGGACCAGTGAATAGGGAAGCGAGCAGATAACTCTGAAGAAGTGCAAATGCCCATAATACAAGATTTAACCATTGTACCAAGAATACCGACGCCAAAACGGGTCATTGAAAATCTCTTGAATCCACAATTTGGGGTGCTAATTTCGGGCTGAAGCTCACTTTAGGTATTTTTTTGACTGAAAACGTTTTATGTCGCCGAGCTACGCAGTTTTCAGTTGAAAAATGTGTGTTTCTTTTGACATAAGTGAAGTATGCGAGGCATTTTCAGCTTATAAATTCTCCCAGGCTTTTTTTTCAACTGAAAACGCTCTAACTCGACGAGACACATCGAATCCAGTCCAAAAACACATTTTAACAGAGTTCAAAGTGCCGTCTCGGCATTTCCTGCATGAAAGACCCTTTATTATTAGGCATAAAAACAAACGAAAAATCACAGCTGCACTTTTCAATTGAATGCGGCCCACGGCGGCACGATCGGGGCTGGGTTCTGGAGGTAGGACATTACAACGGCTGAGATCGACAACCTGAAACAACCCGAAAATGAATTTTTTCAAGATCACTCACATAAAACTGGAGACAATCTGCTTGGTATCATCGAAAGAGCGCGTGTTGGCGAACGAGATGCACGAGCACAGCAACGCCGCCCAAGCACACCATTTCATCTTGAAAATAATAATTAGAGGGGCAAAAGAGACGCTAATATACCCTCATCATCAGCCCGAGCATGCTGAAGATCATGCCGAGGACGTTCATGTATTCGGGCATCGGGTCATCGCTGGCCAATGCGACAGCATTGTTCGGGTCGATGGCCTTGTATCTAAAGTAATAATTTCGACAAATTTCACACTGTACATTGTTATTTTGCTACTCTACTCTAGCCTTTTTAAATTGTAAATTTGATACTTTTGGTGTCGGCTTTTTGTGGGTACTTCTAAACGAGTTTTTGCGCTGATTTCGAATGTGGCGAAAATAGAGCCGGCGAGACTACAAAACGTTCAGGCCTAAAGATTTTAGCTTAAAATAAGTGTAAAAAAAGATTTTTCCAGATTTTATAAACGTTCTAGTTTGCTAAATTCATGCTTTTCTTCGGGCTCTACAGGACTGTCAGAACCGCAACAATGAAACGGACTGCAAAAATCCAACTAAAAACATGCGGCTCGTACTTATACATAAGCTACGGTAAGTTAATAATAAACATTTATTATAATTTTCAGGAATCTTAACGAATTGACAAGCACGCTATAATTCAAAGTTAACCAACCGTTGCACCTTGTTCGGCCTTCGCGGATCCGTAGGAGCCGGTTGCATGGGGCTCTTCTTGTCTGAAAATAGTTTATTTAGATAATTCTATGGAAATAAAACGAATTGAACCAAGAAATTGTCATATAATATGAAATATGGCAAAGCTAAGCCATAGAGTGGCCAATATTCGACCTTGGCCCGTGCGATTGTCGGCTATAAAGTACGAAGCGATCCTCTGCCTGCCCCAACCCTCTTGTTCGTATCCATCGCACCAATCAAATCGTTTCCTTTCTTCAAAAATTCGTTCCTTCTTCTAAACTATTTGATTTGCGCGAGCAAAAACAAATCATCAGCAACTCGCCCGAAAGGTGATTTTTCACGCCGAAATCGATCCAGAATGTTCAAAATGTCGAAAAATTTCTTTTTCGAAGGCTTCGAGAACCATGGGAAACCCGAATTTTTGAGATAACTTACGGCGAGTTGCTGAAATTACGTTTTTACTGATATTACTGACATTCACACACAACCTCTGAATATATAGATTTTACAAGCCAATTTTTTTCAGGTCGGAGAGTTCGTCAAGAAACGCCGGATCTTCATCGAAATCAACTTCTTTATCTCCCCCACTGCAACTCGCTAGCCCTACAAAATGACCGGCACAGAGCGAAAAGTCTTTCAGGTATGTAGCTCTTCGCCGTCTCGAATGGTTTTAGAAATACTACCCCCCGGACTTCGATCCGTCGAAGATCCCCCGCGGGAAGGGTGGCCGGAGTCGTCAGTTCGTCCAGCGTGTCATGGCACCGTAAGCTTTATGATTTTGGCTTTAACCATTATTACAGTTTCAATATGCAGTGCAACACATGTCGCGAGTACATCTACAAAGGCAAAAAGTTCAACATGAAGCGTGAGACGGCGGAAGGAGAATTCTACTTGGGGCTGAAAATCTTCCGCTTTTACTTCAAGTTGGTTCCGTTTGTATAGGCTATTATTTTTCTTTAGATGTCCCAATTGTTTGGCCGAGATCTCGTTCAAGACCGACTTGGAGAATTGCGACTACCAGATGGAGCAGGGAGCGACGAGGCTTTTCGAGGCGTTCAAATTGTATCAGGTTCGTCCGTAGTTCAACGATTGATCTGATTTATCGATATTAGCAAGCCGCTAAAGAGCAAGAGGAACGCGAGGCCGAGGATGCGAAGGATCCGATGAAAATGCTGGAGAAGAGAACCCAGGCCAGTCGAGCTGAAATGGAAATGGCTGGTATGTTTCAAAAAAAAATAATTCAGTTTTCGTTTAGGGAAACTGGAAGAGCTGCAAGAGCAGAATCGTCACACGGAAAGCATCAACCTCAACGACTTTTTGGCTGATTTTGAAGCCCAGCGGAAGCTGACGCTTGTAGAACGATTGCGTCTTCAAGAGCAAAAGGTAATGATCGTAACCGCTGTAACATTTTGTCAAAAAATCATACAATCCGCAATTTCAGGATGAAGAAGAGTTGAGGCAAATGTTCGACAAAGACGAGGACGGACTAATCCGTAAAAGAATCAAAGATGAGGATGAAGACGATGAGGATGCTAGTTTGCCTACTTCAAGGTAGTTTTATTATATTAAACACTCCAACGTCAAATTAAGCCGTCTGAACACCCTGAAATGGGAGAGCAACGACAGTAAGGATGACGCAAAACCTGGTGGTGATACAAAACGGATACGTGACACGCAGAAGGAACTCTTGTCGAAGCTTGTGAAGCGCAAGAAAACAGAGGTAAGCATTGCACTAGACCGCTGATAGTCCTTTAGCCAAACATAAAGCAAGAGGCAAGCGATGAAGCTGCTACACCACCCGCCGATCCACCAAAAGCTGCAACTATAGCACCACCGTCAGCTCTCCTTGGCCTAGGAGCATATGGAAGCGGCTCCGATTCAGAATAATATATTGTTGTATTATGATCCAAATGCGGGTAATGTTGATGATTTCAGTAGCTGATGTTTTATTGAAGTGATCGAGTAAAATAATAATTTCAAGCCATCGGTATCGAGGTATCAATACAAGGGATGAATTACAGAGATGACAGATATTTTTAAAAATGACCCAAAGGTCCAGTAAACGATTGGCACATATTGATCGTAGAATTGGTTTCGCTAGACTTCCGGTCGATTGGCTTTCCTGGGGTTTCCGGTGCGAAGTTGGACATGGATTCTTGCAATGGTTTGCGAGGAGCGAGAGTGCTAAAAGTACGGTTTCGAAAGAACTCTATGACCAACCTGTCTTCATTGGAGATGGATTTGGATGTGTGGAATGAGCTGTCGTCGAACTTCAATTTTGGCATGGCCTTTTTGCTCGAACCGGTCAGCTTGGCGTACATACTGCGGGAGGGGGACAGGGAGGTTCTAAAGAATGCAACGGACGAGTAAGGATAACTACCTATTCGGACTCGAGAGTTGGACGATGGAACCGTTGAGACCACGAATTTCCTCATCCATCAGCGCCGAGTGCACCTACAACATGAGTAATTCCTCTAAGAAAGCTTTACCTCATCGGTGGCTGCTTTGCTCTGCATGACAACCTTCGCAGCCTCGTTCGACGCTTTGAGAAATTGCTGTTGAGCCGCCTGCAGCTCCCTCGCAAATTCCAAAATTTCTTCCTCGGTCGCTCGTCGGTTCTTGACCAGTTGGTTGCGTAGTGAGGCGAGGATGCCCTGTTTGTCGCGAATCAACTGGTTGCTGGATTCCTTTGCGCCGGATGCCTTCAGTTGGGCAAGTTCCCTGCAAATACGATAAGACGCAGAGCGGGAATTCCTACCCTTCAAGCTCTAATATTTTAGCCTCGATTGTTGCCAGATCCGCTCGATGGTTTTGCAGAGCAGCAGTGTGTGCTCGGTGAGCGGCAACCATGTCGATCTCGATGGTGCGAAGATCTTCAGCACATGCATCGATATCTGAATTTCAAAAAGTCAAGATAAACTTACGTTTCGTTAAGCGACGTTGCAAAAAAACTGATAAAGGACTTCTCCCCAAATAAAAAAGTTACCGGTTCGAACATGGTCGAGCATGGATTCCAGATTGATCAGCTCGAGATTTTCTTGGCCGAATTTATTGCTGGACTCGCGCAGGTCGGCAATGTTCTGCTTTGCTGTATCGAGCAGCGCGGCAGTCTTCCGCAGCGCCTCACGGTCATTCCTTTACGATGGATTATCCAACCGTAAAATAAGCTAACCTGATGTCCTCGACATCTTGCTTGGATTTCTGCAGACCGTCCCTGACCTCATTGCGCAATTCGAGTTGCTCCTCCTTTTGTTTGAGAATCTGCAACAAGAAAGGTAAACCCAAGAAAGTTGGACGCCACCAATTGCAGGTCGTCGACAATCGAGTCTTGAAGATCCTTCTCTTTCTGGGCCAGCTCTTTGTTGCGCTCCTCGTACTCCATCTAAACGACGGTGATGCCGCAAAATAATGAAAAACCTTTTTCTCCTCTTCGTGCTTTTTCTCTTCTTCCGCTTTCTCGTTGATAGCACCGAGCTCATCGGCCCGCTGCTTCTGGCTTTTGAGCTCCGTAATGAGCTTATGCGTATCCTCGGAAAGCTGATTTTCACGCCGCATCCTGGCCGCCTCTTCTCTGCGCTCTTCGGCCAGTTTTCGCTCGATGCCTTCTGCCTAAGAAAAACAAGATATCTGCCAATCCAATGTAAATACCTGGATAAGCGCGTCCTTGTACTGTCGAGACTCTTGTTCTTCGCTTTGCTCTAGTTGTTCCATTGGCCCTTCGAGCCGTCCGAATGTGTCGAGCAGCTGCACAAGCAGCGAGAGCATAATTCTTGTGCGTTCACGGTCCGGCTCAATGAGATCATGCATCTCCAATTGGAAGTCGAAGAAATCGTTGTAGACGGTCGTCCTGAAGGTCTATTGAGAAAGCGGAAAGGGGGCGCTTACATGGCTCTGTAGAGCACACACAACGGCGTTACATTCCGAAATAAGTCGCTCTCGATATCGCCGTTAATCTCGGCACTGAGTGGTAGGTAGTTCAGTGATTCCTCCAGGATCTCGTATTCGTGGATCAACAGCGCGCGAAAGATAGCCCAGAGGCGTTCTGGCTGGAAAAAAGAGGGTGAATAAAATAAGGGTCAAGGGTACCTGTGGATTAGCGATACATTCTGGCGTCAAGGCGGGGTCTAGATGGTTGAGAGCCCTAGCGATCTGGCGCGGATCGTAGCGGGGACAGTTAACATTCTCCCCGGCTTGCATCTAGGAAGGATATGCTCGAGTTGAAACGAAGACAAATGATGTTTGAAAAAAAGGTGAAAAACTTTTCTGCAATGCCCCAATTTTTTCTCATATAAAACAAAAAAGTATTTCTGGATTGTTTATGCTATTCCTAAACATAAAACCGTCATAGAAACATAGAAATATCATGGAAACAAAAAAAAGATTTTTCGAGCGATCATGGCCGACCTGCCACCAAATTTGAAAATTCAAGCGCCTTTCGAAGTTTTCTAATTTCTCCCCCGGGAACGCTTTTCTATCTGAAATACCAGAAAAGCCGATCTCGAAAAAGAAAAGTGAGAATGATGCGAGAAATTCGGCTTCTTTGTAAATCAGCCTTCATGCTACGGTACTACGGAACGCGCGCAAAGTGTAATACCGGAATTTGTAGTTAAACTGTAATTTCTAATGACCTTTTTTTAAAGATAAAATTGTATTTGGTTGTTTTCTCAATGGAAGTATCAAGGCAAAAGGTTTGAATGGGCAGCACACGCGCCAAAAGGGCAAGCCGGACACAGCAAGGGTTGGTTGGCCTATTGGTGAGGCACGACTACCAGACCCAACAGGGTCTATTCTTTGACTCCAAAACTCTGCAACACAAATTCACGGCGATGTAGAGCAATATAAACGTCCACTGCATACCAAATATCTCAGGACAATATTTATCTAACAACATAATAGATCACATGCCAGACGGCACCGAATTATTAAAAGGCCATCCGCGGGTCACTCGAACAGACCCCCTTAGGGCTTGGCACAGTTTTTTTCGATCCGGTTTTTTCGACGTCATGTGAAAGAGCATGGTCGAATTAGTAGGACTGCATGGTTTTTAGATTTTTAAAAGTTCATTTTTGGGGTTTAAATGACCGTTAAAGTCGTTCACCCCAAAAAAATTATCTTTGAAGTTACTCAACCAAATTTGCTGAAAATTTGTGTCCATACCTAATTTGGCGCGGGGATCATTTTTCTAATACATTGCTAAGCCCGAAAATCACCGGAACATAGGAATCTCGCGTACTCAAAACAGTTTTTCAAAATTTTCTATTTTTTAGAGTGTTGCCTGTAACGTGAAAATAACATAGAAAGATGCGCAAAAATTTTCTGCATCAAGTGTTGTATTTTCTAGAGTGCAGTGAACACTCTAAAAATTGCAAAAATAACAGTTTCTTAAATGTGAAAGTAGCCCTGTACGTCGAAGACGCCTGCGTATTATAGAAAACAGACTCGTGCATGCCTTCTTAAGATAATTCCCGACCTAATACAAAAAATCGGAAAAATAAATTCCTGTTCTAAGAGAATCTAACGAGTTACTGGAATCGAACTCGCGATGGGTCGCCTGGGGGGCTCTGGGGACAACCACTAGAGGGGCCGCCGCCTCCCAGGCGAACGACCCGAGTTCAATTCCAGCCCCCTCTTAGAAGCCGAATTTCTTTTTGCTCTTTTTTGCATTCGCCGTGATTTGGGCAGTAGATACAAATCTATGCTTTTCCCTCCAAACCTGATCAAATTTTTTATTTTTGGCTGGAATCAAGGCCGTTTTTGTAGTTTTTAGAGTGTTCACTGCACTCTAGAAAATACAACACTTGATGCAGAAAATTTTTGCGCATCTTTCTATGTTATTTTCACGTTACAGGCAACACTCTAAAAAATAGAAAATTTTGAAAAACTGTTTTGAGTACGCGAGATTCCTATGTTCCGGTGATTTTCGGGCTTAGCAATGTATTAGAAAAATGATCCCCGCGCCAAATTAGGTATGGACACAAATTTTCTGCAAATTTGGTTGAGTAACTTCAAAGATAATTTTTTGGGGTGAACGACTTTAACGGTCATTTAAACCCCAAAAATGAACTTTTAAAAATCTAAAAACCATGCAGTCCTACTAATTCGACCATGCTCTTTCACATGACGTCGAAAAAACCGGATCGAAAAAATGCTGTGCCAGCCTCTGTTCGGTTGGCTCGCAAACGGCCTTTTAAATTAAGCGATACAAATTGTTAGACGTCGATTTCGTCAAACTTTGCCATCTCGCGTGTGATCGCCTCCAGCTGAACCAACGCGGCAGCCATCTGGGCGATCCGCTCATCGGCTTGCGCCACGGAGTTGTCACTGAAAAAGGGGATTTCACGTTCAATAGCTGCGAACAAGGCAACAGTGGAGCCGAAACGTACATGCTCTGTGAATTCGTAGCTTTTCGGTTCTTGACTGCGGCCGGCCGCTCTGGCTTTGGAGCTTGCGGGGTATCTGGAAAAGAACTTATTTTTTTTTATACCCTGTCCCCCAGGATACCAGCAGAATTGCAAAAAAAGGTATCCCACCGATTTTTGGCAGAAATAAAAAATGCTAAAAAACGACGCCAACCTATTGGAGAGATCAGGGGCCGGGATGGCGGCATGAAACTTGGACGACGATCGTTTCCGATCGGCGTTGCCTCCTGGAAAACAACAGTTGGAGAAGTTCATAATAGTTACCTCCGAGCGTGGTGTCATCGGGCGAGTCAGAGGCGAATTTTGGCTTCCCGTCGAGCGGCGTCTTTCGGTGCGCGGGTCTGCGGCCGGCGAACTGACGGAAAGTCGCTGAAATCGAGTAATTGTAAGCTTGCGACTGCTGCACGGACCCTTGGAGTAGAGCTGATGGGAGATTGTGATGATGTTCCCGGTTCCTGGCTTGAAGACGCAGTGATCTGAAAAAGAGCCTAAGCATTGCGAGGCGCTTACCTCAAGTGGGGCCAGTCCCGGCCAGGCAGTTGACTCGCGCGAACCAGATCTATTCTAAAATCTTTTCATTCGATTTAGGCCAAAATCTTGCCCTAGGATCGGCCGTCTCCTCTTCCACTTCTTTGCCATGGGCCAAATACTTGTTTTGGTTCAACTGCGGCTTGATGAGGGGCACCTAAATAAAAATTACCAAAAAACGGCCACGGTCCCACCTTGGCGCTCTTGCTCTTCCTATAGGCGCTCTCCAACGGCGTATGCCCAAGTGCCGTAATTGCGTCGAGTGGTCGAAACATGTTGTATTCGTTGCGCTGTTCTTGGAGCTCCTGGAAAGGCTCGGAATTGCGTACCGAGGGCCAAAGCCAAACCTTTGAGGCGAGCACCGGCATGCCGTCCACGAATTTCGGCTTGTCGTCCTTTTTGGGCTTGGTCTTCGATTTGCTCGAGCCGCCGGTACCTAAAAAGTTAAATAATCAAAATCATCAAGCTAGATTCTGAAGATATACAACACACTGTACATGATTACACTTTTAAATGTATGATAAAACTTACCTCTTAGAGCATCATCAAACGAGATCGAAGGTCGATTCTTTTTCATCTTCTTCAATTCTTCCTCGCGGAACAGGCGCTTGCGGCGATCGACGTCCGACTAAAAAAAAATGTTTTTCATTAAACAAATATATAAACCTCTCCAGGATGAACTTTAGCCTTGTTCGTATCGTCTTTGACTTCTTCTTTTTTTATCGTCTCTTCGACCGCTTCGACCGGCTCCTCTTTCTGTCTGCGTGGGGGCGGTTTGCGCCATCCCTTCTAAAACTTCGAATAAGCCAGAAGACACCACCGAACCTTTCGCTCCTCATCTTCAGCCTTTCCAGATGACGTTTCAGGGTGCGAGGTAACCGTGGGACTTTTCGTTTCTTTCGGCGCTTCCTTACTATCTTTGCTGCCGGAAGTTTTTGACGAATCCTAAAGCCAAGTTCCCGGAAACTGGCTTAAATGGAACCTTTTCGTCTTTGGAGCCGCGCTGCTTGCTCAACAGAGGGATACGGCCTATAGGAGGGCTGAGTGGCGCAAACGGGGCCGGAGTCGCCTCAGACGTGTCTTCCTTTTTGATCTTTTTCTGCTCGGTGTCGACCGTAATGTTCTAAATAGAGAATACGTAGAAAACACAATCTACAAACCTCTTCAAATGAAGTGGACGGCGCCACCGACTCAGTCGCAACCGGCTCTTCCTCAACTTTTTCTACAAACAAAACTTTTTACGAATACTTGACAAAATTCTACCCTCGAACTTGGGAACGTCTTCAGGCGTTTTCACATTATCCTCTTCCTCCTCCTCCTGTTCGGCTTTCACATCATCATCAACCTTCATCGGCACAATGACCGTCGTCCCATCAGCCCCTGGAATGATCGTGGAAGGGCCTAAAACAAACCCCAATTCTGCCCCGGTCAGCTGGCCCTACCAGGAATTCTGAGCTCATCTGGGAGGACATAATCAGCGCTTGGGACGGGGCTCGCGGTGGAAGATCGGCGGCTTTCTATCTTCTCGGCCAGCCGCTTCCGGGCCTGACGGGCGTTGGAGCGTAGCCGAGATGTGTTGCAAGGGATTTGGCACTGCGGCACATAGGTGCTGCAAGTGTCGCGACGGTGCTCCTAAGAAACGTTATTGTTCGTTGGGAACGCCGGTGCTAATGCACTTGGGGGGCAGTCCAAAATTGGTAGTAAAGGGTTACGAGACGCTCCGCTTAAGTTACTTGGTTTTCGGCTTAAGCCTAGGCTTAACTTAGCTTTAACTAGGCTTACCTTAAGCTTAGGCTTAAGCTTAAGCCCAAGTTAAGCTTATCTTGAGCTTTGAATTGCCTCAGGAGGTCAAAATAGGGTCATTTAGGGCTAAGCTTAGAGCTAAGCTTAGCTTGGCTCAAGCTAAGCTCAGGCTTTGTTTGTATGAAGCTAAGCCTAGGCTTAGGCTTGGCTTAGGTTTTCCAGAGGCTTCGAGTTTAAAAAACGGCATTTGGAGCATCTTGTAGTCAAAATTCGGACTGCCCCCCCCCAAGTGCATTAGCACCGGAACGCCTTACCAAAACTTTGCCGAAGCAGTTCAGCAAGCTGGCGGGGCGAGTGACACCGAGTGGCACTGTCACGCGTCCCTTGTTGCACATGTACTCCCACAAAACGGTCAGCTCGGAGAGAGCCTTCGGGGTGATGGTCCGGACGAATTCTGGAAAGTAGTCCCGGGAATTTAGGTACTTTCGCATTAGCAGGGGGGCAACGTTTTTCTTAAAACCACGGTTTGAAAAAAATAAGCCATCACAAATTTTGATAAAAGAAAAACGAAAAAAAACGGTTTTTTGAGGGCACAATTTCAATACTTGGACAAAACTCAGCACCCCCCCATAGTGCCAAAGAAATACAATTTGAGAAACTTACCATCCTTGAAAACAATTTTGCCATCCGACGACTCGTCGATTGGCAGCTGATGGATTGCAGGGAGTGAAGGTTCGAGCACCGGAGCCTGAAAATGCCTTTAATCAAAAGTTAATGAAGAAACAACCTCGTCCACGGGGTCGTAGTAGACGAGCGGATCGGGCGATTCGTCCGGATCATCCGGAGATTCCTCCTTGAAACATTGACAATTTGATATTTCGTTACGAGCAAACCTCCATTCCAAAATGTGACTCTTCCAGCACATTATTGGCAGCAGCAGACGAGTCGCTGTGCATGGCTATGCGACGAACAGTGGACGAGTCTAAAAAAAGGGGGTTTGAATTGGAATTAAAATCCACCATCAGCTTGTGAGTCCTCGTCTTGGGAGATGACCACTTCCGGATAGTTGCCTTCTTTTATCTAACAAAATAGAAATAACCTAGCAGTTTTTTTAATTAATTTACCGGAATTAAATGCCCTTTCTTCTCGAGCCATTTCTTGCCGGTGAAGTCGTAATTGAGAGCAGGGCGGCGGATCGGTCTGCCAATAAACGTCTCAAAAAGTAGAAAATTACCTGGCGTAACGTCGTCCCGTTGCCTTTTCTACCAGGTCTGCCATAAAGTAGAAGAAGACCTCTTCGATGTAAGGGAACCGATATCGGTTGGCGAGCTAAGAGGATTATAATGGGAAATGAAATATTTTCACAAACCCGAACCCGGCTTTCACCGAGGATCACGCGGACCTGCATTGACGCGTTCATCGTGTGAAGAAAATTCCCTCCAAAAACGAGAGAATTAGCCGGGGTGTAGACAGAGTGAATCCAGCCTGAAACAGTTTTAGAGAAGGTGAAAATTAACACTACCGGCGGGGATGATCAATGTATTCCCTTCCTTCACCGTCACACGCACACATTTATCCACGGCTTCGCCTGAAAATCGAATTTTGAGCTCGATGGCTTGATCTAGATTACCAAAAAATCCAGATTGCGATTGATTTTTGAGGTACTCTTCGTAGAGGGTTATGTTGTGCTCGGTAGGCTCGACAATGAAGAAGATCTAGAAAAAGAAATGAAGAATCGGACTTATATTCCACCTTTTCGCCCTTGAGCACGTGGTACCATACAGATGTTCCGCCAAAGTCGATGTGGAAGTCAGTGTACGACTTATTTGGTGACATTAGGCAGTAGCTGAAAAGAAGGATTTATCCTTAGTATTTATTAAAATAAACATCCGTGATGGTTCAAAACTTACTATCCGATTTTTGGAAAGCTGTGATGTGTACGATAGAGGCCCTTCTTGTCGAAGGAAACCGATTGTCCGCGCAGCTTATCCGGCCAATACTTGTCGGTCCAGTCGATTTGGCGCACCTACAACCACATCAAAATCAGCCTTTAGAACTCACGAGTTCCGGGCTTTTCACCAAGTCGTAGAGTGGAGTCAGCTGAAATTCCAGCGACAAAACGTTGTAGACCTGGTCTTTCTCGTCTTCCGGTAGGCTATGATCATGGTAAGGGCTAGGCGGAAAAAACGTACTCGTAATAGTCGGCAAATTTTCCCAGCGACCAGACTTCGCTCTCTTGATCCTTCACCCTGATGATGTCTATTGCGCGGTTCCGACCGACCATATCGGCCACCATCTGGACAGTCAATGACTTGTCAGGAACTCTAAAGAGAAAGAAATCATTCTTGCCACGTTAAGTATAATTTCATTATACTAAGAATAGCTGGAATAATAGTAAAAAATGCTATCCGCTCGTGAAGCTGTTAATGAACATAGGGTTTCTAGATATATCGCCGGTTAGAAAGAATACATTTGGCAAAATGATTTTAGAAACACTATTGTTAATTCACTCACGTCATCCCCAGCTCAGAAGGCGGGCACGTAAACAATAACGGACGGCCGATACCAAATTCATTGTAGTATTCCATAGTAAGCTCTAAACACAGTTTTTGAACATCGAGTTATCACTACCAGCCGCTTCCATGATCTTGAAGAGGCCGGGTGCATTACTTGGATCGAAGCGCGGGTCGACCAGCAGGCCGGGCAAATTGTACCTGTCGAGTATAGTAAATTTGACCTCATCTTACCTATCAATTGGTGGAACAGTATCCTCTTCCATAAAATTGATTGCCCAATCGACATAGTCGTCCGCATCGACCTCATCTTCGGAGGAATCACGTCGCTAAGCGAGTTTATCAGTAAGCGAAACAATCATACCTTTTTGCCGCCGGAACGCCGCTTTGCTGGCGCCTTCTTCTGACGAGCGGCCGGCTTCTAAACGAGACTTTTGATAATAGGTTGATGAAATCACCTTGGGAGGCGGTGGAGGGGCTTCTTCTTCCTTTTCTTCCTCTAGTCCCGGGTCAGCCACCTAAATTCAGGGTAAGTAATAGCATTCAATCAAACCTGTGATCCACCAGGTGGCGGACGGGGCTTTGGTGGAGGGCGCTTGCGCTTGGGCGGCATTGTAGAATGCTGAAAATGAGGATAGAAGAGGATAATATGAAAATGGATAAAATCGAAAAGGAGAAGAAAGTCAAATCAAGGAAATCAAACGAATGTGAGGCGCGGGACTCTACAAATTTTGCCTCGCACTTTTGACCTTCACGTCTTCATATTTCTCTCTCCCCGCTTCTTCCTGCTACTTCGACGAATTCCTAAAAGCTCCCCAGGTTCTATATAGATTTTCGAAGTGGCGCATAGAGATTAGTACATGTAATGGGGACCCTGGGTGCCTGTCTTCGCCTGCGCTCTCCACCCGCCTATTCGATGGAACAGCCGGAAATTACAGTGGTGAGCTCATCCGGTTGAAAAACGGGTTACGGCATTTTGAATCCGGAAGAGCTGTGTCGTTGCAGAACGGGTCGGCTTCAACCTATTTCTCTACCCGGACGTGATTAGCCACTCGATTCAATCAGGGCCCCATCGGGTAAGTTGTGACACGGCGATGGAACGCAGTGGCTTTTAGCCGCGGCATTGTGATGTTGCAAAAGGAAATTTATTGCTAGCAAAAACAAATTATGATTTTAGGAGGACGATTCCAAGAGTAGTTTTACAAAATTTGGATCCTAACGAGCCCCGAGACGCCTCGGCGCGCCTTACGATAACTTACGAACGAATAGACTAAAAAAAACCCGGTTTTCAAAGTTGTGAACAGCAAAAAAAATAGTAAAAATGAGCTGTAAAAAATCGAGGCTTTTCGGAAAGGAGGGCGGCGATTAGTGCAGAACATGAAAAAAGTCGCATTTGCGAAGGGGTCGCCTCGCCTCGACTCTAAAGTGCGCGCTTCGGCGTGAATTCACCGCTACGGTCGTCCGACGATTTTCGCATTCGGCCCAAAAATCCAACCCACCCCCCTCCCCCGCCTTCGAATGTTCGCCTTTTTCATCCAATGTGCGTATTACTTGCCACATTCCCAAATGGCTCGGTTACCGATGCATCCGCCCTTTGGAACAACGCTAATTTTGAGTGGTTTAGGCATGAAGAGGGCCACAAGTGAAAATTCCGGTGGTAGCACAGGCGAGAGCAGCGGCCATAACACGCCCGAGAACGACGAGCAGCCGGTGAGCAATTGTTCGTGAGCCCGGCTCTTGTCTCGCTGAGGGTCCAAAAAAAATCCTGTCCATCCTTGTTACTTTTACCGTTTGATCTGCTAAAAGATAACATGGGGCTAACCTTTGAAAAGCAGTTCCGGGAACCGCATGAATTCGCAGCCCTTATCCCGCGCCCAGGTTTACACTTTCGCACTCTCATCCCAATCTTCAAAGCCATCGGGGACCAGCTAATGGGTTTATGTTTACCTTGCTTATCTCTTGATCTCGACGCTCCTCTCGAATTTAACCTGCTCTTTAGACCCAATTTCTTCATTCCGTCCCGCGAAGTCATTTTTCCGATTTAGTTTCCGCCACATAAGCGCCTGCTTTCGGGAGCCGACGACAAAGGAGAAAGCGACACCGAAGAACTTAGGCAAAGGTATTGACGTAGTTTTGGGTTAGAACTAGCTTTTTGTAGAATGAACGGTTGCGCGCGTGAACCGATTGATCTCGAAAAAGAGGAGAAGATCGCGATTCTGGACTTTGGTGCTCAATATGGAAAGGTATTTTGAGGGCTGATTTGCAGGTGATTTTGTTTAGGTCATTGATCGTCGTGTTCGTGAGAACAAGGTGCTTTCGGAGATGTTCCCCCTTTCGACGAGTGCCAAGGAAATCCTCGGCAAGGGACATTTCAAGTAACTTGATAATTTTTGGCTTTTATACATGCTGTTCCAGAGGGATCATCATCTCCGGCGGCCCCAACTCTGTCTATGCCGCTACAGCAGCTTCGGTAACTTTGATTTTGATTTTATTGATTTCAAGTTTAGATTGACCCCGAAATCTTCACCTGTGGTTTGCCGGTGCTGGGAATCTGCTACGGCTTCCAGGTTTGCTTGCTTTCACTGTCTGAAGTTTTTTTTAGTTGCTCAACAAGTGGGCGGGTGGCGGAGTTGGCCGAGAAAAAGTGCGCGAAGATGGGCAAACAATAATTCAAGTCGATCCAGAATGTACGCTTTTCAAGGGACTACAACCGCTGGAAACAGTACATCTGCCTTCGCTTCTTGTTGATCCGTATTCTAGGTCCTTTTAACCCATGGCGATTCTGTCAATGAATCTACTGTGGCGGCCGGGTTCAAGGTTGTCGCGAAAAGCGGACAGCATGTTGCCGGTATGACCAATGTTTGTAATGCTTAACCCTGTTGCAGGGCTTGCCGATGAGGGTCGCAAACTCTATGGAGTACAATTTCACCCTGAAGTCGATCTCACATTGCATGGGCACGAAATGTTCAAAAACTTCCTCTACGAAATTTGTAAATGTCATGGCGGGTAGGTTTTGGAAAGTTTACATTCAACCGGCGTTTAGATATACGATGCAAAATCGTGAAGAGATGTGCATCAGCGAGATAAAGCAAACTGTTGGAGCAGTGGACAAAGTTTTGGTAAAGTTTTCGCCCTAATCCACCAATCCTCATTAGGTCCTCGTCTCCGGTGGCGTAGACTCGGCAGTTTGCGCAGCCCTCCTTCACAAAGCGCTGGGAAAGGACAGAGTCACGGCCATTCACATCGACAACGGCTTCATGCGCTATAACGAGTCCGATAATGTCATTGCCAGCCTAAATGCGTTGAACTTGAATGTTTACAGTCAGTGCAGCGTTTGCAAATTGACTTAATTTTTATCTTAGGGTACAACTGCTGGCCAGAGTTCTATTCCGGAACGATCAACAATGACCACGACAAGCGCGCGATCAAGTTGGACCAGACTATCGACCCGGAGATCAAGCGGCAAATCATCGGGAATACTTTTATTCGAGTGAAGGACAGGATTATGAAGGATGTAAGTTTGCTGGATCATCCTTTTTCATTCCTTCATTTCTAGCTGAAGCTGAAGCCAGAAGAATACTTCCTGGCCCAAGGGACTCTTCGACCGGATCTCATTGAAAGTTCGATTGATTTATTAGATTGACCGGTCGTTCAGGCGCCTCTGCCTTGGCCAGCGGGCACGCTGACGCCATCAAGACACATCACAACGACACAGCACTGGTTCGAGAGCTGCGGAAAACGGTAAGGCATTTTTTTTTCTTCGCATAATTGTGCTTTTTAGGGCAGGGTCATTGAGCCTTTGAAAGACTTTCACAAGGATGAGGTCCGCGAACTCGGCAAGGATCTAGGACTCCCCGAAGCAATCGTTCATCGGTACTTTCTTTTTTCTAAAAGTAGTCCATCTTTAGGCAACCCTTCCCCGGTCCCGGCTTGGCGATTCGAATAATTTGCGCCGAGAATCCTTACAAATGCGACGACTTCCTCGAAACGCAAGCAAATTTGCAAATCCTGGCTAATATCGCTAAAGAATGCAAGGTATAAGTTTTTCTCTGATAAAAGTTGAATTGTTTCTAGACTGAAGAGGATATCAAGAGACGGTTTGCCCTCACTACCCTTCTAGCGGGATGGATGGACCTTTCTACTCTCGTTGGCCCTGTGGATCCCATCCACACTACGCTACTCCCGGTGCGAACGGTCGGTGTACAGGGCGACAGTCGGTATGGATTTTTTATTTCGTTTTACAATTATTTGTAGTTCATACTCGTACGTTGCCGCTCTCTCATGCAAGACACAACCCATTCCCTGGCTGTTCTTCGAAAAGCTGGCAGCCCTGATCCCGAAGGTGCTCCATAACATCAATAGGTAAAATAGTTAACCCCGGAAAGTTATTTGCAATTTTTAGGGTAGTCTACGTTTTCGGCAACCCAATTCGACATGACATCGAGAAGATTACGGTCACCCACCTGACTCGCCAAAATGTCCTGAAACTGCAGATGGTTAGTTTCTTCCAGCCTGCTTACCGTCCAATTCCAGGCAGATAAACTGGCTAACGAGTGCCTTTTTGGTAGCTCTGGAAATGCTTCATTAGCACTGAGCGATGTCTCGAGGAAAATCCAGCAGGTTTGTGCTCGACTAACTATTTGCATGAATTTTTTAGATGCCCGTGGTGATGCTGCCCATTCACTTTGATCGAGACCCCTTGGTGCAGCCGACTTCATATCAGCATTCATTCTGCTTGCGCCCATTCATCACCGCGGACTTCATGACGGGTCGAGCCGCGTTGCCGGGGCGAGACATTCCCGAAGAGGTAATTTTTATGTAGTAATGTGTCGATTCCCCAAAATATTTGTTATCTAGCCCGATTATCTTTACAACATTTAGAATGTGCTGATGATGGAGAAGCGGATCCTCTCAGGCGTTCCATCAACTTCTCGCGTAATGATTGATCTCACCAGCAAGCCACCGGGAACCACGGAATGGGAATAAACAAATGTTCATCGTTTCTCCCACCACTTTTCCTAGGCCCCTTACTGTTCTGTTGTTGCCTTTAATTTCGCATTAACGTGATAGCTGATCTCGGGTGTCGATTTAGAAAATTGTTACCAGCTCCTTGTTGTATTAGTTTGATATGACGTGTTTTCTTTAGTTCTCGTGCCTTGATAACGGGCTGGAACGAAATGACCAAGATGGTATTTGTTTGCATTGCTCACTGTTACCGTTCTCAATAAATTTTTTAGCTCATTGTTGGGATCCGAAACTACTTGTTTGATTCCGCACGATTTTACCTGACTCCTGTGGATCCTGAGAAACAAACATCTATTTTAGGCTTATGCCGCCGCTGGGTGCGAGGTGCAGCATTTGCACATCATGCTTGACGTATGATGATTGCCATGTGATCCCCTGCGGACATGCCTACCATCAGAACTGCATACATGCATGGCTAAAGGTATCCTCTTCAGCTGGTTACGTTAAGCCTTTTGATCCGGTAGATTTTATCAATCATTTTATTTTTTTAGAGCAAGCAGGCAATGTCAAGCAAATGCCCGCTGTGCCGTCAAAGCTGCTCAGCAAGCGGAGTGCGCAAGGTATTCTTGGAAGTGAGCTCGGACGACACGCAGCAATTCCCCGACAGCCCAGCCAGCTCCAACGCACGACTGACGGCCAAGGTGTTCTTTACCTTTTAGTCGTTACCATAGTCTTAATTTTCAGCTGGAAAAAGTTGAAGAGGAGTTGGCCGAACAAAAACGAAAAGATTCCGAGATCCGCTTCGAATACGACAAATTAAGGAAGGAACGGACGGCCCTAAATGTCCAGGTAACTATATAGCAATTTTCATAAATTTGTTTATTCAGCATCGGCGAGATGCCCTTCAAATCGACCAGCTGAACAGGCGAGTTTCCTAGATTTTTCTCAATCTATTAACGTTTTAGCCGTGTGCTGCGCTCCAAACAAGAAACCGAGGAACTGAGATCGATGATCATCGATCTGAAACATGATAATAAGGAGCTGGCCGAGACGCGTCAATTGTTGCAGGCCTCGGAATTGTAGGAATGCTTTTTTATTTTGAACCTGCTTTAGTTACAAGAAACTGGCTAGCGGGCGAAACCCGGCCGATGTTATCAAGGCGCAGATGCCAAACGACAAAAACGGAGTGGTCATGGAGATGATTATCAAGTATGCTTAGCTTTAGATTTTTATTTGTTTCATTATAGCAACTACAACGCTGAGAAAACCGAGCGTAAACGGGCGGTTGACGCTTTGGAGGCCACGAAGCGGGAGTAAGAAGTGTTCGTAAGCCAATACTCCTTTTTTAGGCTCACAGAGACCGTCGCAAAGAAGCGGCAGCTTGAAGAGCTTGTCCGACAACTCCGGGTTTGTTCATCGCGTGTGACTATTGAGTGGCGTTTAGGCTGAACTCAAGGATGCTGGAGTCTCATCGCCGGCAAATCCCCAACTGAGAAAAGTGTTGGAACGAAGGTAATTGCTAAATTTATGGTGATTTATTATCCACCTTTAGCCCACAACGCCGTGATTCATTGGAATTTGTGGCTGGCCCTCCTACGGATGCCGTCATCAACTCCATCATGCGAGTAGGCTTGGCTTCCATATTTTCTATCTGTGTTTAGAACCGGAAACCCATCGGCACTTTTGCTCCGGCCCGCAAACGGCTCAACATTTTCGATGAGCTCTCTTCTACTCCAAGCACGTCTAAAAAAGCGAAAGCCGGCTCGTCCCAGGATTTGTATGCAGAATTATAAACCGCCTTCCATTGTGTTTAGATTCGGGAATGACGATGAGAATGTGTACGTTCCGCTGCAGGTCCGCCAGCGGGTCCAGGAACAAAACAAGACAACAAAAGAAGCCGTCAAGGTTCCGTCGAACGGCCTCGGCGGGATCTTCAGGCCCGCAGAGCGTGTGCTCAACCGACTAGGTTTGTTCGTTTACGATTGGATTCTATCATCTGATTTTAGCACAACGTGATGATTCGGACTCGCCAGTGATCCGCCGCGCACCGACACTGCTGCACAAAAATACTCGAAACGTTGTTGCCGCATCTTCTGCTCAATCAATCATGGTATATACATTTCACCGTAGCCAACGCTGTTTCTTTTTTAGAAGCCGCGCCCAATGAAGGAACTCTCTCGACTGGGAAACGACACCATCGTCCTTGAAGATGATTAAGCCGTCGTGCCAAGAATGCTCAAATATTTCGTCTATCTTCTCCACGAACCTTGATCCCCGAATGACTCCTCTCTCCGTACCTGCAATCCCGAATAACTATTTCCTCTCTCCGTACCTGCAATCCCGAGTAACTATTTCCTCTCCCCGAATCAACCGATTGATCTCTAGTCTCACATAAGCACGTAGTAATTTCTACGTGTTCTAATACTAAATTTGATACCCCCCGCCTTCAACGATGTTTTCTGGGTCGCTGTAACTTGCCTGATATTGCTGATCTCAACTGTATCGTTTCTCTTGGTCTAGGCATATACAATTTGCATTGCTATAAAGTGACCTAAGTACATCCTGGTGTTTTGCATACTTCCCACACTATAAACACAAATTTGAGCTGCCGTAGTGTTTTTTATTCGGCGTTCTATTTGGAACGGCTTATCCGGCTACATTCTACAGATGATCGAAATTCAAAAGGAATTCAAATGCGCCAAGGAAAAGTTTATCGAAATCGGTATGGCTTTAGATTAATACAACCCCGCTCCGCCTCTAGATAAAAGCGCCCGGAAGAGCGGAAGAAGGTTGAAAAAGGCGGACAAGCAGGATGGCGAAAAGGGCGAGGGCGAGAAGAAGCTGGAGAAGAGCGGTCGCGTGATTGGCAGCAAGCGCATCCGCAGATCATCGAAGAAGGTGTCCAAGGTTGTCGAGAAGCACATCGAGCGCGTCGAAAAGGCCGCCAAGGAATTCCAAGAGCGCCGCCCCGTGCTTTTCAAGAAGAAAAGCTCTTCGGAGCCCGAGGCCAACCAGTCGCCCGAGAACCCGGTTGACGCGTTGCCCGATGCTTGGCGGGTATGTAATTGGGGGCTGGCGGGCAAGCGATCTAGCCTACTCCCTAAAATTTTTCGGGTTTATGTTTTTTAGAAAATGTGACACTTTCAAGTATTTTTTGACAACAATTTAAATTTGATTAAATGTAATAATTTTTAATGAAACCAGATGGTTACAGTCGCTTCGCGACTGCAACCATCTGGCCTTCGGGCTACCCTACATGTCCCACTCCACCACATCTTTTCCCACCTCCATCAATACCCCCGATAGCCGAAATGCCGTTCAAAAACTACCTAAATACCTTCCTGATGGCTTCAGATACCCCCCATGGCTGAAATCCCCTTCAAAAACTACCTAAATACCTTCCTGATGGTTTAAGACACCTCCCCTAGCCGAAATCCCCTTAAAAACAAAAATAACGACCGACCGGATGGATTGAGAGAAAAAAAAGAAATGAAATCCCCCGTGAAAATTTTCATCCACGAAACGCGCGCCACCTGGCTCACTATGTCCAAAATCACCCCAACCTCCGTCCCCCACCCCTTTTACTAAGGAAAAAACTTTCAAAGTTAATTTTAATAATTTAAACTAAAAGTTTTTCGTAATTTTTTTATCAGTTTGGGGGTTTCTGACGGCGCTCTATCCGAATCCGAAGAGAGCTAAGCTCTAGCTCCTTTCCCCTTCGAGTTGAATTCGGCTTCACACAGACGGACAGACAGACGGACGGACGCGTCAAGAAAATTATTATAGTTGATGATCATTATTAGCCTTCTTTGGAATCTCGTAAAAGTCGTATAAAAAGTCCTGCTCCCGCTGCTAAAGTCCAGAGTTTTTTTAGCTTTTCAGTTCAACACGGCCCGTTTAGGACGCGGTACTGACCCCCGATTGCCTGGTGGCCATCGACAAATTTGTCAATTTCTACACACAGCTCGGTTCGTCTAGCCTGGTTGTTGATTTACTCGATCTGCATTCGTTTAGGCGTGCAAGGGCTGCGCAACGAATTTGCCCAGAACAAGGCATTCGTCCCGGCCGCCTTCACCTACAACGCCTTCACCGCCAACGCCGAGCGCAATCGGTGGAATATCAAATTTTATTTCTCCTACACGGGTTTTCTATTGTTGAAAGATTCATTTTTTAGGTACAAAGATGTGGTGTGCTCTGACGCGACGCGGATCTCTCTCACGTTGCAGGTTCCGCCGGAAAGTCGGTTGAACTTTGGAAGGAGCGGCACTAATGGGAGTTTTAGCCGACTACATTCATGCGAACCGGGTGAAGCTGGACGGCGCCGACAAAGAGTTCATCACTTGCCAGGCCCCCATTGAGAGTAAGTAGACAGGCGGCGGAAAATTTTGAGCTTAAAGAGATGAGGACGGCATCTATTGAACCCCCCTTGGGGAGGGGGGGTTCAACAGGTCCCGCGGCGAGAGTGGGCGCCCAGGGGTGAGGCGCAGAGGCATTTTCTTCCCCGCACGTAATCGATTGATTTATGCCGCCCCTATCCCTTTAAACTCCAACTTTTTGATATTAAGCTACCATCAACGATCACTGGCGACTCGTCCACCAGGAAGAGGTCTCCGTGTGTGCAGCTTTGTGCCAGGTTCGCGCTTCCTGGGCCCACTTGACAAACTTCACGATTTTTTCCAGTTCAACGAAAGCGGCAAGGCAAAATGCACCCAGTATTGGCCGATGAAAGCGGACGAGTTTGTGAACCACGGCAAGATGTCGGTCAATACCAAGAAGGTAGCCCCGGCTCTCCCTTCTGGAACATCGCCTCGATTCAGATCGTTCAAGAGAATTGCCTCGACGTGTACACCGTGGAGGTGTTGCCAGAAGGGTGCTCCAACTCTACCATTCTCAAGGTATGAATAAGACATTCGAGTTATACAATGATTCGCGTTATTAGCTGATTCACATGACCACCTGGCCGGACCGCGGCGTGCCGAAGGATGTGAGGACGATGCTGAATTTGCTGCGCCTCATCTATTTCAACGCGGTGAGCGGGAGGTTACGGTTCTAGAGACGGAACAACTATCTAGCTTATACATCCCAGAAAAATGTAGCGTTTTAGAAAATTCAAAAATTGATTTTTTTTTTGACCAACAATCAATTTTGGGGAATTTTTATAATTTTATGAAATCTTTGTGTCCGTTTAAAAGCTTAAAAGCTACATAACTGGCGTATATTCCATTGTTAGGGCCGTAGAGGCGATTGCACATAGTTAGATCTTCCACGGCTCACAGATCGGAAGTTCTTCAGCAAGGTTCGATCATGATCCACTGCTCGGCCGGGATCGGCAGGACGGGTTCGGTGATTGCCGTCGACTGCATCATCGAGCGTCTCCTCAAGGGCAAAGAAACGAAGGTAATGAGCTAGATATCCACCTGGAGACCTAACATCCCCGCTTTTTCAGCTGCTCGACGTGTTCCAAGACTTGCGCTCCCAGCGGGCCTCCTCCGTGCAGACCGAGTCGCAGTACGTCTTCGTGGTCCAGGTCGTCCTCGAGTTTATCCAGGTATGGCGGGTAGCATTTGGCGAATAACCAGGTGCCTGCAGATCCGCACCGGTGACAAGTACGCCGCCAAGGTGAAGAAGTTCAACGAAGAATTCGTCAAAGCCAATCTCGCCTGATTGCACATTAATGAGACCGTTTGAATAAATAACTCGACATTTGGCATCTTCCAACGGCGATCGCATGTCCATCATCTCAGAGTCGTGTATGGATTGCAGCGCTGCTACTTGTGTGCAATTCTTTACACGAGCCTACAAGGCTTCTCAAGCTTTATGTACATGCGATACACAATGTAAACCACATAGTTCAGTTAGTACATGCGATACCCGTTAGATTCGATCATTGGGGGCGAGAAGTGAGACCAGGAAAATTGTGCCGAGTTTACGAATGCACAGCGGATGGCGGAATCAGACCCGATTAGGTGAGGACGCGTATAATTGAGACTGGCTTATTGCTACAAAAATGTGGAGGAATGGCAGGAGGCGGGTAGTGGGGGGCGCAGGAATTAACGGCAGTCCCAGGCTATTCCTCGAGCTCGAGCTGGAAGCTGGTATCGACGTGAAAGAGGTCGAGTTTGTTGTTGTTCCGCTCGGGCAGTGTCGAGTAGAGAGCGCGTAGAAGTTGCACGTAGGGCCGGGCCCGATCGCCAAGGCCACTCTGAAATCGGAGTAATCATTTATGGCGGTTTTAAATTCTACCCAAAAAGTGGCTGTAACTTTGTCTATCTACATCCAAATCACAAAGCACCAACCTTCAGTCCGTTTGATAAATAAGCGAAACACAGCTGATTCTTTCGATCGAATCGGGCATTCTGGCCCCCGAATCCAGAGTGCCCCACAAGTGTCGCGGTACCTTTCTAAAGAAACATTCAAAAACCAAAAAAATAACCTTGTAGGCAAAATGCGAATGCGTGAATCCCCAGCCACGATCCGTGGTCGCATAAGTGACGCAGTCTCTCATCTTGACAACCGTCGGGTGAGATGTCAGTTCGACGGTTTGCTAAAGAAATCAATTTATAACTCTTGCCAAAGCATTCTACCTTTGACACAATCTTTCCGTCCATATAGAGTTGCATCAGCTTCGCCAATGAACGAGAAGTTCCGATGCCCAAGGCCGCGCACTGCTCGAGACGGTACAGCTCGGGGTTGTTCAGCGTGACACGCTAAAAGAAAGACGTCTGGCAAACACTTAAAAACTCACGAAAATGCTTTGAAGCCACGTGGCGTTGTCGACAACTCGCAGCATCAATCCATTAGTGAGGTAATTTTTGAAGACACTACGGTAGTCCACGGTCTCGGGGTCAGCCAGCCATTCTTCAACCCTGTAAAAAATACTAAAAAACGAGCAAAAGCGCACCTGTTCCACATCGAGGGCTTCCGAATCCGGCTGACCCTATGGGTCAGCTCTACCGGAAGGCCAAAGTGGAAATCGATATCTAGGGAATTGCTTCGGGGATCTGAAACAAGCCTACTGTGCGGGATGGCAATCTCTTCACGAAAAAACTGGCCGACGCCACGCTTGCCAGGATCAACGCGGCGGATGATGAGGTCAACCTGAAAATGTAGTAATTGACGTAATAAAATGAAAAAAAAGCGATTGCGAGGTCAAAGAAGACAAACCAGCCATCCAAATGTTAGCGCGTGGTAGCCGACACGAGTGCCCGGTTTCCAGATAGGTTTCTAAAGAAAAATTTGGGCTTGATCAAGGTTGCGTACCTGATCTTCAAAACGATTAGACATCGACACCCAATCAGAGGCCTCTTCAAACGTAATTTTATGATCGATCAGCGGCAATCCGGCCTAAAATGATGAAAATTGACAGAAAGAGGAAAGTTACGGTATGTTCCATGACCATCTGTAGCGTAATTTCCTCCTTGCCGCGCGTCGCAAATTCCGGCCAAAAGCTTGCGACCTACAAGAACAGAAATCAAAATAACGCCACAAAACCGACCTTATCGTCGTAGCTGACCAACTTCCTGTCGACCAACAGAGCCACGCAAACGGCGCCGACAGCCTAATTTTTCCGAGTAAAAAAAAGAAAAGATAAAATTACCTTAGAGCTGCTAAATGCAATACTCATCGTGTCCTCACGCCACGGACGACAGCTATCAAAATCCGCAAAGCCTCCCCAGATATCGATCACCATCCTTCCCTATAAAATCTGATGCTAGCCGTCCGGTACGAAGAACAAACATTGTGGTAGACCGCAAAAGCAGCTCCATCCCTTTCCCATCCCTTATGTAGATTTCGTCTAAAAATAACATTGAAAAGGATTAATGGCATACTTGAACGCCTCCAGGACAGGCTTGTAGTCGGGGTGGACGAACCCTTCAACCTAAAACGAGCTTAAGCGAGAAAATAGATAATTGCCTTGATCTCGCGTCGAAACCGCCGATCCTTCCAAGTTAGTACGAGTAGAGCCGAGATCTGCGTGATGACAGTACCGAGGCATAGCACTTTGCCGATGACGAGCAGCAGCTCGACGATCAACCACATCTGGAAAGAAAATTCTGTATGCCCGGCCACGTACAGTTCGGAAAGAGAAGCGTAATAAAGAGAACAATTCCTCCAGAAGTCTCGCAACTGCCTCTAGACCCCGCCGTACACAAAGATTGCAACCTAAACCAAGAAAAATGCTTACCACTCGAGACAATGGAATGTTTTTAGAGTCAAAATCTGGGGTATGGGAGGGTGAATGTGGAAGCGAAGGGATGGCATGTGACTCACAGGGTAAACACCCAAAAACCGGGCCATACGCCGCCCGGGCCGATCCCGGTATGGATGGCCATAATCGACAAGTGTCTGCATGGCCGAAGGACAATATAAGCTATCCGATGTAGCGAGTTAGATAGTGGTCATGCCAATTTTTCGGGAGAGTGGAGTTTGTGTGTTTACAAACCGGCTGAAACACCTGGTGCCCCCGGAAAACAAATAAATTTCCAAGGAAAATCTTACTGGTGATGTGCTAACCGGAGCCGAGTGTTCTTTGACTGTGTGGCTACTTGTACTAAAAAACCTCGCAATTTTTGGTGCCAAAAATCGACTGTAAAAAATGAGATGGATCGCTGAAAATGCAAATTTTACCCTTTATCAGATCCGACAACACGGCTAGAGTCCTATATGATTTTAAAGCGCATTCATTGTCATCTTCATTCACTTCTTGTCACAAGAACCATTTAAAGCGAATTTTGAGAAAACTAAAAGGCTACAGTACATCGGATACGGTTATTTTGAACACATCTGGCCCCCGTCGGCTAAACTAATGCAATTGTCTTTGAAAACCACGAATTTTAACCTGCTCTACAAGCTTAAAAAATTTTGTTTACGATCTTATTTATTTTTTTTGTTCTTTCCTTGCTTGCACACTTGCGAAATTTCCGAGCACGCGCCTGGAGCTGAACTCTTATCCTGCGGGTAAACCACCGTATCCTCGCACCGCGCAGGGTGGCGATTTTCCCCTCACACGATTTCCGCGGTAGGTTTTCTCTTTTTCACCTTTCACATTTCCTGAATCTTTCTCGCTTTGCTGCCCAAATTTTGTTTTCCGCAACAAAAATTGTTTTCCAGGTGCAAACATGGGTTTGAGTTCGAGGCCGATCGTCGTCGACGGCAAGGATCACCTACTCGGCAGGCTGGCCTCCATCGTCGCCAAGCAACTCCTTCTCGGCCAGAAGGTACTATTTCGTGCAATTTTTACACGCATTTTAGGTAGTTATCGTCAGATCTGAGGAGATCGCCATTTCTGGGAACTTCCACCGATCAAAGCTGAAGTACCTCTCCTTCCTCCGCAAGCGGCTCAACGTCAACCCGAAGCGCGGCCCTTACCATTACAGGTTTTGCCTTACGGCCGGCTTTTCATTCCTCTTTAGGGCCCCATCGAAGATCTTCTGGCGCACAGTGCGCGGTATGCTGCCCCACAAGACGATTCGCGGAAAGCTCGCCCTGCTTCGCCTGAAATCTTTTGAAGGATGCCCTGGCGTCTACGATAAGACGAAGAAGCTCGTCGTCCCCTCCGCGATGCGACATATTGCGCTGAAGCCGCGCCGCAAGTTCTGCACAGGTATTAATTAAAGTCCTTTAGCATCGTTTACCTCACATGGCGTGCCATGCGGATGTTTGACCTTTCAATTTGGTTTTTGAAGATTGTTTTTAGTTGGCCGTCTCGCGCACGAGGTCGGATGGCAATACCAGGATGTTGTTGCAAAGCTCGAGGCAAAAAGGAAGGTTAAAGGCGCTGCCTATCACGTTGAGAAGCAGAAGCTCAAAAAATTGCAAGAACAGGCTCGTAAAAATGCCGAGAAGAAGGTTAGACCAATTTATTTTTCCTCATTTCTTCTTTTAGATCACTCAGTACCAGAAGATCATCGAGGCTTACGGAGGACGCTAATTAACCTGCCTTTCTGTTATTGTTTTTTTGTTGTATAAATACTTCATGATTTGGCAAATTTGCGAATATGTTTTCAACGATACACATATAGGCTTCAAGAGCTATTCAAAGTGTTACATTGGGCGAGAATCCGCTTGGGCAGACGTCCTTCATTGACGACTAGATTTCCTTGGTGTTGCTTGTTCTGCGTCTCCCGGCATTTTCTGCCTGGGTGGTCAGGTGTTGGAGCGCATAGCGTGGCCCTTTTACAGTGGACGTTCTTTGCGCAGGCTATTTCTACACTTGGCGTCTGGCCCTGGACACGGATACTGGTTGTTGCTGATCGTATTGGTAACTTTATGGACCTTGTCGGATGGAAGAACCCGGCTTGACCCAAGATTCTGAGCAGCCTGATGACACCGCTGAAGCTTCAGGTATCAGTGAACTGAAAAATCTTGCGACAATGTACCCTATTATACGGACGCGAACAGTTGTGGTTTTCAGGAAGCAGCGATAGTAGCGGTGTCTCTTCTCCGGAAACACGACCGGAATCTTCGGGATCAACAACTCCCGTTGCGCCTCCTGAAAATGCAGCTCGTCGCGTCCAACCTATACAGATGGCGCCGCCTCGCCAAATGTTGCGAGGAGAGGTTCCCTTCCTTCTGTTTCTTAGCACAATTTTAGTTGGAGAACAACAACCACTTTGGTGCGATGAGGGATCGTATATACCACTCGCTTTTTGTGCGATTTGCAATGAGCTACGAACGACGAGTGGGGCCCTTGTGGAGGCAGGCCATCGAAGCGGCAACGCTGTTTTTGGTATACACAGCATTGACGAATTTATTTCCATTGTTTTAGGCTTTCTATCTTCTTGCGACCCTATTTTTCCTTCACTACTACGGCACGAAGAACGTTGCGAATTGCTTGACACACCTGAACGTAGGCGTGAAGTTGCTTCTTGGAAGAATACTTGTTCAGACGACATGGCCACGTGATGGCGTGCTGCGCGTCGAGGTCATACGCAATTTGGAAGTGCTCGAGCAGAAGGAAAGGTGGATGCGCTATATACGTTAGTTTTTGCTTAAATCTGATATGTTGTCTGTTTAGAGCAGATCCAGTCCCATTCATCGGGGCGAACGTGTTACTTTAATCCGGCCAACGTGCTCCGATTTGGGCCTGCCAGCATGCCGTCGGAGGTTAGATAATTCGAATCTAGGTGAATGATTTTTTTCTCAGATACGAATGCTTGGATATCATGGAAAATTGATGCGTACCGTCGATTACCCGGATTCTGGCGAAGCAAATATGGTATGACAATATCTTCACTCTCAAAACTGGCTTAGTCCTTCCTTGCTCACCTGCTGCAGACGGTACCCGAGCTCTACAAGCGCTCGTTCCTTTATATGGAGGACCCGGAGCACGACAAAATGGTCGGATATTTTCGGTCGTTTGATGACGAACATCTGTCGGTTTTGGAAGAAGAGTATGATCGGAAAATCGGTATGCACTGCCTTGTTCTTTTATAAGCATTTTTCTAGCTCCGGAGACGAAACCGGCTTACCAATATCTTGCCGAGTACTCGCTGCTATTCGGGCTTTTGCGCTTGCCAACCGACTACCGAGAAAAATTTAATATTCCGACGATGGTCATTAGGGTTGGTTTTTAAATGTTTGGTTTTTTGTTTTCAAGCAGGCTTGTGGTGACGTATTTTCGTTTATCAGGAATTCTAGATTCTAATAATTTCTAGATTGATGCGGATGCCAAATGCCTCGAAGGCACTGTCAGCGCCCGGTTCTTTTCGTTCCTCGCCTTCACCGACGACATCGAAGAACGGATTACGGGTGATCTTCGCCAGCTTGCGAAGCATGAGAAGGATTATGGTAAGTAATAGGATTTACTGCCGACCATACCCTTGAGGCTACCTACACGATCTACGCACGAATGAGATATTCCACTTCATTCAGTACGACACCAGCCGCTTCAAGTACATACCGGCGTTTTGTATCATGATCATTTTGGTATGGTTTCAGGGGTTTGATGTTTTCATAAATGCGCTACGCCGAAAGCTATTCCGGCTACGGTTTACTTTACCCCCCAGCCGGAAGTTTTTGGCTATAACTTTTTTATTTTACATTATTGTAGGCTTAAATTAAAACTCTTAGTATATTTTTCGACGCTCTATCGAATGGCGTTGCGAAACTCCCGACAAAATAAGCGAAAATACCGACAACTTTGAGACCCTTCGGCTGTGGGGGGGGCAAAAGTAAACTCTTACCGCTATTCCGCTCAAACTATTTTCAGACTTTCGTGATCTCTGTGATGCTCCGCTTCTCCCATCATCAGATATTCCTGCTGATCGTGGATTTCCTACACATGCTCGAGACGAATCATGCCGTCCAGTACCCGGCCGCACCGATACTGACCGTCATTCTGGCATTAGTCGGTAGGGGGTTCTTTATGTCGGTTGGACTATTCCGCTTAGGTCTGGAGGCGATAATGACCGAGCTGTTCACCGACACGGTCACCGCTTTCTACATGATTCTGATCGTGTGGGTGGCCGATCAGTACGAGACAATCTGCTGCCATACAAGAATCAGCAAGGTCTATTGGTTGAGGTTCGCTATTACGGTTTTATTTGGGTCAGGCTTTAGGTTTTTCTACTTGTACCAGTTTTTCTTCTACGCATACCAGTATCGCTTTGGCGGACAATTCAGCAGCGTGCTGATGTGGGTGAACGCGACGTTGACAATTGTAAGATCATCTCCTCATTCCGATTTGGTATTTTTAGCACTCGATGATCTTCTTCTTTCATCACTACGAGTTGCCGCACGTCATCCATCAAAACCGTATGCAGCACATTCTTGATGAGATCCGCCAAAATCCGGTGCGTTTGTTTATAGCTAGTTAAACTCAGTTTTTTTCAGGTGATGCCAAATGCTCCAGCTCCTGCGGTCCGGCTGATCAACGTGCACCGTTTGCGGCGAATCATCAACGATCCACCGGAAGAGGGTTCGAATGGTCATCCACAGCCACGCGTCCTTGAAGGCGAACACGTTTCCGTAGCGTATTAACTATTTTTTTGTTCGTTTCCGGGTCGATGTAATTTGTGCGCGATTTGCTTTCTTTGTTCCATTTACCTATCTATCTTTCTCCGTTTTTATAATTTGTCATTAGTCCCCGGTCCCCGTAGTTCAATGTATTTCCGCTTTTTGTGATAGCCTTCCCAAAACTACTGAGAGGCAACTCGTGACGGGTCTAGAATTTCTGCGCTTCATAATTGTGATATTACGTATGACTGGTTCGCAATGCCGAAATGTTCGTTAGAGCTGATAAACGTGATGTGCTGTCACGTCCCTTTAATACTGCAGACAACATTTGCGAAAGGAGGTGACTGTTTTGGGCATCGGGTGGCCCAGCCGGTTATGGTTGGCCACATACCCGGGCGTGGGGACTTCGTATCTGGCTGCTCCTCAATGGCAGTGTTCGCGCGTGTCAATATTTGTCGCGATCTCCCTTTCATCCGCAAAATATTCGAAAACATACAACGGTGCGGGAAGCGGCTCAGCACTTTGCGCTTTGTATTGAAACGGTTTTTTTGCGTAATGTTTCTGAATTTCTTTTACGATGAAACTTTTTTGGACGTTTTCCTACGAGATCAAAAATTCTCGGGAAGTAAATCTGTTTAAAAATCTGTCTAAATTGGCATTTTCAACCCCTGAAGCGAAAAAATTCGATTTTCACGTCCAACCTCCCGAATTTACCTTTGAAATGCTGCCGCGGTGAATTGGGTGAATTGTGGGTGTTTTGTGGCAAGGCCGCGGGCCATTCGTGGAGGCCCTCTTCAAACCTTTGTGTGTTTGTGAGAAATGCAATTTTAGGGCCGGCAAGAGCACTTCAGCAACTCGCCTACCCACCTGCCCAATCCACCGACCACACAATTTGACGACGATGCCCACAGCCACAGATAGTTCTAATCCCATTGAAGCCGTAAGTAATACAGTGTTTTATCTATTTCGCAAATATTCTAGGACTGCCTACCTCATTTTTGAAAATTCTACTCAAAATATAAAGTTATTTAATTTAGAGCCGGATAGCTGGTGATAGAGGCGAGCGGATAGCTTGTCAAAATACAACGGAATCTAAATGCTATAATGTTGAGGTTAGTTTATTTAGTTACTTTGTTTGTTTCTTTATTTAATGTAGTTTTAAACGTAAATTTAAAGATTATTAAATTTCTTGACGAATTCTCTTTTTGGTCAAGGATTTTAGAGATTTACATGTCTTAGCCGAGAATTTTTTTAATAATCGGAAACTAGTAAAAACGCTTTCAAAGCCTGGGATAACCCCCCCCCCCCGCTAATGAACCAGAATAAAAAACCTCGGTGTATTGGTTATTTCTTCCTGATAAAGTTAAAAAAAATTTAAACATTTTCAGACACATTGCGACCCTCTTCGTGCTGTCGCCATTCGGATCGCCGAACAATTAGTAGGGCGATTTTTTAGGTTTAGGAAAAGAACTAAATTTTAGGTTGGAAATGCTTTGAGAGAAATCAACGTGGCTTGACCATCGACGGGTTTCTAACTTTTTTATTTTTTTCCATACATTTTGCTAATAAATCGTTATTTTTGGGTTTGTTTGGCCGGCACAAAAAGATCGATCGCGTGAAAAGCTGACCAGCTGGGGGTGTGATAAGCCGTTGTCGGCCTCAGGATGAGCCGTTTGGCTGCAATTACGCTATTTCTTACATTCATTTGGGCGACAAGTGGTGGTAGATAGAGTTACGGTAGCACAGAGATGGTTTTAGAAAACAGTGGCGTGCAGTGGCCGCCGGGGGCTTATTGTTTGTTGGCGCACGAGGACGGGGTAGCATAGTATTTTTATTTGTACGCTTTTTAGTGCCCGGAAGGCTTCAGTCAAAGGTCGATACAGCTGGCAGTGCCTAAGGTTGTCCAGCCGGGCGATGTACGGGTTTTGTTTGGGTTTATAATGCATCAGTGGTTGTCTGTTATCGGGGGTGGGGGGGAGGGTAGATTGTTCCTATAGTTCTAAAAATGTATAGTAACGTACTTAGAAGCGTTTTATAGTGTTTTTAGCAAAATTTATTTATATTTCAAGTCGAAAACCATCCATGACGCTCAGAAAGTTTTTGAGCTGTGGTCGAAAAATCTAAAGCTTTGGATTTTCAATAAAAAATTGTAAAGTTTTTGTCCTTAGGAACTGAGAAAAAACCATTCCTTTATCAATAATAAAATTGATCCTAAGGAACGAAGTCCTCCCCCCCCCTTCCCCCGATAATGCAAAAGCGAAAATTCAGACAAAAATAAAATTTTCAAATTTTAATAAATAAATCTTCTCTAGTTAAAACGCCGTTAAAAACGATCCGCTAGGTGGCGATAGGCCAAAGCCCCCCCCGCTAATAGTCCATTTCTGTTTAGACGTACGAAGACGAGACGCGCAACACCACCGAACATTTTATTAAATACGGCAAGGTCGGGGCGACGACGTTACAGGTACTTTTTAAAAGTTTTTCTGTACGTCAAAAATACAGATCCACGATTGGGACCAGGCGTATCGGCTGATGATTGTCGGATGTTGCAAGGATGCGAGCTAGCTTTTCAAAGCTGTTTTTTTAATAAAAAAATCAGATAGTTTATCGCGATTCAATGCCCACACAAGCCAATAATCACAATCGATAGCTTAAGGAATAACATAATTAGATAAGTGGTATCTCGGCGGCGCGGCGGGCGGCCGACTCGTAATTTTGGCGCAGGCAGCGTCCGGTTGGCCACAGGTCTTCGTGCTCATCGCTAAAAATCGGCTGTATCTTTTTTAGGTGCTTTCGTATTATCGGGGGGGGGGGTCCTAGGATCCAATTTTTTAATATAAATCGGGAAACATTCCTACACATCTTTATGTTTAAACCTAAAAACGTTCGAAATTTTTATTAAAAGCATTGAAAAAGATTTTCGACAAAAATAGCCGATTTTCGACGAATTTTAGAAGTTTTCAGATCGTTTTTCATTCGAAATCTGGTTCAATTTTGCTAAAAACCCTATAAAAACTTTTTATGGCATTAATAAGCATTTCTGGACATCAGCCCCCCCCCCCCAACAATGCAAAATATCCCCTTGTGAGGTGGCTCGATTTGTTGAAAAATTTTATTTAATCCAGAATCACCTGCACGCGTCGCAATCATCGGGACCCGGCCCATAGCATTCATTACAGTTCTCGTGGCATAGACCGCATGCCTGAAAGGGAGCGTTTAGCTGGTTAATAGCGCAGTTTGCCTTTCCTCTATCTCTGCCCCCTGTTGATCTACAGGGGCGTAAAGTATACCAAAATGTTCGTCTCGATCTGGTGAGCATTTTGATATACTTTACATCCTTGTAGGCGAATGGGGAGCAGAGATCCAAAGGCGGGAAACGGGGAATCTGCAGTTCAGCCCCCCGCTAACCGTCCAGTACCAATTTTTTGCTATTTTTCAAAGATCCACTGACCAATCTTCCAAACCAAGTGACGTAGTAGACATTTCCTTTGCAATGCGATGGCCAGTCCAGCGCGGGCAGGCAATGCACCGATCGTTCCGATTGGCTGTCGTCGATGAATGGATGCCAACAGATTGTACATCTACAATTATTAAATATCGAATTCGAAACGGCATCACGTAATAACGGGGAATAAAAATGAAAACATAAAATAACCGACGCATCACAGTTCGTATCCTTTGGATCAGCCCAGAAGCAGCTGTCGATGAGCGGCTGGTCGAACGGCATCACAATTTTATTACTGACTTGGTTCGCGCAGTGCTCTAAAACCCCAGCTGTACTGGACTGTTGCCAGGGGGCCTTTTAGATAAAAAAAGAAAAATGTCCAAAAATTTCGAAATTTTTGACATCGTTTGCTCAAAAATGCATAAAAAATGACCAAAATGGTCAGAATTTCCGGTTTGAAACATTTAAAATATTTCTGTAACTTCTTAGCAATTAAAAATTACTAAAGTATAAAATATGCGTGATTTTCTTATCTATTACTTATCAATATTATCAAACACTTTAAACATTTTCTTACTATTTCTAAATGCAAAAATTTCGATTTTTAATAAAAAATACAGAAGTATCGGCTTTTTTGACCAAATTTCGAATTTAAAAACGTTTTTTCGGTTTTTGAGCTAGTTTTTTCACTTGTAATATGATTGAATTTTATGAAAAACTATAAAATACTTACTATTACGTTACAAGGCATTTCTAGACGCATAGCAAAAAGTTGGCTCCCCCCCCCCGATAGTGCAGGAGCACCCTTTTTAATTTGAAGATCGTTAAATTTACCCCTCAACAGCTCGATCATGTCCGGCGAAAGCGTCGTCGGTTTTTTGGTTGTAGTTGTTGTAGTATTGACAGGCGTAGTCGTGTTCGCCGATGTCGTCATATTCCGAGGGGTCGTCGCATTTCCGGCCGCTATTCCGGACAGCCCGGGGTCGAAATCCGTCGGTTCCTCACCGGAAATGAGGGCAAAGCCGAGGAGGAGGATGAAACCGAGAAACCGGACAAGTTTCTCGCCCATTTTTTCTGCTTCAACTTTATTTGTTGTTTCAATCCAGCAACGACATGCAGAAATTGGTACTCATGTTAAATTCTTCGGTTCTTTTGCATTATCGGGGGGAAGGGGCGGGGCAATCTTGTGTTTCCTAGATAGTTTTCAAATATAAATATAGAGGTGTATCTAAGCGGTTTTTGAACAATCTTAAACGTAAAAACGTTACAAAATTTGGGTAGAAAACTACAAAAATACAGATTTCGATCAACATTTCAAGTTTTCAAGCATTTTTAGGCAGGTTTTCACGGGGGAATATAGCTAATTTTGATTGAAAACATTGGTAAAATGCTTGATATTGCCTTACTAGGAATTTTAGACGTATCGGACACCCCCCCCTGTTAATGCAAAAGTACCAATTATTTTTTTCGGGGTATTTTTGTAGTTTGTACTCTGTATTTTGGCCATTTTTGTATGCCGCCTTTATTGGTTCGGTATTTACAGACAACAGTCGGTGGTCTCCGTTTAATACCCAGGAGCCGTGCGGGGTGGGGGGCAATGGTCACAGCCGCCTCCGTTTCCGTTCTGAAATTATGATAGGCTTATGGGATACGATGGAAGGAAACTACGTAGGTGCGTAAATGAGTAAAAGGTACGACCGACTGCAACTTACGTTTCCGTCGCCTCCAGGCTGGCCCCTTTAATAAAAATGTGCCTTTTTATTGCTACTATTCAATCAGATTTTTCTGCGGCCCTCGCTGATTTAAATGAGGAAAACGATTTGCATGACAATTACCATGTAATTTGCAAGCTGAAAGCGCATGTGAAGTGTATGCAAATCGTGGCTCTATCTTTTTGATACTTGTGTTTTTGGCTCTATTTACTTGTTTTTATCATAAAAAGCTGAGTATCCATCACAGAAAAATTTTGACTACACAGAAAGATGCGTCTTTTCAAGGGCTACAAGATGTGTATGCTTAGCTAGGCATAAAAATACCGCAGCGCGAAGCTAAAGGTAAAAAACCAGGTGGCTCTATCTTTTTGATACGCACTGTAGAATATTTCTAACAAAAGTCGGGGAAGGGTTTCTAAACATATGAAAAAAAATCTGTGGAAATCCTGAACAAAATATCGATGGAAAAATAGCTAAATGGTGATTTTTCGACCAAAATGGCGGATTTTCGACTAATTTTCGAAAATTTTAGAAGTTTTCAGATAGTTTTTGATTCGAAATCTGGTTCAGTTTTGCTAAAAACACTATAAAAACTTTTTATGACATTAATAAGCATTTCTGGACATCAGCCCCCCACCCCATCAATGCAAAATATCCCCTTTTGAGGTGGTTCGATTTGTTTAAAAAATTTATTTAATCAAGAATCACCTGCACGCGTCGCAATCATCGGGACCCGGCCCATAGCATTCACTACAGTTCTCGTGGCATAGACCGCATGCCTGAAAGGGAGCGTTTAGCTGGTTAATAGCGCATTTTGCCTTTCCCATATCTCTGCCGCCTGTTGATCTACAGGGGCGTAAAGTATACCAAAATGTTCGTCTCGATCTGGTGAGTATTTTGATATACTTTACATCCTTGTAGGCGAATGGGGAGCAGAGATCCAAAGGCGGGAAACGGGGAATCTGCAGTTCAGCCCCCCGCTAACCGTCCAGTACCGATTTTTTTCTATTTTTCAAAGATCCACTGACCAATCTTCCAAACCAAGTGACGTAGTAGACATTTCCTTTGCAATGCGATGGCCAGTCCAGCGCGGGCAGGCAATGCACCGATCGTTCCGATTGGCTGTCGTCGATGAATGGATGCCAACAGATTGTACATCTACAATTATTAAATATCGAATTCGAAACGGCATCACGTAATAACGGGATATAAAAATGAAAACATATAATAACCGACGCATCACAGTTCGTATCCTTTGGATCGGCCCAGAAGCAGCTGTCGATGAGCGGCTGGTCGAACGGCATCACAACTTTATTGCTGACTTGGTTCGCGCAGTGCTCTAAAACCCCAGCTGTACTGGACTGTTGGCAGGGGACCTTTTAGATATAAAAAGTAAAAATATCCAAAAATATCGAAATTTTTTGGCTGCGTTTTGTTCAAAAATGCATAAAAAATGAACAAAATGGTCAGAATTTCCGGTTTGAAACATTTAAAATCCTTTTGTAAGTTCTTAGCAATTAAAAATTACTAAAATGTAGAAAATAAGCGTGATTTTATTATCTATGACTTATCAATATTATCGAACACTTTAAAAACAAAGGTTAGTTCCTCCCCCCACATCTACCCCGGCTAAGACCTTTGGGGAAAGACAATTTTGTCTACTACCAATAGAGGAAGTGTTTCTAAACATTTTCTTGCTATTTCTAAATGCAAAAATTGCAATTTTTAATAAAAAATACAGAAGTATCGATTTTTTGACCAAACTTCGAATTTAAAAACGTTTTTTCGGTTTTTGAGATAGTTTTTCACTTGCAATATAATTGAATTTTATGAAAAACTATTAAAATACTTACTATTACGTTACTAGGCATTTCTGGACGTATAGCAGAAAAGTTAGCCGTCCCCCAATAATGCAAAAGCGCCCTTTTTAATTTGAAGATCGTTAAATTTACCCCTCAACAGCTCGATCACGTCCGGCGACAGCGTCGTCGGTTTTTTGGTTGTAGTTGTAGTTGTAGTATTGACAGGCGTAGTCGTGTTCGCAGATGCCGTCATATTCCGAGGGGTCGTCGCATTTCCGGCCGCTATTCCGGACAGCCCGGGGTCGAAATCCGTCGGTTCCTCACCGGAAATGAGGGCAAAGCCGAGGAGGAGGATGAAACCGAGGAACCGGACAAGTTTCTCGCCCATTTTTTTCTGCTTCAACTTTATTTGTTGTTTTAATCCAGCAACGACATGCAGAAATGGGTACTCATGTTAAATTCTTCGGTTCTTTTGCATTATTGGGGGGAAGTGGCGGGGCAATCTTGTGTTTCCTAGATAGTTTTCAAATATATCTAAATATAGAGGTGTATCTAAACGGTTTTGAACATTCTTAAACGTAAAAACGTTACAAAATTTGGGTAGAAAACTACAAAAATACAGATTTCGATCAACATTTCAAGTTTTCAAGCATTTTTAGGCAGGTTTTCACGGGGGTATATAGCCAATTTTGATTGAAAAATTATTAAAATGCTTAATATTGCCTTACTAGGAATTTTAGACGTATCGGAAACCCCCCCCCCCCTGTTAATGCAAAAGTACCAATTATTATTTTTCAGGGTGTTTTTGTAGTTTGTATTTTGGCCTTTTTTGTATGCCGTCTTTATTGGTTCGGTATTTACAGACAACAGTCGGTGGTCTCCGTTTAATACCCAGGAGCCGTGCGGGGTGGGGGGCAATGGTCACAGCCGCCTCCGTTTCCGTTCTGAAATTATGATAGGCTTATGGGATACGATGGAAGGAAACTACGTAGGTGCGTAAATCAGTAGAAAGGTACGCCCGACTGCAACTTACGTTTCCGTCGCCTCCAGGCTGGCCGGGGCCTCCGGGGTTTCCAGATTGGCCGGGCGGTCCAGGGGGTCCGGGAGGGCCCATGGGTCCTGGAGTATGCGAGCCGCCGCTTCCGGGGTTTCCGGCGGGTCCTAGGAAAGGTATTTACATCAATTTACGTTTGGAAAATCATCTAAAAAACTTGGAAAATGTTGCAATTCTGGTGACAATCGTTTCTTTTGGCCTGGAAAATCCATTTTTTTTTTGTACGCGATGGTATGCTACGCTACATGACGCTGTGACATGCGCTGCGGGATACTACGGTACGCAGTACGCAACGTGACACCACGTGATGTTACGCTGAGGAATACTAACCTATGGTGCAGTGCGCAACGCTACGCCACGCTTAGCAGGGTGTAGTGGTAGCAAATCACTCTCAGAATTAGGTTTTTAGCGTTTAAAAAAAGGATAATCAACGTCCTTGCACCGATACTCTGTTCCTCACCTGGTGGTCCGGCGGGTCCAGGAGGTCCAGCTGGGCCAGGAGATCCGGGAACATCGGTGACTTGTCCGGGCCCTCCGGGCTGTCCAGGGCCTCCAGGCTGTCCATCTTGACCGGGATTTCCGGGTTGTCCGGGAGGTCCAGCAGGTCCAGGTCCGGCAGATCCTCCTCCTTGGCCGGGCTGTCCATCGGGTCCTGGAGGGCCGGGTGGGCCACCGCTTCCTGAAAATGTTGGTCATCTCCTCTTCGTCGCTGTCTCTCTCAGGTTCTTTTCTGTTAGCGGGGGAGGGGGAATTTTTGAAGCAAAGTAGCGGAATAGTGCGTCTTTAAGTTTTTAACGCTAATTTTCCAAATTTGAATTCGAAAACTAGCTAGAAAATCGGACATGTTTTGGGCGATCGAAAAATCCAGATTTTTCGCAATTTCGCTGCCAAAATACAATTAGAAAACACTTAATTTATGCTCCCCCCCCCCCGATAATGCCAAAGCACCTAGATATGGAAAATCGGACATTTTTGGTCGAAGAATCAAGGTTTTTCCTTTCATCCCCTAAGGTTTTCGGGTTTTGAAAAAGTAGAAAACCATTTAAAAACACTCCTTTTTCAATATTCAATAGATGTATGAAAACAGCACCTGGAGGTCCAGCGGGTCCGGGCGGGCAGTCGAAGCAGAATTGGGCCTGTCCCCCGCCGCCATCCGAGCCGTCGGAGCCGGCTTGTCCGGGCTAAACCAGTTACGATAGGTAATATTTAAACATATTTAAGGTTTATAAATTTGTAGAATAAATTAATATTGAACCCACATTTCCAGGCGACCCATCCTGACCGGGGTTTCCGTCAGATCCAGGCGGTCCGGGCGGTCCAGCCGGTCCACTCGCGCACATGCAGCAACCTGAATTAACGACGGAGTACGAGATAAAACGCTGACACACCTCCGGAAGACGATCCTCCAGATACGGCAGCGGACGGGCCTTCCGAATAAGTCCCAGCGCCGCGGGCCCTGCTCCTCCTCTTGGTCTTGGGGTGAGCCTCGGCTGCTCGAGGAGCTCTTCCGTGGACTCCCTCGTACTGGAATTTGACGTGTAAAATGTTTTAGTTTCTAGTTATACCTTTTCAAACTCATCGAAGAGTCCGGAGGCCTTTTGACGGCAGAAGTCGACCTCGTTGTTGAGGTGCGTCTGGAAAATTAGGGGATGAAAGGAAATCTGCGCTTCTGTCTCGCTATCTTTCTCTCGCTCTGTCTATCTCTCTCTCGTTCTCTTTCGCTTCATTTTTTAGAACTTCTTTCCAACATTTACCACATTCTAAAAGGCACCAAAACGCATCAAGACTGAAGACAACGCACACAATCCAGTCGTAGAAAGTATCGCTCCGTACCTGTACCCGTTGCATGTAGTTGTACCAGTTTCGGGACGGCGATGATGGCCGTTAGAGTGGCGATGGTACTAAAAAGGGAAAGCTGTACGTTACACTCCTATTACGCCATACCTGACGGCGATTCCGGCAAAAGCCAACCGCCGCACCTGTACCACCTCACTGCTGTCCCGTTTCTCCATCCTAAAAAGTGGAAAAATCAGCTTTTTCGTCCTGAAAAAATAAAAGAATAGACGGAATAAACTTAGATTAAAAACAGAAGAGTTCTACGTCGCCAAAATTCCAAAATTTATGAATTTAAAATGTGCAAAATTACGCGACGAATACAGTACCCGTGTGGCGGGCTGTGATGGTTGTGATGAGGTGAAGGGAAGAAGCCTTTTATACGCTGGCTGGAGTGACATTTACCGGCCACACCAACTGACAACCCCATCCCGAAAAAAGGGAAAGAAAAAAGGGAATGGAAGGGAAAAACCATCCCCCCTCCTTTCACCCGAAACACCCTCACTTCCTCGCCCCATCAGTAGATGATAGGATGCCTTTCAAAACAATCATTTCTTCCCGCAAACAAACAATTCTCAGGATGAGCGGATGTTGTTCAGCGTCATCAACACGGTCGGCAAGTCCTTTTTTCCGGTGCTTGTGCTTTACCCGGGGAGGTGTCCTTACTGCTTACTCTACTTTTTTTTTCCGATTAATCCAGAAATGCCTAAGAATGTTATAGTAAGCCGTTTTTAGTGAGATTTAACTAGATCTTGAGCGGCAAAACTATCTAAAAACTCGGAGGAAATGTCTTAATGCGAAAATTTTTTGGTGCTAAAATTTTTTTAATCAAATTTATATAGCTTAGTTTGGGCATCGAATTTTTTTGTAGTGTTCTAAAGCGTTCAAAAATTGTTTTTCTATGAAAACCGAGGTGCTTTCGCATTATCGGGGGCGGGGGCAATTTTTTGGCCCAGGATCCAATTTTTCGATCTAAATAAGGGAAGTGTTACTAAACCAGTTTTTAGAATTCCTAAACAAAACGCTTTACAAATTTTGCTTAGAAAATTGGATTTTCGGGATCGTAGTTCGGAATTTTGAAAGTCGGGATTTCGGCGCTTTCCTAAAATTAGCCCCCCGTAAAACGCATAAGATTGAGTGCTGTTCTTACGCACCCTAGAGCCTTGCAGATTCTTTAGATGAAGCCGAAGCCAGCGAGCGTTGTGCATACGTGAGCTATCTGGCGTGCCATCGACATATACAACACACCCTTTCGTCCTAGACAGACATCCAACTAGTCTTTATCCCCCCACATAGAGATCGAGATATCTCCTCCTCCTCCTCCTCCGCCTCCTTTCCATTCAACACCATAAATAGCCAGCCAGAAAGCTGCTGCTGGCTACGCATTGTCAAAACATCTATTACTCATTTACAATGAGCTGTAAGGGCGATGAGAAGACGCGACTACATGAAGCCGATTCACTCAAGAAATTGGCATTTTTCGGCATTGCTATTAGGTATTTTAGACGTTTCAGCATTTCTAGTTTTGATGCTCACATCTAAATCAATTTTCGACCTTGTATTCCGATCGAAAACCCCAAAACACTATATTTTTACGCTATTTATGCTCTATTTTAACATCAAAACTTAAAAATTCGAGATGTTGGTCGAAAATCGATATTTTGTGTTTTCAATCAAGGTTTCTATAACGTTTTCACGTTTGAAAATTAGAAGGTTTGAAACCCATCCTTTATTTTTAGTAGAAAAATCGACTCCTCAGGAAAAAATTGCTTTCCCCCCTGATAATGCCAAAGAATCCAATTTTACGTCGCCTTCCATCGAAAACTGAAAAAAACGAAAAACCATTTTTTTATCATCTCTAGAAACCAAACCTAACATTAAATTATTGTTACTAAAGAAAAATCCTCTTTTTTGCAGCACTGTCGCCACATTGACAGCAATTGTAGCCGTGCCACTACTCTACAACTATATGCAACATATCCAGGTTCCTATAAATCACAAAAATACAGCTAAAAATGCCTAGACAAACCTGAACGACGAGGTCGATTATTGCCGGCATCGAGCGGATGGACTATGGGAGGAATATCATAAGGTATCGGGTACTGGATCGTTAGCGGGGGCGGGGTGCAGCGCTAGAACGAATTTTTTCCAGCAATGCCTTGCCGTCCTATAGATAAGTACAAACCATTTTGATAGCGTTTTACACAGTTTTGAGATCGAAAAAACATAGAAAACTTGGTAAATTTTCGAAACCTTTTAATTTTATCGTGAAAATGTAAGAAAAATTAACAAAAATGGGCAAAATTTTCAATGTTTGAAAATTTTTATACCTTCCTATCAATAAGAAACTACTAAGAACCAGAAAATCAATTATATTTTATCAACAGGCGGCCTTGGCCGGAAAAATAAAGATTTCTCCGCTAAAATTCTCGATTTTAAAACAAAAAACCGCCGGGGTTCTACCAAATTAAGAGGTAGGCCCCCCCCGCTATTGCCAAAGAACCAAAAGTATATGACCCGAGTCACCGTTTCAGTATGAGCTTCTGAAAGGCGCCGCCGTGACGCGCACAAAACGACACACCAGCTGGGCCCAGCGACGAGGATACAGGTAGGTGGACCTAAAAAAGTTTAAAAAACTATAAACAGGGCCTACGCCGCCGAAACGTATCAACAGGGCCCGTCATCAGCTGGACCGGCCCAGCCCGCTGGCGGCGGCGGAGGCGGTTGCTGCTCTTGCGGAGTTGGAGCCGCCGGGCCCCCTGGACCTCCTGGGGCTGATGGAAAGCCTGGGGAGGATGGGCAGGCCGGAAAGGTATCGGAAAAGCTAAAGTAGACTTTGGTACTTTGGCATTATCAGGGGGAGGGCGGAAGCTGATTTTTTCGTATAATGCCAGTAATGTCTAGTAACGTCATAGTAAGTATTTTATTAGCGTTTTTAAAAAGATCTAACGATGCTTGAAGCTGAAAAACTGTCGAAATCCCTTAAAAATTCGAACTTTTCCTCATAAATCAATCTTTTCGTATTTTTAATAAAAAAAATAGGTTGAGTTTTTACGCTGGTAAATTTTTGGAATAATAAAAAATTTTAGAAACAAATCCTATTAGAAAATTGGATCCTAAGGAAGAAGCTGGTTTGCCCTTGATAACCCCCCGATAATGCAAAAGAACCTCGGCTCTATCTCTTCCTATTTAGAACGGTGATAACGGTGCAGATGCGGACGCCAGCTCGACGCCGACCGCCGACGATTTCTGCTTTGACTGTCCGCCTGGACCCGCTGGACCTGCAGGTCAGCAACAAGTTTGCTAAAAAATTCGGAATGGACTGTCAGCGGGGGGGAGGGGATTCCATTAATGAAATAGACATTATTTCTATTAGCTTTTACCCCAGATTACGAAAGTTTTCGAAAAGTTTGAATTTTTGAAAAATTTTAAAATTTTTGGTGAAAAATTTTTGAAAATCGCCAAATTTCTAATGGTTTGGGATGGTTTTAGCAATCAAAACAATATAAAAATACACTGCAAGATGCGAAGAACTGTTTCTAGGTAGGCTTGGCCAGATCCCCCGCTAAAAGCCCAGCACCAAAAATGGAAAGCTTCTTAAAAATCAAAGAATTAGACGCCTTTCGCATCCAAGACAACAAAAAATAACAATATAAATGTCTCTACTTATATAAATTAAAAATTTCCAGGAAGTGCTGGTCCTCGGGGGCCCCCTGGCCCCGATGGAGGCCCAGGTGCTGCAGGCGGTGGAGCTATGCCCGGACCTCCCGGCCCACCCGGCCCAGCCGGAAACCCCGGGCAAGACGGACAACCCGGATTGCCTGGAAATCCTGGGGCTCCCGGCCAGGTCACCGAAATGCCCGGAACACCCGGTCCCGCCGGACCTCCTGGACCCCCAGGACCACCAGGTGAGAAAATGCTTTGGGTTCTGGTTCCTTAGCCGGGGGGTAAAATTTTTCCTAAATTCCCGTAGAAGTACTCAAAAAAACATTATAAGCATACACTAAAAACGTTAAAATTTTTGTCAGGTATCCCTAGGCTGGATAGCTTTCCCCCGCTAATGAATAAGAACCGGTAAATTGTCAATCCGTTTCCTCGCGAAGAACATTTTCATTTCAGGACCTCCCGGAACTCCCGGAACGGCCGGATCTCACGAGCCAGGCCCACCCGGCCCTCCTGGGCCTGCTGGCCCCGATGGAGGAGCGGGAACACCTGGTGCTCCCGGCCAAAAGGGATCCGACGGCAAAGACGGAGCCGGAGGCGGCTGCGACCATTGCCCTCCTCCACGAACAGCTCCCGGATACTAGCCGCCCTCCCCCGTTTCGACAATCTTTTCGTGCCATCTCTACGCATAAAGTTGTTCGTATTCTCTAGCGATGGGGGCAGTGATAACATCGACAAAACGGGTCTCGCTCGCCATTGTCTTCTTGGCGTAACTAGTTCCACGCCTCTCCAAGACGTCGGTCTTCTTCTTTGTCTTTTCCGAACTGGACGCGGGGGCCGACAATTTGTACCGCACCAGACTCTCCAGATAGCCATACATGGCTTGCCCATTTTCCTGAAATTTCGGAGAGCTGAAAAGGGTTTGAGCATTTACGGCGGTGAGCAAACTTTTCCTTGGTATTTAATTTGTTGTATAAATCAAGTTTAAATAGTTAAATCAGGTTAACCAGGCGTTTTTAACCTTCCTAAATGTGGTAACTTTAGAAATTTTGAGTGAACACTCCAACGAAACCCGATTTTTCAGCCAAAATTCAAAATTTTCAAGCACTGTTTCAAGTTTTCGAAATTCTGGTGCTTTCGCATTATCGGGGGATGGTTTCTAATATAAACAGAAGTGGTTCGCAGATTTTTTACTTTAAAAACATAAATGCGAAAACTTTAAGATTATTATTGATAAATCCAAAAAAATATCGTTTTTGACCTAAACTTCAAAATTCTAGAGGTTTTTAGATAGTTTTTCCGCTTGAAATTTAGGGCAATTTTACCAAAAACACTTCATTACACTACTCGAGATATAAAGAAACTTGGCCTCCCCTGGAAGCGGCTGAAACACTGAAACGCTGGCTTTCCCTGGAAGAGAAATGTTTTAATCGTGAAATTTGCCAACCTGGTGACTCATGATTTGACGACGAAAATTTGTCGGCGAGATGACAAGGCAAAATAAGAAGGCTTAGAAACCTCAGCGCAATATGACCCTCACAATTTGGCATGAGGCTCAGCCCGCTATGCTTTTCGTTGGCATTCATCGGGTTGGTGGTTGCCGATGAAGAGTTTGTGCCATTGCGAGTGGCTGTTCTCCATGCGAGGAAAACGACGGTCGATCGAGACATCAAGGTAGATATTCCGGTTCTTGTTCCTTAGCGGGGGGGTAGCATATCGATGCACGATTTAAGAGCGTAAGGCTATTATTTTGAGTTGTGATAAAAAGTATTTTGCCCTATCGAATTCGGTTGACGAAAAAAGCAAACATGTAAGAATTAGCTTAGGAAACCCATTTTGAAGGGTTACTAAAAGAATTATTAGTGAGACAAGAATAACCTTACTAATACGTAGGTAAGATATTTGTTTTTGTATAGCTATTTGCATTACAGTAGTCAATCAAAATTCGGAACCGATCCCGATAGCGAAAATACAAGAAAAACCCGGGGGAAACGACCCCGCCTCCGCCCCCCCCCCGCTAACGAACCAGAACCTGTGGCTCAAAAGAAATATTGAAACATCCATGCCAACTATCCAGGAACACTTGTTCCGTGCCATCAAAGATATCGGAAAAGTCGTAATGGTCAACGCCACGATGCTGGACAAAATCTCGATGGACCGAATCTCGGCGTGTTCTCCCAAAATGAGCTTCAAGAAGGCCACGTTACAAACGGTCAGTCTTCAGCTATATAGAGTATATCTTACCAGAATTATATGTCTCTAGACAAAACAATACATGAAAAAGAGTGTTAAGCTTTATTTGAAACAAATACTTTGAAAAGCCATTGCATATTTAGTAGCCTAGAGTCCGCGTCGAGCCATTAGAAGGTTGCCAGTCCAAGTCCAAAATTCTAAAAAAAAAAATTCAGAGTTAATTAAATGTAAGTACCGCACGCTGGTCCACACGCAATTGAAACTGAGCCGTGCTGAGGTGAGAGCGCAACTGAGAAATAATATAAAATTGAATGCAAATTACTTTTGTCAACTCCTGGGCATCTTTTTCGCGAACGACGCGTTGGTGCTCTTGAATGGCTTCGAGTACCGAACGCAGCAGAACAGTCTAAAAAACTAATTTTTAATATGAATTAAAAAGATTGTTATATAATTCCGAGCCTTTTTCTGTTTAAGCATCATAAAAGACTGGGGATAAATTTAATCACCTCAGTGTCCGAAATCGAAGTTCCAACGCTCTTCAAGCGGAGGTATTGATCGTAAATCCTCTGCTGAGCGACGAGAAAGTCCTCGGTTCCGATAGGGGCCACGACCTTGGGCACAACCGGAAACGCCTTAGGCGGAGCCCGCTGTCTATGTTTTTGCTTCTGAGATCCCTCGGCAGTGACACGCTTCTTGATCACCTAGGAGACCGATAAGTTAATGTGAAGGAAAAGTACCGGTTGCGGGCCAGTCAAGTAGATGTAGAGCCGATCAGCGTCTTCTGGGCAAGCGCGCAAGGCCAGTGCCTTAAAATCTTCGATTTGGGCCGTCGACCTGCAAATGAGTGAAGAAGCGGAGATCAAGCTTACAGGGCAAGAACGACCTCGGAATTTCCGTGGGTCCTGGTGCCATGCTGCCTGATGGTGCCACGATTGCCGGATGTGTACGGGCAATGGGAGCATTGGTAGATATCGAGGCTAAACACATTCATCAAACCATTTTTAAAGCTTGCCAAAAGTGGTTCTTGCTCAAATGCGCGATCATCCCATTTAGATTCGGCGAGTTTTGGCGGCAAATCTGAAAAACGTTTTGGAAAACAATCAAAAAAAGAACCATGCAAACGATGCGTGGGCCCGGGGTTCTGTGTCGCTTTGGTGGTGCCGAACCGGTGCCTGAAAATAGAGATTTCGGAGAGAAACATAATGACAAAAAGAAATTGCTGTTCCGGTCAATAATTTTCTTGGGGTGCTTCCGGCTTGACGGCGGCACGGTCGTTTTTAATTTTTAGCGGTCGGCGGTAGCGGCCTTTTCCTATCTTTTGTTACGTCCAATAATGAAACCCAGACTGTTTGAAGTCTAAAAACAATACGAAAAGGTAAAATATTTTAGACGTTTTGGTCAAAACGAAAGAAAATGAGCAAAACTTCAGATTTTCAAGTTTTCTACATTTTTACATGGGTTCATGGCAACCCTACTAACATACACTAGATTCTGTTGCTAGGCTGATATAGGCCGAACAAAAAGACGCCCCCCCCCCGCTAAGAAGTACCTTTCGTAGAAATATATACCGTTAGCATCATCAGAACCGCCTTTCTCAGCGCCATCTCCGTTGTCAGAATAATCCAGGTCGATTTCCAGCGGTGGCGTCTCGCGGCGATCAACGGTCGTTTCATGCGCCGCTTCGATGTACTCTGGCTCGAGTGGGGGAGCTAAAAAGCAAAAAATAAAGCAAGGCAGGAAATCACGTACCATTAGTGCCAGGCGAGGGTTGCATTTGTGCGCTCAAAGAAGAGCCGACCTCCATCTTTCTTCTGTAATATGAAAATTAAATGACGAAAACTTTGAGAATCACAGGACCGGAAAAATGAAAAAGATTCGACAAATAACATTTAGCCAGATGGGACGAAGAGGCGCATTCGCGGCGAGATTACACTGAGCGCCCAGGATTTCAACTTTGTACTCTTGCTCGGGGTGAGTTTTTAGTTGAAAACAAATAAAAAAATAATTATAAATGTCTAATGAACGTGCACCCGACCGCAAGTACCTAATAAAGCCGTTACAGGAGAACTACGAAAAATGCGAGGACAAAGAGCTATTGGCATTTGCGAGACCATGCTACCTTGTTGAGGGCAAAAGGTTGGTCGGCTGTCCGCGGTCAGTTGTAGACCATTCCTAGGGATATTGACCGTGTGCCCAGGCCGGCAAAGGTGGATGCGTTTCAAAAATACTAAGGACCTCCTAAAACATGAGATGATGCATGCATTGGTATGATCATTGGGACCCCAAAGTACGTATACAAGTAATTCAGGGATTTGGAACGGTAAATCCCATTTCTACGCAGGAAAGCTGCGCCGAAGAGCTTGACTTCTCGCAGCGAGCGGGAGTGGGTGATGGTTCTGTTTTCAAAAGGGTTGTATTTTACGAATAGCCCAAAAACGCGCAACTACGTTCGCAACCCAAAATCCTTCTAGGAGTATGTCGTATCGGCCTTCGGATGCAAAAATGTGGCTGGAATTCTTGCAGATGATCGTCGAAAAACACATCTGATGGAGAGCATTTATCATGTAGGTAAAAAAAGACTGCCCAAAAGCTTATTTTTAGAAACTAACATTGTTCAGAGTAATTTCCCGCTTAGTAGGGCCCGTATAGTCGATTGATATCGAAAAATTAGCGCTAGGATAAAAAATTAAGCTATTCGGTGCAATTTCGGCCACAAGTGTTGTGTAACCCAAAAACTCGTGATGGTCCAGAAATTCAGTCGGATCGTCATTCGTCGTGGGATCCCCCTGATGCAGTACCGTAGCCTGAAACCGATTCCAGGATGAAATGATGACGCCGTATCTCTCGGAAAAGCGCAACTATTTCTCCAACATTTCGGCGATGATCCTTGAGGATACGCATCTAAATTCTGGGTAAAGGGTACCGAGAAGAAAGAAAGAAAAATATTCTCATAGGCAATGGTACAAAGTCAACTATCGCTCGATCCAGAAAGAAGCATTCCGCTTCGTCCGTGAAAATCAACAACTTTGTGCTCGTCTCGAAAAAGCAGCTTCAAAATTGAGCTGAACGATTTCTGGATAAATTCTGATTTTGTCGACATTTTTGTAGCTATAGAACCGCCATTTCCTTCAGTCTTCCGGGCAGATTATGGCAATTTCACATTTTCGTTATTTTGATCGGAAATCGAGCTGCCAGACGTTGACCGTCAGGCCACTTACTGACCCTTGTCGCCCTTTTTTATCGGCGACGATCGATCAGGGAAGCGTGATTTATAGTCGCGGACCCTTGCCGTGGGGCATTTGGCCCCTCGAGTCTCACTTTCGCAAGACTCGAGCTTCAAGATGCGGCTAATTTTGCTGGCCCTGCCGGTGGTGTTGGCCCAGTTCAATGTGCCCTACTACGAATTTGCGCCCGAAGATGAGCTGCTGTTTGTGCAAGTGGTGGGCTATTCATTGACCGGAAGTGTTTTTCCAACGACCCTATAACCTAGGAGCACCAATGCTATTTTTACTACAGGCCTGGCGTCATGGCGATAGGGCTCCGACAATGACTTATCCGACCGATCAACACCAAGAAAATATTTGGCCAAATGGATGGGGCGAGCTGACACCGGTACCAGTTTTGTAAAGATACGTTAATGATGTTCTAGCTGGGGATGCGCCAGCAATACGCGCTCGGCAGGGTGTTGCGCGCTCGTTATATGAACGAGACGAATCCCTTCTTGAACCCGCGGTACTTCGCCAAGCAGGTGAGGTCGCGGGAGGGTGGGGAAACGTTTTTAGGTGTACATCCGGTCTACCGACGTCAATCGCACTTTGATCTCTGCTTATGCCAACACAGCTGGAATGTTTTCTGGAGGTGAAAAGGGAACGGACTATCCAACCTATGGACGGTAAGCTGAGAGTAGTAACAATCGATCTGGAAATGAAACAATTACGAAGTCTAATACATACATTTTCAGATGGCCCACTAATTGGACACCAGTCCCGGTCCATACCATCGATGTCGATACTGATCATGTAAGCTTCTTCTCCTTTTGCTCTCTAAAGCAGTGGACAACCTCTAGAAGGTCCAACCTTTCCTCTAGGTCGGCAACATCTTCGCCCCGTGCAAGCGCGCCGAAGAGCTCGACGAACAACTACGCAACAGCAAGCCGTTCAAGAAGCTTGAAGCCGATAACGAGGTAGTAAACTTTAGATACCTAAAATCCCATCAAGGATTTCCTCCAATACATCAAAGAGAAGACCGGCATGGAAGTGGATTTGCGCAACATCTACTTGATCAACGACGTGCACCACATCGAGGTATTCAGAGGAGAAAAAAAAGCCCTTATTATCCGTTTAGATGATCTACAACTTGAGCCAACCCGCGTGGCTAACGGATGAAGTTTCTGCCAAGCTTCGAAACTTGACGCTAAAGGCGAACGAGTATACTTACGGCATCGGAAAACCGTACGTCCCGGAACTCATCAGACTGCGTGGAGGTAAAATGGCTGGGCCTGGTCTGTTAGAGGGTAGGGCGTAAAACTATAGGGCCCAAAATGAAATGCAACTAATTTGTTTAACCTTTTACGCCATTTGTAGGTATCCAAAATTGCTAAGTATTCAAAAAATGTAGAATTTTTATAAAAAATCCAATTTTTACAGTTTTAGACAGTAAAAACTACCGAATATTCTATAAAAATGCACTTTAAAATGCTAAAAAAAATCTGGGGAGGTGAGCAGGGGCGTAGCCAGAAAAAAATTTCGGGGGGGGGCCCAAAAAATTTGTCCGAAAGACTCAAAAAATTAACGATAAAACAGCGCCGCAGGCAAAAAAAAAATTGGAAAAAAGCTACATAGCTCTACAAATAGCAGTAAAAACGTAAAAAAATAGCGCCGCAGGCAGCAAAATTTTTGAGAAAATAAAAATCATAAGGGTCCCCCCTTATGAAATTTTCGGGCCCGGCCGATTTCGGGGGGGGCCGGGCCCCCGGGGCCTGTATTACGCTACGTCCCTGGAGGTGAGATAGCTTCTCCCCCCGCTAACAGTCCAGAACAAATAGTTTGAATGGAATCATACAACCTCCTTGCCAGGAAACATCCTGAAATCCATCGTGAACAACATGCAGCAGAAAGTCCGCTGTCAATTGAAGGCTAACAAGGGTCCGGAATGCGCTTGGTTGGGTGACCTGAAATACTACGCCTACTCCGCGGTAACTAAGGTAGCAGCTAGTAATCTCGAGCCTTAGCACGATACCACCGTGGCCGCCTTGCTGACGACGCTCGGCAATGAGCGTCAAGTGATTCGCGGAGGATTGCCGAAATACACCGCGTCCGTTGCATTTGAGCTGTGGATGCTGAAAGACGGTCCGGCCGTACGGGTGAGACATCATAGAGCTCAGATTCAACGTCATCTTGTAGATTCTTTATCATACCGCCTTCCATCATAACTACCATCCCATCACGCACCTTACCCATGGTTGCCCAACTGATTCCGAATTCTGCCCACTCAAGGCAAGCCCCAAAAAGGAAAAATATCTAGTCAGAATTTAGCAATTCGTGGAACGATCACAGAAGTTCATGCCCGAGGACATCGTCCTCGAATGCAAGAAAGCCATCGCCCCCGGTTTTGATGGTAAGGAGCCACAGACAGCGCAAAATCCCTAATTCAGAAAGCATCCTCACCAACCGCGTGCAGCCGTGATGAACCATTTGCGATAAAGTATTTCTGACTTGCCATTTTCATCACAAAATAGGGTAACTCGTTTAATGCCGAACACACATAAGGGAAGTGCACAATTATCAATCGCAAGTCAGGGGCAAAATGATTTGTCAAAAAGACTAGTTCAATATACAAAGTCGGTAACAGCAATTGTAGGACGAGGAATGCTTGACTACTGTACAGACGTAATTACAGAGCCGTCAAGTTGCTGGCACAGTAGAGCTTGAAAATGAGTAGGCATCCCGAAAAGCATTGATTTTGTGAAAGGAAATCAAGAGTTAGCCCATTGTTCGAGTTCGTCCAAGTCCCTGTCGGCCGCAGACTTGGCGGGAGCTCGGGCCGGAACGGAGGGGAGGGAAGTTGCAGGGACATCGGGAAGGCGAACTGGGGCGGCAGGGGTAGGCTGTACGTCGAGAAGTTGCTTGTCAAGTTCCTCCTGAAAAAAATGAACATGAGAAATTACAGAAATTGTATAAGAATTAAATAAAAAACACTTTACCTGCTCCAACTCTTCCAATTCCTTCAATAGATCATCTTCATCGACGTCTCGGCCAAATCCAACAGGGTTGGAAATGGCTTCGGCTATTTCATTGGCCACCTCTTGTTGTTCAGCAATATCCTCCATCAGATCGTGAACCTACACGAGTTTTTGGTTGCTAAGTTTAATCGCCATTACCTGATCGATGTCCATGTTGTTGTGAGCTTGTTTCAAAGCCTTGCTAGCTCCACCCATCACTTGAAGCACTTCAGCGTTGGTCGAAGCATTTTCTAACGCTTCTCGTTGGAATTCGATCGTCTGCAGCACGCCGTCCAAATGGTTCAAGTTTTTCTCGAGCTTTCTAAAAAAAACAGGTTGATAGCAAAAACGACGGGTTTACTTTTTTCGATTAAGAGCAGCGAGGGCCATTCGCTTGTTCTTGGATCCATGCTTGAGAGCTGTCGCAACTTCCTAAACTGAGGCACTACAAAACAAGTGGGGAAACTGTTTACCTCTTTGATTTTAGTCTCAAGGAATCCCTGCTTCTTGATCAGCAACTCCTCGGTTTCCCGCAGCTTCTGGATGCTTTCTTGCGTGGAGGGCGCCGGGGGTTCCTTCTTGCCGCCAAAGATCTTCCCGAAAAGGCTCATTCTCTAAAAAATACGGTGTAGAAACGTAAGCGAGCTGTCATTGATGACGGAAAAACGCGGGGAATAGCAGGGTAGGTACTTGAAAGAGAAAAGTCCAATGCAAGAAAATGGTTTGGAGGGCAGAACTATCAGAAAATGGGGTGATGGGGTTGAATGCGGTAGTGATCCTCTTTTAGCCCAAAAGTAGTCGTTTCCAACTGCTTTATTCTTAGAAATCTTAGAAAAGCTAAGTTGAACGACACAGTTTCGCAGCGCAAAAGCCCACAGAATAGCTAATCGAAGTTAGTGAACCGCGGATAGAAGAAACACGCCCTGTGAAATGCAAGAAGATGATTTTGGAGGGTTGAACTGCGAGAAAATGGCGCAATCGGGTTCGGGTCGATTTGGATGACTCATCTTGATGGAAAAGGCGTCATCATAGTGATAAGGAGAGAACGAAGGCAGGGAGCAATATCTTACAGGGGTTGTTGATTACCTTTAGCGGTTTTTACTTGTTTTACCTTTATAAATATAGCTTTCAAAAAACCAAGAATTACGCCTTGAGGCTTATTTCTGCTTTCACAACACCATATTTGCCTGCCCAGCTGAATTCCTCTAGCTGTCTAACCAGGTGAATCACCCTGACTCTGCCCTCCCTCGCCTGATTTCGTAGCTGCCCACCGTTCCCGCGTACGCGACGCGCCACGCAATGCGAGATCCCGCGAAGAATTTGCCAAGATCGTCCGTTCTCTTTTCATTTTGTCACCTGATTTACACCGTTTTGTTTTTATATTTGCAAAAACAATCTCGGATCAATCATGACGATCAATTCAGGCGCAACGATGACCGACAAGGAGGTCGCGGAGAAGATCAAGAAGCTCCAAGCCATGGCCGAGTCGGTCAGGACTGGTGGCAAGGTTGGTTTTTGTTGCGCGCCTAGCAATTTTTAGTTTAGGGAACCGTCCGCAGGAAGAAGAAGGTCGTCCACAAGACCGCTGCTTCGGACGACAAGAAGCTCCAATCAAACTTGAAAAAACTTTCCGTCACCAACATTCCTGGCATTGAGGAGGTTTGTTTATTTGCTTTCGCGCGGACGATTATTGATTTATTAGGTGAACATGATCAAGGACGATGGAACAGTCATTCACTTCAACAACCCCAAGGTCCAAGCGTCGGTTCCAGCGAACACTTTTTCAGTGTGCGGAAGTGCTGAGAACAAACGTTAGTGTTTTTATAAAAGTCTTTCATTTCTTTTTAGAAATCACTGAGCTTCTTCCCGCTATCCTGAACCAGCTTGGACCAGAGTCGCTTACCCACTTGAAAAAATTGGCAAGCAATGTGACTACCCAATTTAAGAACTCTGAAGAAGATGACGTACCAGGTATGTGTCTTGTTTTGTCCCGTTATTTTTGTGCTAGATCTCGTTGGCGATTTTGATGAGGTATCCCGAAACGAAAAGAAGGAGGGATGCGGACACGACCACGACCATGATCACCATCACCACCACTAATCTCGCCGGCTAAATTTCAAGTCGAACCAGCGCATCTCTTGAAATTTTGTTTTTGTTATCTTTTGTTTAGAATTTATAAATACGTTTTACCCACCTGTTATAAATTAGTCGCTCACTCGTTCCCGGCGACTCATTTATCTGACGCTTTAGGCAAAAAGTCCGGTCACTGTTCTGAAAATGGGTGCTCACGGCCCAACCATATGGGGTACCCGCCCCAATCAAGTTTTTCAAGCTGATGAAGCGTTGTGGCCCACTTTGTTGCTCCCGAATAAATTGTTTCCAGTAATTCGTCGGGACGCACCTCACCATGGCCGACCAATCAGCTAGCCACCCAATAGCGCTGAAGGGTACGTTTTTACAGAGGAGTGCTGCGTTTTGTTTTACGGCTTGGATGGGCTGGTTTAGTTATGCGACTTGCGCGTCCTAAGTTTGCCTTGGCTCACGGACTGATTGCCGATCCCTCGGATGAAACTTCGACTTCGATCGCTGAGGCTATCACCCGACGGTCCGGTGAAGAGGCTACGCCTTGGCCTGCTGGGGAATTTATTTTGGCGCCTCAACAGTTTGAGTACGTGCTTACTAAGTGGTGTTCTATTGCTTGGACTTTTTAGGAACATTTATCTGGGTGAAACCTTTACTTTCTACATCAGCTGCGTAAACGAAAGCCCGGAAACCCTGGAAGCTGTAGAAATCAAAGTGAATATTTAGTTTAGCCTAGTCTAGTTTTTAGGTGGAACTGCAAACCAATAACCAAAAAGTTGCGCTGAACTGCACTTTGAATGGAATGGCTCTAACGGCTGGCGAATCGAAAGGCCAGGTGATCAACCATGAAGTCAAAGAATTGGGGCAACACATGTAGGTTTTCCACACCTAGTTTCTATAGCAACGCACCGCTACGAGCAACTCGAGTGTATTTCAGATTAGCTTGCTCGATCGCTTACAAAACGAATTCTACACCGGGTCCGCAATATTTCCGGAAGTTCTTTAAATTTCCTGTTGCTAAGCCGGTAGACGTCAGGACAACATTCTACAATACTGAGGTAGGTCAGATGCCGATATGTCATGAATAATTCCATGTTTTCAGGATAACCTGGTGAGAATTTTGCTTCGACAGGATGTTGATAGAACGGTGGTAATTAGGATAGCAATGTATTTCAGTCATATGATGTATTCCTCGAGGCGCAGATTGAGAATACGTCGAATGGCAACATGATCCTTGAGAAGGTGGTGTTGGAGCCGAGCGAGTTTTATACTAGCCAGCCGATTGTTCACCAGTAGGGAATCATAATGAATGCAGTTAAATTTTGGTATAGTCTCGAAGCAGAAGCGGTGATACTTCTCGAGCCAAAGGATATTATGCAGTACTTGTTTTGCCTTACGCCGAAGAATGTGGGAGCCCTGCCCGTAAAAGAGGTAATTCTTTGTTGGTGACTGTTAGAGTAATATTTAGGTGACGAATACGGGAAAGCTCAACATCGAATGGCGTACTGCCATTGGTGAGAAGGGTCGTCTGCAGACGAACTCCTTGCAACGAATGGTAGGTTTCAAACATTGGTGATAGAACCCATCCGTAAACAGAGCCCTGGCTACGGGGACACTAGGCTGACGATCGAACGGGTTCCGGCAGAAGCGAGCATCCGCCAGGTTTTCGAAGTGGTTTGCCGGATCCACAACTGCTGGTGAGTTGCGACAATTTCAGAAGTGAGACGATCAACGTTTAGCAACCGCTCCCTCGACCTGCTACTCACTTTTGACGCTCTACGCCAGCCAGGAATGGTTTTTGCATGCACTTCAGGGGTTGGTTTTGGCTTTTGCGTTTATTTATATCCATCTCGTTCTAGAAGATGCTGGGCCAAATTCCTCCAAATAAGCACGTCGACTTTGTGCTGGAACTGCTGCCCTTCGCACCCGGTTTCCAGGTTAGTGTCCCAAAGAAAAAAAATAATACCCGGATTAGTCGATTTCCGGCATCCGTGTCCAAGACGTGTTCAACAAGCGAGTTTACGAGTACGATGACGTCGCGCAAGTGTTCGTCAACTAAAACGGTTGAGGGGACGAGTAAATGGGTACCTTCTGATATAACGTGTTATGGGTATGTATATACAAAACGAATAAATTATTTATCACTGCATGATAAAGCATGAACCGGTCTCGAATTCGAATATCGCACATCAGCTAGGTGGGTATGTAAAGAAGGAGAATGAAGGGATATTATTTGTACAGACTGCAGGTTGAAAAGAAGGATTGCTGGCTTCGTCAGTGGAAAATGGGCGACACGCCCTGTCGAGTGGTAAAATCAAGAACAGAAAAAGGTATAAAATCTCTATACAAAAAAAAACAGAATGTCTGACAAAAACTACAGAACACGATCACAATTGTGGAGGGGACACGTGGAAGGGGATCGTCATATCACCCGACAAGGACCAATATCTATGCAGGCAGCCCGGCGCCTTCTAGATGGGCAACACGGTCGACGAACGGGACGTGATGAAGCCGGTGAAGAGGGAGGTAATAAAACGCAGCCCGCGCTCGCCACCCGGAACATACGAGAGGACGAACCTGGAACAGAGAAATCGTGAAAAGCACGTAGTTGCTGGAGATTTTGCAAAGGTTGAAACCGATCTCTACGCACTTTTTTGGGGCTGGCAAGGCACCCCAAAAGAATTTCTGGCTCTATATCGGTAACCGGGATTTTGTTGAAATTGAGGATTTTCCATGATAGTGTGAATCTTCGGCGGCGATCCTCGAAATCGAGAATTTTCGCTGAAATTCACATTTATTCTAGGGCTCGACGTTTTAGAAAACCCAGATTACCGGTAAAACGCAGAGTTTCTGGGCTATAGATATTAACGCGTCAGCGACGCATTTCTTGTAATCGTAGTCCATTCGGCGCGCATGTGCGTTGCGTGTCGCTAGCCCGCAAGGGTCGATAGGGAATCCGTAGCAACCCGTTCAATCGCGATTTCCCTACTGGCCACCGGGGCAGACGCAGCAGCAGACCTCCCCGTTCATCCATATCAAATAGAGCGCTATTTTCTCACCCCCCTCTAACACACCGGAGCCCACGAGCAATTTTCCGCGTCTCGAAAAATACGCTTCCTCAGCCCGCGGATCTTTACCCCAAAACGGCCGATCGTTGGTTTCGTTGGTGCCGTTAAAGTGGCCGCGAGGGCTTCCCCCGTTTTCGATGTTGGTGGCTGCGAAGGAAAAGGCGATGGCTAATTATCGTGGAAGAAGCGCCAGTTGTGGCCGCTATCAGAAAATAGCGTCGTCACCCCGGAAAGGTCACATTGCCCCTGCAACTCATTAACACCCCCGGGCGGGCCCCGGTTGAACATTAGATGTGACCAGGGCTTTTCCTGTCCCGTCAAAACAGTCCATATAAAATTCTAGACACTTGACTGTTAGAGGGGGGGGGGTCTAGCAAGGGCAACCTAATTTTGGCTTTTTCCGCCTATCGACCTGTGGATAAAATACTGTAATACATTTTATAGTATTTTTAGTACTTTTTGATTGCTAGAAAGATTAAAAATTATTTTCGAATATTTCAAAATTCGAAAATGTATACCTTTTCATACATAATTGACAAAACTGAAAAAAGTCGGATAATTTTTACAAATTGTTGCGTTTTTATAGCCAAAACTGTGCTATAAAAAATATTTATATCTTTCTATAGGGTCGTACAGGTTTCTGGGAAAGATTTTGGGTCACCCCTGCTAACCCCCCCGCTAGCAGTCCAGTACCAAATCTACCCGCCCCAAAGTTAATTCAGTAAACAGGTTGAAAACTGACCATATGAGGGTGAACGCCTGGAAGATGGCGGCGATCAGCGTGAAGATTGTACTTTTGAGCTGAAAATGGATGGATTAATTCGGGTAACTAAAAGGAATTAATTTTATCTAGAAAGGCACCCTTTCACACAGCCCGGAATATCTCTAGGGTATCGAATTGCGTGTGTAAAGGATACGAACGGTCGGTCACACATCCCCTTCTCGTAAAGTCGCATTTTGCTTAAGACTATTAAAAGGGACTATTTAAGTTCAATTTTGAACCTTATCAACCAAAAAAAGTACTTTTCGGGCTCACTATTCGTTTGCGTTTTGTCGGCATTTTTTCCGTTGAGGTTTATCGGGCGGGTTATTTTCATTTTGTCGAAAAGTAGAACATCAATCTCCCACTGTCGAAATTTCCTTTTGTCGAGATTCGACTGTGTGAAAATTACGTTTTGTCGAAAAGCTAATTTAAATTTCAGCGTAATGTAATTTCGACAAAATGAATTTGACATTCTACGTTTCGACAAAATGCAAATAACCGGTCGGGATTTTGGCCCACCGAAATTTCGGCTGTCGGGATTTCATTGTCGACATCAAGCCTGTCGGGATTATACATATAAACATTCGAATATCGGCATTTCGTCGTTTGCCCCACCGAACCCCGTTGTTTTCCACGTCCTCATAATGTCAAAAAATCGGGTGAAGGTGACCATTCGAGCGCCGGGGGCCCCCGTCGCCTTGGGGCCCAGCCGGTTTCTTAGAGCCCGGGCAGCTGTGTATCACAAACGACCCCCCACCCTCACTTGCCCCCCGGCCAGTAATGGCCCATTTGATTCGCCATTTCATTCGCTACACGAATCTGAAACAGCTTTTGCCAGGGCCGGCGGCTGGCGGCTGGCTGCTGGGCGGCCGGCAACCAGCGGGTCAAGGGAGAAGCCGGGATGTCGATATTAAAAATGCCGACACCGGGAATATCGATCCCAAAGGCTAAATTGATAACTGCAATTTTTTTACATGTCGGGATTTTGACTATTTCCCCTCCAGGATTCCGCATCTTCTCCATCATCCGTAAAAACAACTAGCAAATTATTTGCTTGGTAGCGTCATAAGTCCAGCTACGTAGGTACCGCTCCTTGAACTTGCCGAACTTGTTGTCTGGCAACTTTCCCAGTGGCAGAACCTTTTTCGGGTTTATAAGCCAATTTCCGGCGGTGTTTTCCAGCGATAGCTTCCTGGATACAGCCTAATTTCCGCGCTGGTTCCATTAATACCTAGAAATACAGACCGCTTCACCAAAAAGCTATTTCCTGTTAAATTTTGCGGATTAAGCTAAATTTTCCGAAAAAAATCTATTAATATATCGAAAAATGCCTATTTATAGAATGTTTTCTAGCTACGATTTTCTGAATGCAGAACAAGCTTGAAACCCCCATTAACACCTAGAAACACCTCTCATTTTATCAAAAACACCGTTCTTTCCCGCCCACCCGCAAAACACGCGCCGCGAATTGCCAATTACCGGCACCCCCCGGTAATTGAAGTCCCCCGGGTCCCTGAAAATGCATGGTACCTAAATACCCGATCAGCCCTGCCAGCCGGTGCTTTCACGACGGTGTTCGTGATCTGGTGGCCGACGGGGAGGAGGACGAGGATGGATGGGGCGTGTCCAAAAGGGCCAAGGGCCCGGTCATGGGTCCCAGTCCTTCCCGCCCTTGGTCCCAGCCCCACAGCCAACAGAAAAACCTCGGTTGGCTCTTCCCGCCATGGCTGGGCCCATGGCAGCGCTCTGGTGGTATATGCTCATTTTTCGTCAATTTGTCTAAATGGGGGAAATTTTCTAGCTGCACGCATAGCTCTATACGCCATTAGGTGCGTGAAGGTCCACTAGATGCCCTGATGCTAACAGATTTTGGAAAAACCGCTACTTTCGATATAGACCGTAAATTTTTGTCAAAATCACGGTCATTCTCTTTGTCAGACAAATCGATCTTTTCATATATATTTTATTTATATTTCATCGCATTTTTCGGTGCCGATTTGATAAAGGGCCTGAAATTCAAGGTAGAAGAAAGCCGCGAAGCGGTTTTTCAACTCTCCTTTGCCCAAAAACCGTTTTTTTCTCGTCGTTAAAATTTTCTTACCCTGACCACGGTCATTTTTTATGTTTTTCCGAAGCTAGACGAATTCTCAGATCGGCCCGTTTTCACAAAAAAAACACAGGAAAAATGATTTCTAGGAAAAATGAACGCAATCCCAGCAACCGCGCCAAAATCCCCCCGAGATAATAGAGCCCATCAGCGGAAATATCTGCTCCTCCTCCTCCTCTCGCTCGAATACTCCTTTTCAAGCCCCCATCCCTATTGCCTTGCCATTTTTGTTGGTTGGTGACGCGGCCGTGGGGCTTCTCCCTCCCGGATAGCCGCATCTTTGAAGCCATATTTTGTGTGATACAGGATGACGGACACGCGAAAACAATCACTCTTCCACCGCTGGCGGCAAAATGACAGCATGCCCGGGTTGGAGGGCATTTCCGAGGAGGAACTGTCCGAGTATCGGGAAGCATTTCGGCTTTTTGACAAGGTAGGGGTCGAATGCGAGTTTTTAATGCTATTTTTCGATTAAACAAGGTATTCGGTTCTCGGCCGTTAGCGGGGGGGGGGAATCGAAAATGGAACTAGATCTAGCAAAATTTTGGCGTTTTATAGTGGATTTTTAAAGACGTTTTAACAATTTTGATTACGAAAACTCTCAGGAAATTCAAAAATCTAGTTTTTAACATTTTTGTGACCAAAAGAAAAATGTTCAAGAATTTTAATTATTTTTATCAATTTTCTATATTAAAAAAATACGTCAAAAACCGCACAAATGGTGTTTATTGGTTATTGAGCGATAGGCTAAAGCCCCGCCTCCCCGCTAACAGTCTCTAACCCGATTTTTTTAGGATGGCAACGGGTCGATCTCGTCAAAAGAACTGGGTGTGGCTATGCGCTCCCTGGGCCAGAATCCCACCGAGCAGGAGCTGCTCGACATGGTCAACGAGGTCGACATTGACGGGTCGGGCACGATTGATTTTCCCGAATTCTGCCAAATGATGAAGCGGATGAGCAAAGTGGGTTGGAAAACCGGGTTACTAGTGACGCCCAATCTTTTCTTGAAAAAAACCTACAAAAAGGCTTTTTTTTGGCTAATTTGTAAATTTCCGGTCTAGCCAATCCCTCAGCGATACAACGAAATTCCTCAGCCTTGTTACGTGAATTCCAAAAGATCCAAGATCCGCAATTGTTTTGGTAACGCGATTCTCCCCGCCAAGGGGAGCTCCAAGGGACTGCTGTCGACAGCCAAGCTAGACCTAGAGATGTATTGCAGGAGAACGACTCGGAGATGATCAGGGAGGCATTCCGAGTGTTCGACCGCGACGGTAATGGGTACATCACGGCCGACGAGTTCCGCTACTTTATGACCCACATGGGGGAGCAGTTCTCGGACCAGGAGGTTGATGAGATTATCGCCGAGGTTGATATTGATGGTGACGGGCAGGTGGGTAACTTTGAGGGTTTGATCAATTCCGAAATTAAACTCAAGTTCTGACATGAGCCAAGCCTAAGCCTAGCTAAGTCAGGTTAAGCCGGAATTAAAGTTGAGCCTAAATGAATCAAACCTAAGCCTACGCATCAAAAAGCAGAAGCGAAGTCAATGTTAAGCCTAAATAACTCGAAACTTTAGTAGAATAAGAATTTAAAAGTGACTACAACTTTAATTACATCTTCGGGAATAAGCTGTGTTAAGTCCAGGGTTGGTCACAAAGGATCCGGTCCGCGGACGGTCCGCGGTCCGGTCCGGTCCGGATCGGTCCGAGTGGATCCGAGAATTTCGGACCGGACCGGACCGGACCGGACCGGTCCGGTCCGTCTGAACACGAAGGGACATGATTCAGGAGCCAGATATGGAAAATTTTGTATGCAAAATACTACTCGCGAAGAATTTGACATATTTTTCCACATTTAGGCTACTAGCCGTCGCGTATATAGCCAAAAATTAATGGGGGGACGAAGAGTTTTATACATTTTGATTAAGCGAATTCCACATTGCGTAATTTTTTGGTACGCCACTCTTTTGCATTCCGAATTTGCATGTTGCATTTCCGTTTCTCCTAGCAAATCAAAGCCCCTCGGTCCGCCACGGACCGGACAGGTCCGGTCCGGTCCGGTCCGGTCCGGTCCGGATGGAAATTTCGGACCGGACCGGACCGGACCGACCCCCCGGACCGGACCGGATCCGATTAGGATCCAGCGTGAAACCCTGGTTAAGTCTATTGAAAGCTAAGCCTAAGCTAATCAAGTAAGACGAAGCTTCATCGACATTAAGCCTAACCCAAATCTAAACCCAAGCCAAGTCCAACCATCCCTACTTCCCGAGATCCCAAAAAGTGCACCACAAATGGTGTTTATACCTGGCTATAATTAGTGAAATAGTGCATCCACCAGCTATTAGTCAACCCCCGCGAATTGTTTGGCCAGCCGGCAGGCACCTATCGCTTTCACAATCTAGCTAGATGATGTCCGGATGTGGTCATAAGATTTGCGGGAAACACCCCCAGCAACCCGATAACAAATTGACATCCAACGACCTCTCGCCGCTGTCACATCGAAAGCGTTCAGGGTTTACCACGTCACAAAAGCTTTCCAAGCGCCCCTGAGCCCTCATTTAAAATGGACCAATTCTGTCTACGCAAAACGACCAAAATGTCGGAGTCTTCAAGCTTTTCTAAGGGTTTGAGGTTCTGGCTCGTTAGTGGGGGGGGGGACTAAATTTTTTTCTAAGTGGATAGGTGCCGAACAATTAAACAAAGTTTGTTTTAATAGACTTTTACGTCATTTATAGACCTAAAGATTCTTGAATTGACTTTTTTAGTCAAAAATATCAAACTTTGATTTTTCAAAAATAATTCTATGCTTTTTTTATCACAAGCTACTGAAAAATACTAAAAAAGGTGTGTTTCATTAAAATTGAGGCACTTTAAAGGATGCCAGTTTCCACCTTCCCCCCCCCCCCCGATAAAGAATCAGAACCCGTTTTAAAAAGTTTTCTAAGTAAAAGATAGTCGAGTCTTACTAGAAAGGTGATAAAAACACTTTATGCGATCCACGAGAGACCGAGAAACCCGCTAACAAATTGTCCTCCATCGACCTAAAGTGTCTGCCACCGCGTCCCAGAGTTTCACCCCATTCATGACGCGCCAAGCGCCCCTGGGGCATGATTTGCACTTGACGACCAGTGTGAGGCGACGGGGAAGCAGGAGCTCATTGCGCAACCGGGGTGGTGGTGTCGATGCTCTGTTTCCACCAGGAATTGCCTGGCGGCCACACTCTCTGTCGCGTCAGCTGACAGGGAGAAGCCGCTGAAGAATGTGGGCCCCAAACCAAAGGCAGGCAGGCCGGATCGTTGCGTGATTGTGTGTGATAGGTTGAAAAGGGAGAGCCCTCACTTGCCCTCATCACTTATGGGCGACAGCGTTTGAGATGGCCGGCCGGCCCGGGGAGCTTGGGCTTTTGGCCACGAGTTGAGGGGAGGAGGGGAGCAGGAACTGGGCTGCTTCCAGGGTGGATTGAGCCCGACTTGTGGAGGGGGGAGTTCTAGTAAACACATGGGTTCTGGTTCATTAACGGGGGGAGAGGTGAAAGAAATCTAAACTATGACAATACCACTTTTGGGGCTTTTTTTAGCCATAAAAAACCCTTAAAAAGTTATAAATGAAGAATTTTGGTCAAGAATCTTACTTTTTTCATTTTTGCTAATTATGATGACGTTTTAAAAAGCGGAAACTACCAGAGTCTAAAAGACTATGTTCTCTTTCTATGAAAGCTAACTAGGGAAGTGCAAATAAAAAATCCCGCAAACCGCTTAGCAAAAATATGGGTCTGATAGAGTCGGCGACGGGGATTCCGAAACTGCAATCAGAATTTGCTAAACGCTTAATACAAAAAAGTTATGAGCATTTTAAGTTTTGCACTACTTACTCCGCCCTCCCTTATCAGCTCCTCCCGAAGAAGGGTGTCCACCTGTCGAGTGGTGTAGTGGCTAACTAGCCTGCCTCTGGGGCAGAGGCTCTCTGGTTCGACTCCGGGTCATGCAAAACTTTTTGCTTTTTGGTCAAAGTCAACAACTTTAGACTTTTTCAAAGTTTCGAAGTCCGAAATTTAGATTTTTGAACATTTTCTTTATTATTGACTGCGTGTAGGCTTACCTTACGAAAAAAACAGAGATGAATTTTTTTAGTGCCCTACCCGCAAAAGTACCTGCACTCCCGCCAGCACTTTGTAATCGGTTTCATGAATTTAAAAATTAAGAGAACGGCCCTTTCGACTTTGAAACTTTGAAAAAGTCTAAAGTTGTTGACTTTGACCAAAAAGCAAAAAGTTTTGCATGACCCGGGAGTCGAACCAGAGAGCCTCTGCCCCAGAGGCAGGCTAGTTAGCCACTACACCACTCGACAGGTGGACACCCTTCTTCGGGAGGAGCTGATAAGGGAGGGCGGAGTAAGTAGTGCAAAACTTAAAATGCTCATAACTTTTTTGTATTAAGCGCTTAGCAAATTCTGATTGCAGTTTCGGAATCCCCGTCGCCGACTCTATCAGACCCATATTTTTGCTAAGCGGTTTGCTGGATTTTTTATTTGCACTTCCCTAGTAAGATGAATAAGGGAAAAGATATGAAAGACCCCCTCCCGCTAACACACCAGAACCGATTGAGCTCGACACGCGGCGTCCTAAAAACACCTGGGGGCACTGCGAACAATTACGTGCGGAGGGGGATGTATTTCTCGCGCGAGTAGTTCCTGCTTCAGGGTCTTTAGGAGCACGTTTATCGCTGCTGGGGCTCAAAAGAACACGCTACATACTACAATTAGCGGAAACATTTAGGAATAGAGGAACCGGATTCTTACTCGGCCCTTTAAATCGCATTATATAACTACGTATACACCTATTTACGCAGCTAGACCGCGGAAAAAAGCTCCGCCTAATTTCTAAAAATCTGCGTGAGCCGTTCAGTACTTCGCTAATTACACACTCTCATTTTCAGATTGACTACGAAGAATTCGTGAAGATGATGACGATGCCTTGATGACCCGATGTACATGTCAGAAGACTGGATTCAAAAGTTCTACGCCTCTCTGTATTTCCTAAAAACTTTTTGAGGATTTTAAAGGAACCGGCAAGGTTAATCTATTCAGACGGCTATGGATTTGTTTCTAGTGCTTTCCAAGCCCGCGACACGCAACGCAAGCATGGCCTGACCACGCGGTGGAAGATCAGCCTTGCGCGTGGCGTGTCGCGTAGCGGCGAAATCTAGAAACGAATACATACCGTAACTTGCGGTTCCTTTAAAAAACCGCGCTTCTGCTTATCAAATCCTTTCGCCCATTTCCTCGCAATCTGATCAAGTTCCCTAAAATACCTATCAAAATCCTGTCCATCATCACTCATTTTCTAATTTCCTCCCAAAACCGCCTCCCCCCATTAGCAACGTGTGATCTACGGGTATTGCCAGTTCTCAATAAATCAAAAGTGACGTTGAAACGCAGGGGCAGTAACTTAAAAAGTGATTGAGTGGTGGCTTCTATTCCCGTCCCCGCCAGCCAACGGGGCATCACAATTTTTCAAGCGCGTGGACGTGAGGCAAAATGCGGGCCGTGGTTCACGTGATGAAATATGGCTATTGTGGTTGTTGAGGGTGGGGGAGGAGGAGAAGCTGGCGAGTTCCCACGAAGCTCGACAAGCTCAGCGTGGCGAACGTCTCGGTGCGGCATAGAGAGATTGCGATATATTCAAGGAAAGCAATCAAAAAGGCAAAGCTAGACTTCCTGTTTTTAAAAATACGCTCCTATTGTCGAGGGTGAGAGAGAGAGAAAGAGAGAAAACCTTGATCATAGCTACCATGATAACTTTTATTGTTAACTTTTTTTTAAACTTAGTAAAAGCAGAGAGTTACATAAAGCGAGAGCGAGAGCGAGAGAGAGTGAGAGAGATAAAGAGAACAACAGACTGAAAGCCACAGGCGCGTCCACGTTACAGCTATCTAAAAACACCCGCCGAATTTCCAATCCCAACGTCTTCTAGAAGTTCTTCCAAGCTGAAATACTCGCTTCCAAGCCACAATGAGTCCCCACGGGCCCGAGGACAACCTCTACGCTCCCAACTTGGGTTTCCTCGTTTCGGGTTTTATGCAACGTCACGCAACCACCCCACATTCCGGTGTCAAGAAATGGGCCCTAGGGAGGGCCTTGGGTTGGCCGTGTTGTGTGCACCAAGAGCCCCATTTATGGCCACGACGCAACAAGCAAAGGGCCGATCTCGAGGGCAATGGCCAGAGTAGCCGGGGGGAAATCGCCTTTTTAGATTGAAAACCTTTGAGCGCTAACTGTAAGCTATGTCCACATAGGCTGGAAAATCGATTCGGGACCTATCCTAACTTGTGTAGAATTTTTTCTGATCCCGAAGCTAGTGTACCTATCCCGCGAATTTTTCCGGTTTTGAAAATTAATTTAAACTCTATTTCAAAAAATACAGAGGGTTTTTGATAAGTTGTCCAGAATATATTGCTTCGAGACAAGCTTGCCTAAGTCCCGAACCCGAAATTACCAGCCTAGGCAAAAACATTACACTAAAGCTATGCCAAAAAGGCGAGGGGTTTTGGAACACTTTTTGAAACTAAAACAGATCGCCCAGTCACGTTCCCTGATTTTTAAACTGCACAGTCACATGACCTCTCTTCAAACGTCAACCTGAGAACCCATCAAAATATGTTTGAGCGTCGGCATTTGCAAGACAGGGGTTAACGAACCACTTGACCCGAAAAAAACCGACCAAAAGTGATGAGTAGAGAGTGGCGAAAAGCGCCGAAAAATAGGCGACGGTGACGAGACGGCGCTGTGGCGAAAGCAGATGAGTGAAGTATGCCGATGGGCCCCATAAAAAGGCGAAACTGGAAAAGATGTTGCGGATCCGGCTCGAATTGCTCACCTAAGAATCAGCATCACCGAGCCGAGCGTGTTCAGAGCGGCAAATTTCCGCGTGGAGATGATTATGACCGGGATGAGGAATGCTGCCTAAAAAAAAAGATATAAACCAGGCTTCAAAATTCAACGGGTTCTGGTTCGTTCTGGGAAGGGCAATTCGCAGGGATTTCACTTTGCTGCAACAATATTATAAATTCTATAATTTTGAGGGGTAAAAAATACACACATATTTTTTATGCGCTATCGAATGTCGTTAGTAAACCGTCGAATAATGAAACTCCCAGAAATCATCATTTCAAGGGTTGTTCTGGGTTTTCTATAATTAGCTGAGATTACCCGATCCTCGGGTAATTAAGAAAAGGTTAGTAGATTTTATTATGGTCTATCGGATCGCGTACAAATATTTTCGAAAAAAGCCAAAATATCATAGACATTGAAACCATCTCCTTCCCCCCGATAATGCACCAGAACCAGTCAGACTCACCATCGTAAAACAGAACACAGCCCCAATCAACGATAGGAAGAAGGCGAACAGTCGTTGTGTTCTACTCAATCCACACATTCCTTCATCCGCCGACGCCATCCCAAACCAACCGGCGCCATTTTTTCTAAATATCGTTCACAGCGCAAAAAAATCTAGCCACCTGTTTTTGCCTTGTGGTAATTGAGCATCAGCATCGTCTCCCTCAATGAGTACTTGGGTGTCAGAGGTTTCGGCCCTGAAATGAGCCTGCGATGCCAGAGATGAGCTTCAAACCTGCTAAAGAGCGAAAATCCGCCAATCGACACCGAATTCGGCAGCTTATTCCTCAGATCACCCAGCGAAGAGAATGAAGCCGAGGTGCCGAGGCCTCCTTTTTTCTTCTGCTCATTTACAAAAGCTTCAAGTGCTGACATACACCTGTAAATAGATTGTTATCTACGAAATATTGGAGTTTCTAAAGAACACACGACAAGAAATAGGAAAAAAAATCGCGGAATTCCATGTCAACTAGCTAATTATCTTTACAAATCGCCTTTTCTCTGCCGCTCCGTCAGGAATTGATTCAATTAGCAAATCGTTTCTTTCCCCTTTCCTCAAAATATGTGGCGTTTATGCTTGGCAAATAGCCAGTCCCCTGGGTGCGGTCTCGTATCCGGGCTATAGTGTGTGGTCAGACAACCTCGCCAGCAGAAAAGCCCAAATCAAATACCCTTTATTCTTGTAAGTTCACACCACGTGATAAATTATGAAGCTTAAAACATAGCAAGTAGTTAGGTAGAAGAAATCACAACAGAAATGTAAAAATGAAGACACTATTTTGTCGGCCATCAATCAGCCGACGGCATCACCTTTAGACGCTTGAAGGCTTCTTTTTCCAGATTTTCGCGCGTGCTTGGGTGAGCAATCTGAAAAGGAAAGGTAAAAGTTAATAAGTGAGAATGATACCTTAATCAGCTCGTAAGCCCTTTGGCGCATATTCTTTCCCCAGAGTTGCGCGATGCCGAACTCGGTGACAACGTAGTGGACATGGGCTCGGGAGGTGACGACGCCGGCTCCCTAAAATAGAAACCAATTAATAACAATCCGTATTGTTTTAGCTAAAAGCGACTCACGCCTAAAACTCATTTTTAGCTAGACATGTAAATGCATTTTTGATACCTCTTGTAAGTAGGGGACGATTTTCGATGTGCCCTTTGCAGTGATTGAGGGTAGAGCAATAATCTGAACAAGATTAGTATAAATAAGATTTCTTACTGGGCGACCCAATCCATCATCGCAAACGGCTGCGCCCCGAATAAAGTCGACTTGGCCGCCGAAGCCGGACAAGAAGCGCTTCCCCACCGAATCCGACACCACTAAAATAAACCTTAAAAACTTTTCAAACTCAAACCTTGTCCCGTTAGATCAATCTCCACCGCCGAATTGATAGCTGTTACTTTAGGATTTTGACGAATAATGGCTGGATCGTTTACCTAAAAATTATCATAAAAATCGAAAAACAATTCCCGAATACCCATTGCACATCCCCAAACTCGACGAGCGGATTGTCGTGCAGGAAATTGTAGAGCTCCGTAGACCCGTAGACAAATGAGACAACCAGCTTACCCGGGTGAATAATCTAAAAAAAAACTTTAGATGCGGTAATTATCGCATACCTTATTCCCGTTCGTGATCACGTTCTTTTGGAGCAACGGCAGCACACCGTCGGAAAACATTTCCGTGTGGATTCCCAAATCTTTGTGGTCTTGTAGGGCGGCTAAGGCCGCATCGGGAATCCCGCCAATACCTAAAAAAAAGAGTAAAAACAGAAGCTATTAAAAACAATACCCATTTGCAATGTCGCGCCATTATCCACCAAATTGTCCGCAATAATTTTCCCGATTGTCGCGGCCTTAAAGAAACTAGTTTTGATCAAATAGACTGAAAACCTGATCACTGGGTCCTTTTGAAAAATGTCTCTCGTGTAGTTTATGCGTATTGTCCTCAACCAGAACGTCAAAATGCGACGCGTGGATTAGGCCATCGCCGAATGTTCGCGGCATGTTTTTGTTGGCGAGGGCTATAAAAAGTGTCGATTTTCAGAAAAAAGTATACCGATAATATGATCTGCATTTGTAATGGCTGCGCGGGCCGTATCGACTGAAGTACCCAATGAACAGAATCCATTTGCATCTGGGGGCGAGACCTAAAAAAGTTAATTTCAGGGAAAAGGATTCACCTGAATCAGCGCAATGTCAAGGTTGATAACCCCTTTTCGGAATAGCATAGGCACTTCATGTAGAAAGCAAGAGTTAAAATCGGCGAACCCTAAAATAATACTAAAAAAACTCGTCATTTCCGAAAAACCTTCGCTGACGGCTGCTCGGAGGTTGGCGCCCGTGAATAGCGAATTGGAGCGAATCCGGTCTAAATTTTTCATTTTTCTCATCACTTCCCAAGATACCTCGGACTTCCGGTTCCAACCATGGGGTCTCTCCTTCCAAATGCAGGTGGTGCAGTTTGATGTTTTTCAGGTCATTTCCCACGACGTGGGCGCAAAGCGCCTAAAAAGGGTTTTAAAACATCTGGAAATTGGATATACCTTTAATAAAGGGGTCGGGGTGGCCGCAATGCCATGGACAAAAATGTTGGAGCCTAAAAAAAGAGAATAAAGTTTCTTAAAAACCATCACACCTGATTTTAACCCATCAAACGCTTTATCAATTGACGTCCAGCGAGGCTCTTTGCCGAAGACAGGGTACGCGATTTCGTGTCGATCGACCCATCGTGTAGAACTAAAAAAGGGGGCTTTTAGCGATCTTGATTCTTCAGTGTTTTCCGGGAGCCCGATTCTTATTTCTATAAGCCCAAGTATGGCTAACGGCCTCAAAGCAAGTATTTTTATCCTGTTTTACGTAAATTTAGCTAGATTCCAAGTGCAAAAAAAACTATTTTTAAAACGTCGACAAGCTGTCATTTCAAATTTTTCGCTTATAAAACGTTTCGCCATAATAAAATGGATTAGGAATACGTAGAAACATGTTAGAAAATTGAATCCAAAATAAAAACTTTATCCCCCACCCCGGAAATACAAATGAACTAGAATTTTTGCGCTTACCGAGCCGCCAAACTCGATGTGCTGATGCCGCGTAGTAGTATCGAATTGGCCAGCATTAGGCGAGAAGCCGAACTTCCTGAAATCGGAAGTTTTTGCCGCCAGACAAAAGACCAATAAATCCGGCGAAAAGAGAGGACAACAAGAGGGGGCAGGCGGCGACGGGAGTGACCAGATAAACAACAAGGCCGCCAATTGCGACCAACGCAACACTTCCCCCAAAAATACTGCAAAAAGCGCACGTGCTACGCCAAAAACGTCTCACGACGACTCAAGCAATGGTTTGGGCCGCAACAAAAAGGGGAATTTGGAACGAAAATGGCTACGTGACGCTCCAATACGCCCGTTTTGAACCAAACTTTAGTCTAAAACCGGAAACCTCAAAGCCTGGGTGCAACTAGTGTTTAAATTCAGTTTGTTTTCTTCCTTTTTAGTCACATTTGAAACAGCGCATTCTCTTCTATAACTCTGGAAATCCACTTTTTGAAGTTAGAATCTAAATAAAAAGTTATAAGCCTTCAAAGATTTTCCCATTAGTTTTTTGCCCGGAACCACATGTGGTCATGGTGGGCCATGAGATGCCGTGGTCTGTGCTTTTCCCTGTTGGCGACAATAATCGGACAATCTTTATTTCGCGAGGCATAAATCATATAAGTCGAGTGAGTCGATGAATTATTCGGGTATTTGCGGCGCCGGGCGTCACTTCGGAGCCTTCATCCTCTTGTCCTGAAACAGGAAATAATAAAAAGTATGGTTCTTTCGCATTAGAGCCACCAACTTTGTTCTATAAGCGCAGAAGTTCCTAGTACCGTAATAGAAAGTGTTCCGAATAGTGTATTTTTTGTAAAATTTAACAACCATTGAAGCGGAAACCCATAAAAAAAAACGTCGCAAAAAATTTAGGTGACATTTTGGACGAAATTTCTATTTTTGTATTATTTTGATCAAAATTTGTAAAGTTTTTACGTTCAGAAATAGTAAAGCCGGGTTTGAACCTTCATATCTTTACATTAGAAAAAAAAAGTTGGCTCCTCGCCCCCGATAATGCGCAAGCACCAAAAATCTACAGGAAGGTCTTACCTTGCCTTTCTCCGTTCCATACGATTTGTGCTGAAAAACGCAAAATAAAGATTTAGCTGAACTGAAAAAGTTGAAAATAATCTAATAATAATAATAACGATAATGGTTAAAATTGCTACCAAAAGTTATTAGTAGATTTTAAATTTATCTCCCTACCGATGCCTTGCCATCCTGTTGACTGGCTTGAGTGGCGTCGACAGAGGTTCGGCTTCGCAGAAGATTACTAAAAAGAGGTTGAAAAGCTAGTTTTGGTGCCCACCTCGAACTCCTGTATTCGGCCTTCAGCAACGGTATCCGGTCAGATTCCGAATCCTAGAAAGATGCTCTTTCAGGCTACCCGAAACTTTCGGCTCAAAATTTGTTTTAGAACCTGCTTGGCAAAAATTAGTTTATTTTTCAACGTAATTTCTTGCTTGGTAAGACATATATAGTCAAATGTTATCAAAACTAAAGGTAGTTTTGAAATTGGAGTTTTTACATGAAAGATTTCGGGCAGCAAGACAGGTTTTTCAACATTACTACGTACATCCTCTTTGCCATCCTTCGCATGGCCCTTCGGCTTGTCGACGGGCCGATTCGACTGGTCGGCTTTAGATGAGGGTTGAGTCTGGAAAACCTTTCAATAATTGGTTTTCTAGTACCTCCTTCTGAGACTCCCTTTGCGATTGTGTAGGCTCGGACTGCGTCGGCTTGTCGTGATGCTGAATCCCAATTTACTTCAGTTAGAAAGTAAGCTACCGGATGGGAAAGCCGGGTGAAGAGCGAGAGGGCGCCAGCTGGGCGTTCAGAGGCCGAATGTGATTTCTAAACGAAAAATTAGTGAGATTTCTAATAAAATGCCACCAGCTGCGGGTTAGACGAGATCTCCGAGCGTGAAAGATTCGTTGCGCGGGCGGGCGGCTGAAAATTGTTAGATCTATGAAAATATGTCTTCAAACCGGCTTCTTTTTGCTGCCACAAACGTAGACGCCGTAGGACACGACGCAGAAGGCGAACACCGTCAGGATGAAGCCTTCGAACATTTGGGCGTCGTTTTTTGAGAGAAAAGCGCGGTAGCGGTAGGCAGTAAAAGGGCGAAAGCCCTTCATTTTCAATTTTTTTTTGTTGCGGCGGCGCGACTATGCGAATTTTTGATTTAGATTTTTTTATGGAACGAGGAAAAATTCTTTTTTGTTTTTCTGAAAGCCGGTGTTGCTGGCCATGTCCAATTACCCAGCGGGCCCGGTGTCGTCAAACGAATACCCTAAAAACATTTTATTCCCCGCCGCGTAAAATGTTTTTTTTTTGTGCGAAAAACAAGGTAAAAATTACCATTTTACTCCGGAATTTTAAAGGCGCTAGTAAGCCTCAGACGCTCAGACATTGCCTTCAAAGCGCGTAGTCACTCGTTATAATGGCTAACGCTAGCTTTCCAGCCGAAAACAGATTTTCTGCGCCTGCGTATTTTGGTGCGTAGCGTAGTTGTCGATACCCAGCTCTTGAAAGGGACCAATTTTGCGTTTCTTAGACCTTTTAATGTACCGTACACTCCTTCTTCTCTTCTTTTAGTGTGAAAAGTATTTCCCCGTTTTTCGGAATGCTGTAGCTGGATTCTGAAAAAGCTGGCACAGACACAAAGAGATCGAACCACCCGATCAGCGGATATAAAGGAGAGCGGGGCGGATGCGCGTATAGCCCCAGCCGGCCGATCGGTTTTTGGCGACTCTCGAAACCAGTTCTGCGAGATAAAGCGCGGTGGCAGCAAGGGGAGAGAGAAGCTTTTCGCCGCCCTATTATTTGGCCTGTCCGCGGGGGCATATGACTACGAACCAGCAGATTTGTAGTTTTTAAAATGGCCAGTTTAATTTTTGGTACTCTAGATTAAATCCCTGAAGAAAACTAGCTTAGAAAACGGGCTTAAAGCCTAGTTTTTTTGTACAAGCCCAAAAAGGCCTATACACGTAATAGTAAGTATTTCAATACCATTTTTTAGTGAACTTTAACTAAATTTTAAGTGGTAGAAAATCTTCGAAATCTTAAACATTTTGTATAATTTGCTAGAAACACAGATGATTTTTATTTTTTATAACGCTTTGGAAAGTTTTTGCCTTTGGGAAACGTAAAAAATAGCGTAGAAACTATTCATCCATTTGTGTACATTAAAAAATTGCGTACTACCCCGTCCCCCCGATAATGCTTAGGAACCAACCTTTGAAAGTGCGGTTGGGAAGCTCGTTTTCGACATTTTCGCAATTTTTTCGGTATTACGATGAGCCATTCGATAGCTGAAACGAAAAAGATTCCAAAATTCCTAATTTCAGCCCAACTTGGCTAGCTAGCCAGCGAAAACCGGCCTAATCCCTCATTTTTACACCTCTTTTTAGCTGCCATTTCTCTCACTGACAAAAAGTCCATTTCCCTCCACAACGCGTCAAAAAGCCGGCCTGATTATCACTTTTCGTCCGATGCTATCCTCAATTTCCCCCCAATTTCCACGTTGTTCCACTTTGCGACCGTTGTTCTCTATTTTCGCAGTCGGCCCAAGTTGTTACCCGGTGATGACATTAGTCATTGTTAGTCGAAAAGGCGCTCGGCTACTCGGGCTACACTTCCAAGGCCATCTCCGCATCCCGGATCTCCGCCTCCCCCCTCCGAGCTCCACAAATGCAAATTTCGGCCCGCCTTCACAGGCAGTAGTGGGGCTATTTCAGCGGTCAGCGTTGTTGTATAATCGAGCACTTCGGCGTGTAGTTCCGTCTACTGATAGAACCGGATTTTTCCGGCGTTTGTTGTAGAGCTTCTAAAAACAATTATTACACTGTAAAAAGAAGTTACCTTTGTATATCCCTTTTTCAAAGGAGATTTTGAAGGCGGTTGTTGCAAAGGAGCTTGACGCATTGTCGTCAGCACTACGGCGATTCCTTCTTCTTCTTGGCTGACGTAGAACTTGTCATACTTTCATGTCTGACCATAGGGATCGTACCGGAAGTTCTGGAATTTTTTGACACAGCCTTGGACGTCAGCTTTTCCTTATTACCAGGCATTCCAATGACAATAATTCCGTAACTTTCCTGTTTGCAAAGATTGTAGCCAATTTTAGTTCCCGTTCTTTCATTTTCCCGGTCGGGTAAAGCCCAACCTCTAAAGAAATTATTTTCATGGCTTCCTACGCTGTTTTTTACATAGAAAACATCTAATTAATTATAGTTTGTTTTAGGTGATTTGTTGATGATTTTAAACTACCGAAAACATGTCGTTTTTTCCGAATTTGCCACGTTTCGGTTCAATAATAAGAAAGCTAACGTTTTCCGTTCTTAAAAAAATGGGGATACCTTGTCAAACATTTCTGGTTTAAAACCCACTGCCTTCCTTCTCCTCCTTTCCCCTAAAAATCCTGTAACCGATTAGCCATTCCTCACCTATATGACGACGGTGGCTGCCCCGTAAATTGGGCGAGTATGAGGGGAGGGCGCGCGCCGGTTGACCATTTCGACCGTTTTTGAGGCTGTCTTCTCGGGTTGAGGCGAGTGCCGCACACGGCTCTCGGCCTGCTCGAACCGGTCTCGGGTCTGCCTTCTCCTGCTCATTCTTCTCCATCTCCACCTCCTCATCCTCATCCAGCACGTCGACTGGATCAACCCCGGAGGGGCTAATCCCACAGCCAGCGCCGTACCCGCTGCCCTCTAGGCAACCGCCCGGCAAAAGATTGCACCCTATCTGTGCATCGATTTCTGCAAAAGATTTGCGCACGTTACGAAAAGGAGCTCGACTGTGGTGCTCGAGCCGGCATTAGCCTACTTTTTTTGCGGCCGGGCGTCTTGGAGGTAAGGAGTTATGGGTTGGTGATTGATGGGGATCATCTACATGCATACGCGCGAAATCTGGTTCTATTTCATTAGCGGGGGGAGCTACCATCCTTTCAGCAAGCTAACCTCCATTGTAACCAGCACCGGTCATTTAACCGGTCAAGGGTTTTTATAGCTTCCAATTCTTAAAACTGAAAAATGAATGAAAAAAGAATGTTGTAAAAAATTGAACTTTTGCCATTTTTTAACAAAAAGTCATTTTTCGGTTGTCTCCGTTTTCATTTTTTTTGCTATCGAATAAGAGGCATAAAATGCGATTAAAAGTTACACTTGAGCATTCAGTGGTTACGAGATCATCGGAAAATGTAGTCCCCCCGCTCCTCCCCGATCATCTACAGCCTCGAAATCTGTCAAAAACAAAAAGCATTCCAATCTATCACTTTTTAAAGTATCCCCTTCAGAGCTTTCATTGCACCGCCGTAATGCCCAGGTTTTCCGCGCCCGATCTTCCCCCATTTTAATCACGCTGCCGGCTGCAATCTCCCCCCGCGGTGCTTGCGCCCCTCCTGGGAGAATCGAAAATGATTTGCCTGAAATTTCGCCAAACTCATCCCCCTAGCCGTGCATCTCTCCGGAAATTCGGGAGGCACAAAGGCAGCAACAAACCTTTTGCTCAGCCTCCCCCCAGTGGTTTCCAGCGGCAAAAAGCACACCGGCCATTCGCTGAGTAAGCTGATAGCAATGGTCCGATCTATGTTGATCCATAGTCGCCTGCCAATTGCAGTCATCATTGCGGGGTGCTACAACAACTATGAGCTGCGAAAAACACCTGTGTCTAAAACTGCTATTTTTATGGACAAAATACATAACTTATACCTAGTTATACACGTTACACTCTTGAAAATTCCAGCCATTTTCGGGTTGAAAAAATAGAGTTTCGAAAAAACATCTTGGGCTAAAATCTAGGTTTTCGAAAGTTTTAAAAGCCGAGAAATCATAATTTTTCTTTTCCATCAATCAAAAACTTTCTCTTCATCTCTTCTAACTCGTCAAAGTTTTTCAGTTACCACTATCAACTGAAAACCCTCCTATTTTATAGGCACCCCAATGGAGACGTGGTGGAGACGGGTTTTACGACTGCCTTTATTAATGCTTTTCCCGCTCGCCAGCTCCTTCACAACATGGTAAATTAGCATCCGTATCTAAAAGCCTTCTCAGGATCAACTACCCAGAGCCTGACGAAAAATTGCGGAGCCCCAAACCGCATACATGGCGAGAAAAGCCGATGGGGCAATGGTGCCGAAATGTGAGCGCAAACGTGTAAGTGCCTTCTTTTCGATCTTACCATTTAAATCTAGCCACGTTCAATGCCCCCGCGCATCCTACGCCTTTCAATACGACTGTTGCGGTGAAACAATGGCCGAGTGCTGTTTTGCATTGATGGGATGGGTAAGTAAAAAAATAAAAGGCGAAAATAGGTGTTATAATAGTGTTGATCTAAAAAGTACATTACAGGTCTACCTACTACTCGGTTGTATAGTGGTAGTCGGGATCAGTACCCTCACTTTCCATCTCCTACTCCACTTCAACCTCTTATGGCCTATCGAGAAGAAGATAGAACTAAGAAGGATGACAATCATCGAGGAAAAACCGAGACTAATCAACGCATAGCCTACCCTAACTACACTTCAACTATAACCAAAACGCGGTCCTCCTCACCGAATGCTCAGCAGAACACGGGTAATCCTAGTAGAAATTTAAAAACTTTTAAACATTCCCCCGGTGAGCCCATTATATCATTCGATTCAAGGCGATGTGATTGATCTCTCACCCCCTTGATTGTGTACAAACGGCGTAGCCAATAAACTTTAACCTCACAAATGGACAACGGAATTTTGCAACATTTAACAACGAAAATAACAGCGGTGGTCTTTCGAAAAAGTTTCCCGGGCCCGTATATGGAAGGGGAGATTAGAGAGGATGATAGGTGGGAAAATGAGGGAACCTGGATTAGACAACGAGGCGGTAAGTGATGTAGCGGCCTGCGGTTTCGGAAGCACGGATGATTTTGACGACCTGAAAAAGGTGTATATCGAGCAAAAGAAGCAGTAAATACCTGGCCTCGTTTCAGCCCAAAATAGCGAGCCACCGGATCGGTGAGCTGGATTCTTGGCAGCTGAGTGTCTTTCAATTTGCTAAAAAGAATTTTTTCGAAACAAAAGAAAAATTTACTATCTCGCAAGGAGCTCCTGCTTTTCATCGTTGGTCATCACGACGTGCTCCGGAACAAGCTCGTGTTCTGTGATATTCACCTAGAAATCAATTTGGTAAATTCAAGATAAACACGAACCATCAACTCGTTTTCCAAAAAGTGTTCGAGCAGATATTTGGGCATCATGTCCGTCAGTGCCTAAAGACAAACCAGTGATTGAAAATTGACAATTAATACCTGTTTCGCAGATGGCGTCATGCCGGTCTGAATGACGATGATGGCTCGAATAATCGATTGTTCCTGAAAACAAGACTCGTACGCCGCAAATTCACAATTGCCTGCATTTGCTGGCAAATCGCCTTGATCGTGCGCACGCCGACTTTCGCCTCGTCGGGGAAGAAGACGAACATTTGATCTAAAAAAGGATAAAGTTTTTGTAAAGATCAACCTGAAGGGTCATCGTTGTGGGCAACAAGGATCGTCAAGTCGCCACGACGAGGCGCAACTTGCCCATCAGCCGCTCCGTGGTTCAACTGCAAGCCGGTTAAAATAAGCTGCAAGTTTTACCTTGAACTCATCGATGGTTAGGTCCAATTCTTCTTGGGTGACAAGGTAGCCTCGGTCGTGGCACATCTGAAAAACGAATTGGCAATTTTTTTCATCAGACTGTCAAAAGTCTAACAAGTATAGCAAAAACAAAAACCAGTAAAAAATGTAGGGTAAACACAATTCTAGTACCTGCATAATCGTTTTGCGCACCCGCCACATTTTGTAGAATTCATGGTCGTCGTCAGCCATTTTCCTTTCTGAACAACATTGGGAACTATATAGTGAGGCCGGCAAAATCGAAAAATTAATTCGGCACCAAACCGCAGGACAATCCTAACAATCTTCGTCAATACCGCATCTTTATACACAAAACAACAGAAACGTACAAAAATCGAGCGCTAAACTACGGAGAATGAAGTCTATTATTCTTTAGTCTTCCCAAACGCCGGCTTCGGATGTCGTCCCTGGCTCTTGCTAGTGTGCTCCCATTCCTCGAAGTGGTTTTTCGGGAATCGCACCTAAATAAGGTTTCAATCCAAATTCGCGGTAAATACCAATTTGGGAAAAGCCGCCCGCTCTTCAGCCGTGTAATCTGTGGACTTCTTTGGGACGAGTTGTATCTGAAATTGGAAATTGATGGCAAAAAGCGAACTGTACCTGCTCCAATTGATTGCTAATATTTCGCTTTACAAATTCTGGCATTTCTGTATCGGGGAATAGGTGAAGCCGTTGGATATGACGCCTCCGGACGAGATTGTTGCCCAGCTGCTTGTACGTTGCCATAAAAACGATTCTAGAGAGAAAGTTTTAGCAAAAGTGAATAAATTACCTGCAGGGGTCGTATTCATGAATTTGGTGAGCTGGAATATCAGCGCGTCCCTGGGGATATTGATTGTCAAAGTGGTAGATCTTGTGCTTCCAGTCGAAACCTTCCATGGCGACATTCTAAAAATAAAATCCCGACAAACGGCCTTGGTACCTTGCAATTGACGACAACCACATGATCGCCACAATCCGTTTCCGGGTGCCAGATGGGCTTGTGTTTTCCGACCAAGTGATAGGCTACCTAAACGCGCCTAGAATTTTCTAAATTTAAGTCTTACCTTCTCCCCTAATTTATAAGCATCTTGATGGTTCGCGTCCAGAAGATGCCAATGACGAGCAAATTGAAGCCACTGTCTTGATTTAGCTATTCGACCCGTAAGACTCATCTAAAGTAGCTACATTTTTAAAGGATTTTTTTGGGTACGGCAGCAAGGGCAATTCCAAACGTAAAACGATTAGAAGCAGAACTTTACAAAGACTTTTTCTTTTCGTAAATTTGCTAGAGCTTTTTCCTCGGTTTGGAAAGGGCGGACCGTTGCGCGGCTCTCGGGATTGCGCGGGCCTGAAGGCGGCTCTCGGCCAATGCGCGGCCCGCCTGCGGCTAATTGCGCGGGTCTGCCCTTTCAGCCGCGCAATCGGCCGCGGACGGAGCAAGCGCGGGCCGCGCATTTCGTCCAGAGTTCATGGAAGTACAAGAACTAAAACTTAGGAAATTCACTTCATTTTTATCTAACTTCGTATAGCGATTAGTTATAACGCTACTTGATGATTATTCAATCAATCTTCAATGATGAGCGTAACAACTTCTATGTGCTGCGAGGTTAGTTTCCAAATACATTACATGTCTACAACCTTATGCCTGTTCGGATGGGGCTGAAAAGACCGATAAAAGTGAGTTTTTATTGTTGTAAATGTACTTTTGTTTTAGTTTTTAGAAATAGAAGCAATCAAAAGCGGCAGACCGGCCCCGTCGCGCCATTTCCGCAACGATCAACCTTGGCCGCAGCACGATGTGCATTTCTGGTTAGTTTTTTTAAGCTATTTTTGCTTCAGTAAGATGGGTTTTCTGGAAACGCTGCCGCGTTTAGGAAGGATGATCCTGGGCAAGGGCGAGCTGCAAATTTCGATCGCCTGGCGCTGGTCGGTGACACAGCAAAAACGCGGTAAGCTGTTTGAAATTATCGAGTTTCTTTGTGAATTTAGGAATGAGCGATGCTTCTATGGCCCGGGCGTGCGATGGATCGACAGGATATTGGCGCGAGAAACAGGTACGTGAAATATAAATTGTTGGGGGCTTTTGCATTATCAGGAAGTCGTTCGTCTGAGGGTAAGTTCTGTCAAGATCTTTTTCGACGAATCATCAATAAGAAAATATGCTTTTCAGGGGTTCTAGTTTTCAAATCCGTCACGACGAAAGTAGGTCTAAAATTTAGTCTATAAATTGACAAATATATATCCTGCCTTGGCATCTATTACTTAGCAAATTTATAATTAAATAAAATATAATTTAAACCAGACCAAACCCAAGCTAATTAGGGAAGATGCCTGTAAGCGATTTTCAGGACATCTTCACTGGGCAACTCTACTGGCAGGATGAAATACCCATATTTTTTCTATGTTCTATTGTGATTTTCTAATGCAGTGTCGCGATACAAATACAATAGACTCATCACACTTCCTTGCATCGGTCCCGAGCAATAGAACCTGCTCAAAAGCAGGTTTAATATGTAATTTAAACGTTTTAAAGAGGGAAAAGCCTAGCTACGGCCCGTTTGCCGCGAGAGCCGCCCTCAGGCCCGCGCAATCCGGAGAGCCGCGCAACGGACCGCCCTTTCCAGATTGCGCGGGCCTGGGGGCAGGCACATCTCCAGGCCCGCCCTTTCCCCCGCGCAACGGTCCGCCCTTTCCAAACCGAGTCAGAGCTATCCATTTAGCCCAGGTTTATCGGCAGCGACGATAACTAGGGCGCGCAATAGGCGCTGCGAAGGCCTTGGAAGTTCTACTAAGCACACCAAACGGGCTGAAGTAAAGACTAATTCTGCTGAAAGCGATAGAAAAAGGACATTTGGTTCGCAAAATGCAAAAAAAAAATAAAAAAGAAAGAAAAGAAAAACAAAATTATAAACTATTACGATACCTTATTCAGCAGTACTTTTACACCACCGTACGAAAATCGTTTATTGGTGTTGCGCGTACGCAATAAAATTTTCCGACAAAATATAAAAAACGCTCCGAAAAGCTAAATTTTGAATTCAACTAAATTAAAACATTTGATTTTTATGGGTCCAGCGAAAAAGTGACAATCAACGTCGATAAAATAAGAATCAAATCGGCAGCCGCGTGGTAATGAAAAAAAAGCACGTAAGCCCTGACCGGTAAACTCTGACGCTATGCAGCACACCCACCACTGCGAACCGGCTGTGTCGGAAATCCGTTTGGCAAACTTGAAAAAGGGTGCCGGACGGTGGACGGGGGCCCGGCAATGTCGCTACCACAGCCCCCCGATTCTGCGATTTTATGTTTGTCGCGTTGTTTTGGGCAATATTCGTGGGATTTGCTGAGGGCGAAAAGTGGGAGGTCATCGATGGCGATTCGTTGAATACCTCATTACGATGGGAGGTTTTTTCTCAAGGTATTTTGGTAGTTTATGTCCCGTTTTTATTGCTTTAGATGCTCCGAAGCTGGATCACTGGCAGATTTTTGATGCGGAAGAGACTCCTCGATTAAACCTTTATAAAAGTAGGTTAATAATATTCTGGATTCTAAGATCCCAAATGTCCATTACTGGACATTTGGGCTAATTTTTGCCGTATTCTGCGTCCTTTTTCCGCGGAATAGATTTCCCCAGAGTTATATTCCGGGCTGATGCTTCTCCCTGCTTCTGCGCCGCATTTGGGTCGGTTGAAAAGCAGCTGGGTTCCAAGGAAGGGACGGGTCATTGTTTTTCTATGTTTTCGGAGCGGGATTACACGAACCTCCCATTGACACCATTTCGCCTGGGGGTCTGTGGAAGGGCCAGAAGAACAGTGGACCACGGTCCAGGGCCCCACTTTGCCTTTTGACCTCAAAAATGGGTGGCGAGAAATATTTGCTGTTTTTTATATTCTTACGGAATTCGTGGTGCTGGTATACGGCATGTAAGCTTTTGACGGGTGGCTGAATTTATAATAGCTTTTGAAACATAAAGATACATGTGGGTTTAAAGAAGATAGTTCGTTCTAATTTATTGCTTTAGATCTCTGCCCAGCTGGACTAGTCCCTTTCCTAGAAGATAAAGGTGGCGATCCTCGATCCTGCAACGACAATTCGGTTTGACAGAACCCCGATAGTTTTCAGTGATTTTTAGGGTTGCCCAATCGGATTTCACTGCGGTGAAAACAAGGTCTGCTGCGGCGCGCCCGGGGTCTGCCCCCAACATTTTTATGCTTTAAAGGATGAATACGGTAAATTAACCACGGTTTTTCTCTTATTTTCGATTAGGGCGCTACACGGCATGCACCAAAGGCGCCGTCGGTTTGTGCTCGGACAAGGCTGTTTGTTTAGAGACAAACACTATCTCGCAGCGATTGTGTTGCTTACCGGTAAGTAGCTATATCCATTTTTCTGGGTATACTACGCTTTTGAAAGGTATTTCTTGGTTTAGTTCGAATACGCTTGCCCGACCAAAGGAGCCAAACCGTTTCCAAGTGCTGGGCAGCCAAAGGTGGGTGAAGCCACTAGATCATCGGGATCTGTATAGATTTGTTCACTGGCCGATCTATCCACTTGCCCAAGTACTGCCCAATGTATGCCTAGGTAAGATAAATACGACCAAATAACCCGAATTTTTATAGTAACGTTGCGGGCACGAATATCTGCTGCCATACGCCCGCCTCGTCACCCATCATTTTCTCATCGCTACCGGAAACGAGCACAGTTGAAGAGGAGAATGATCAATGCCCGAGCGGGTGGAAGCCGTTCAACGATGAAATTATTGTAGGAAGCCCAGCCTAGAATGCACTTTTTATGGATCGATTTTCAGGCTTGTACCCCATCTAAAGGGGCTGGAAATACCTGTCCATCTGGATCCTCCTGCATTCGTTCCACGGTCAAGTCTCCCTACTATTGTTGTCAACAAGGTAAAAAGTTGAATCTGACTGTACATATGCATTTTCAAATCGGCTGAAAAGTCATAGTTCAAAATTCCGTCAGTGAACTAGCTTATTTTGTGTAGATTTTGTCGCTGATCCCGAATTCGTTTTGCTGATGCGAGCTGGAGCTCGTTTTCAAGAGTTACAACCTTTTTTTTTGTTGCAACTTCGCCCGAAATAAATAATTTTCAGTGATTTTTCGGATCAGCCAGCCAAGGAAGTAAAAACTTTATAGTCCTTTCGCATCATCGGGGAGATCGAATTGACCTAGAGGTCCAGAAATGCCTAGTAACATAGTAATAAGTGTTTTAATCATGATTTTAGTGGCATTTTACAATATTTCAAGTGGAAAAGATATCTAAAAAACATCAAGTTTTGGAAATTTTGTAAAAAATCAGCCAGTTTGGTCGAAAAATCTGTATTTTTGATGGGAATGTGTAGAGTCCTAATTTTTCGTCAGGCTCCGGACCAGCGAAACGTTAGCACTGCACGAACGAAATTTCCAGCGCGTATGAATACAACATTACCGAAAAAATATGAAACAAAACCCTAGATCCATCAGGCCTGCAAGTGGTGCCAAATTTCGGGGATCGCTGCCCTGGCACACGATCACGCCTCGAACTGGTCGACGGAGCGCCCAGACGCTGTTCCGCTTACAATCCGACTTGTTCGGATGGGTGAGTCAAAAGAAGTCTTCTTTGTCTATTGCATGAAACGATTCTATTTGGCCGTCTGCTTGTGGGCCCTCCTCCCCTTGCTAATGCGCCCGTAATTCCTCCCGTGGGCCCTCTAGTCCTCTAGTCCACTTTCCCATCACCCATCAAATCGACCGTCCAGCGCTTCTCTAATCGATATGTGACGGCGTAGAAATGCTACTTTTCGGCATCTTCTTACTTTGGTAGTTTGCTTTGGCTGATTTCGGTTTTATCGGATTCTATTAAAGCTAATTTGCTGCCTTTTTAGATGGTTCTTTTTTATTCTCGGGGAGTGGGGGCATTATCGTGCCTTTTACGTCAATTTTTAGTTAGTTTTAGACATGAATCGTGACCTACAACAGATCGTAATATGATTTTTTTAAGGGATTCATAGTAGGGCGCATTCTTTCTTTAGTTTTCTTATTCCCGTGTTATAATATTTTGTTTAATTTAGTCGAAAAAATCGATATGTTTGTTACTGGAATGCAGATATAAGGTTTCCACATTTGGAAATCGTAAAAACAATTTAGAAACACTTCCCTATTTCTCTTAAATTGGATCCTTATAAGATGTAGCCCCACACCTCCCCCCCCTGATGGTAGGTAAGAACCGAAAAATTTTTCTACAAAAAACATCTAGTTAAATAATCTCAAAACTACAAATTTGCTGACATTTGGAAAGAAATTTCGCGGTTTTTTATATTTAACAATTTTAGGTACTCTTGCGAGCTGTCGCTCCTCCGGAAGCACATGCTTTGTTGCTCAACGGCGGTTCGGGCCCAGCAACAACCACAGGCGCTGAAATTTCCGTTTCTTAACCTTATTTTTAGGTGAGTTTCACGTGCCCGTCAATCGGCCAGACCCCCGTCGTCTCCCAACAGGGCAACAACCTCTTCTGCAATTCTGCCGGTCAGCGGGACGTTTGCCCGATAAAGTTTGTAGTTTCCACAGGACTATAATTTTTGATCAGTTCCCTGTGCCTGTCGGCGGCCAACTCGGCCGGGTTGCTGATCTGCTGCTTCAGCTCGCCGTCGAACGTGCAGGTAAATAAAAATTCGGGTTTTTTTTCTATTAGCGGGGGACCAACTTTTTGCGTTCGTATTCACTTTTTCTTATATAAAAATAGAGGCAAATTTTTATTAAAAATACCAAAAAATTGATTTTCCGATCAAAAATTGCCGTCTTTCGAGTTTGGATGTTTTTCTCTTGAAATATAGTCAGAAAATTTGACAAAAAAATAAAGGTATTGGTAAATACGTTACCAGGAATTTCTGGACTTATATCCAACCCCCCGATAATGCGAAAGAACCAAAACCACCTTTTAGCCAATCTGCCCGAACAACGGCCAGCCACAGTCGAGCCTTGGCGGAAGCTTTGTATCGTGTGATATCACAAATCCTACTTGTAGCGCTGGGTATATTTTAGAATAGCTTTCACTATTTATCATTCTAGGTATACCTGTGTCCGTGCCTCAAATGACTTCCAGACGACGTTGTGCTGTACCCAGGGCTCAACTCCGACCGATCCGATTTGTCCCAATCAACAGACTGCTCAATTGGTGGGGTTTTTAGGCGGAAAATCGAGTGCAAAATAGTGTTTATAAACGTAAAAACTTTTTAAATGTTGGTTAAAAATACAATAAATATAGGTTTTTGAAAATTGCACATTTTTGACCGAAATTTTATGCTTTTCAAAATTTTCAAGATTTCCTAAAAGTTTTTTTTGCGTTAAAATCCAAGTAACTTTTGATGAAAAACTGTATTGTCGGCTATCTATTTTGTAATACAATTCTAAAGCTTCAATTTTTTAGACAAATGGCCGGCCGACATATTGCAATCCAGCGACGCTGTCATCGTGTAGCTCGGGTTTGTTGTTTCCGGTGGTTATGGCTATTCTCAGGCTTCTCCTGCACGGCGGCCTCTAACGTCGCCGGCACGTTCATCTGCTGCAGCTCGTCCGGAACTTCGACTTGCCCCGCCAATTTCAGCCCGAGTCTTGATAATCTTGGAAACCAGGTCAGAGAATACACAGAGTGACAGAACTTTTTTTTAGATATTTTGCACTCCTACAAACACGGCTGGGTGCCCGGGCGGGTCGCAGTGCTTGCAGTCGCCGAACAACAACGCGTTTTTCCTGTGTTGCAGGTTGGAGCTGAATATTTAGCATTTATATACTCTTTTTTAGATCCAGCATCTCCCCACGCGTCTGTCCAAACGGGCAAAATGCTCTGATAAACTCGAATGGAAATTTGGAGTCGTGCACGGGGCCTGGAGCGCCGTGTAGTCAGGTAGAAAATTGGGAAACATCGAATTATTTCAGTGCTAAAGGCAAAAAATAGAAATGCGTTTAAAAATAAAAAAGTGGAAAAGTCTTTTTTTTCTAAAACGTGTCTTTAAAATCAAAAAGACTTACTTTTTCGTTGTTTATTAAACGGTACTTGTCTATTAGTATTTTCCGCCTAGGCCTTTTATTTAGTAACATCTTCAAGTGTTTGTTATTAGTTTTTGATTGCTAGAAAGCTATTAAAAAGATGTAAGGCGTTTTGAAATTTTGACATAGAAATATTTGACAAAAAGTCTAAATTTCTCAAAAGATGTTAATTCTTCCCTCACCCGCTAATAGCGTCATAAAAACCGTAAAAACGTGGAAATATTCGTTTATAGACGGGCTACACCTGCACCCTATCGCCAGTGTTGGCCCAATACTTCTGCTGTGGTGCCGGAAGTAGCCAATTGGCCGTTTGCGCTGACGGACGGGATACATATCAACAAGTGTCGGGCCAAGTATACACCTGCAGCCCCTTGCAGCTTCCCACCGGCTGCCCGGTTGGGTATGATTGTGCACAGAGTAGCGTGCTAGGTACGGGAAATCTAGTGGTGGTTTGAAGACATTTTTAAAGTTTAAAGCGCACGTTCAGGCATTAGTACCTACACACCTATTTACGCAGAGAGACTGATATAAAGCGAGTGAGCGACGCAGACGTTCATAGGTGTATGGGTAAACTCGCCGGACGTGCGCTTGAAGTAGATCAAGCTGAACTAGCGAGCCCGAAAAGCACGAATTTCCAGGCACATACGTCTGCTGTCGGACGGCGGCAACAACGGTATCGCCTCAGGTTAGGAGAGTAACTCTAGGTAACAACTCCGCGATGCTCCTTTAGACATGTCCCTCCGGATGGAACGCCTACCGTAATGAGGTGACGGGAGAAACGCGAACCTGCACCGGGCCTTTTGATATGAGGTAAGGTATATTTGATACGAGTTTGCATCCCTATTGATTTGACCGACACGAAACTCGCGTTGTTTTCATTGCATAATCGTTTACGAGCCGGGTCTGGACTATTAGCGGGCGGAGCTGGCTAGTTATGCCTACCTAGCAAAATTTCCAGAGTTTTATCGTGTTTTAGAGGGCTTTGTTTACTAAAAACGACATCATAATTTGGCACATTTTTAAAAATGAAAATTTTGCTTTTTCAGATGTTTTTGACCAAAAAAAGACTCCATACATCGATTTTGCTGGTTTATTTCAGTAAAAAAAATTTTTAGCTGCCCGATCGGCTTCTCCTGCACCCCGGCAAACAACATGTTCGCCGGCTCATCGGCCTTCGTCTGCTGCAGGTACGGCTTCATCAAAAAAACCCGGATCTACTGACATTCCAGATTGGCGACGGCTTTGCGATGCATCTCGGGGCAACCCCTACTTCTCAACAACCAACCCCGACTCTGCTCCACCCAACAACTGAACCAATGCCCTCCGAGTTACACCTGTCAACAGTCAACTATCGTAGGCGTCTCTCTCTCTCTCTCTCTCTCTCTCTCTCTCTCTGTATCTCTCTCCTCCAAAACCACCCTTTTCAGCCATCGATCACAATTTGCTGCACGAATATACCATTCCCACTTTCGAGGTAAAAATCTTTTTTTGTGATTTTTAACCCTTAATATTTAGGGACAGCTCCCAATTTTGCCCAGATGGTTCCCAGGCTGCCCTGATCGGGACTACGGTAAATACAGTGCACTCTAAGAGTATAGATTATTTTAGGTACAATACTGTACGGACGTCGGAACCCAGTCAAGCTGCCCGACATCCCACATTTGCCAGCAGAACGTGGCCGGCCGGAACTTATGTTGTCGTGTGACGAGGTGTGGCTTGTAGTTTTGGGGCTTTTGCATTATCGGGGGCGGGAGGAGAGAAGGGGCGATTTTTTTGTCTAACTCTATACATTCCTAGTAACGGAATAGTACGTATTTCAAGAGTGTTTTTGGTAAATTTACTATATTTCGAGTGGAAAACTGTAACTAAAATTTTTGAAACTGTTAAAAAAACTAAATTTTGCTCCAAAAGCTATATTTTTGTATTTTTATATACCTTTTTGCGTTTTGTAATAGTAAAAACTAGTTTATAAATATTTGCTTTATTTATCCCCAAAAAATGGAAAAGTTGTCTAAAGAAAAAGTTCGCCCCCGTTGATAATGCGAAAGAACTGTACTTCTTGAAGTTTTCGCAGACAATTTGAGTACGCGACGCTCCATTACACCATCCAATCGCTTGGTTTTTAAATTATAACCGTTGAAAACATTTTATTTATCTCTTTTCAGGGCCCGGATCTCTTCGTCAAAATTGGCCCCGTCAGCCCTCAAGGAAACGGCTGAAGTCTGCGGCCCAGGCACTATATCCCAGATGAAGGCCGGCGTCGTCGTCAAGTGCGCTGACCAGCGAGATTGTGAAAAGGTAAATTGGTTCCGTACCGCTCCTCTTTACACTTCAATTTAGCCGTTCAATTGCCTCGAATCGCCCACCCACTCGAACGCTTCATTTTGCTGTCAGCGGGCTCGATGTCCGTCCGGGGTCCAGTTGTCGGCAGAGGGGCGGTGGGTTTGTATAATTTTTTTAACCTTTAGAATCTTTTATTGAACGAAAAAGATTCTTTTGCATCATCGGGGGCGGGGTATATTTTTTTCTATTGGTCCAGAAATTCCTAGTAACGTAATAGTACGTGTTTTAATAGATTTTTAGTAAAATTTCTCTATGTTCCATTTTCAGACTCTGTACAAACGACGGGGACTGTGGCGTCGACGCCCAATGTCAGCGGGCGGTCAATATGCCAAGTGGGTGTTCAAACAAGGCCTACTAAAAGCTAGAAAAATCAAACTATTTTCTATTTAGAAGTTTCGGTCTGTTGCGCCGTGGAGGGGCCGGCGACGACACGATGTGAAGGCGCCGGTACCCTGCTCGTCTCCGGCAGACCGGTCGCGTGTATACAGGCAGGTTTTTGGAGAGTTAATTTCTCTTATTGGTGTTGGAGAATTTCTAACTATATTCGTAGCTTGATTATGCTTCACGAGTACGTTTACTCGCAGCTTCGACGCTTTAGATAACAAGGAAAAACGTAAAAAGTAACGATTTCAGGGAGAATCCGTGTGTGATAAGGGCTACGAATGTTCCTCGAGAACATCCACAGCTCGAGCGGTTTGCTGCGCGCGCGCGACGACGGTGGGAGCCGTGGTTTGCCCGCCGTCGCGGTGAGTAGTGGAATAAGAATAAGAATAAGTGTTTCATAGTGTTCCTAGCATTATAAAAGGATTTAAAAATCTACAAAATTATTTTAGCTAGAGACTTGAATTTTTGATCACATTGGTCGTTTAATAAAAAATTTCTATTATCTTTAATATTTTTTTTCCTTTTTGTTCTCATTTTCATGAAAACCTTGATTTTAATGATTTCATCTAACCTTAATAAACGCAAAACGAATAATCCTAATTCCAGGGTCCCCTTCTACGTCTCAATGATAGCGAAAAAGTTGCTATACTGCGACGATACGGGCTACATGTGCCCGCTGGACTTTGAGGTGCGTAATACTGCATTTTAGGACGCCCTAATTTTCGTCAGGCTTTTTTGGGCCCATCCTGAAAAGCTCTTGCCCTGGATCCAAACTTTCGTTTGCAAAAACTGCCGGTTTTGCGGGGCTTTGTCTACACCGATCCAAACTTTTTGCAGTGTCTCCGCTCGGCCGACCTTGATCGTTTTTTGTGTTGTTCTCCATTGCCCCGGTGCCCTGGCGGGACACGACCTGTTGAAGATGAAGGAGCTCAAATAAGGTTGGTTCGGAGGAAGCGTTCTTCTTTTTAGCGGATTGGAAGGGTTCTTTTGCGTTACCGGGGGGTCATTTTTCTTTAGGGTCGTATTTTAATAAAATAGCTGAAGCGCTTATGTTGCCAAGTGAAAAACGACACATTTTGTAAAGTTTTTACGTTTAGAAATAGCAGAAAATGTTTTTAACTATTTCCAGGTACAAATTATCTTTTAATTATTGAATTTGTACAATAAATTCATAAGAAACCTATAACACTTTACAATTTAATTAAAACTTACACAACTATGAGATTTCACGAAAATTTAGATTTTCAGGCATTTTTCTGAATTTTCTAGCGATTTTTGGAGGGTTTAAATAGCGAAACTTTACTCAAAAACTTTCTTTTACAATGCTAAACAGAGCTGGAATAATAATAGCAATAAAAAATTGCCCCCCGGATAACGCCAAAGAACCCTTTGGTATATTGCAGGTGTACGGGCGAGAAGGACTGCCCGGCCGGCTCATTCTGCCGCCCCTCATCCGTGTCTAACCATCGAATATGCTGTGGCCAAGACGACGAATAGCCCCTTTTTTTTCGTCCCGTCATCCAAATCCTTTTAATTATTACAACACACGTTTCCCTCCCTCCCTCCCCTTCCTTTCCACTGCCGGGTCGATATTCGCCATTTGTTTAGCGGTTTTGTACGCCCAACGGAAATACTGTTGCGAATTGTCGGAATAAATATTGTTTTACGGAGAAGCCGACTTGCCCGCTGAGACAGTACAAAACCATTCATTTCCGCGAAAGCGTCCAAGATCTAAATAGTCGAACCATTGGTGAACCGGTTTTTTTTAGTACGTCTAACTTTACAAATTTTTAGTAAAACAATGCAAAAATCATGGCTTTTTCAATTAAAAATAACAAAACACACACGCCCCAGTTTCAAGCATGGTTTGAGATCTTTATAAATTTTTACCAAATTTGTCCCAGAAATCCTGTACGGCCGTACGCACAAATTAGCAACCAACTATGGAATTTTACACAGTTTTCAGATAGTCAAAAACTCATTATAATTATAAAATGTTTGAAATTTTGATTGAATATTCGACCCAAAATGTATCCAAAAAGGTGAAAATTTTCGAATTTTACAATTTCTTACATTTTTATAACTTTCTAGTAACAAAAACTACTAAAAACATTATGAGACAATAATTAGGCGCAAATGCAAACATTAGTGTGGCCCCCTGCTAACAGTCCAGTACCAATTTTTATAGGTTTCTAGTTATTAAACTTGAATATAGGTAAATATTATTAAAACACCACTAAAATGCTCCCTACAACATTTCTAGGCACTGCTGCGCCCACCTTCCCCCCTCAATATTGCGAAAGAACCCCCATGAAAAATTCGAGCACCGGAGGTGTGGGTACGTTGAGTCAAACGTGAATGATGGGCGTTCACTTGGGAACCGACTGCGATTTATTTGCCAGATGTCTTTTAGGGGCGGTAGATCGTGAGCATGGCCTTGCCCGGGCAAGCGGAAAACTGCTTACCTAGGCAATCTGTCACGACACTGCATATTTTGACTTTAGAGGTCAACAGACTTCCCGCCAGAATTTTCGCCGAACAGTTCCAATTTTTGCTACCAGCCCTAATCTTTTTAAACCGGGTTTTAAAGCTAGAATTTTTGTGGTTTGGGGGGAGAGAAAGAGCTCTGCGCCGTTTTCCTATTGAAATACTAATGGGGTGCTGATTGTTTTACAAGCCTTAGGAAAACAGAGCACGGGGTCTCAGAGCGCGCACGGGGGGTGGGGAGGGGCGTGGCCGAGTGGTCTAAGGCGGCGGTCACAGGCCACAGGGAGGGGGGTGCTGGTTCGATACCTCGGACCCCCCGTACCGTCAGATCGTTTTGCTCTTTTTTTGCAAAAAGTGGTTGAAGGTGCCAGCAACCCATATATAGTGTACCCAATGCCGAAAAATAACAAACTATGTGGTTCCTGAGTCAGAAACAACGAAATCGCGAATAGTGGTGCTGGATTACTCATTTAAGTGACATAGATATAAAACAGAGCTGAATATATAGACAGATAGTCATACAAAGTAGATTAAAGCCAAATATTTCAGTACTACTCCAGAATTCAAAATTGCTCAAAATGGATGGGCCTCAATCTCGTCCATTACAGCCCCCAACCCCGAAAAAGCAAGCAATTGATCATTGGCAAGTCTCAGGCGATGCAAATATACGAAAAAGGATCCCAGAAAATGGCTATATTCAAAGAAAAGCGCTGCGCACAAAGGGGTGAATTTTCGGTCTTCTGCTCGCTAAAAAGGTTTTGAACTCCTTATTTTGATTCAGATTTGCTCCGAGCTCTTTTGGAAAAGGTGCCTTAGGGTCTGTTCTATCATATGCGAAAAGCCGCCTCGACCGTTTTTTCTAGAAAAAAAGTTATCGGATTTTGAAAGCGCGAAAATTTGTCACTTTTTCCCCCTTTTGTTAAGGCCTTTTGCGGGTCTCAGGGTTCGCTATGCGCGCAGCCGGCCCACCCGTCCCGTGGAGTGCCCCGTCCCTCGTGCGCGCCCTCCTGAATAGTCCACGGGGTTTTTTTTCTATGGCGAGGCGCGCACGGGATAACGTAGCAGTCCAAGCGACAGGTGGATCGGCTGCGCGCACAGAGCCCCATATTAACCCCAGAGAGGGGCCCGAAAAGTTGCCAAATTTTACTACTTCTAAGGCTTATAACTTTTTTTCTAGAAACTTTGATCAATTCTCCACCTCACTATCGATAGAGAAGGATCCCCCACCTGTCCCTTCGGCCGGCGCCTTAGACCACTAGGCCAGGGCTGAAAATCTGGAAATTGTGCGAAGCGTTTTTCTTAGAATTTAGACTTAGTATTTCCGCTTTTTTGGTTTAGTTTGGCTGACGGATGATGGCCAATGAAAAATTTGCTACTTAAGAGGTGCTGGATGTCAAAACGCCGAAGAGCCGAAGGCTTGATTTTCCACACCTTCCGGAATCAACCGGTACAACTCCCCAATTTGCCTGCAATTGTTTTCAGGGGCAAACCTAAACAGCTTCAGGCAATTCCTGGTAAAAACTAAGTTAAACGAGCCAGAAGTAGCCATAATCCGTCGATTTCTATGTGTAGCGTCAACTTGGGTAAATTCGGCAGTTCTCGTTACTGGGGTGTGTATATCAAGGATGTTGATGCTCTTCCGCACCTTTTCGCGAAAAAAGCAAAACGGGATCATGTTTCTTTCCCCGGGAGGGATCGAACCAGCACCCCCCACCTGTCCCTTCGGCCGGCGCCTTAGACCACTAGGCCACGCTTTTTTGGTTTAGTTTGGCTGACGGATGATGGCCAATGAAAAATTTGCTACTTAAGAGGTGCTGGATGTCAAAACGCCGAAGAGCCGAAGGCTTGATTTTCCACACCTTCCGGAATCAACCGGTACAACTCCCCAATTTGCCTGCAATTGTTTTCAGGGGCAAACCTAAACAGCTTCAGGCAATTCCTGGTAAAAACTAAGTTAAACGAGCCAGAAGTAGCCATAATCCGTCGATTTCTATGTGTAGCGTCAACTTGGGTAAATTCGGCAGTTCTCGTTACTGGGGTGTGTATATCAAGGATGTTGATGCTCTTCCGCACCTTTTCGCGAAAAAAGCAAAACGGGATCATGTTTCTTTCCCCGGGAGGGATCGAACCAGCACCCCCCACCTGTCCCTTCGGCCGGCGCCTTAGACCACTAGGCCACGCCCCTCCCCACCCCCCATGCGCGCGAAAAGACCCCGTGAGTCGGGACCCCGTGAGAGCTCCATATGACGCCGCAGAACTCGCAAAAATTGAACATCTGAAAACCTATTTTTCTAGTTTTCTAATGCTACTCTCGAAACCAATGTCAGGTTTCCAATTTTAGGCACGGATAAACGGCAGCTATCGGATTTTTCTTTATACAAACCGAAGACACCTATGGCTTACGAACAAGGAGCGTGAACATCAGTAAATCGCCTTCTTACCCACCGCGGACCTCTTATCTGTCGGGCGGGGTCATGGATCTCTTATCTAAAGAGCCAGATGGGTTGACTTATGGGCTTCTGATATGATACTGTTAATCTGTTAATTTTTTTTTTACTAATTTGTGCCTGTTTTGGAGGGTTTTGTTGCGGTTGCGCGTCAACGAGTAATACACCTTGACAAATACTAAGCTAACATTATTTTTAGAACTCTATAGTTTTTTATAGTTTAGAACTTTTTAGAACAACATTCGATTTTTACGGATTCTCAAACGCCTGTTTTACATAGTTTTATGATTTAATTTATTTAGTTTATTGATTTGCTTATACAAATGAGTTTGTTAGAATTATCCAAACCAATTGATCATCTTAATCAAATCATCTAAAAATTGGTTTTTAGAACCCCAGTAATACACCAACTTGTGAAATTTATGGGCTCCGAAACGCCTTTTGCTTTGCGCATAACCCCCCCCAACCCGGGAAAAGGTCAAAGAAAGCGGGTCCTCGCCGTTTTTCAGACGATCAATGTTTCCGCACCGCGTTTGGACTAGCAACAAATTGAGGCCCCAGGCAAATAGAGGCTCGCTTCTTTTGCCGCACACTCGAAAAAGGGGCCACAAATCATACGTAGACTCGGGTGAATTGCGGTAAAACACGGCGCATTATATGTCCTGAGGCTACGGGCACATCCTTGACCTTTTCACCGCCCCTCCGCCTTTCACCCGCTCTCTCATCCACATTCCGCGACAAACGGCAGCCGACATACTTCTTTGGTACTTTGCCAGATGTTCGTTTGGACAATTGGCTTGCAAAGATGCTCACTATATGAATGGCAACACTTTCGTTTGTTAGCTGATTATATTGTCCGATTGGTTCTTTCGTGCTTCTTTTTAGGAAAATTTAACTACATGATACATAACTATTTCTAAAATAACTTTCTATGTGTGAATTCCATAAACTTTTCTGCAAAGCGCTCTCCCGGTTTTCAAAAAGCCAATTTCTTTTTTGAAAATCGAGAAAATACTCGTACATTTTACGATTTTTGAAGTTTTAGGACAAAAATTCCGTTTTTCGATCTAAACCTGAGGGTTTAACCTGAAATTTATGAATTCTCATAGGTAGGATTACCCAACAATACGGCGTAATCGTATTTTATAGTTCGAAAAAACTTTGGTATCGGTTTTGCTAACATTTTGCTACACGAAGTGCAAAACTTTTTAAATCTACAAATTTACTTACGATTCAAGGTTTTGGACACGTTAGGCTGAAAACTAGCTTTTTTTTTGATCGAAACCTCGGTTTATCATCACGTTTTGTATATTTTTATTGTTGATTTAAATGAAAATTCGATCGAAAATGGAGTTATAGTAATAGTAATACTCCAGTGATAAGAACAGCCCGATTTTTTTGTTTCTATTTATTTTCCCTCTTGCTCTATTTCGTAAAACAAACCTATTATAAATATACTTTTTAGCTACCCCACTCAAGATGGATCTACTTGACGATATTATGGGCGGTATGGACCGGCAGCACGGACCGTGAGTTTTTTCTGATCAATTGAAATGTGTGTTTAGGAAAAAACCGAAATATGGCGAGGACAAGCCGTCTCCATCAGCCCGGGTATGGCTTTTTTTGTACTCTTAAGATTTACGTGATTTAGCCGGAACCTGCCAATGTGATGGCCAGACGGATACCAAAGTCTTCTCAAAATGAATTTGGCAGCCCTGCTCCCGAAAAACAGAGGTATTCGCCAACTTAACTTCTTTGATTTTTTTTCTTAGAAACCCCGGCTTCAACCCACAAAATAGAGGAGGAGGCTTCGATCCATCGCGGTGAGTTTATGGTTTGGATCCACTAGAATCGTCTATTTTTAGCGATCGACGTGGCACTGGGCCCCAACAAAATGCGATACGCCAACAACCAAGGGCACAAGGAAGCGGCTGGTTAGTTTAAAGTTGTTTTAAAACTGATTTTTCTATGTATTTTCCCAAATGAAGACCTTTTTAGGGACAGTCCCAGCTCTCACAATTCGGGCAGAAACGATCGATGGGGAGCGCCTTTGAAGGAGGAATTCAAGTCAGAATCTGGATATCGCGCAGGAACTTCCACTAACCCCGTGGTTTGTTAATACCCTCATTTTTGGTAATTTTGTCTTTAGTACGTCGGGGAGAATGAAGTAGAAGCGTCTATGTATGAAATTGACATCACGAAAACGGTTCCGAAGGTATGGAAAATATGCGTTATAGCTGTAATTGAGAAGCGATACGTTTGGTCAAGAAAAAGGTAGAAATTTAGGTGATAAAACTACAAATCGAAGCAACCCTTTTCCGAGGCGAGGAGCGCAACCCAATCGATTTGACAGTACAGCCGAAAAATGCGTAAGATTTGATCGGGTATTAGAGTAGATGAAATCATTTTAGATCAGCTGTAAATCGGAAAATGCGGGGTCTCAGTGGAGCTGTGGACTTGATGCTAGAGTGAGTTATAAAAGAAAGATTTTGGATAACTTTTTGTGCAGATTGATCGGCGTCTCCGAAGAGGACAAATGGAAGTACATCTACGATGCCGGGAACGCGGTCTATACGTGCGTGGCGCCCCAAGACTTTGCGGAGGAGAAAGTGTGCAAGTTTAGGAAGGTGAGTGGGAATTTGTTTTCGGGGGTGGTGGAGGAATGACGGTTAGGGCGGGTACCATAAATTTCAAGGGTCGCCGGCCTTGGGCTTGGCAACATCTGGGGGATCTCTTGTCTTTTTTTTTGGCTGCGCGGCTTGTCATTTTGGCTTTAGAAGGTTACTCTAACGAATTTACTAGTTTTTTTATTAGTCCTTCGTTGGGTTACACCGAGTTGTGAAAATTCTTCCGAATCTTTTCCCCTAGTTGACGGTTGATACACTTTTTTTCAGGAACAACTCCTCAACCCCCCGCGCCCCGAGGTGATCCAATTCTTCGGGCAAAGATGGGAATTTTGCGAGGTATACCCTTGCGGATTTCCGGTTCACACCGCTTTTACAGCTCCGAATGCGCTTGGTGAAGCTCGTCCCGCTACGCCAGATCGGCGACGATTTCACTTCTGAGAGCATGACCTTCTTCGACATCCTCACCAACGCGCCGCTGATCAAGGCGTATGAGACCTCCTAAAAAATCTTTACTTTTTTGCTTCAGTGGTTACTCAAAATTCGGACGGGATTGGATAAACATGCGCGAACATCCGGAAGAGCTGAAAGCCCGCAAGAGCGGAATGGTGATGCGCACCGGGTTCGAGAAGAGCGTCTCGGCGCATGGCAATAAACTTATGCTCAATTTTCGGGGTAAGCGTTGTTGTTTCCTTACAACTTTTGAGCTTTTTCAGTTTGCAAGAAGCCGTGCTTCAAAGGGCAGACCCTCGTCGACTACCTTATGGCCACACAGGATGCGCGATGCCCGCGTGACTTGGATGGCCTGCTGCGCGATAGGGCCGGTCGCAAGAATGTTTCCCGGCAGATCAAAAGTAGGAAAATCTTGCTTATTTTCCAAGGCTCTGTGTTCAAGATTTGTACGTGAAAACCACGCATATGCTGACGGAAAGCGATCAACGCCAGATTTTCCTCTTCCAGCTCCACGACAAAAGTGCCAATCAGTAAGTGACAGATCTGTGTTTATTAAGCGCCTTCTTCAGGGAGACTTTCGACAATGACGGCCGACAGACCACGGTTGCCGAGTATTTCCAAGACAAGTAAGCAATTTTGAAGATCTAAAATCTAACAAAATCTTAATTTAGATATCTCCGCACGCTCAAATTTCCCGATCTTCCGCTGGTCGCGTCAAAACGAGGCAACAATATCACATACTTCCCTCTAGAAGTGCTGGTGATTTGCGAGGATCAGAGTCTATCAAAGGACCGCATTGGAGTATTTGTACGTTTCCATTTCTAGGGCCTATTTCATTTTATTTCAGCAAAAAGAGGTCGTCGAAAAGGGCCGTTTCACGCCGGCCGATTTCAGCCGCGTCAATCGCCAGCAATTCGAGGACAGTGGCCTGTGAGTTTGCTTTGTACCTCTTCGTAGAAAATGCCTGAAAATGAGGAATTCAAAGCTTTCCAGGTCTCCTCGAAAGGAGAGCCCATACCTGAAGACATTCGGCGTCTCCATCCACCCGGAACCAATGATGGTCAAGTCGCAAAAGATCATACGCCCCGATATCGTCACCAAGAATGTAATTTTAGTTATTGTTTTCTGAAACAATAATGGAATTCAGGTTGTCGATCCAGTTCGAGCGGGTCAGGACGGGTCGATTCGCTGGAATACGATGGCTCAGATGCCCTACGCTGAGGTATAATTGATAGCTTAAACAAAACATGCATTTTAGCCAATAATCGTGCCCCGAACGCTTGTGTTGAACTACAATCGCGCCGTGCGTGATATGCGATCGTTGGAGTGGGTTCAGTCTTGATTACGATATTCCCTGTCTTTCAGAGGTGCTATTGAACAGCTTCGTCAGCACGCTCGCGTCCATAAGATGAGATGGGATGAGGTTTGTGTCGTTGAATTAACTTTTATTTATCCCCTATTTTAGCCTCCGAGCTTCGAGGAAATCTCCCACATGGATCGCGACGGCTTCGTCGAATTCTTAGCCAAAAAGAAACATCACGGCTTCGGCTTTGTGCTTCTAATCTCTGGGGAGGATCCGGAAGCTCACGGTTTGGCTTTCCTTCTCTTTTCGATTTCTCTGATACCAGGCGGGCTGAAATACGGGGAGCAAGAGGTCTGCATCTCCACTCAAAACATCCTGCCCAAGACGCTGGGGCTTGGTGGCGGAGGCGGGGGCCGAGGACTCGGGAATGACGTATGGTCTTCGCGTCGTGAGAAAATTATCGAGAAAAATTTTAGACGAAAGAAAACATCATCAAGAAAATGAATCTGAAGCTTGGTGGCGTCAACTACTCGCTCGCCGTGCCCGGGTCGATCAACAAGTTTGTGTAAGTTTAATGTTTTGAAGTGGTAATGTTTTCTAAGAAACCCCTAAAAATTGCCTTTTTTAACGGAATCCTTTTCCAGACAGGAGCACGTCTTCTCTAAGGAGCGTATGTACATCGGCTTCGCCATGTCTCACCCGGGGGCCCAGGCCCTGCATGATCGCATCAATAAGGCCGAAATTGAATCGCCGACCACGATCGGGGTTTGTCGATTTTGGCTCTATGAAATTCGTTTTGCTAGATGAGCTTCACAACAGCTCACGCAACCGTGTATCGTGGACGCCAATACTGCCAACAATCACGACAAACCATCGTCCAGTTAGTTTTTTTCATTCCGTAGAGGTTCAATTTCGTTATTTTGTTTTGTAGTTTACTTTAGTTTAATATCCTTGAGCCTCTGAAAAAGGTTATATCGCTCATTTAGAAATCTACGCGCATACATTTCCGATGCCCTACAACAATATGAAAAGGAGGCTAAACGACTCCCCGCAGAATTGTTCATCTACCGAGACGGTGTCTCTGATGGTCAATTTGAGGAGGTCACATCAAGGGTTTTTTTGATAAATTCTCTTTTTCAGGTATTAAACACAGAAGTGCACGGGCCAACCGGACTCCTGAAAACAATCGCGCCAAATATGACCGTCTACTACGTGATTGCACGGGAAAGCTCGGAAAAGTAAGCGGAATTCTAGTTCTTCTACTTCTTCGGAGCTTCTGCATTATCAGGGGGTGGGGGGGGGAGATTCTCCTTACATGTAGAGGTTGTGAGGTCACAGACTCCAAATCGGCTCGAAATTGGTGGAAAAATCAAATAAAATACGGGGAACAGGATGTGATAAAAATTATCTGCCAATGGGCACTTTTGTTTAATAAACTTTTTATTTTAAGATTTTGTATGGAAAACTACCTAGAATCGCGACCTGGGTGGCCAAAACCGTAAGGCGCAGGGGAGAACTCTTGAAGTCTTCCCAAGCGCCCCCTCCCGTTGGATTGGTGGTGTAGTGGTAAGGTGCAGGGGTGACATGCCAGGGTCGAGGGTTCGGACCCCGTCAATATTTTTAATTTTTGCTTTTTGCTGTTTTCGCTTTTATTTTGCCGAGAGAGAGTCTAGAAAGTGTTTTCGAAAGTTTTTCGGTCCTATGAATCCCTAGAAGTTGCCTAGGCAGAAAAATAAAATTTCGAAAATTTCGAAGTTTTTGTAAAAAAAGGTCTAGCTACCTATTCCAGTTGGATAGAAACCAACTGAATAGTTAATAATAATTATTTTTGAACCAGAATTGTAAAAATAGAATTATTCCGGCAATCTGAAATATTTCGGTGCTCAGATTTGAAGCGCCTAGGAGCCAGAACCACCTATTTTAAGCAGTTTCCAATTCTGCCAGGATCCGGGGCCATAGGATAGGTCGGGAAATTTTTCATGAAAAAAATTTTTTCAGATCAATTTTTTTTCGGGTGTGGAAAGGTGTTTAGTGTCATGGCGGCTATGAAAATTCCATCAAAACATTTTTTTCCAAGCCGTAAGGCCCAATAAAGCGGCTAAAAGTGCATTTTAGAAGCACTTTTTTCCATTAAAATGAAAAGTTTATTAAACAAAAGTGCCCATTGGCAGATAATTTTTATCACCTCGTTTTCCCCGTATTTTATTTGATTTTTCCACCAATTTTGAGCCGTTTTGGAGTCTGTGACCCCACAACCTCTACATGTTAGGCTCAGTTTTTCTAGCATAAATGGGGGAAGTTTTTCTAGGTGTTGTTAATATCGTATTCCAAGGCGTAAAAACTTTCCAAATTCTTAGTAGCATATTGTGTTTTCGTCCAAATTTTCATATAATTTTTTTTAGAAATTTTTAAAAGTTTTTAATTGAAATATGGCTAAAATTACTGGTATTAGAATATTTTGTATTAGGGATCCGGCTCCCCGAACCCCCCGATAATGCGAGAGAACCGATTCTTCTAACCAAATTTTTCTTAGGCTCATCCCTGCGAACGTGGAGCGATTGAGAGACCGCAAAGTCGGAGAACAGAACATCCCGGCCGGGACGGCAATTACGATCGATGACGACAAGGAGTACCTAACGACCCGAATCATCTCCCAGCGATCCATCATCGTAAGAAGACTAGAATAAGCCTTACATTGCTTTCTAGGGAACCGCCCGCGTCAGCAAATACACCTTACTTTTCGAGAAAATTGAGGGTAAATCGAAGAAGATGACCAAGGAGGAGCTCAAGTGAGTTTTCCTTGTTATAAAACCTCAACTGGCCACTTTAGTTTCGTGACGAATGCGCTTGCGAATGGCTCGGGGATCAGTACGGCGTCGACGAGTTTACCGGCCCCCCTTTTCAATGCCCGAAAGCACGCCGAGCGCGCCGACGAGCAGTACAAATATCTGTTAGTCTATTTTTGTTTATTTTCAGCATAATCTTTTTCAGGAGCGGTGATGCCGAGCATAGGCGGGATGGCACCTCGGACATCTGCGCGCGTGTGTCGAAGATCACGCTCGGCGATCGGGATTTTGCTGCCTAGGCGAACACCTTTCTCGATCTCTACCCACCGCCAAGTCGACCATTCTTGAGTGGATAGTGCAAATTACTTTGTCACGTTGTCATCAAACACCACTAATATTAATTATTACACTAATTAATTAACTGCCATATTTGTGCATTTTGTCATACTTGCCATTCACTTTCATCGATTAACAACGGCGCCTTTACAGTTCCCGGAGATTTATATAATATGTACCATATTCGAGTCGACCAAGTCTGAACAGATAATAAAGAATTCTTGTTTTTACCGTATTAAAGAATCATGCGCCGTGATTTCAAAATCGTGGTGTTGAGAATTGTGAAATCACGACAACAACTCAGGAAAATGGCGTTCTTTAAAGTCGATTATTTATGTTTATTTTCTGTCCTGTTTCGTTTTTACGATGACCATTACGAGGAACTTACTGCAGTGTGAAGGGACAATTATTAATTTAGCAATTGTTTGTTGTAGTCTATCTATCAAATGTTTACCGTTTGAATCTTATTTTAGGCTAAGTCCCTGGTGCTTTTTCATAGATTTAGTAGAACATTCTATCCAATAAGCGAGAAAAGTATGTGTGTTTTCTGTAATGGTGATTTCTCGGCCGTCAGGCCGAATTTCGGGCTGATTTTTGGCAAGCAGGTGGAGAAACACATTTGCCAGACACGCATTTTTTTTCGAAATTCCTTCATTTAATGATTTTACAAACAAAAAATTGAAAAGTCCTTAACATAGTGGGCTGCGTGCCGTGTTCGCTGGTGTTGTAACCGTATACCCGACTAGCCAACTTTGAACCCCCATATCTCGCCCCAGAAGTGTTTCGTAATCGTTTTTTCAACTGATCCTGAGCCAGCTCATCGAGCTGAGCATTTCTATAAAAGTTTGGGTTTGACGTCGTAGCCTATACTCTAGTCTCACGCTTTCGCTGCCTATTCCGCGCATACTTAATTCAATTCGTTATGGGCCTTCTCCGATCGGAGAGAAAAAGAAAAAGGAAGGCAATTAACTCATTGGCAAAACACTGTGTTACGGGCCGCAACCAAGTGCTCCTAGGCTTTTCCTGCGAAACGATGATTAACATAAGATAACAAGCATAAACTTCGAAATGGCAATTAACATTTATATATTAAAATAATTCGATAACTTATCTATGGAGCACAATTCGGGACCACAACCGTCGTGACGATATGGCCGACGCGGTCGTGGGTTTTACTTTCTGTCCATTTAGATCAAATTGCAGGGGTGCTACGCGGACGCTCGGGATGCGATTTCGGAATGGGAAACGCAAGCCGTCCATGCGATGGATGGTTTCAAAATTGTGTTGCTCGATGTAAGTTGTCTGGGTATATTTAACACCTTGCAACATTTTTAGATTGAAGGAGTGAGGCTTGAAGGGCGCCGGTTGACGCTGTACCTACAAAACGAAATCAGCGAGAACCATTGCGAGATCAAGCACTTGAAGCAGCTGCTCACCCCCCCCTCGCCTCGCCTATGGAAAAGTGGGCTTTTGTAAGACCTGCTAACTTTAATCAATTTTTGGAGTATTAGTTCGTCATTGTGCCCTTATATTTTACAGGACGCTGAATACGGGAATGAAACATCGGGGTCCGGTGAGCAGGCGATGGTGCAGGTGAGAACAGGGTCGTAAAGCTCCTCGGCGACTGTTCTATGATCTATCTTTTTATGGCTTTTTTCAGGTGACCTGGTGGGCGTGGTTCAAGAGTTCTATCGCTTCGACGATCTGCTGCTCGAGTAGGGCCAAAGCTTCTGATACCGAGCGTATGGAGGCGGGTCTGGCGACGACGCCGCTGGGGCCCGCGTTCTGCCAGCTATCGATCGGATCGCAAGTAGGAAAAAGAAATCCGGGTTGTTTTACTCATAATTTAGGTCGTTCACGCTGCCCACAAGCAGCAGGCGTCTATCTTCCAGAGCCGCCAAATTACTGACGCGGCCAGAGGTATTGGACTGATCGCTTTTGGATTCGTCCTTACGTCCCACTACCAGTCGCTGTTGACGAAACGCAAAACCTTTCGCCCATTTTCTAGTTTGTGAAGACTCGTGAGAAGAAGTGTGCGGCCCGCATGAAAATCTTTGCCTCGGAGCTCCGCACGCTTGCAAACGACGGAGAGCGAGTGTATACCAACGAGGTTTGCGCTGGATTACGTAGGCAAATAGTTTTGCAGATTTCGGCACTGTATGCTGAAAACGAGAAACTGTATACGCTGAACTCGACGAAAGTCGATGAAGTAGGGTGTTCGATCGCAACATCTTAGATTACATTCCATTACAGATCAACGATCTCAAGGGGAAAATGGCGCTGCTCGACCCGGAATGGGAGGCCTCCTACAAATTTCGGAGCCAGGGCATGAATACGACTTCTGTATCGCCCCTCAGACCTTCAGCTCTATTTTATTTTTTAGCCCGCGACGACCCCTGTGACGGCCGATATCGTGGAGAACACGGTAAGCTTTTTCTCGGATTTCGGCCACGTAGTATCCCTGTTTTGCCGCTCCTAGCCCTTCCTTTTCAGTGAAGCTCCAGCTCTCCCACCAAATTAAGTCCGAAGACGCGCGAAGAAGAAATTAAACCCCGCTACAAACTAAAACTGACACTGGAGGGTGCAATGTTAATAAATATATGCCCGAGACCCGTCTCTTGGAGTGTATTTTATGACACGAAGATATTGTATGAAGTGAAGGTTATTGCCTAATATTGGTCCAGCGGAAGAGACCGGCTGGCTGAGATCGCGCTTCAGCGCTTGCTCCGTCCCGTTTCCCTGAAGCCGATGGGTCGATACACGTATCTGAAATTGCTGAATAAATCGGATACTGAAGACAAATAAACTGCCCCGGAGAGGCCCAAAAACGAACTTATTTGGAGACTCCTGAGGTATTTTTGTAGTTGCGAGAACCCCGGGTAGTCGACAAAGTCCTCGTCACCAGCCAGCGTTTGAACGATACGCGCCCGGCGGCCGCGCTGATTTCCGAAGAGATCCTAAGGACGTTGTGCTCTCGAAAAGCCGTACTTACCCGCAAAAAGATAAGATGCTGCTTCGAGAATTCATCATCAAAATGCATCCCGTCCATTGGATGGGCGGAGATTTTCGCCTAAACCAGACGATTTAGTTAAAATAATTTTTTAACCTGATTTCTTTTTATGGCCATCTCCAAGTCGACGCGCCACTTGTCTTTGAACTTGAGCTCGGCACGCTCAACCCGTTTCGTGTCCATTTCGTTGAGATTTATGGTTGACGTATTCACTTCGGCGCTAAAAAGGGTTCTTCGGTATTGAAGGGAGAAAGCAAACGTTTTAGCCCTCGGCAGCGCGACACAGCCGCCGTTCTGCTTCAAAAGCTCTTCGATTTGGTTCCTCTCGATGCGGATTTTCAGATGGGTGCCGCCGCCGATTTCCAAGAAATCGATTGTATCGACATCGGGTAGAAGTTGGGGCGTCATTGACGTGATGCGGGTGCCGTCCTAAAAAGAATTTTAGGCATATAAAAACTATTGGGGAAAATAATTTGTTTGAGGGAGCAAATTTTTCCTCAGCATTTTTCTAACATGAACATCATAACTGTTCTGATGTTTTTTTTTGCACTTTTAGAGGACAAGCGAGAGATTTAGATTCAGTTTGAACTAGTTACTGCTACAGAACAAAAAACTAGAAAAATACTAGCTGCTACGTTGATAGGCGTATCTCGGCAGACAAAAAAGCCCCCCCCCCCTATAATGCAAAAGAGCCGCAAAAACATACATTCAACTGGACCATGATCGGGGACCGGAAGATATTGCTGCGATCCTTGAGGTCAACGGTGTAGATCAGTCTTCGCTCGACGGCCAGCACCCACAGGAAACGGAAGGCTTGTAGGTAGAGTCTGAAGTTTATTGAAAAGACCAAATACAAAAAATAGCGAATGTGGAAAGGAAATAAAATAAATTAAATCGAACAAACCGATTGTCGCCAGCGTGGTGGGCGGCAGTTGGGTAGAAGGCGATGACCATTGACGCGATGGCGATATCGCTTCTTGACAGTGCGTATCTAAAAGGAAAGTAGCGTTGCTAAAAATTTATACTAGTTTGTTGCTGATTTCAAGGGTTATTTTATTTATATCCTTACGAATCGACCAGAAAAAAGAGATAACAACGAAAAAATGCACCTTGCATTGCCCATGAACAGCAAGCCGAGCGTCGTCTGGACGGCGCCTTGGACGGAATGGGTGTACAAATTCTTGAGCCAATTCCCGACGGCATCCGCTCTGCGGATAAAGTGGCAGATCTTCATCACCTCGACGTCACCGCTGCCGGCCATCAGCTGAAAATAAGCGTTACACTTTTTAAAAATCATGACATTTTAGGTGGTTTTTCAGATCACGAAATTCTTACAATGCCGATCGCCGAGATCAAGAGGTTCATGCTGACCGCCACAGCTCCCTTATCAGCCAGTCGAACGAGGCGAGAATGTGCGGGGATCCTCGTATCATCCGGCAGCAGCATCATCAGGTATTCAATCTACATCCTGGGTTCTAAAAGTTGTAAATATTATCCTACAAATAGGGCCTTGATTCGTGGGTCGTGCGTCGACGCGTATTTCAGGCTGATGGCGAAGCAGGCGGCCGAGATGCAGTGGATGTAGGTCTAGAAAATCCAAAAATACAGGATGAATAACGACGGTACCTGGGCGACAGTTTCACGATCGTAGAGCACATCCCAGTATTCTTCTTCGTCTGATGAGAATATCTGAAAAAAGCTTTGAGGTATGTCGTGGTTCAAGCCAAATCTTCCAATGGCCCTATGCCAGCGAAATCATAAAATTTAAAACTTTAATACAGAAGCACTTTTATAAAATCAAAATTGTGCCAAACACGCTAACTTCTGGGGTAAACATGTTTGAAAAATGACCAGAACTGGCCAGAAAATCAAGGTCTCTGACAAGTTTTAAAAGGCATATGTAAAATTATTGATGAAAATATTCCATTTTATTATTGGGCCGGGATTAGATAAATTAAAATAATGTGCCCTACCACGCCAACGAAAATTAAAATCAAATTGCGAAGATTTTTAACCAAATATATGGAATCTTTTTACCTTATTGAGTCGATCCATGCCAATGGCTTTGTCGGCTGCGTTCCTGACGTCGATCGGAACCTGTTCTATGATCCACTCCTTCGTCGCCTCCACCGTATCCCACATCACCAGAGCTCTGGCCAACACCCTCACCGGGATGATGTCAGCCCGAATCTTTTCCAAAGCCGGGATAGTGTCTGGCAGCGTGAGCACATGGTCGACCTGCTTGTTGCCCGTCTTGAAGAACAACAGCCCGAGGGCGATCGTGGCCGGGTGGGCAGTCTGGTGGCTATTCAGGCGAGCGGGGATTTCACGGCAATGGCTGCTTTGCAGCGGGGCTTGCGGTTCGTCAAACGGGCCGGTGTGCTCGGAGATGAGGTCAGAGTTGAAGACGGCGCGAGATCTCGGGCCACCCTCCATCATCACGACGAACCGCTCGATCAGGCCGGGTTTTTGCTCCGAGATCGGGGATTTAGGGATGAACATCTCGCCTCGGCCGAGGCCAGCGAGGCCAATGGCGAAGCCTAAATTTTTGGTTATGAATACCAAGTTAAAAGTTTATAAAAATCATTAACATTTTCGAAAAATTCGTTCTGTTCAAAAATGTAGAAAAAATTGTCCAAAATGTCATATTCTTAATTTTAAAACATGTTTTATAATATCATCCATAAAATCATAAAAATTTTGAATTGTGCAGACAAAAACAAATAAAAATTGTCCAAAATCTCATAACTTCCAATCAAAAAAAATCTATAATTTTTTTAAATAATCTAGATACCTAGCGCCAGGCCGTAGGCGTATCGCTCATTGGCGGGTTCGGTTTCGGCTTGCATTGGGCGTCCAATCTAAAGGGTGATTCTTTAAAAAATAAAAAAAGGTATACCTCGTTGACTAGTTGATTAATCAGGGTCCCAGTGCCACGTTGCGCAAAAAGCAATCCCAACGAAACGATGGCCGCCGTCTGGATGGACGTTTCAATATTCACCTAATCGCACGATAACAAATTATTTATCACCAAAAATACCTCTAAAAGTGTCGGCCCCATCAAAAACGAGATGTGCGTTATGATGATTTTGTGTACCTAAATAGAACTTCCAATAAATAATAAATAATGGAAAAACCTGTTCATCCGCAGTTCCCAATCTCGATGCCCCGTAGCCCAAAAGTAATGCGATGGAGGTGAGCCTGAAACAATTTGTGTTTTTAGTTGAAAACAGCTCCTTATTACTTGTCCGTGGCCGCAAGTAGTTGATGTGCATTGTAGATGTTCAGGACCGGTAGGTGATTGTTCAGACCGAGACCCAGTAGAAGTCCCGATGATGCCGGGGAATGCCGTGCCATATTCCGGTCATTCCCAGCCGCATTCCCAGTGATTTTGTTGTTCTCGGAAAAGACAATCTGAACCAATTTTTAACAGTAAAAAGCTGGAGTCTGTGCCTGAATCCATTCGCTGCTCAACGGCTGATCATCGGCACAGCGGACGGAGAGCCCAATGGAGACGCCGTTGTAGAAATCGCCCCAATCCTTGATCGGTCGGACAGTCTAAATTTTTTCTTTTTTTTTGCTTCATGATCGTTAAAGGCTCACATCATTGACGCTCAGCTCGAATGGCCGGTTTTCCGGATAGACCCGACCGGCAAAGCATATGTCTTGAATTTCGAACCAGCGGTTGGCGGAGGAGTTGACGGATCTAACGACCAAACAAAAAATGACCTTTCAGTAGTTCCATTCTTAATTTGTTGATTTTAGCTTAATTTTCATCAGGGAAAAAGTTTAAAAAACTTAGAAAATGCCCAAAAGTCAAACAATTACCATTTTAGTCGAAAAGAAATCGCAATTTTTACTATTTTTGTAATCAAAGGTTGTAAAGTTAGCTTCAAGGATACTATAAAACTGTGCAAAAACACAAAAACAGAGAAAAAAAGCCCATCTCCTCTTGGAATACGAAAGAACCGAAAAAATTCAGCAATTTTTAAAGTACCTCAGCTTGAGCCCCGCATTGCCAAAAGCCAACGTCATCGTGCGTATCGCCACCGTCACCATAAATTGATCATTTTGGTCCTTGATTTCCGTGTCGTTCAGCCCTTCCCTAAATCCATTTAATAAAAAACGCCTGAATACGGCTACCGCTTTGGTATAAAGGTGGCCCGCGAATTGTCGAGCATTTCCTTGACATTATGAAGTCGAATGTCATGAGGCCATCTGAGCCGAGCCAATTTCCACAAATCCTCCGCATTCAAATGGCCAATCGACGGATCCTTGAGTTGATTTTCAATCAGGTAGAAAGTGTGCTTGGCCAGGTGCTGTCCATTCATCACAAATTCTAGTAAGAATCTCGCATCCGGGGCCAGCTTTGCGAATTCGAGGATGGGCGAGAATTTGTCGAGGAAGAGGGCGCATTTCTCGCCGGGTAGCAGCCGGTCATTGGCGAAAGTGAGGTCGATGAGGTTGTCTTGAGATTTCACGAAAGTCGAGAAAAGTCGTCGAGTGTTGCCGAGGAATTGTTTAGCTTCGTTGAGGCTGCGGATGTGACCAAGACCGATGGAAAGGCCTAAATATTAGGTTTTCTCTTGCACATCAGAAAATCATACTCATCAGATAGGTGGCAATTTCAAGCGAAACCCTTGACGGCAGCGTCGTCAGCTCCTTGTTGATGACCCTCGCGATCAGATCGGGAAGATAGAAAACCTGCTGATCCACGTCCATACGGGTTTCAATATCTAAAAACGGGTCTTTTTTTACAGTCAAGGGTTAATCTTCATACCTTCACTCTTATCCAAGACGCGCAGCTCGGCAAGCTCGGGCATATCTTCCAGGTAGATTTGGGCTCTGCGCGCGTGGCCATGTGCTCTGGGGAAATTTCTAACACTAAACAAAAGGACGAACCGATTCAATAAAAATAGCGCTTCCGTAAACGTCGCCATGCCGTTTTCATCGTTGAATAGACGCTTCGTCTCGTAGAGTACATGAATTCGGGCGAGGATTGTGGAGATGTCATTGTGTAGGAATGAGTCGTTTTTCGCATGGAACTAAAGAGATTGTGATATTTATGAAAGGTATCAAAAAGTAGGCAATCCACTGCTGCAAAATAAGTTTCCTACTATCCTACTATATATAAAAAAATAGTGTCTGTGTGTGTGCATTTGCATGCAACTTCCGTGAGGTTGTCTCTCACCTACAGCCTCAGGGAAAAGTTTATCGGGTACGTATGATACGTCATTAGGTGCGTAATGATGCCGAGATGCGTGCACACACATCAAAGTTTTGAAAAATTACTGTTTTCGCTATTAAAATTGAGTTCTTTGTAAAGATATCCAAAAATCTCTTTGTTAGGAGGCAATTTGCATGCGCCGGAAGTGGGGAAAGCCTATATAGGGGGGCAGAAGGCGGCTTTTTCTCATTTTTTTTTGCGATCGGTTCGGGAAGAAATATGCACATTTTTGACTATGATGTGCGTTAGGCGGGGCCAGGGTTGAAAAGCCGCGAAGCGGTTTTTCAACCCTGGTATATAAAAAATAGTGTCTGTGTGTGTGCATTTGCATGCAACTTCCGTGAGGTTGTCTCTCACCTACAGCCTCAGGGGAAGGTTTTTAGGGTACGTATGATACGTCGTTAGGTGCGTAATGGTGCAGAGATGAGTGCACACATATCAAAGTTTTGAAAAATTGCTGTTTTCGCAATTAAAATTGGGTTTTTGTAAAGATATCGGAAAATCTCTTTGTTAGGAGGCAATTTGCATGCACCGGAAGTGGGGAAAGCTTATATAAGGGGGTAGAGGGGTCCTTTTCATTTTTTGCAATCAAGTTCGGGAAGAAATATGTGTGCGTTAGACGGGGCCAGGGTTGAAAAGCCGCGAAGCGGTTTTTCAACCCTGGTATCTAGCTAAAACAAAAAAACCAACCGTCAACGATGGCTTCGAAATCGAAGGCCCAGCTTCATCCTTGAAGGCGAGCGCCCAAGCTGCAATCTAAATGTCCGAAATTACAATTCTACTGCTGAAAACCCACATCTTCAGTTGTCTGGGGCGGTCTCGGTATTTTTGCCGGAACTTCCTCACCAAGACTCGCGGCGCTCGGGCTTTGACGCTAAAAAATAATTTCCAAAAATTTCGGGATGAGCAACCCCAGAAATCCAATGATTCCCCTCGAAACTAATGCCCATATGGCGAGCAAGGACGATGAAGAGCTGCTCAATCTCCTGGAATTCAAAATGGAGGTAGATGCTAGCCAACTTCAACAAACCGAGGACGCAACGGAATCCGGGCTAAAGGAGTATCGACAATCACTGGCCAGTTGGAAGGTCTTTTCTTTTGGTACAATGGCGAGCAGGGTCTTCCAAATCATGTCAGCTGAATTGTAGATTTTTTAATACTTTGTCCTAACTAACACAATGGGTGTGAGAAGCAACGCGGTAAAGGGAGGAATCGACAATTCGAAAGTCCGCCCTCCATTTCTTTGATGAGAAGGAAACCGTTCTTTCCGTATCCAACTGAAAATGGACTTTACAGAAGAAGTGTTACAAACTTCGTGTTCTCCCTTCGCGTGGCGAGCCAGAAGCCGGTAAAGGATCCAAAGAATTGATAGCCTGAAATGAACATTGCAGAAATAAATCCAGTCCACCTCATCGCAAATTGCCACCAAGCATATTTTCTTGGTGCCGGAATATAATTGTAGATTATCCATGGGATCGAGGAGCAAATAATAGCCCGGCTCCTAAAAAATCAAGTCGATATGTTACTTTTCCGAGTTGCTTACAGATAATTGAACAACATCCAGACATGGGATCACTTCAACGGGGACGCGTTCGGCGTCATTTTCCACACTCAAATCGTATACTCGAAATTCCTTATGGTCAGCATTGGCGCTCGGGACAACCATTCCCACGAATTCCCGTCTCGCCACATCCGAAAAGCGCAACACCTAGTAAAAAACTAAAGATAAGGTTTGACTGGAAACCTTGCTCGTCTTCCCGGCCGACTTATTCTTTGGGGATTCGACGAAAATTTGCCGCAATGAGATTTCGACACACTAAATGGAGATAAAACGCGTCAATTTTTTACAAACGCATTCATCCCAGGCTGGAGGTTCGATCGCCGTCGTATCAAAATCGGAGACGGTGCTAAGCCACGATGACCATTTCTCGGAGCCCATAGACACGTTGCGATCACGAAGTGGGTCCGCTACATTGTAGGAACTGTTGGCGCTAAAAATACAAAGCTATAATCGAATGTGTCACAAATCCCTACGGAGAGCACGTAGCCATCTTTGGGGTGGGTCGGTTCGAATGAAGAACGTTTAGCAATCCGACACCCGTTCGAGCCAGCCTTTCCATGGCCGGTGTTTTATAGCCAATCGCCGGCGAACAATCTAAAAATCGTTGTTTTCGGAAAATTCCAATTGCCCTACGACTCAGACGGTTTGGTGTAAATGAGAATCGCTTCGAATGGAGCGCCATTGGCATCCTTCGTTCTGCCAGGATTTCCATGGATTTATTTGAGGCGTCGAAGGGGACAATCTAACCAATTATACGTCACAGAGAAGAATATAGGTTACCGTGAAGAAGGAATGGAGACCGGTGTCTTCATCAAATGATACAAGATGATCTGAGCTTGTCCCAGCTACGTGCATTCGCTCCTGTGGGAAGGCGTGGTAACACTCGGTTGGAAACCCTCAAAAAATGAAATATTGGGGAATTATAAGAGATCGGAATATTTTAATCTCACTGAATTACATCTGACCGTCTATCAACTCACCGAAAAATTACCAAAAGAAAACTTTCAGTAATTTTCCGCTGATTTGAAAATTCGGTCTTTTCCGTTGATTTGAACTTCGATGCGCTGATAGGCGCACCAGATGTAACTCCGTCAGATTGCAACAAATCGGAGGAATTAAACCTTTTTTGCTCATCACCACCGCAGAGATCTCGCCGTAGGGAGCACACAATGAGAACAAAATCGGCTCCGACCCATCCAAATTCTCGTCAGAATCGGGTTTCCGTTCCAGGAGCAGCCCGAGTGATGAGGGGAACGCCCTCGCCAACTAAACAATCAATAGTAACCTTATTAAAACCAACTTCAAACGGCAAATTCACAAAGTAGACGCTCTCCCGGTCGAAAAGCTCGACTTGAGCTTGTCCGACGGCGCAGATCAGGCCGCGCTTGCTGCTATCGGCGCCGTCACCGTTGAAGAAGCATTGAAAGATCTAGAAAATTTACAGGGAACTTCTAAATTTACTTGTAGCGCCTCGAAAGATAGCGTGTGTTCTGCTACAGGCGATCCATCGGGCAGGGATAAAACAATCATTCGCCCGCATCCCCAGAGGGCATGTTGTTGCCCCTCGAACTGGATCAGCTCCACCGACGCATTTTTCCTATGTGACTAAAAACACAGTTTTTAAAAGTTAACTTTTGAAAGTTTAAAAACTATAAATAAAGCCTCTTTTGGCGCACCTGTTCTGCACTCATAATTGTTGTCGGTTTGGCGATGGGACATGAAGACTTGATAGGTATCATACTTCCCTCATTCATAGAAGTTGTCCCAAAAAAGGATCTTTTGAGAAATTTTTCGAAATGGAGAAATTTACTCCGGAAATATACTCTTGACAGCCGTTAGTCCGTCGTCAATTCTTGTATTTTTCAAACGGAAGCCGATGCTACGCGAGGCTACGCTTCGTTACACACCGTAACCAAATAATTTACGGTCGATTTTTGACTCGGTTCAAAATGGGCGGACCGATGCGCGGCTCTGGGGATTGCGCGGGGCTGCGGGCGGCTCTCGGCCAATGCGCGGCCCGGCCACGGGCAATTGCGCGGGGCTGCCCTTTCAGCCGCGCAATCGGCCGCCGACGGAGAAAGCGCGGGCCGCGCATTTCGTCCAGAGTTCATGAAAGTACAAGAACTAAAACTTAGGAAATTCACTTCATTTTTGTCTAACTTTATAAGCCGTTTACTTATAATGCTATTTGATGCTTCTTCAATCTGGTATGATCAGCGTAACAACTTCTATGTGCTGCGAGGTTAGTTTCCAAATACATTACAGGTCTACAACCTTATGGAAGTTCGGATTGGGCTGAAAAGACCGATAAAAGTGGGTTTTTCTTGTTGTAAATGTACTTTTGTTTTAGTTTTTAGAAATAGAAGCGATCACAAGCCGCAGATGTGGCGGCGGCGCCATTTCCGCAACGATCTACCTTGGCCGCAGCACGATGCGCATTTCAGGTTAGTTTTTTATCTATTTTTGCTTCCGTAACATGCGTTTTCTGGAAACGCTGCCGCGTTTAGGATTGGTCTTTTTAGGATTGATGATCCTGGGCAAGGGCGAGCTGCAAATTTCGACCGCCTGGCGCTGGCCGGTGACACAGCTAGAAAGCGCCGTAAGCTGTTTGAAATTATCGGGTTTCTTTGTGAATTCAGGAATTATCGATGCTTCTATGGCCCGGGCCTGCGACGGATCGACAGGATATTGGTTTGTTTTCCTTTTATTTGGCTTGGCGATCAAAATTGCCATAGTTGTGGGAATTTAGGGTATAAAAATGTCGCGTTTGCCTTGTTCTTTTAGCGATATTGTATTATTAAAGCTTATTTTAGATACGCCGCACGAAAACGCGCCAACGTGCCGAAAACGCCAAGTGATCTCGTCCAGTCAGAGGTATTTAGTTCTTGGAAATGACCTGTTTGTTTAGGGGAAGACGCCGCATCTACCAGGAAGTCGCCGGTGAGTAATTTTTCGCGGGGTCTTTTTCGTCGTTTTATGTTTATCTATGCTTAGTTACGTAGTTTTTCAGGGTTCTGCCCGCGAGGAAAGAAGCAGTATTTGTTATTTGCAAAGCCAAACAGTGCTCGCGCCGTATTTGTTATGCGCTGGTGAAAATGTGAAACACTTGGAAGATATCGAGCCGGTCTACCTAGGGATGGCATTGATCATGCGCATACTAGAAGGACAGCACATCCACGAGACCCAGGTAAGTATCCATTGAATTTGAAACGCCGATTAACCCACAGGCGGCCTTCATGTCCCAACTGATCGAATCCTCGGTTCAGCTGGTCTGATTCCAAAAGGCTGATGAAGGTAGTTTCTGCGTGGGTCTTTTGTATTTATAGTAACAAAATCCTATAAAAAATCATAGAGACAAAAGAGAATACACAGATTGCCTTTTCAGGTTCTTTCACTACCGGCACACGTAAAAAGTAAGTCTGAGTCGACAAACGCATGGTATGCCGACATACCATCGTGTAAAAAAGTGCCGTTTCAACTAAAATAAAAATAAAAAGCGCTATCGGAATTCAGGAAATGGATCTACGTCAACATGCGAGCATCCTCACCGAACAACTCTACTCGCGGGACAAGATGATCATAATTTTCTGTGTTTTAATGTGATTTTTATAATGGATTCTCCTGGTATAAACTAAATCAGTAGATGGCACACTCATACGCATGTCCCAAGTCATAAAGCCTGCTTAAAAGCAGGTTTACTGTGATTTTAACAATGTAAAGGAGGAAAAGCCGACCTACGGCCTTTTTTCGCGAGAGCCGCCCCCAGACCCGCGCAATTCTGAGAGCCGCGCAACGGCCCGCCCTTGCAAATTGCGCGGGCCTGAACGCGGGCACGTCTCCAGGCCCGCGCATTCCCCCGCACAACGGCCCGCGCATTTTGAACCGAGGAGTTTCCAGTTATTGCGGAAACCGTTTTTTTTTATTTTGAGAACCTTGGCAAATTCGCATAGATGAAAGCCTTTTCTTACGTAGTTTCCAGCTCTTTCCCCGCCTAGAATCAGGGCGGGTTTGTAAATAACGCCCGGAAAATGTTAGCCCTGTTATCTTCCCGAGTATTCTCCAACGATACCTTGCTGCCGTTTCTAGGGCCCTTGTCAGGCCTTACATATCCGTATGCATCACCTAGCTGATTTTGACGGTGACACTAAATAGTTTGCGCTTCTTGCGCTCGCAAACTGATCTCCGGGGTAACCCTGACGTAATCTATGCTTCGACACCGACACCCTCTGCTTGGATATTACCGCTTTCCCGCTTTCTGATTTCACTTTCGCTTTTGCTTTGCTTATTTTTAGTAACTCGTAACATACATTTTATTTTGCTATATTTTATTTCAATTATATATTTTGTTTTTAGATGCCTCTCCCTCGGCGGCGCCGAGACAGCAGAACGTTCGCAGAGTTGAAGAAGGATGTGGGCATCAGCCCGAAAGCAAAGAAACCTGTCGAAGAACCGTGGGATCACATAATCTAACTAATTTTGTTTTACCAGATGGTTACAGTCGCTTCGCGACTGTAACCATCTGGCCTTCGGGCTACCCTACATGTCCCACTCCACCACATTTTCTCACCTCCATCAATACCCCCGATAGCCGAAACCCCGTTCAAGAACTACCTAAATACCTTCCTGATGGCTTCAGATACCCCCCCATGGCTGAAATCCCCTTCAAAAACTACCTAAATACAAAATAACGACCGACCGGATGGAATGAGAGAAAAAAAGAAATGAAATCCCCCGTGAAAATTTTCATCCACGAAACGCGCGCCACCTGGCTCACTATGTCCAAAATCACCCCAACCTCCGTCCCCCACCCCTTTTACTAAGGAAAAAACTTTCATAAGTAATTTTAATAATTTAAACTAAAACTTTTTCATGATTTTTTTATCAGTTTGGGGGTTTCTGACCACGCTCTATCCGAATCCGAAGAGAGCTAAGCTCTAGCTCCTTTCCCCTTCGAGTTGAATTCGGCTTCACACAGACAGACGGAGACCACAACAAAATTATTATAGTTGATTTAGTGCCCCCGATGAAGGTCCGGATTGGCTCCCGAGCACGACCGCATGCGGCCTGGTTAGCTATAGCAGCTTAAAAAACCTTTCTTTTAGATCCTTCTCGGATTTCGCTTCTGCTCTGCTGCCTTGAACAATGTCACGGACTGTGATGAGGTAATTATATAACGTTTTTAAAAATCCTTTAGACTTACAACTACTGGGAAGTGCTTCATGTCTTCCTATATGGCCGCGGCTTCCAAACATGGGAATACTCGCCTGTCTACGCTCTTCGGTAATAAAGACACTTAGCTTTCAACAAAACTTAGGTCTTTTTTTCTACATCTTCATCCATTTTGCCAAGGCTGCGCCACTGAGCTGGATTTTTTCGGACAAGCGGTTCATCTTTTACGGGATGCGGTATTTTAGTCTCGACACCTATAATTCTCGTTTTAGGCAAATTTTCTCCATTTTCACGGCGACTGGTGAATTTTGCCTGTACCGATCGATCTGCGCAAGATTCTCGAGAACTACCGGCACCTTCTTTCTACTGTTCAGCGCCATCGCGTCCGGAATGTTCATCTCAAGGTCGCAATCTTGAATCTTCCTTTAATTCATTTTTTAGTACGGCATTTCTGCCCTCCACGTTCGCGATGGTTTTGAACATGTTTGCAATGTCGGCTTACCTCGATGAAAATTTGTGAGTTTTTATTTATCTGTCTAGCTATTTGCAGGTTCTTCGCCGTTTTGTCTACATGTATCTCCACATTTGTCGGATGGCCATTTGCGGCAGTTCTGGGAGCGCCAATTGTGATCGGTTAGTAGTGTGCCGAGTTTAAGCATAATTATTAGATATGCTTTTCCTGCGCAAGAACAAGCAGAGGATTGCTTTCTTCGTGTACGCCATTTTCGCTGCCCTGCTTGTTGGCGTTCCGATGTACTACTATGACAGCCACCATTACGGGAAATCCATCTTTGTGCGTTTCTTGTTTTCTAAGTGACTTTGATCTTTCAGGCGCCGCTGAACATCGTACTTTACAATGTCATATCCGGACACGGGCCCGAGCTTTACGGAGTTGAGCCGATGTCTTATTACGTAAAGGTATGCTTGCCTTACTCCAAGACGTCGCGCTTTAGAACCTGTTTCTCAATTGGAACTTCATCGTACCGATGGCATTTTGTGGTCTACCGTTGGTGTGGCTGAATAGGGCACAGGAGCGTATGTACTTCTTTGGCTGCCGAAACTTATTTTTAGGGGCGTTAGTCAAATACTACTTGATTCTCGGAACCTTCTTCGCTTGGATTGCCATCTTTTTCTTGACCCCACACAAGGTAGCTTTCGAAAATATTACTATGATTTGACTTTTAGGAAGAACGGTTCCTCTTCCCGATTTACCCGATGATTGCCTATTTGGGAGCTACTTTCGCCTCGGCTGCCACAAGGTATCTCGTATTGCCTTTAACAAAAACGTTCTTTATAGTTTGGTTTCGAAATTATCGAGTGGAAAGATCTTGAGCAAGGCGCAATTCTATGCAATTATGATCCTGTTTGCAACTCTGTCCGTCTCACGTACACTCGCCATCTTCAGGTTTTTACTCTTGTTTGCCAAAAAACTTTTGTTTAGAAACTATTCGGGCAGCATCCAGATCTACCACTCGATGAACGATTATTTCATCGCGGCACGAGGCAAATTTGACTATTGTGGCAACGACGTTTGTTTTAACTTTGCTTTCTTAGGTGTTTTTCTGCTTTAGGTACCAATTCGCGTCTGTGTGGGAAAGGAATGGTACCGATTCCCATCTTCATTCTTTTTGCCCGAGGCAGCGTCTGACGGCAATGGATGCACGCGTAAGGTGGAATTGGGGTAAGCATTCAGAGTGGCTTTCCAAACGTCTTTAGATACCTGAAAAGCTCTTTCCGCGGGATTTTGCCCCGACCCTGGACTCCTGGAAAAACGCTGCGCGACATGACGACGGCCATTCCTGACGGCATGAACGATGAGAATCGGGAAGAAACAGACCGGTATTTTTTTTTCTATGATCAGAAAAGCTCGTTCAGCTACGTTCCACTGTCCACTTGTCATTACTTGATCGACTTGGACAGAGAAGATGCGACCGAGGAGGAGCCAAATTTCCGAAAATCGGTAAAGATTTAGGCCGGAAATTTGTATTACGGTTTTCAGAAACAATTCGTCGCTCTTCATTCCAATAAATTCCTTCACCCGAACTCGCCGCCGTCCATCTACCGCTCATTCTACGTCCCCCAATTGAGCGAGCATCATTGTAAAACCGGTAAGGAAGCCGTTGTGTTCTCCAATTCTTTCGTTTAGCCAGCTACACCCTCTACAAAAGCCGACAGCTCCAATAGATTTAATGTGTTATTCGATTATGGGTCAACAATTGTGATATTCTAATTTTGTGTGCCTTCATGTGTGACAATTTATACCGGTTGTGTCAGATTTGCAGTAAAGGAAACATGCTATCGTTGCTTAAAGGTTTATTTGCCAAACATGGTTTGGATATAGTTTTCGAGCGTTTTTTCGATCAAGCGTCGAAAATGTAGATGAGGAAGTTGGCTTCCTTATAGATGGGCGCTGCCGACCAGAGAAAAGCCGCGAAGGAGTCTGAAAACGAAAAAGGCCCATTTTTCAATTTAAAGTATCGTGTGGCTGATGAGGCAAGTCGACGGGTAAAAATTTGGCGCCTACATCTTCCATATGCTTGAATGCGGTAGAAACGCCGTGTGGTGCCGGCTTCATCGATCTGAAAATCCACTTTTGCTATCCTTATTTTCAGTAGCGGATTCTTGAAAGCATCACGGTGTAATTTACTTTTATAGTACCCACCGATAGTCGCTCCAGTAGCCATGTCTTTAGGGTTTCCGCATCAGCTTCCAACTCTACTAACAATTCCATACGACCTTCATGTACACGCTGGAGTCGCTGCTCGAATTGGGCCTAGACTCGAATGCAGGTGTTTATACATAAATCATGACAGTATCCTGCCCGTCAAATTTTACCGTAAAAGCCGCTAAGTCGAAGTCTTGCGCATCATTTTTCCCCGAGATCCGCAACTTTCGCCCACGCAATGGTTTCCGGATTGGACAAAAGGCGACCTGAAATGTTAGACGGTTTTCGAAGCGGAAATGCAACGTATAAAAAAGCGCTTACATCTGCCAGATTGGCGACAGCTGCGATGCTGAAGTCGTCGATATCCGGGAAACCGATTTCCGGCAGTTTCCCCAATGGTTGAGCTTGATACCAATTCGCCCACACCTCTTCGCACACACCGCAGTTCCACGGCGCCGCGTTGCCGTAGCGCTATAGAAAAGAGTTTTATAGATATAGGTTAATACGATAAAGCTCTTTGTGGGGAATATTCCTAGCTTACCTTTGTACATTGAACGCAACGGAGCTGATCATAACGCGGCCCCTAAATACAGCTTGGTAAAAGCCAGTAAAAAGTTGGTTTGTTGGCGGATTTTCGGGAAACGGCTAAGCGCTTGAAACGAGAAACCTCGACATCGATAGCTACGTTGCGCTCCAAAATTCCACACTTATCTAGTATTAACCGATCCCTTTAAATCCACGACTTTTTGAAGAATATCTACCTTGACGGGGAGATCAGCAACAACATCGAATTGCTCATGCTAAAGCATGGATATAAAATAAATACTGCAGCCACTACATACCGGCCTAAGCATTAACTTCGCCGCTTCACCTCGATAATTGGTTAAGATCTTCCGAAAAAGGTCGAAATTCGAGATGTTCTTTCCGAATGCTAGCGAAACTTTTGCGGCGTTCTCACACCACCGGAAAAACGGGCTTACCTGAAAGGAGTGCCTTTACGCGGGAAATGCTGGAAAAACCCACGTCCAACATCAAACCCAAATAATCAATTTCTGGTTCGCCTGGCAGCTGTGGATCCGGACATAACTGAAGGTTCGTATGGATTTGCACAAGCCAAAAACATACCTGGTCAAATCGGTAGTCAAACCCGAACGCAAAATAATCGCCAACCGTCACGCGGGAGTTTGAGACCAATTTCATGAACATGTCGGCGGTGCAGTAAAAGTCACTGGAAATTGAATAAAAAAGCTACAGGCTTTCTAGGAAGCCAGCCCTTGAAAGCCCTGTTCTTTCGCATTATCGAGGGGACCAACTTTTCTTCTTAGGATATAATTTTGCAAATAGAAATAGTGGAAGTCTTTCTGAATAGTTTTTACGATTCCTAAACGTGAAGTTATACAAAATTTTATTAAACAATGTCAAAAAAATCTTTTTTCGATCAAAAATCGCCAAGTTTTGAACAAAATTTAGCTTTTTTAACCTTTTGCATAGTTTTTCTATCTGAAATAACGTTATTTCTTACTTCAAAAGCTATTAAAGCACTTGCTATTAAGTTACACACATTTTTAGACTTCACAAAAAAAGTTCGATGCCGACCCCCCCCACCCCCGATAATACGAAAGAACCCGTGGCACATAAGTCAGCTAAAGGCCCAATCCCATGCTTGACGATAATTTTTAGAGCCATGATCTTTTCTAAAGTTTCCGTTACCGGTCTAGAATCGGCCGCCGGTGTAGAGCCGGATCCTCGCCACTAGGGCGCCTCAGCTCGAACCGGTCCGTCAAACTGGCCATGCTCCACTCCCATCCATCCAAATCAATGGCGATGATACCCCCCGCGTGGACCCACAGCTGTAAAGATTAAAAATTTTCATTTAAAGTGGTTTTAAATCACGTTTCCTGTCGAAAAGTACCTTACAAAATCTATACCTTCTCATCATCGGTATCCACGAACCCGGGTTTCGGTGTACAGCCGCCGCCAACCACCCTATGCAATTTCCGCGGAAATAGGCCTCGCTTGTTTATGAAGTTTCTGAATTTATCTTTATCATTTTGGATGGAGGTTCGAAGAATCGGTATTGTTCTATTTGAGGGGGGGGGGGGCTTTGACACATGCTACCCCTTTTGCTATAATTTTTCACGCTGCCTCGAATGAATTTTGCAAAATAAAAGCGTAATTTTCCCGAAACAAAATGCCCGCAGCAAAGCTTCCCCCTCGGAAATAGAAAAATGCCGAAAACCTTAAAATCTTACCTGATCGGCTTGTTAACGCGCTGCAAGCTGAGCAAATCGCAGCAGCCCATCTGATCCACAACCGCCGCAAGGAGTTTATTTGGAAGATGGCTAACGGGAAACATCGGTGCGTTATTACTAAAAGTGTAACGTATGAATCTAGAGCAAGAAAGGCCGATCTAGGCTGTCAAAATAGCTGAAGAACTCAAATTCTGCAACTGAAAATTATGCCGAAGGCGCAGATGTCCGTGCGTCGTTTTTTGGGTCAACCCGTAATTAGTGCAACTTTGTGTCCTTTGGTGTGTGTAAAACTTTATACCGGTTGCGCCAGGTTTGTAATAAAGGATACATGCGATTTGTTTTAATCAGTCGTTCGTTCGGTTTGTCGGGGGTCGGAGGTGGTGGCGAAGTGAAGGAAGGCTAGAAGAAGTAGGCCGAGTTGGTGGCGGCTTGGCGGTCTAGACAATCGTCATTTTTGGTGTTTAGCTTTTATGTTTTTACCGCGAGGGATGAGCGATTGGGAAAGGGCAGGGATGGTGCCAAAGGAAGAGTAGTTCTGCATCGATTGGCCCATGTCCGGGACACTAGAATTTAATTGATTGTGATTGGTTGGCTGTTTTTCCAACTTCATCCCAGCGCAGAAGACCGACTGGTCGGGGCCGTATCCGTTGTTGTTCATCCCCTGACGGCTAGTGTTGAGAGACTGGTCGAACGGGCGGTAGGAGGCTAAAACCGAACGTTTTGTATAAATTTAGAAATATCTTGTAACTTGATTGTTTTTGTTTGAGCAAGTGTTTTAAAAGTTTTTAGTAACAAAAATAACTAGCGTTTAGTAGTATCGGCCCTTTTGGTCGAAAAATCGTTATTTTTGAGCGTTGTTAATAAAACCTTGTAAAGTTTTCACGCTTAAGAATAGTAAAAACCATTTAGAAACACTTCCACTATTCTTATTTAAAAATTAGATCCTAATAAAAACAGCACTAGGCTAATAATAAGCCAAAAAAAGAATAATTGCTTTTGGTCCACCAATGATATTGTCGAATCTATACCATCAGAAGGGGGTCCGTACGGCCCACGCGAATTCTCCAGGGCTGTGTTGTACGTGATCGTGCTGCGAGCCGGCGCCGTGACGGCCACCTGACAATAAAAATTTAACAGATTGACCCTAAAACCTACCCTTCGGCCAAACGGATCTCCGAGGCGGTCGGTCATCTCGCGCAGCTCCTCGATGAAAGACGGCGACCCATAGGGCGAGGCAAACATCGAGTTGCACAGCGATTTCCTAGACAAAACGCTGCGCAGATTAACGTCATCAACGTACTCGTCGGCGTCGTCATTGACGTTCACACTCGAAGAGGAGACGAGGCATTCGGCTGTTGGCAACGGAGCGCCCTTGGCCACATAGACGGCCCCGTTCCGATCCCGGCCAACGTGCACATTCGCGCCCTTCTTTTGAATAGCCTAAAAAATAAAAACGAAATTAAAGGCTGCACCTGGCGAAGATCCTCACGAAAGACTCCATTCGTCTTATCTCCAAACGAGGAGAATCCAGCATTTTGGCAGATAGTTTCCTGGCGATTATCCAAATCGGCGCGCATCCTAGAAAGCAAAATAAATTGGCAAGGAAAAAGGAAAAAAACTAGCAATCGTAGAAACACCTACCAAGTGAGACCGATGTTGATCGCCTTCAACTTCTCGGCGGTGGTGAAGTGACGGGCTGAGATGAGGTGCTTGACGAAGATGGCCGGCAACGTGGAGATGTCCTAAAAGTGTTCGGATTTTTTTATAGCTTAGAACCTACATTGGCGCTGAGGACACGGTCGTGGCTAAGAAAGGCGCCAAGGATTGTGCTGATCGACTCCTGCTTGACGCCGATCGTCTCCCCCTTGAAGAGGTCGTTGATCAGACGGACACAATTCTGCGAGCTATCGCGGCATTCGTCTCTAGATTTTGCCTTTAAAATGTGATGCAATCCCTACAAAATACGATTCTCCAACTTCTCGTGCAAATCGTCAAGTTGCAGGAATTTGGCGAGATTCATCAGCGAGGCCAACTTCGGTGCCCGGATCCGAGCTTCGCCCGTGTACAGGAAGTCGAGAATGGGCGTCACCTCGTGGATGTCGTTGTCGGGCAGGGTGACGACCAGCGGCGGTCCACTTTCGTTCAGCATCTGAATGTGAGAGAATATAGCTTTTTGAGACCTAACCAGACCTCGGCGAGCTTCTTGCTGTGGGCGACGAGGAGCACGGAATGCGCGTGCTCCACCCCACCTTCGCACGTCTCCAGCCGCACATCGCAGAGCCTGAAAGGAGCATTATAAAGATATATGAAATCAAAAAGGCACAAAAAAGGGTAATAAAATTTGATACCTGTGATCAAGGTTGGCGCGCTGGCTGGCCAAAAAGCGGCCGACGGCCGAGATGTGGCCGTCCGCGTCGCCGACGCGCAGGTGAAGCTCACGACTAAAAAGCTTTGAAAGAAACAAATAAGGTGCAAATGGGCTAGTTTTGCGTGAATTTTACAATTTTAGACTACAAAAACACCTAGACTACACACCACAAAAGTCTACGCCGGCTTTTCCGCGTTTTGATGACTTTTGACTCGTTTTAGCCTTTAGCCTCAAGTTAACTTTTGTAGTAAGAAAGTTAAGCCCAGCTTAATTAGCTACAAGTTTAAAAACATGAAAGCTAAATGTAATAGCAAACAATTTAAATACCTTAGCAGCGATTCAGGAACAATATTGCGCTGACCATCGACGGCCATCTTGGAAGAGGGTAGGACAGTAGAAATGCAGAATACTTTCCTTTATTTGTTTCCGTTTCGTGTTCAGTTCGCCGGTGGCAGATTCAAAGTTAAAAACTGATGCAAATCAAGTTTTTAGGCCCTGTATTTTCCGAATCACTGACAAATCGATGGCTGGATGGTTTGTCTTCAGGTGGCTGCCTCAAAGGTTTGTATTTTCAAGCTTTTTCGCGCGAGTTTCGTAACCATTTTTCGTTATAATTCTTCTTTATATACATAGTTGTTTGTAATGTTCCAATTGACCCGAAAAATTAGCGTTTTCGAAAACAGTTCGTTTTATAGCTTTTTCAAGGTTCCTGAAACTTCTACATCGTTTTCTATATGTTGATAAAAACACAATTAAAAGATTTTCTACAAGTTCAGCTTTCACGGTTTTTCGTGAATTTAAAAAAACCTGCAGTTTTTAGCGATTGCGCAAATGGCTGGCCCGACTGCTGCCCCTCGCCCATATCATCTGCGGTCTCTGTTGGTTGGCTGTGATTCACACCCATATCTACGAGATCATTTCTTCAATAAGGTTTGTTTAATAAAGACAATTAATGCCTATTTTTAGAGACTCGTCCATCCTGCTGCTCCTCTCCACCAATCTGCTCTTCCCGATCCGTGCCGCATTCCTGCTCATCTTTGCCCTGGTCAGCATTAGATTTTAAAAACATTTTTTAGGTCTTGTTCTTCTACCACATCGTCTTCGCCGTCGAGCTGTTCCTCACCCGCTTTGAGCGCTTTTTCAAGTCGGCGCAGCGGTTGAGTGGTGGGCTAATCGTTACTTTTGATTTTTTATTTTTTTTTTATTTAGAGCGTTGTCTCGGGATGTACGCAATGATGTTTCTGATCATCTGCGTCCTTCATTTGTCGCTGCTCAACTGGACTCGACTCGAACAAGAGTTCCAGGACGGCTTCAAGGAGGTCAGATTTTAAAAAAATCCGCGCTGATTTCGCCTTTCTAGGGTTTCCGGCAGTACAACAGATCTGATATTGCGATGGTGGCGCTGAACCAGATGCAGGTAGTAATTCTAGAGCGTTTGACGGCTTGTTTTTTTGCTTTAGGCAAATCTGGGGTGTTGCGGCTACACCGGACTTCACGACTACTACCAGCCGTTCCGCATCAGCGACGAATTGTCAAAGTGGGCCGGAAATCCGGAAGTTTTATGCTTTTTTCAGCTTTAAATTCTCGTTGTGCGAGACGGGCTCGTGTTTTCCGGTTTCTTGCTGCCGTACCGCACAATGTCAAAGGGTAGGTTGGTTTGATGGTAGTAAGCCGTTAGCGCGTTTTACGGAGTGTTCCCGCTAATAGTCATTTATCGTTTTGATTAATAAAACTTTTCCAGCTCCTTGACCCGAAGCACGTGAGCAAATTTCTGCACGAGACGCTTCATCAAAAGGGTTGCCGTGAAGCCTTCTTCGAGAATCGCGTTTCCGCCATCCCCGGAGTCTTCTTTATTCTGGTACCCCTGGTGTTGCAGGTGGGAAAACGCGACGGTACTGGGCCATTAGCGGGGGAGGGGCAATCTAGTCTGTATATGTTGATACTATTTTTGATTAACACAGTCCCAAAAATTCTAAAAATGTGAAATTTTTACCCAAAATCAAAGATTGTCGAAAATTTAGACGATTTTTGTCAACTTTCTATACTTTGAAGGGTTTTATAAAGCTTTTTAACCATTTAAAAAAGTAAAAAGCCAGATAAACAGTGTTTTTCTTTACTCTCCTGCATCCCCCCGCTAATAGTTCAGTGCCTAAAAACGCCGATCCATCAAGAAAACAAAAAAGTTTAGGTTTTGACGGCGCCATTTGTCAGCCTCCTCTACACGTCTAATGGTAAGTAATGGAAACAGGACAAGCCCATCCGGTCTCTTTTCAGCCTTACTCGATGCGAAAGGCCTGGATGCTGACGACCCGGTGGAGGGCTACATGTTCCCCTTCTTATGGCCAACGCTGCACGTCGTCATAAAAGTATTAATTGACCATTGGAAAGTAATAACGACGGAGAATCGCTAGGAGATGCGCCGCGAGGCTGTTGATGACCAGCTCGTCGAGGAGAGCTCCAAATTAGGTCCCAATTTTTTTAGCTTGGTTTATGATTCGAAAAAGGAGCATGAATATGGAAAAAGCTTAGAGTTCGAACGGGCCGCGAAATGGGAGGAGCTCTACCGTCGTCTACTCGCTCCAGCAGCTGAGAAGCAGCAAACCGCCTAGAATTTTGGAATATTTTATGTACTTGAAGCTATTCGTGTGATTTGTGAAATTATGACTATCATGTGCATTTCATTCATGAACATTTCTGGATTTAATAAAGTTAATTATCGTACAGAATTAGCAGGTTTTTCTAAATAAATATGGGTACTTTCGCAGTATCGGGGGAGGGACTTTTCCTTGGGACCAAATTTCAAATTTTTTTATATAGAGAAAGTATTTGTGGACTGTTCTTTGTATTCGTAGGTGTAAAAACTGAAAAACTTTCATTAAAATATACAAAAATATAAATTTTCAACGAAATTTTGAAAATGTTAAAAAGTTTCTAAGTTTTCTTTGACAGTTTTCCGCTTGAAATATAGTTCATTTTTACTCACAGCATGACTGAAATGCTTGTTTTATATTTTGGATAAGTATTGGGGTTTCTAGCAAAAAGCGCCCCCCGATAATGCAAAAGATCCTAAATTGAGTTATTTATACACGAAACTCGAGTTTTTTCGATAATAATCACTAATTTAGCTCACCCCCAACCCTACACTTTGACAGGAAACAAGGGCCACCCGGCCGGAAATCGGTGATTAGAGCAGCGCTACCCCCCGGTGTCCGCCAAGGCTATTTAGCGGCCAATTCAGCCCCCCGAGGAGCCCGAGTCTCAGTCATTGAGCACGAATTCTTGTGCCATGGAAACGGACATGCGCAACTGATCGACGACGACCAATTCCAGCTGCCCCCGGCTTCATCCATTACGGGCCAACTGGAAATTAGCGCCAAAACGCGCGCGCGAGGGTGGGCCCGGGGGCGTTATTTAAAATGCACGGGATTTGGGGGCCCAATTGGCCCAGAGGTGCCAGGGTCTATTGGTGCCATGGCACCGCGCGAAGCGCGCGAGGTGATAGAGTTTTTCTGGACGCGGTGAGATTTTGTTTTTGCTTGGAAAGCAGCTGCCATGGGATTTTTTCCGGATTTTCTTGTTTGGGACTTACCTCGCACCCTGTAACGATTTTCAAAGCTCAGTTATTATGAGGGTTTTCATACAATATTAAAAAGGCATTTTGATCTTTGTAAATTGAAAAAACAAAGGGAGAATTAATTCGGGCAAATGCAACGTTCGCACGGAAAACAACTGCGCAGGGTAGCACCGGGTAATAGCTAGAGTAACAAACAGTACGCGGAGCTCCATTGCACGCATTTTATGCGATTTGGTGTTTTTTCTCTTTAACTCTTGGCCGAGCGGGTTTCTACCGTTTTTCAATAGGTTTTCGACGGTTTGCGGTGGCGGTAAAGGAAAAGCTATCTAGACTATACCTAACTAGGAAGTTTTCGGTGTTTTATGGTGTAATTTCGTGGATTTGTAGCTTTTCATTAGCTAAAAATCATAAAAAGGGTGTGTCACGAGGCCCCCCCCCATTAACAATCCAGAATTTGTAAATTTTCAACCCCAAAATCGTTCGTTTTGCAGTTGAAATTGTCGAACGGCTTCTTCCACTATACGAACCCCCTTCTGAAACATGTCCCGCCCATTAATCCGCGCCCAAAAATTCATTAACCACCCCAGAAATTTGGCCTCCATAGACAAAAAAACCCCGAGCCTAATCTACAAAATCTGAAGGCCCGCTGCCCCCGTTGGCCCTCCACTTAATCTCTATACATGGGTTTGTTTTGCCCCAACCCTCTCAATATCCACGGCACCCATTCCTCTTTCCCTTTTTTCGTTTTGAAGAATGACTATAGGGGGGCCATCTACTTCTCTTCTCTGGCTTCTACTGCTCTTTTTGGTTCTTTGGGCGGATTATGCCCCCCTCCAGGCCACCACCACAGACACATCACATCTCCCCACATCCCCGCTACTCTTCTGGAGCTCCACCTCATTTCGGCGGCCCTCCTGACTTTAGGGCTACTTTCTTTCGGGTGGATACTTTATAGTGGCGCCGTGTCTTTTCTGACTACATTTTCTTGAATAGCTACTCGTGCTTTGAAACGGTTTTTTTATCGGTGCTTTTACACGACCGGGGGGGAAAGGCTTTTTCCTTACCTGCGCGTTTTTCTAAACAAATCCTGGGAACGATTTTGACGCTATTTTCCAATATCCTACTATATATAAAAAAATAGTGTTTGTGTGTGTGTGTGTGTATATTTGCATGCACTTCCGTTTGGATGTTCCGCACCTAGAGCCTCAGGGAAGCATTTTTTCGGTAGGGAAGAAACGTCATAGGGTAAAGAAGGGGCTGGAATCGACTGCACACACATAAAAATTTTGAAAATGTGCGGCTTTCGCTATTAAAAATAGGTTTTTGTAAAACCCTGTTTGTTAGGGGAAATTAGCATGCTCCGGAAGTAGGAAGAGCCTATATAAAGGGACAGAGGAGCCGTTTTTCACTTTTTTCTTGCTAGAATTCAGGAAGAAACATGCAAATTAAGGACTTTCACAGGTCCTGGACGGGGCCAGGGTTGAAAAGCCGCGAAGCGGTTTTTCAACCCTGGTTTGTTCAATGTAAAAACTTGAAAAAGAGAAAAATGGCGATTTTTCGGTCAGAACAGTCGATTTTTGCGCGTAAATGGCAAGTTTTTAAGTGCTTAGAATTTTTCTAAATAATTGCTAGGCTTGAAATATGGCTAAAAGGCCGGCAAATTATCTGCTAAGCCATTACTTTTTACGTATCTGGGCTTCTAGAGAAAAATCCCCCCCCCCCCGATAACGCAAAAGAGCCTTCTCTCTTGTCTTTCTTAAAATTGTTGGTTTCAAAAATATACCTATTTTGCTGTTTTTATCGTTTTAAATTTTTCAGGGGTTCACCGATGAAGCCATCTTCCAAACCTCGATGAAGCGGCTTCTCATCCTAATTTCACTTTTGCTGGGTAAGTCCCTATCGAAGCCTCTACTCCAATTTTTCAGCCGACAGCCTGGCAAACGTTTCCGGAAACGGAGCCGCATGGGATCTGCCTTGTGATGATTACCACGAGGTTATTTCTTAATCCTAAAAACTATCCAAAACCTAGATCTCACGTTCCTCCCTCGAGCAGCCCATCCAGTTCAATCAGCTCACCCTGGCTGGTGGCCATCGAAAGGACAAGTTGAGGGTAAGATAAAGATTTAGAAGATATCTGTTGTTTAGCTATATGAGGCAAAAGGTTTATACTACGAGTGGTACGCCTACCGGACTCGAAAAGTTGTCGGCACCGAGTTCGAGGTGGACGAGGTGCTCTCCCTTTTCCAGGACAACAATTGCGCCTCGGTGCCATGGGGTAACTTTTTAAATAATTTTCGCGATTTTTCTCTTATCGGGCTTTCGTTGGGACTGAAAAACAAATTTTACTGTTTTTTTTAGAATTGTTACCTTTTTGAGTATAAAAACATCGTAAACACGTTCAAAATATTGAACTTTTTGGTCGAAAATTCTTTATTAAAAGGCCGTATGAAAAGTAAAGCACCTAATTTTCTATTTATTTAATAGGCGTTCATGTTTTTGATTATCTCAAGTAGAAAAACCAATTATTCTAGGCGAAACAGTCCGCGAGCTGGTCATCCGCCACCATCCGGAGGCCGAACCGAATACGCTGACCTCAGAGGTGTTGTGCTCGTTAGAATATGTAAGGATTATTTGTCATACTAAAAATTTTTGTATAATAGTCTTATTAACGTTTTATAGCATCTCTTTAAGCCCTAGTTTTAGTTATCTTCTCTCTGCAGTGAGCGCATCGGAGCGGCGGCCTGTCGCCTCGTCAACGATACGGATTCGGCGGCTCGACTCCTCGTTGGAGATCCTCTACAGTTGGACAAGTCGGTTTTTTGGGAAAAACTATTTTATTGTTATTAGCATCTTTTTTCTGAGCTAATTTTTGCCTTTCAGGAACCAAAATGAAGCCTCCGTCATGGAATTCTATGAATGGGGCGCGTTGAGGGCGGAAATGGCGTATACCAGCGATACACTCGGGTTGTACGAGGACCAGGACGGCAAATTGGTATATTACTATTTTAAAGCAAGAGCATACTAATTGCCTCAAATTGTGATAGAAAACACGGTACTGGTTCGGCGCCGGGGGGAGCTAACTTTTTCCTTGCTTCCATATTAAGAAAAAAGCTGTTTTAATGACTAAATTAAAGCTAAAATATTGCAAAAAAGTTTAGCGTTTGGAAAATAAAATTTTCAGGCCAAAAAATTGAGAATTGTTAATTCTCTAAAATGCTTTCATGCATTTTGGATCTTTGGCATTATGGTCGCGTGTGACCCATTTTGTCCTATAAGGTCTAGAAATGTCTAGTAATGTAATAGTACGCGTTTTAATGATGTTTTAAGCGGAAAAACATTCAAAGAACACTTGGAAAAATTTAAGGTGAAGTTTACGTCGAAAAATTTCTAAATTTTTTACGTTGGAAATCGTAAACATTCAACAAAAAACTTCCTTTACTTCTATTAGAGAATTGGATCCTTAGAAAAAAATCCCCCCCCCCCGATAAGGCGAAAGTACCCGAAGCGCAGTAGTCAAAACTATGGAAAACACGATAGAAATGACGCTGAAAAATTTGCCATATAGGTAAAGGCTGGATAGCTCCGTCCCCCCCCCCGCTAAAAGACAAGCACCTGTTACGCAGAAAACCACAAAATCTTTCAGGCGATCGTCGACCCGACCGGCCGAGGTTTTCGCCACGTCTGCAAGCGCATCATCCAGCCGATTTCGAACGACTGGGGAAATTGGGAAAAGATGGGGATACCCGGGGAAGAACGCGTATTTCGGTAAGCCCGTCAAAAACAAAATTTGAAGCTCATTGCTTGATTTCCAGCTTCTTCCTCCTGCACGCCATCGGCTTCGTCCATCCAGAACGCGACAGCGAGTTCGAGCGGTTCATCGTCGCCCAGATGGCCGGCAAGAAGGTCGACCGGAAAGTGGTGCAGGCCGGTTACTGCCAACAAATCCTCGAGGGCGCATTTTCTTCCACGATCGGCGGCCCTTCGACGTGTCATACGGTAGGGCGGGTGTGGTTTAGTGACAAGGGGGTGCTTTGGCAATATCAGGGGTGCTTTTTCGTAGTAGCGCGGAAATCCCCTATAACTTCATCGCCAGTATTCTACCTGTTTTTAGTAAAATTTAGCTATATTTCAAGCACACTTCAAAAAAAAAGAAAAATTTAGCAGTAGAAATTTTTGTCGAAAAATCATTTTTGGATAATTTGTAAAGTTTTTACGTTAGAAATAGTAAAAACAGTTTAGAAGCATTTTCGCTATTGAAATTAGCAAAATTGGATCTCAAGAAAACGTTGCCCCTCTCCGCCCCCGATATTGCCAAAGCACCGAAAGGTTATAGGAGCCACTTGACAATGACTTTATGCGGAATCGGAAAGCGAAGATGTTCAAGGAGTCGGCGAAGCGGTTGTTGGGTGGGTGCAAACAGGTTCACTTCTGAAAAAAGACTAGATAAAAACCAGATAAAAAGAGAACAGCTCTATAAAGCAACGTTTAGGCCCGAACAGCTCGGGTTGGGATCTGATCGAGAAGGATCTCGAGGAGATGGAGCTCATTTTTGTGTCGCGAAAAGTTGTGCAGCGACTCCGCTACAGTTCCCCAGCAGATCTTATCGCTGCCAAGAATCGGGTGGCCAATCCGGGCAAGACACTGGTTGTAGATGGAAAGGTGAGAATACAGTGTAAATATGATAGAAAAGCTAAGCTTATAAGATAATTAACTTTTTTCTGATAAATTTGGTTCTGTTCCGTTAGCAAGGGGTTGGCAGAGGGAAACGAAATTTTCCTGTTTCCGTGGGCACCAAATAATGAACTAAAAACAATTTTAAGCGTCTTTTACATGTTTGTAAAAAGATTAAAATTGTCGAAAGATTCTTTCAAAATTACAAGTCGAAAAGGCGAAACGTGCCAAAATCTTTAATTTTCTGAAAAATGGTTATAACTTTTCAGCCGTCGTAAAACTGATGAAAACACCCAAAAAAATAGGGTGTAAAACAATCGTTAAATGAAAATTTTCAATTTCTAATTCGTTAAAATGTTTGAATAGTTCTTAATTTTTAAGAACGAACTTTTTTCTAATCGCAAAACTACTGAAAACACTAAAAAAATAAAAATAAAACAACAGTACGCTAGCCACACCCCCCCACCCCCCGATAACAAACCAGAAAACCCCAAATTCCAGAAAATCTTTGTGCAACCGATCAAACAACACGGCGATTCGCGGGAATCCTTGAGCCACGGTAAGCGGTTAGTATCCGGTATCATTTTTTGCCCTTCAGAAATCCCTTACGACAGCATCGAGGACGGGAACTGGCTGGACGAGACGGGCATCATGGAGATGGGCATTGCGGGCCCTTGTTGGGAATCATTGCCCTTCTTCGCGATAAGCTCTCTCGTTTTCTGGTTGTTTTGATTGCTCAACGCTAGGGTTGTTATATGACTTGAGTCGGCACCGACTTGCATCGGAGAAATTATGAATCGGAAGGGACGGATTGAAATGTTGACGATTCAATTCGTAAACGACTGGAGTCGACTGACGAACTGAATCGTATGCTTTTAAAACCGTGACTTGCTATTTAAAATCGGCGCGATTCAAATCGCAACCCGACGCGAGTCGCCAAACGACTTGAGTCGGAATGGAAATCAGTCGGATGGAACGACTTGAAATCGCGACGACGCAAGTCGCCGACGACTCAAGTCGTTTGCGTTTTCAAGTCGTCGGAAGTGAATTTATGCAAATATATGTTCATGGAAATCATTTTGATCGACCAACTCTATTCTTGTCTGAACCGAGAGACAACGCCGCACCACTCTTTACGCTACGATTGGACAAGAGATCAGCTCCCACCGACCCTCTTCCATAGAAAGCTGTATAAAAACTGCCGTAAATGAAGGAATTGGTAAAGCTCGAGCTGAGGAGCCCAGGGAGCCGGGTGCTCAGGGAGCTCAGGGAGCTTCTGGAGGTATATTAAAGTATCAAAAACGTTAATTTTGAAGTTGTCTCTCTGTTCAGACAAGAATATAGTTGGTCGATCAAAATGATTTCCATGAACATATATTTGCATAAATTCACTTCCGACGACTTGAAAACGCAAACGACTTGAGTCGTCGGCGACTTGCGTCGTCGCGATTTCAAGTCGTTCCATCCGACTGATTTCCATTCCGACTCAAGTCGTTTGGCGACTCGCGTCGTTCACGAATTGAATCGTTAACATTTCAATCCGTCCTTTCCGACTCATAATTTTTCCGATGCGAGTCGTTGCCGACTCAAGTCATTTGCATTTTCGCCGACGCAAGTCGGTAGCGACTCAAGTCATATAACAACCCTACTCAACGCGTCTCGGCTGCTGTGTGCACTACTGTTTTCCTTGTTCTAATCGCATCATGAGATGTTTCTGATTTTTTGCAAGCCTTTGATCTCTGAAACCGTGCGTTTTAAACCATCAATGCTATTTTAGAAAAAAGAGCCTGAAGAAGTTTGAAAAACTTATCATTTTGATTTTTCACGCTTTAAACAAATTTGTCTTAATTTAGATTGTTTAATTCTTATTTAAAAATTTTTTTGTTTTGTAAACGCGTCTTCGAGACCTTTTTTTGTAAATGAAGCTGAACAAGAAGCTTGAAAAACTTCAAACCTTGTTTATTTAAATATTAAAGCGCTTTTAAAGGCATTTTTGGTAAACCTTTGATATGAAAAAGCGCGTTTACAAATATTTTTTAACTTTTTGTACCTCTTAAACTTCAGAAACCTTGTAAACTATCGAAGGTTAAACCTTTTCAATTGCCCTGAATTTTTCCTATCCCCCAAAAAACACATTGTGATTCAGCATTTGTTCGATTTCTCGAATTTCGTGCAAATCCCGTGCGGGGACGATGACGCGAATTATTGTGCTGAATGTACCGGCGTCCCAATAAACAGAAATAGTGCTTGGCTCGCTCGCAAAATGCCATAGACGAAATTGGCACCGTGGCAAAGCATTTCCGCCCGATGGGGGCAAGATCGTAATTTTTAGTGACTGACAAATAATCTTTGACGGTAGTATAGTGCTAATTGTGGGGCTTGTGTGTCGCCGATTTACGAGTTTTGCGGCGGGGGAGGGCGTTGGGTACGAGGCTGCACTTATACTTGGCACTTCTACCCGCTTTTTTCGGGAAATTAAGGCAAGGAATCCGTAGAATTCTAATAAACGGAGGTCCCCTGGGTAACGCGGGGCGGTAACAGTAAATGAAATGGTTAGAAAAACAACTAGTCTTACGCTTCGAATTCGTATCGTAGATGTATCGCGATTGTTGTCAAGGTTAAAGAATTACTGGCGTTTCGTTTTCTGTTAAAATGGTTAGCAACAAACAATTTTTAGGGGCTAGTTCGTTTTAACAGATTCAGCGCGATTCCTTTCCAGGTTAAATTTCTGAGAGTTTCTCTTGTTTTAAATGGATTGAAATGAGTTTAAATGTTTTAAAAGAAAATAAAAACATGTATTTTACGGGGAACGCTAGCTATTTTTGGCAAAGATTTTCGATTTCCCCGGCATTTTCTTGTGTTTGTAAAGAAAGTTTAGAAAGACGCCAATTTTACGCACAGCATTAGGCAGTAGATATTGATCACCATAACTTTTAAAGTTTGGCAGAATTCTGATATTTTCTTTAGGCTCAAGTCTAGGAGACCCCCCCCAGCCGACTTTTCAACTTTTCTACCTTCTTTATTTTTATTTTTCACTACTTTTTTCGACTGAACTGCAATGTAGTCTTACTAATTAGCCTACGGCGAACATTTTGGTATACAAAAAAAACAAAAAAACCCCAATTTTCAGGCGCGAACTTCTTTTTAATAGAATTCTGTCAATAGTTTGCAAGTCCAATTCATATCTAACATTTTCCTTTGCCTGCCAAACCCGTTCATACGTTTCCCACTTCAAGAAAATCATCCCATTCAGGTATATATTGCCCTGCAATGACCGGGAAATGATTGGAAAAATCGGCGCATATTTATTTTCCCGTCGCTCACCCACCTTTCCCCTTTTATAGTACTTTTTTTGGGGCATACCCAGGCATCATCACCAAAATCGCGTCAATTGAGTCGCTGTTCTTCCGGTTCTCTCTTATCGCCCTCAAACTTTCACTCGCTCATCGCAATTACTGATCATAATCGCCTTTTCAGTGTCTAATAGTCTATTGATCAGCTCTGATGAATGACACAAGTACAATGGCGAATGATGGGAAAGACTCAGCGGATGTGATTGTTGGATATGTTGGTGGGGAATTTGGTTCCTTCCTTTGGCTGGGGGGGAAGCTGTCGAGCGAATTGGTATCATAATGTCGAAAATCATAATGTCGAAATTCATAATGGCGAAAATCATAATGTCGAAATTTCATAATGTCGAAATGTCATAATGTCGAAATTTCATAATGTCGAAATTTCATAATGACGAAATTTCATAATGTCGAAATGTCATAATGTCGAAATTTCGTAATGTCGAAATTTACGTAGGCTAATTACCGGTGAAACCGCCAAATCCTAGCCGAAAAATTTTTTTCCACATTCTATTTTTTTATCTTATTTAACGACAACATTTGTTGTCTAGAATTCGGGGACTTTACCGGGAATTTTAGCTTATGTAAATTTCGACATTCTGACATTTCGACATTCTGACATTTCGACATTATGAAATTTCGACATTATGAAATTTCGACATTATGAAATTTCGACATTATGAAATTTCGACATTATGAAATTTCGACATTATGAAATTTCGACATTATGAATTTCGACATTATGAGTTTCGACATGATGAATTTCGACATTTTGAAAATAAGCCACTGTATCTTGCCTCGGAAAATTTATAGCGTTCCATAGTTTTTCAGTTTTTTTATGGTCAAAAAGTCATAAAAATTAGAAAAGCTTGGAATTTTGCGTATTTTCATAATTTTTAAGCCGGCTTTTAGAGGCGTTTCAAAGTAAAAAATCGGACGGAATTTAGGTATTTGATGTTTCTTTTTGAAACGCGTCACGTTACAAATTTTGAAAGAAAATATAGGTGTAACTATCCATAATTCTGAAATTACGCTAATATCCTCCTTTCAGCACTCTTCGTCTCATGTGCAGCGTTCGGCACGATGTTTGCCCCAATGCGCAAGGTGGACAGCAGAGACGGTTTGGCGGAATTCTAAAAATAAGGCCTTTTTAGGCTTCTTTGTGCAATGGGTGCAATGCAGCGTCGTATTCCTTTTTGGCTTCACCATCAACATCATACGCGACTTCCCGAAATTCGAGCCGGTGGCGGCGATTGGCGGCATTTTGTATGCCACGGGTAATTATTGATTTTCTTTTGAACGTATAATTTAGGTAACCTATTCTCGATCCCGATCGTGGCGAAGCTGGGCGGCGGGCTATCGCTATTGATCTGGGGCTCAATACAAGTGCTCGTCGGGTGGACGGTGGCTCGGTTTGGGTTGCCGTTCGATTTGCTGGCCGCGTCTCCAGTCGAGCACAATTTCCTCAATTATTTGGGCATGCTGCTCACGTTGATCTGGTAAGAAAATACTGTCAGATTTTTTACCGTAAATTTGTGGTCAGCGGCGTCCTGTTCGTCTTCGTCAAGCACAGGGCCGAGGAGCCGGATAATTCGGAAAAGGCCGATGATTCTGACCGAAACACAGATGTCGAAATAACGGAAAAGAGTGACCCAATGCGGGTCGATCTGATGAGAAAATTGCCGTAAGTGTCTTGACTTTGTTCGATTCATTAGCCCATTTCCGGTATATCGGCATGGCTTGTGTACTCGGCGTGCTTCACGGGCTGATGATGAGCCCGTTGGATATTTTGAAGCAACGACACCCCGCCGACGACAAATATCGAGGTTACCTAATTGCAGCCAAATTTATAATCAACTTTTCTAGTTTTGGACTACTGCTTCTCCTACTTCAGCACGGTCTTCTTCTTCTCTAGCCTATATTTTGTGATCTACTGTTTTGTGAGAAGGGAAAAGATGTACATCGACAAGTGAGTATTACTGTATGTTTTTACGCTTCTAGGTCCGTGGTGATTCCTACTCTCATCTATGGAGCGCTATGGAATATCGGGATGACAGGATGGTTTTTATCCAGCGACAAATTAGAACAGACAGTGGCTTATCCGATTACAACGAGGGTAAGCCCCTATTCGCGACACCACACTAGTCTCTTTAGTTACCGGCCATCATTGGCGCTATAATCGACGTGGTAATCTTTAGAAGTATAAAGGTACGCCGATTTCCCCAGCCAGCACCGATTTTCAGGGACGAAAGAACCAAATCTACTTGACGTTCTGTATGGTGCTTGGTGTGACAGCCGTCGTCCTGATCGCGCTGTCCAACCAGAAATTTTGAAAATTTATGCTAAAAACAAGAAAATAAAAACATTGTCAACAAGCACGCAGAGTAACAATCGGAGCAAGCAAAGGCAAATATTCAAAAGGGATCGAACGGGGGGAAATTGGCTGAAAAGCCGCTTGCCTGCACACATGTTGAGATTTCATAGGAGATGATGCGAAAGGAACGGTTAAAGCACAATGTGACAATCGAAGAGGCGCGCTGTGTTTAGTGGCAGCCATCGTCGTGACCACCGGCCGGCTCAATCTAGATGGACGTTTTAGTAGTCTGAACACCATTGTTACCTTATCCAATTTAATAAGATCATCGATGCGAAGAATCGTGATGGCTGCTTCAGTGGCAAACTTGATGCTCTTGACCTTGGAGATCAGCGGCTCGAGCACACCAGCCTCGCGGTTATCTCTGATCTCTCCGTTCTCAAGATCCAGCCCAGCCCTAAAACAAAAGTATAATAAAAATATTCTGGACTGACCATCTGATGTGAGCGTTGGCCTTGTTCGTTTGAGCGCTGTTGTGGAAAGCGCGCAGCTTGGCGACCAGCTCAGTGGCATCACGGGCTGCGTTCTGGGCCAACGTCTTGGGGATCACCAGTAGTGCATTGGCAAACTCGGCCACGGCCAACTGTTCGCGGGACGACTAAAAACGGAAAAGTAAGTAAGTAAACTAAACATACCAGTGTATTGGCGAAATGCTCGAGCCAAACATTCAACGCAGTTTCGATGGCTCCACCACCAACAACAAGACGGCCGCTTTCCAAGACCCTGCAAAGACGACATTATGAAATTAGAATATGAGTAACCTTTGAACGACGCACAGAGCATCATGAATCGATCGCTCCATTTCGTCAAGCATAACATCGTTGGCACCACTTAAATAAGAGTTAAAACAAGAGGTTATAAATACCGAAGAATGATGCTGCTAGAAGTACGGGCCTTGGGTCCCTTGATCAGGATGAGTTCATCATCAGAAATCCGTGTTTGGACGACCTCCTCGGCCTAAATTGATTTTTTTTGTAAGATAAACCACTTTAGACCCACGTGTCCCAAGAACGATGGCTCGAAAGCCTCGTCGCCCTCCAGCGTAGCAAGCGACGATGTAAGAGTTGCTAGAGAAGAAATTTAGAAATTTCCAGCCAGCTATACCTCCCGTGGCACCGGCGATGCGCTTCAGGTCGCTCTTCTTGCATCGGCGAACAGCCATGGCTCCGCATTCAACAAACTGCTTCAAACAGAGATCATCAATTCCACCAGTTGTCAGAACGACGTTGGCACCGGCCTTCAAGATCTTCTCGATGCGTCGCTTTGTGATGTCATATTCCCTACAACGGATTACCTTTCAGGAATAAAAAATTACTCTCGGCGAATCTGCTCCAGCTGCGCCGGATCATCAACGACAACCGAGATTCCGAGATGCATCTTTGCCTTGTTCAGCGAAAAATCGAGGCAGGCGATTTTCGCATCCGTCACGCGAAGGGGCATGGCTAAAGAAACATGAAGGCAACCTTCTCGTAAGTACCTTGACTGGCGACTGTGCAGTTGAGAGCATATCCCTTGATCAGCATGGATTCGCGAACAGATTTTCCGTGAGCCTTCAACACGTTCACGGCCTAAAGGCGGAGTTTGGTCAAATCAAATAAACCTTACCCTAATTGGATATTTGACCTTGCCGGTGGAGTCAGTTACTTTGACGGCCTCGGCAGCATCAACGACCATCTCGGAGAAGAAGTCAGAATCACTAAAACAAAGTAAACAAACGTTTGTGAAAACTGACGGTCCAATAATCTTGCTGCTCATGCTCGTCTTGGCCACACCGATGATCGACTGGCGCCCGAGCTCTTCAGAAGAAAAAGACAAGTTTTCCTAAGAATAAAAATCAATCACAATACGGATATATACCTGCAGATATCTGACGGCCTCCTTGCAAGCCAGACGGTAGCCGTTGATGACGGTGGTGGGGTGCAGCTTGTTCTTGACCAGCTCATCAGCGGCCTTCAACAACTCGGCGGCGATGATAACGACGGAAGTAGTGCCGTCTCCGACCTAAACAGTGGTTGAAGAGGAATGGCTTCGAGTATTACCTCTTCATCTTGAAGTTGAGCGAGCTCGACAAGAACCTTGCCAGCCGGGTGGTCGACGTCCAGTTGCTTGAGGATGGTGGCTCCGTCGTTGGTGACGATCACCTCGCCGAGGTCGTCGACGAGCATCTTGTCGAGGCCGACCGGGCCCAGCGACGACTTGACGACGTTGGCGATGGCCGACGCGGCCATGACTGAAAAGGGAGGGTTATGGTGAGCCAGCCGCAAATTTCGCAACCCGGACATATACCTGCGGGAATGGATGTATACCCAACCTGCGGTAAAAAGGGGTTAAAGGTAAAAAGTTACCATTTTGGGACCTGATGGATTGACCGGTGGTCCGTTTGCCCATAAGAGCTAGGAGCGAATCAGCTGCACTCGCCATGATTAGCTAAAAACGGGTATATGCGGCTGTTTAGAACGATATATTTCGAAACGTATTAGAAAAGTCTTTAGAAAAATATCAAAAAAAGTGTAAATTCAAGAAAAAAGGGAAGAAATTGCTTTGCCATGAATACGGGATATCCCGCGAAGGTTCTGGGGTGTAAAAATCGAGGAGCCCGGGCGCAGGAGTACACTCGAAACACGCGTCGATAGGACCCCTGCGTAGCCCTGTTTATCCAAAATTTCCTCGGCTTGGCGCAGGTGCACTATCAAGTCTTTCTAACTTTTTCTTATAAAAAATTTAACGATTTATGAGCCGTCTAATCGTCTGAATTTTTAGATGAAAGAGTGGTGGGCACCGTCTACCTATCTACCCTATTCGATCAACGAGGTATGTTGACCCTTGATATCAATGTATTTATTATCTATTTAGTTCTGTGCGGCGTTTTGGGACCGTTATCCCAACAGCTTTTCCAAGCACATTGTATCTGAAGACGTGTTGGAGCGACGGATCACCGATAATACGATTTTCACGAAAAAGCTCATCGTCAAACAAGGTAGAATTTGTGCCAAGTTAAATACCGTTATTTTAGGGAGTTCTATCCTGAAACGCGTGCCCAAATGGCTATCCAGAATGACAGAGATCCGGGTGGTGCCCGTTATAGAAGAAAGCCTCTATGATAAGGTTTGATCTGTTGTTGGTTATATTCTATTTAGAATTTTTTTAGAGGACACAGACGCTAACAACGTATACACGGAATGTTGCGCACCTTGAACTGTTTTATCTTCATGAGCGGGTTGTTTATAAGGTATGTCGCAAGCTGATTTCCTTTAATTGATTTTTTTTATAGGAAAAAGATCATGGCGATCATGGAAACGCGACCGAAATAGACAGAGCTGTGTCTTTGGCGTTCAATTCAGGGAAGCTATCTTCTATCTACGAAAAGGTTACGCTTATGGGTTTCAAGGTAGGAGCTTTCGCAACTATAATTTTTCTGCTCTATTTCCAGAAATCCATCGCGAACACGACGAAGGGACTGACTGAAGTTCTGGAAATGCGTTTCGGGGCGCGACCTCACTCGGTAAATCGCGGTTCCGTTTTTCACTGGCTGGATTCAGGACAAGATGAGCGAGCGGATCAAGCAGAAAATTCTGAACTCGCCAGTTATCCAGAAAATAAACTGCGAGAAATCGGCTTAATTTTTCGTTTGGTAGAGTAGCACTCGTTTTTGTTGTGGCTTTCAGAGCTTGGCATGTGATATTCCTGTGACAGACTTTCACGAGCAACACTTCCCTCCGGTTGATGCCTCTCACATTGTTTGGTTGTTGGGCATAAGCCGCTTGTTCCACATTTGGAAGTCATTCCTTCAAGAGCCTCAAACTTGTAAATAATACTTGCTGTTGTGTACAGAATAAATGGTTGAACATCGACGGTGGTATGTCTTATTTGTGGGTTATTCGCCCCCACTATTTGTAGAATGTATAAATTGAGGATTTAATAGGATAGATTTTACCTTGCATTTTAGAGCGCTTATGGCCTCTTCTTGCGACAAAATTGTCACAATCGTCGCCCTTCTCTCGTTGATCCATTGTGCTTATTCTGCAGCCCAGGTTTGTAGTAGCTAATCGGCGTTGTATTCAGGCTAACTTTTGTCTAAAAAAAGTGTTTTAGCACCGCTTCTACTTGCGATTGACTGAGCAACCCTTTTCGCACCTCCCCTACGACATCATCGTGCAAACACTTCTTTCGCTAGTGGTGCTGATCTACGGAGCGAGTCGTGTGGCTGGGTCTTTCCAACCGATACGAGCGGATATCCAGGTACGAAAAATATTATGCCTTTTAAAATTATCATCCAGAACCGCGGCAAGACATGGGATGGGCTAGGATCATGCCTGTCCTTCGCGATATTCGATCACCGGGCTCGGATGCTGTCGCCCGGACACTCTGCTCTTTTGCGAGGGGTAATTCTGCAACTCTATCACTTTTATATTCTTTTCAGTCCGAGGACAGTGGGCCGGAAGACCAATGATCCTTTCGACATCTTCTCTCACAAATTCGAGGTTCGGGCTTTATTCACTTCATTCCGTGCCAAAGTTTGATCTCAAATAAATGACATGGAAATGCGGGGCAACGGATCAGCTAATGACGGTCATCGAGTACGCACAGGGGCTAAAGGGATTGCTGGCGGTTGTACGGGTTGAAGGGGAGAGCCGTCGGGACTTCCAGGGCGCTCATTTCGCTGCTGCGAGCCCGTGCGGGCTTGTTGTTCCGGACTCTGCGACTCCTAAAAATAACAGTGGAAGTGAGATCTATCACTACGGTGGGTACGGCTTTTGCATCTCGACTCCCCGTCTTTCCTACATGGCTTTAAATTATACCAAAACACTGCCATTCTTCTGTAGAGCAAAAATACATTATTTGAGTCGAAAAGAACAGGGAAAGCGAAAAAATTTGGGCTTGAAAAGTCGGAGAGCCGACTAGAATTCGCCCTACGTTGTTTTCTTGGCACGTCGTTCTTCCTTCAACTGCTGCTGGGCCGCACCTGAGGGTCAACTTCGACTTTTCACCAGAAAAACGAACGGAGCTGGGATGAAGCGGCTTCGGCGGCGGTCCGGAAAGATTGGGATGAGCCAGAATTGACTGGGCTCGATGACAGCGACTTCACATCCACCTTCAGTTCCAAATCCTCCGGGTTGAAGGTGGTCACGGAGCTCTTCGACTCGACCGGAAGCACCTAAACGGAGAGACAGAGTAGTATGCACTAGAGCCGAATAAACATACCTTGGCTGCTGCTGGGGCTTGCTGAAGTCTAATGTGAAAAAAGTAGAACAGGATGGCGGCAAGTATGACGAGTATCAGCAAATCATGGTGCGAGTCAGTGTTGTCCGACTTTTGCTGGTGACCTAAACAGGCTAAATGGGACTTGATAAAATCACTTACCGGTCAGGGTCGTCTGGTCCCCATAAGTACCAGCCGTCTGCATGGTAGTCGTCGAGCCAATTAGTTCTTTTCAGGTATCACCTCGCCGCCTCTTCATTCATCAAATCAACTTATGCAAATCAGTTTTCTACAAAACCAGAGATCCCTTCGTCTACCAGGTTTTGCTTTTTGTCGAAAACAATAATATTTTCTAGATCTTCCCCCGAATTTTCCCATCTTCCCGGCGCGCGTGCCCCAAAGAACCCAACTCCCCGCTCAAAACATGGCTCAGGACGATCGCTTGAAATTAGGTGAGGATTGCCTGAATTCTATGCATTCTGTTTTCCATTTTAGTCGTGAACAGGCCATATCATCGTTCAAGCACTGCGTCGACCTCGTGAAAACGCACGACTTTGACAATTACATTGGTGCTCTCTTCTCTCCCAAATACGCCAGGGCCGAAATTTTCTCGGTGCTTGCCCTGAATGTGGAGCTTGCCCAGATCCGAGACAAAATCGCCGCTGACAATAAGGCAAGGATTTTCGGCAAATTTTTAACGGCTTTTAGGGCACCACGGGTATTTATCGACTTCAATTCTGGAAGGACACGCTCGCCTCGATCTTTCAACAAACTTCTGGACCGATTCCAAGGTAGAATTAAAGGAGGCGTTGCAGTTAATTTTATTTTAGGCAGCCAATAGCCGTGGCTCTTTGCGCTTTTTGCAAAAAGAGCGGGCCGGACATGCTGCAAAACTTGGTGTCGGCGCGGCAAAGGACGATCGGTGACAAGCAATTCCAAACAGTTCAAGAGGTAGCCGTCCTTGTCTTGGCAATTACCGAATTTTAGGCGACGGCTTACGGTGCAGATACTTGGGGCAGCATTCTCAAGTCATGGGTCGGAGCGCTGTCAAAGGGTCAAGCGGATCTATCTAGCGCACAAATTGCAGCCGAAAAACTGGGGATCGCCTTTTCATTTGCTAACGTGATCCGGTAGGGGTTTTTCGTGTTTAGATCTTGTTTTTCAGATCGTCGTTGCCCCTGCTTTCCCGTGGGATTGTTTTGCTGCCCGCCGATCTCTGTTCCCTGCACTCTGTCACCCCAGACGCGCTTTATCGTCAGAAAAAGTTTGAAGACTCCAAGTTGCTCATTCGTGACATTGCTCAGGTGTTCGAGTTTTTGGGGTGGTTTAATGCTGACGTTTATAGCTCGCCCAAACAAATCTAAACGAGTCTCGAAAATTGATGGCTGAAGTTCCAGCGGAGGTCGTTTTTCATTATGATCATCAAAAAAACTTCTAGGTACGCCCGGCTTTCCTTTCCACAGCCGCCGCTTGTGAGCATATTCTTGCGGTAGCGAAAAAAGTAGACTATTCACTCTATGATTCACGCCTCCAAAGAAGGTATTTTTCGAAAAAGATTTTGCATTGCCTTTTAGAAATCCCCTGCTGCCCTGGAAACTTCTGTGGAGGAGGGCTCGAAACGTGTATTAGAGGTTTATCTTTGCTCCTTCTTGTTTTTGTTCTGTGTTAGGCCAACCAAATATTTCGATAAATTTATACCCGTAATATCAGCAAAAGCAATGAAAGCAAGGCGACTTTGGTAATTGAGCTTGTAGGCGATGAATTGCAGAGGTCTGTCGAACAGCAATGTGCTATTGCGTACTCGTCAAAAATGCTGTTGTACCGGTACTTTCCTTCACTCTAGAAAAATCGATTTGTTTATTTGTGGTCTCTCTACTCACCCGGCATGTAAACTCGGCTTTACATCCACACCAATTTTCAACAATTTCTAGCCCGTCTTCCACCTGAATCCAATTCATCTAATTTTAATGCAGGACAACCTTGGAAACGGTTTTTGCGCAGTAGTTACATTCGCAGTCAACTTCTTGCTGTGTAACGTTCTGAAATCGTTTGGATTTTCTAGTCTTTTTTTTTTTGGTAGTTTTAGAGGAACTAAATTTTTTTTAGACTTTTTTAGTAACATTCAGCCATTCAGAAAAGGAGAAACAGGTTATAAACCCTGAAAAACAGTTTTAAACTTTCAAATTTCGTGCAAATTGACCATTTTTATCGGGAAATTTTGGTGGTTTTGAGTATAATTCGTAGTTTCGAGGTTTCGGAGTAGTAAAAACAGTTTTTAACCGACTTGAGCCTTCTAAATTCACAACTCACCATTGTGCGCGCCCATTTCGACAAGAAAAAACATTTGATGGAAGCAGCTGGCGGGATCGAGATCAGTAATATCACGATGATCTTCAGTGACCCATTGGGCCCGAGAAGCATTGAACGGTGCCTCGAGATGGCGACAGGATTCTTTTTCGGCGAGGAATCTATAGGACGTTTTTTCGTAGAGAAGGAATACAAATTGAGCTCGAAAAGTATGTTCAAGCCCCGGAACGATGAGAGAGATCGTGAGAAAATGGTTAGCCCCGACAAGCGGTCCAGAGAAACCGAAAACGGCCTGTTATGCGGGAGAGAGGAAGTTGGGGCAACCATGGAGACACGCGTCCTCTTATCGCTAGGGGGAAAAGCATTCGCAATGCGGCAGTTACAACAATTCTCGCGGTTTCGAGGTGGCGATGGTGATTTCTGTTTATGTTCATGTAGGAGGGGGTGGGCGGCCGTTGCCAAAAACGGATGTGTTTATCGAGACAGACGATTTGTCTATCATACGTTGTGCGGCTTGGAAAACAAGCTTTTGGTGTGGTTTTTGATTGGGGGCTTATTTTTCTAACTAAGTTTTCGAATATTGGGAGCACTAGGTTGCTTTCGGCCCTATGGTTTTAAAGCCAAAATTCCGACAGCGAATAGCGAAAATCCCGACAGACAAAGCTCCGACATGTTCTTGGCATTTTTCAATTCTACTCTCATTTAAACAACTATTTTTTCATGTCGGGATTATGACTGCCTGGATTTTGAATGTCGGGATTTTGGCGTTTTCCCCGATACACCGCGTATTTCGTAAAAAACGAATTATCCTACTTTAAGATTAAATTTTTACAAACCCTTATTCCAACAAGAGCGAATAAAATAAAACTATCTAATGTACCTTTTGCTGTTTATTGTTAGATAGAAATTAGAAGAAATATAGCCGTTCTACTCCCACCTCCCTCCCTTTTATAGACCATCTTGTTTTCCCAGAAAGGTGATTCAGCGCGAGAAGCCGAGCGAAATGAGCGTTCAATTGTGTCTGTTACCTCCCATAAAATTGCTTTTTCTGCTGACGAACAAAATGTTTGAAATAATTTTATTTCCCTTCGCGAGGGGGTGAAGATGCACAGCGGAGATCGAATAATTGTGTAAATGCGGTAAAAACGAATGTGGGGAATACTGTTTAGAGGGTATGAATTAGTGTTTGGAATTATAATTATTAAGTGGAGTCGAGTATACCGGTATTTCCAGGGGTAGAAGTATCAATTTTAGGCAGTTCTTTAAAAAATATCAATGCATCGGAATCAGCGGTCGCGAGGGTGTCTCTTCCAAAAGTGTTGCGTGAGCGGATGAGCTTTTGCTTCTGATGGCGCTGGTGCCGTAGGAGCTGCGCTCGATAACGCCCTGAAATTAGGAGATACGCAGAAAATTAGGTTGTGGTTCGTTAGCGGGGGGGGGGAACTAAATCTTTCCTATATTCATGTAGACTCCGAACACTATAAAGAAGACAAGACATTTTTTACATACAATACATCTTAAATTTTTCGAAAAATTTACTTTTCGTTGAAAATGCGACCAATTTATTACAAAAATCAATTCATTCTTAGCTTTTTAGTAATTTGAAACGACTTAACACCATAAAAATAGCTGACTGTTTCTTAAAATAGCGGTTAGGCTGAATTAAAAAGCCCCCCCCCCCTATCGAACAAGAACCGAAAATTCTCGTTATAATCTTGCTTCTATCAATCAAGCTTTACAAACGCCATATCTTTTACCTGTGCCATTCTCTTGATCGTCGCTTTCATCAGGGCCCGATATCGCCTGGAAACGACGCAGTAGAGCACAAAATTCAGCGAGGCGTTCAGAAAAACGAGCTGAAAGCCCTTCTATTTTTTTTCTCAGTTTTTGGCCCACCAGTTGTGTGATACAAGTATAGACGATGGCCGTGGAGTGGTAGTGGCCGTAGAAATCGAAGAGGAGACGGGCTGGGGCCTAGAAAGTGTGGAAAAATAGTTCAAAAGTCCACAAAAATTGTTTGAAACTTTGGTATCTGCGATTCGGAGCCTACCTGTGGACCGACACATATCAATAGACATAACACCACGGCGAAAAGCATGGCATTAGCGTTTACTCGATTTCCGGGACGACGCTCTTCCTAAGCACAGGAAATAAGGATAAAAATCAGGATTCGGTTTGGCATATTAATTTGGTTCTCTCCCGTTAAGCAAGATTTGCCGGGTTTTTTCAGGGCGCCTTTGTTCAGAATTTCGCGCTGGTTCTGAAACTGTTTTCAGAATTTTGAGAAGCTTAATTGGGCGGTTTAACGGAAAATAGCTACTCTGGCTCTTTTTCCTCCCAAAAATATGCTGTAACTTTTCAAAAATAGCGATTCCTTAAATTCTAAAAGCAGATCAATCAGCGTCAAATTCAGCACGGAAGGCACTCTCAGGAAAGAACTGAAGATCAGCGGAAAACGCCAGAGATCGACAAACCTGCACGAATCCGCCATTGAACTCTGTTTGGGGCCCTGTGCGCTTCGCGTCTTCATCGGCCTAATTTTTGCAACAATTTAAAAAGAGCAATTCCCTACCACTTTCGATAGTGTGACTATTAGCCGAGCATTCAGCCCGAGAACGGCGCAAATTGGGAGTACATTGAAAGCGAAGAGGCTTGTGTAATCCATGATACGGTAGTAGAGCTGAAAATCAGGATTTAATGAGGCTTAGAAAGCTAATTGCTTACTTTAAGTGCTGGGCGCAGTGTCTGCATGATGATGTAGAACGAAGCCATACCTTCGACCTCACAGGGGATCACTTCGTAGCAAATTGGCCATTGGATGGAGCAGAGGAGCGAGATGCAAAAGCTGAAAGCGGATCGACGTAATTAACTGATTTTTGCCGGATACAAGAAATTAGTTTAATATCGAAAACTACCGTAACCTTTTTTGGCGTTTTCGCAGTACTGGAGGACTCGGAAATTTTGCTATTAAAACCAGAAGTCCCTAGTGACGTATGACTGAGTATTTTAATAGTGCTTTTAGTAGCAGTTACCTTTAAAACCCCGACATTTTGGACGAAGATTTTTTGAAAAATCGCTTTTTAAAAGCCCAATTTTTAAAGGATTGTTTACCTCGTAAAAATCGCCGCTCGACTCGCGCGCCCTGTGCAAATTCGATGCGAGCAGAGCGGATGAACGACGCAGATGTACCGCTCCACATTGAACGCCACGACGATGCTAAATTGACGGTTTTCGAGGCTAAAATAGACCCTACAGCACTGAAGTTTTGTAGAAGGTCGACGCGACGGTCCGGATGTACAGCGCCGAGTGGGCGTAGATGAGGTTGAAAAGCGGCGATTGGGCCAGGGAGGTCATCGAGGACGGGGTTACCTAAGGAAAAATCAATTAAATACGTTCGATAAAATACATCGATGGTGGCGAATATCAGGAAGAAACAGTCGGAGATGGCGAGCGCAAGGAGGAGTTGCCTAAAAGATATTTAAAACTGTATTTTTTTTTTTGCAAAATCGGTGGAGCGTCCAGAAAGGCCCAGTAGTGCAATTTCAACAGTTTTAAGCGTGTTTTTAGTAAAATCTAACTATATTTTAAGTAAAAGCGATCCCAAGAAAACAATGAAAGAATTTTAAAAGTAAAAATGTAGCTTTAAAGTTGCTTATTCGAGGTAAAAAAACTTAATATTTCTGTATTTTTAGTAAAATTTGTAACTTCGATGCGTAGGAATCGCAAGCTTTGCCTCGACTTTAAAATTTTGCTCAAAAATTGGCAGTTGCAAAAATCAATTAATTTTTGTCTTCTGACGAAATTTGTAAATTTTATGTGTCTAGATGTAAAATTTGGTGCAAGAAGCCGTTCAATTGACTTATTTTCGTTATTTATTCGCAAAATTGTCATAAAACTTTAAAAAAACGTTTGTTACCCCGATTTTGAGACTTTAGCGCCAAAGGATCCGGCTTAATAAACTTTTCTATTTTTTTTTGACTAGATTCTCATAAACGCATACCATGAAGGTATCCGACGAGAAGCCCGATTTGACGTTAATATGGCGATATTGAGCAGATTCGCGGCTAGGCCAGCGGCGGCAATTAGCGGCACGCCTACCACATTGCACCACCAAACAGCCTGAGCGGCTAGCTGAAGAAAATTCTCAATTTGAAGCCGGTTTTTACGAATGTTACCTCATCGTGTGAATGTGGTGATACGGCTGTTAGATTGCAGTAAGGCATCAGATAGGGCTCTTCGGCTTGTGACGGGCCCTCGTGGACCCCGACTTCTAGATCCATCGCGGTGCTAGAAAATTATTTTGATTTTAGAACAAAAAAGGATAAAAAGAGTATTTTAGAGCTGAGAGAGAGCGCGAGAGAGCGCGAGAGGGGGGGGGCGAGAAATGCAATAATATACAGCAAAAATAAAATTTAACGCCGAGAATTAGCACCATAAAAGTGTTAAACGTTAATAATTTCGATTTAATTGGGCGCTTGTCGTGGCAACTGGTTAAAAACTAAAAATATCCAGATTTTCGCCCAAAATTCCGATTTTGCCCCCCGATAATGTAAAAGACCCGGAGAATCAAAAACCTTCTAGATAACTTTTAACGAAAAACGGCTTCGACTTTTCTACGCCAAGCACTATCACTACTACCATTGCCAGACGGAAGTCCAAAGTGGACAGTCCCGCCCTCCAATACCCCGAAAATATCTAAAGATCCATCATTTGGGCGACTATTTGTGGATGGGGCGATTGGAGGAGGAAGAGGAGGACGAGCAGGAGCATGAGAAGGAAAAGGAGAGGGTAGTCTGTCGCGTCGGCAGATCACGAAATAAATGTCGGCGGATGAAGAAATTGACATCAAAAGCTAAAGGTAACATATTGATGGGGGCGAAGAGCAAGAAACACTCCGAGAAAACTAACTAGAAAGGACTCGCAAAAAGTAGACGATCGGTCACGTTTTATTAAATAAAAATTTTAAGATCTTGAAACGTACGCTAAACGAAGAATGACCCCCCAAAAAGAAATAAACAAGCCTAAATTTCAGCCTAGAAAAGTAAAAAAAAGGAAAATTAAAAAAATCATTTTTGAAAGGGATTGAAAATCAAGGAAAGGGCTGGCTTAATTTTTTTTCAAATAAGCCAATCATTCTTATGCAGGTTTTAGACATCTTTAGGGTATTTTTCTAAACGCCGTTACCTAAAACACGATTAATTACTTTTAACAGCCACTAAAGACTTAAAAATTTTTAAATAGCGAAGAATGGTTTTTAGAAAAATGTGTTATAAGAAAAAAAGGTTTTCAAACTAAAAAAATAAGGCTATAAGCATTGGATCTCCCGGATATTTTGAACGGTAAGAAAACTATTGGGGTCTGATTCTGCTAGAAAAACGAAACTTAATAGACCAAAAATGGCTAGTTTAATTACTGAAATAATTACTCGATCAAAAGACCAGTCAAAACTCAATAAATCAATAACTCCCAGCGTGATGAGGGCTATTTTTAGAGGGTGTGGCTGATCGATGGACGGCCCGAATTGGACAGGTGGGATCGTTGGATGGATTCGATGGGTGTGGATGGATGGATGGGTGAACGAGGAAGGGTCCGCGCGCGCTCCAGAAGGGCTCCTCCGCCCCCCCCACACCACATGTGCAAACATCATCTCCCACCCCCCTATAGTCCCTTCTCTACCCTCAGCCCTTTTCAACCTATTCAAGCACAACAACACTGTCCCCCCTCACCCTCGTTCTCCTTCTTCGTCACGATGCTCATCTCCTCCCCCGAATCCAACCCCGAGGGGCGCGTCAACGAGCCGTTGTTGCGTGAATTGCGCCCCCCCGGGGTGAATACGGTAACCCGACCCGATCGTTGCGAGATTCGCGTTCACTTTCTACAAGAGTCGACTTGGTTTTTGAAAGCTTACACGATACCAGGTTTTAAAGTTTTTGAAAAATTCGTTTTTAGAAAAATAAAACAACAGAAAAATCCCGTTGAATTCCTAAGATCACTGCCATTTGTTACCTTGTTCCCAAAGAATCCCTGCTAGCCACCCTAAATTGACAGAAAACAGTTGTCGCACTTCTTCAAATCTCAAAAAAACATTTTTTAGAGTTTAAAAAATCTTGAAAAGTGCTCATAATTGAAAACTTCAGATAATTTATACATTAAAGGGCCCAAGAAGCGCTGAATCTACCCTTCCTTCGACTAGGTGTCGACAAAACACGAGAATAGGTGTTGATCCCGGTCTGACAGTTAAACGTGAGCTCTAAAAATCTCGGATACGTTCGCATACATAGCTGTCGACAGATAGTGAAGGATAAAGTTGATTCACGCCCTTCATAGTCCCGTTAATGAAGTGTTAAAAGAACATTTTTTTTTAGATAATTACATACACTATCAAATGGATAAAGAATAAAATTAAAGTTAACAAAACTAAAAATCGAGCAACCAAATGGCCATTTTCGAGACCGTTCCCCCGGAAAATGCTGTCGAGTGTTCGAGTCACGGCCAAAAACATTGCTCATCGCTTGGAACGAGGGTGGACGGAAGTGAAGAAAGGACCCGTTTCGAGTAGAGAAAGGGCCCTGAAATGTACAGTCAACAGCTGGGGGCTATTGTTAGTCGCCGATGATTGGGCGTATTACTAGGTATTTAGTCACGCCGGCATCAATCGAGCATGAGCTCTGATACCGTGCCGAATTCAGCGCTAGTTATTACACAAAGTTTCCTAAAACAATCGAATTTCAAATTAAAACTCATCTCGCTAAAAAGTCGCATAAAACCCCTACGCTCGCCAAGTTCAGCGCGCTGAACTTCAACACCAACATCCCAGTCATTCAAAAATGGAAAGACAGCGCGCTTCCGAATTCTTCCCCACCAAGTCATTAGGGGACCAAAGCGATGCGGCGCTAAAAATAGGGGGGCTTTTCTGTAAATATTGGACCCGCGGGATGTTTGGCAAATGGGGCGCCAGGGGGGAACGATGAATAGAATGCTTTCAGGGCAAAGTACCGACCGGGGAGGGGGCTACAGGCGACGATGGGAAATGGCGAAAGAAGACATCGGACGATCAGGGCTGCGGGTTTTTGAAACGCGCTAACATTTCGGTGTCGAATACGGTGGCCACGGGTTTCCAGCATTTGAAAACTGAAAATAAATTGGCAATTCCGTGTATTTCGGCTTTTTCTAAATGGAGCAAAGTATAGCTTGTACAAAATTTCGCGCTGATCCCTAATGTGCATCCAAAAGCTCCGTAATCGCGATATTTCAGAAGTTACAATAGATTTTAGGCCCAATCATAATCAATTTTGCCGTTTTTGCTTGCAAAAATTTGCTGTAATTCCTGAAATCTGGTGACTTTAGACAACCTGAAAGCATATGCAGGACCAGCGCAAAATTCTGCCCAGGATATAATTTGCCCTAACGCGAAAACACAGCCATAAAATTATGTTGTAAAGAAATAAAACGACCAAACAAGAGCATCAAGCCGACGTCGCCAAAGAAGCTCTGCCACATCACCCGAGGCTCAAATTCTTCCTGAAACGTGGATAACCCCCATTTTAAACCTCTATAAACTTCGTCGCAACCCATTCCAAAAACTCTGCCCCGCAATTAATTCTGAAATTCCCTCGGTCACACGAAGATGCCTCACGAGCCCCGGACACAACCAACCGGTCGACTATAATGTACAGAAAATGGTGATAAGCCCCCGGCGACACAATATCCGATAGTGGCCTGCCACAAACAGGCCCTCCCGAAAACAAAACAATCCGCCCTGAAGTCTCGCACCTGATTTCATTTTGGTTCCGATCAATTAAAGCAAAACTTTTCAGATGCTTCGACTACTCGTTTTTCTGACGTTATTCGGGGTGACGTTGTCGATACAGTGCTATCGGCAGACATCATTGCCGACCTTGGAAAAGGTTAGCGGCCTACCTGAAGTATTATAGACGCGCCTTGGAGCAGTTAGAAGCTCAGATTTGAGCTTCAAGAGTGCCAATTTTTGTTACGAAGCCGGCCCTATGCTCCAACAAAAATGCTTCATATTTTAGGGCGATTCGGTGGAATGTGCAGCGGGCTGTGACTTCTGCGTCACTCACAGAATCATCAAGCTTTCCGGAACTCAGGTATGGAATGAAGCGAGCACGGCTTCAAGCTGAAGTCTGAAGCGCCCTTTCGATCCAAAAATCTTTCTCATTGCAGATGGAACGTCACTGCGGCTGTGGTGACCCCAGCACACTTCTCGGCTCGCTGGTCAACTGCAAGGTTTGCGGCCTTTCTTAGAAATATAATTACAGAGCTAGTCAGTAAAGAATGCAGAATAGCGAGAAATCCAATTGAACATCTTTAAGCCTGATTATTTTAGGGCGAGGGTGTGTTCCCCATCCAACTCAAAGACGCGACAATCACGAAGAGTTGCTGCCGAGGAGCCTTCTGCAATGGCGTCAATGTCGACCCGCCTGCACCCGTTGTGGATGTTGATCCACTTCCGGACGTAAAGCCCCTACCTGACCTCAAGCCGCTGCCCACAGTACTTCCGGTCCGGCCGTGGCCGATCTTGGACCCAAAACGAACCCTGCCCCCAATCCCCATCATTGTCCCGACCGTTGTCACAATTATTCCTCCTCCGCTGGGAGGAGCAGCCGGATCCATGTCCACTTTTTTCACATTCTTCGCCGTCTTGCTCGCCGTTTTGAACTATTGATTTTTGGTTTGCGACTTTTTTACCAAAAAATAAAAAGCACAGTTTCAAATTTATTCAACGTTGGACCAGATGCAGAGGTGTTCTTCACGGGGATAAGATCTTCGCAAATCACCAAGAAAGACATAATCAACAAAAGCGACACATCAGCCAAATAACAAAAAGGAGTCCGGAGATTATAACAAAAATGCGGGGGCCTTCCCCTTACGCGCCGGCTGACAGTTTGAGGGCCTCGAGGGAAGCCACCAGTTCGTCCTCCTTCTCAATCTTCTCAATCTAATGAAATAAAATAAGTACAAGAGAGGGCGAAAACTAAGAACCTGATTAATCTGAAGCGTCTCGCCACGATCGCGCTTCTCCTTCAGTTTTGCAATATCGTCTACCTAAAGAATTGGGATTCAAAGCTATAATTTTTCAGCACAAACCTTTTTCTGAAGTGCGCGGATCTTCTTTTCTGCTTCGCTGAGCACTTGCTGTACCTTGGTCCCACCCGCAGCAGGAGGAGCGGCGGCCTTGGCACCTAAATTGACAGTTCGCAAAAATAAAAATAGACAAACCATTCCCATTCCTCAAATGCGGGGGCACGTATGCGCCGGCCTTCTTGACGGCACCGGCAGCAATGAGGGTCGCTTGCTGATCACCGTTGGTCTTTTTCAGCAAAAGGCCCGCCTAAAAACACTAATATAAAACGCCAGCTTTTTGTCCATGCCTGCATCTTCTGGTCCGAGGTGAGCGGTTGCACGTTGAATTCATAGAGGCTGCTCTTCGGCCACGGACGGAATTGGGCCTAAAGGAGACAGTCATCGTCTGCACCGACTCCACGTACCTGCCATAGCTCCTCATTGGGCGAATCATAGAGGCACTCTTGAAGAAGCTTTCCGCTGTAGTGCCACAAACTACAAAATTTGACGTCCTTAGCAGGATAACAATGTCTACCGGTAATTGTTATCAATGCGTAGCCGGGGTGTAGTAGTGGCCGTCAGGAAGTGGCGACCATCGGGTGCCCATTCAAAATACGTAGTATTCGGCACCTCTATCTACAAAGGAAATATTCCCTTTCAACGAGAGATTTACCGAGATGATGAGCTTCCGCTTCTCGGTATCCCAAAATTCCATTTTTCCCAGCGAGAGGTTGCCGAAACCACAGACCAGCAAGATGTTGCCGAACACATTGTAGTGGATATCGTTACTAAATAGAGGCCTTAGATCGTGAAAAGACAAAATACCGGGGTCCTTCTTGCAAGTCGAAAACAGGGTCCCCACGGAAATTGTAGAATGTTACCTAAACGCCGCGTAGATATTATCCACTAAGAAAAGAATACCTTAGCAGGCATATATCCGTAGCACACAGCAAACTCAGTCCCTTTCGGGCTCCATCGAACGGCGTAAACAGGCCCATTTTTACCCAGATTAATCGGACACGAGTCACCTACACGGACGTTCGAAACTAAGTAATTTTTTATACCCGTCATGACGTTGATCAAATATAAATACGATTGGCCATAGTAAGACTTGTTGGTCGAATCCACCTCCACATGGGCCAAAATCAACACCGCCGTACCTAACGGAAATTACAAAATTGGTTACAAAACTTACTTTTGCTATTCCAGAACAGCACCGTCTTATCGCCGTTGAAAAAATTCTTGGTGTTAACGACGGAAAACTTGGGGTCGACCCGGCAGACATGAACGTTACCAGCAGCCGCCTGGAAGTAGAAAATAATCAGTACAAAACTTTAACCTACGCCCTGAGGTGGGGTGAAGATGGCAATGTATTGGCCGTTCGGGGAAAGGGCGTAGTTGTCAAATTTCGGGAAGCTCTTCTTGAAGACAAATTTCGCTAAAAATGAGATATGCAAAGAAACTCTAGAGCAATATACAGAAAAGTTCTTCGCCGATGCCTTGATGAACCAAAATTTCGCTGCCGGCCTGTCGGATCATCACCTTTTCATCTTCAGAAAACACCGGCTTCCACGTCGCCTATAATGCAAAATTAGCGACTGTCCGAAGCATTACCTGTTTGTGTGAAATCAAGGCAGTCACCGGCGAGCCGTCGTTCGTGTTAAAAATTCGGAGATTCGGGTCAGGGGTTTGACTTTGGCCCTACAAAAAGAAAATAGTGAAAACTTGAATAGCCTACCTCGCCAGCATAGGTAACGTACGGCTCCCAGAGCATAAAGTATGTGTCCTTTGGCGAGAAGGCGATACTCATCGTACGTTTGAGATCCAGCGTGACCACCACCTTGTTTGTGTCCAGATCGATTAACTCGGTTCTAAATCATTGTAAAAAAGAGTTGAAAATAGTTTACTTGGTGGTATCACAATATAAAAAGAAACGGCCGCCATTGCTGTATTCGAAGACACGACACGGGCGATCCTTCAAGGGCCTAAACGGGGATAAAGAGTATATTTTCGAATATACCGTAGATCGTCCGGCGGAAATGGCTTCACCGCACCAGGTTGTCCCAAGCGCAATCCCGTGGAGCCACGGATCGCGACGGAGAGGTTCTCGGCCATTAGAAACCTGTAATTAATAAAATAGTTTTGGGAGAGTTTCATCTTATGACTCCTGTCCAAGAAGCCTTTTTAGCCCGAAATCGAGGCAATCGAAATTAAAATTGTTTTCATTGGCAAAAAAAGTTTTTCCCGCGGAATTTCGGACGTTAAAAACGATTTCAACATGTGTCTAGCAATTCCTGCCCGAAAATTAGCTTCTTTGGATGAGACGGTGGAGTGCAATATAGCGTGGTTTTGAGCGGAATGCACAAAACAACAAACCTAGCGGTTCATAATAAGAAGAAAAGCACAAAGAAAATGAATTAATCACAGAGTTTCAATTTCTTTTCGTAAAATGAAGATTGAGGAAAAAAGGAAAACGCTGCGGCGAATTCCGTAACCAGCCGGCTGGCACCATAATACTGTCTATAGTAAGGTGCGGAATCATCTCAAAGCAATTTTTCAATTTTTTTTTCAGGAAACCGCTAATAAAACCCTCGTTTTTATTATAAGTTCTTGTCGAGCAATATTTACTCCTTTCGAAAGGTTTCGACTGAATTTCGGTGGATTTCGTCATATCAGCGCCCCAAACGTGACAAGTATACTCTTGGTCAGGTGTCAGGCGCAAAATCGGCCCCGGCAATAGCTTTCTTGAAGCTTTTCAAAAATTTCGAAAATTTCGATGATGATGGCCGGCCCTGGGGCACTCGAAACGGAAAAAAGGGGGAAGAGTCCAAAAAGATGGCGGCTCCAAAGTACACGCCGGGTGCTGCCCCCCACATCAGAGTAGTACACTGCACAGCCGGCTGGGAAGAAAAAAACAGCCGGAATCCGGTCCAGTGGCCGTTTCTTCCTCTTCATTTTTCTCGAAATCGGCAAATTCATAACCGAAATTGACTTTTTTTTAGGCTTGGGGGGTGGGGTGAGGCAGATTGCGGCGCAAGCCTGGATTTTTAGAAATAGCCGATTATTTGTATATCTTTTAGTTATTCCTGAGTATAAAAATGTCACAACTTTTATTGACAATTTAATTTTGAGTCGAGAGATCGGTTTTATGGACCCAAAATACCCCAAATTTCGGCGTTCTGAAGCCTTTTGTTATCTCTTTTATGAACATTTTGAGCTGAAATCGAGTTAAAATTTACTAAAAATAAGAGGAAAATACTTTATTCACTTGTATAGAATCCCGAATTCCTTTGCCGCGAGCGTTTTCGTACTCCTTGGAAACTCTAGTTCCATTTTTCTAGCAAAAATGGCGGCTCCACCGGCTGAGAAGAAGACCATACCGAACAGCGTGAAGTTCGCCTTCGGAGGTCTTTCCGGGTAACTTTTATCTCCCCTAAAAATTCAACCCGTTCAGGATGGGTGCGACCGTGTTCGTGCAGCCGCTCGACTTGGTGAAGAACCGAATGCAGATGGCGAGTAAGGCGGTAGGCCTCCAGACGTGTTTCTAAAAATTAGTTTTAGGAATACAGCTCGTCCTTCCAAGCGCTGCGCTCAATTATGAAGACCGAGGGACTGTTCGCGTTGTACAACGGGCTTTCCGCCGGGCTTCTTCGTCAGGCGACCTACACGACCACTCGTCTCGGCGTGTACACATATCTTTTTGAGCAGTTTTCGATGTAAGTTTCGGGGTTATGCTTTGTTATGCTAGTTTTCACGATAGTTTTGAAGCTGACCTGTTTTTTTTAGGAAAACTCAGGGAAGCCCGTCGTTCATCGCGAAAGCAGGGATCGGTATGACGGCCGGTGCTATTGGGTCTTTCGTTGGTACTCCGGCTGAACTTGCGTTAATTAGGTGAATTTTGGCGTTTTGTCTACCTCTTCGGTTGAAAGTTCGTCTTCAAAATTCATCACATCTCTTATGCATAATTTTATCAAACTGTTGCCTTTTAGAATGACAAGTGACGGACGGCTTCCCGTCGATCAGCGTCGCAATTATAAGAATGTCTTTGATGCCCTGTTGAGGACAGTTCGCGAGGAGGGCGTGCTCACTTTGTGGAGGGTAATTTTGGGATCTAATCTCAAGATGTTAATTCAGGGATGCGGCCCTACTGTCATTCGAGCGATGGTGGTGAATGCTGCTCAACTGGCGACATATTCTCAGGCGAAACAGGCTTTCTTGGACTCGGGTTATGTCAAGGTGAGCCATCTACTTTTTTTTTGTAAACAACGACGCTTAGGACGGTATTTTCTGCCATTTCTTGGCTTCGATGTGCTCCGGATTGGCGACGACGATAGCTTCCATGCCGGTTGATATTGCTAAAACGAGGTGTGGCGATTTTCACAAAAACGACATTTTTGTGCTTCCGATTTACCTGAGAGCAAATTTTTATATTTTCGCTGAAACCTACCTGGTAATCTTATATAGCTGTTTTCGCAGTTTTTTAGTATGAGAATTTTACAAAATTCTAAATTCTTTCAAGATTTTCTTTCATTTTACTATATTTTGTGACCAATTTTTATCATTTTATGATGGTTTACAGCCAAAAACTGAGGAGTAACTAGGTTATATTTCGTTATAGGATCGTACAGGAATAGTGTGAAAAAATAGTTGCTCACCTATCCCCCCGCTAAGCGTCAAGCACCCTTCCTCCACCTTTATCCTCAAATTTTGCTTTAGAATCCAATCCATGCGCATCGTTGACGGCAAGCCTGAATACAAGAACGCAATCGACGTCTGGGCCAAGGTGAGCTAATTTTCCCGTTGCGAAATCGGCCGTGTTTCGCAAATTGCTCCGCTCTTTTAGAAACCTTTTCAATACACTATTTGTCTTTAGGTGATCCGCAACGAGGGTGTATTTGCGCTGTGGAAGGGCTTCACACCCTATTATTTCCGACTGGGCCCCCACACGGTCATCACCTTCATCTTCCTCGAGCAGATGAACTCCTTCTACTACAAATACGTGCTCGGCGAGGAGGGCCGCGCGATGTTGTAGCGTGGCGGTGCCGGGAAAGCATTTGACCGTTTCCTTGATTGATAACCCCGTGTGTTTTACGTTGCCATTCTTTGTACCTCTACACTAGCTTTAGCGCATAATTTCCGGTGAGCGCCCTCGAATAAATGTCTATAGATAAGGCGCACTACTTTGAGTACATGGATCGCTCTCGGAGGTGAGGGCGTAAAGTTGCTACATAATTTCGCTAACCCTGGATTTCCAGCATACAATCGCTGCTATTAATTTGGCGGTTCTTTCGTATTATCGGGGGGGTTGTTTCCTGGGCTCCAATTTTCTCATATTTATAAAACAGGGGAAAGTTTTTCTACCATTCATAAACGTAAAACCTTTTCCTACAGCTACGTCTAAAAATAGCAATAATTTTCGACTATATCGCTAAACATCGTTAATTTTGTTAAAACATGAGGCGCTAATATTATGTTACTAATCATATCTTGACTTGTAGACCCCCCCGATAATGCAAATGCTAGCCTTCAGAAATTGTATATTTGCACAGTTTTCAACACCTTGAGGATTCCAAGGGATCTCGAATGAGATATTTACCTACGCAGCGACTGTTTTGCAAGGCGCCGAGTTCAAGGCTGACTCAGCCACTGAGGATGCTCCTAGGAGGGTCGGGGGCGTGAATCATGGCGACTACGGGCATATCCCCTGGCCGGCTGGCCCCTTGTGCTATGGAGAGCATCATGTTTGTCCCCGGGCTCCCCAAGAGTTGCGCACCCCTCTGGGAATCTATTGATGAGCCGGCAGGGCCGATCGCCCCGGAGATCCCACTTTCTTATTGGGCTTAGGTGAACTGTGGAAGTGTGTCTACCGTATCCCGCCATGAAATCCGGGAAATTTTGCCTATTTTTCGTTGTACTTTCCCCGCGTCGATAACAGTGCTGCAAACCACTAAAACCGTTTTTTTTTGCAAATTTGCAACAATTCACTTAATTTTTCTTAATTTTTTTCACTTAATTTACGCTCGCTGGCGGACTATCGAGGCAATCGTGCCATTTTTATTGCATGCCGTGGACAAAACAAGCAGTCGAGCTTCATAGGCTGATTTTGGTTTGGGAACCTTATGACATGTTTTAAAAAGATTCTATCTCCTGGTTAATAGTGTCTTCTATTAAAACGATTATTAGATTTAAAACGTAGAACAGGTACAACGAATAAACATTTTTCTTCTTTTCTTCAACTCACACTCACTCACCTGTACACCGCCAACTTTAGGAACATTGGATGGCTAGCCATCCGAGCTCCTCAGCCCCGCCACTCCCCAAACATGGAAACGTGCACAACGCTCCAGGCCCTCTAGGAAGTAGGTTGAAGTTGAAGCTCGCCCACAACCGCTCCTGAAAATAACCGCAAATTATAGGCCGCTACAACGATTCGCCCACTAGCCTGGAGATCCAGCTCGTTTGCCCGGGGATTCGGGAGAAGAATTTCATGAGAAAAGGGAACACGGATGTCCATTTGAGAAATGACCATATGTAAGTGGCCGATCAAAATTACGATCTGCAGGCTGTAAGAACGACTCTCAAGCTTATTCCGAACCCACCCTTTTTCAGCAGCATGAGCGTCAACGTTGAGATTTACAATCAAGATAAACGCACGAAGGTGAAGACAGTGCTGGAGAGGAGATATTTTGAGGTATACAACCGTTTAAGTGACTAAAATTACGGAGCAATTTCAGATTGACAAGTTCCCGGGTGAGATAGCCGATGTCGGATACAAATTGAAGAAGGATTGTGTCGTGCTGAGCGTCCGGAAAAAGATCCCTGCCAACTGGGAGGCTCAAATCAGTAGCCAGGGTTTCTGAACCGCTCAAAAACTCCCCCTCTGCGCTGCACAATTACTTATGCTGGTCTGACTTACGCTTCCCGTTCATGAGCCGAAATTATTCCCACCATTGTTTATACTCCTACGCCAAGCTTTATTACCGAAATTCTGCCCCGCCCAAATTGCATTTGGATACGATCTCGATAAATGTATTACTACGCCTGACAACGCACTCGATCTTTTTTCTGCTAGATTGTATTTTAGAAGGAACTTACATAACAAATTTTATTCGCGAAGAACCGATAAGTCAGAACATTGAATGTATAAAAATAAAGAAACAAGGCGGGGGTCCTGAATCGGCATTGAGGACTGTAGGCTACCGACAGTATTTGAGTACCGAGACGATTTGGCACTTGTAAGGGAGGGTGTGATGATGCCAAATGCCAAGGGTGGACAGAAGGACAAACAATGAAAATGACATGGGGGGGCAAAGATGTGGAAGTGCAACGGAATGAGTGAGTAAATCGAGAATAAATTGGTTGCGTTTGGTTTATGACATGGCTTTGTTCTCGATCGAGGCGGCTCCTCCTTCAGCCGAACCAGCGGGTCCTGGTCCACCTGCCGACGAACCATTAGCGCCTTGATTCTGCTTCTTCCTGCGGCAATACTTCCGATGTGTCGACCAGTGACTCTGCTGGCATTGAACGGAGCAGTAGGCCGTATTCCAGCAACAATGATAGATGGCTTCTTGCTCGCATTGCCAGCACCACTGCTTCTTCTTCATCGCCTGCATGTCCCGCTTGTTCTTTTCGGACACTTTCTGGATCTCCATTTTCAGCGATTCACGATATTTGGCTTCCAACTCTGCTCTCGTCGTATCCAGTTCATCTTTGAATTGTGACAACAATTCTGTGCGAATCTTCTGCTGGTCCGCCAGGAATTCTTGATGCAATCTCTCCGTCAGTTCACAAAGGAGCTTTTCGCGGGACTGTTGATAGTCGACTAGCCAATGCCGCTGAAGATCCATGACCATTTGCCGAACGCGTTCGTCTGCCCATGATTCTGGTTCGCGCGGCTCCTCGACGCCGGCGGTAGATGGCTGCTCCTCAACCATTTCTGAAAAGATTGTGATTTCGAAATCAGAACAGCGTTATCGAAAAGAATATAAACTTAATAAATAAAATACACTAGTGTCTTTCAGCAGCTCAGACGTATCCAAAAAACCGATTGCGAAATAATCGCTAGGTCAGCCCCCGGTGTACCTAACCCAAGGAAACACGAAATAAGTTAGCATTAATGAGTTCTTCTATCTACTTAACTTGGCGCCATTTACAAATCAAATAAAAATTACGGTAACTAATAAAACTACTTACTGGACATATGAAACCTACTACTCGAAATCAAAATAAGCTAGGAAACTCCAAATAAGGAAAAGAGGAGTGCCCCTAGCGGGTTTTGCCTAACGCTAACGATGCTTGAACATTAAAAATGACGGTAGGACCGTAGGCTTACTTACGACATTCAAAATTGGATGGGGATAGCTAAAACGTCGTTGAGGGACAGTAATGCAAGGGTCGATACGCGCCCACCGCTGGGGCGTCGCTACGAACTACGGGTCAGGGCATTGGATAGCAGATGTGCCATTGACATAATCCACTGTTCAAATCCCAGATTCTCAAGCTTTATCAACCAGAAAAAGATCAAATTAGACAAATTATCGAGGGTATACGTAAACACAGTCGGTAACGGATCTATGAACTAAAGAGGCGGGTGGGGGGCAGGGAATGGCACAGAAGGTTAAAAGACGATATCTTCCAAACTAGTCTAAATGTCCTAGTAAATCCGGGAATGACTGAGCAATTATATTCTGAGGGTTATCATATTAGGTAATGACGGTGGGGGCATTGCGACCAGTGAACTTTTCCATGTTCGACGTTTCCAGTGCGATCAGTACGAGCGGTCGCAAGAGGTCCTGATTTAGCATTTTAAAGAACGGCGGCCCTTCAAACCTGGGCAGGCAGATTGAGACGGGCCGAGTCGGATGCCGACACATAGGAGTCGACGTACAACCGAATTGTAGCCCCAGCGGAACCGGTTCCGGACAGACGCAAGATGAAACGCGAGCCATCAGTGAAGATGATCCGAAGTCCCTGATATAAAACTTATATAAGGCAGAATATTAGCACAAACCTGCTTCGTGGTCAAGCTGCCATCGACTGGGTCTTTGTATTCAAAATTGTCGGCAATCGCAACCTTGTAGGAAATGCCGTTCGCGGACATCTCTCTTCCGACGAACGCCCCCATTTGAGCCTCCAAGAAGGTCATCAACAGGTTAGCGCCTCCGGCATCGACGTTTTCGTAATCGTAACTGAAAGGGGTGACTCACAGAAGCTGTAGAAAGTTGATACCGTGTAAACACATTCCGGCCATATTTCGCCCAGTGATCCGTGACAAGCGCTTCCACCGACTTCTCCCTCAATGCAATGATCTGCAACCACGCCAAAAACGCCCAGACGCCGTCCTTTTCCCTAAACAATTTCAGTAAGCGTCATAGGTCAGAAACTAACCGAATGTGGTCAGAGCCGGTGCCAAAACTCTCTTCTCCACACAGGACCATGCGGCCGGCGTCCATCAAATTGCCAAAGTACTTCCATCCGGTCGGGGTCTCGAAGACTTCCAGTCCTTTGGCTTTAGCGACTAGATCGACAGCGGCCGCAGTTGGCATTGAGCGTGCAAAGCCTAATTGGGTTGTCAGTACAAAAGATAGCAACGTACCTGTTACTTTACGTGTCTTGAAATAAGGAATGCAGTCGATATTGTCGGCAATCACGGCCAATGAATCCGATGGAGTCACAAAGAAAGCATTCTTGCCGAGGATCATGTTACGGTCCTAGAGAGAAATAAATACAGAGCAAAAAACAACTACCCCGTCTCCGTCAAACGCCGCGCCAATGTCGTGCTCTCCTTTCTTGAGTTCGGCGACCAAGCTGGCGGCATATGTAAGGTTCGGATCTGGATGGCAGCCCCCAAAGTCCTCCTTCGGCGTGGTTCTAAACACATCCATACATTCAAAACTTAAAATCCAAACCTCAAAAGGCCGGCGGCATCAGCTCCGAGTATATCTGCCAGAATGGTGCTGATGTAGGGTCCTGTAGCACCATGCATCGAATCGACCAGGACTTTGAACGGGCGGCCAAACACGTCCCCTTTCAGCAATGAGCGAATCTGAAAAACATAGTTCAAGAAAATCGAAATAAATTACCTTGTCAAAATCGAAAATGCTGCGCATGAGCCGAATATATTCAGAGCATGGGTCGACAACATCAACCAAGAAAGTGCCAAAGCCATCAACCTGACGAATTAGTTAAAAAAACAAACTATTGCTCGCCTCGTATTTGTTCTGTCCGACTTTAGAAACATCACATTGAAGGTCCGCACAAGTGCGATATGACGTCAATTTCGTCGTGATGTCGTAGATACGGTTGGTAACCTAAAGGCGAGTTCATCAATCAATACAAAGCCTTACAGCATCGGGAGCTGGACCGCCATTCTCGCAGTTGAACTTTATGCCGAAATCTCCCTTTGGGCCACCGGGATTATGCGAGGCCGTCAGAATTATGCCACCATCAATCTGTTTTCCCTGAAAAAACACCGTAATTTAGCAAAATAAATGTACCTGATGGCCGGCCCGGATGACGGCTGATATAGCCGGGGTAGAAAAGAAGCCATTCTGACCGACGATAAGATGTCCAATCTGAAAAAGGCATAGAAAAACAGAAAAAAAACGCACTCCATTTGCCGCTGCAATCTTGATGATGGCATTCACGGCTTCTACACAAAGGAATCGACCGTCTCCACCAACGACAAGAGTAGCGCCACGCTTAAAAAAATTGTAAAATATGGTGGCAGGAAAGCTAAGCTACCTTTTTGTCACAAAGTCCACCATCAATGACAGCTTGGATGAAGTTTTCCGTGTAGTGCTCTTGCTGCCACTCTTTGACCTAAAATAACGGAATTAGCTGGTTTCCAAAAACGGTCAACCTTCTTCCGTAGGCCACTCGTGCCGGGCTTTTGTCCCTCAAACGGTTGTACATGGATCTCGGACACCGCCACCATTCTGAAATATACAAAATTAATGGTACAGAAAATAAAATCTAAAGAAATCGAGCATTCATTTTGTTTTGACGGCAAAGCGATAAGATTGGAAAGGGCAACAAACAAATAATCTCCACTGATACACGGGCTCCCCGGCGGCAGTCGATATCTGCGAGTGAAGAGAGAAAGAAGAAAAAACGCGGCGAAAAGCGTGGCAAGTAAACAAGTGGTCAGCAGCCGTTCTGCATTCCGAGAGCGATCAGCACGCTTTAATAAGACCCCACCTAGGGAAAGGACCAAAAAATGGTCAACCTTTTCTTCAGAAACTTGCGAATTGGTTGGACAAATACGACGCCCACGGAAAAACACAGCTAAAAATGCGCGACGCGAAAAAGACGTGCGTAACACTTTTCCCTATTTTTCCCGCGATAACTTTGATGGTAGTTCGAATAGGCCATAAGCTATTAGTTTTCCAGCAGATTGGAAACGCTTCAGCAAAAGGGTGATGGCCGAGAGTGAAGAAAAGGGACCTGTGTAATGCCCGATTTCCGGCCCATTCCTCCACGGAAAAAAACAGCCACTTCCCAATGCATGTTCCCCAATAGCCGGCGAATCTAGGTACTTATGATGGACACTTCGAAATCAGGCGGTGAGAAGGGTACGACGCCATAATGATATCGAAAGGTGGATGGATTACCTATTGGTACTGCAAATTACATCAAAGGCCTTATAATTCACAGCAACACAGTCAAAAATAATATATGATTAAATACCGCTTCATAGCTATAAAAAAAGCTTCATTTATAAAAATTTATAAAACAAAAATCATTTCTCAAACCGTAGAAAATCTACTATATATAAATTTCTAATGTCCGTACGCCCGACCGACCGACCGCGACCGGGAATTCAACCCCGCACTAATGGGAGGTTGGGGGAGAGGGGGAGGGGCCAGAGGTCACAGGGGCCGTTCGCGCATTAATGGTAGCAGAAATCCCCAAACAAAAGAATAATTGTTAGTGGCGCCGAGGCGCACAAATGGACCGGCAGTACTTTTTGGGGGTACGGTATCTTTCTACCGATCCACGCTTTAGGCACCGAAAAATTACGACACCTAAATACAGCATTACGCAACGTTGTACTCACTCTTTTTCACGTTATTTAGTAGTTTTTGCATGAGAACGGTTGATAACAAAGCTTTATTGATGCCACAACGGGGGAATAACAATAGACCGGTAGACCGGTAGACCGCTTTTTCGTTCAAATTTATAAAAGTAGACCGGTATCGGGGCTTTATTGCAGCTTTTTAACCCGGTTTTTAGTCTTTAATGGAATTTTAGTTATTATTTTATTAAACTTTTTCTATTTGATACTGTTCTACTTTCGCGTTCTTTGTTTGAAACATTATCTAATAATTACGCGCTCTTCCCGTAATTCTTTGGCTTTTCGTGTATTATATTGATTTATTCCTCGTTTAATACTTTGTTAGTAATCCGTGGTATTTAAAACTACATTTGGTGGGTAAATACTTTAAATAGCATATATTTAGACTAGTTTAATAACATACCGATAACTAGCGTCGTTTTCCGTGCCTTATGTGTAGTAGTTCGTGCTTCTACATCACCAGAGCGTGAAAACGATTATTCAAAGTGAAAAAACCGACAGTAATGGGGAATATACCTTTCTGTTAAACCCACCGATTTCCAGTTCAAGGATATGTGGTACAAAGGAAAGAAACTATAATAGTATTATCATACTGTTAAATGAAAGACAAAGCTGTAGAGGTTAGGATCTTACTACTCTACCATACGAATAGTTGCTATTTAAAGTATTAACCAACATTACTAAAATATAAAAACCACGAAATACTAAAAGGTTGGACGAATACCAGGAAGAAATTATTGTAACAAAGGAAAAGCGTGAGAACTACGGAGATAACGCGTTTTGTGTAGATAACGTTTCAAATAAAATCTACCGGTCTACCGGTCTATTGTTATTCCCCCGTTGTTACATCAATAAAGCTTTGTTATCAACCGTTCTCACGCAAAAACTACTAAATAACGTGAAAAAGAGTGAGTACAACGTTGCGTAATGCTGTATTTAGGTGTCGTAATTTTTCGGTGCCTAAAGCGTGGATCGGTAGAAAGATACCGTACCCCCAAAAAGTACTACCGGTCCATTTGTGCGCCTCGGCGCCACTATAATTGTTTCGCAACGGTTTTTATTGTTTTTTTAGTATTAAAGAAAGGGAAACAACTTTCTTTCAAGGGTATTCTAGCCATTACGCGGTTCTTAGATGTTTTTTTAGTATCTAAGAAGGGGAAACAACTTTCTTTCAAGGGTATTCTAGCCATTACGCGGTTCTTAGATGTTTTTTTAGTATCTAAGAAGGGAAATAACTTTCTTTGAAGGGTATTTTAGCCATTACGCGTTTCTTAGATCTTTTTTTTAAGTATCTAAGAAGGGGAATAACTTTCTTTCAAGGGTATTCTAGCCATTACGCGGTTCTTAGATGTTTTTTTAGTATCTAAGAAGGGGAATAACTTTCTTTCAAGGGTATTCTAGCCATTACGCGTTTCTTAGATCTTTTTTTAGTATCTAAGAAGGGGAAACAACTTTCTTTCAAGGGTATTCTAGCCATTACGCGTTTCTTAGATGTTTTTTTAGTATCTAAGAAGGGGAAACAACTTTCTTTCAAGGGTATTCTAGCCATTACGCGTTTCTTAGATGTGTTTTAGTATCTAAAAAGGGGAAATAACTTTCTTTCAAGGGTATTCTAGCCATTACGCGTTTCTTAGATGTTTTTTTAGTATCTAAGAAGGGGAATAACTTTCTTTCAAGGGTATTCTAGCCATTACGCGTTTCTTAGATGTTTTTTTAGTATCTAAGAAGGGGAAACAACTTCCTTTCAAGGGTATTCTAGCCATTACGCGGTTCTTAGATGTTTTTTTAGTATCTAAGAAGGGGAAACAACTTTCTTTCAAGGGTATTCTAGCCATTACGCGGTTCTTAGATGTTTTTTTAGTATCTAAGAAGGGGAATAACTTTCTTTCAAGGGTATTCTAGCCATTACGCGTTTCTTAGATCTTTTTTTTAAGTATCTAAGAAGGGGAAACAACTTTCTTTCAAGGGTATTCTAGCCATTACGCGGTTCTTAGATGTTTTTTTAGTATCTAAGAAGGGAAATAACTTTCTTTCAAGGGTATTCTAGCCATTACGCGTTTCTTAGATGTTTTTTTAGTATCTAAGAAGGGGAATAACTTTCTTTCAAGGGTATTCTAGCCATTACGCGTTTCTTAGATCTTTTTTTAAGTATCTAAGAAGGGGAATAACTTTCTTTCAAGGGTATTCTAGCCATTACGCGTTTCTTAGATCTTTTTTTAGTATCTAAGAAGGGGAAACAACTTTCTTTCAAGGGTATTCTAGCCATTACGCGTTTCTTAGATGTTTTTTAGTATCAAAGAAGGGATATTACTTTCTTTGAAGGGTATTTTAGCCATTACGCGTTTCTTAGATCTTTTTTTTAAGTATCTAAGAAGGGGAATAACTTTCTTTCAAGGGTATTCTAGCCATTACGCGTTTCTTAGATCTTTTTTTTTAGTATCTAAGAAGGGGAAATAACTTTCTTTCAACGGTATTCTAGCCATTACGCGTTTCTTAGATGTTTTTTTAGTATCAAAGAAGGGATATTACTTTCTTTGAAGGGTATTCTAGCCATTACGCGTTTCTTAGATGTTTTTTTAGTATCAAAGAAGGGATATTACTTTCTTTCAAGGGTATTCTAGCCATTACGCGTTTCTTAGATGTTTTTTTAGTATCAAAGAAGGGATATTACTTTCTTTCAAGGGTATTCTAGCCATTACGCGTTTCTTAGATGTTGATGTTTTTTTAGTATCAAGGAAGGGATATAACTTTGTTTCAAAGGGTATTCTAGCCATTACGCGGTTCTTAGATGTTTTTTTAGTATCTAAGAAGGGGAATAACTTTATTTCAAGGGTATTCTAGCCATTACGCGTTTCTTAGATCTTTTTTTAGTATCTAAGAAGGGGAATAACTTTCTTTCAAGGGTATTCTAGCAATTACGCGTTTCTTAGATCTTTTTTTAGTATCTAAGAAGGGGAAACAACTTTGTTTCAAAGGGTATTCTAGCCATTACGCGTTTCCTAGATGTTTTTTTTAGTATCGAAGAAGGGGAAACAACTTTCTTTCAAGGGTATTCTAGCCATTACGCGTTTCCTAGATGTTTTTTTTAGTATCGAAGAAGGGGAAACAACTTTCTTTCAAGGGTATTCTAGCCATTACGGGTTTCCTAGATGTTTTTTTTTAGTGTCGAAGAAGGGGAATAACTTTCTTTCAAGGGTATTCTAGCCATTCGGCGATTTTTAGATGTTTTTAGGGTATCAATGCATGGATTTACCGTTGTTTCTGAGAGTATTCTAGCCATTACAAGTTTCTTCTATGTTTTTTATTCTGAAAGAAGGTGATAGCTTTGCTTCTAGGGGGTGTGCTGACCATTACACTTACCTTCTATTTTTGTTTAGGATCAACTAAGGATGTTCGGGGGTTTCTTGAGGGGGAAGAGGAGGAGGGAAAGGCTCTTTGGTTTTGGAAGAGGGGCGTAGGTAGATCACGGAAGGTATTGGCGCCAAGCGGGAAACATACTAAAGAGAATGGGAAGCACCCTGTATTGCCTTGCCCCCCGGGAGGGCCAGTCGATAGCAGCCGCGAAGCGGCTGATATCGACTGGTCCAAAGAAAAATTTCACTACGAGCGACGACACCTTACGGATAAAGTGATTTGATGTGCATCGGAGCGTCGTCTCGCGCAATTTTCCACAAATCGCCGGGTACTAGTATACTTTGGGGGGGCCAAAAAAAATTTTCGGCCAAAATTTCTCATTTTGCACTATTTTGTTCAATTTTTCATGCTGAATCGAATGCACATGTTTCCAGATTTTTTATTATTGCAACAACATAAGAATTAGGCAACAATAACAATTACTAGCAGGGGTGGATCTCCTTTACATGCGAACAAAAGTTGAAGAATGGATCGCATGCTTAGGATTAGACTTAGGCTTAAGCTTTGGCCTAGGCTCAGGCTCAGGCTTCGGCTCCTGCTTTGGCTTTGGCTCAGGTTAGGCTTAGGCTTATCTGCGGCTTGTGCAACGGTATACTACTGAAAAACTATTGAAATTACTTGTAATATAAATAGATAATTATTACTAGAAAACATGATCTAAAAAATCTGGAAACACTTTCATTGGATTCAGCACGAAAAACTGATCAAAATAATCGAAAATGAGAAATTTTGGTCGAAAAATTTTTTTGGCCCCCCCAAAGTATACTAGTACCAATCGCCGATTGAATCTGAATTTCTGCGGCAATTTTCTACTCTTTCATCGATTCTTGTCACTTTTCAAAATCCCTTGTGTAGTATTAGCCTTTTTTTTCAACCCGGTTTTTTCCCCTCGTCAACTAGGCTCCCGTCACCATGATATAGTGTCCGAACAATTTCGTATTAGAAATCTTACCCCATCCCGACCTTCTTTTCATAATGAGGTTCGCCCTGATTGGGCCAGCCGCCCAGCTAATTAAAGCGGACAGGCAGGTGGGCCTCTAATGAGCTGCATGAAAGTAGTCTTATTTCGACAAGGAGCTCTCGAAAATTCTCGGAAAACGCTTTTTCAAATTTGGCTTTGCGTGCATTGGTAGGGGTTCCATTAGTCGCATAGTTCAGCATTGCTATTGTCATGAGTTTCTGCCTTCTGCCACTTTCCCTGTAAGGCATAGATCTTTCCGTCGGAATCTGTCTCTTGAAAGCTTTCTGCCGCATTTAGGAGCATTTAAAACATCCGAACAGGCGCCGGTCTGTCAATTAACCGTGTTGTTTTCTTTTGCTAATGGCCACCATTTGCCGGTCAATTTTTATAGAGCTTTCATCAATAGTCACCTCTCAAATTTTTGAATGGGCTCAGCTGGGTTATCTTGCTCAGTGGGCGGAATAGTTTATGCCGGACGGTTACCGCATTGTCTAAACGATCTCCGTTCCACATTTCAGGTGCTTACTAGTAAAAGACGACTTAGTCGAGGCAGGATAGAGGTTGCTGGGGACGGCAAGCGACACATTTAATGCGGGCGAGCTCTAGGATCCCTTTGGTCCAAAAGTGCGTTGCTTGTTTATATTCCTTGCGCGTCTCTCTGGCCTATCGTATTATCATGGGAGCGGGGCACGTGTGCCTTTCGGATTCTTTAAACCCCTCTCTGATTCAGCCCCCTCAATAAACACTACCGTGTGTGCTGGAAATCGTCGGGCTCGCGTATCAGTTACCAAGAAACCAGTCATATTTTCGCCGATACTCTGTAGCAAACGACACATGCTGGTCGATGCCAACTTCTCACCGAATAAGCCTAGATGCGGAAAAACGCCCTTGAAAATATTTGTCCGCACTAGATTGAAATCCGATCCACATGCATCCATGGTGACGCTGCGTCGGCTGAGAAAACAAACGCCCCATATCTCGCTGCCGCCCGCGAATTTTGTGGCCGGAGCAGTATCGCGGGCGGTGGTATTTCCGGCATACTGGCCTACAGAAACACGTGACCGATCACCGCTTCTAATCACTTGCTCATCACTTCCGAACCGATAATGCCCCGACTGAGGAGCAAACTAAACGAGACTTCTGGCCCCATTCATCAGCCCTTTTCGACAATGAAACTTTGCTTTCGTTTTCTTTCACATAGAGCATGCAGGCTTCTCCCTAAGCGACAGGTGACGTGTCGCCTGGTAACCCCGTTCACGCAATAGGGCTTTCAAAAGCCGTGTTCTCCGTTTCTCTCAAATTACTTTCCGGCAATTGCTGAGACTCGGGTCATTTTCATTGCAACAATGTAGGTAGAAGTTGCATTTATCGAACTGATCAAGCTAAACTCGATTAAAATTTGAATATTTAGCGGGCACTGTCAGGGCGTGTTTACTTCGTCACGCACAAATGCACTCCAAACGCGGTATAAGTGGCGCCGCGCATTTCATCCCCCTCTTTTGGCCCGGAAACCACGAATCTGTTAAATATAGAGGGGCTCACCCGTTTGAGCGGAGCCGCTGAGTCATCGCCACCGCCTTTTACATTTCCATTGCCCCCCCCCCCCCTTGCCGTAGATTCAAGATGATTCAGGAATGACTCGGCTTTCGCAAGGTTCTTTTTCTGAGCTGGATCGTCGAAAATATATATTTTCTTCTTTTCATACATTTTGTTCTATTTCCATCGCGAAAAAGTCTGGTTCAAACCATGGCAGCCCCAAATCTTTAGCCAAAGTGATAGCTTGTACTTTTGCCCCCCCTTATTTCAAAAGAGGACGAATTTCCTCTTGGAAAGGGCAACGGCGTTCTTGTTTTGTTTGTTTTTATTTTTGGGACGTTGAATGAAAGATCCATCCGTGGCGCGGGTTTGGTGCGTCCCCTGGGCCAGACGCCCGGACCCGCCGGCCATTTTGCGAAATAGCCCTCTGCCTCTTCTAGAATGGGCACCCATCTCGGCTGGAGCTCCCCCGCGGCGACTGGGAGCGAGGACTCGCTGCCTATCGATTTTTCCTCGCCCGCGAGCGTGTACAAATCCATCCTCGCTTTCATTTCCGAAGCACTCGGGGGGCTACCACATTGCCCGACGGCAATTTTTTCGTTGGCCAAAGACGGGGGGCCCACTTGGGGAAATTCTCTAGATCGATACTCGACCCAACTCTCTCGTCGACTAAACCCGTTTGGGATGGAGGTTCCTTATGTTGAAATGTCCCCCTGGGAACCCATCGGACCCACTTCAATGTTCGAGGGCACCGCTCGACAAAACCTTCCTTTGCCATTTTCATTTCACGCCGCGGAGCCGACGTCCTGTGCGGCGAGGTGTCCGTAACTTGATCTTAATTCTATTTGCCTTTGTTCATCAATTTTCGGGTCGTGACCGCGCGTGCGCATTTTTGTTCTGTCCTCCTCTTTGCACTTAGTTTACTCAATGGACTCTGACTTTTTTCAATCGATACCTTGCCTGCACACAGACTCCGTTCCTCGACCCTACTCATCCCTGCATTTTTAGGGTTGTGACAACAAACGGGGCTGTTGGCAACTGCAGTCAGCCGCCGTGCCTAACTTCACCCCGGCTCACACCTTCTCGATGCTCACACTCCTCGAGCCCCCGGGTGCCAAACGTCCTCCGCATGGAGGGAACCGATCAGAGCAACATTTACTGCACCTGGGCCAGCCGGATGACGATCCCTACTTTGACGAATCGTACATACCACAAGATCCGGTCGATGCCCCTGCGACGGGATTCCTAGCGGTAAGGAGTTTAGTAACTTTTTACACAATTTTTCTAGTACTTTGAACGCTTTCTCGTGTGGAAGACTAGTTCAAGCGATTATTCGGACAAGTGGAAGAAAGAATTTCGACAGCGACCGTCTTTTTGTGACGCAGATCTTTGCCTGCAGCAGATCAGAAGAGTGAGATATCTCCTTGAATGGCCATACTGATTCCTTACTTTTTAGGGAAAAGCAGACGGAAATGTTGGTGCTCTGATTACTCGCAGCTTTATTCAGAAGGGCTTGAATGCACTCGGCAATTTTGTGCAGGTGGGGGTTTCTGAGCTTACATTTACGTTGCAATTAGGCGAACCCCTTCTCCATCATTATGGCCGTTATGCTGCTCTTCTCATTTTGCTGCTATGGACTCCAGTTTGTGCGCATTGAGACCGACATTGTCAAGCTTTGGGTTGACAGTAAGTTTTTCGTTACGGAGCATAAACGCCTTTCTTTCACAGAGGGCGGACGGTTGGATGGCGAGCTAAATTTCCTGAGCGAAGTACAATCGGGTACCTTGTTCAACAGCTCGGATGACGGGGTGGAAATGGTCCGCGAGAACGGCCTGGGCGGTGGCTATCAAGTCGTAATCCAGGTGAGGCTCGTTTTGGCAACATTTTTAACACTGTGTTTTAGACGCCGAACTACGAGGGCCAGAACGCATTGACGAACGAGCAAATGATGAAACATGTCCGGATTATGCGGGAAATCGCCAACTATACGGCCACCGTTGACGGCGTGCAATGGTCGTTGTCAGACATCTGCTTCAAGCCGGCTGCACCATCTTTGCCGAAGGACAGCATTGCCAACAATTTGCTTGATCTTCTCGATCGGATCATCCCGTGCATTTGGATCACGCCAATCGACTGTTTCTGGGAGGGCAGCAAGGCCTTGGGCCCGCAAAAACCCCTGAATGAGTGAGTACTTTATCGGGTGGACTAATCAGGATTTTAGCGTCCTTGGAATGGTCCAACTGGTTCCCTCGATCCCGTCCGGTGATGTGACCTGGCGAAACTTTGATCCAATCGCTGTAATCGACGACATTCACAAGATTTTCCCGCTTGGCACCCATTACACATTTTTCCAAAGAGTGCGTATTCGAGATCGATGGTAACTTTTCTTTAGACGGGCATCGGCCACGGCTATCTGGATCGCCCATGCATCGACCCCTTGGACCCGGAATGCCCGAAGCTGGCGCCGAATTACTGGGATCACTGCCCCCACCTCGACCAGTTCCTCGCCTACACCGAGCAGAAAGGCGTCAAGATCGTTCCGGTTGTGAAGAACGAAGGCTTTGACTTCATGAGCCTATTTGGTATCTAGAAAATACATTATTGTTTACCTATTTCCTAGGTCGACGCAAGCGCGAAGTCGCGGGTAACGTCACCGTCCAAAACGTCACGACACCGACAGCAACCCCGGTGGCGGCCGCAGCAACAACAGTGACGCCGGTCACGACTACGACAACGATTTCGCCTGAAAAACGTAAATATTCTCCTTAAAATGCCACCTCTTTATAGGATGCAAAGAATACCGGCAACCGATGCTCGAGTACATGTCGGCCAATCCTGAGACGATTGCTCAATACATCCCGCCATCGGCAATGCCGGCGCACCCAAAATACGGTCAAGTCATGTCGGGCGGTTGCCCAGGATTCGCTAGCGGTGTTCTGCACTGGCCCGAAGACATGATATTGGGAGGAGCCCGCCGTTCCACTCCGAATGGCCCGCTTGACTCCGCTGATGCATTGCAATCTGTATTCTTGGTCGCCTCGCCTAATGATGTTTACTTGCGCTTCAAGCCTAAGGTAGTGGTGATTTAATTTTCCCAAAATCTTTTTCTAGGCCGGCCGAAAGGCGGTGAAACCCGGTTTCAACGAGTCAAACTGGTCTCCTGAATTGGCCGCGAAAATCATCACTGCATGGCAGCGCAATTTCACGTCATCCCTCTACAAGCATGAGGAAAATATTGATGCTGATGGCAACGAACATCGTACAATCCATCCGCTCGCTTCGACTTCGATTGCTGATATGTTGGAGGAGTTCTGCCAATTCAACTACCTAATCATCTTTGTCGGCTATGGGCTTATGGTATGTGTAATGACGGTGGCTCATGCTCTTTTTAGCTCGTCTACGCGGTTGTCACTCAATTCCGGCGCGAGGGCTGCCTCCCCGCTGCTCATTCTTGCATGGGACTTGCATTTGCTGGCGTGTTCACCGTCACCTTTGCTTCCGTCGCCGGATTGGGATTGGCAACGTGGTTTGGAATCGAGTTCAATGCTGCTACTACACAGGTATGCGCCGGATCGAAATTCAGAGATTTTTGTTTAGATTGTTCCTTTCCTCACTCTTGGGATTGGCGTCGATAACATGTTCATGTTGCTGCACAATTACCACGACGTCGTCATTATGACAGGACGGGATGAGCTTGGGATGCTGATGCGCGAGACCGGAATGAGCATTCTCTGTACATCGATCAACAACATTCTATCGTTCCTCGCCGGCACATTACTCCCAATTCCTGCGCTGAGGTAGTTACCTAAAAACCATGTTTTTCACTGTTTTAGATCTTTCTGTGCACAATCCTCGATACTGCTTACGTTCAACTTCATTGCCATCCTGACGCTATATCCAGCGCTGATCGCTTTGGATTTGAAGCGCAGGAAGAGCGGCAAACGCGACTTATTCTGCTGTTTGTCTACCGAAAGCTTTGATGATTCATACGCCATCATTACCAAGCCCAAGATTCATGTTGGTTTTCAAATTCGCCCTAAAATATTTATTTAGGAAAAGAAGATGATCACGTTCGAATCGGCTAACAACAATTATCGCAACTTTACTTCTTGCACCGAGAAGGACTTTGATGAAGAGGATAACCAGCCAGCCCCCTATACGCTTCACTCCGGCATTCGCAACTATTATATCCCGCTGATCGAACGACGTGGGATGAAGGCCTTCATTCTGTGCTTCTGCTTCGGTCTGACGTTGATGGCTGCGGTCGGAATGCAGAAGGCTTCGATTGGACTAGAACTGTCTGATGTAAGCTATTACATTCGGGTTACGGAGTTCCTTTCAGGTGCTTCCTGAGCATACTGCTCCCGCGGCTTTCCTCAAGGCTCGTGACAAGTACTTCTCCTTCTACCCGATGTTCGCTGTGCTCAAGGGTCCGCATATTAATTATCCGGTCCAGCAACACCAAATCGACAATTACCGGCGGGCTATCGGTACATTGCGTATTCTGTCTTTCATATTGCTTTTAGGAGCTTCTGAATACGTCATCAAATCAAAGTCTGGCGAACCAAGCGAGAAGTACTGGCTCCAAATGATGCGGGACTGGTTGATTTCCATCCAGACAGCTTACGAACAAGCACTGGTGGACGGAAAGTAAGGCGCCTGTATAGGAAAACACGTTATTCTTTAGGTTCGATCTCGTCACTGGGCAAGTAATTGGGGTGGAGCCGAACAAATCTGGGCAAATCAAAAAACTAACCGAAGATGCGCTCATTGCGTATCGCTTGATATGCAGTTATGGGAATACTTACAATTGCACTAATCGGGTGAGTTCTAGATGTTGAAATCATAAACGATAATTCAGGTGGGCAAGATCAAGCTTGTTGACGAAGCCGGCACGATCAAGCACGAGAGCTTCTACAATTGCTTGAGTGCGTGGTACAACTCTGATAACATGATGTACTATGTCTCGCAAGCCAGCTTCTATCCGCGGCCACCAAAATGGTAAAAGACTGGCATATTTTCTTAAATTTTTGTAGGAGTGTTGATGACAACACTACACTACTGGTGCCGCCGGCTCACCCACTTGCCTATTCACAAATCCCTTTCTATCTAACCGGCCTCACCAACACCCCGGTCATCGTGGATATGATCAAGGTGCAAAAATCTTCTTGCGTTCAAAACCTCTTTTCAGGATATCCGACGTATATGCGACAACTTCACAAACGAGGGGCTTCCGAACTTCCCACAAGGAATCGCATTCACTTTCTGGGAGCAATATCTCCACCTCTCCGGCAACTTGCTGAAGGCCATCGCTCTGATCGCACTCGCCGTGTTTGTCGTAATTTCACTGCTGCTCTTCAACCCTTGGGCTGCTGGCATCATCCTGATCATCCTCATCTGCATGACCGTTCAATTGGCTGGTTTCATGGGATGGGCTGGTAAGCTGAAGTAGTTTGGGGTTGAGATTTTTCGTTTTAGGAGTGAAAATGAATCCTGTGTCGGCGGTAACGCTGATCACGGCCGTCGGTATTGGCGTCGAATTCACGGCACACGTGGTACTCGCCTTTTTGACTGCGCTGGGCACAAGGGTCGAGCGAACCCGTGCCGCCGTCGATCGAGTTTTCGTGCCGGTGATTCATGGAGCGTTATCGACGCTTCTGGGCATCCTCATGTTGGCGTTTTCGGAATTCGAGTAAGTCTTGCTGCATTTACGGTCAACCGCTTGTTTCTAGGTTTGTGGTGAAGTACTTCTTCGTGGTGATGTCGGCGCTAATCGTCATTGGGTTGATCAACGGGCTTATGCTGTTACCAGTTTTACTGTCAATTTGCGGCCCACCAATGGAGGTAAATTTTTTCTCATTCTTATCCTGACGCTATCGGGCTACTCCTAGCTTTATCCTTACGTTACGCTGCAAAACAGGATTGCCATATTTTCATCGTAGACTCTTTAACCCACTATTTTAGGTGCAACCTGTCGACGGAGGAAACCGTCTCCGATTGCCTCCACCGTTGAGAAAGCGATGCGAAGCAAACGACACGGACGAGGAGGAAGATGAAGGAGGGCTCGTATTCAGAAGACGTGGTTCCCAGCACCTCCGTCTTTAGTCTAAACACAATAGATTTTTGTCACTTTGGCGGGTCCTCTGCTTTACCACCGGTTAATATTGTACAAATCTGCCCACTCTCTTCCCCCTCTCCCCACCCGTCTTTTCAGGCATAATAATTTCTTAACTTGCTTTCTACGCAACCGCTAACAATAACAAGCCCACCATGGGGGCAGCATTTGCGCTTTTCAGGTAAATTCGCTCAATTCTTTGTACATTTATCAAAATACGTGACGCGCATGAGCTTTGAATTACCCCGGCGTTGAACGCGCCCGGCAATCCGAAATTAGCTTTACCGACCCCTCTGTGTATTCAGTTGATCCCCTCTGATTAAGTATTGGCCCCGGTCCATGATCTCTTTTTCTTCGTTTCCGTTTGTGTTTTCTTCCGATTAACGTGTTTTTTGCCTTCTAGCAAAGCAGCTCATCCATTCGGCTATTCGAGCCCATTTCACTGCTGTACACTTGATAAATTCTGTGCAAATTTGTTCGTGATCAATCTCAACCTGTGTACGAATAGTCGTCTAACTTATCTACTGTCGGGCATCTAATAAATTTATCATTTGCTGACATTTTTGAGACAATGGCACTGAAAGCTTTGGGGGGCGATGGTTCGCAAGCCCATATATTTTGTCTGGCCGATGGGGTTACGCTACCGTAGTCGTTCTTTTCTGCAGCACCCAGACCGCCTGGCTAGGCATCACAGTGCTCTTTTACTTCACTTTATCCTGACGCAAAAAGCGAAATGGACGATCTTCCGAATGAAGTGGTCGAATTTTTACTCTATTTTGCGCGGGTGATTGATGTAGGTTTTTGGTCCATCGTTTTTTTTAAATATCCCTAGGAGGAAAATGTTGCCGAAATCCACACTCTTTACGAGCATGGATTCCCTGACATCACCGATCGCTTCTTCCGCGAACGCATGTGGCCTGATGAGGCGACCGTCGCCAACATTGTAGGCGCTGGTATGACTGAATGAATTAGCTGGAGTTATTGGTTTAGACAACCATTTGTTCCTGATCCTCTACAAGGAGCTGTATTATCGCCAAATCTACGCCCGCAACCAACGGGGACCGCTATTGGCCCATCGCTATGAGAGCTTCATGAATTATCAAGTATAACGCCCAATTTTCAAAGTATTTTGCTTTTAGGATCTTTTCTCCGAGATCTTGGGAAGTAAAGAACCGCTTGCCTTGTCGCTGCCCAATATCTGGTTGTGGGATATCGTTGATGAGTTTGTGTATCAGGTGGGCGCTGTCTAGTTATTTCACTGTGTTTTTAGTTCCAAGCTTTCTGCCTTTACAAGGCCAACCCAGGCAAGCGCGCGGCCGAGGAGATGGATGAGCTGATGCATATCGAAGACAACCAAAACGTAAAGAATTCTTGTCTTGTTGATCTGTATTTTTTTTAGGCATGGAACATCTACCCGGTTTTGAACATTCTCTATTCGCTATTGGCCAAGTCACAAATCACGCAACAATTGCTTGCTATTAAGAATCGCAGTATGTCGCAACGATTGATAAAATCTCCTTTTAAGAAAACGCCGATCAGGTCGCTGACGAATTCGGGAAAACGACGCTGTATTTCAAGTTGGGCTACTTCTCATTGGTCGGGCTCCTGCGCACCCATGTTCTACTTGCCGACTACCATCAGGCGCTGAAGACCGTGGAATGCTTGGAACTGGACCCGAAGGTGCTTTCAATCGCTCCGCATAATTTTCAAGTTTAGGGCCTCTACAATACGGTCCCCTCGTGCTTTGTGACGTTGCATTACTTTGTCGGTTTCTCCCATATGATGATGCGGAATTATGGTGAAGCGACCCGCATGTTCGTCAACTGTCTGCTCTTCATCCAGCGCACGAAGTCGCTGCAGCAGCAGCAAAAGAAGAATTTCCAATATGATGTGGTGAGGCAAAAACCTAGTTTCGTTTATATTCTTTTCAGATTGGCAAGACTCACGATCAATGCTTCCACCTGCTTGCCGTTTGCCTTTCACTGCAACCACAGCGGATCGACGAATCGATCCAGTCACAGGTCGGATTTTGGCTGCACACTAGCCTTGCTAAATAGGATCGTTATTCTTTTTATGAAATGCCATGAAGCTGGGCACTCGATGTTTTTCCAGCTCACCGACAAGATGGGTGACAAACTCAGCCGCATGGCCAACGGCGACATCGACGAATATAAACAAGCTTTTACCACCGGGTTAGTAAATCCATTGTTGCGTCTACTTTTCTGGCAGTTGCCCGAAATTCCTGTCGCCTACGACCGTGGTCTACGAGGGAGGAAATCAGTCTAAGGAGCCGCTGCTTCGCCAGTGCCAGGCTTTCCTTGACGGAATCGAAAGCCAGCGGGCCGTCCCTATTTTGCGGGGATATCTGAAGGTGGTCGGAATAAATTACAGCTAATTTCAATTTAGCTGTACACCTCGCTGCCGACCCAAAAGTTGGCTTCGTTCATGGACGTGCACGAGGGCGAGTTTGATACGTTCCTGGGAAAACTGCTTTCGTTCAAGGTGATTTTTTAATATCATCATAATCCTGAAAATTAGATGCTCGTTTCCGGCCTTGGAAAGGGACAGTCCGATGAAATCGAGGACACAGAAAGCGCTCCACAGGATATCGATTTTTACGTTGACAAAGTAAGAGTTTCCTTTTTGTTTGTTTATTTAATGTGTTTAGGACATGATCTGCATTGCCGACACCAAAGTCTCGCGCCGCGTTTGCGAGCATTTCATCAAGCATATCCACAAGCTTGTCGAGGTTTTTATTCAATTTTTGGTTCCAACTTTAATTTAGGTGCAAAAGATGCTGAAGGTCGAACCGAAGCCTTGATCTTCTACTCTCCGCCCCGTGCCCTATGCGATCCCGTTGTTGCCTGTTATACCCCGTCTTTTTTCATACATTGAAACGTTGTTCATGGCTGTTCTTTCCTATTTATCGAAATCTTTATATGGCCCTTGTTACGGCCTTGCTCCCGATGTAAGCTAATTGAATATTTTAACGTTCGTAGGGCTGTTAAAAATTCAATAAGATGGTCCTTCTTTTCGTGTACACATCCACCGGGGGTCGCTAATGATGAAGGGTCTGGGCAAAAAAGGGTATGCAATTAGACATAGAGACACACTACCTCACAGACATTGTCTCGCTTTTGGGTAGAATACTATTAGGAGAAGCTGCATCTTTGAAGGGCCACCTCATTGGCGAGAAGCCCCCCCAATTCGTCGCTACTTGATCTCAAACAATTTGTGTTTCAACGCCGGAAGAATTATGCTGCTAGCCGTTTTCGACGTGAAAAACTTCCCCGGGGACGCCGTTGATCGCAAGACGAAAATTGGGCCCAGGGTGGGTAGAGGCGCTCTTTTGTCTTGGTGGTAGCGCTTCGTCGAAGATTGCCCCCGCCTTTTCAATTTCCCCTAAAAGCCTCTCGGCCCCGGGGCTGGTGAAGCGACTTTTTGGTGTTGGTGCGCTCGCTGGTTGACCCTGGAAGTGTTGAATTTCAATTTTCACGGGGGTAAATTGAAAAGTGACTATCAGCGTGGGCGATCTGTGGGGGGAAATGTGGGTTCTGCCCCTGGTGGCCCTCGGTCGACCCGGGGACACAGAGGTGCAATAGCGGCTTTTCGGAAGTGCGTTTCTTCACGGTCCAATGAGTGGGGAGGTTAGGGTGTGTGCTTTATTTCCTTGAACATGTTGCCCAATGTCTCATGACTACATTTATGTGAGGTTTTTGTTACCTCTGAACTGTCCTAATCTATGTTTATAGGCTTCGCTCAGAACGAATGACGGCTTGTTAGGCTTCAGCTGTTTAGCCGTGGGGTACTGTATAGGAAACAAGGTTCACCAACGTTTTTGTAAGAGCCTAGCCGACTTATTAGTTTCATATGAATTTTGTGTAATCCGACTTTTCCAGGGGCAAGAATGGGATAATAGGGGCCCTTATATTAGGCAACGCTTCACCCGTAGAAGCTCCTTATGCTTCTGTCTATCCAAATTTTTCTGAGATACGCCGGGCCATCGCCCAATTTCTCTATCTATAGCATGTAGTTTTTGGGGGGCGCTGAACGCTTTAGGCTCCGCCGATTATTTGTCGACTACGGGGGGGGGTCTATTCATTGGGTCTCCAAGGAGCTTATGAATATCCTGGTCGGCCTTTTCCCAGGATCCAACATTCGCGAAAGATCTCGGGCTCCCCCTGGCAGCGCCGTTTACCATGTTTGACATGATTTATTTGGGTGTTCCGCTAGGGCGTCATCCGAGGGGGGCTTCTTCTTCACCTCGCCGTTCATCCTCGTCTCATTTTGCATGTGAACCATCCGTTCTTTGAAATATTTGAAGGTTTGATTTTCGGGGGCGGGGGCTCCACGGGTTCGAGTGGATACCAGATATGGTCAATGCCGTGATTCGTCCAATTAGGACGATTCACGCCATCTACGACGCCGCCGGGGCCACCGGGGACTATTTTTGCGGTTAGGTGGTGGGCGGTTATTATTGGGACCACCATTTCATATCTTCTTCGGGGCTGGGCCATCAGTTTTGACGCTTTTGACGCTATTACGATGGTTTTTTGGGTGAATAGTTTTTTCATGATTTCTTTCAGAATCGGTTTCGCCTAGATAAAACGAATCTAGTCGTCTAGATTGAAAGCACTCAACGCTTGAAAACGGAGCCGATTCAAATATCTCAAAGCAAAGCCATTTTGTTGTCTTGGACGGTCCTCAGTTTGGTCTTCACATCGTAACGTATCCCTAGCTGACCCCTTCAGCCTGCTTCAGCCCGACATGCGGACATTGTGGACGATTTTGGCGCTGCTTGGACTGGCCCTACTGTGCTGCAGTATGCCGTCGGGATGGTATGGTGGAGAAGAGGCGCCTTACCTCTTCAAGCGTGACCTCTATGGCGAATTTTCACCGTGAGTTCGGTTTTAAGGGATCCTTATAGAACCTGCATTAATTAATGCGTTATAAATGTATTATTCGCCAACTTTACATACTTTCATAATTTAAAGTGTTGACGCTACTAAAGTCCAATGCTAGCCCCGAGGCCTATGGGTGGTTGCGCGGCTAGGCCAGCCATATTTCCGGTCACTCACTCACCCCGATTTTTCAGCAACGCTGATCTACGTGCACGCCTTATGAGCCTCGTTTCGGACAACAAGTTGCTCTCGGCACAACGCCTCGGTTAAGCAAAGACACGTAACCATTAATGCCCCCCTTTTTCGCCTTTGAACTCTGACCAAATAGCCCCTCGGGCTCGCATAAAGTGCCAGCTGTTTATTCCGCATGTTAAACACCGGGGAAACGACGGGAGAAAAGAGTGATACCCGGAACAATATACCCTGTGCACAATTCAATCGAGAACACAAAAAAAAGACATAAATCAATGACAGGTCAACGAGCCGTAGACAGAGTTAACGGAATTTCCGGGTAGCTCTGCTACTGTTCCGTCACATTCTTCGGGTGGGCAACTGGGACTGGAGGAGTTGTCGCGGCTGGCTGGCTGGACGCGGGGCTGCCGATCATAGGAGCTGAAATTGTATTGTTATCCGAAGGCCTGCGAATTCACTAACTTTTCGGCAGCGGATCCGTCACGTTCGTCGGGGTGCTGGCCGCAGGGCAGGAAGGTTGAGCCGATGCTGCGGAATCTAGAAGCATCATAACTAGCTTTTAAAAGGCATGATACCTGGCGTTGTAGGCGGGGCGTCATCGACAGATGTCGGCGGGGGTGGTGGTGGACGCCAGATAATGGCGTTTGGCTGGATGGAGATACCCGAAAAGTCCGTTGGCAATTCTAAAGACAGAATTAAGTTTGCGTTAAAACACCGACTCTTATCCCTGCTCTTCGATCGAGTTTTTCGCGATTCTCTTTTCCCATCGGACATGCGAGAGATTCGATCCATCGCTTGTTGAGCCTGAACATTCGTGATTTTTAGGGAGGGAAAGTGCATCGTATACCCTGAAATGATCGCTCTTCCGTGCCAGCCGGACACTTGGCGGATCGGCAGGGTAGACAGCGCGCACGATCCAGTTGATCAAAAAGACCATATTCTGGAAAAAAAAGATACGGATCCTTTGCAAGGCGACAAACCATAAAAAGGGAGAGGAACAGCACACGGTAGATGAGCACCTGCAGGAATTCGCGCGTCTTCTGCGGCGTGTCATGGCACTCGTTGTCTTCCGGGAATAGGGTACAGGGCCGCTCGTACATACCGTAGAAACTAAAGATGAACTTTCCAGCAATATAGCAACGTTACGTACCGGCATGAATTTGTTCCCTGGTGGGCGGTCAGTGGGATCGACAGATTACGCGAGTCGAAATGGGCGTAGGTGAAGTCGAAGTATTTCTCATCTAAAACGAAGTCATCTTGACAGAAGGTAGTCGTTTTACCCAAGCCGTTCAGTTGAACTTGTTCGGGATGATGGCTGAGGTAGAACCAGCGCGGGACGATGTCGGTGGTGAAAGCCAGCACAAAGCCCTAAAAGAGGAAAAGTATTATTTTCCTAGCCGGTCTCGTTAATTAACCCATTAAACTAATTTAAAACATTTCAACTACAGCTTCAATAAAAAACTTTCGAAAAAGGCTAGAAATTTTTTGAAAACTTGCGTTGGGCTCTATTTTGAGTCGAAAAAATTCTGACGCCTCCCAGAAAAAGACTACGCACATTGACGATGACGGAGAAGGTCGAGACGGTGCTCAGCACCTTCAGCCAGACACCAATCGACGGCACCATTTTCGGAACGGCTCTCCGATTTGAGCGCAGGAACTATAGACCGCAAATAAATAGACTACCCATCCAGAAACCTTGATAGCATCTGCCCGAAGCGAGATCCCGTTGACGACGAGGGCCAGTAGAGGAGCCATGGGGAACGATGACGAGAAGAGGACCACATACGCGAATTGGATAACTAAAATTGCTACTTTTTCCGAGGGTATGACACTCACTGAGCCGGAGATAGTCAAAACACAGCTGCTGATTGTAGAGGGTCGGCAAGAAGAAGTCGGTCTCCCACTGGGGTAGACTGCGCGTACCCTTCCGTAGAAATAGACGGCGGCAGATACCGATCAGGAACCTTAGAAAGTTGTCTCCAAAATACCGAGATTTCCTTACGGCCTGCCGAACTTGAGCAGCTCGCGGAAGATCTGGGTGAAGCAGAAGAAAATGATCATCGCTTGGTCCAATTCCTGAACAAAGGTCAATACAGAGCAAAAAATGTATACCTCCAAACAGGTATAGGTACATGCATCAACTACCCAACGGCGCCAAGGCCCCTCTTCGGCGTTCGTGATTTGGTCGGGGTCGAAACGAGCGTAGAACAGGGATACGCTACGCAATTGTGTGAATTTGATAGATGGACCGGTGCTACGTTGTGCGTCCAAAGATGATGTAGAATAGCGGCGAGAAGTAGTCGAGGAATTGGAAGATGAAGATCATCTTCGAGTAGTGGTCGTCGAATTCGCGCTGTGTACGCGGGTTCTCCCAGTTGACAATCCAAAGACACGCAATCTCGCAGATCTGAAAAAATGACAATCGACGCGTCATATGCAATTTCGCACCCAATTCAATAAAAGGATGATGGTGGAATGGACGGCGGCTGAGAAAAGCGATGAACAGACGATGGTGATCCTGAAAAAAAAGCTACTAGGAAGGCAGGAAAAAGCCCGTGCCTGTCCAGGGGAAGTTTCAGCAGCTCGACGAGCACGGAACGGATGTGGTACTTCAGAAGATGGCAGCCAAAGTTCACCCCGAGGATTGTTACCAACTAAAATCATATTAGACAACCATGAACGGTTCAGTACCATGAGTAAGATGATAATCAATTCCAACAGGGCAACGGAGACGCGATGAAACTTCGAATGCGCCGGCTCCATTCTTGACGTCACTTTATTCAGTTTCAGCGTCCGATTCTGGGCCCGTAGAAACTCTGGGCGTAGCATTTCCTGTAAACAATAATCATTTCCACTCCAAAAGATGGACCTCATCGTGGACGTTGTCTTTCAGAGACCATCGATGTACGAGACAGGCCTCACGACGTTTCCAGTATTGGACGAAGCAGCTGGCAGCGACGCAGACAACGAACGAGTGAAACACTGGGGCCAACGCGTGTGGGGTGTAGAGGAATGGCAGCTGGAAATAGATATTTATGTTATTGATGCATAATTTGTGACCTGATGTGTGCAAAGCCCGTCGAGACTCTCAAAGTCGCAATTCGTGTGGCATTGCGGGCACATCATCACACCTCGACCACGATATGCCTCGCAGACGCCTTTCGGAAGCACCGGTTCACTCAAACTAAATTCAAGAGGCTTGAAATGGAAAGCAAAAACGCACATATTCAGTTTGCCCATCGAGCCGCTAATGTCGAGAACGGAGGTGATCAACTAAAAAAGAGGGCATCAGCTAACGGGGTTTTCAGGTGATATTGGCATTACGCAACGTGACAGAACGTAGCTTCAAATTTAATCCGATAGAGCTTCAAATTCTGTGAACGTCCCACCTTACAAAATCGAAACTTTAGACGAGTTTTCTTGAAGACGGTTATCGTTCAGCAATTTCAGAAATTGAAGCTCTACTGAATGAATGGCATCACTTCACAAAACTTCAATACCAACCAAAAACGACTCCTTGTAAGCGTAGGAAATACCTTGAACAGGAAACTCGGCAACGCGATGAACGCCAGCCACGTCGTGTAGGAGCCGAAGAAGGCAAAGTAGAGCGCGACTTGTGGACCAAAATACGACCTAGGCTTGCAATGCGGAAAGAGATTGCGAAGAGCTACCGAACGACATCTAGCGGCTGCTCCATGAAAAGCGCATAGAACGTAGCCCAGTGAATTGACAGCCATTCCCGCTCGCAGACCGCCGGTTTAGGCGCCGATTGTGACGACAGTGTGGATAATTGATGCTGCGCCGGATCCTGAAAACATAAGCTGTGTGGTCGTAGTTGACAACAAGAAGAAACGTTTGCAAATTGCTCACATCATGGATTGGATAGGCGAGCGTGTAGATGTTTTGGTCGACCATATTATCGATGCCAACCTAAAATAAAATACTTTCCAGTCACCAAAAGATGCGAAACCGTATGCGGTTGATTGTTGGCGCCGTAGTTGATGCGCGAGAGCAGATCCTTGACGATCAGCACCCGATCGGCCATGCTGTACTCGAGATCTTCGCTGCAAAAATAGGGAAAATTATACAAGACCCTCAGTTTCAGCTACCCGATACAAGTCTCCGGCATCCCCTCACTACGAAACGTCAAAAAACGAATCGCCAACGCGGTGTAGTTGAAGAGGAACGATTTGGACTAAATTAAATGCGTAATGTTGCTACAAAAAAGCTTGCCTGGCGCCTGACCAGCTTCTTCTTGATCCCAATCACATCGGCGTGGCGTTCAAGTACCGAATCCGGCGCATGGCAAAGCACAAAGTTGCGACGGTTGCTCTGTAAAAAGCCGTGAGCCAAAAAAAAAAAGAAATGAACCTCGCAGGCCGAAACGACGCGCAGGATTAACCCAGCCTCGATGAGGCGCTTTTGGTAGATTTCCCGGGCTTGGCGTCGCTGGCGCAGAATTTCGGCTCTCTAAAAATGATAGATAAAAACTTGATGATAGCTAACCGTATCAGGAATTCGATGTGGCACTCTGAGCACGTCGGCCACCCATCGGGCTGCTCTTGTGAAGGGGCCCCATCGCGTTTCCTCGGGTTCGCGGTAGACGAGCACGAAATCTATCTGGAAAAGATAATATATTTGCATTTTGAAAGCGATAGAACGAAAGAAAAAGAACATGCCGGCCCGTCGACAACGTCGGCGGCCATTCGGGTCGGGGAGTATAAGGCAAATGCCATTTTTTCGGCGTTACGCAAAAGATCTTAAAAGATGCTAAATAGGTGCAGACTAAAAACATATGTAAATCGTGATTTTCCGGAAGTGCTATATCTCTGTCCAGAGGCCCATTTAGCAAATCTGACTAGACCGTGGGAATCGCCATAGTCAAAAACCTAGGGGAAGTCGCGAGCGTTTTTCCTAATCCCACCGTGCCAATTGGCACTTTAGGTTTCCTTGTAGGTTCTGTGCCCGAAATGTCAATCTGAAAACGAAACAGGACAGAAAATAAACAGACTTTACATAACGCTATTTTTCTGAGCCCTCCAAAAGCGCCAAATACGAGAAAAATCTATTTTATGAGCATATTTTTCTCCTTTACCTGAATCGGCGCTATTTTATTACTTAGGGTGGCAAACCGTCGAGATCATAGCGAATTTTGATTTTTACTTGGGTGCCCTTTTCCCCTATTTAGAGAAACAAGCGTAATAAGGCATAGCCACGACGCCATGACGCTGTTTCCTAAGATATCTTTAGAAAGTCAGTGAATTCCTCTAAAAAGTTGGTGGTGCTTTATTTTGAGGGACGCGGTCTGTTGTCAGGTGAATTTAAAGCTTTATCCGAGTTGGGGGCAGTATATTTCTTGCAACGTTCAGTGATCAGTGGTGGCAGTTGTGAGGGCAGGCATTGGGTATTTGAAGACGATGCCCGTATCGGCTGGCAGATCGAGGCCTCGGCCGGCTGGAAGATTCAATGGCGAACGGGGATTCCAGTTGGCCGCGTTCGAGGTCGAGGCCACAATCTGGAAGGGTTTGTTTTGATGGTTTTTGGGGCTTTAACTGTTTGTGGTTTTTGTTAAGGCTGACCTGTGCTTGTGGTAGTCCAGCTTGATGTGGCAGTGTATCCAAGGATAGCGTGATCGTCGACACGCCAAAGTTGACGGCGCATACAAACACCTGAAAAGGTGGCCGGGTTAAAACGTTCAGAATTTGGATTTAATTTTAGAGGCGAAAACTCACGTTGCCCGAGGTGACGTTTTCACGCGGGAATCGGACGACGAGGAAGGCTTGATGGCTCTCCAGTGGACCGATGATTGTTTCGCCCTAAAAATCATGGTGATAATTTGGGATGAAAAATGGCCAAAAAAATGTAAAAATAGGCAAGCAGAGCGCGCGGCGGCGCACTAGATAAAGGCGTGACGTTCAAATTGGTGAATTTAGGACTTTTCCCATTAGAAACGTTTAGGAACGGTTTTTGGATATATTTTGACATATTTTTTTTGGATGAGGTAGGGAAGTAAGTGAATCTATTTTATTTACCTGGGATAGCGTCTCGTCCCGTTGTCGCAACTTGGCCATTCGAGCAAACATTTTTAGGAACGATTTGTCGGCGGCCCATTGCTTCTAAAACATGAAATAGTTTAGGAAATGACCGTAACGAACCGCCCAGTTGACATTTGGGAAGTCAGGGTTTGACGGAACATCGGGGAGGGCCTTCGAGGTGAACCCGGAATTCGTGGTGTCATCCCACTGCATTGCTCCTCGTTGGATTGGCACCTAGACATGACAGATAACTTTGAAATTTGAAATCCAGGTGCTTCGGCATTATCGGGGGGAGATTTTCGTATTTTCGCATCATCGAGAAATCCTGATAGTTAGTATTTCAAGTGTTTGATGACTATATTTAAAGTCGAAAACTACCCGAAAAATTGCTACACAATTTTGGGAAATTCGAAATTTTTATCGAAAAATCAAAAATTTCGGCATTTTTCAAGGCCTAATTTGTAAAGTTTTTACGTTTTAGTAAAAAACAGTTTTAGTAAATTCGAGGCTCTAGCTATCGTACCTGGGTCCCATTCGGCAGGTCGCGCATTCCGATTTCTTCTCCGTAATAGAACGATTGGGTGCCGGGAAGGAGTAGCTGGACGAGGACAAGCAGTTCGGCGTGGGCTCGCGAGCCAGCGCGGGCAGATAGACGGGATACAACACCGTTTGACAGCTGCAAAATACTCTTTACTATTACTATTCAGGCAAAGCTTTAAAGGTATCAAATTCCTATAGCGAGCTAAGCCGAAGCCAAGCCTAAGCCAAGCCTAAGTCAAGCCTAAGCCAAGCCGAAGCCAAGCCTAAGCCAAGCCTAAGCCAAGCCTAAGCCAAGCCTAAGCCCAAGCCTAAGTCAAGCCTAAGCCTAAGCCAAGCCTAAGCCAAGCCTAAGCCAAGCCTAAGCCAAGCCTAAGCCAAGCCTAAGCCAAGCCTAAGCCAAGCCTAAGCCAAGCCTAAGCCAAGCCTAAGCCAAGCCTAAGCCAAGCCTAAGCCAAGCCTAAGCCAAGCCTAAGCCAAGCCTAAGCCAAGCCTAAGCCAAGCCTAAGCCAAGCCTAAGCCAAGCCTAAGCCAAGCCTAAGCCAAGCCTAAGCCAAGCCTAAGGCAAGCCTAAGCCACGCTCGCTCTGAAGCTTCCGCTACACTCCTCTACACCCCCTACCGTACCTCCCAGTGCGGCCAGACGCCCGGATTCAGCGAATGGAAGAGCAGCACATCCGATAGAATCTCGTGCGCGCAGATGGCCACCGTTTGCTCGTTGATGTGGCACACTTTCGTGTTTTTCTCTACCTGAAATGACTCGTTATTGGGTGATTTTAGCTTTTTTGTGATCACGGGGTGCTAGATACGCAAGACTACGCAACAGTACGCCACGATACAACGTTCAAAAAACTGACATCAGCCTTTAGCGGGTCGTAGACCTGAAAGGGACAGTGGATGGGGAGGGGGCTTCGGCAGGGGGGATTCGATTACGACAGGCAAATCTTTGAAAAAAATGGCAGAAAAAGCGGCAGTAGGGAAATGAAGGAACACGGAAAATTTGGCGTTTTCAGCCCGGTTCGAATCTTAAGCCTAAGCCAAGCCTAAGCCTAAGACTAAGCTTAAGCATAAGCATAAGCCCAAGCCCAAACACTTACGTTCGTCAGCTCGTAATTAATGACGGTATCGAGTCCAGTAGCGGCCAATTCCTGCTTCAACCGCTCGCTAGCCCCCTCGGCCGTCGCGAAAAGGGCACTGAACAATATCCAATTTTAGCCAAATTCTAGCTTTTTTTTCTATTAAAATTAAATAAATTTTGTAAAAAATTAACTATAATTCAATCGATCGTAAAAATCCTTACATTTTTGTCTCGATGCCACTCTCCGTTGCAAAGGTGTCCACATGTTTTCGCACGTCCTTCAGAATCAGTTGAATCGCCGGCCAATCCTGAACAAAATCGATATTAAAATGTGAAAATCTCAAAGGTCATGATTTTTTTAGTTTTGTCAAGCTATAATCCGATAAATATAACATACCGGTTTGGAAAAGTCGGCGCTTCGCGCCAGGTATTCGACAGCTGTAAGGTGGAATCCGTCGACACCCCGCTTGATCCAAGATGAGAGGACTTCCTGGAATCAGGGGATAATTTTAGACATGGGTTCGCTGTATTTTTTGCCGCGCCGCGACAGGCTTTAGCTTCGCGGGCGGACGCGTTGCGGCTGCGTCGCGGTTTGCAGGAAAGTGCGGAAGAGTAAAAAAACTGACAAACATATGATGGCGCACGGCATCTTCTTTCCAATTCAAAAGTGCAGCCTTCGGATTTCCCGGTTCGTGGATGTACGAGAGATTCTTATGTACGGAGACCATTTGTGGTGGTGTGGAACCGGGCGGACGGCTCAGCCAGTAGTAGAACTGCAATGTAAAAGTATAGTAGCCTAAAATCCGAGAATAGTTCCCCCCTAGTATAATTTCGGCTGATGCGTACGTAGCTTCCGAAATGCCGTATGATCGTACATGGGTGTATCTCGTTTTTCGATTTCTTGCAATAACTCGATTCACGAAAGTCGTTTTTGCAATTTCGATTGAATATTTGTTCACATTTCGACTATTTTCAGTATTTTGAGTGGTTTAATGTAAGAAATTGGTGCGGGAAACATGAGAACCGCTTCTTTTGTCATACATCGCTTTTGCGGCGAGCGGACGGAGACGCACGCTATTAGAGCATCATTTGTATTGGTACGTCGCCAACTTGTACCGGAACTATAGTCGGGATTTTAGGGTAATTAAATTATGCGTTTTGAAAAGATGAGAACAACTCTCAAAATATTGCCTTACCTTACTGTAGTCCTTATTTTCGGGTTTACTGGCGGCCTGGGAGCGGAGAAACCAATCGTGTTGGGTGGAGGTCGTGGCCAGTGGAAGGCTGAGCACGACGTGGAGGTCTGAAAGCCTTTTAAAGGAACGTTGAAGGCAAAAATTACCCCTAGAATGCGCCTCTTTCAAGAACCCATCGGCCAGCTGGTTCACCCCCAGTTTAGCATCAAGCGCATGGTGGTCACGGACGGCATTCGAAAAGCCGTCGGAGAGGAGGAAGGGGGATGGCCACACCGTTTGCACGCCGCTTTTTCTAAAAAGAGGTGTATTTTTGGGTTTATCAAATTTTTTAAACTAACCTGAGGTTGTCCAATCGCTGGATGAGACCCTGCAGATCTCCCAGGCCATCACCATCCGAATCTTGGAACGAGGGGACCCACACCTGGAAAGCTTTGTATTTTGTCCTGAACATTTATCCTTTTGACTTTCGGACTACGCAACAGTCCTCTTTACAAGCTTACATTATAGACGAGTGATTGTTGCCACCATGAAAGACTATGTCTAAGGGCACATCCAGGTGATAGAGCCACCAGACACACCGCCACGATTAACATCCCAATCCACAGCACCCAGAACAGGATGAACAGGATCCATCTGAAAGCGAGTTTTGTACTTTTCATGATGCTTTTGATACAAACAGTAATTTTTTTAATAGCGTTTTGAGTAAAATGTGCCTAGTCCAGGTGGAAATACTAGCTAAAAACCTTAATAATTCCAATTTTTGGTCGAAAAATCGGTATTTTTGTGTGTTTTTTTTTTGATAATAAAATCTCTTTCCAAATTTTTCTATTAAAATTCGCATTCGGTGGTAATTTGGCGTTGTGCGTAATAAGCGCAGTCAGCCGTCCCATTTCTGTTGGTTGACCGTCTAGCAGAAGCTGTCCACCCACCCTGGCCAGGGTAATCCCCTTCTTATGCCTGATCTTCTTGACAAATAGGCGTTGTTAGGCGTCGTCGTAGCCCAAGACTCGACAAAAGTATACTACAAGCCTAGATTGACCGCGCATATATAGTTTTCTTAACGGATTCGTCTAGAAATCAAACGTGGGTTTAGGTTTAGCCTTAGGGCTTAGTTTACCGCCTAGTGTTAGGCTTAGGCTTCTGTCTTTTTTTTGCTTTTTTCCTTGCTAGCTTCATCGGTTAGTATTAATCGTAATTTTTCCTATTTTCTTTTTACGGATAAAAACAACAAACCTGAGCGCGACCCAAAAAGCGTCGTCCCGATAGGGCAACAGCTCGGCCTCGCTGATGCCGATTTGGCCTTTTTGCTTGGGTGGGACACCTGCGAGGGCCACGCGTTCTGAAGCCTAAAAAAGAGCTGTATGCAGACATAAAAAAGACCGAGTGCCAGGCCCGAAAAAGAAATTTTTTTCAAGAATTTCTGCTGGCTAGTCACTAACAAAAATGTTTCTAATTTTGGCTTGCTTAAAATACAGCCAAAAACCGCTTACCGGCTCGTAGCGAATGCCGGAACTGGAGGGACCAGGCGGGATCGGGTTGCCCTGAATCGCCGTCAGATAGCTCTCCGTTTTGTGCCCTTTATCGACCTAAGACGATTACGGTAAGTGGGCAACATGTAGGAACCACAGCAAGATGAACAGAATTTTACCTCATAAGACCTTGGGGTCTTCCCCTCGGGCCCCGGCATCAGTTTGTCGGTGGCGTCCATTTTGGCAATTACCTAGAAGTATTCACGCTAATTGCAGTTAACAAAAATGTTATAAACCAATCACTAAATGGAGAAATCTGAATGGAGAAAAACGAAAAACCGCCAGAAGGATTCAGTGGTGTCGAAAAAGAATGGAGGAATGAATCCGATGCCTGGCAGTAACCAGAGCCAGCTGGCTACTCTCGCCAGTAGAATAAACAAACCAACAGGGAAGAGACCCGCACGAACTCCTCCCCTTTATTTCAAACCAACACTGGCTCTCTCTCTCTCTCTCTCTTGCCTATCTCGCTCTCTCTCTCTCTCGCTCTCTCTCACTTCCAATAGATTCTCTCTCTCTCTCTCTCTCTCTCTCTCTCGCTCTCTCTATCTCTCTCTCGCTCTCTCTATCTCTTTCTCGGTTTCTCTCACTCTTGCTCTCTCTGTCTCTCACTCTCTCTTGCGTCCAAAAGATTTTAACGCGTAATCGGATCCCCGGGATCAACAATCCTGATATTCCACGTGAAAACCGGGATTTTTAAATTTATAAACGCGGTTGAAAATCGTAAAATCAAGATAAAAAAGATAGCCTTAGCAACCACTAACAAAGCGCCAAATTTGCTCAAAAAGCCATCGGCAAGGATTATCGAAAGCAACTTGGCCACCATGGCCCATCTGTTGGTGGGGATTAATGGGGAGAGAGGAGGCATTCTAGGGGAATTTACGACCCGATACACATGCCATGCTGCCATTGGTATATTGCCAGGCTAAAGAAACATCGAGAGAATCGTCGAAAAAGCAGAAAAATGCTTTAGTAATTTGAAGAAATTAAATTCGAAAGCCCCTCGGCGTTTGGCCGTATTCTAGCCGGTTGGGTTGCAATTTTTACCCGCGATGAAGATCTTTAAAAACTATGTACGGCCGAATTTTCCAAGAAAAATATTGCGAAAGAAGAAGTTTCCGATTTTGTCGGGTTTCGACCTCGAAATTTTAGCAAAACGGCAGAGGTTTTCTTTTAAAAATCTAGTTTTTCAGCGATAACTTTGTTGTTAGACAAACTTCTGCTCTAAAAATTCGACTGCGCATAGATTTTAAGGGTCCACATTGATGGTAAAAATTTCAGCCAAATCGGTAAGAAGCTGGTAAAATATCGAGGGTTTTTTTGGAGATACCCCCTGGCTAAAAATAGAAAAATATCAAAGTTTCAAAAAAATATAAAAAAACAGAAATCCGGTTGTAAATAGGAATGTCTCGTACTCGATCGCCGGGCCTGTCACATTGAGTTGCATGAAAACAGGGTGGAAAATGAGAAAGAGGAGGAAAAGGAGGGGAGGCTGGGGGGGGTTGGTCTGTCTGTCTGTTTCTCTATACAACTGTCAGTCCGTCGGACGAAAAGGGATTGATGCGGAAGAGAGAGAGAGAAAGGGAGAGAGAGAGAGAGAGAGAGAGAGAGAGAGAGAGTGAGAGAGAGAAAGAGAGAACACATGCACATGCGGGGGGTACCCCCCAATTCTCCCGTCCCAATAAATACTATTGGCAGGGTAGAGGACGTTACTGGGCCCCAAGACAACACAATGGCCCAGAGGCCAGTGGAACACAATGTGAGGCACAATGGGTGGGTTGCCGGTCCCTTTAAACGCCTTCAAGGCAAAGGCAAAGTACCCCGGTAATGAGTCCCCGACACGCCTATTGACAGGGTATACACGGCCCTTCTAAAAGAGGAGGTAAAAAGTTCACAATCCATCGAAATTTGGTTCTTTCGCATTATCGGGGAGGGCTAACTTAATCTGCAACGCTTAATCATGTAATAAGAGTTTCTAATAGTGTTATTTAAATTATTATATTTCAAGTGGAAAAACTGTCTAAAACGCTTGAAAATGCTGTGATTTTGGTCGAAATCGGGTATTTTTTTTGTCGGAAATCGAGATTTGTTGTATTTTTTAATAAGCCTTTGTAAATTTTTTGCGTTTGGGCACAAGAAAATACAGTTAAGCGATACGTCATCCCTTAGAAAAATCGGAAAAATTGGATGCTAAGGGAAGGTGTGTTCCCCCCCTGATAATGCGCAAGCACCGGAAAGTCATACGCATCCTTACATTACCAAAAAGTTATTGGGAATGTTGGGAGAAACTTGGCGCCTTGAAAAGCCGCAATTTTGTTCCCGTGGAGACGAAAAGCCGGGCCGAAAAGCAACTTCCGCTCTGTGCTTTATGCATTTTTCAGGGGTTGCTCCGAAGTTTGGTCGAGAGAAATAGCCGTGAAAAAATGTTTGAACTCTTTAATGATATGGAAAACGTTTCGAAAAATGCGTTTTTCTCATTAGTTTTGAGCCTGAAACTCGAAAACAAGAAATTAACAGAATTTAAATCACGAAAGCGTATAGATAATCCTTCGAGGGTCACTTCCGGTGGAGCGTGAGGTGCCGAGTATTCTGCTGAACACCCCCGTCTCTCTCTCTCTCTCTCTCTCTCTCTCTCTCTCTCTTTCTATCTCTCTCTCTCTCTCTCTACCCCCTGGGGGGCATCCAGCCGAGGGCCTAATCGGGCCGTGTGCCCATTCAGAAGAGAACGAAAGAAGAGTCTCTCCCCTCATTCGCAGCTGCCCCCCCCCATCCATCGATCCCTACGCAACACTACGCAACAATACCCTTTACGAGCTGGCGTGAAAAAGCTGTGAAAATGGTATTGTGGGCACGGTATGAAAAATAGCACCAAGGTGCGAAGTTTAATCTTAAGCCTAAGCCTTAGATAAGCTTGTCGCTAAGCCTAAGCATAAGCCTAAAATTCTAGATCAAACCGAAGTCTCAGTCTAAGCTAAGCGTAAGCTAATCCTCAGCGAAGCCTGAGCCTAAGCCGAAGCCATAAGACAAAGCCCAAGCCTAAGCCTAAGCTAAGCCTGACCGTAAGCCTAATCTAAGTCTAAGTAAAGCCTGAGCTATCCCTAAGCTAAGCCTAAGTAAAGTCTAAACTAAGCCTAGGCTCAGCTAACAAAGCCTAAGCCCTAAGCCCACTACGCGAGTTTTCAATAAACCGGTTCTATGCCAAGCTAGCCCAATTCAGATAACCAAAAAAGTGTTCGGTTTTTCCAATTTAATTTTTAGCAGTTCGCTTGTTCGTCTTTTCCATAAAGGTCATAAAAATAAAAATAAAGGATTAAAAGAGCGCTTGGAGATGTGGTGAGATGTTCAGTCGAAAGTGAGCAACACAGCCAGCACAACAAAAGCCGGGGAGAATGGCCGGGCCACCGGGTGAAGATGGGCTTGAAATATGACCCCGGGGTGTTCCTTGCCCAAGGCAACAGGCCCCACACTGGCATACCGATTAACACAATAATTAATGGAGCTTTTAACGCCCTGATGACACCAGGAATTCAACCAGATTCCGCTGTTCATTTTTGATATTGAGACGCTGACTCCCTGATGATGCCAAGAACGGAATCGGCTTTCATCCGGGTTTTTTTTTTAAAGTATGGTAACGTAACAGTGAGGAGATACTTTCATAGTGCCCTTGGTTAAGTGGAGAAACTATATCCTACTATATATAAAAAAGTAGTGTCTGTGTGTGTGTGTGTGTGTGTGTGTGTGTGCCACTTTGCATGCAACTTCCGTCAGGTTGTTCCAGTAGTATCTTAATAAGGGGAGTAGTTAAGGGCATGTTTGATACGTCATTAGGTGCGTAATGGCCTGGGGATGACTGCACGCTAATAAAATTTTGAAAAATTATATGTTTTCGACGTTAATATGAAGTTTTTGTTGAAAAATCGGCCAGCCTCTTTGTTAGGAAACAATTAGCATACGCCGGAAGTTGCGGTAGCCTATATAAGGGAAGAGAAGCAGCGTTTCTCATTTTTGTGATCGAAAATCGTGAGAATTATGCAAAGTGAAGAATATCATCGGACCACACGGGGCCAGGGTTGAAAAGTCGCGAAGCGGCTTTTTAACCCTGGTAAGACTTTTAAAATTCTACATTTTTGTCGGAAATCGGCCACTTTTGATCGAAAATTCTATATTTTTTATGTTTGAAGATATGTTTTAAGTTTGTCGGTTAGAGTAATTGTCTTTCAATTGTCATCCTACTATATATAAAAAAGTAGTGTCTGTGTATGTGTGTGTGCCACTTTGCATGCAACTTCCGTCACCATGTCCGGAGGATATCTCAAGAGGGGAGGGGTTTTAAGGGGCGTATGATACGTCATTAGGATCGTAATGGCTCTGGGATGACTGCACACATGTCAGATTTTGCAAATTATGCTATTGTCGAGATTAAATTTAGCTTTTAGTGAAATTTTCGGGCACCCTCTTTGTTAGGAAACAATTTGCATACGCCGGAAGTGGTGGGGGTCTATATAAAGGGGCAGAGGGAGCGTTTTCCATTATTTTTTCATCGCAGCCCGGGCGAATTATGCAAAGTGAAGAATAACATGGGCTCAGACGGGGCCAGGGTTGAAAAGTCGCGTAGCGGCTTTTAAACCCTGGTTGTATAATAATTGTAATATAAATATACAAAAAAATCTTTCAACCCAACACACCCGGCTTTCAAAGGCCGACAACCGGGGGCCGTTCGACCCTCCTAGTAATTAGCATCCGGGTTTGTTATATAGAATTAGATTATCTTCTGTATTTTGATAGATATAATTAGCATATCAAAGACCATCATTGTATTTCCGAAACGTGCTGATGGATTTACGACCCAAAAAATGGCGTGGACGGAGCTGGAAGGCGATAAAGAAGAGGTTTCACGTTTTATTTAGCGAAAAAAAAAAATTAGTTTTTCAGCTTGTTGCCTTCGCGAAAACGCCGGCGCTGATCGCCCTGGCCAAGAATTCGCGCGACTTCATTTGGGTCCGATGGTGAGGCCTATCGTTACGGTTAATGTCCCGGTTTTAGCTTTTGAAAGCAGCTCGCCCCCAAGCCGCCGTCAATTTCCGCCAGAACGCCCCGACTACTACTGAAGAAAATAAAGAGGTCATAGAACCACGTCTACATAGAAAAGAACACCACTTTTAGAAACTGGATTCTGGATTCGAGCAGCGCAAACAGCGCGTGGTGGGGCTGAACCAAGCCATGAAAGAACTCGGCGAGGAAGGGATGAGGATCTACGAGGAGGACGTTGGGACGCCTTGTTTAATGAAAGTTTTTTTCAGTTTATGGCAATGATGACGGCAAACGAACAGCTGCGTGCGGCGAAGGAAATTCAAAGGCCAGGAGGTACCTATTCAAGTTTCGCCACTGAGTCGAAATGTCAGATCGTGCGACTCGAGGCTCTGCTTGACTCGCGGCAGCCCGGATGGCGTCAGACCATGGAGTACCAGCGTACGGGATCCGCGTCCCAAAATGTGAGGATTTACATTTTGCGCCTAGCACGGGGACGGGCCCAACGAAAACTTGTCTAGTTTTGAAGCTGCAATTGCAGGAGGTGTGCAAGACCGCCACCACCGTGGCGCCCGGCGGGAATGTGAACGAAGAATGTGATCGAGTCGCCGATGGCCTGAAAGTTTCCCTATTTGACGTTAGTTACCTGCTTGTGGATCACTCGCCGGAGCTTTTAGATCGAATGCTCGCGACTCGAGCAGCTCCAGTACACGTACCTCCTCCGGCATGAACTTGCCGAGGATGACAAGGAGTCAGCTCATCTGAAGGCGTTGCTTCGTCAGTCGCGCCACCCGGGAGGAAGCAGTGCCTCGGTAAGTATCAACGCCATGATTTTGAGCGCCGGACATGTTTTTAGGGCTGAGGCTCGGGTGAGGTCAATACGCCGCCCGAACACGTTGTTGACAACCGGGTAAGAATCTGGGACTCGTCATTCTTCTACGAATTTTGTGGTGATATCATCTTTTCAGGGCCGTCGATGTTCGATGAAGAGGATCTCCAGCTTGGCGTCGTCGATGGTCATCTGCGCATCACGTCCATTTCCCTCGTTGATCCTGCCGTGAATGAGGTAAGCGTGCTTCGAATTTGCTCCGGCCCCCCCATAAACTGGAGGCGCTGAAGTGAGAATCTATGCATCGTATTTATTGTATGAATTTTCATCTTTGCAGAGCGCTTCCGAGGCTCACGCTGTATCTACCGCCACCGCCGCGCCCGGCGGGACGAAGACCCAGGATAATGCCCTTCAGGTTACAGTAAAAGATAAAAATAGCTTAAGCTCGTTTTCAGGTGGTGCAGCCGACCTGGTTCCAGAAGTTGGGCCACGCGATCCGGTACCTGGCGTGCTGCCGCCGTGGTCCGGACGACGACCCGCGCCCTTTGCAGCGACAGGCCGGAGGAGCGGATGGCCCCGCCCAGAACTTTGCCCAGCTCCACGTTTTCCCTATGGTAAGGACTTTCACAATGATTGATATGCAGGGTTTAGCTGCTCACCGCTGCGAGGCGTCAGGCCGCGCTCAACTTTCAGCAGCGTGAGCCGTCGACCAGCGAGGCTTACAAGGAGGTAATTCCATTCAGTTCCGTAGAGCGCGAGGGGCAGTTGATGCTCGGCTAGCAAGATTTTAGCCTCGCAGATCAATTGATGAACTTTTTTAGAAGCTCGACACCGATTGGCAGCAGCGGCTGAAGCGCATGCAGGTTTTCGGCGAATCAATGAGGAAGATGGCAGACAATGGAGCGAGCATTTACGAGACCGAGGTTTGCTTACATTTTTTATAAACTTCGATTTTCTAGTTGGCCAGTTTGATGGAGTGCAACGAAGCGATCCGAACGTTGCATCAGACGAAGTTTTCCGAGGTGGACTTCGTAGTTTTTCTGCAGGATCAAAAATTACAGGTCTCGAAATTGCGTGCAGAGCTGGACGTCGAGCAGCCCGGCTGGCGTCAGGATGGCCGCTTCTTCCAGCGCTCGCTCTTCACCACCAACTCTGTAGGTCTCGCGAGTAGTTCCAAGACCGGCGTTTCTTTTCAGCCGGCAACCACACCCATTACTGCCATTGACCGCGTGAGGATTTATATTTTACGCCTAGCCGGGGGATGGGCACAACGAAAACTTGCATAGAATATTTTTGTAAATGGTTGAGAAGGAGGATATTTTGCTTTCCTTACGACCGTCGCGTTTCTTTCAGTGGCGTGTTCAAGGCGTCGCCCACCAACTTAAGCCGCACTGCCAACGAAAAGTGCTCGAAGAGATCAGCCGACCGCCGCCGCATTCGATGCAGTCGCTCTGCCATGCTCCGCATTACCGTCCAATGCGAGCCGATGAAACCCGGGATGGTCTCTTCGAAAGGTGAATATTTACACCAAAATTTTTTTATTGGTACTGTTGTATTTGGCCGGAGGCAAAACCACAGGGTGGTTTTCGACATTTTCACAATTTTGCGGGTTTCCTTGATGCGCTTAGATAGTGGTATGCCCTATATATATACTCAGGGTTTTAATTATAGCCGAAAACAGTGTAATACAAAAAGTCATAGCAAAAAAAAACACAATAAGAATCCACGAAACTGGGGTTGAAACGATAGCTTTCGATATTTTCGTATTTTTCTCTGTTTTGGACACGCATGCAATAACGTATCAAAAAATATAGTAAGAGTTTTAATTATGGATGAAAACAAAGAAAAATAGAAACGAGTTCTAGCAAAAACAAGATTCAACGTCGTTTCGGCCTAGTCCCCCTGGAGTGAAACGTTTGTTTTCGGCATTGTCGTCATTTTTACATGATTTGTCGAACGCGAAGCGATAGAGTGTAAAAAAATATACTATTTTAATTTCAGCCCGGAATAATGTAAAATAAAAAGTTATTGAAAAAAATTTAAATTTGCTCCCGGCGTAGATTTTTGCTCCCGGCCAAATAGCACAGTACCAAGTGCCGTATTTTGTTAGCATCAATCTTCAGTTCCAGGAAGGCCTTCATCCTGTACTTCACGCGAATTTATCGCGCGAAGTATGGCTGGCTCGAAGGGCGCTTTGAGGCCAAGATGCAGGGCGGCTTCAAGATGGCGATTCCTCGGCGACGCACCACTGGCGTCGACTGGGTGCTTTCGAATGACAAGGAATGCGCCATTTTGCGTAATTGTTGCTATTTTTGTGTCTGTTGAATGGTGAACCGAATAAAGGTTTTAAACGTTAAAAAGAGTAAGCGTGCAGCTACCAGACATGGTGTCCCAAAAAACGACCGCTTGGCATTTGACCGCCTTACATCCAATCGGTCCCAAAACTGGATCTGAGATGGATCGGAGCCTGAAGAATAACAACCCTGAGTTACAGCGAACAGCTAAGTTCGTTACTAGTTATCGAGTTAGCGCAGAACACTGTTTTCCATTTTTTTTAGCTTTTTCACGACACTTCGCATCGATTTTCATAAAATTCGGGCTATTGATCCCTAGTCCCCCTTTACGTCTTGGGTGATTTTGCGTTATAAAAATGGTTCAAATCGCCACTTATTTGCTTAATTTAAAATGTATTTTTCTATTTTCATGGTCGTCAAAGTTTTTTTTTCGTTTAACCATCTCATCGATGCGTGATTTTTGTCGTAGATCTCGTCGGCGAGGAGACCCCGTTTTGTTGCCGGTCCGTTTTCTATAAATATCCATATTTTAACGGTTCGGAACTTTATGGCGTAGCGGTTTGACGCGAAAACAATCCCCGGAAAATCCACGGGAATGTCCCTGACTTTAGCGATTGACGTGGGGAAATTGAGCGTACCAGGTTTTCGAACTTTCAAATCCCAACTTGAGGTATTATTTTCTGCGAATAATTACGTATTAATGGGATAAAGCGAAGTGCTAATGAAAGCATCAGACAGAATTAAAAATGATGAGAGTAGGGGAAAAATAGGCTTTTTCAAGGTGTCGGCATTTTTCGATATTCAGAAACTAAAGCCTATTTTCAACATGTCGAAATTTCATAATGCCGAAATTCCTATTTATCGAGATTTTCGGGATTTTATCGTTTAAATTTTGATGTGGGCTAGGCCGGACTTTCCGGGGTAAATTTTTCGAGTCGGTTCGGTCGAGGTCAAAATCGTGGCCTTGGCCAGTGGATCCCCTGCGCGGGGAGTGGACACCGTTTGACAACTGGAAAATACTCTTTATTATTACTTTTCAGGCACAGGATTAAAGGTACCAAATTCCTATAGCGAGCTAAGCCTAGCCTGAGCCAAGCCCTAAACCAAGCCTAACCTAAGCCTAAGCCTAAGCCAAGCCTAAGCCAAGCCTAAGCCTAAGCCTAAGCCTAAGCCGCTTCGCGACTTTTCAACCCTGGCCCCGTCTCGGACCACATGCTGTTTTCCATTTGCATAATTGTCCTCTATTCAGAAGACAAAAAAATGAAAAACAACCTCTTCTGCCTCTTTATATAGGGGACAGCCCACCTCCGGTCTATGCTAATTATTATTATTATTAACAAAGAGGTATTTACAAAAACCTAAATTCAATAGCGAAAATGGCTAATTTTTAAAAATCTGATATGTGTGCAGTGATCCCTAGACCATTACGCACCTAATGACGTATCATACGTAGCCCAATACCCTTCCCTTCTTGAGATACACCTCAGGTAGTGTACCTTCATACACACACACACAAACACTATTTTTTTATATATAGTAGGATCAGTTTGTCATGGGTGCCCTCAAAGCCTTACTATTCCTCTGGCTCGCGCACCCATGGCTGACCCGTAAAGCCTTGTCCCAATGACAGTTTAACATATGGAGTGGCCGCCGCAACGCATTGCGCCGGCGCGTCCGCGCTCATGTTTATGCAAATCGCTCTTGCGACGCATCACGAAACCCATCACGTGCTCCTAATAAAGATATTGAGGCAGACCGTCCGCTAGCTATAAATGCACGGCATATGCATTTACTACTACAAATTCAGAATTTAATTTGAATTGGACTTCCGGTTCAAATCAAATCCGATTTGGTTTGATTCTGTCGGCAAATCAAACCAAATCTGGATTTGATTTGAGAAACTTTGGTTCTATAGCGGTAACCGGGACTTTGTATGAAATCGGGGATTTTGTACGAAATCGGGGATTTTAGTTTGGAATCTTCGAAATCGTGGATTTTGACCGAAATCGGGGATTTTTTAAAAACGGAAAATCGGCTCGATTTTGGAGCCGCCGAAATTGGGGATTTTAAAAAGGAAAATTTTGAACATTTAAAAAAATTTTTAAGAATGTTTACTTAGTCAAACATTATAAATTAAACTTTTTATTACTATCGGACAATCGGTCGGGCTAAAAACCCCGCCGACGGCGAGAAACGGCATTCATAAAAGTTGTCCGGTAGTCCGTTTCGGCTGAACCCGAGCGTAGGTTAATCTTACAACTAGGCTTGCTTCGACGTCGCTTAGCTTTCACATGAACATAGAGCGCTGTCAAACCACTTCCTGCCGTTATAAGTCCATGTGCTTAGCTTCGCTTAGATTACTTTGTGCAATCAACGTGTTAGAAACGTATCTGACGTACAGAACTTCCAAACCTACAGAAGAAGCCTCAAGATCTATTATTCAAAGCTAAAAAGCGACCACCACCCGGTTGTACCGTATATTACTGAAATAACAGCTGAATAGCCTTTGAATAAAGTATTTTCGTTACTAAATGTACTGAATTTAACTTAAATAGTAATTATAGTTCTAAAATAGAGCAACGCTACTTGAGCATCTGGACCCCCTAGAAGCCAGGCTTCACGATAATGCATCCTCTGGCATGTTGTAATACTAATCACAGTATATTATAGTAATAAAAGGTTTAATTTATAATGTTTGACTAAGTAAACATTATTAAAAAATCTTTTTAAATTTTAAATTTTAAATCCTTTCTAAAATTCCCGATTTCGGCGGCTCCAAAATCGAGCCGATTTTCCGTTTTTCAAAAAATCCTCGATTTCGGGAAAAATCCCCGATTTCTGGAAAAAGCCCCGATTTCGGTCAAAATCCACGATTTCGAAGATTCCAAACTAAAATCCCTGATTTCATACAAAAACCCCGATTTCGTACAAAATCCCCGATTTCATACAAAGTCCCGGTTACCGCTATAGAACCGAAGCTTTCAAATCGTCAGATTTTATTTGAATAATAAAATCTCTATTCGAAAGGTCATCCTCGACTTCAGCAACCAGCGACAACGACCTCCACCATCATGACGTCAAGCAAGGAAAAGGTATGCATCCCGTTGAAACTAGCTGATTCATTACTCAGGTACTCCTGCGCGAATACGCTGCGGCGTGTGAGGAATTCGACACGGCATACGCGTTCATGGAGCGGAACCTCACCCCATTCCTCTGGAATGTGAGCTATGCCGATCAAACCGCTAATTGACGTTTTTAGACGAAAAGGCTGCATCAGATGATGGCTGCAAGCCAGGCGGCCATCTTGGTATCGGAATAAACATACTACATTATGCTGCGACTTTTAGCGAGGCAGAAAGCCCACCATCACCGCCGAGGAGTTGCAGTTCAGCGTCGCCGACCTGGGCAGCAAGCTGGAAGTGATGTTGACTAGAGTAGCTCGAAAGTTGATCTCATCGGAACCTCATTTTAGGTGCACCGCCTGATAGACATCGAGAAGCAGTCGAACATGGGGGAGCCGAGAGCAGCAGAGGAAGCTGGTCTTGTGGGAGATGACGGCGAAGAGGAAGAAAACGGAAGCAGTGGCACGGATGACGGGAGTTCTGACGGGGATGAAGAGGAGGAGGAAGACGAATCGAGCAATCAATCGTCTCCCGAGGAGCCGACGGCGCAGACAGACGAGGAGGAAGAAGAAGAGCAAGGAGGCGTGCAGCGTGACGGCGAGAAGGCTGAGAACGAGGTTGGTAAATGTTTTGGTAAATAGCGTATGAGTTTCAATATTGTTTTTAACTATTGTTATAGGGGCCCCGAGATGCCGTTTCGATTTCGGGCATCTCCATCCAGCCAAATGCCATGATTTGGCGTCCCCCACCACCCCCACCGACATCTGTCGATGACGCCCCGCCTACAACGCCAGGTATCATGTCTTTTAAAAGCTAGTTATGATGCTTCTAGATTCCGCAGCATCGGCTCAACCTTCCTGCCCTGCGGCCAGCACCCCGACGAACGTGACGGATCCGCTGCCGAAAAGTTAGTGAATTGGCAGGCCTCCGGATAACAATACAATTTCAGCTCCAATGATCGGCGGCCCCGCGTCGAGCCAGCCAGCCGCGACAACTCCTCCAGTTCCAGTTGCCCACCCGAAGAATGTGACGGAACAGCAGAAGACTTAGGGAAATTCCGTTAACTCTGTCTACGGCTCGCTGACCTGTCATTGATTTATGTCTTTTATTGTGTTCTCGATTGAATTGTGCACACGATATATTGTTCCGGATATCACTTCTCCCGTCGTTTCCCCGGTGGTTAACATGCGGAATAAACAGCTGGCACTTTATTCGAGCCCGAGGGGCTATTTGGTCAGAGTTCAAAGGACAAAAAAATAAATTGTTTGTATGGAAAAACCGAGGCCACGATCTGCCAGCCGATACGAGCATTGTCTTCAAATATCCAAGCGCTAGCGCACAGCTATAATCTACCATGCTGATCAGCACCTCGTTCTCCAAATTTGCTACTGATGTTCAAAACACGAGATATTCACAGGCGGGTTTTGACCCTCTGACTTGTGTGTGCCGGGGCGCGCTTTGGCAGTGACAGGGTTCCGGACGCGCCACATCACACCTGGGCGTAAGGTTTATCGAACGGAATACTGTCTTCTGATTTTATTTTTTAGTATGATTTAATGAGATAAGAATTTACTTCTTAGATAGCAAAATGAGTTTTTAAAGGGCTGCTGGCGGCATGTGTCGATCCCCCCCCCCCATCAACAAATTGGCAAGTAGCCAACGGGGCAGAGAGCGCGCCCTGGGGAGAGGCGCAGATACATTTTCTTTCCAGCGCTTAACCGATTGACAGTGCCGTCGGCATCCCCAAGTGGCATATCTCGCGTTTTAAAGATCAATAACAAGTTCGGAAAACGAGTTGATGAACAGCATCATCGATTCTATCTGTGTGTAAATTTTCAGCCAATTCTGTGTCCTGGTTTATCCGGGTTCCCCTAGTAAAAAAGGATCGAATGCCCGTCTGTGCCCTTCGAAAAGAAAATTTTTATCATTTAATCGTCTCATCGATGCGTGATTTTTGTCGTAGATCTCGTCTGCGAGGCCGCCTCGTTTTGTTGCCGGTCCGTTTTCTATAAATATCCACATTTTAACGGTTAGGAATTTTATGGCGTAGCGGTTTGAAGCCAAAACAATCCTCGGCCGGAAAATCCACGGAAATTTCCCAGACTTTAGCGATTGACGTGAGGGAATTGAGCGTAACAGGTTTTCGAACTTACAAATCCCAACATGAGGTATTATTTTCTGCGAATAATTACGTATTAATGGGATAAAGCGAAGTGCTAATGAAAGCATAAAACAGAATTAAAAATGATGAGAGTAGGGAAAAAAATAGGCTTTTTCAAGGTGTCGGCCTTTTTCGATATTCAGAAACGAAAGCCTATTTTCAACATGTCGAAATTTCATAATGCCGAAATTCCTATTTATCGAGATTTTCGGGATTTTATCGTTTAAATTTTGGTGTGGGCTAGAGCGGACTTTCCGGGGTAAATTTTCGATGCCATGGTTTACGGAATTCTTCTGGAACATCGCAACATTACAAAAGATCAACTCGCCTTCGACACGCTGCTATTTACGGTATGTTCGGCAACTCGCATTGGGTGAAATATTCCGTCCCGCACCCTCCGAACCAATCGATTTGTCGTCAGAAATAGAGCGGACATCACGATTTGGTTTAGTACGGTGGTGAAACTGTCGAATAGACTGAGGGTCCACCATAACCATTCGTTTTCGATGAGTGGCAGGGTGTACTTGGCCACTTGTGATGTCGTTTGCGTGAACTGGAAGTGATAAAAAATGTTTTATATAGTTAAGAGTGTCATATAGCAACTCTTTGACGCTCTGACGCTCCCGGGCCTTCTCTCTTTCTCTCTCCCCTCTCTCTCTCTCTGTCTCTCTCTCTCTCTCTCTCTCCCTCTCTCACCTCCAATGACAGAGCAATCACGGCGGCCTGTTTCAAAAACGCCAATTCCGTTTTTGACCTTTTGACGCGCAGATCTTTCCTTCTAGAGTGTAGCACCCAGGCGAGCTGGCAATAGATCAAAAAGACGAAACAAGGAATGATGAAGGCCAACAAGTTGAAGATCTGAGAAAAACGCATTAATAAAACGAGTAACTCCTTTCCAAATCATCTGAAAACAACAAAGCTCCGAACTGACCGTCGATAGTAGCTCCCGGAATCGTGTTAGCGTATCATTATATTCCGGCAACCCGAGGATGATCATCGAAACCAGAAACCGGACGCCAACGTGGAGCAGAACAAAGCCCCAAGTCGTCCAGATTGTAATGCGTAGTTTAGTGCTGGAAGGAAGGTCTATTAAATGATTCTAAACCGTAAATTACCCCTCAAAATACACGACAAATCGTGGCAGGACAAATATCGACAGCCGATTCATGGCCATTAATAGGGTGAAATAGACGACGGCTTCTTCTGTAGAAAAACATCACTAATTTTTGACTTAAAGGGTGAAAAGGGGCCAAATTCGACGCTTGGAGTCGACTAGGTTAGCTCCAAAATGCGCCAAATTACGTCCAGATGAATTGCCTAGGCCTGTATTTAGGCCTGCTACGTAGCTGTTGAGACCTAATTGATCAAAGGGGAGCTCCTTGGAATTACTCATTTTTTAAAGGGGCAGACAAGGCATAATTACGCAATTTTCCCATGGATTTCGCATTGATTCTAAAGGAACAGCCGTTTTAACCCATTACTCCATGAAAATCAACCGTGCCTTGCGCATCGCGTCATGGAAAGAATTCCATAAGCAATTCTTTGCTTGCGCGTCCCTTTAAAGGCAGGCGTCCTCACCGGTGAACTTTGTGACTTGCGTCCCAATTGTACTCCAGAGATAAAAGATCCCGTTCGTCTCCTCGGTGTAGACGATCACCATCAATGGGAGCACCAGGGTCGCCTGGAATTTGGTTTTAAAGGGATGGCGACAGGACGGCTCACCTGGGCTATTAGGTGTATATTGTTGATGATCACTAGGTGGCGGACGATCAGGAAAAAGGGGTACTGTAACATGATTGGCTCTTTTGCATTATCGGGGGGGAGGGAATCGAATTTTTCCTAGGAAGCCAGAAATGCCCAGCATTAAAAGTAAGTGTCTTAATATAATTTTTAATCAATTTAACTATATTACAAATGAAAAAAAACTAGCTAAAAAACTTAGAAAAGCCGATTAAATTCGAAATTTTGCTCGAAATAAGCGATTTTTATCAAAATAATGACAATTTTTCTATTTTTTTTTATTAAAAACTCTTGGTTTGGGCCTTGGTTTTTCGCGTTTAGGGATAATAAAAATGTTTAGAAAACTTTATTTAAATTAGAAAATTGTATCTTAAGGAAAACCGCTGATCCTCCCTCCCCCCCCGATAATGCAAAAGCACCACAAATAGGCATTAACTAACCTCAACAAACGTCTTCCTCCCTCGATATAACACATACAAAAATAGGTTTACCGTAATCAGGCCGAGAATCAGAATAACGACCCAAATGGCGATGGCTGTATAAATCACAATTTTATCCTCCAATTGCTCCGAATTAATCTCCAATAAACTTTTATTGTCGAACGAGACCATTTTTCAGAAATTTTTCCAGGGTTTAAATGGAACTTTGAAGAGTTTAGTTCGACCCAGACACTTTGTCCTTCCGATGTAATGAGTGTGAGATCGGAAAGTGATCATCGGCGACAAAATTATGGCAGGGAACAGAGCGATTTTTACGTTTTTACGGTTAAATCGTCGCGGGAAAATATGTTATAAAGGTGAAACAACATGGATCGTGAATCATACTGTAGCAGCGAACATGAAAAGTACTTCTAAATAGATTTTATATCTTTTTGTAAAAGAGTCGCCCAGCAACGATTTTGTCGACGATTTGAAAGCCTAAGCCTAAGCCTAAGCCTTATGCGTGCTCGCTAGGCCTAAGCCCTAAGCCGAAGCCTAAGCCAGGCCTAGGCTTAAGCCCTAAGCCTAAGCACTAAGCCTAAGCTAAGTCAGAACTTCAGCCTACATCAGCCTAAGCCCAAGTCTAAGCCCTAACCCGCAGCCAAGTCCAAACCAAGCCTGAGCCTAAGCTAATCGAACAGGCTTTCAAAACTTGGTAAATATCGTAATTTTGTAAAAACCGGCCGTTGTGCCCCAAAACCGATATATTTTTTTAAAGCGGATTTGGTTTAGGGGTAGGAATTGGAGTCTAAGTATAAAGTCCTCCCCCCGGTAATGGCAAAGCACCGGCAAGGTTCAGAATTTCTCCGGCAAAATGTTGCATACTTGCTTCGAGTCCCCCTCGCTGTATTATTGGCCACAATGTCTCTTTCCACGGGGTTTGGATACCGTCCTTGGCCCGATTTCTCTTTCTGTCTCTCTCTTTATAGAGGGTACAGGGTACCCCGGGGGGCATCTATCCACCCCCGTCCACTCTGCATAAACAATCACTCCTCCCCACACCTTACACACCTCTTCAGGACCGTTGGGAGAAGACACGATATACGGCTATTAAAGGAACCGGCAAGCCAACACTAAAGATTTATGACCATGGACCGTGACACGCAACGCACGCGCTCATCTTGTTAACGTTTGACTCCAGTTTCCGGGCAAATTCGCAGAGATTCTTTAGGAAAACGATGTCTAAGGAAAAGCGACAGAAGAGATGCCGCGGCCATCCATTTCAAAACTCCCACCGGCCAGCTAGCAGGGATTCATTGCGGAATCGGATTGGAAGAATTTTGAAAACCAAAAAATTCGAAAAACCTTTTTTGACACAATCCATTCAATTTTTTGTAGAGGCTAGCAGAGTTTTTTTAGGAAATGACATTTTTAAGAAAAATGTAGAAAGCTGTAGAATGTAGTAGCTCTGTAGAAAATGCCCAAAAACTTACTGGCACCATCCCTTTAAAATATCGGCAGGCAGGCCAGCAGAGGTTCTTAAGGAATTAGGAAGTTAGAAGTTGGAAGACCGTCGTCCGGAATCTAAGGAAATGACGTGTATTTTGTTGGTGAGGAAGGCTGGGTCAGGTAGCGAAGGTTATTTACGAATTTTTTTATGCTTCAGAATGCGTATAATAATCTAGCTGGCACCGTCCCTTAAAAATCTCGATAACCCAGCTAGCAGAGATTCTTTAGGAATTTCGAAGTTAGATAAACCGGCTTTTTCTGTCCGTAAAAAGTAACGTATATTTTGTTGGTCCCTCTCTTCCGAATTACGCCACTGTCCCCAGCCCTGTTGCGAGGATGGCCTCGTAGTGGTTGTGGGTGTGGGGCTATGGGTGGCTATTCCCTACATATAAAAGGCCGTCCTGGCCGGTCCTCGGGGGAAAAGTCGGCCATTCCTTTAGAGGGGGGATGGATGGAAAGAGGGGAGGAACCCGCTCTGGCCCGCTCTACAGAAGGGCCTGTACGGAGATTTCTCACTCGCTCTCTCTCTCTCTCTCTCTCTCTCTCTCTCTCTCGCCCTCTGTCCAAGTCTCCGATCCGATCCACATCCCCGCCGGGCACATTCGGGAAATCAAGTCTGCCCTGAAGAATTGAGACATACTACCCTGGCTGCCAGCCGCTGGAATTAAAATTGATATGCATCGTCGAATTAGTTAGAAAATGAATTAAAAATAAATACCACTATGAGGATGATGATCCCGAGCCTCTTCGCCAAACAGCAAAAAATTTAGTTTTGGAGCGGAGTCGAACCAGGACCGTGAGATCCGCAAGCGAGCACTTTACCAATGAACCAAACCGAATTTGGGGCATTTAGAACTAAATTATGTTCACAATAATCAAGCGCTATCAGTGGCTTAGCGGAACAGACCGCAGCGCTAAAATGGATTGTTGTCGCACAAAAAAATTTGTATTAAAAAACCACAGAGCCGACAAATCCAAAAATACAGCAAAACTTCGGTAAAAGCTCTGTTTCAATGGTCCGAAAAAGTGCATTTTTTAATTTAAAAATGGGCCCATCCGATCGCGGGCCCTTTCTTTCAGATCGATACGTGCCCACCTCTCCTTTGACGCGCCTGCATAAATAATCGCCGAATCGCCGATTTTTCGCACATTTTGAGGGTGGATCTACGAAGGTGAAAATCTATGGGATAATTTACGGATTTAACTAGATTTTTTGAATAAAGGTCTTTCTTATTTTTATTGGTTTGTTTCTGTTGCGTCATGCAATATCTCGCGTTTCTCTCTCTCTCTCTCTCTCTCGCTCTCTCTCTCTTTCTCTCTCTCTCGCCCGCTCTCTCTCTCGCTCTCTCTCTCTCGCTCTCTCGTCAAAGAAAGCTGGAATTCCCAAATTTCATCGCCTAATCTCTGCCACACGTCACTTTCCGGGGCTGGCAACAAGCTCCTTGTACGCAAGAGTGTTTTTCCAGTTTTCAGCCCGTCCTGTCGACCTTGAGGGGGATGAGCAGCAGCTTCTCTCACCCCCCCCCCCACCCCAGACTCCAAGCCCTGCCCGCTGGCAGCTTTTGGACTTTAGACTAAAAAATGTGGTGCTGTTTTTGCTGGTTTTTACTAGTTTCTAGTCGAATTTGGCCCGATTGGTCGTTGTCGAGATCTAGACATCGAAAGACGTCGATTACAGCACTTCACGATCTCTTTAAAGGGACTGACAATGAATTTTTAATCTTTAAAGCCTCTGGATCGCCTAGCGGCTTTTCCGCGCCAAGTGCCTAATCCATTACCCACGCTTTCCCTCTCTCTCACTCTCTCGATCTCTCTCGCTTTCTCTCAATCTCTCTTTCTCTCTCACTCTCTTACTCGTTCGCTATCTCTCTCTCGTTCTCTCGTCCTCATTCTCGTTCTCTCAGTCTCGCTCTCTTACTCGCTCTTTAACTCTCTCTCGTCCTCTCGCTCGCACTCTCCTTCTCTCAACCTCTCTCTCTTTCTGACTCGCTATCTCTCTCTCTCACTCTCTCTCGCTCTCTCCATCTTTTCCTCCTCACTCTCTTTTGCCTAAAACGTCGTATTCCAAAAGTTCATGGGCCCCAGCCCCCCCATCAATCACAATAAGTTGTGCCAATCCTCCCCTGCTAGGCCCTGATTCAGGGATCGATCGTCTCGGGGCTGACCCTTTTTGGGGGTGCTGTCCGTTTCCATCCTAAATACGGTCCCTTCTCTCTGGAGGGTTGACTAATTGGCCAGCTTCTTCACCTTCCCCACCCACCAACCCGATCGGATCCATCATTGCCCCTTCCCCTAAAAGGGCAATCCTTGAGTGATGGGAGGAGTATTCGGCCGTATTGAGTAGCTCATCGGAATTTTCCAGACATGGCAATTCCGGGCGGCCGGGCCCCGGGGCCGGGCCTGTAATCTAATTTGCATGAAAAAATCCCCCGCTTCCGGGCCCCGGAAAACTATGCAAATTCGCGGGGCCGAGCCCGGGCCCGGCCGAACTTTTTTCGGGGCCGGGCTCGGCCGATTCGGCTCGGCCCCGGAAACTAAAACAGCTCATTTGCGTCTAAATTCCGATGCTAAAATGCAAATTTGCCATGAAAATTTTAAGTGCGTTCGTCCAGTTCATACATCGGTCTTGGTAAAATTCATTGAACTTGTTTAATAATTCGTCTCAACTATCAAAGAGTACTAAATTACGGGTCTGAACCTGTTCTGATCTGGCTGGAGGTGTATGGCAACCTTGGAAAATAGAATTTTTTCGAATTTGCATGGATATTTTTAGTGAAAGTGATTTACAACCGGGATTTCTGATTAGCGTGCGGCCTTGCGGCCCCGGGCTCGGCCCCCATTTTAGCTTATCCCGGGGCCGGCGAGAAAAGCCGAGCCCCGGCCCCGCCGGAAGTGGGGCCGAGCCCCGTCGGCCCGGCCGCATGCAAATTTTTGGGGCCGAAAAAGCCCGGGGGCCGGGCCCGTTGCCATGTCTGGAATTTTCTAGAGCTTACGGTAAATTAAAGGGCGGGGCAAGGAATGACTATGGATTTTGAACCGCTAGACGCGACGCATACGCTCGCCTTTAAAGGGATAAGCAGGTCAATCGATTACGCACTGGAAAGGCAAGCACACGCTCGCTTTACA